TTTATTTATGAATAAACTATATAATTTATTGGATAAAGCCAGTCATAATATTAACATCAATAACATCAAAGAAATTAACAAGTTCTGTTACTATTGCTAAATTAAAGGCTAGGTTCCTTAAAGATTTAGGTTTAACCTAAAAGACTTAGATATGGATTTTAACTATAAGATAATTATCAATATAATATACCTTAATAAACAATTAATCTTATATGTAATTAATACAGCTATAGACTTCCAGATAACATATTTCATGAGGACCATCTTGGCTAAAGAAACTTAAGAAATATTGAAATAATGTTGGATTGATATTTACCTTGGCCTCCTGGACATTGTCACATATGATACTGGTACCAACTTCGATAATATTAAATTCAGAAATGAGACTTGCATCGCTGGAATTACCTGTAATCAGATATTGGTAAAGGCATATTAATCCATCAACAAAGTTAAGGAATATTATAACCCTATTTATAAAGCCTATAAGATCATAATAGATGAATTTTAGAATTCTGGTTTAAAGGTATTACAATTTTAGATAGCCGTTAAGGTAGTTAATGATACTGTTAATCTAGATGGTCTTATCCCTATCCTCTTGGTCTTCGATGCCTATCCAAGAATTAATATAGACTTATTACCTATCCCTTTATAGACCTAAAGGGCATAGGTAGTTTAAAAGGCAATAATAGAGATTAAGAAGATTAAGGCATAACATTTTATTAAGGATGTTATAAACATATGAAATGGCCTTAATATTTAAAGAATATTCCTTATGATACTCTTTATTGGCAGCAAAATCCTGATCTACTGAGAAAAGGAAGGATGGAAAGGCCCTTACAGAGTCATTGCAGCCATTGATAAGGATGTAATTATAATCTCTAACATTTTCGATAGTATGTTGATGTTTAAGAATTCCTATATCAAATTATATACCTAACCTAAGGAAATTCTAGTATTAATAAAGAAATTTAAGGTTTAGCTATCCTTACCTTCGTTTAATCTTGACGACTTTGAAATTATCCTCGAAGAGGATCTCATATATATCAATAATATCTTCCATGTTGCTATTCTGTATCTCATTATTAAGGAATAGAATAATCTCACCTTTATACTTAAGTTATGAATGGATGGAAAGATAATTACTTTAGGTAAATTATATAAGGAATCAGATATGAAAGAAATAAATGCTTTATTTGAAGAAGGCATCTTGTAACCTGAAATGTATAACGAGGTAGTTCACTGAAACATGACAATCTTCAAATTAAGAATGATTTGTAAAATCAAAGTCAGGAATATCTCCTCTCCCTACAAAAAATCACAACTTATAATCTAAAGATATGGCAACCCTGATAAAGAATTTATTATGATGTATATACTCATTATCCAAAGGGTAAGTTAATGGCTAATATTGGTTTTTATCCCTATATTATGTTGATGAGGGATGAAGATCATGATATGGGATATAACCATGATATATACTTAATCCAAAACACTAATATAAAAGATAATTTTTATACGATTATTGGCTAAACTGAAGGATAAATATTCTGAAAGAACACTATTACAAATTATTAAACCATTATATAATCTTATGGAATTAGGCACTTATTAATTTGAGATTTATTTATATTATCATTAACGAAAGTTGCATATAAAATTATTAACTTTTAATTCTTATTTATTAGTGATGGACTTAGGTCCTTTTGGAATTATAGGATTTCAAATGAATGATATTCTTAATATAAGTATTATAGATTTTCTTGCTATTAAAAATATAATATTTGCTAGGGCAAGAATCAAGACATACTTTTAAAAGATAATAGATTTAGGATCTGAGGATTTCAATGGTTTATACATCATTGTCTATGATAGGGACTTTAGGATCTTCATTATTTAAAAAAACCAAATTAAAAAGCTTGAGTTTTTAGATGTGAAAAGCCTTGACATGATTAAGAGGTTTATAGAATAAAGGGTAAGAGGCGTGTATATTACTTTTATTTGTTAACCTGAAGTTGCTTTTAACTATTTTATGGTAGCCTAATATCTTAAATTAGGCCTTAAGGAAGTAAAGGTTTTCAATGCTAGGATATAATGGCAGATAGATAATCAGGCATAAAGATTTAATTATGTTGAATTGGACCTATAAAATCTATACTTATATATCTTTATTAATGGATTATTTGTAAATAATAAGGATTTAAGTTCACAAATTAATTATATCATTGTCCTAGATAATAAAGGGCCTATTAGCCAAGATAATGAAATCTGGATTATTAGAAATATCATTTATTAGTTATTCATTAAATGCAAATATGTCATTTATAATGTCCTTGCCAATGAAATATATGGAATGATCTAAGGTTTTAACATTGGCTATATCATTTATTATATTGTTAATACAATTCTGAAATGCCTTTTGTTTATCAAGATTCCTTTCATTCTATATATTGATTCTTTTTCCTTGTATTAGTATTTGGTATAGATAGGTAGTATTAATAAAAAAAAATTAATAATTAATTTAATAACTTTGAGATAGTCATATAAGAACCAAGAGATAAATAATGTCTGATGGATTCATGGTAACTATAACCCTGTGGATGTCATGACAAAGGCATCCCTAAATAAGACTATAAAAAGGCTAGTGGAGGATAACCAAATTGATTTGTAACTGAAAGGATGGGTAAAACGTGTGGCTAATAACGAATTCACAATCGACTAATTACAAAAAAAAAATAGAATGAGTGATGGTTGCATAGGTGAAGGACATGTGATCTACTTAGTCATCAGGATTTCCTTTAAATAAGTTACCCTTCTTGCTTATTCATATAGATAGATCTTTCTTCCTTAAACAACTTAATACACATTGTCTCACCCCCATTACTTTGCTTTACTTGTTATATTGTTTTCATTTACATACATACCTACCAACATATTTTTATATAATATTTTAATAAATAATATTATTAAAATATTATTATAGGAAATATTATATAAATAATAAATAAATATGGAATATAAATCATTAATGAATAAGGTTATCCTAGAATTGAAAGTAATATTACCTTAAATAGAAATATTTACTATTAAAACTTTAATATTATAAATTAAATTTAAATAATATTTTAAATTTTTATAAAAATAAATAATAATATATTATAATAAAAAAATAATTAAAAGATTAATTTTATATAAAGAAAATAAGATTTATTTCTTATAAAATAAGTAATATTTAATATTAAAAATATCATAAATTTAAACCAAAAGATTAAATAAGAAATTAGATTTTAAAAAATTAAGACCTTTTTTAATCAAAAAAGCCTTTTTAAACATAAATTATTATCTATAATTACCAATAAATATAAAATTAAAAATTAATATATTCTATATTATTATATTTAAATTAATATTTAAAAATATTAAATTTAAAAAAAATATTAAATTAAAAAAAAATCTAAAAAAATATAATATTAAAATTATTTAGGATTTTAAAATCATTAATAATTAAATTAAATACTTTATTAAATAATTTAACTATTTAGAAGAAAATAATACCTAGGAATTATAGAAATATCTTATAAATAAAAAGGTCTAAAAATTAATTAAAGATTTCTACTGTTAGAACCTAGATTAATTAATAATGGTAAATTAAAATTTATATCTTCAAAGGAAAAATCGGAAAAAGAATTGATTACAAAAGCTGTACTAATTTATACCTTAATGTTATACTACTACTCCCCTACCAGACATTATTCCTTTTTTAACTATTCCTGCTCTTCTAGCTCTTTCAGGCTTTAGAAACCACATTAAAACATTTTCAAACCTTTTTCTTTCAATAATTCCTTTTATTATCTAAATCATTTAATGTAAATTAAGGCCTTAGCCATTTTAATATAAAGATATTCAAAGGTTTTTTCAGCCTAATATTCTTGAACAGATAATTATTCCTCTTTATTTTCAAGCCTAAAAAAAGAATTAATAAAGATATCCATCTTATTATATTAATAATAATATAAAATATATTTATTACATTTCTTAAATATCCTAATTACTATTACATATTTAAAATTATGATTAAAATAGTATAAATATAATATAATATCTATATTAAGACCAATCTTGGCAATCCATTCTGAAAACTCTATATATTTTTATTCTTGATTAATATGTTTGTATTTTGCAGATAGACTAATAAATATAATAAAAACTAAATTAAAAGGGATTTATTAAGAAAAAGGATCTTCAAAGACAAAAGAACTAAAAAAGGGAAAAATAATGTTATAAATCACATAGGCCTATAGGGATATAAAATCCTAAAAGAAACCTTTTTCCTTGCTAAAGTAAGGTAATAATAATAGAAATATATAATATATAACATAGATAAATATAAATAAGGATATCCAATCTCATCCAATAAATATGACATAGATAAATATGGATAAATATATCCAATCTCATCCAACAAAAGTAATAAAAGATAAATATAAATAAAGAAATCCAACCTCATCCATAAAGAAAATAACAATAAAGAACATCTATATAATCACCATAATTCTCCTATATATCTAATCATTTCTTTCACAGCTCTTTAATTATCAATCTAAAACTATTCTTTCAAATATAATAAGAAAACTCCAAGCCTCTCTAACAAACAAGAACCAACTTAACCACTTAACCTACTACTGATATTATTACCTTCAAATCAAAAAACCCCAGATTAGCCAATCCAACAACAATTATACCTCTTCGAGGAATAGGTTCGTCACACATAGGTTCGTCACAACTTACTTTATTTCTCCAAGGATAAATAATATCCTAAAAGGCTACACCCCTACAAAAGGGTTTAATTTATGACATATAACTTTTTTAAAAAAAAATTAAATAATATTTAAAAAATAAAAAAAATAAAAATTAATTTAAAAATCGAATTTTCTTTTACTTTGGAAGGTTGACAACTGCTACCCTACATCCATTTTACGCCGGCTACCCTCTTATTGGGTGCATCCTCTAGTGCGTGGCCCATGCGTTGCTTGGCGCTGTTTTATTGGCTGCATTGACTAGCGCGGCTGTACGCCCGATTGATTGGCTATCGCCGTGCCGTGCCCACCCGTGGCTGTGGCTGTGGCCGTGCATACCCTGTGGCGATGCAACCCCTCCGAATCGTCGCATTCGAAATCGTCGCAGTCGCCAGCCAATACAACAGTCAATTGACTCAATCAATCAATCTAATCCAATCAAATCAATTACGTCATTCGAAATAACCCTACAATTCAATTAAAATTCAATTGAATTGACCTTAGAAATTTGATGGGGTTACCCTAACCTAAAAAGGCTTAGCATTCAGGTGATCTTTCGGGTTGATGTTAGGTTATGTGTAGACTCGTCCAGTTCTACCTCTCTCTGCCTCTCGAAAAACGACATCATCCCACGCCAAGACAATAGTTGCACTCTTAGGTCCAAACCCGAACCAAGATTCTAACCCAGTAGCTCATAACGCGAGTCGATGATAAATTCCCCACCTCATCATCGCCTCATCAGTAGCTCTCTAATTCTCTTTCCTATGTGCCAAAATTCGTAAATCGTAAGTTAACATAATGAGCACTTCAGAATCAGCCAATCCTCCCCCTCCGTCTTCGCCCCCGCCTGAAGACACAGCTAGGGATACAGCTGGGGATGAGAACCCCGCTGCCGACCCGCCAACCCAATTGGTGCGTATAATCTACTCCAACCAGACCCGAATAGAAGGACGAACGTGTTACTAACGTAGATAATAGGAAGCCGACGTAGTCGATGATAATGATTCAGCCCTTGGTTTTGTATGCGAACCCCAAAGTTCATAAACCAATGCAATGGCCCTAACACCCAATTCTTCCATACTATTAGAGCGATGAGGAACTCTCAACTGCCTCCCTCCGTTCAAGCATTCGGGAATATAACATGCTTCATGGCCGAGGATATCATCGTGATCAGAGTAAGCAAGATCTGGCTGTTCTTGTCGTTGAGATGGATCCCTATCTAACCACGGGTTCTCAGCCTACTTCTTACCCAGTGACGAGGTAAGTAAATTCGTACCTGACTATTCGCTTAACAAAATAATTAAGCTGATTTTCCAACTTCAGGATGAATCCGACCGGCTAGGTACGACTACTACCCCGTTTAGGTTCCAAGGTTGTTGATAAAACCTTTCAACTAATTGACATCCGGCTCGAAGACCTTCAAAACCACCAACTGCTCCTCACATTTGGGGGTAAAATTCATTTCGCTCTTGGCGCTGACACAGCTAAGCGGGTGCTTGATGTTGGTACTGGCACTGGATTATGGGCGCTGGATTTCGGTAAGGCCTTTCACTGAGACGTTAACCATTGCCAATGTCCGAGCTAACTTTGGAATCGTAGCCGACGAACATCCTGAAGCGGAGGTTGGGAATGGCGATCATGGAATGATTTCTTGAAGCTGATGCTTGGACAGGTTCTCGGAGTTGATATCGCCGCCATCCAACCTTCCTTGTAAGTCAATCAACACTTCATTCGCGAATTCACCCATCAGCGAGCTCATGAAATTTCAGCGTTCCTCCTAATTGCAGCTTCGAAATAGACGATCTTGAAAAAGACTGGACGTTTAGTCGGAAGTTTGATTATATTTTCACTCGTCTGATGGCCGGAAGCTTTGCAGATTGGGATAGATTCGTCGGACAATGCTATGAGTATGTAACTTACTTGCCGACCCTAGCCGCAATGAGCGGACTCGCATCATATGCCTCCGTGTCTAACGTTACACCACATTAGTTTCCTCGAACCTGGTGGCTGGCTGGAAGTGATTGACCCCACCCTCCCAGCTTGTTGCGATGATGGTACATTGAAACCCGAGGCCGCCATCAACAGATGGGATGAATATCTCGTCAAAGCGTCTAAAAAGCTTGGACGCCCATTTGATGCTGGTTCCGGTCACTTTGACCGAGTCAAGGCCCATGGTTTCGTTAATGTTGAGCGGAAAATCTACAAATGGCCTATCAACCCGTGGCCGAAGGATCCTAAATTCAAAGAGATCGGGCTATGGACACGCGCCAATATTGAAGGTAATTTGGAAGGGATCAGCACAGCATTGCTGGCGCGTGGCTTAGAGCTCAGCAGAGAGGAGATCCTAGCATTCCTAGCTGAAGTGAGAGCTGAATTGCGAAACCCAAGAATTCACGCGTACTGGGAAGTGTAAGTTATGATCCTTCGTAACAATATTGGTTCTTGTTAATGGGACTGACTCCCTCTAGGCATGTCGTATATGGGCAGAAGCCCGAGGCTTCTGGGTCCTAGAGTCCTAGAAGAAGGTTTGGTGATCGCTTGATGCAACGAAGGTCCTATTCCGCTATACAAAAAAAAACAGCGCAACATGAACATAATCATAATGAATATATTTATTGAGGTACCTTGTCAATTGGCCCGCATCTGCAAGAAAAACCAGCACAATAAGCATTCCTCGCCATGAATGGCAGGTTCCGCGCGCGATCAATTAGTACCTAGCTACATTTCGCAACACATATACATCCAAGTATTAAGGTAGTGGTTTCTCCAAGTCGTCCGAAATGAAGCATGTATCGAAGGATCGCAAAGTAAGCTCGATTATTATGAACACATCTAGAATACGAAATAGGTTCTATCCTTCCCTTTACTCTCTATTTACATGTACATCGGATCCTTAACTAGGAAAGTCCTAAGGCTAGAACCGCCAGCACCTAGGTATTTATATCCCAACAATATCAGTAAACCCTTAATCTCAGATTAAGGTCAGCTTTCCTTCAAACGAGTACCTAAATTATCCTACTTCGCATTGAGTCTTCACGATGGAATCCATCCGACGTTGTCTAGGTTCCCGTTACCTCGTCGCAGTCATTTGGGCATTGGCCTTACAGGTACCTACCGCCAGCACGATAAATATTCCAGAACCGACAGGTCCATATCAAGTTGGCGTCAGCACCCATACAATAAAACATTTCAACGCGAATGATCCTCTAGCACCAAATAATGTTAGCACGGCATTTCTCGCGACTATATTCTATCCTACACTCCAAAAGCCAGAAGATGCAGCACGGCCATATCTAAATCCAGAAACGGCAGCGTACTATGAGAAGTCTTGGAACTATACCTCCGGGGTCCTTTCTTCGATAACTTCAACTGTCCAAAAGAACGCCCCGTTTCTTCAGGGTGCGGTGGGAGAGTCGCCCTACCCAACCATCCTATTCGGCCCCGGAGGAGTTGGTCCACCTGTTGAAGGCAGCACGATTCTGCTTTCTGAACTAGCTTCCTATGGTTATACCGTCATTGGGCTAGATCATCCATTCGAACAGCCTTTCCTTCGGTTCCCAAACGGAACAGGTGTCTATGGAATAGACGTTGATCTTAACAACACTCAACTCCTTGATGCTATCTACGAAACGCGCCTTATAGATAATGCCGCGTTCTTAGAGTCCCTTTCTATATTCGTCGAGACCCTTAAGGCACCTATTAACACGACACACATTGGTGTCCTTGGTTATTCGCTAGGTGGCGCCGCTGCATTAGGTTCGTCCTATTACGACGAGCGAATAATCTCGGGACTTAATTTAGACGGCAGTCTATTCGGAAGGTCAACTAGTGCGAACGCGGATATAAAGAAGCCAATTTTGCTTCTAGGTAATCAGGAACATCACACTGGAGCACAGACAGAAGATATCACATGGGACATATTTATCGCGCTGCAGACAGGATCCTTGAGGGAAATGTCTATCAATGGGACAACACATCATGACTTCTGTGATGATACCTTTTGGAAAACCATCGAGGGTAACGACCCAACAACCGGACCGATTGATGGTAATCGTCAAGTTGAAATCTTAAACGCATACGTTAAAGCCTTCTTCGACTTCACATTACTAGGCCATGACTCACCTATACTGAACGGCCCATCCTCGGAGTGGCCAGAAGTGTCTTATTATAATGTTTCTCGCGCTGGGTCGTCTACTTAACATAATTATACCCACCTCGGTATCCATGGACCTAGGTATTGACAGATGCTCTTGTAGTTAGGAGGTATATCGAGCGGCTTATATCAGCCCGCGACAATAGAGATAGCAATGGGGCTTGCTTCAACTTTACTGCCACGTAAATGCTTTCCGTAGCGATTATAACACAGCACCCAAGCCCCTTTCCATACTTCTTAGGACCTTCGGTTTAGTTATGCGGAACACCTAATAGATCAACCAAGCAGCTAAACACTAAACATGATAAATACCCACATATAACCAAAACCCATCTAACATACACCATACTTAATACCAATTATCGCGAGAAATTGGTCCATGTTCCTCAAACGACAATATCCACACCTGGGCACGCTTCTGTCGCCGTACCATTCAATATTCTGTAATCGACCACCTCCGCATATGGGCCGAGGGGACTCACTACATGTCAAACTACACCTCCTATGGAAGGCTTAGTTATCCGCACACACGATCTTTAAGCCATAAACCGCAGCGCTAAGTGCCTCGCCCATGAGATAGCAGGCTGGACTAATATCGTATGCGCAAGTCCAAAACTATAGAATATCTGGGGTTATACGCCCATGCTGTAGAATAGGATGATGATGAGAATCCAAAGCAAGGCGGCGGGAACGGGGACTAGAACGGCTGCACCGAGGGTCAATTTCTATATAATATTGATACTCTGCGCGTCGTGTGGTAGATAAAGGGGTATGGGGTCCTCACCTACAAAGTAGACCGTCTTTTCTTCCTTCGAGAGTAATAGTCGATTAAACCTTTAGAATAATGTAGCCGAAGATTGATAGACCCAAGACTGCTTGTCCACTCTTGTCGGGAAGATCGCCTCCACTCGTTATAGAGTTCTCTCATTGTAGTGAAAGGGTGCTAAGATAGAGTAAGCTATACCTAGGTATATAATGGTACCTAGGTATGTTCTCGTTTCTGGCTTGAAATTCGACTTACATATTGTGTCTAGGTATGAACGTCAAGGCTGCGAAGGACGACACCGCTACGCCGGCGGGGGGTCGGCCTGATGGTCTCAACCATACCCGTGAATTCTTTGGTTCATGCTGAGACGTCGAATGTAGACAAGGAGTCGAAGGTTGCGCTGAGTTGGGTGAAGGGGGTTCATGGCTTCGTGGGAGTCATAGATGGATGAATGTGTTTTCGTAGTATGTCGTGCTTAAGTTAGCTACTGCTTGCTCTAGATCATCCTCTGTTGAGTCCCTTCTGCGCGGGGAAATCTCCTCTCGATTAGAAGCGTTATTCTTCGTACCAAGCGTACACCAATTTGGCATCGCCCCTATTTCGTCTTGTCGCAGGCGACACACAGCGACGAGGGGATTAGGGGGTGATGACAAACCTGGATTATTTACAGCGAACTAATTCAAAATCGTTTGAAGTGAAAGCCATCGAGATTCCTGACGGATACCTACACAAGATAACTACTTAGGTAAGCTTCAATTTTTCTATACATCCCAAAACATCAAGTCAAAATGCATCAATGACAGAGCTTGGTCGTACTATATCTTGTCGATTATTGATAATTTACGATCGCCGATTGTGCGTTATTATGACCCTCGGACCAGTGACTCACTTCAAATATACCTGGTGGGATAGACCGACGAGGTAGCAATCACCAAAAATGTAAACGAATCATCAACTTCAAAATAGCAAAATCATTTCGATAGCTTCAAGTCAATTAGCTACCTAAAGGAGCCAAGCCAACTCCCAACACTAATCCTGGTATGACCACCGGAACGCCATTACCCATGATCTCAAGCATTGCACTTTTTTGCCCGTATAGTACAGAGAAAGAGAGTATTGTCTACATTTATGAGGATTTCTCCTTCTTGGACTTCTTCTTACTCTTCTTCTCTGGGCTATCATCGCCGTGCTTTCGCTTTTTGCTGGAACCTTCAGCCTTGTCCTGAACGTCAGCTTCAGCAGCCTTTGCTTCCGCCTTCTTTAACTTCTTCAACTCCTTCTTACTAACGACTTGCGGTGTTCCATCGGCGTTCATCTTGACATCCCCACGTTCATACTTGCGCTTGAACTTGGTAACCGAAATACCAGCATCCTCTGCTAATCGAGCGTAGTCGACCTCGGTGAGTTTGGCGGGTGTTGTGGGAGCGGCTTCAGAAGTTCCATTGGCAGCCTTCTTCTTGCTCTTCTCCTTCTTTTCCGAATGCTTCTCTTCGCGTTCTGATTTGTGTGACTGCTTAGGTGTGCTCTTCGACTTGGCTGTTTTATCCGTTAGTGCATGTGGAAATCAGTCACATAGATTCGTACTTACCAGTCTCTGTACCATTCATCTCGACATCAGAATCCTCTTCATCGGATTCCTCCTCACTGTCTCCCTCACCCATTGGGGTATCCTCGACTTCCTGGATCAGAGGTTTGCTTGGCGTCTTCTTAGCAGACGCAGAAACGGCATCGGCGTCGGCATTGTAGTTTCGCGAAGGCTTAACTTCAAACTTGGATGGTGTGGCGCCATTTGGTGCAATCTTGGCACCCTTGGAAATCAAGGGCTTACCCTCCAATTTCCGTAGCTTGTCTTCGAGCACTGCACGAAGTCTGATACCCATGTCGGCCCTTTCCTCGTCATCTACCGGAATTTCTTCACCATCTGCACCCTCGGTGCTCAATTCAGAAAGCGCATCAACACGTAAGCACAGGGCAGCTTTAGCAGATAGTGTACGAGCAATTTTACCCTTGTTCTTGCCACTAGCCTGTCCAACAAGGGAAGAGTGGTAGATGAGACCATATTTGGGTGTGTCGTGCTTGGTCTTTAGAGCGCGGAAAAGCGCCTTCTCCGCACCTAAAATTTGAATGGTGCTACCAGGGCTCTTGGCCAGCTTCATCAAAGAACCGGTATGCGCGATGAGACGAGCACCAACAAGCTCACCGATGAGCTCCGTTAGGTTAGGCGCAATCGCCTTCATACGCGATGTAAGGTACTGAGAGAGTTGTTGACGATACTCGGTGAAGCTGATGACTTGCTCGGCGAGAAGTTTGATATTTTCCAGGTCAAAATCGAGGATTTCGGTACCCATACTGACTTCAGCGGCGGCCTTTACTCGAGTCTCAAGATCTTCTGGTAGAATTTCGGAAAAGTCGGTGTTGGTGGCATTTTCTCGAACTCCCATAGTCATAATGATACGAGCATAAGCGAGGTTGTCGTTGATGATGCGATCCAACTCAGGGAAATGCCAGCCGTACCATTCCTTGACACGCATGGCGTAGTTGTTCAACTCCTTATCCAAATCGTCCAGGAGCTTAATAGCTTGGACAATCATGACATCCACCTTATCGGGGGAGAACTTGAGCTTGTGGCGAGAAATAGAGTGGGACAGAGCAAGAGCCATGTTTCCTAGATAATCGCTCTCTAATTCGGGGAAGAGTTCGGGTAGGTATGTCTTGATGGCACGGAAAAGCTCATTGGTAGAGGAATCGGAAACGGGAGTGATGCTCAATTGGGGTAGAACGTTAATGGCGGCACCCAGTTTCGGATCGGCGACGGCAAGAGACGCTTTTCGTTCCTCTTTAATGTCGTCGAGGAGATTTTGTAGCATAGGTGTAACTTTTCCTTCTGTCAAGGCTGTGTATTCACCCAAAGCTTGAGCTGAATCTTCGAATTTGACCATCTTCTTCAGCGACAACCTATGTGTGAATTTGGTGAGCACGCGCGCCTCATGTCAATTGGTAGCGGTTGAAAGGTGACAAACTTACATAGAGTTGATGGCTTCGGCGCTTGAAAGTTGCTTATTAACATCATCTCGGGACAATAACTTCTTGTCCTTGGCCTTGAAAAGACCATAGCTATTATCATCGCGTCAGTCAGTACGTTCATGCGCAACACAAATTTTGAATTGTCAAAACTCACCCCGCAGGCGTCTCTGCAAGAACGAAGAGAGGCATAATTGCAGGAAAAGAATGAAGCGTATTATTTGTGTTTTCCCTGCAGACAGCTCTCTTCGCGATGGTTGGGTGGTGGGTTAAACCTGGAGAAAAATGTAGAGCAAAGCTGCTTTGGCTTGTGTAAAATTTTATTCGAGTTAACTTCGTCCAAGAAAAAAAAAATTGGGAAGCTCTAGCATAAATGTGGGTCATCTCTAGCGTGTCCGCCACCCAAAGTTCTCGGACCCATAATTTACTAGACTGATTAGTTGAATTGTGCTCTTTTATTTGATAGAGAAGCCTTATATTGGACTTATCTGAGATATACATTTATACGGCACAAAGCAACCTTAAGCTTTGAGTTACAGCGCATTCCGTGCTAATGCCAATGTTAACTTGCTAGAGCGAATGAACAAACCAAGCTTGTTGAATAGCATCAACTTCCATCAATCACAACAACATACATAGGCCAAAATGGAGGGCCTATTTTTCAACGTAAATAATGGGTAAGATAAGTGTATCTAGAAGAAATGGAAAATGAATAGCTAACGTTTTTGAAATAGCTACATCGAAGGCATTGTGAGAGGATATAGAAACGGCCTTCTCACCGGTGCCAACTACTCTAACTTGACACAATGCGAGACCATCGATGGTATATATCCACCCATATTCTTATTCACATATTTTCATTATATATAGGAAAACAAACATGAAGCAGCATATCTAACAGATCCATCTAGATCTCAAGTTGCAGCTTGGTCCTGCTTACGGCGATTTCCTCGGTTCCCTCCCTCCGAATCCATCCACTTCGAGTCTCGCTGCCAAAACCACCGACAAACTCGTTTCCGAATTTCGTTACGTCCGCGCCAACGCAGTAGGATCTCTCGCACAGTTCCTAGACTACTTAACATACGGCTACATGATTGACAACGTTGCCCTACTCATTACCGGTACACTTCACGAACGCGATACGCGCGAGTTACTAGATCGATGCCACCCATTAGGATGGTTCGAAACGATGCCGGTCCTCTGTGTCGCAACCAACATCGAGGAGTTGTATAACAGTGTGTTGATAGAAACACCATTAGCCCCTTACTTCAAGGGAAGTTTAAGCCATCAGGATCTGGATGAACTTAACATCGAAATCGTTCGAAACACACTCTACAAGAATTACCTCGAAGACTTTTATAACTTTGTCAACTCCCACCCTGACATGACCGGTACTCCGACTGCCGAAGTTATGTCTGAAATTCTCGAGTTCGAAGCCGACAGGCGCGCCATTAACATCACCCTTAACTCCTTCGGTACCGAGCTAAGCAAGGCGGATCGTAAGAAGCTTTACCCTAACTTTGGTCGGCTCTACCCCGAGGGTACCCTGATGCTCTCTAGGGCAGATGACTTTGAGGGTGTCCGATTGGCGGTCGACGGTGTTTCCGATTACAAAACTTTCTTCGATGCTGCGGGACTGGGCGGCGGGCCGTCTGGACCTGGTAATATGGCTGGTGGTGCTGGCGGCAACGAAAGGAGTCTAGAGGATATGTTCTACCAAAAGGAGATGGAAATCTCGAAGAGCGCCTTCACGAGACAATTTACATACGCCATCGTATATGCGTGGGTGAAGCTAAGGGAGCAAGTAAGTCGAGGAAATAACAGCAATCTTCCCCAAACTAGCCAATATGTCTTAGATTCTAACCTATTACATCTAGGAAATCCGTAACATTACGTGGATTGCCGAGTGCATAGCGCAAAACCAGAAGGAAAGAATTGGCAACTACATCAGCGTGTTCTAATTTCTATACATTTTCATAACCGCTTCTCCATCTCTACTACCGCCACCTGTCTCCTCGAAACTCTGTAGAACTAATGGATGGGATACCAGGGAAATAGCATTTCAAGTTTTGTGATTGTCATGGGAGTTTTTTTTTTTAAAAAATTTGTAACAAAGGCGCTAGACTAGGCTGATGGACAAGCAGACAATTAGTTAGAGCACTCTTGTCTCGATGGCCGCCGGTACTGGTGCTGGTGTTTGTTGTACTGTACATAAGCACATAAGTATTACAAAGTATGCATCTAGGTCACCTATATGATACACTCCAAACAGCATGTTCAACCCATACGTTAGCCTAGGATTTCCAAAGGTTTTTACGTGGTAATCTGCTCTTTCCAGGTGGCTGGACTCAATCCCAGAGTCTCGATCATATGCTTCCACCTATCACTTCCCTTCTCCTTCCTGTCCATATATCGCATAAGCTTTTGTCGTCGGTGGAGCATCAATCTCAAGTCTCGCTTGCCCACTTTATCCTTATGCCCTCTATTCTTCCCCAACGCGTCGGCCAAAGCATTGATCTTAGTTGTCAGGATAGCAATCTGCACCTCGCTACTTCCAGTATCCGGACCTCCTCGTACTGGCCGCTCTTCCTTCTGTTGACCTCGAGATAGAGCCTTTGGCTTTAAAATAAGGTCAGTCTCGTGTCGACCAAAAGTCTCTATACACCTTCGGATATTGGCGTGCAATCTATCCTTCGCGGAACCATTTTCTAAACTTGTGATGCGTTCCAACGCCTCGACGGCCTTGGCATGGTATTGCTTATGAAGTTCAACCTTTTTCTCATATTCTGGGGAGCCAGCAGGTGAGAGATCTGATTCCATAGGTTTTGTCAGGACGTATGCGTTCCCGATAGCGGACTCGAGCTCTTTCTTGTGAATTAGGTTGTTTAAAACATAGGGTGAGGTGGGCAACTCGCGAGGTTCCTCGATCGGGTTGCCATCGTCGTCAAGGGCTGGCTTGGACAGAGGTGCCTGTCCAGCTGAGTCGAAAGATTCGACGAAGGGCGTAGGGATACCACGGATAGGGTCACCAAACTGGCTATTCGTCAAAGCCTCGATCGATTCTCGTCGTTTCAAGTGGGCGGCCTTACGTTGCTGCATCTGTGCCCACCGGTAAGGTTCTTGCTTCATAATCCGCCTCTTCTCTTTTTGCGACAAGGACGCAGTTTGGGTGACGGGGAGGAGAGACGGAGTGGATGGTTTTACGGTCGGCCGTAGGCATACTACCAAGAAATTGTTAGTTTATAATGGGTTTTAAACCACAAAGGCATCCACATCTTACATGAAAAAGTGCCTAGGCGCTGCACGCCTGGTATTCGGGGCGACATCGTGGCGTGTCTTGGGATATTGAATCACTAGAAATCGAATTGAACTTTTAGCAATTGACCCACTTTATTCGACTTACATGCAGCTCTCCTAGGATAAAGATATGGCGGAATGGATAAATAATGCGACCGAGGCAAGTGTGGAACTTGTTTACGTAACAGATGCACCCCACCAGTACGTACATAGACTTATCGAAGTACATGCAAATTGTAAGACCCGAGCTTAACTAAATTAGATCTAGCGGCTCCAAACCCTAAGCTTTCTCGCACCAAATCACAAATCGACTACTGGTGCATCAAATCCGACCCGCGAACTTTTTTTCTCACAGGGAATTTTCATCATCTCGAACAAGACGATCGCGCAACAACAACGCACCTCCAATTCCCTCCTCATTTTCTTCACCTTCTTTCACCCGAATTACCTTTCGAGTGCGTTGTTAATTATTCAAGATGGCGCCTACTAACCTCCCCACATCCATGCATGCGACGTCCCAGGACATCGAGATGCTTCTGGCCGCCCAGAGCCATCTCGGTTCCAAGAACTTGCAGGTTCACATGGAGCCTTACCTCTGGAAGACCCGAGCTGACGGTGTCAATGTCATCAACATTGGCAAGACCTGGTATGCTTCTCGATTGTGTATTTTGATTTGCGCAAATTGATGGGAATACTGACTTTGTGTTTTTTCGCATCGCAGGGAAAAGATCGTCCTAGCCGCCCGCATTATCGCCGCTGTTGACAACCCCGCCGACATCTGTGTTATCTCTGCTCGTCCTTACGGTCAGCGTGCCGTTCTCAAGTTCGCTGCTCACACCGGTGCCGTTGCTATCGCCGGTCGATTCACCCCCGGTTCCTTCACCAACTACATCACCCGTTCGTTCAAGGAGCCCCGCCTAATCGTTGTCACCGACCCTCGCACCGATGCCCAGGCCATCAAGGAGGCTTCTTACGTCAACATCCCCGTTATCGCTCTTTGCGACACCGACTCCCCGACCGAGTACGTTGATGTTGCCATCCCTACCAACAACAAGGGTCGCCACGCCATTGGTACCGTCTGGTGGATGCTTGCCCGCGAGGTCCTACGCATCCGTGGTACCATCGCTAGCCGTGATACCCCCTGGGACGTGATGGTCGATCTTTACTTCTGTATGTTGCAAATACTCATTCGATATCAATGCGACACGAGCTAACATGACTTTCTACAGACCGTGACCCTGAAGCCGAGGCGGAAGAGAAGGTCGAGGAGGAGAAGCTACCCGGTGCCGAGGAGGTTGGCCCTGCTGCCATCGAGACTGGTACCTTCGGTGCTGCGGCAGCTGACTGGGAGCCTGCTCCCGCCGGTTTCGCCGCTGCCCAGCCCGGTGGTTGGGATGGCCAAACCGATGAGTGGGCGAATGCTACCGGTGCTCCTCCGGCTGCCGAGTGGGGTGCTACTACGGACGCCAAAGACAGTCAATGGTAGAATCAGGACGTCAATGACACCCAAGGACAGACCCATGACGATGTTGCTCGAGAGGGAACCTATGGTACATCCCAAACCATGGGCGATGTTGAGTGGTAAATATCATTTCCACGACATACGCCAACACCACGCTATTTTGATTTCTTACGCAGCAAAAATGTGGTTAGGGAGAGAGGGCTACGGGTCAACTTGATCGTACTAATGAGGGAAAGATATCCGGACTTGGTTGGCTGGTTACGGAAAAGTTTCTTTTACGAGAATGGAAGGGGGGGATTTAGTTGACTCTATTGTCACCATAGATAGTCGACTACTTTCTCTTTTCCTTTCTTCATTTCTCTCTATTGAAGCTCGTGCACAACCAAACAACTCGGGTTCGGGGGAATGCCCTGTACAGTCAAAGGGGTGGACTTAATCGTTATCCCACCCGTTTTCTTTTTCTCTTAACTACCTACCTAGCTCAGTCGCAAGGAGGGAAAAAAAATAAACAAGCAAATCTCATGGTAATAACTAGGTGTCCCCGGGTGTAGGGGATGTGGGATGTTAAAAATGTTTGCTATCTAAAGTGATTACCTCGTCATCGCCCTAGTGTGTGCCTGTAGGAACTTGGTACTCAATCTAACATCAAATATCTAGGTGCCTGACTCTTTAATTTACAATCTGATATACCAGAGACAAGTATCACGTTTAACTTCAATTCATCAAACTAACATCAAAGTGCCTAGGTGGGTAGGCGTGTGGATTCGAGGACTTTTCTAGGACGCAAAACTCCATACATCTTCGCTGGGTATGACTATCACTACTTCTCTCGCTTCTTTTACTCCGAACTCCGGCCTCCATTCACTCACAACGAAACAAGATTTGTAAACCTCAGTTTAATAGCAATAGGGTTAAAATGGGGTATCTGAAGAATTGGCTAGTAGAAGAAGAGCGCACGATTATTCTACTCCCCTCCCCTCACTCTTCATTCCCACTTGACCCATCATCCATACACTTACTCCTCCCCTTTAGACATTCATCCTTCTTCCACGGCTGTAAACCTTGTACCCTTTCCAATATTTACTCGCTTCCTATTCCTACAACTTTCGTTCCAATGAACGCGTTCCTCCACCAGTACTCCACCGTCTCTCCTCGACGGGATGATTCATTCATTGGCGTTAGGAACCCCAAAACCGAAGGGCCAAAAAAAAGATAAATACAATCGGATCGCTTAACCCCGATGCTATTTGTAAAGATGTATGCTGACGATGATGCTCCCCTTATCCTAGTGCTCCTGGCCTGCTCCCTACCTCGCCCTGCCATCAGAGTTGATACCTAATTGGTGCCGAACCGGGACACCTAGGGAGGGAAAACAATATATTGTAAAAATGTTACACGCAAGAAGAGAAGTAGGCAAAGAAATTTTGCTCCTGGTCGAGCAGGTGACAGAATGCAAAAGCTGCATTTTTTCAAGGCGACCTAATACATGCCTTTCGATGTTATGCCGTTACAACAATCGAAAATTCGATAGGATTATCGTGATATCGTATGGGGTATATAGGTATTATATAGTAAGGTCGATTAAACCTGCGTATTGGTACATTGGTTTTGCGCGGGCCAAGTATCGTCTATAATGATGGTTGATACTAAATGAAATAGGGTATGTGAGCGATGGTGAGGTCGGTCATAGACGCATGCATGATGTACAGATTACATGTCGATCTGTATCGACAAGTGGATTAGGTGACTAAAACCGACCACGGATGGACCGCATTTTCTAGTCTATTCTAGACTCTCGGACTGCTTTCGGATCTCTTCATCGCTGAGGGCACTCATCCAGAGACAACGTTCGGTAATACCTTCGATTGGTTGGAACTGATAATGGGTGCTAGCTTCGAGTAGGCGTAGTAAAGTCTTTACAACTGACGCGGCGATCCGGCAACGCTCGAAATTGACCAGAGGGGCAGTAGTCGGCGAACTCGCAATCTCGGATGGTCGTTGCGAGTTGAAGAGTAAGTCATGGATGTAGATACCTACAAAAGGAATGCATCGAGTATCGGCAGCATTACCACCACCTTCCATCTCAGCTCGCAGATTGTAGAAGTTCTTTGTAGGTGAAACTAGAGTCTCGAGATCCTTCATAGTCTTTAAATCGGCAGGTGGAACCATCGCCCAGGTTCGGGCTAGTCTTGCTACTTCGTTCGACGTCAAGGCGATGGCGATCTGGCTCATTGTAGCGAAGTTGCGATACGTCCTACAATGGGCGGCGATATGAAGGAACTTAATGATGCAACGAGCTCTCTCTTCTATATCTTGAGTAAGCACAATTTCGGAAATTGCCCACTTGACCATGATATTAAATCGGGCGATGACAACCTCGACACCATGAGCATCAGTATTCCGGAGAAAATCGACCCATGATCGTGAGTCGTTGTTGGCATTCTTCCATCGCATTTCAATCAGCTCTCTCCAGTCAACTTCATTTAAAGCATCCTTCTCAATGAGCGTGAACTGCTGAGCGAGGATTTCGGAATCGAATGCGAGTATGAAAGGTAGATGGGCTGAATGTTTTCGACCTTCCTCGCCGGATAATCTGGGTGCATTACGCAGTGCCTCTTCAGTACCGGTCGGATCTCTAGGAGAGTCCGTCCCACGTTGATACATGGCGGTGGTAGGTGTCGTATCTGGAGTAGGCGGTAGTGGCTTCTGGGCCCACAATTGGTGATCATGAAGCTGTGGAACTTGATCAATTTCGGGCGATGTCCTAGAAGCTTGAGGCGAGGTCATTGGGGGAGAAGGAGGTTTGTCTCTAGGACCGACTTCGGAATCAAATGATGCCCCAGTATCGATTGGACTAGGCCTCTTGGGCGAACGTGGCTCCCCAAATATGTAGTCATCAGTATCAGGCATGTCACCGGAGATTTCGGATGATAGTGCCGAATCGTTGTCGCTGTCTACATCCAAAAACGTGGGATCCTCTGGCGCCGTTGCTCCTGGTTTGATCTTGTTGATACTCTCGGTTTTCTGCACGAATTCATAAGATGGGTGCAACGAGGAGCTAGCCACTGCGCTTTCTGCCTCTTCCCCTGGCGTTTCCGATCCTATCAGGACCGACTGATCCGTCCACTCTCGGGTTGCTGTCTTGCTACGCCCATCGTCTGTCAATCCTCGGTCAAGCAAAGGAATTGAATTATAAGTTTCCCTCGAATCATCTGACAAGAATGAGATAGCTTCAGAGGCGCGAGGGAAATGTGAACCATTAGATGGCGGTATATCGAAGTTTTCCTCCATTGGCGATACGACTTGAGCTTCATCATCACCAAGGTGTTGATGCCTATGCTTCCGTTTCTCTTCCTTGACTTGTTCTATTTCGGGGGTGGTGGCATGCCTATCCTTAAGATCTTCAAGATTGTTCTGGGGTATCTTCGACGGTTCCATCGAAAGTTTGGCAATCTTCCTTTCGTATTTGCCCTCTAATTTCAAAAGTGCCGACTCAACTCCACCATCGTCGTCGTCATCCGGAATTTGGGCAAGCTTCTGTGCTTCGGCTTCAAAGGATGGCCGCATAATTGGTTTCGACGAATGCGTACTAAATAGAGATACCGGATGTTTCGGTGCCTGCTCTGCCATAGCTCCTAGAGAGAAGACTTCGCCACGTTTTTGTGAATAATCGCTACTAACGACATCGACAAAACCGCTCGAACCTCTAACGGGGCTAAGTAGGTAAGAACTCCTAATAGAGTCCGTATAGGTAGTAAGTGAGCCCACCGACCGTGATCTATGAAGAGGCGCAGCGTCTAGATCATGGACGTTTGTCACACCCCTTAGGTCTCCGCCCGGTCGTCTTCGAAGTGTTCTTAACGGTGGTGGCATGACCTCCGAAACCACGGAACCTTCCGAATACGTCGTCGCATCGAAACTCCTTACCGTAGATCGTGCTGCGATACCACTTTGAAAGGATGTGAATCGCCGATGAGCTATGGAGCCTCTTGACCGATAGCTACGGCTCGATTGTTGGCGTTGATGCCGTCTTATGTAGCTTAATGGAGGTTTCCGTGGCGATTGCTTGATACTAAGTGACGGACGGGCATTGGCATTATGATCTGTATCCTCTGATGTACGTCCTGGGCCTAATGTGTCTAAACCCGGAACAAATGGCGGCAATGGGTCGGCCGATGCTGAGGGTCTGAAAACGTGCTGACCTAAAAGATACGAGGATCTTCTGGGAGTGCCTCCACGCACGGCCTGCCCTGGTGGTGTAGTTGGCGGCGTTAAGTCAGCACCACCAGCACGCATCATGCTCTCCGCAAAAGCTTCCACGGACGGGTTCCAAGCCGTCAAAGCGCCAGTCAGCGGATATCCTCCGGGTAAGGTCCCGTCGACAATAACGATGGATTTGCTTCCCGCGGTAATGCCGGCATCGCTAGCAGGCCTCAATTCAAACGAAGAGTCCAGATGAGCGGGCGAATATTCGATAGCATCTTCAGCGTCTTCGGCATCTTCGGGTTGACTACCATACGACATAGCCCCACCGATAGCGTCCTCTCGCACGGCCATCTTGAAATCCTCAGCGCTCGTAGCACCTAAAACGTCAATACGTATGGGAGCACGGGCACCATTTGGGCGAGGTGGACGCGCTTGTGGCACAACCGCTGTTCCTGGAAGTCTATTCGTAGTAGCGCCTCGAGGTCCAATCGGTGCGATGTCGATAAAATTACTCTGATTTGACGATATTCCTGGATCCCTGGTACTAAGAGCTCTCCGGACACCACCAATCAACTTTCTCATCCCTTGGCCCGACATCGCCGATCCAGAACTTTTCTCCTTTGGCTGTTCGATAGGGTGCGGTTGAAAAACGGTGGTTTGACGTGTTGTTCCCCACGAATTCGGGGATTCCACTTCGACAAAAGCTTGGCCAGGAGGCAACAAATTCCCCCGGACGAGGCTACCAGCATACGGCAAGGTTAAGAGGAACTCTGCGTTCTTGTAGAGGACCTTTTCTGTTACTGAACCATGCTCTCGGAGAGAATCTGTGAGACTGTTGTTTCGTTTATGAGAGGTATGAGGCCTGACACGCTTCCCAGTTAAAGCGCGTGGGGTAGCAGCAACAGGATCCACGTTGGTATATATAGAGCTAGGATCAGCAGGATGAGCGGCGAAGGCAGAACTAACATTCGAATTACCAATCCGGAACCCCTTCGTCGGAAATGAGCATGACACTACATCGAGACTCGCAATGCTTGTCGGCGAGGTTTGCCTCCTCTCTAATTCAGTAGGTGGCCGCTCTTCCTCGGGGGTATCAGGCCGTACTCCACCAAGCAAGATCGAATCGATATGTCCCGCTTTTGACATATCCGTGTAGAATTCATCTTTGGGCAGCGCGTCGTTTTCCGGGAGTTGGATGCCGTATAGATGTGGCGCCCCTTCGGAATCAGTTTCCCAGAAACTAGGATCTAAGCTCGGATCTCGATGGCCGGCAATTCCGCCTGGAGCAATTGGAATATCAGGTCCCAAAGACGAATCGAACTCCGGACCATCCCAAAACTGTGCGCAGACTCGTCTCCAACACTTCTTCAGCTCCGCCAGGATCTTCAGCTGCACCTTTCGACCGCGCTCGTCTTGGGAGAGCTCCTCGACAAAGTCGTTTACAAGGTTGCAGAACATCACGCGCAGATGATAATCTACAACAAAGTCATCGACGAAATAATTCAGGATCCAATGTCTCATCGCAACGAATGTCCTAACTCTCACAACCATTCCCGTCTCGTCATCTCGCGATACGGCCCATCGAAGTCTAGAAATCAGCATTCGAAGTAAATCCTGCGTTTCGAGAAAACCGCGGAAGGTGAGGAAGAAATCGGAGATCAGTTCGTAATCCAAAAAGCTAGGAGATGTGATTTCAGCGACTAGCCGTGGCGGCGTGGCAGCGGTCACGGCATTCGTAGCGGGCGAATACCGCACAATGGAACGATCATCACAAACGGGTTTGAAAGTGAGTGAGTCGAACATGGAGGGTTCGATGACTAAGTGTGTTGAAAGGTATGTCGATCGCACAGGAGGGCCGGGAAATCGCGGTGTGGGAATAGTAACGGGACTTAGCAAACCAGGCGACTGCAGCAAGATGTGTGGTGTAGAGCACGATCGCTGTCTTGCGGTGTCTATCGATTCTGGATGGAGCGAGTTTATATCACGTATTGGTGGTCGAAAGAAAGAGGCGGTGCTCGAGCGGATATCTTCGGTGGGGGCATATGATGAGCCTCGAATAAGTGGCGTCCCCCTGAGAGTAAATCTCGGTGTGCCCAGCTTCCACGAAGGGATAGAAACTTGCAGGAGCGGGCCCTGATCCCGGCCTACATCTTCAGCTGTCTTCGCTCTTGGTTCGTCCTGCGGCTTTGATATTACGACCTTGAAAACTCCAGCTTCTCCCTCTTGTGCGATACTTGCATCTTGGGCAGTCGAATCGGATAGTGCGCGGCGACTCCGATTTTTAGTAGCCTTCAAGTCGAAATAAGCCTTTTTCCTCACAACCCCTGGAGACGGTGACTCAGTCGCAGGAGTAGGAGTCCATTGACCGCTGTGTAGTTCGCTGTTCTCGTCTTGCGCCGTCTTATTCTGAGCCAAAGAGTCTAAACCCGCGGTGCTCGGCGGCGTAGCTGGGAATACGAAGTTAGGTTGGGGAAATCGTTGGTTCGCCGGCCGTATCGTAGGTCTATTTCAGGCCTCCAAGTTAGTACAATTCCATCGGTGTTGTATTCGAATTTGACGCACCTCAAGAATATCTGCCCATTATTGCCCACGTTGGCTACAGTAAAATGTCTTCCTTCTCTTCCGGCCGACCCTCCGTCTGGTGCAATATTCCATTTTTCGCCATCAGCTTCCCCCTTGGCCTTTATCCCATCATGACCACCAGATCTCCTCTCCCCTGCCGGCACTAATGGCTTCGAACTAGTCAAACCAGGTATTCGTATCTTCGATCCCCCAAGTTTGCCTAGCTGCGGTGATTTTCGTAACCTCGAATCTCGAGCGGCGGTCTTGGGGGGTTTCTGGGTTTTGAAAGAGTCGGTTCGTGAGGATTGGAGGAGATTCGGATTCGACCGTGAGGATAGCGGTGGGTGGGATCCTCGAGGGTCTACCTCCATGTCTCTCTACTGCGCGGCAGATCGAAACCTGCTTGAACCAATAACGGCAGACCGATGCATTGAAGGCCAGAAACGTGAAATGAATGAACTATTAATCCACGAAAACGAAAGATTCGCGAAGGTTCTTCTCGGAGAGAGGGAAGATCGTGTAATTTGTTCGATTCGATGGTATTGTTGAAAGGCCGAGGGTAAAAAAAAATGATAGGCACACGCGTTCCAATTAACATCCAAATCTTTTCGCTCCCATTTACTACAAGAAAAACTTCGTATTCGAGGCGAGTTGGTCGGAGATTTTTCAAAGGCGTAATTATAAATGTCTTGTCGAATTACGCTCGTCAGACAATGGTTGGTCCAAACCCCGAAATGTTCCCTTCTCTTATTATTATTTTTTCTTCCTTCTTTTTTTCCTTTTCCCTTCTCTTTGCGACGTCCCAGGAACCGTTCCCCTTTTCGAACCGTTAAATGCGACGAAAGTCAATTTGAGGGGTGTAGTCCGGTTGGACAACGGCGATGGCAGCAGTTGAGTGGTGAGAAGGAGAGTTTACCGGGGCCTGGATGGCAGAAGTATCAATTTGGGTATTTGGGAACGTTCCTGCTTGGCTGATTTGGTTGACTTGGTGCTTTAGGTAGGGACATTGGGAACATAACTGGGTGGCTGCAACACACCCCACCCCCCCATGCACAACTACCTAGTAGGTACCTAGGTAGGGCCCCGTCGCTCTGGACATTTATGACTGCGACTAATGCCTGCATGCCTGTAAATGCTTGTAAATGCCTGCAAAGGTGAAGGCGAGTGCACTGACCCCGGCTGCCGGCCTAGGCCTTAAGCAGGGAAGAAGTTACAGGGGTTAATACCCACGAGGTAGTCCCATTCGTTCAATTGTTACGCACGGGTCAACTGTAATTTTGATGTGGCTGGTCTGTCAGACCCTGGTCCCTTCTACGTTCCCCCTACAATAATAAAACCTACAGGCACATCACTGAATACCTAGGTGTAAATGGGTACATGTGTACGCACGGATATAGTTTTATTAGGTACTCGAGTCTGCTGCAGACAACCTTAACTCATACGGATGCGCCAAACAATCTCGAGTCGAGGTCATTTTACTGCCTACCTAGGTACATGTAGGTAGCTACTATATGCGCGATAGTTAAAGATTTCCTGCCATCTTAGCAAACCCGCATCTCTAACCGATTATTTTTAGCGACAATATAGAGAAGGCTCTCGGTACTGAGTTTACCTGCATCCATCAAGAGCTGTAAGTCATATAGGATTACGGATGTCACTATTTTTTCTATCATTGTATTGGCCAATCCATCCGATCTTTCGCATTTCTTTTTCAATCCCATAATGCGCTAAGTAAACCCGGCTCTTCCAAAAGTAATGTTAGTTTTGGCCCTCCAATATTTTTTCTTCCACTATGACGTTGGAGGGGCCATAAGAGAAAAAGAGAAAAGGAGAAGAAGAAAAATAAAATAGAAACGCCAAAAACGAGCTATGATAAATTAGACCCTCCTATTATATTTAAAATATAGTTGATGCTAGTCTCGAAGATAACTAACCCAATTGTGGTGGTTTGACATCATTTCCCGTCGCTTCGGTACACAGACTTCTTGGTCGTTTCATGCAAGTTAACAATACAGGCTTCTTCAATGTATGTGCGACAGAATGCCTTCAAATCTTCTTAGGTGAGATGATCGGATGGGGTGATGAATTTCACCTAGTAAGGATCGCTTTACGTGTGTAGTTCTCAAAGGGCCGAGATCTGGGCCACTGGATAGAATACAAACGTATAACAACCTATTTGTCTCATTTGAAGTTGTCAACACGATAAAAATATATATGTAGTGGCCGTGAGGGAGGAATGAAAAAAGCTGTATGAGTGAATTATGCGCTATTCGCTATTCTAAGCTAGTCTGTCAAGCATGATGCCACAATTAATTATTACATAGTGGTTACGACAGGAACAGGTTAAGCTTGCGGTGCCTTACCTACAGTACTATCAAAGATCACCAGGGGGAGGAAACTTGGCCCGGACGGAATACCTACCAGTCATTTATTCTAGTGATCTTTACGGGTAAAGCTAATCTATTCCATGTATGTCAGAGGCGAACTCACAAACAATAGACACCTCTGTCTACTATGTAGGTAGTACGCCACCACTCCGCGCCATCTTTAGACCTGACTGTGTGATGAATGATGACTGCATAGGTGCCATACCGTATGGAAACGCTGTGAGGATTCAGCTCGTAGGCCACCCCCATTTACTTGCCCAATGTGGCCTACACACCATCATCGCAGTTAGTCTCACATCTCGTGAGCACTAGAAATCCAAATCCAAACTGAACCGACCCTTTTTAGAGAAATAACATGGCTCAAAACGTGTGAGAGTAAAATCGAAGGGGTGGTGGTGGAGAGGTATGAGGGGAAAAGGAATAGATAGGTAGTATTGAATCGCTTCAGCTGTGTACCATCGGCCACGATACCAAGGAGTCTAACAATCTGGTCACTGACACCTTTTTCTGCAGGGCTGATCCTCATCAATCACTCCTCGCAACACCCTCGAAGCTACAGTATATATACGATACCAATCAGATCGATTTATCCAGTGTCAGATATGCAACTCCTTCCTTGCTATGGGTTACTTTTGTTGGAATAGAGTCGCTATCGCGAAATTTCTCATAACAGTTAACTCGGCTCAACTTAAGATCAACTTACCTAATGAACTCATCGCGCATCGTCTCGTCCCATATAGGTCTTGTTCTCCAACTTTGTCTGACCCAATGAAAAGATACCTTCCAACATTTACTGACAACTAACTAGCACATAATCGGGACCTAAACAGCCACATACCACATCATACATGACGCCAAATTAGGTAGAATATCTACGTAGGTGTAGTATTGTGAGAATCGCATACGTTGGTTCATCATCCTGCGAGTCTAAAATATCATCCTAACCCGTCCAGGAACCTAACTCGGTTCAAGGACGGCAAAGCAGCCGTAGGTAAATAACCTACCTAGGCCAAGGTACCCGTGGGGAAAACCCTACCACGTGTTGAACGACTCCCGACCTAACTGATCCAGTAGTGGATAGTGAAGATCACTCGTTGATCAATGATAGAAAGCTGTCAAAATTCAAACGAGGCTCACCGCAAACGCTCGGGCCTCGAAAACAAGCGCTTAGTTCGCTTAATGGCCATGATAAATATTACATAGTATGTAGATGGAGATGACTTTAAGCTATGTGCTATCACCAAACCGTCTTGAGGTACATGAATCCAGTCCAGAAATGGAGAGGGTGACGGACTGACCTTGGTGACCGCCTACAAAAGTCAAGACCCCTCCCTCCTTGCCGCAGGGTCACGCCTCATATTCCATTCCACTGCACCTATTACACCTAGTCTGATGCGCTAATATGTAATAGGGACTATCGTCAACTCCCCTCGGTGTTTCTTAATATCTAATTGAGAAGACATGGGTAAGAAGAAGAATTTCTATCCGAATTCGAGATGCGAGGATTCAAAGAATTTATGAGAGAGAGTCGATTCGCACCAACGAAGTAATTGCCATATCTGTCAATTAATGTCGACTCGTGAAGCCCTTAATCTTGCTCGTTGCGACAGTGACGAATTGGACCGTGAGGATTGTCCCACTCGGGATGCGACGAGAGACATGCTCTTAGGTACGCTACCAAGGCCAACTATTGGGCCCCTGCTAAGTTACAGACCAACAACCCCCACGAGCACGATTACATAGCAGAGTCGTCACGTTTAAATTGGCATACATACGTTGGCTATTACTTCAGGACCAACACCAAAGACCTGGTGGTGCTAAAGACATGATATCTCATGTCGCATTTCTCCCACCCTCAAATCATAATCGCATAGTTGCTGTAGACACCTAGCAAAAATGTACCTACGTCTACGAAGCGAACAAAATATAGATGTCGCCCTAGTAGATTTACACTAACGATATGCCCTAAAGCCGCGGGACCTACCCGAGACATGGACGGTGAATTTAGCTCGTGAGGCGAGCAAGAACGAGGCGAACTTGGCGGGTCTTTTTGCTTCAGTGCCAATATGTCAAAAAGAATACTATACCAGAATTATCGGCAATACCTTGGAATACGATTCTAGACTCGTAAGTAGATGAGCATCATCATGTTTGTAAAGTGGGATTGCCTAGATGGACGCTACCTAAGTAGGACAAACCACAACCGATGACAGGTACCTAGGTAGGTCAGTATTCTAGACATCTAGCTATGCCGTGTGTATCCCTTCCATTCGAACAGATAGCCGGAAATCTCTGGGAGCACAACAGCAAACCGTATTTGTAGTACTGCCATGCATTAAGTGTCTAGATCGAGTAGAAATGGCGTTTTGCATAAAGTCTACCTAGGTATCGACACTACTCGCACGATGATGGCATGGAAAAGTCATTCGACGGTTGAAATATTCGGTTCCAAAGTTCAAACAAGCTTCATGACTCCCAAAGCCACGGGACGTGTGGGGGAATACAAGATCTTCCCAATTGTCAAACAGCATTGGATTGGCCCACGGGCATTGAGTGATTCGTCGATGAAACCGGAGACACCCTACGGTACGTACGGAAAGACAATTCTCAGAATACTTGGGACAAGACTTCAAGATGCCCTACCACAGGTAGCATATACTAACTACCTACAACTAGCTGTCTCAACTCACTTGACATTTTCAAAGAGCGTATCGCGTTAATTGGCATCAACTGGGCTAACCGGGAGCCATGTTGCTAAGCCAAGCCTTTCAACCCATGTACACAAAACCGTTACTTCGGAATCCTTCCTTGCTACCCGTGATGGTAAGTGGAGGTGAGCCGAACTTCACAATTACATTAGTTCGCCAACATAGTTAACCCAATTGCCGAGTACTAGCAGATCACCCAGGCTAGATGCCAAAATAACAAGTGCATCCCAATTCATAACTATGATTATAATAACGCACCAGCCATATGGATAGCTATATCAGTTTCGCGAGTTTTAAATTAGGTACTTTAGCGAAGGAACCATTCAAAATTCCTCTCGGTTTGGTATATTACCTAGAGATGAGATACCTTATTCGGTTTGGGACAACCCGCACAATCTAGATCTTCCCGCTACTTTCTAGGCCAAACAATAAGTAAATGCAGTACCGGGACAATGGTCAAGTCTCCGAAATCCTCCGGAGTTGCAAGATTCTTGGGATTCGAGAACCCATGCAATTACCCATTAACCTTCACACACACATCCTATAGACCTTGCTCACTTCAACCCGCGGGTTGCTCCGAGGCGAGAAGGGGGAGGGATGGGAGGAATTCATGAATCAAACACCACTTGTTCAGGAAACTGATTGGGAAAGGACCCTTGCAATTTGTGTCGGGTAACTCCACACCTACCCGGCCGTGTGGTATGGGTATGCGTGTAATCGCACAGCCAATAACCAAGCCCTTGCTATACGACATCAATTCGTCTGCAGATAGCTTCAAGATTGAGGGACCTTGTGGACACCGATATCAATTCTCTTTAGCGACTTGTTTCAAACACAACATGGGATAAGATGAACGGTTTCTAGCCCGTATAGCTTTGTGCGACCTCTTGTCTTGTGGTTTGGGCATCGATCAACCTATTAACTCGATACCTACCTAGGTAACCTCAAATCAAGTTGACAACACCCTTAGATTCTGACGACGTACGGACTTTGCCGTAATACCTAGAGTAGCACCAAAACCCAAGATTCGCAACCTATTTTCCCTCCAAATATACCTAGGTAGGAAGGGAGACAATTTTTCTTGCTTATGAACTCCGTCGGGATAATTGGCAGCAGGGAGCACGAACAACTCCATGTTCCTTACCAGCATATATTTTCCTTCGATAACAATACGACCTATCTCGCGCAACGCCATCGTTCCTTTTCCATTTTGTTTGATGTCTTGAGCTCAATTATATAAAATAGATCCTCAAGACATGCGTAGAGTGAATAAGAAAGCTGACCCTCCTAAACTTAGGCCTCTAGTGGTGATAACCAAAACTTCACTTTAGGCGGCTTGCAGCGCAGGACAACTACAGTCATGATGAAATCCCTTCCAGTTGAGTTTCAATTGGTGTTGCTACATGGGATCGTTTTAATAATCTGCACTTAAGCGGTCATATCTAAACTACGTAGGTATTTAAGAGTCAAAGTCTTTCTCCTTATCTCGTTGGTTAGACGCTCGCAGACCGATGTCTAATGCTTCTCTTTTCCCCACTGCTGAATGGAGGGACACCCTAATCGACGACTCTTATCCGTCATTCATTGGTGAATTGTCTCTGTGGCTGAATTGAAGACCCCTAATAAAGAGTACTGATAAATATCACCTACGCGCCAGCGTACGGCTTTCCTCATAGCTACCATCTACAACTTTCTCTGCACCGTCTTTAGCACCACCTATACACTGCAGACGATCCACCATCTACATCGCCAATGGATGTCTTACTATAGTGCATACTTTTAACCCGATTTCCTTAGTAGGTCCTATAACCTAACGACCTTTCGTATTTATATGGCTATTAGGACACCGCCCTACATTCGGGCGGGAATCCGTTGAACGATACCTATAATTTCGATAGAACCGCCCATTCGGAATCTAACCTTCCATAAAATTGCTGCTAGAGCTTAGATTAAAGTACATTAAGAAGCAGCACTCGAGCTGGCCGTCTGGGTTAATCCTGGGCAAAATAATAATGTGCCAGTAACCACCACATCAAAGGGAGGAGATGAATATGTTGGTCTAACAATCCATCTCTAACCTGAACGCCACGCAATGGGTACCACGCGTTTCATGTTTGCCTACCTAAGGTACCCATACTTACGTCGAGCTTCGTATCCATTTTCGCATCTTCACCGAGTTCACATCCCATGGGTTATCTACTCTCTACTCGGTACTTTAGCTTTGTTTTGCTTTTCCCTCCATCGCGCTCCTTATCATTCAGTGGTTCCTCACCTTGATTTCAACTTAGCTTCGGAAACCAACTGTGGTTGCCTAGGTATGCTAGTGGGCTCGTTAGGGCGCACCAGAGAATCCAAATCCAACTCGATGCCCATTTCATGGATTTCGTATTGGCAATGTGCTTAGAGTAAGCTGCCCTACACTCGCGTGTACGTCGGAACGACGCCATCGGCTATACAAGTAGCCTTAGCTAGTCGAACACAGATGAATTACTTGATTTCCCTTATTATGAATCTGGACAATACCCACGGCGTCCAAGGATTCATAGGTACTATATTCTCAACCGCCTGGAAAATAGGCTCACTTAAGTCTAAACGCTTGAAACTTAACGCTAGAACCACCATGACTCCACGGAGGCCTTCGTGTACATACACTAAAAGCCCCTTATAATCGGTGTCCCTTGGAGCAACAGGACGGGCTTACGACGACCGCCATCTTGGTACTTAAATATGTCGAGGGTTAGTGGCAAGCAAAATATACCTAGGTATACTTAATCGACTCGCCTAGGAAGGGGGGACAGCAGATAGCGGGCGCTCGAGGCTGTCTAGGTCATATCATGTGGTTTTGATGTCCTTATGAGTGTCGCTTCTTTACCTACCTACTTTGCGTTACGTCGATTTTCTACTGCACTGGGCTCCTTACGAGCTAAGCTTATGGTGTATGCTATTGCAATCAAATGTTTTCATGTTTTTATGTTTATTTCTAACAAAAATAGGCCGTCAAAAACCAATAGCTTTTACTCTTGGCAAAACCAGCTTGATCCACGAAATAGCAGTAGCCTTGGTTATATTCAATTTAGTCATACACAATATAACTACCTAGGTAGGTAGGCGGGGCCTTAGGATATCATCATTTTCATACGCCTTTTATCGGTCCTCGCATGGTCAAGCTTGAAGCTAGCCCTCCGGACCGTTAACTACAACATCATATATACACCTGCTCTAAATGTGACGAAGGCCAACCGAACTTCGCAGCCACTTAAGAGCATCCTGATACAGATGTACCATATGCCCACATACATTACTATTTCAACCCATCCTCATCTTTACCCGGCCACATAATCCTTCCAGTAATCAACGCGCTGGCATGTAGACTCAAATCCATCAACCAAGCCCCAACCACCAATATCGTCATAGCTGTCGCAACCCACGAAATCGCATCCGACTGCAACTCCTCGCCAATCATAATCGTCGCAATCGTGAGCCCAACATTCGGAAACACCATACCCCACCACAACAACGTGAACCTCATACGCGGCCGCGGTACCCTTCCCCGCTTCCATGAAGGCAGGATAACGGGCGCATTTGCCACGAACGCCAAAGCAAACAGCCAGAATGCAAATAACCACAAGAAAATACTAACCCACACTGCAAGAATTTGCAGCACATCCGCCGCGATCGGGAACCGCGCAAAAAAACCATAACCACGCGGGATATACCTCGCGCATCCGATGAGCGAAATGACGGTATATCCTGCCGAACCTACAGGCATGAACAACCCGGGGCGATGGTCAGGGTATCCCAAGCCGTTGCGGAGGATAGTGCCGAGGAACCAAGGTAGTAACATCAAACTCACGATCCAGCCTAGGCCTTGATACGCGATTCCTGCGACAAGAATAGGAAGTCGTTGGGCAGGTGGTTGGGATCCCGCAATGACGCTAGCAATGGTGCCAGTCAGCATGGCGTTGAAGATCATGAGGAAGACGCCAGGGGCGATGCGGAGAGGGTCTATCGGCGATTTCGCGGCTACGACAATCCAATTTATCGTGGTGTACAGTAGGGTGACGGCCGCGTATATCCAAAAGAGGACGCGAATGGCGACTATGATCCAGTCCCCGGCATGCGGAACGCCAAAGCGTTGCATACATATTATGAAGGTGGCGTTGGAAAGCCAGAATGAGCCGAAGAAAAAGAGTTCCGGTGTCTTCGTAAACGAGCGCTTGAACGTGTACGGATGTAGCGTGAAGCGAAGAAGCATCATAACACAGAAGAGTGAGAAAATCACTAGATTAAGAACGAAGACAACGACTCCGGCTGTCTGTAAGCCGTGAAATTGGTGCGGCGTTAATGAGAGTAGGATAGCTATGCCACCAGTTGATTGTGTACAGGTGAAATTCGCCCAGGTGAAATGAGCGATACGGTCGCGAAGGCCAATTTTCTTCACTTCGTCCTGGCCATTTGCAGACTGCAGGACCTCCTCGTCGCGGTCCATCCTTGTGAGTGTCCCTCCAGACCTCCGTTTCTGAAACTGTTCGCCTGCGACTCACTATACAAGGCTCGCATTAGTTAGATGCCGTAGGTCGGGGTGATGATTTTACCCGTGTTAACTGAGTATTCAACAAGAGAAAAAGTTGATATTCAAAAGTAATGAGGTATCTACCTAGGTATTTGTTTGGCGGTGGCTGAGGACCTCCTGAGGATTTCTGGGACTAATCTTGAACTGGCTTACCCGCTATTAGCCGCCATTATCCGCGTCTTATTTTGGAAAACAGAATGACTTTTCTATTGTGAATGTTACATTGTAATGGTTTGGTAGGAGCTGTAGGATTTGGATCTGTATCGCAGTGAGAGAACCAAACAATATAATTATTTCTTATAATAAGTAATTAATTGCGATGTTTTCCTGTTGTCTTTAATCATCAATGCTATCTTTATTCTAATCGGTTGGATATCACTAACATCATTACCGAAATCTCGCCAATAATTGACTGTTGAAAGCCCGTCTCCTACATTATCTATGTATTTAGCTGGGGGGAGCTCAAATGGATAGACCCGCGACTTAACTTATTAAATGAAAATAGCTAGTAAGTTCGTAGGGTTGGTGGTGTATACAGCTTGCGAGGTAATTAGAAGATTATTCTCAATTGTGCGTTGTTGAGTACTTACCGCAAATTAGCCCCAACGAACATCTCAAACGATACAGCGCTTCATCAGACCATCCCCAGCTGGAACAGATAATGCATTTTTTATTGAAATCATACGCTTATATAAACATAAATAACAACAAATTCAAATCGGGTAGGTAGATAGTACACATCCACACCCACATCCCATACCTATGTGGATTGATAGATACCCCCTAAAATTACCATCTTCCATCGCGCGGTGCACATCTTCCTTTCATGGGTTACCAGGCTACATGTGTCAACCCCTTAAGAACCCCCGCTGGGCATTTCTGGCCTGCTCGGTACTAAACGCCTCGAGCTTGACAGCCACAAGCACACATTCGATAGCGCTCTTACCATTCCTTGATCCCTGGATTCGGAGCCTCCATTGCCCCGTACGAACTATCCATTCGTCTGATATATGGTTCGATAGATCTATACGCCTCCTCTTCCTGGATGGTCCGAGATATCCTCCTATACTAGATAGCGGCGAGTCTTGATCCCCACCGTGGCCCATCGATGATGAGGCTGACATGGCCACCGCGACTTCGTCAACTTCGGTAAAATTGTTGTATGTCTTTCCGTCTAGGAGAATATGTGTTTCAGGTTCAATTACTACCCGGACTAGGTCTTCACTTAATGGAGTATTCCCCGGAGTTGCCGGTTGGCTGCTAGCCCCGCCCGACGCCATCAGGAGTCCTAAAGGCTGAGTCGTTGGCGGTAGGTTAAGTTTAGTAGCGATTACTTCAAATAGCCTCGCTACGCGGATCTTGACCTGGCCGAAGAACTCTGCCCGCATAATATTGAGATGCAACTTTGTGTTTTCACCGCCGATCTCGAGGATAAGTTCGTGTTGCTTGTCATCTTCGTATGGACGCATATAATTCACCCATCCCGAGACGGGCTCCACGCTACCGCCAGGCGTCATAACGTCAGTAGCAATAGAGATGCCTGATTTCAAAATGTCCTCGAGCCTAAGAGTAATCTCCCATCGCCTTCGAGCTAAGTTATAGTTAATATGATGCGGGATCAACTTCTGCTCTAAACCCTTGAAGTTGAAGTATCGGCAATCGCGGAGTAAGGAAGCTCGGTGCTCCTCATCACGAATACGTACTGGATACCCGCGTAGAAGGTGTAATATTTCGTAGAAAGTATCGGCGGATCGATTTGGAACGGAGGGTGGCATAATAGAAGGCGGCCGGATTAGATTTTCCCGATCGAGCCCAGGAAATATTTCGTCGCGCGATGAAAAGAAAACACCAAATCCCAAGGAAAAGAAGTTGGGCGAGTTTCCAGGCCCAGTAAAAATATCACGAGGGATTTGGAATTCGCGATGACCGATAGAGATGAAAATGGATTCCTCGTAAAGCTGTGACATTAACTTGGGTAATGTATAAAATTGAGCATCGGCGAAGAGTCGCACAAAGTGCGTCCCATCGCGTGGGGAGACATGGTAGCCTTGCAAATGAAGAGATATGTCTCTAAATGTGATCGGATCCCTATCTATGTAGAGGGTCCGTATACCTGTCGTTAGATCTTCCTTAGATTCCTCAGCTTGCTTAATCTGGCATTGGAAGTATTGTGAGAAATATGATGGGGCTAGTTGGCAATGTTAGCAAAGGGCACTTGGGAATTATATGCTACAATATGGGAAGACACGTTTGAATATTTTCTTTACTAGATGGATGAGATGTTGAAACATGAGGCTGACGTCATATGCCTAAGCAGGAGTCAAGAGTGAGAGGTTGTTTCGTGCTCACCGTCAGAAGATAGGGAGGCCCCGGATAGTTTGAAGAGCTCAGTTCCTATTTGGATAGGAAAAACGCGCTCGTGTGGTAGAATTCTTGGTATCTTAGAGATCAATTCAGGATCGGATGGTGGAAGATGAAAGGCGTTATGACCCCTCTTGGTCTCACTCGAGTTTTTAGATGAGTTCATTGTTGTTGTTGTTGTTGTGTTTGATGCTGATGCTGATGCTGATTATGACGACGGTAGTTTGATCTAAGGTGAATACGAGACATGGCCGCTGTTGCTAATACCGTCGTTGGTATAATTTACTACCGTTGCTGGCTAGATTTATCCCAATGGGAACAACCAAGCGCGGACGATCAGCGGCGTCATAGTTGGAATGCCATCTGGTTAATTGCTCCGATATTAGGATCGAATATTAGACAATTGAAGAAGTCGCGTGGCGTTTCTATGCTGAGTAAAGATAAACGTAAGCGGCTGAGATAAAATATGAGGGAGATGTTTAAACAATGATGAAGTTGTTGTTCAGCTATGGGGGGAGCTCCGGGGATTTGCAATCATTTTGAAATCAATGCTTCTTACCCTTGTTCCCCTGCCGGACCTGCCTGGCCTGCCTTGCTTGCCGCCTACCTAGGCTGCTAGGTACCCAAGGTTACATAAGGTGTGTTACCCGTGCTCCGTGCTCACGCATATGAGGCGGTGCTAAAAAGAACCTTGGAAGGCAGGAGAAAGCAAGGGTGCCCCGGGTTCTTTTTCTGCTCTTTTTTGTTTTGCTGGGCAGACACCGGCAGTGTGTGATAAAACTCTAAACATCTTCCGGGGTTTCTACCTAAGAAGTGGCTAAAATGTGGCTGGAATTGTTTCTTAAACTCTACTTTAATAGGTCACGGAGGTAAGCGTAGAAAAGATCAGCGCTAAACTTGACTGGGAAACTTGCATGGGTGCATAGGTATATCTTTTTATTTATATACATATTTCATCTTTATTTTTATTCCTTTTTTTCCCCCTTAACTATACATCGGCTATTTTTCCTATTTCTCTTCTTTTACCGTAAGGTGTAATGCGTTATTCAGAATTATGAAGTAATATGCTGTGATATTGACGTCTAATCCAGGTTGAAGGGAATACTCAAGTTTGATATATCTAATTCTTTTATACTACTTTACAGGGGACACGAGGTACGTTACCTGCAGTAATCTTGGCCGCGAAAGCGGGACTTATAAAGCTGATTTGTTGGGGGGTTAGTAGGGTGAGATATATCTACCGTGTGGTTCTACTGTGCGGTAACTGATCATGGTTAGGAGAACAAACACCGAAGTTATTTTTACAACTTGACATATTTACGTCAGATATTAGATATATATCTTACTACCACCACGTGGGTGAGACTTGGGTTCCAATGCCTTCTTAAATGAGTAGTGAAAATACCACTTTTCTTCGTAACTAGGTCAAAGTCTACGCGGCCTAAATACGTTGGTCGGCCTGATAGATGCCTGAAGGGGCAACTACTTCGTAGTTGCTCTAAGGAGATAAGGTAGAACATTCTGGGTAGACAATGAAACAGTAAACCCCCCCCCCCGTCATGATCAGAAGCCTTGGTAACCGGGCGGCATATCTTTTACGTTGCCTCGCGATGGAAGGTAATTGTTTATCGGAGCATTCTTTGATTGGTTAATGATCGGCGGTATAACTGAGGTGAGGCTTCTATGTTGATCTATAGGTAGACAATCATCCCAAGGTGATATTTTGCGAGACGCTGACTGAAAGGATGTTGAGCCGCATATTGCAGAATACAAGAATTCAAAGGGCCACCGGTGTTAGCTAAGATGATCGCGTAGAGAAATTGGTTACTCTGCCTCTGGCGAACTATCATACTCGAATCTAGCGTAAATTTCACTTGCATCATGGAAACACGAGTTTACAAAACTCAATTCTCTCAAACGCGACCACCACGCAGCTACCTATATGAGGCGGGTATAATCCACGCAAGTACGTACAAAAAGACACATGTGTCGCATGCCCAATTCAATCAATCAATCATCAAGGCCGCCAACCGATGCTGCGACTACCTAGGTACTCGCCTATATAAAGAAAATGCACCAAAGAAGCGTGGGTTATGTTGTGTGTTGTAGGGGTCCATTGCGAACTCGGAACGAAAAGGCGTTCGCACATAAAGGGGGGAGTGTTGGGCAACCGTAGTGTCCAAAACCAAGCTGAAAGACATTATCTGGCCCTGCCAGCAAGAATAAGAAGGGAAGGATTGAGGAACGGCCCCCAATTCCCGTGGGTCCGTATAGGATAGTTCATGTCACGTTCAGAGCTCCTATTTCCGAGGCGTTGCTATTGGACACATTAGTATTCGGTAGGTATATCATGAATCACCATTTAGGTTTGAATAATTCCAAAGGAAATGGAGTATCAATAGATTTAGGTAGACAGGAAGGGTACACACCATTCACCATCTGTCTTTGCTTGTTCAACCAGCTCTTGGGAACATCATTCCGCCGTTGAAGCACGACATGGTTGCTCTGTAATCGACTCGTGAGGTCATACCAAGCGGTAGTTATCATGGCGTTCTCGCGTTGTAGGTTTTTAATAATCTGGTCGGTTTGTGCCTGTCGGGGGTTTGTTAGGAATCCAGAGAGCTGTCCAGCAGTGGAAAAGAAAGCATTTCATCGTTCACATGGTAATTATATACACGATCATAGTATGAAGAAATGAAACAGGAGATAGAAATGAGAAATAATCTTATATTTAGAAACAACACTTTAGGCCTGTGAAGACATATCCCTTCTAACCTGTCCGTAGACGTAGAACCGAAACCATAGAACAAAAGAAAACCTTCACGTACCTTTTGAGCTCCAGCTTCTGATCCGGCACGGACAGCCTTTAGTGTCCGTTCTAGCTCACGGTTTTTGAGCTCCGACTGCTCGTATTGCTATGAATGAGACACATATTATTAGTATATATGCGCTCGAAGTGGTCATATAATATTAAGAATGCAGATGTCGCCATCGGCATTTAGCCCCACTGGCCAGGCCACTTGGCGCTTGTTCGCCTACTCTCACGAGAGTGTTGCGATGAAGTTTCTATGATAGAGCCCTGGCCTGAGGTATCTGATCTGATGTTCTGCCCAACAAAGGAGAAATCTCCGTAGCGAGTCACCGGCGCTGAAACTGGACGACCGGATAGGCCAAATGAACTACGTTTTTCCTCTTGGCTGAGTTGAAAACTGCTCTCGGGCCGTTCTTTTTTCTTCCCAAACCAGGGACTTACGACGTCCCAGAGGGATTGACGCTTGACATCAACCCTGATGACGCCGGTGTCGTCGCTAGGAATAGACGCGAGAGAGAAAGTAGGACTCACCTGCTGTAACTGCTTGTACCGCGTTCTGAGTTTCTCCATTTTCTCGGATTGTCTTGCGCTATCTGTGTTTACCGTGAGTCCGTCTGCGGCTCTCTGCATCTCACGGTTAGCCGCTTCAGCCTCCCGTCGAAGTTGATCCTTTTCGATGAATGCCGTTAGGAGCTGCGATTTTTGGGTCTCGAATTCATCCTTCAATGCCTTATGTTTCTTTCTCTCCGTCTCGAGCTCCGCGCGGAGGGAAACAGCAAGCATGCCATCGGTTCTCTTCAACTCAGCAAGGGCATCGAGGCTAGATTTCTCGACGGCGTTCACTTGTTCCACATCGTCAGCATCATGATCCATCAAATATTCCCTCAAAATCATCTTACAATCGCCTCGTGCTTCAAGTAGCGCCCGGTCTCTGTCTGCAAGTTGCTCTTTGGCGGCGGCGAGTTGTCTTTCGAGTTGTTTGGCTATGTTCTGCTCGGCAAGAACTTGAGTCCGTAAATTCGAATACGCTTCCTCTCTAAAGTAATTTGACATCAGCCACTTTGTTCCCGGGGCTACATCATAACAAGCTTGAATAGCCTGAACTAACCCGTCTTTACCCATGTTTTGGATAAGAGCATCGAGTTGGTGTTGGCCAACGGTATACTTTTCGAGCATGTCGTTGAATTTGTCTTGAACAACTTGGCGGGAGGCACGTAGATCTTCCATCTCTTGAATAAGCTGACCCTTTTCGGTTTCTGTACCGATGCTACTCTTGAGGACAGCGTTCTCCGCTTGGAGACGCTGCAACTCAAGGTTTCTCATTGATATGGCGTTGTTAGATTCGCTTAGTTCATCTTCGAGCGTAGTCGGGCGGGGACCTAGGGGCGTGCTCGGGGTGGCAGAGGGATCGAGCATCATAACTTTCTCCTGAAGCTCTCGGACGACTCCTTCATCTATTTGACTGCGGGCTTGGAGGTCTTCGAGACGTAATCGTAGTTCGGCATTTTCCGCCGTATACATGGTCTTCTGGTTGTTAAAATTGGCGATGTCGATTTCGTACCCCTGCATCTTGGTAGCATAAGCTTCTGTTTCCCGCTTTAAAGTCTCTATCCTCATGGTGGCGCCGTCAAGCTGCTCCATAAGCTTAGATGCGTCGACCCTTTCGTTCTGCAATGTCTTAAAGTCTGCCTCTACTGCCTTTAGTGATTCTAACTTTTTCCTTAAGTTGTCTGCCATGTTAGCCTTCTTAGACAAATCTTCATTCTTAGAACGAAGTTCTTGGTTCTCGTCAGTTAAGGCCTCAGCCTTCCGAGCCACCAACTCAAGTCGGCCCTTTTCCTTTACCAGTCGTTCCCTCTCATCAACCAGGTAGTTCCGCTCGTTCTCTAAGTTTGCGATAAGCGACTCGTTTTCCTTTAGTTGACGTTGGAGGCGATGTTTATCGAAGTTGCCAACTTCCGACTCGATCTGCTTATGTAAGTGCTCATTTTCTTCTTGAAGCTCCTCGTGTTTTCTTAGAAGTTCATCGTAATTATCTTGAAGACGATCCAGTCGTAGTTTTAAACCGCCTGCTTGCCTCTTCGCTTCGTCTGCTTCATATTGTAGTTGCACCAGCGCTGCTTCTTGCGCGAGCTCGTCATCGAGGTCGGCGGGGGCATGGCCACCATCAGGATCGCTGTCGGTGGCCTCCGCTACCTGTCCTAGCTTGGCATCAACTTCCTTAAGGATTTGAAAGATACCCTGCTGATATTTCGTTTCCAAATTCGTAACTAAAGTTATATATTTCGAATTATCATCTTCACGGAAACATGCGACGGCCACAAAGAGAACCAGTATCTGATGGTATATCTTAGTTGCTATCCGGGATTCCGAAGACGAAGAAGTAGGGATAGTTACCTCAAATGTTCCCGTCTTGGTAGGTTCTTTGGCTTGGGCCTGGAAATCGACTTGGTTGATCAAAGGCTCGATTTTTGAACAGTGGCGTCTCGCGAAGTCCTTCAAGCCCATATGGATGATATGTAGATTTCGTCTCCTACCTTGCGATATATCACCATCGGCTTTTGAAGCGGCAAGACTCTGTTGAAATCTGGAAGGATTATACTCGGTATCTAGAATCTCGAGAAGAGCGGAGAACACAGTCCCGTCGAAGAAATGTTCTGGTTTCTTTGCTTTAATGTCTGGGTCTCGATCGGGTAGTAGTTGTACAAGCATCGAGTCAGCCTGACCAAAGACATTATGTTAGTTGTAATTCTAAAATTTAAGACACAAACGTGAACGAGAATATGAATTGTGGGAAGAGAATAACGGAAGTACACCTACCCAGTCGAGCAAGGCCGCTTGTGTGGCCTGTGAAGTAATAGAAGGAACCATGTTGGCGGGTAAAAGTTGGTTTACTATTTGCGGTTCCGTCTCTACCGTATATTTGAATTACCTGGTAAAGGTTGTGAATCAACCTCAACCTCAATTTCGAGGTACTGGAAGGCAGCCAGCTTTAGGAGCTAGTAGCCGGATAACAATCGAATGGAAATGGGGTCTTGGGTACGGATGTATGCGGGCTCAATCAATAGCGGAAAGAATGGAATCGTCTGAGTAAAAAAGTCCGTATATCAGGAACTCATGCTATTAGAAAGCTGGTTCGAGAATGAGAAAATGAATGGGAACGAAGGTGAAGAAGTAGGAATTTCGTCGTGCACAGCAGCTTTACAAAAGACTACGATAATGAAGTATCTAAAAGAATGATGATTGTTTGAATAATGACAAGCGCATTGTTTCCAGGCGCCTATTGTTTTTTTATGTTTTTCTCTTTGTCAGCCCAGGTGACCTTGAAGGGATCGCGTCAGTTCGAAAGGAAGCTGATATGTTGACGTTGTGAAGCAAAGAAGGATCATTGTTATCAACCTGGATAATAAGATACTTCTCTATGAACAAGCAAAGCAGACCAGCATAGTGGAAGCTAGGAGATCGCTACTTACGTTAGAAAGAGCGGCACGGACCCCTCCTGCGGAACCTGTGGAACCTCCATATCGATTAACATCCACGCATAAGGGGGGGTTAGCGCCTGTAGATACAGGGATACTGCATGCCCTAATACACCTAAAACGGGTACCTATCCAACCCTCCCATGTCTAGAGCTGGAGCCGTTTCGCTAACATGTAAGGTACGATAGACAGTGCGTTTTTTTTTTATTTTTTTAAATGACGACCGGGAGGGAAGGAACGTATTTCTCAGCAATCACGATGAACACCTAAATGTTCAAAGCTCTTGTACATATAGTTTGTAAGGATAGGGACAAGAATTATTATCTATCAAATCGGCATTGTATGCGCACTTTTGTCCCTCGGTTACATTAATGTAAGTACATACATGTACATGTCGCCTACATGTAAGTAGCTGCAGCTCTCTAATCTTATTTTTGCACCTGTAGGGCATAAGCTTAGACTAGGTTAAAGCTAATGCTTTAGATCCTTTTGGATTGGGTTCAACTATACAGAAAAGACAATTACATGTATCTACACACAATCATGAATAATATACAAACACCACCTATTAGAATTATTTACTAGAATCATCCGCAGTAAGGGAGGGGACATATCTTTAATTCGTGGGAAGGCTTTGTTATTGAAGTCGTTTGTCTGATAGACCTCCCTAGGTGGATTGATATGGGTCACGGGCTGTGTTTTAATGTCACCAACTCGAGCATTTCCTAGGTAAAATATGTACATCGCATAGCGCAAGGTCACATTTCACCACTACCGTTTGTTTCAAGTTGCCAATTGCCCCTGGAGTAACAAGAGCCACGATGTAACACGATCAGACTAAGCATTGGGGTTTGCACAGATTATTACGATGACGAAAAGCGATATAGGTATCCATTTAACAGGTATTATTTCCTCCAGATATGTGCGATATCTTGCCGATCAGATACGACTTATATCCGAATGTAGGCAGTAAACGATTACCCGTTCGACGAGAACCTCTATCGTTGTGTTACATACGCTACGCGCAGTAGTGTCCGTTATTCACAGCCATCTACACGCGAAATTAGGATTCACTTATCATAGATTCCCAAGTCATTAATGAGAGACACGTGCTAGGAAACCCCTTGCTTTCTCGTGGGTACAGAGACGACAATTAATTTAGCTTCGCTTTCCCAGAATAGTTGAACTGGATTCACCAAAGGACTAGGCGAATATTCAACCGAGATTAAATATTAGCAAAGTTGTCTAAGTGCACACCAGGCTTCAAGTATATCTGTATTAATACCTAGGTCATCCCACCGACGAGATTTATTCCGTTTTACACCGATTAGGTTCCAAAGATGTTCATTTTTCGGAGAGAAACAACGTACATCTTTGAGTCGAAAGATAAGAATGGCCTGTTGCTTTATAGCAAAAACCCAATAAGCGCTTCATATAAACCAAATCATACGCAAATAGTCGCGCTTTTAACTTCAAATCTATCCACCCGGGCTACGAGAGCCTGTTCCGCATCTTCGGGTTACAGCTTTACATATACTCTCCCGGAAGCTTACCGTGGTTCGGGTGCCACCATCACACATTCACCAGCTTCTTCTGCATAACACATTAACGACATTAAATTTACCTTGTAGGACCTTGCATTGCCGATGAAAAAAAATACAAACGCCTTCGCTTGCTACATATAGTATGCGGGCCTACCTGAGACAGGTAGATATATACGAGTGTAGACCACGTATCCAACATACACATGGTGCAGGCCCACGCAACCGGGTTTGGCACAGTAGGATTCGACCGAACATGTGCAATATTAAGCACCTAGATAATAGAACGCCAAGCAAAAGGCGATGCATCCGGGCTAGGCTTTGAATATCGAATTCGCACTAACAATAGTGATATTCCCTATCAACAAAATAACCACCTTAGGGCTTTCCCTACCCTCCAAGGTAATAAAAACGCCAGAAACCCATTGTCTAGAACGGCACACTCCATTCATCCCTTTGTTGTTGTTTTGATATTACCTGTCCTAGTTGACGCCTGTCCCATTCTGCCTACCCGTGAGGGTCCGTAGTATGGAGAGGGGTTAATCGTAACGATTCGTTTGGACGATTCGATCGTGGCAACCAGTGCGCATTCGGTATAGTCGGACTAGTTCCCACTTGACGAGATCTCGACGACTTGATCCTCTTCGACGGTCGCATGGAACTCGGCGCTCCAAGCCGATACTGTCTCGATGATCTTTTGTGGTGCCTTAGCTGCGAAGCCCCTATTCGCAGAAATCGTTTGGTTAGTTCATTCATCCATCCATCCATCTATTTGTTCGTCATGTCTCTCCACATCGTGCGACAAGAGATAGGGAAGAAAGTAGATTGATGCGGCAGGTACGTACTTGATGAGTTGGTATTCGTGTGTGATGACGCCTCCGGCCTTCCGAATATCATCCTTGGCGCGGTTGACGATGTCGTCTGTAGTCTCGCTAGGAAAACTGACGATAACAGACTTCTGAACATCCACAGCATAGACACCTTGGGCAACAGCAAGTGCCGCAGCGATTGTCGTAAAGAAACGCATGATGAATTGGTAGGCTGAGGAGTATTTTCGGTCTAGGTCTGGTGATAGGTGGTATCGGATTAGGTATCTAGGTGGGTAGTATTGTATTGTAGGCGTGAAGTGGTAAATAAAAGCTTTGTCGGCCAACAGTTATGAACAAAGAAAAAGTAGGACACTTGATCTATTTGTGGAAGTTCCAACTTTGTTAGAAGAGAGAGAATAGTAGATCGACTTCGGATTGAAACAAAAGTGAATGGTGAGGGTTTGTGATGATGGAACTTGGCGGTTTGACCTTCATGTCGATCATCTTGGTCTGGGGCGAGAGTGCAGGTCTGGGGAGACCCGATGGTCCAAGTGGGTCCACCCGTACTTTTCCATTATGGCTTCCACGATAGGAAAGTAGTGGGTTTCTACAGTCCATGATCCACCAATCAGAAGCTGCAGATGTAAAGATGGAACGTGCTACCTGTACCCGTGCCACGGAACTTAAACATAACTCAGAACATGTGACCTTACGGTGATCTCCTAACGTTCTACATAACACCAAAAATGGCCTCATCTCTAGTTTCTATTTCAAACGGCCTGAGATCAAGTTCGCTAATTTGTTTTGTGTACGGTCACTGCCATCATTTTGACTTGGAATCACAGACATGGTTGCTCTTCTGTACTGCTACAACCTCGGAGCGACGGCAGATAAAAAGAACCCAGGAACGATAATCTAAGTTCCACCCATTTTTCACCACTCGGATACACAACGCGGTTAACTTGATGCTAGAGGATATTAGATCATTCAAATTTGATCACTATATATGTGTCTTATCTTAAAACCCACAAGAGTCACTAACAAGATCACCGTATGCGACGTATACGCGTAATGACGTACGAAGGCGCTGTTTCATAGACAGACAACGTTTTCGTGGAGCGAGGATATCACGGCTTAGTCGATAGCCTCCATGTCGCCGTTTGATCTGAAAATTCTACGAGTCTTTACGAGCTGAAAGATAAAATGGTTATATGGGAAAGTCGGGTGTAGAACCCTTTCTTGATTGATTCGTTGTCGATTATCGATTACCTAGGTAATTATCGCTTTCCTGTATGAACCCGCTTGATATCGCTCTTGGTAGTCAAATCATCCGAATCCTATGAACCCACCGCCGAAAAAAATAAAATAAAATAAAAACACAGCCACTAAGAACCCCATTGTCAGAGTCCCCGCCAAACCAACCAGTCGCATGTCGTAGTTCTTCTCATCGAATATGTCATTGGATCGAAAGATTTCTGGAGGTCGATGAGGTGGTTCAGAATAGTCGAATTAGCCCCCCAAGCTAAATGTCTGGTCGTATCACTGCCCCAATGTACGAAACCAAGTCCGGGAAGGGCTTAGTTATATGCCTCTCCCGCTGCGTGCGACTTCTCTTCTTGAGGACATCGCGCCTCTCAGGCCATTCAAAAATAAACGGTTCTGGTGGAGTACTGACGTAAGGTTCCTCCAATTTGATAACCTGTTTCGCCCACTTAAGTTGGGGAAATAGAAAACTGATTTACGTGTCTATAGGCGCCGGATCGTTGCGACTGGCCAGGCATCGGTACAGCATGACATATTGAATGTGTTCGAGGATCCCTCGTAAAGCGTAATGTTGCGATAGTACTTTTTCCGCGTGGATGTTCTTTGTACGATGGAAAACGAGGAAGAAAACGCTATTCTTCATGATTTGTTCTCGTGCCTCTCGACGGGCATGGAAGCATGTTGGCATGCGAATTTTGAGCTTGGGACTTAGTGTACGTATACGAATTCGTATGATCTCTGGGGAGGCGAGTTCCCAAATCATCTGTCGTATCATCGGAGGAAGCCGTGGAAATGGTGTGAATTCTGTTAGGGCCTTTTTTGAATCCGCAGGTCTCGAAATGGTAGGAGGTTGTTCCATCTTGACGGTGGGTTTTTTGGATGATGTTGTATGGAAGGAAATGAGGTTGTGTATTTCCTTGAGAATTAAAGAGTGCAGATATTTTTATTTGAAGAAGAAGAGAATTAATGTTCACGTATTAGAGGTATCAAGACGCGAAAAGTTAAGATATCTGCCTCGACAACTATAACCCCACTTTTGAAATTGCGCACAATCACTGGGGGATGACAGGAAGAACACAGTAGAGAGAAACCAGCATCCCAAAATTCTAGTAAACTCTAAATAAGGTCAATGCAAACTACCTAATCAAATCTGGTCTCATGAATGCATCGACATATAGCACGTATATTGTCGCGCTAGACACTCGCATAATCAGCCCTATGGGCTTCCCACATATATACCTATGTCCATCATACCTACCATATACTAAACCATCTCCTACGGGGTTTAAATTTCAAGATTTTGATTTGTAAATTGGATTATCTTGGTAATTAACTGCCGAGTATAGTATATGAAGAGCTCGCACGGGGTTTCTAATTGGTTGTAAGAGTTTAGCCTGGAAAGAGAACGGATTATCATATCAGAGCCCTGCGGTGGTGTAGATACGATCCCCCCAAAGATGATATCCCAAATTGGATATCGTCTAATTAATTTAATTCTCATGCCCGTAGATCTACGAGTAGATATAGTAAGGGTCTATCCACAATCTGACCCGGACCGGATGTCTGCATTCTATCCTAAGCGTACCGCGTCCTTACAGTGAACATTACCCTTGACGAGTCACAAGAGAAAGAAAAAACACAATGACCAGCGTGAAGAATCTTGTGATCAAGGCCGTTGCGACCTTCATATCAATCGCCCTAGTCTCAGCTGCGCCTAATGTGACCGTGGTTCCTCTCGGGGATAGTTGCGCATCATACCCTAACTACGATAACACAACCGGCATCGCGGGGCCTCTACGTGTCGTGGCTGACTCAACGGGCAAGGATCTTGATGGTCGCAAATTCTCTCCCATATTCGCGATTGCAGTTGGCGGCGGAAGTTGGGGTTTCGTATGTGACTTCCTCTATTACCCTGCTTGAGGTGAAAGGGATACCATATTCAAGGGCTAATGCGAGATCTTGGTATAGATGGTGATCCCTGCGGCTGAGGACCAGACGAAAAAGACAACCGATGAAGAAGGTACACCTTTTAGATGCGGGAACAATACATTGCAGGCACATTTGAATGCAGGCTCTGCTGGCGACCGTTGGCAGCCGTTGATAGCGGCTGGAACGCCCGCCGAGTCGGCCTTTGGCTTTGGCTTGCCGGACTTGCCGGACCCGAATTATCATCTTGAGACATGGTTAGTGCTCTACCAATCATCTGAGAGAAATTCCCCCTGTTAACCAAGTGCTAGTACGTAATTAATCTTCCCGAGCTAATGTTTCCATCGTCTGCTTGGCTTGAAAATCTTTTGACGACCTATCTTCAAACCCCGAATCACCACAAGTAGTAGCTAACCATGTAATAGACTCCCACATTGTAGATGGAGCCGTGCAACCAGGCGCCGTATTCCTCGGGGCCGTTAACATTACGTCTTGGGGCTTCAACTATCAAAACAACACCGGAGGCGAGTACTACTATGCTAGACTGTTAGGACCTAACAGCAACAATCTCGCGACAGGGAAACCATTGAACCGGGGTGAATTTACCGGGTATATAAAGATTACAGCCGCTTGAGCCCGGTTGTCTTTTGAATGGATTGTCCAGCTTATGTTGAAGGGTAACTAGTACATACCTAGTAATCGACACTATGATTGCCCCTTGCGTCCATCTTTATCAACTTTCGTGGGGGGGCTGTTTTCACAATGCGCCCTTCGTGCAAAACGACTACCGTGTCGAAACCAAGTACCATATCCAATCTATGGCTGACCATAACAATCGTGTAGTGTTTAAACTCCTCCCTTATGATACTTTCCATTTCTCTGTCCGTGTCGCGGTCTACACTCGAACTAACCTCATCTAGGAGTAGGATACCACCCATCTCCACGCTTTTCTCTCCAAACTCTGCTTGTAATTGTTTCGATCTAACCCTTCGCCTTAAAATCGCACGCGCTAGATTAAACAGTTGTTTCTGGCCTCCTGATAGGATATCCGAAGACATGCCGGCTGCAAGGCCCCCGCGTTCCTCGACGAATTTCCAAAGCCTTACGGTCTCAAGGACCGCGCGACATTCATCTTTAGTTGAAGCCCCAAAGGGATCTAAGTTGGATTGGAAAGATGTGCCATCAGGTAGGAACACAGGCTCTTGGGGTACCGCAATGATACGCTGACGAAGAGTGGCACGATCGATTTTGTGGAGAGGAATATCGTCAATGGTAATTTTACCGGTGCATGATGCGGCGGGGTCGAGGAGGCGAAGAAGTAAGAGTATGATAGAAGATTTCCCACTGTATCAGGGAGCTCAACGTCAGTATTCATCATTCATAGAGTATCAGGAGGACCTACCTTCCACTTCGACCACAGATCGCGACCTTTTCACCAGGGGATATGGTAAATTCGAGGTTTTTCAGCGCCAAGTGCTTATGCTTTCCGCCATCAGTATCGTTGCCGTTATCTAACTCTTTAGAAGTCGCATCATCGTCATCATTCCTTTACCATGTTCAATTAGTCCTTTTTTTTAAGTAAAGGGGTAGCGAAAGCTTACGTGTAGGATGCGGAAACATTTTCAATCTGGATATTTCCTTTGATGGGCCACTCTGGTGGGGGTACAATGTCTTCCCCTTCCAGACTCTCGGACCGAACCCTCTCGCTAAAACTTTTCAGCCTACTAATGGCGCCAATTGATGTCTCTACTTGGGTGTACGTTTGCACGATATAAGAAAGGATGCCGCCGAAATCCATCATAGTAACCAAACTAGCGCCAGTGAATGCCGTGTTGAAACGGGACTGAGTCGCGAGAGTTACCACGACGAGTGCTAGTGCTGCGACAACAAGCCGAAGTATGAAACCAAGCCAGCGTTGGATCATGGCTAGAAGGTACGCGGGCCTTTGTGAGGTATCGAGGTAGTTATTGTTTAGGTCAATGCTATTCGCAACCCAACCAAAAGCGCGATAGGTTGCGATACCTTTGATTGTATCAATGAAATGCGAGCTGCCCCTTTTTGTTAGCACTGTTTCAACGGAATTTTTGATAATTAAATGACTTACTAAAGGGGACTTTTAGCTTCAAGATCCAGAAGTCGAATTTGACGAGATGTTCTGAGGTAGAACTTTTGGATGCCGTAAATAATTACGACTAAAAAGGGGTAAGTAATCGCGAGGAACGGCGACGAGGTGGCTATGACCGCAGCCATCCCTAGACACTGAAAGCTCAATACTATGAGATTTAAACAGGATTGAGGTAGCTCTCCGTCAATAAGTGTCATGTCCTGTGAAAAAAGATTCGTTGTGACACCAGTGTCGGTGGTAGTGAAGAAACTTAGGGGCGCATTGATAACTGTCTTTAGAGCTTCCTTATGTAGTCTGGCACCTGAAACTTGGATCATGGTCCTGAAGCAAGTCAAACAGACGAGCAGGAGAGAAACTAACGTTAGGGCTTGTAAAATCGTATATATACCGATATAGAACGGGTTCGACCGAAATGGGTGAGCGGACGTTACATCTTCGGACCAGAATTTCAGCCAGATCGTTGTAAAATTAGAGAAGAAGCCCCAACCTAGACCGAATAAGAGAAGAGCTGCGATGATAATATTGTCAATTCGTGAAAAGTAATGACGGTAAACGGCGATATCGCCTATCATCCGGGCTTGCTCTTCCGAGACGTTAGATTCCTTGCTGTTGGCTACGACTATGGTGGTTGGTGTTGGTTCCTTTTGGGTGTTGGATAGTTCGTCTGCTATGGACTGGACACCGTCGTTTGTTCCAGTAGTGTCTGATTCTTTGACCCCGAGGCTCTGAACGTAACTTTCATTTGCCATCAACTCGGGGAATGAACCTTGTTCTACTAAACTTCCATCCGAGCCGAGAGCAATAATATGATCTGCGAATGGTAAGTGTTTGATTGAATGGGTACATAGTACGACTGTCACGTTCCTTCGGCGAAGAAGTCCATCAGAAGAAAAAACCTTGCGGTAAACGTGATCCTCCGTGTTAGCGTCGAGACCGCTCAAAATATCATCAAATACGAGGAATGTTGAATCGAGATACAAAGCTCTGGCGATAGACACTCGTTGCTTCTGGCCGCCACTTAATGCGATACCATTACTCCCAACCTTTGTCTCGTCGCCAAGTGGTAGGAGAGCTAGATCGGGTTGTAGCATAGTAGCATCAATGACCTCGTTATATCGAACTTGGTCGAAATCTTCGAACCCCACAATATTTTCTCGTATTGTTGCATTCGATAAATATGGTATTTGATCGCAGTAACCAATTTTACGAGAACAGGATCCCATCGATAGTTGTCCATGCGCCACGGGAATCTCTCCTAACAGTGTATTGCATAGAGTGGATTTCCCCGATGCAATAGGCCCGACGACAATTGTAAGCTGGGAGCTTGGGATGTCGATATCGACATTTTTGAGAGACAATCTATCGGCGCTCCATCCAAAACTCCCTTCCGATATTTTTATCAAGGGTGAAGATGCAGCAGATCCCTCGCCCCTTATAGTTTCGCGTCCCATCAAATCTCCAATTGGCGATTTTGATACAGATTCGCGGAAGTCGAGACGGGCGTCTTGTTCTATGAACTTCTGTATCCTGCTTAAGCAGGCCAGGGCGTTAAGAAAGCCGGGGAATATCTGAAAGAGGAGGGATAGAGGTGTTGCTAACAGGATAATGTATGAGACTGATGTAAAGATAGTGGTCACGTCAAGATTTCGAGACGCGAATGCGAACGTCACAACAGGCGAAATGCAAAGTGGTATGTACCCGATGAAAGCGGACCAAACGATAACCATCCTGGACTTGGATCCAGATTTTAGCTCGTCTAAACGCATATTTTGAATGGACTCCTCAACTGGAGTAGCGAGGCCAGAGATCTTAAGGTGCTTCATTTGTCCAATGATATTTGCTGTTAGCCCTACCCTTTTTTGGATTTTCTCCATCCATGCCTTTTGTCGCGGGCCTATGACCCTCCCTAAGATGGTTGATAAGATGACGCAACATCCAACAACAACCAAGGGAGCAATAGATGAAACGCCGATTTGACGTGAAAGAAGCCAACACGATAAGCCAACTTGGATCGTGTTTGCCCAAAATTCGTGAATGTGTAGGCAGCCTCTGATGACTCGCTCAACATCTGCACTCATAAGAGTTAGCGCAGCCGAATCATCCGCAGCAGTGATCTTGGCTTCCGTTGTCTTTTTGTAGACTGCACTAGCGAGAGCACCTCGAGCCATGTACATAGCACGTTCCTGTAGGTACCAATATATTGCAGAGGATACTGCGATCCCAGGATAGATTAAGATCGTCGCGCCAATGAGGCCATACCCGACGTTGGGCGAGCTATCTTGTGGTGGTTGTTGGAGATAGTTCAACAATGTGTTGATAAGCAACGGTTGGCAGAATTGGAAAGCAGTCATGGCTATACGAGGGCCGATTGGAAGTAATAGTGGGACTGCTAGAGTCTCTGCGAGAGCTTTGGCAAGGCCATACTTTTGGTTAGGGCTTCTTAACGCGTCAACACACTCGGCAAGTTTCATCTGAAGATCTTTTGAGGCCATTCTTTGATCAAGTGGGTATAAGTCGTCAAGAGTCAAGACCTTCTTGTATCCAGTCAGAAACAGTTTGTTTAGCCATAGAAAAGCCCCAAGACCAAATAATCCGGTAGTCTCTTCGGGACTATGCTCTTTCGCATTCCAGCGGACCCATCTCGACTTGGGCAGCGACTCAAGAATCAAGAGGAGCGCTTTGACAGCAACAGAGGTGGTATGTAAACGCGAGAATATTATCTCGTCGTAGTTTGTTGACGCCAACCAGAGGGTACGGATCTGAGCAATGTCTAGGAGGATGGTAATGAAGAAATACACATTGAGCAGGTTCGACGGTCGCGGTGAACGAGAGTGCTCTAAGTGAGAGACTACACCCATACAAATAGCAGACACAAACGTCAACGCCGAGGAAGACACAAACAAAGCCTTAAAGTTCCGAGACTTGAGGGCGCTTAAGATAAGTAGCGACAATTGAATTATACCGTAAGTGCAAATAGCAACCTGGAATTTTAATCAGCGACGAGTTATATATTCAAAGGGGTGATGTTTCACGTACACATTTTATGCTTCTTAACAAAGCGCCTCCTGTGATTTCGGGTTTACGGGAGAGATATACAATTTGTGGAAGGCAAATGGCGATAAACACGGCGGCGGGAATGATCGTAAAAAAGATCTTTTCGAAGATAATGGTGAAATCGAAATCGCCTCGACATCCTTGGACTGCGGGACCGAACGCGTTGTCGTTGAGACACCCCGAGAAATCCATCATATTAACCTCTACTTGGGTCTTGTGGTGATTTCGAGTTACAACGATCGGGAAAAGAAAAAGGAAAGAAATCGAGCCATTTGAAATCTACTGAGGTAAACTACCGAAGAAATAAGGTTTTAGGTTAGGTACGTGTGTGAGAACGATCCTGCTAACTCATAGATTAGGTAGGTGCCTACCCATTGCTGGGTATAGATCGTATCGTAGGTTGAGTCATAATGTTGTTGTCGCGCCGCTAATGTCGCCATTGTTTAAATCAGTACATTCCTAGGTACCTAGGTACCCACTGTACTGTAGGTACTTATAGGGCATAATACTACCCTAACCCCAGGTCCCTTTACCCCTGTTCTACCCGATGCGATAGCGGATTTACTGAATAAGGATATAGCAGGGATTCGCGATCTCGCAAAATGACCTTAGTTTGGTAAAGCACAACGACACCAATTCGTTGTGATATTCTAGACAGCTGTAAATTATATCTATTAATCTATTAGGTATAGAATTAACGGTCTCTTGAATATGAATTCAACGGGTAATATACAGGATTGCAGGTAGGTAGGTAAGTACTTATCTTTCATCACCACTTTGCTCTAATGAATCTCGGGGTCTCGAAGTCAGACTAAGCCTTCGCCATAGATTTCTCCCAAGTCTCTGTAACAATATTCCAGTACCTTTCGCCATCGGTTCTCATGTGTGATACATGTGGACTATGTTCGAATAATTCTTTTCGCACCGCAAGCCCTTTTGCCGCGGCTTGTTCTGCATGCTTCTCCACATGCCTCCAATCCACCATGGCATCAGCCTTGCCATATACGTATGAACGATTTGTCTGTCTGATTAAGGCTAGGTCGTTATGGAGCCTTGAATTCTTGGAAAGGATATCTTCGCCAGCGATAAATTTCAGAGGCCTATACCAAACCCAAATCCAAGTAACGAATGCAACTACGAATGGTATCGCAACAAGCCGAAGGATACCTTTTCGAAAGTTGACCATGAAGACATTATACGATGTTCTAAAAGAATGCAACCCCGGACATGAATCGTATACTGCCGTATGGATGGGAAAATTCCGGCCTGTTTGAGATCGGAATAGTTCGTATAGTGTCCGCGTACTGGCCAAACCACCGTTTGAAAATACGTGCTGTATATGAATTAGATTTTATTCGGCCGCTTAACCTACTATGTTATTCTATGAACTTGTATCCTCGTTCGAGGTACAAGTATAGAGAAGTGACGATGGGTTCAATACATACCACAAGGATTTCGGGTCGCGCGGGTGAAGCCGACAAGGCTCCTGAATCAATTTGAGACCGGATGTATTCAAGGGCAGGCACAACGGTTTTCTCTGCCTCTGATGGGGAGGCCAGATGCTTGAAGAAAAATCTAACTAGTAGAATCTTCGATGTAGGATATATGACTTGGTAGCGTGTAATATATTTGGCAATATGTAAGTCTCGGGCGTCCATCCACGATGCAATAAGAATGAGTTTCGGCGTTTTCCGGTCGGAAGATTCCTGTGTAGCAGCCGTCTCGGGTTCATAGAAATATACATGTGGTGATATCTTTGTCATCATCGACAGTTGCTTAGCCGCGGTTGTTGTAGGTTGATTAGATGCCATTTTGCATAGGTGATTTGAGAAGTAGGTATGATCCTACTTGCATGATCTTGAGATGTAGAATTGTTGCACTAAGTAAACCTAAGAGCAAAGAAAAGAGGCAGCTATGCCTCACCTTGATATTTGTATTACATTACCTTGATGCATCAAGGGATGGGATGGTCTTGCCATTTGGACTTACGCCATGGTAGTAGCTGCGGCACAATTCATATTCCGGGCAAGTTCAATCAACGGCTACAACGGCAGTTCAAGTCGCCGACAGTTGCCTTACGTAATATAAAAATGCTGTTCTCCACCTGAAACGCACGGATAGTTACGTTAGCGTGGGGCATATATTTCTGTAGGCGCCCCTATAAACGTATCGGAGTTGCGTTTGTATTTGACCGAATCGTCACGTTGCGGCGGGCGCAGAAGAGACCTTATCTTGCAGATTAAGATCGATCACGTCGCACAATCCCACCACAAGACAGGTTGCGTTTTACTGTGTGAGTTCCGTGATAAGAAAGATTTAAGAGGGCGGCATAGAAAATGAAACCTTCACTTCATCATCACTCGTTCATCTACCAAGGAAGCATCCTAACTATATATAAGTAGCTCGATGGAGCAACATTTGGTTCAATTGGCCTCAATATCTTCTATAATACCTTTGACACGGATATAGGCTCGTTCGATCTAAGAAGAAATGCATCGCCCAGTATTCCCTCGGCATTGGTTGACATCTCTAAACTCGTTCGTTTCATCTTGCCTTTCTCGAATCAGTCAACCCATATCAGGAGAGAGGACGAAGGCCGCCTACATCTGGCATGACCTTCCACCGTATACGTAAATCTACCTGCTGTGAGCCGCTATGGGCTTCCTAGTTCCACAGTACTACATGAGGAGACTGGTATATTTACTTCTTTGTGTCTTGTTGAAGATGTGTTTGTATTGTATAGCCCGATAGCAAAGTTGATATCTCCTTGCGCTTGTATGAAGGTTCGCTTATTTATATATGCCTTCGTACCCTCATCTACCTAGCTTGACTCCCCTGGACTAGTATCAGCTTGTACTTGAACTTCTAATAAATCCCCATTGTCTCCGAGATGTTTCTTAATCTTAGTTTCTTTGGGCTAGCAGTCGTCTCTCTTGCCACTCCACTTTCTACAAAGTCGTCTGGTCTCGGCAATATTCATCATGGGGATATCATTCATTCACTTTCTCTTCCAGGATTCCAATTCCGTCGCGTGAAACCGCTTACGACGGTTGCCACCGAGAGGAAGATTCAAAACCACCTGGAGCTGAGACGTCTACCTCGTGGTGATGCGCCCACGTCACAACGCTCCGCCGCGGCCCTTTTTGGCCAGATTCAACGTAATAGTGGTGGAAATGGCTACGAAAATGTATCTGCTGTTAACCACTATGCTGTGGAGTATTCAGTACGAGCCTTCTTCAATAAGATATCCATGGATGTTATCATTGACTCCGGGTCAGCCGATACTTGTACGTCCCCAGAATCAGCTTCATTAGCCCTTGTCTTAAAAACTGATATGTTATTTACTTCAAAAAGGGGTTAGAGCCCCTGATTTTATCTGTAGGAATAATCTCAATAAGACTCTTCCACAGGAGACCTGTGGTCTGGGCCCGTCTTTTGCGGGAAATTTCACCGGTCGACCCATCCATGACCAGCATTTTACCGTGAAATATGGAGATGGTGAGAGTGTACAGGGCAGTGAGTGAGATTTCGAGTTAAAATCTCTGACAAGACCTTCATCATTTCTTACGGGGTATCGAGTCACTAAGTGCTAACTTTCGAGATAGGGTTGGGATATATGGTGAGTAGCATTCGCTGGTTCCCTAAGCCTGTAAATAGATATTATGGACAGGTTTCTATGCCCGAGACGATGGTGATCTTCAACTTCATACGAGTATGGCTTTTGTTTAACTTAAATCTCCCGTGTATAGGACGTCGCATTCGCCGGTATAAACGTTTTCAGGCAAGAAATAGCCCTTGCGACCCAGGGAACATGGCATGGTTAGTTGAATACTTAACCCTTCATGATCTTTTCGCTGTCGCCCCAAAGAGATACTGATTCTTGATGGTAGGGAACAATGTTACTTCAGGGGTTCTTGGACTTGCATATCCATCTCTGACAAACGCTTATTGGGGTAATGATCTCAATAATGATGACCAGTATCTCTCTGCTCCTTATTCGCCTCTCTTTACTTCGATGGTCCGAAAAGGGTTAACTGCACCGTGCTGGGCTATCGCTCGTATGTCATTCCGTATCATTCGTTTGTCTCTCAAAGTGGTGGGCTCCCCCCCCTTCTACTTATGAGAGATAGGATATCCCTTATGATAATCCTCGAAACGAATGGATGATGGCTAATACACCTAAACTCAAGTGGCCAGGAATTCTTCACTAGGGTCTATCAGTATCGGCGGAATGCCACCGGTTGATATTAGCAAGAGTGATTATGACACAACCCCTATTCTTATTGTAAGTCAATACTCTGCAATGGCCCTGCTACGGCCGTCTTGTTGATTGACCGTCTAGTTGGATATAATCCATCGAGATAGCACAAATTGGCAGCCGTCTTTCTATACAGTCGTTCCGACAGGATTTCACTTTGGACAGACTACAGTGCATGGTCAATATCCATTCATTTTAGACACGGCTACGACTCTGATCTACCTGCCACCAGGTAAGTGATTGTGAATTAGGTAACTTTCGAAATGCTTTGGCTGATGCGTGACCATAGATATGGCAGACGCAGTCAACGCGCAATTTGATCCACCAGCGATATATTTCGGGTATTATGGTTCCTATTTCACAAACTGTGATGCTACTCCCCCGAGCTTCGGAGTCCAGATTGGGGAAACCATCTTTTGGGTGAATCCTAAGGACCTCATAAATACGGAGGATAGAGATCCCGACACAGGCTTGTGTCAAACTGGAATTAATAATGGAGGAACTGGGCCCTACATCCTAGGCATCACATTTTTGACCAATGTTGTGGTATCGATGGACGTTGGTTCTGGTCAAGTTGGGTTTTGGAGTCATCAATTCTACTAAGACAGGCATTCTCGCGGTAATGAGTGAAAGTCCTAGATGGTGTCAAAATTGTTATGATTTTCATGAAGAGATATAGGAAAATCGCTCAGGCTAAGAGGCATAAAATACTCTATATGTTCAAGGGTACCTTGGTAAATACCTGCAACATGATACAGTTATTCCCTATGCGCTAATAAAAATGGCGCTGATTCGTTCTGTAATCGGGCGGTTTGACACCCTAATACTGAAGAGGGGCGCTGAGTCCCAGGGTTGTTAAGGCAAAAACATCGCTAGAGCGCATCGTTAGCTTTGAACGTATTTATGGATCCAATCCAGTATAAGGTGCGGGTCCGATCATGGGAGGTTTAGCGCTCTAGTACATCTTTAGTGCTCCTCCCGCGCTTTCACGTGCTGTAAATGGTTGCGACCGAACTCGGTCTGCCCCTCCAAGATTAAGCTCTTTCAATTTCGATAAATATTTTGTCTTCTCGCAATAATACCTATCTTCGTCATAATCTATCGTGTTGAAGACAACACCATTTTCCTAGTCGCTCTAGGCCCTACAGATGATCTACCTTTGAAACAATCCTCCGACGTGAATCCCGCATTGCGAGTAGATGTCGAGACGACCATACGAACCGGGCGCTGTCGATCGGGACGATATTTGAGGGGGATCTGGGTACGGGAGTCTTAGGATCTGGATAAGACAGTCCTATTTATCGTGATCAAATCTAAACGCGATAAACTCGATTATCCCGAACCGTTACGATGAGGGGTGTCATTGCAGGCGGCCGAGCGAATCGGGGCCATGCCTGGAGTTTTTCCAAGGTCAGTAATGTTGTCTTGTTTCTTGACCTGTATATTCCTTTGTCCAACCATACGGTCCGAGGAAATACACTACCACGGGCGGCCAACCCAAAAGTTTTGGAGCGTAGGAGATACGACGCACCACAATGGTTGCCAACTGATACCAAGTATGGCATTGTATTGCCTAATGGATTGATTGGTATAAATATGAGGACGTGGTCGCAATTAATAGTTGGTTGGACTGCAATCAGCGAATGGTCAAGTGGGCATTTGCTGCCTTGAGGATACACTATGAGTGTCCTTGCTCAAGATGAGCTGGACGAGTAACCAAAAATATGCCCGCTGCTTCAATAGGCATGAAAGGGCTTATCGGCGGTTTCATGTCCCTTCATTCCATATTACACTGTCTCCTGATTCGGGGAGGCACCTTGGTGGCTGAATTGAAAAGCCATGCTATGTCGTGGCACCGACTACTCTGGCGCTCTGGTTGATTTCATCGGCAATAATTCTGGCCGCTGAAGATGCCGACAATCTTCCCAAGTGGGACATGGATAGTGAACCATCGGGAGGACTCGGTTGCGGTCGGGCGGGTTTATTGTATTAACCTGTCGGGTAAGCAGTTGGATTTCGCGGGAAGACGTCCGATGCCGAGGGAATCATCTATGAATTCCGGTATTCAAGTGATACAGAAAGAAGTCCTATGTGTTTCCTATGTGGTCCTTCATGATCATGCATACATCCGATCGATATTCTGTAACAAACTGATATTGTTACTACCCGAGTGGATTCTTCTACGACCCTACTTTTCTCTCTTCTCTTCCTGGTTCTTTTCTTGGGAGTTGGAGCATAAAATATATGCTTTTGGGAGAGAAAATAGACAACCGAGTAGACATAATCTAAGTAGATGTTAAAAAGAGAATGAATAAAAGGTGAAAAAAAAAAGGAACAGGATGCAAAAGGAAAAGATAGTTGAAACTATCAAGCTTTTTGTATTAGTCGCATGACGGATAGCTAGGTTTGCAGATTTTCTGCTCATCAGACCTTCAGCTAGGTCAATGAATTATACCAAAGATGGTTATCCGACAAGGCAGTGAAGGTACCGGATCTGTACAGCTGAAGACCTAGGTGCTTCTTGGTTGCTCTTGGCCTTTTTTTCCCTTCTTCTTTCTAGCCCCTCTTTCCTATTCCCCACTTTTTTGCCCCGCTGCCCCGATACAAAAGATACAAGCGGGTGCCATTGCCCAATAGGGTTCCTTTTTCGGGTGCTTCAAGAGTCTCTTCTGAGGGGCGAGGGCGCTGTTTCTCCCTATAACTCCCTGTCAATGCGGGGTGTTGCCGGCTTCCAGATTTTTAAAGCTACCCCGGTTGGCCATTTTTTGTACTGTCAGGACCCTGGCTACCCTGACTTGCGCTGTTGCTTGTTCCTGAGAATCCCGGTGGTGTACCCAACCATGCACCCAATCAGTGCTATTCTCCAGTGGTGGTGACGGAATCTCATGCATCACCGCAACTTTTCTTCTCTTGATCTTCCCTTTCTGCCTTCTGCATGCAACACTACCTCTATTATACCACACTGCACTACATATTCAAATTGATTCGATTTCAATTTGATCCAAGTTTACACCACACAATAGTACACGAGCAGACAAAATATACACACATACTACACTCTTTTTTACACACTACACCATACCACACACGCTACTTCTACTACGTACACCTCTTCTACAAACCACATTGTTCAAAAAGGGAATATACTCCTCTTTTTTCCCCTTGCCGGCTGTTCTTAGTGTTGAACACCTGACTAGACAAGGAAGCTCGTCATATCCAATCCCTTTCCCCCGATATCTCGATCTATTCCTTGTTCTTGGCCTGAATTTTCATATACTCCATTCTCCATTCTATACCACTCATTGCCTCACATGCTCCCGCTTCGGACGCCCATGCCCACGTCATTGTCTTTGTCGTATCGGAAAGTAGGAAACCATGGCACCGAAAACTAACGGCCGTGTCGTCCAGGTTGAGGACACCAAGATCTGCGTTGTTATGGTTGGTTTACCTGCACGAGGGAAGAGCTACATAGCACAAAAAGGTACATATTTCTGATAATTTCCGTTCCAATAGTATACCAATTCTCTTCCCCCCCTGCTAATTTTGTCCTACTCGTTCATAGCCCAGCGCTACCTTCAATGGCTCTCGGTCGACGCCAAGACCTTCAATGTCGGCAACTACCGGCGTCACGATGCCCCCCAACCACCAGCTGACTTCTTCGATACGAGCAATGCTGAAGGCGAACGGAGACGTCGAGTTGCCGCTGAGGCGGCTATATCCGATATGCTGGGTTGGTTTCGCCAGGGCGGTGTGATTGGAATTCTCGATGCTACCAACTCAACCAAAGAGCGACGAAAATGGGTTTACGACACATGCACACGCGAGGGAATTGAAGTGCTGTTTGTCGAGTCCAAATGCGATGACGAGAACCTCATCATGGGCAATATTCGAGATGTCAAAACCACTAGTCCTGACTACAAAGGCCAGGATCCGGAAAAAGCAGCCTTGGATTTTCGTAACCGGATAAAGAATTATGAAAAGGTGTACAAATCGATCGACGCCGACGGTGACGAGAATCAATACACCTACCTCAAGATTATGGACGTCGGTTCCCAAGTCATAATCAACCGTATTCAAGACTACCTACAAAGCCGGGTAGTCTACTACCTTATGAACCTTCATATTCGGCCGAGGTCGGTATGGCTTTCGAGACATGGCGAATCTCTGTACAACCTCTATGGACGAATCGGGGGCGACGCGGAGCTGTCCCCACGAGGACATCAATACGCTAAGAAATTACCTGAGTTGGTTCGTCAATCTGTTGGTGTAAGTTGAAACCTGTCTAGCATTTTCCGCCCTTACCCGAATATGTTTCGTAACCTTTGCCGATGACGAATCTCACGATTTGGTAGGATGACCGACCCCTAACGGTGTGGACCTCGACCCTCAAACGTACGATACAGACGGCCCGTTTCCTACCCGAGAACTACAACCAGCTGCAATGGAAGGCTTTGGACGAACTTGATGCGGGTGTTTGCGACGGCATGACATACCAGGAGATCAAAGACGTTTATCCAGAGGACTTCGTGGCACGTGATGAGGACAAGTACAATTACCGCTACCGTGGTGGTGAGTCTTACCGCGATGTTGTTATTCGACTCGAACCCATTATCATGGAACTCGAGCGGTCCGAGGATATTCTCATCGTCACCCACCAGGCCATCCTCCGATGCATATATGCGTATTTCATGAAGAAGGACCAGTCCCGCAGCCCCTGGATGAATGTCCCGCTCCACTGCTTGATCAAGCTCACTCCACGTGCATACGGTACCGACGAAGAGAGATATCAAGCCGATATTCCTGCCGTCAGCACGTGGCGCGGCAAGGGTAGCACTGCGAAACACGAGGATCCCGTGCCGGAGGCGAACCTCGGATTTTCTCCTACAGCAGCCGTTCATTAAGCACCTACCGAAATACCTTAAGTATTCTAGGTGCTTGGGCCCGAAGGCCTTCTAATACTTCGGCAGAGACAGAAGTGGTGCGATGTAACGCTATGCACGAGTTATGAATCCAGGGGAAGGGCACGTCAACAATTAGCAATTTAGACATTGCAATGGGCTAATTCAAGGCGCATGAATGGGAACTATACACGTAACCGTAACGGTGTGTTTTAACAGCCGGCTTTGTGGATAAAAGAAATTCACCGCATATTAATATAGAGTGGGGGGTCGGACTCCTCGCATGAAAATTAACCGTGACGAGTTTATGTATATCTATTCCAAGGATACCTTGCCGGATCGATGACTACGATTCATGATCACGTTAAATTATGTTTTTTATTTGCAATGACCGACGTATTGTGTTAGATATGAGAGGCACGTCGCTTCAAAATCTCTACTAAAAAGTGAATGGCATGGACAATGAGTTAAAAGTGAGATACGATTATTTAAGGGGACTAGACTAGACTAGACCGAAGCATGTCGAATACTAAGTCTTGTTCTCTTCTTGTTCTTCTACTTCACAGGTACACATCACGCTACGAAAGCTTCAAGATGTGAAGGTTTATAAATATGAATATACACTACTCCTTTATCTTATTCGCCATGTCACTGTGCCGCCACAACCACCGCCCTACCACCGACCATAACCTAATTGTTCCCTCCTAGAAATAGTTACACACGAACAGACACACTAGCAGACGTCATAGTCAGGCAGACTACTGCCCTGGTAGACGAACCCAGCCTGCCACTGAGGTGCGTCAGCGCCGACGATCGTACCGATCTGACCGTTAGCGACACACAGAGACTCGGCATTAACGAGCTCATTGGCTACAAAGGTAGTGTCGGTGCTTAGCTGCTGGCATAGAGAGCAGAAGAAGCCCCAACAGGTACCGTACTGGAATGTCAGGCACGCATTGGTGGCTACTATGAGAGGTTGGTCCAGCGCGAGAACCTCATCGATGATGGTATTGCAGTCAGAGTCGGCGGGGACAGGGTTCTAACGTAGAGGGATTCGTTAGTAGGAGAACATGAGAGTGTAACAAAAAGGAAGGCGTACCGAGTTTCTGCACTCATAGAAGTTGCCAGCAGGAGACTGGCGCGATGACAAGGCTGCAGCCGGGGTGGTCTTCGAGTCTACTTGGATAAGGGTTTCAGGAAGTTGCTTCAAGTCCACCTTATCAAGTTTCAACGAGGGATGAGCCGTGCCCGATTCGTAGGACGATCGAGACCATCGTGCTTGTCTCTTAGCACGTTCCGAGCCTTCCGCTACGGAGACGGTAAGGCCGGCGATCAAAGATAGAAAAAAGACTGGTTTCATGGTGGCAGAAAGTTGAAGTTGAATTGCGTGATGAGGAATGATCGACAATGGCTGAAATTTCCGGGGAAATGATACGACATCTTTCCCAGCTGGAAGAAAAAGGCATACACTTTTATACCGTGCCCCACGAACATATCACGCGGTTAACCTGCAGGGAGACAGTGAGCAGATGGGAATCAACTCCGACGAATGTGGTAACCTCAAGCCTTAGGACCTGCCTCATGAGGCGTTGGGCGTTCTCGCCCTGATGGCCAGATAGGGGTTCGTGGTCGAGACCCGATCGCAGTTCAGCTCTAGTTGATCTAGAGACAGATTATGATGTCCATATCCATGTTTCCCTCAGGCGATGGATATGCCGGGCATACCAGTCTGAATCCTCTATGACCTAAGCCTCGCACCCCCTAGCACCGACCAATAGAGTTGGGGTTGCTCAGCAGCTTGTCAGGCGCCGAGCTCCACCTCAGCCGTTGCTATCACGTCCCCATCCCGTATCCTTGTAGAAGTCTTCCACAAAATACCACAGAAGGCGGACGAGTCCGAGTGTCGGCCGTGATACGACATAGTCCAAGAAATAGTTTGAGCTTACTGTCGCCTTACAGCTACCACATTGAGACGCCTCTTCGCGACGCTGTCACATCGCGTTGTAACGTGGTAGCAATGCTCAAATCCAATAGGACTAAGACACGGGAAATGGATACGGGGAGAGGGGGGGTAATAGTTCGGCTGTTGATGAACCTGATCCGCGAACATTGGAATGGGCTGAGGCTTATAAAGCCCTGTCCCAGATAGCGCTTTATCATTTCCAGTAAGAAATACATAAGGAAACTGCCCGGCAGTATGAATTCGTACGAGATCAACCTAAGCGATCTAGTTGTAACTGCATAGAATTACCTGAGAGAACCTGGATGGCGGATATACTCCCTCATAGTATGGGATTTTATCTAATCTAAGCGTCAGGACTTATTGGCTCCTGCAATACCAAGCATCAATCTATCTCATGCTGGTCATGAGATAGATTGCGCGTTGAAATTGGTACCGAGACTCTAATATTAAACGAACCGATGATGCCGCGGCTGGAACCCCGGGTGATAAAACCAAGAAGTTCAACACGAAAGGGGCGTGGATAGCTGGTATGGGTTGTCTCGTCGCGAGCCAGAACGAAGGAGAACGATATCGACTTTATCCGCCGATTTATCCGGTGCAACGGTATGCAGCTGCAATGCACCTCAACTAAGACCACGCATTCGAGAAGCTGTCAGACAATATAAATTTTATGGCACGAGGTATCCGGTAGCCTGGAAGGATTTAGTAGGATATAGGGTCAAGAGTAGAGTTCGGTATTGATTTCATTTAGAAGACTCCCGTAATATAAGCAGCAGAATTGGCGCAGACTGAAGGCTCCCCCGGATCTGCATTGAAGGAACAGTATGACGGATGAGTGGTACGAGACATAATCATAATAGCAAGTGTTAGTCACTAGATCTCGATTCGAGTGAGATCGAGTTGGCTCGGGCTGAAAGGGGGGTAGCTGTCTATCGACGTCTCAAGCGGAGGATGGCTGTGGATATGAAGTCACCGCGAAGGAAACGGTCTTGTCCAGGGCATGGTTCAAATTGAGTTAAGACAAGTCATGTTTATAGTATGAATATGAGAATTTCTGGGAGTATCTATTTGATAATTAGACTGAGATCGATATACGCGATATTGATGGGACTTGAAGGAAAATTGTCGAAGGAGAAGGTAGTCGTCGCGATGATCGAGATAAGAAATAGGATATGAATGACTAATATCTGACAAAGTCGATCTAAGTAGGAAATGTTTAGCTAAAGATTGGCTTATATAAGCGGTCTTTTGCTTATATAATATAGTAGCTTATCCTTATGTAAGGACACACGGCGCGACGGCCCATTTTTGCTTATCAACCATACTATCGATAAGAAAAAAAAATTCCCATTGGCATTGAAGCAGAAAAAGAAAGCAGCCCACTTTCAAAGCTCAACTCTCCAATCTCAACACCATTTATCGCAACTTCGTTCAGACACGATGGAGTCGGCCAAATACAGCAAAAAGAGGAAATTCAAGGACGCCAATGGCGCTAAGAATGTCGAGGCCAAAAAATCGAGAACGCACTCTGTTAAGACATCTAAATCTAAGAAGCTGAAGCGAGCGGAACCCGAGATCGCTGCTGAAGCCTCGAGCGACGACAATTCTGAAGCCGAAGACGAAATCGAAGAACCAGAAGCCAAGCTTTCTAAGGACCAAGATGATCAAGATGAAGAGGATGAAGAAGAAGATGCCGAGGAAACGACCGAATTGAACAAGAGAGTAGAGGCAGCGAATGCTGAGGATGAAGATGCTGGCCAAAGTAATCAGAATACCGATTTACCCACCGACAGCGCCATTTCCGCCCTACAATCTGCTATTGGTTCCGATGCGCAAAACTTCGCCGATTTGAACTTATCGGAGAAGACAACAAAAGCTATTAAGGAAGATATGGGGTTTGAAAAGATGACCACGATTCAACGAAAAGCAATTCCACCCCTACTTGCCGGTCGCGATGTGCTTGGTGCGGCTAAGACAGGAAGTGGAAAGACACTGGCCTTCTTGATTCCCGCCGTCGAAATGTTAAGCGCGCTTCGATTCAAACCGCGAAACGGAACCGGTGTTATCGTTGTTTCTCCCACCCGAGAGTTAGCCCTGCAGATTTTTGGTGTCGCTCGCGAACTCATGGCGCATCACTCTCAAACATACGGAATAGTGATTGGAGGAGCAAACCGTAGAGCGGAGGCTGAGAAGTTATCCAAGGGAGTAAACCTCATCATCGCGACGCCCGGAAGACTCTTAGACCACCTCCAAAACACTCCCTTCGTTTTTAAGAACCTGAAGTCTCTGATTATCGATGAAGCCGATCGAATATTAGAAATTGGTTTCGAAGATGAAATGCGTCAAATCATCAAAATCCTACCGAGTGAAGGCAGACAGACAATGCTATTCTCTGCGACACAAACAACCAAGGTCGAAGACTTGGCGAGAATTTCCTTGAGACCAGGTCCTCTTTACATCAACGTTGACGAAGAGAGCACCAGCTCCACTGTCGCAGGTCTCGAGCAAGGTTATGTCACCTGCGACGCTGATAAGCGATTCCTTCTTCTCTTCTCATTCCTCAAGAGAAATCTGAAAAAGAAGGTGATCGTATTCTTTTCCAGTTGCGCAAGCGTGAACTATTATGCTGAGCTTTTGAATTACATTGACTTGTAAGTTTGCCGTTCCTAATCCATCCGATTTCTCAGGCGCGACTCCTAACAGTACCTATAGGCCTTGTCTCTCTCTACACGGAAAGCAGAAACAACAGAAACGTACCAATACGTTCTTCGAATTCTGCAATGCGAAGACGGGTATCCTTCTGTGTACCGACGTTGCTGCTCGTGGTTTAGATGTAAGTAGCTAAGTGTGAAAACCGTCATAGTGATGGATTGCTAATAATTGAACAGATCCCCGCTGTTGACTACATCGTTCAATTCGATCCTCCTGATGACCCACGAGATTATATCCACCGCGTTGGTCGAACCGCCCGTGGCGCCAATTCCAAGGGCCGCAGTTTGCTATTCCTACAGCCCCACGAACTCGCCTTTTTATCGCATCTGAAGGAAGCCCGCGTGCCCGTCCTCGAGTACGAGTTCCCAGCCAAGAAGATTCTCAATGTCTCTTCACAACTAGAAAAACTCATCTCCCAAAACTACTATCTCAACCAGAGCGCCAAGGACGGATACCGATCATATCTACATGCTTATGCTAGTCATAGTCTACGTTCAGTCTTCGATATTCACAAATTAGACCTAGCAAAGGTCGCCAAGAGTTTCGGTTTTTCTACACCACCACGAATCGATCTCACTCTAGGAGCAAGCATGAGCAGGGATAAGAAGATGCAAGGAAGAAGGGCATACGGAAGCCAACCAAGACAAGCCCAGAAGTTTAAGAAGCGGTAGTAGTTTTAGGATGAAAGAAAAAATGGTCATTGGCGGAGTTTAGGTTGCGATTATCATCATGGTATACCAGCTTCACATTTACTTTATCCTTTTTTATGGAAATTGATGGCTCATCTGGTAGTACTACTACGAAATGCGAGGTTTTATTTGATAATACGGTTAAGAATTTCGCTATGCAGTCGATTAACTGATGATATATCCACCATCGACTCCTAAGGCGTGTCCCAAAATAAAAGACGCTTGCCTGGAACATAAGAATAGAACAGCATCGGCTATTTCTTCCGGTTTGCCCATCTTACGCATAGGCACATTATTTACTGCTAGTTTGTGTTCTCCTCCAATTCTGACGTTGCCGTCATGAACTGCGTTCTGATTATACCCGGGCATACGCAATTGATTCTGATCCCGTCTTGCACATGGTCAATAGCATCAGCCCGCGTCATATTGATAATAGCAGCTTTTGAAGCACAATACGGCGCTATTCCCCATTTCGCGTCAGCAAGATTACATATTCCAAACTCAGTTATTCATAAATGAATTTTGGAAAGAGGTAAAACTTACACGCAGTCGGCATAGCTACCTGGCCGACCCGACTCGCAACATTTACCACCGCACCCTTTTGCCCAGGATGCGCATCCAGCGGTTCCTGACCGAGCTCTAGCATACACTTGGGTGCTGCTCGCGACGCCAACCATGATCCTTTCCAATTTACGCCAGCCACGCGGTCGAATTCTTCAATAGGTGTCTCGTGGGAACGAAGCAGTAGACTAAGTACGCCAGCACATGTAACAACGTAATCGATGCGTGAGAATCTGGCCTTGATTTCAGATACGAAGGAATTGATGAATGAGGCGCTGGATACATCGCCTTGTACAGTTAGAACTTCGGCAAATGGGTTAATCGAGAGGATAGCGTCTTTGGTGAAGGTCAGAGGTTGAATATCGGTGAGTGCCAGACGGGTGCAGCCACTCCGTACGAAGGCGAGGGCGGTAGCGGCGCCGATACCTACGCGATCATGCTTAGGGCGTTCAGAGTAGAGGGAGGAGAATGAGTGCCTGAACCGGCAGCCCCCGTGATGAATGCTACCCCCGAGAGGTGAAAAGTCCCAGATGCCATTATGATGAACTAGCTTGATTCATGATAGGATGAAAAATTTGCGCTTGTATTTTTATGGCTACGAAATTATCAAGACTCACATCGTCGCACCCCTTATACGCCATTAAACGGACTTAAGTTATCTCGCCAGGTTCCAAATTCCGAAATCAATACTCGCGACAGAGCGGAAATAAGTCAGACTCATAAATCCACCCTGAGGTCTACATCCTCCATAGGACGGATATAGGTTCTCTCATGGGCGAATTCCGATTTAATTTCGTGATGGTTTATCGCCGTTTCTGCGTATTTTTGGCTTTTGCGACGTAACAGATCATAGATAAATTTTGGATTCAACCTATTTATACATACTTCTCACGTACCTACCGGGGCCCCATGGGGAAGAAAGAGCATTGATAACGAGCGGCGAGAACGGGCGATTAAGGGAAGAGGAATGGGATATAGCTAAGACCTGAATGGATACTTAGGTGGTTACCTAAATGTAGCACACAAGAGGGGTGGTGCTCGGGAGGGTGGCGGAATTCCGGCTTGTTAATAGGCCAAGAAAAGGTAATTGTTAATTACCTAGGTAGATATAAATCGTGGAGCAACGGGTATATACCAGATATATAAAAGCTGTGGTGCGCTTTGTATAATAACCGAGCACTAAGCTATCTTCCCTTTCTTCTTTCTAACTACGACTACTCGCTGAGAACCCTCTTGAATCTAACCACCTTCCTAAGATTTGGCACATCCAGCCTCATCAATAAAAGTAAATTCATCCTCGCTGAGCGCGACAGCTAAGAGCCTTTTCTCCCAAAATGACGGTCACAATGTTTGTCGGATATCCCACGGGTTCCAATTTCGACATGGACTATTACTTAAACAAACACCTACCGACAGTAGGTTCAGTATGGAAGCCTTTTGGAATGGGTGCATCGCGCGTCACGATCGCGACGGATTCAAAGGGTCCATACCTCGCACTAGCCCAGATCGAGTGGCCCAGCATGGAAGCAGCCCAAAAAGCACAAACCGAAACACCGCCCGAGGTGCACAAAAAGATGCTAGACGATATCAAGAACTACACGGACATACAGCCGACAATCTGGTTTATGGAGAACAAGGACATCGGGTCTTGAGCTTAGGTATTTACGCAGCGTTGGTTCCAGAGCAAGGCTTAGGATCAGAGAGGGCGTTTCAATTATCATGAGCAAATCAAGGACATTGAGGTCTTCAAAGATCGTTTGTAGCAATCATCTATGTCAATGGCGAACACTCTATTGCTATTTCTTAAAATCATTACCTATTTCGTAGCTCTAGACTTGATAAACTTAGCAACGTCCACGCCCCAAGCCTCTTCTCTCTCGATTCCTGTGCTAAGTCCTAACTGGGGACTAATATGGTTATGGCCCTCCAGCACATCGTACGTGGTGTCTACACTCTTCCACTCATTCCTAAACTGCTGAGCCGAGTCGAACATGAGCTGAGGGTCTAACTCGCTGACGAGTACATCGATCTTGACACCGGGTAGCTTCGGCTCAGCGCCTTTCTTCTTTTCTTTTTCAAGGATGCCGATCGATGAGTTCTCCCAGATCTTGCCCTCGCCAAGGTAGCCTCTTAAGATTGCATTATCTTCGTTACCCCAATGGAACGGCACACCCAATAGAATCGCGCCTCGGAGTAACACACCGGCACCTTTACGCTCTTCGGCTAGGACTTTCTCCCTGTCCGCTTTAAAGTCCGGGGCGACAAGGTACGTCGTGACGTGAATACCACCAGCCGAGTTTCCAAAAAGAAATAGGTCAATAGATTCATATCCATCCTTCTTGGACAGTTCATTAACGACCCAATCCACGGCGAGCTTCACGTCCTCGCCGCCGGAGGGGTACTTAGCACCGTGGGAAATAAGCCGGTAGTCCGCGACAATCACTGTAATGCCATAGCGGGAAGCGAAGAAGTGACCGAGGTTTCCGAAAACTAGGCTATGTGCATACTCCTCATTCACTTTGTCGCCACCGACGAAGCCACCTCCGTATAAGAAAACGAGTACAGGCTTGGCGCGAAACGGCTCGGTTGGTGCTCTATCCGGGTAGTAAATGTCTAGTTGTTGTCGATCTGTGAAACCATATTTATGTGTCTCATGTCGTGTCGATCGAATCTCGCTTTCTTTAGCGATTATGTATTGTGCATAGGCGGCGAAGGTGGGTAGAAGCACATCGTCAATGCCACGACCGAAGTTCCGTAACTTGTCCATTCTGTAGATAATTTACTGTTGTAGATTCTAAATTTTTTTGAAGTTTGTTATGTCCTCTTAAGTGTTATATATAAAATCACCGAACAGAGACTTTAATAGGACAAAATGGTTGAGGGCCTCCCTAGTTTGATGCATGTTGGTTGCATTGAAAGGAGAATGCGGTATATTATTATTATTCGATGCGGGGAACCAAACACGCGATCCAATCCATATATCCGGCACTGAATAATACTTCAAAGAAATCCCCCTCCATTAAGCCTGGCGAGATAATATTTTGGGGGGGTTTCCATGCGGTGATTTTCGGCACTTAAACCACGGTCGGTCTAGAAGAATATAGCTGACCGTATTCTTTGTCCTATGAGACGGCATTGCGCTAGACCTACCTAGGTAAATTCGCGTTCGTGCTAGACCAAGAGGATAGGTATTCGATGTGATTCTGTGCGTGGAAATAATGTGCAGAACTGTGTAACTATAAAAGCAAAAATATCAGGGGTAGTTCAGCCCCTATTATATATCATTGGTCTCACGTACGTTGTGTCACCTACGATTGTCATCACGAGGTTCTTCGGAGTTAAGTAAGCTGCGCGAATTCTTGCCTTGAATGGCTAGAATGCCGTTCCTAAAGGTTAGGTACACCGCTAAATAAATACAAGACGGCTCGGTGAAAAGGGACAACGCCTTTATGTTACGCGAATTCGTCACAGCTTCTGACCAGCAGTACTGGGAATCGCACTAGGAATAGTTGCAGAACCGAGAGCCTTGATCGGGGCGTACGGCAGCGCACTAACTGTAAGAGTTCCCACTGGCACCGAATTCCTAGAACCCCCAAGATCAACATCGTCAAGAACAGCGTAGCCCGTCTCCTTGGAATCGGCGAAGAACACGGCATTCTGAGAGCTATTCTTGAAAGCCGAGCTCTGAATTAGGACCTGTGCTCCCATTCGGCAATTGACACCACTAGAAATCAACGAGTCCCAGAACGTGTTAATGATATGCACTGTGCCAAATCGAATGAGCGGTGCGCGGCTGTACGTGTTGTAAAAGTGGTTGCCGGCGTATGTAATGTGAAGTGAACCCTGGTCTTCTTTGGCGTTGCTGTCCGAATGTCCTATCAACGACGCCTTCCAATGATCGTGGAAATATGTGTTAGATACGGTAATCCATTGAGAGCCATGCGAAATATCGACTAGACCATCGTAGTCATCTTTTCCGCGACTCAGGTCTCCGGACAGGTCACAGTGGTCAACCCAAACATTCGAGGACCCATCAATACCGATTGCATCACCATTCTTAGCCTCGACTTTGGCGATTTTCAAGTTGCGGACGATGACATTATTAGTTCTTCGGATGTAAAAACCGACGCCCGTCAACGAGCTACCGGCCTCCCCGTAGATGGTCTTGTTGGAGGCGACGCGCACTTTCGCGGAACCAGAAATGGCGCCGGACACGATGATCGTAAGGGGTCCATCCTGCTTAGCTGCGTTAACTAAGCTATCAACATCCTTCACGGTGACCGTTTCACCACCAGAGCCACCGGTTGTTCCGCCGTTTTGAGTACAGTAACCGATGGAACATGCCTCGGCGGATTGCCGACGAGCGACCTCATTGCGAGCATCTAGGGGTTTATGCGGCGATGCTGTGACAAAGGCTGTTAACAGCAACGTAGCCGTCAAGCACTTCATCTTATCGTATAAATGGGCAATCAAATGCGCGATGGCCCTACGATACTCCAAGGCTCGTAAAGAAGAGCAAGTGAGGATCAAGGTGCGGAGGATTGGTTGGCAATTGATATTGGATGATCATGTTTCTCTGTCCATCCATACCTATTAAGATGAACTCCACTCCCTCAATAACAAATGTAATTAAGGGACGGGACGATATAGTATTTCAGACCACCATCAGACTTTTTCGCGAAAAAAAAAGTCACTGTCGAGATTGAACCCGGTCCGAAGATCTATTAGGATATACCGTGTAGGGAGACATCGTGTCAAATTCCTGAAAGGCTTATTTGTTCTTCCCGGACAAGGCTGCTTGAGATAGATTGCTATCGAGGTAGCCGTCCGAATAAGAACATTAGATGATGAGATTCGAGGGCTTGATGGACAGACACAATAGGTATGTGTCTTCTAATTACAGGATTGAACCCGGTGGGAGTGGCGTTAACCCCTGGAATGATCCCTGACCTATACATTCCACCCTCCTATTTTAAATGGTCTTCCCGCTGTGGATCTCGCAGTACGATGTCCTTCACCAGGATCTACTAACAGTCAATTCTCGGGCTAAGGCAGGGAACTTACTACCGCTACATCATCATGAAGTTTTGTGACTATTGGAGACTCTAGGTTGTGTTTGAAGTCATGGTTCGTTTAATGACAAACATTCACCTGCGAAATGACACGATTATCCGTGTCTAACATCCGTTGAATCCGTAATGCCTACCCACCTAGGTGTGTGTTTGACTTTACCCGCTCCACTCAGCATTCAGACACCAAGACGACAGAAGAAATAAGAATCATCAATTGGAAATGTAACGTTAAAATTGTGCGAATTATTAACCTAGCTCAAACACCACAGCCTATTAGTCGTACAATTTCTTATGTGACTATACAAGTTTCTGACCATATCATCGACAACATCGAGGCACTAGGCTCTCGTAGGACCACCAGGACCGGATACCCAACTACGTCAACTAGTTATTAGCAAAATGCTCGACGAATGCATCGTATGGAATAAAGGAACACAACATACCGCCTCCACATACGGCCTACGAAGCCGGTATTGTACTGCTCCGATATGCTCTCGCGCCTCTTAACGGACTCTTGGTCGGTAGATCTCTTTTGAAGATAGAGATTATTGAAATCGGGACCGGTAAACTAAAGATAGGCGTTGTGTCAGCTTTGAGTCGAATGCAGGCGCTGCGATGCTAGATAATGGAGGGCATCTTGGAAACACAAGGATAACTGACAGTGCCGGTGCTTGAGTTCCCGCCGCCTTGGTAACCAGCCTTACCACCCTTAGACCGTACGCTTCCCCAGTTACTCATATTCGGTGGTTACTAATCGTGATGATTTTTTATTTCAGTAATATGGTCAATTACGCGAAGTGCTTACTGCTCTAAAGGGAAGAATCGAAGGTGGGAGTACTGAGAGAACGATTATATAAGATCTAGGGGAAATGTATTCAAAACATCATGATTCATACTATTGGCCAAATATTGGCAAATGATAAGTCTTGACGCACTCGGTTATAGACTACGTGTTTGACTTTAATGATAGGTGACATTGACGGAGTGGTGAGGTCACTACTTGATGGCACGGCCCAACTAGATGGTCCAATTCGGAAGGGTCTGAGTCAAACATTCCACAAAGAAGATGGAGAGAGTAAGGGTTTTAAAAAAGGATCGGGCTGGAAACCAACTAAACTTGTGGATAATACCCGAGTTCAGTCAATAATACAATGAAGAGCCTAGTGGTTAACATAACGGACGACATTGAGGCTCTGCGAGAATAGTGTATGGCCGACAGACATAATTTCTGTTAAGGGGTTAGCTACCTAGGTAAGCACATCCTTATTAGGTATCGACAGTCAGCAGGCAAATTACCCCGTCACTGTCACTGGCTAGGCTAAGCAATAGCCAAGCTCTATGCACGGATTATCCTATCTCATAGTAATGCCATCACATTCATCCCCCAGTCGCCTCCTTCACAACCGCCCAACACTTCCGCATACCAGTACCCATTGACTCCGCATCAATAGCATCAATATCAGCCCATCTACTCTTCATTCCTTCGTCTACGCCAACCTCATTGTCATTCATGCCCCCACCAAGCTCAAACAGATGCACATGCATCGTTAACTTAAGATGCGAGAACAACCACGGCACACATCCTATCTCGCCGACATGCTTCAGTTGCTTCACCCCCTTTGATCGCGCTTTATCGATCACGCCCACAACATACTTCTCTGCATCCTTTTTCCTTGTTTTCAATGTACTATTTTGGGGATCCTCTAAGATATAACTCGGTAGTTCCCACAGCCCAGCGAGGAGTCCCTTCTCTGGCCGTCGATGAAGTAGGTATCGCCCATCGTAGCGTCTGATAGCGCAGACTAGGGTTTCCTCTTCGCGGACGGCTTTCTTGACTGCTCTAACGGGAAATTTCCTTGCGTGGTTCGTAATGACTTCGATCGCGGCGTTACTTAAAGCTGGCGTAGATGGTTGCAGTGGTTTAGAGCTTGCCGACTTTTCAGATTTAGAGGTCTTCTGCGTAAATGCGAATGATTGCAATGTCGTCTGTATCCGTGACTTAGTCTTAGATTTAGTCGTTTCGGCCATGTTAACCTGATTTTCTATATCAGAGCCATCTTCATCCGCGTATTCCTCGAAAGGCTTGCAAATTGTGCAAGCGTCTTCGATATCCGCAGTAGCGCCATTCGTTATCGTACTCGTAGTTGTAGACTTAGGCACCAATCCCTTTTTCATGGCTAATTGTAAACCCTCGCCGTACGCACGACAACTCGAAGTAATTGGACAAGTAGCGCAATTAGGCTTCGGTATGCATACCGTACTTCCAAGCTCCATCAGTGCTTGTCCCCATCGTCCCGGCCTATCACTAGGCCCCCACTTCTCCTCCTCCTTGGCTCCATTGCCTTTCCCTTTGTCACTATCTCCGGCAATAGCTTCAGCCAACCGCCCCGCAACTTCCCACAACAAATCTATCACCCCCTTATCCGTCTTAACATCCCCAAGCACACCCATCTGCCGACTCAAAACCCTCAGCACATTCCCATCGACCATGGGCTTCGCCTCACCAAAAACAATCGCCGTAATAGCGCCCGCCGTATACCGTCCCACCCCGGGCACATTTTTCACTAACACCCCCACATCCCTCGGCAACAAACCCTTCATATCAGGGTCTCCACATACCTTCTTCGCGGCTTCGTGGATCCGCGTAGCGCGACTATAATACCCCAACCCCCGCCACGCAGAGAGGACCTCGTCGGGTTGTGCCGCTGCGAGATCATGGATCGTCGGCCACCGATCCATCCACCGGGTCCAGTAATCCACGACGGCGGCGACGCGCGTCTGTTGGAGCATAACCTCTGAGATCCAAACTTCGTACGCACGCTGCTCTAGCATTTTCCGAAGGACCGTTTCGTCTGACACGGTATCGGGGTCGATCCAAGATTTGCGCCATGGCATGTTGCGCAGGGTGCTCACGCTGTCGAACCAGGTGAGGAGAGCTCCGCGCCCATCGCGACTGTCCAAGAGTAACGGACGATGATAATTTAAACCATGGATGCGAGCCGGGAGTTTCGGAGTAGTTACGGAACTAGAGCCATTTGCACCGGTATCCGCCTCCCCAAATATGCGCGCGTACAACTGCGCATTGGCATTTTCATTCTTCTTGCTGGTTCGCGCTGCTACTTTCCGCTTTTTAGCCGGTTGTTTCTCTTCCGCGACATCTGATTCGATATATTCTTCAACGTCGCCATCTGACGCGTCGCTCTGAGCCTTTGCGGGCCTCTTCTTAACTCCTGTCCGTCGAAGTTTGGCGGGTATTATCTCTTCATTTTCCGAAAAGTAAAGTGATTTCTTTTTAACACCACCGTTTTCTGATGTAGAGACGGATGGCCTCGTAATTCGCGATGAGCGTCGCATTTTGTGTAAATTGTAGAAATTAATAGAAATGAGAATTAATTGAAGACGCGGCGGAAGTCAGGTCGCGCCATCACGTGATACCCCGCGCCTAATCCAGGGGTAATTAATAGGTATCTAGGTACCCGCCCCTCCTAGCTGATCACCTAAAGCGTTCAGGGGGCCTCGGGCACCTCCATGGCTGCAATATAATTCAGATTTCATTCGCTTCCCTACATTTCGCACTACGTAAAAATCACAACCCGTACTTCTCATAATACCCATACTAACATACTCGTAAATCCAGACGTATACATGTATGTCCCAATATGACCGACTCGCGGGATATGCTATCATCGCGTCCTTGCTGCGCCCATTCCCTCATATCTATTTTCCTTTTCCCTCACAAGTTGAGATGTGTGCGTACTGTCTCTTTTAGATGATGATAAGCTACGCGACGTATTAGTATTTGATCGCCATTACATTTTCACCTTTCAGACTAGGATATACTAACCTCGATCAACTTTTCCGTCAAAATGGCACACTGCTTATCAGGATCCTGGGCATGGTTGAAAGAACTCGAACGCCATAACCCTTCAAATCCCATGTCCCCTAAAATATCGCTTAGCATCCCACTACTATCCAAAGCTTTGGTGAATTTGGCGTTGGATGATAGGGTCTGCAGTAGAGTGTGCGCCGATCCGAGCGTCGAGGAGCTCTGACCGTGAAGTAACACCTCGTCTAGAAACGATGCAATGGTAGGACATCTATTACATGTTAGCGCCATATAAATACAAAGTAGACATCAAGACTCACAAGTGTAATATGACCGTAGGTCTTCCGGTCGCTAGCTCGTTCAACCACACCAGAGTGTGAGTCTGTGCAGCTTCATCCAGGATCTGAAAATCAACTAATTCGATTGCCGTATTAAGTAGCAAATCTTTATCCCTTACGGTTTCTAAGTCGCTCAAGTTACGAGTCGGTCCTAGGTTTGCAACGCCAATCGGGTTTATGCCAACTGACCAGAGGCATTCCTTCAAATCCTCGGGGGTAATCGCACGAGCTTGGATGAGAGCCAAATAGGGAGACGCATAAAACTCGCTCGAAAAGGTCTTCGCCGATTCCGACGAACTGTCGGTTGTCATTTCGAGGAATGTCGAAAGGACCCGGAGTGCTGGAGTCTTGGTAATAGGGTCGGTAAGTCCCCGAGCAAGAGAAGCGCAAACTGCGAAATGGAAACTGTCGGTCGTGAAATGGACACCATACGCTTCGTCCAATGGTAATGCTGCTTCTTCTAGTTGTGTCCGACCTTGTAGCAGATATTGGGACATTTTGTCACTCCTTAATTCATTTGTAGTCCCAATATTTGTCAAGACAGCTTCCAAGAATAGAGCGGTGCAGTTGAATAGGGTGGCGGGTACAAGCCGCACCAATGACATCGCCAACCAAAATAATTGTGGTCCATAACGAGAAGCCGAAGTGAGTTTGGCGATCATTTTAGATAGGGATGTGACTATAGCGACAAGCATATCGCTACCAGTGTCATCACCGAACCGGCCCACACTGGTGCGAAGTGCCACGAGAACTTGGTAAAGTAGATCATCATCGACCTCTTCGCGAGCCAAGCATCCCATTACGGTAAAAGCTCGGGGCTGGATCGCTGGGTTATTCTGAAATGCAGTGCTAGCCACCAAGCTCATCCACCTTGACCGCCACGCGTTGGCCATGTCGACTGATGGAGCGGCGACGGAGCACGTTTCGAATAGCAACGTTGCGAGATTTTCTATAACTGAAAGAGCTGGTCCCGCATCATGTGTCGTTGAGATCGAGGTTCCATCCCGTGCTAGGACTAAAGGAACCGAAAGACTATCGTTCCTTGGTTCAGATAAAATTTCAAGAGTGCCTCGAAGTTTGGATAGCCTCGTGTCTTCTAGTTTAAACGAGGTGCATGCCGCATGGATCGAATTGATCAATAATCGATGGACTAGGGCCCTGATATCGTAAGTACCCGTGTTTGATAGCATAGTAACGATATGGAAGATCTCAGGTAGATAGAGTTGGGACTGAACACCGCAGTCAAATGAAAGGGAAAGGCAGAACTGGAGCAGAATGCATATCTCATTCCAAACAGCATTTTCGGGGAGATACTTCGTTGGCCGTAGGGACGATCTGTTTAGAGCTTTTCGGAGCCTAGATATTATCTTGCCACGAAGTGTTATTGTGCCAATAGCCGTCACTATTGACGTTAGCGCCTGAGTATGATCGTCATAAAGCCCTACCGCCAACGCTGCTTTGATAATCTCATCGAGGAAGATATCTAGTAAAACTTCATCCTTATAGATCGCTGGCCAAACCGTGTATTCGAGCGTCAGAGCTAGCGAAGGCTCCATGACCGTTACGTCAATTAACTTTCGGAAGATCATGGCAATCTTTTCCTTGGCCTTTTCGCTATCAGATTCGTCTGGTAAGAGTGATGTACGCAGGCTGGGTATCCACGGTGCCATATATGCGAGACTTAGTGGTTTCTGTTCCTCTGAGAAACTTTCCCATCCGACGAAAAATTCGTTGAGAAAATCGGACGTTAACTGTGGCTCCTCTTGAGCAAGCACTTTGCTGATGTTGATGATGAATTGAGTAGGATCTAATGGAACGGAGACGTCTGTAGGCGTGATTAATAAGAAGAACAGAAAGGCATTATGAAGAATTCCTACCTTTAATGCACATAAACTTGGAGGCTGCCTTGAATTTGAAAGCACGACAAAGAGCCCCAAGTAAATTGTACGATGCAATCCGAAGCGCCGCATCGGGAGAGCCGAGGTTGGTTAACGCAAGGTTTAGTAATGTCCCTGGAACATCTTGAGGCCGAATTAGGCGCTCGAATGGTTTCATCGCTCTGGTATCTTTACCCAACATTGCCTTCGCTCTACGGATTTCCTTCAGCAGATCGGCTTTCCGGGCACTCTGGAAGTACATTACGATCTTGCCGTTGTCTGCACGTAAGCCAAATGCAGAGTCGTCCTCGGTAGCGATAGTAGTAGGTGCCTCATCTAGATCTTTGAGATGGAAAATATCGTTGACAATTCCGTTCAGACGGAAACTCGGGTGGACCTCCTGCTTCTTAACGGTGGTTACTTGTACGAAGGAACCACCAACCCCGACAGTAACCTCAATCTTTCCTTTGGTCTTTGAAAGTCGGGTAACAGGTTGGTAGGTGTATCGAGAGTCCGTGGCTATGCTGATGGTTTCTTTTGGCAGGTGAACCTGGCTTAAATGGAAGTGTTGTTGAAGATCAAGGCGGCTACTGAGCAGCAAATATTCAACATTTCCTGGATTTAGTACGCTTGCATCACTCTTGGTAGCGACGCGAAGGACACGCCGAAAGCATTTTCTTAGTTTTGTTAGTTACACAAATAATAATTGACAAGTTAAGAGTAACAAACCTGAAAGTGCTGTTCATATTGTAGACGTAAATTCTAGACAATTGCCGAGATAACTCGCTCGGGCTAAGGAGTTCCAACTTCTTGAATAGCTCATCTGGGGGGTCATTCTGGCCATCATAACACGTCGCATCAATGAGCAATCCGAATGGTTTATACCACAACCGACTCGCAATCTATACTAGGTTAGATAGTCTGGGATGAGATGATGAAAGAAGTGAAGTGTTAAAATGAAGATATAAGGTCTACCCCTTGGTGGCGACCTACCTTTAAGAAGCAATACAAAAGGGTATCATAGTCTATAGAATCTTGGTCGATATGGCGAAGAATCACACAAATAACGGAGAGCCCATCCTATTACCAGTTAGCTTTAGGTGGGTATTCCATAGACCTCTACAAGGGCATCAAACATACCCTGCTCTCACCGCCGTCATAAATAGCGCGTGACGTTAAAAAGGAGTCAGTACTTCGGAAAGCATTACGAAGCATAAAATGCTGGAATCTAGAGTAAGCAAGAGGAGTATTCGCAGATATTTGAGGGCGATTCCAAGTGACCGCTAAGGGTGGCGGTCCAAGATTTGTAATGAGAGCCCTCAATGGCTCAAGTAGAGGTGATCGGCCCCGGGCCAATTCATTAGGAGAGCGAACATGGTCGCGTCTTTCTTGCGACATGAGTCTCTGTCGGACATGATCCCAATGGTCATATAAGAACCTATGTAGAGCGACGCACGAGCCAAATTCAAAAGTCTCGCTATCTGTAGGAGGTGTGTCGAGCTTAGTCGGAGGGACCTAGACACCATCATGATTAGTAAGGATCTAAGACAAGTTGACTAAGTAAGCCATACCGATATTTCTCGAAGAAACGTGGTGACACGGTAGATATTCTGTGTCAAGAAGTCATTCAATGGGTACATGTATGGTTCTTTTGCCCCGAATAGAACGTTGTTAGCTAGATTTTGAATAACCTTCGCGATCAGGAGTAGGCCGCGTCGCATCTCTTTAGACGGAGCCACATCCACGAGATTCTCTGCTTCTGGTGCAACAATGGCTGGGCAGAAGAATCTTAGGAATATGAATGCCCCAACAGCCGTATATTTGGCTTCTTGAAACCTAGGCATTACTGCTGCGGATATCTGTGATGGCATCAATAACGATGCCTTGCATCCTTACAAGAGTGGATAGACTCACTATACTGCAAATCTTCCTGAACGAAGGGGGTATACTTGCTGAAGATGCGCATATATCATCAATAAAAACTTTAGCAACAATTCGTAACTGTAACGCGTTCTTCTGAAGCTCTTCTTGGGACGAAATTCTCGTAGGGTCAAGCTCAAGATCTAAGTCTTTTGAAGTTAACATTAGTCTCTCGACAACTTTCTGGAGAGTAGCTTTGAGGTAGTTTGATCCTTTCCATTTCGCATAGATAGAAAGCATCTTGGTTGCCACACAATTTCGACGGAGTATTTCCGACTCGTTTTCTAAAAAATTAATTAGTTGCCTGTAACGAGAAGGTCCCTGGGGTTTGATCTACCCGTTTCTTCGATTTCTTGCTTGATCAGCGCTTCCATAAGCTCAAAGGTGAGCCCACGGGATTCGAAGATGTTGAGCATTGAAATTGTGAGCTCCTCTACCTCGCTACTAGGGCAAACTGTACTAATAGCAACCGCAAGACTCATATCGTGGGTAAGAAGCTGGTAGCCGGGGTTGGTTAACGTGTTCCAGCTTGAGATATTTGGAGATAGTTACCTCTAGTAATTCATCATATTTCTCATTCACTGCCTTGTCAGACAGGCTACTAAACTCGGTCCCCTGAAGAAGGATATTAAAAAGAACCTTCACGAACGCAGTTCGGATCTCTATGTTCTCATTGTATCCGATGCTTAGAGAGTATTTGAGACCGACGTCAATATTGGCACTCAAGAGATTCGAGAGTATAGTGATAGCGAGTTCGGAAGTCGAGCCAGAGTCGTCACGGTGCACTGTGGAGGTTGTAATTTCCCTATTATTCTCCGAAGGCTCATAGTTAAGCAATGAGAGAAATCGGTTGAAATAGGTACGGAACATCTGCGACTTCAGCTCACTAGTACTGGCATCATTCTGACCCTCTCCTGGTTGAAGCGGTAATCTATACGTCAACTCAGCGAGACAACGGAGACAGGCCTTATCAAGATCCTTCTGGATTCGTGCTGTATCATCCAGGCGGGAGTAGCCACTTTCCGTTTGTGGTGACCGAGGTCTGGCAATCCAACTAAATATGTACTCCAGTAGCTGATTTCGCTTCCTGATATCATCGCGGAGATTTAAGTGCTCCTTTTTCCTGGTGACGGATTCACAAAGTTGACAAATCTTGATTTTCACTCGAAGGCTAGCTATATTATCAGCAACACCATCTAAGAATTTGGCGAAGCTCAAGCAGAGGGAGCTGAATTGGACCGACGACGCGGCACCTAGCTCGGAGGGCGTTTGTAACCGTTCCACCAGAGTTTTGAACAATGATGCTGTTTGCTCGGCGAATATAATTTCGACATCTTGCCCTTTGCCAGCCGCTTCAAGGGCGCCCGTGAAAAGCACTTCGAGTTCCGACTCCAGGGCCTTAAATAGTGGCTGGTAGAGAGTTGCGGATATGTCAATAGATAGGACCTCTCGCGTCGTTTCTCTGACTCGGACATTGGTGCATGCAAGTAGCTGGGTGCTAAGTTGTAAGTATCTGTTAAGAAGAGGTTCTTCGTGATTCTCGGAAGAAAGTCGATCAATCCACTTCAGACCACCAGCGGCAGGTTCTTCAAGTACATAGGCCTGCTCCGCTGTGCAGATACCGCCAAGGGAGGCAAGGAATCCGGATAAGTTCCTCCATTTTGAGAAACTCTTCTCATCGACACTGTCCGCAGATGTTGTAGACACGTCTTTGGATAAATGAAGCCACATCTCAAAAGCTTTCTCCCAAGCATCTAAGATTCCTACACTAGGATACTGCATGCGCCTTAAAAGGGAGCGAATTCGCTTCTGGAAAGCCATCATCCCTGTGAATCTAAAATCGGGGGAAGCAATTTCGCCAAAGATTTCACTATTCCGCAATATGAGACTAGCTGTCTTGCCTGCGTCTACGGCCGAGTCCAATATACGACACTCTTCGTTGAAGAGTCCGATACAAGACGTTACTAACTGACACGTATCGATATCTGCGGAACAGAGCGATGTCAGAAAGAGCGTCTCAAGTTTTGTCGAAGTTGCTACACGTTCTGGAATATCCTCGGATACCGCCGATAACTCCTGCATATATGTTAGCACGGAACATGGAATGGGTACCGTGATATCTTGGAAATCTAACTTTTATCGAGCTCAGGAGTAGGAGACGTGATTCAAGGTATCCGTGGATAGACTTGAGTAGTGCGTCGTCTTCTTGTTGCTCGTGCTTTTCGCACATCTCCAGAAGAACGAGTGACCTATTAATTCATCGTTAGAATATGCTTAATTGACATGAAGAACTGTACCTACGTTAGTCTCCAAAACTTGATACCGAAACTATGCGAGTCGAGACGTTTTGATTTACGTAGCGAAGACAGAATGCCATTTGGGGCAAGTAATTTTCTCGCTACACCACTAGCAAGCGCTCTTACGGAGTCATTAGCGGTAACAAGACAAGAGACGAAGGCCTCGAAGATTTCTTCGTAAAACTGTTCCGCTTCCACACTATCTGAAGGAGGCGCTTCGAATAAAGTCATAGGAGAGGCGTCCAGGAAGTTCAAAATATTACATATCACAAGGGTGGTTGAAGAGTTCGTTTCAGATGCTTTACGCTGAGAGTGACGGTCTCCTATATACAGGTCTGCGGATATCGCAGACATTGCCTAGTGAAGTTAGTATTTATATTTGCTTAATGCTGATTCAAGGGAGCCTTACCTTTAGTCGACTTTGTATATAACCGGCAGCCTCGGTGAACAGACGGCGATATTCCTCAGCATTTGGCTGCCGCGCAAAGTACGAACAGGCCTGTATAAGTGCAACCTTAAAGGTATGGGGCGCCGAGGAATTAAGGCACGACTGCGTTAGCGACTCTACAGAGCCCTCGAAATTGAGGTGCGTGAGACTAATAAAAGCTGCTGTAGCCAAATCTTGGTCGAATAAACCTCCGTCTCCGTTAGGATGATATCGGCGAAAGACGGCATCTCGGACCTCGTCCTGAACGTCCATAGCATAGCTTACAATAGTAGCATCTGCGTCATCATCAAAATGACGGACAGCTCGAAGAAGACTGACGAGACAGTACCCAGCCGCGTCATTCTTGTTTCTCAACGCCTTCCTTAAGTTCTCAAGGAATGCAACCTTCTTAGCCATACCGCCTGTCTTAGCTTCTCGCAAATTGCTTGCTACTTCGAATACGTCAGGAATCAGCATAAGTAGAGTGGTTTGAAAGGGATACAACATTGACCGCCTTTTTCCACTATCGGATATGGTCTGTGTCATATCGAAGAGAGTATCGGGTCCACCGTCCAGTTTCCTATGCTGAACGTGTAATCCGACAAACTCCTCGGGATAACGCTCAATCCATCCGGTGATTAGAAGTGGCGCGATGATGGCAACCGTGTTTTGATAAGCCTTTCGAAAGTGGAGGAAACTGGAGCATAACTCCTGAATGAGGAGTCCAAGCTTCTGGCCATCAACCCACATATACGAAATAAAACGTAATATCACTAGCGAGGTCTTCTCTTCTTCCGCCATGGCCAATGTTGGCACCACCTGGGATGAAGTCGTAGCCCGGATACCGTAGATGACATTTCTCACGTATTCGAAAGAAGCTGGCCAGCTCGATGCGGTCACGAATTCGATAATAATTTTGATATGCGGTTCAATATCTTCCGCAACATCATTCTTGAGTCCCTTAGTGTCCCGAGAGTCGTCCGAACCACTTGACGATGCGGCCCGAGAAACCGGTTCTCCAAAACGAGCGTCAAAGACCTCGCGCGCAGATTTCTCATCCAATATCGTCTTGGCGGGCAAAGTATAACCATCCGGCAATGGATCAATTAGGTGTTTGAACAGCTTGAATATCCTAGCTACAAGATCATCCTCCAACGGTTCGGGGCTCTTAGGTCTAGGCCCAGGAGCCTCAAGTGCGCTATCGGGGTCGGCATTACGAAGGGTCTCCCAATGGGCAGAGCAGCAATCGGCGGCTAGGGACAAAACATAGACTTCGGACAGAAGAATATGAGGAGGATGACTTGCGAATGTTTTATACGGGCGGCCGAGATCTTCCAACAGCGAAATTAAGGGTTCGAGTACGGCTGCGACGGACGTGGCGCTAATCTTTACGAGGGTGGCGCGCGTGATTACAGCGACATCGTCGTGTTGGAGGTCTTGACCTGGAGTGCCGGTACGATGCGGGAGCTGCGCGCAGATACGACCATTAGCAACGATATACAATTACAGTGGCCATTCTTGGCTACGATACTACGAGTGAGGGGAGGGAGAGAAGAGGAAAAGGTCTCCCATTACCCTAGTTGTAAGTCTTTCGACCAAGCATCCTACGAGGCCCGCATCACCATTCATCTTGTGCTCGTATACCGTCGGATCGCGATTGAGGGTCTTCTCAACATTGTGACGTCGTCATGGAGCACAGCCAGCTGCAAAGAAAAGATAGCTAAGAAAGCTAGCTGTACAGCTTGTTTGCGAAACGTAGAATTGGATGTTCCAAATTTCGGCTGTAGAACAATAACAGACAACAGTTCGTCCTACCCTCCTCCTAATATCTAAGAATGACAGACGTTGACCTCGAATTCGAATTCGAACTCGAACTTGGTATCGCTAACTTCGGCGCAGAATGTCGAGTCGGTCGAGATCGAGAATAGGCAAGGTGGATTTTGGAGAATGGAATTAGGTGTGCAAAATAGGATAGGGCCACACGATTCGTTATTTTGAGTGGGTAATTTGTCTTTCTCGAGAGATCCTTCGAGGGTTTTTTTTTTGAAGAAGCGAGAAATGTTCCCTTCACTTAGTAGATCTGATATGACTACCAGGATAGGAATCCGAACAAGATTCGCGACAAGGCCAGCTAAATACACGCAACGGCAAAAAAAGAAATGGTAATAAATAACTGACGTCTACTTTTTATTGCTCCTCATAAAAAAAATCAATTATGTGTGTCTCGTCTCGTCGTGTACAATGTAATGGTAATAAATAAAGCCGTCGAGGAGGCTAGCGTCAAAGGAACAGAAGCTACTGCGGTCCACGCTGGCGCAAAACGCAGGGACAAATATGAAGCCAGTAGTGGTGTGCGAGTACAGGGACAAGCGCAAAGCACAAACAAGACGATGTGGTCTTAGCAAACGAAACCCCCCTCCAACCGAGCCCAAGTATGGAAGGAGAAGGTGAGCATGGGTGTAGATGTATGAGTGGATGTAGAGGTGGATGTTACGGAGCAGAGCAGAAACATACTATGTACAGCGGAGGGTTATCGGGAGGGGTGTGTGCTAAACCCTGGGAATGCAGTAAATGCAGCAAGTGCAGTGCACGTAGAGAGTTCAGTACTGCATATAATTACCACCTAGGAAGCACCTAGTAAAACTAATGTGGGTTCAATTAAACGGAAAGCAACCCCCAATCAGTATAGCCCTGTGAGGTAGGTACCCTAGCTAGCCCAGCTAGGCGAAGACCTAGGCACATCTTGCTACCGTAGCAGCGGAATATGCCTAGGTACCATGCCGTTACTACCATTTTTGCTTACACCACTGCGGGGAGACACTTCCTTAAGCACCGACAGGCACCGATAAAATGGAAAGTACATGGCGAGTCGTACAATGCCCGCAGGTGCTGAGACGAACATGGACATTAGCTGCCGGTCTAACGCTGGTCTAGCCTAGTCTAGGTAGTCCGATACAATAGATGTACCTATGAGAGCTCAGCATAGTGGAAAGCGGTGATGTATTTGGGCGGGGTAGGTACCTATAAACACTCAGTAGACCGCCAATCGACGAACATTATTCCCGGTGTCTTTAGCCACTAAAACCCCTTGAAAGAATGTTCGTCAAGTTCCCTGCAATACCGCCAAGGCACGCAAAAAAAGCTCGAGCGTGTTACAGTTGGTTGATATCCCATGACTCCTGCTAATTATTTCTTGCTGGGAAAATCTTAATCGATCCTCGTCGTCTCGTGAGAGATTCCATGCCAATTTCGATTACCTACCTAAGGTATTTGAATCTTGTTTGCAGCCACATACTATAACTACCATTGGAGGTCCAAGTATAGCATGTAGCTATCCACTTCCTAATCCACTACGGGCCGAACCTTTGAGTTTATGCTTCCATACTTCTCGTCCCAAGGTTCGGTACCTACATACGGGTAACTGGTGTAATTGGATTCCATCTAGCACCGTCGAGAGGTAATAAGTAACGCTAAGGGTTGCAGTATTGAGGCACGAGATGACCCATGTTTGACAAAAGATAACCAGTTGCAGAAAATCGTACGAGTAAGACGGATTGAAGCATATATATGGAGCATCTACCATGGGCACTGGACAATATCTACTACCTACGTAGGCACGAAGAGAAAGAAAGGGACCGAACTAGAAGCTCTCATGTACCAATCATTATTTGCTTGCTGATTTATTAACCCTCATGACACCCTTTTTAATTTTCTATAACCATCTAATTATAGTAAACGCAGCTTAGCATGTCTCAACTAGGCCATGCCATACTCTTTTCACAGGTCACCTGTTCAATGGCCAATGCATTTCCACTTCATCTATCTATATCCTCCGTAGCCACGGTTGCCTCGATGGCCGCCGTTACGGTCATCATATGGTCGTCGATCTCGGTTATCGCGCCCGGGAGGCGGCCTGTTATACTGGCCACCACTATAATTATTATTTTGTGGCGGAGGCGGCGGGTATCCTCCCCCATACCCTTGGTTTCCTCCATAACTACCACCTCCTCTTCCTCCTCCGTAATTACCTCCATGCCCTCCTCCGCGCTGTCCGCCGTATCCGTTTCCATATGAGTCACGTCCACCGCTAAGATAAGCCGGAGGCGGAGGTGGCGGATAACTATTGTTAAAGCCGGGATATCCGGGGGGCGGTGGTGGTGCCCAGCCCGGAGGTGGGACCGGAGGAGGAATTGGGTAGCCATTGTTGTAGCCATTTTGATACGGCGGTCGATCAGACCTATTATCTCTTCGGGAATCTGGCCCATAATTGATTCGATCCCTCCTGTTACCGTCATAGTTTTGGCGTCCAAGAGGTGCGCCTCCATGACTTCGGCCAGCATTTCGCATCTTTCCCTTTAGCTCTTCCTTATCATTATGATTGAGTGCAGGGGTCGGCATCTGAACGCCACGCAAAAGCATAGACTTGTGGTTGTGGGAGGTTGACGGCACTTCGTAGTAGACCCTGTGGTGAAGTTAGCGTCCGAAAGAAAATGATTGGGGTTTTTAACATTTCTAAATACTTACGTTAATGACCGGTCGTCATCTACATCGGGCATGACCTTTCTGTCTAACGGATATTCTAAGGTACCATGGGGTAGGTATTCGGGGACCTTCTCAACCCCACCAGATAGACCTTGGCTTAAACGGGGATCCAGCTTATACTTAGGATCACCCTGTTTCTTGGAGTAGAAATGTGTTATTATGTCGTCGTATAAACCTTGGTTTGCCTCGGATAATATAAGTACGGCCTTGCCGGCGGTGTTGCGGGCAGCGTCTTCAGCACTTAGAAGAGGATATTTCTCTTCAATCGCAGCGAGTAACCGAGGCATTTCAATGAATGGAAGAAGTGCTACACCCTGCCATGCCATCTTCTTGCCGTTCAGATCAATTTCGAATTCTTCCGGATAGAAGTCGATGATTGGGCTATCCTTATCAGTCATAAGATTGTGGAAAATATCCGGAAGTACGTGACGAGATGCAGCGGGTTGCACACTCATCAGTTGCTCAAATGGTCTCGCGATCCTGCCCTTTTCAAAGCTGATCTCCATCTTGCCAATGTCCACAAAATCCTGAGCAAATGGCGCATAGTGGTAAGGGTAGTACCATTCCCACGACGGACATCCTTGATAATAGTACCTCAAGACCCAGGCAAGTCCTTCAACGTAAGATCGAGCTACGCTGCGCCTGAACTCAATATCCTTCTTGTCCACGTGGAATTTTTGTTCATAGTATCTATCAGCGTAGCCCTCCTCCCATAGTCGAACCGTGTCTTCTGGCTCCTCGCCTGCAGCCGAACTACTTGCGGGAGTATTCGTACCTTCCTCCTCCATCATGGAAGCTTTACGCTTACCCAAGGCAGAAGGCTGTGCTTGTGTCTCCTCAGACTTCTCAGCAGGCTTCCCAGCGCTGCCATCGGCCATAGTCGACTGAAGCGCTTGGATTCGACTCTTAAGAACTGCCGCGGCGCTCTTATTCGCCTCGTTAGTTTCCTGAGTCGCTCCTCGATTGACAATCATGTCGTGTGTGAGAGCCTTGGAAAGACCACCGGGAAGTCCGTTATCGTTGCCGCCGTTGTAACCTCGACCATTCTGGCCACCGTTCCTTTGTTCTTGTAGCTTACGTCTCTTGAAATTGGCTTCTCTCCGGTCTTCTGTCTCTTTCCGTCGTTTGAAGATAGCGTCTTCTTGCTTCGCAAGACCATTGAGAATATACTGGGCCCTTTCTAGATTAACATGACCATCTTGGGTAACGAACCCTCCCATGTAGGGCAAATTGTCCCTCCAGATGGCGGTCAATGTATTGATGCCGTTTTCGCGGATTTCGAGGGCAGGAAGATGGGGCAAAAAATCATTACCAACGAAACAACACATGAAGACCCAATCGTCGATGGCACGTTCTAAATCATAACGAAATGGCAACCCAGGTACGTCAAGTTCAACAGCAAGGTATTCTCGCAGGACCGAGACATGAAGCCAAATGAACGGCTTCAGAGGGGCAGCTTTGTCTTTTTCATCGAATTCGCCTTCCTTTTCCTTAGCTGCGCCACGGCAATTCTGTGCATCGTGGCCTTTTTGACCACATATCTTGCACATTTTCGCCTTGCCTTGTTGGAAAAAGACATCTTCTCGAAGGACACGAAAATGAGGCTCATGGGTAGCAAGTCCCAGCATGATAAGATCAGCGTCTAATCCATAGATAACGTGCCTCGTGTTGGGATCATGATCGGGGGATGCTCTCTGGGAGCGGACAAAGTCCATGATCTTATGCTCACCCTCGCCAGGCACTGTAGCATCGGATATAATGACTTTCATATTAGCCCAACCGGGATCGGTGTTAAGCTTATAAGCACACCAATATCTCAAACTCAACGCCAGTATGTCCATGAAAGGTGTGCCAGGGGTAATCGCGTTGGAGTCGAACGTTCTCTTCGCTGCCTCCTCGAGAGTCGTAGGTGGTAATACGCCACCATTTTGTTTCTTGAGCATCTTCATAAGCTCTTCCTTGTCATCTGCCTTTTCCTTGGCTTCTTGAGCGGAACGGAAACGTCGAGATCGCTGTTGGTTCATTTTCGCACGAGGTGCCACACCGTCTGCGAAATCATAGTTAGCACAAGTTAACAACGGACGGATATGAGTGTTCAATAGGACCCGGCTTACCAATAGCAATCATGAGTAGCTTCCTGGGGCGAACCATGTTGACCACACGGTCGGTATACTTGAAAATCTCCAGCATCATCTCTTCTTCATCTTTAGGAGCAGGTTTGTCCTCGGGATGAAAACAGGGATGTACGATACCATTCATATCCAGATAGAGATTATCGAATTCCTCGCCGTTCGGATTGGGACGGGTCGTATCGACAGGAATAACGGTGCCATCATCCATCTCAATCGGTCGGTCTTCTACGACGGGAGATATGATCTTGGGATATTTGCTGGAAAGCCATCGGAAAGCAGCGGGAATACCCATCTTGGCGGTATTGGAATTATCGGTCTCCTTAGAAATAAAGTAAATAAAGAACTCGGTGGGTATTGATAGCGATGATGGTAGTGGTTTTTTATTTTTTAAGTTGCCAGACTGGCGACGGCGAATCGATCTAGTCCGGGCTAAATATCGGGTGTCGATTCTTCAAACAGGGAGAAGGAGCGAAAAGAAGCGCGGAAACGACAAGCCGCACGAGAGATAGGCACATGAGGTATGATAGATCTTATTCTTTCAATCTACTTCAGGTCGGCTGCTTATAGACTCATATGCGACTGATGATGATAATGGAAAATCCCCATTCACCAACGACCCGATTCAGATTCCTTGACAAGTAGAAGGAATAGGGCCAATCCCCGGCAGGATTAAGTGCGAAATTATAATCGGGGAATTCCCGAATAACCAAGCGCACTGTTTGCGACCATCAAAAGATGTGTGTGTGTGGTGGTTTTGAAAGTGGTGACCTAAAATAACGAAGGGTTGAATAAAGAAGAATTGGCGGCGCAAAAGTTCAAGTCGCGAAGCCTTGACCAAGACCCTTGTCGCAGTGGATGTGTTCGCAGCAGGCGATAGTTAAAACTGACCAATCAACGTCATAGCCCAACAATGTTACTCATCCAGAGCCCCCACAACTTTCGTGGGCTGCAGAATTAGTGACTCTCCACAACGATATGATGCTCTTTAGTGATACTAAGATCCCATTAGTTGCATCCAACCTATGGGAGATTTTTAGGGATAGACGCTAAAGACTACTCTGGAATACGACGTTTAAAGCTAAGATTTAGGTCATCTTAGGCTAGCTTAGGTACCGACCTGCCGACTTCCAGGGCTACCTAAACCTCGCTGTGTTATCGATATCTGGCCAAAATATCTCCAGGGCTCTCCGTGTATTCTTTACTTTCTTATTCTTATTCTAATACGACTCGAACACGCAATCGCCCTTACGTATCGACGACTTAACAAGCGGTATTGCACCTCGAACGATATCATGCACCTAATTCGGTAACCACCCCACAAATGGACTTCATCCGCAACGACGTGATCATCGAGCAGCAGCAAGAATCATGTTCGCCAACATCACATCTGCTCCGGCCAAGCAGTCCGTCAGCGAGACAATAACTATTCTCAGCGGCCGACTAAGCTCCGCTACCCTCCTCGAAGATCGCCGTGCTGCTATCCTCGGTTTACGAAGTTTCGCTAAAGAGTATCCCGCTTCAGTTGCGTCGGGTGCACTGAGAAGTCTTATAGGGAGCTTGTCTAAAGATGGCGAAGATGTCGATACTGTCAAGGTTGTCCTTGAAACATTGTTGATGCTCTTCAACCCGAATCCAGACAGCCCTGAAGCTTCGGAAGAGATTGCACTCTGGTTAGCTGACGAATTCACTCAACGACAAGAGAACATTACGTTACTCTTAGACTTTCTCGAAACCAACGACTTCTACTCCTGTTTATACTCCCTACAGCTACTCCTTGCAATTCTCTCCGCTCGCACCGAAAGAACCGAGATATGTGTCTTTACTGCCCCCCTTGGTATATCGAGGCTAGTTGCCGTCCTTGACGATCGAAGGGACGCCGTTCGTAATGAGGCTCTCACTCTCCTCACCTATTTGACACCTTCGTCGCCCGATATCCAGAAGCTTGTGGCTTTTTCAAACGTATTTGGGCGTGCATTTACCATAATAGAAGCTGAAGGATCGTTATTTGAAGGTGACAGGATAGTCGAGGATTGTCTTATTCTTCTTGCCAACCTTCTGCGCTTGAACCCATCGAACCAAAGCCTATTCCGCGAAGAGGGCTATATCCCACAATTAGCTAAATTATTGGAGAGTACGTATCACCCTGGGAAGGGAGGCGAAGAGGACGTTGCCGGTTGGGCCCAGGAGCAGCGCAACAGAAATATATATGCTCTACTTGCAGTCATTCGGCTGTTCCTTGTCCCTGGCGCCGTTGGCACGTTGCAAAATCAAGCAGCTTTTTGGCAGCATGGCGTGCTCTACCACGCCTTACAACTTGCCTTTAGCCATGGTGCAGAGCTACCAATCAGAGCAGAGGTTCGAACTCCTCCCCATTATATGAAATGTCGTACAAAAATTATTTACATACATATCGTAGGCTTTGACGACTTGTGCCGATATCATTAGAGGTAATCCCAAACTACAAGAGACCTTTGCACAATTGCAGGTTCCTTCAGTACTAGAAACGGACCCACCAACCAATGGACAGGCAGGGAAATCGAATGGTATTCCGGCTGTCTATGTAATTGACGGCCTTCTGGATCTTACGTTAAGTGTACCAACACCACAAGCGTTTGATCTACGATTAGCCGCATGTCAATGTATTAAAGCATATTTCTTCAACCATCCCGACGTCCGCTTACACTTCCTACGAAGGGCAATCGAAGGACATGCATCCGGTGTAGACGAAACAGCCAATGTATTGACTACTTTACTCCGACCGTCTGATAGTTCGTCGCCGATAGATCCTTATCGGCATTGGTTTGCCGCTGTCATCACTTTCCACCTTATTTTTGAAAATGTCGAAGGAAAGGCTCTTGCTATGGCCGTGACGGAAGGTGACGCGGATAGCGGCGAAGAAGTCGTGACAAGCATTCAAACCATCACTGCTCACCTCGTCAGTAGCCTGGCTAGATCGGATGACGATCGAATTTCTGTGGGTTATTTGATGTTATTAATTGGATGGCTTTTCGAAGACCTCGACGGGGTTAATGATTTCCTAGGCGAAGGCAGCAATATCCAAGCATTAGCGCAAGTAGTTGTACAACACAACTCGAGCAGCGCCATTGTTCAGGGCTTATGTGCAATGATCCTAGGGGTTGTCTATGAATTCTCGACAAAAGACTCTCCGATTCCTCGATCTACTTTACACTCTGTCCTTACATCCCGAATGAGCCGGGATAAATACATTGATACTCTAAATAAGTTACGAAGTCACCCCTTCGTAAGAGATTTCGAGGTTCTTCCACAGAAACTCGACAATACAGGCAACCTACCGGACGTTTATTTCGATGCAACGTTCGTGGATTTCTTCAAGGACAACTATAGTCGTATGATAAGAGCCATAGACCGTGACCCCGGCATGGAAATATCTGTGGTAACCAATGGCATACAAAAGGGCATATCTCGCGAAATGGTGGATTCATTGCGTGCGCAACTCGACGAAAAAGAGCGAGCATTGCAAGCAACATTAACCGATATGTCCTCACTTGAAGGAAAGCTCGGTCAAGAACAAGCAGACCATCGACGAACCAAAGAATCTTCCACTGCGGACTTGGCCCGAATAAAAAATGTCAACGAAGCTATACAAAAACACCATGACGAGGAAATTAAGTGAGTGGACGAACATCTCATAGTCAACTTTTTTTTTTTGCTTACCTTTGCAGGAAAATCGAGGCACAGCAACGATCAAAAGACGAAGCCCATCAAAAGCAGCTAGAAGCCCTCAAAAAAGAGGCAGCGAAGGCCGCGGAAGGTATTTATGCTGATTATCGTGAGAAGCAAGCCGAATTACAAAGGCAGCTCGAATACGTTCGCAAAACCGCGGAAACGGAAGCGGCGCGCATCCAGCGACGCTCTGAAGCAGACATGGCCGATCTTCGTGCTACAATTAGCCGTCTCGAGGTTGATCTCATGAAGGTACATCCAATTGCGATATCTGTTAAGTGTACCTGTTTAACAGTTTATAGGCAAACAAAGCAAAGACCGAGGAATTACATGCTGCTCAGGAAGAATTTTCCGCCAAGCTGTCAGCCGAAGAATCAAAGACAGAAACAGTTGAAGCACGATGTTCGAATCTTGAGAAGCAGGTAGCAAATCTTAAGAAGCAATTGTCACTAAAGGACGAAGAGTTAGAAGAGGTAATTAAAACATCATTCCCTTCAAAATGACGGGTCGTATTAACACCACACAACAGTCTCGAACGCAATTGGAAGAAAAGGAGGAGCAGAAATCTGCTATTCAAACCGAACTTGACGATCTTTTGATGGTATTTGGCGATCTGGAAGAAAAGGCTGAGAAGTATAAGGTACGTTATCTCTCGATTTATATGTTACCCTTACCATTTACTGAGCAAATAAATTCTAGAAACGACTTGCCGATCTGGGCGAAACTGTATCAGATGATGAAGACGAAAACGAGGACGACGATGAAGATGATGCCGATGACGATGATGTGGATTGAATGTCTTTGGCGTTTCCAAATAAGGTACAGACACAAATGAGATGCTTATAAATAGTTCAATTGAAACGGCCGCCAATACCCCTGATTTAGGAAAAAGGCATAGATTTCAGCAAGAGACTGAGAATACTTCCCCCCCTTATGAATGTAACACCTCTTGGGAAAAAGTATGATTATATGCAAATAGCGTGTATGATGCAGTATCTACTAAAGTGGATAAGCACTTATCCGTGCCGCTATTATGCTTTAGCTACCAATATGTCCACAATTATAACAAATTCTTAAGCGATTCGTGATATTAAAACAGCTATATATCAACAAATAATTAATCCCTATTAAACAATAACAGTCATAATAACCTCGAGGTAAATATAGCTCGGATATCCGGGCGTAAGACGTAAGAATACTTCCTCGTCTCAACCAAGATATATCCTAGGAGGTGCCTAGGTAGGTTATATGGCATTGACAATATTTCATATATCACATTCTCACCCCTCCTTCTCATGCACCAATTTCACTCCCAATTTACATATCCTTAGGACTAAAGAAAGATACAGTAAAAACAAGGCAAACACGACAATGAGTTCGGCACGAAGTAAAGCGGACCGTCATCCGCCCAGCGACTCGGAAGACTCAGACTCTCGAGAAGAGGATGAAGGATGGAGCGATGCCGAGGGAGTCGAGGACGAGAACGAAGAAGACCCCGAGGTCATCTCACTCTTAGACGATCGGGTCTTTCCCGATGTTATGTCCATGCTTGCGCATTGCAAGGAGAAGCATGGCTTTGATTTCCTGGGCGTTAGACAGCGATTGCAACTTGATTTTCATGGTTGTGTTAAACTTGTTAATTTCAGTAAGTCAACCTCGGATTTCTTTTTGGTTTTTGCTTTTTTTTTTCTCTAAAATAAAAATAAAATTCTCCAAATTTCGCGATGTTTGCTTTGAAATGTTAGCGACCTTCAATGTCTCTATCCAACGGCCGCAACGGAAATTTATATAAACCAGGTCGTATTTATCACTAACATTCTCAGTCCGTCAACGCGTCCACGAAGGTCTCTCCGTGACCGAAGACATCTCGTGGTCCGATATCGATCACGAGCAGTATCTTAAACCAGTCTTAGACGACGATGCAGTCATTCTGGGACTTTTTGATCTACCGGAGCTGAAGCCTGTCGCCCCTACCCAAGATGGCAGCAATGGAGATCTAGTCGACGACCTTCTCAAGCGCAACAACGAGCTCCAGGAGGAACTCGCCCGCGTCAAAACTCAATTCGACAGCTACCGCGTCGCCGTGCAACAGACACTCGATGAACGCTGGGGCGATGTCGACCAAGCCGAAGCTGAATCAGCTGCTGCGAAATCCGCGGGTAAGGAAAAGGGGGGTGAGAAGAAAGAGGATGAGTCTAAGTATTATTGGGAGTCTTACGCCGGAGCTGGTAAGCACCTTTCACCTACGTTTTATAATATTCCTCGAACCATTAAACTAACGAATAAAAAAAGATATCCACGAAACCATGCTCAAAGACACCGTCCGCACCGATGCATACCGGGACTTCATCTACAACAACAAGCACCTCTTCGCGGGTAAAACCGTCCTGGATATTGGCTGTGGAACCGGTATCCTTAGCATGTTCTGCGCACGGGCCGGCGCCGCCAAAGTCATCGCTGTAGACGCCAGCGCCATCATCACCAAGGCGCAAGAAAACATCTTCCACAACGGCTTATCGTCAGTCATTACCTGCGTGCACGGGCGCATCGAAGAGGCCTCTTTACCCGTTGACGAGGTAGATATCATTGTCAGCGAATGGATGGGGTACTGTCTCCTCTTCGAAGCTATGCTTCCCTCCGTATTATACGCGCGCGATAAGTATCTGCGCCCCTCCGGCCTACTCGTCCCCTCACATGCAAGCATTTGGGTCGCACCAGTTGCCGATCCCCAATACGTCGCAGACAACGTATCTTTCTGGCGGGACGTATACGGCTTCGATATGCACGCCATGCAAGCCGGTATTTACGACGAAGCACGTGTATTAAGCTGGCCCCTCACTACCGCTTCCACCACCTCATCTTCCTCATCTATCCCCCACCCAACCCCTCTATCATTCTTCTCGACCCCCGAGAACACCAGCACAATTCCAGGCACCCCGAGCCCTTTCAAGCTCCTCAACCTCTACGAAACCCAAGTCGCGGACCTATCTTTCGGCGCCGCTTTCTCGACCACGCTGTCTCGGGATATCGATGCGCTCGACGGATTCTTGGTTTGGTTCGACATGTTCTTCTCACCCGTCCGCGACTCCACGTCGCACAAGGTGGAACTCACCTCCACGGCTGCCGAATGGGCCGCCGCTGACCCGCAGAACCGAATTGCGTTTACAACGGGTCCCCATGGCAAGGATACGCACTGGAGACAAGGTCTACTATTGTGTAAGCCGAAGGAAGGGACATCTGCAGTGACAAAGGGTTCTGAAATTAAAGGCGAGATTACGTTCTCGGTGCCTGAGGATCATGCGCGCGGGTTGTCTATCAAGGTTTCGTGGAATGGGAATAAGGGACAGGCCTGGGCTTTGCGATAAAGGGCACTCGACAGGGAAAGTGATTAAGGGAAAATGGAAAGGGGACCATGGGGGTTGGTTAGGTAGGTAGGGAGATAGGTATCTAGAGTAGTTCTATTCGGTGAAATGAAAACTGGGATTTATGGCAAACACAGAGTGCATTACGGGTAAATGAGGAAATTCTCAAGTTATGCTTGATAAACTGGCAAGTCTGAAGCGACATCCACAGTTCGCAAATAAATATATATAAGGATCGAAATATATACAATCTATTGTACCAGGGAGTGTTCTAGGTTAGTCTTCAAAGGACTACAACCAATGCCTCTTTCTATAAGGGACTGCTGACAACCCTTCGATTTATCCCATACTAACGTAAATATTCGTGGCGGTGACGGAGCTCTTCCGACAACTATCCTCGTGAGACTAAGCATCTAGCTTATGATAATACCTCCCCATTTTAACGCCTCCACTAATGAAAGAAAGAAGTCATAGTCTATATGTAGAGATGCCTATCATGAAGAAATGAAAGAATCATTTAAGGCATAGAAAGTCCGCGGTTCTATCGCTGTTGCTGATAGGGGTTGCTCGGTGACCTCGTTCGGCCGAGAGCTGCGGATCCGCTTGAAGCGTGTCTACCGGATTGATTGGTTCGGGTAGATGCTTGTGGGTGCAATGAATTCCCTGCGTGGGAAGTGGTGTTATAAGGGTTGGGACCACCTAATTGCGCTTCTTCATCAAACGGTCCCATGTGTTGAGTTACTTGGAAGCCTGGAGTATTCTCGCTTATGGATTGAGGCGGCAAGGTTTCACCTGCTCTGCGGCGGCCACCACTACGTTGGCTCTCCCGCTTATGAAGATCCAACCGCATCGACTCAATATCATTTGAGCGCTTTCGTTCAATAGACGCATCGCGCGAATCATCAGGTGAGTCATCGTCCCGGTTGTAACCCCAGTCTTCGGCAGCTGCCTTTGCAGGATCTAAGGTATTGAGACCCTGAGCAGCCTTCGCCTCCCGATCGCCAGATTTATTGGATGTTGAAGGGTTCCTCTCCGGGGTTGGCCGGACCATTCGCTTAGCTTCTTTTTCCTGGCCGGCCTTGTCACGAGCGGCAGCGGCGTCCGAGTCACTGACTGCAACAGAATAGGATGGGTTCGTGGGCCCGCCTAGTGCCTCACCACCACCGCCAGGTGCATAGATGGGAACCTTCTTCAATGCAAGAGTAAGCGCACACATGAACTTGGATCGCCTAGTAGCACGAATAGCCTCGTTGTGCCAATTGGACTTGTGCTTGATAGCAATTTTCAGCTGAAGCTTGTCCAAATCACCGACACCCGCAACACCAATAACGATATCCGGTTGGAAGTCTCGCGCGTTTTCTGAGGCCCGTACGAACTGCTCCATTTCGAGTCTTAGGAGTTCAATGTCCTCAAAGGAGGTATCATACGAAACGTTGACATCGATAACCTCTTTCATGGCTTTACTTCGGGTAACATTCTCAATCCAAAGGTTGTTCAAAACAATGTTCGGCACCTGAACAACTTGCATCTTGTCGATACGATTGAAGACGGTGTAAAGCAGGGAAATCTTCTCAACAACCAGCTGCTCTTTCTCCGAACCCACAATATCGACCCTGTCGCCAACATCGTATGGATGCTTGACAAACAGAAAGATGCAAGAACCCAAAAACTCTTGAGTTGTGACGGCGAAAACGAAGGATAGTGAAAGTAAGGCTGTACCAGCGGTTGCGAGAGTGGTGATGAATGAGCTCTGGAAGAAAGCAACTGTGGTATTTCGTTAGTATGTTATGGCAAGGCGGGACAATAGGTAGTCACTTACGGAAGATAAAAATAACGATCAGAAGAACGATGAAAAGGAGAACCTGGTCAAACACAGCCAAAGCTTGACTAATATCCTTCATGCTATTTCCTATTGCCTTCCTCTCTTTTCCAACTTCGACCACCTTTCGAATCATCTCATCAAGGCTGATGTCACCGTTCGAGTCCGCATCGACTGCCGCGAAACATTCCTCGGCTTCGTCACGGTGGGCGGGTCCGAGAACTTCAATAATGTCATCCACATATAAAGCCTCGTTACCCTCGACGACGAACGACATCCAAATACGCTTTGCGAGAGCCTCCGAAGTTCGAGCCTTTTCAAGAGCTTCAACGACGATCGAGTGAGCTGAGTTCGGGTTGAAAACCTCCTTTCCAGTGATCTCGGAGGCCAAATTTCCAAAGACGGATGTAACCTTGTCGCCGATGCGTCCGACATTTCCAATCAATCTCATAGGTGTGGCCACTCCGCTCTTTTTATTTTTTCTCCCTTTCTTGCCACCAGCCAGCATTATCTCGATGCTATCGTTGATAAGCTCATCCTCCTCGATAAACTCGCGGCAATACATAGGGAACAGCTGCCGAGAAGCATCGTACATCAATCCTAGAAGATAAACTTCTCGTTTCGAGTCTTTGATTCGGTTCGCGAAGGATCGCTGGTGGTACGTAACGCTAATGAGTTGAATGATAGTCTTCTCACCCAGGAACACGGCCGAAGAAGCAAAGAGAGCGCCCAAAATTCTCCGAATGGTAATAACCCAGTCAACGTCATCGTATTTGGATTTTATTAGGCCTGTGAAAATCAAGAAAGTAGCCAGCCCCCAGAAGAAAAGCGAGAGCGGAATTTCGAGAGCACGAATGACAATCGCATACTTGCGAGTTCCAGCACTGACAACACCAGTGAAGAACATGAAGACTGGAGGTAATAGGTGAGCGACGATCTTGCCAACCCATAAACTCAACCATGCCAGTTCTATCCAGAGGAAAAGGTAGAATAAGGGTGGACCAGGGTTGTATACCGCGGGGAGTTCATCGCCGTTAGTTCGTGAGCCATGACCGACCAAAATATTATCCTTATTCCCCGTTGCCGGGAGGACAATCAAGGGAACAGCCAGAAGGAGAGCCACGGGAACAATGTAAACGAGATATCGCGTGACGACAGACGCGTGAATAATCCTATTATAGAGCCTTCCCATGGCATTGAGGGAGGTCTCTTCGGAAGTTAGGTGGTCATTGTCCTTAGCAGGTTCGTCCTTATTAGCTCTCCTTCGACCACGGTGAAAGAAACTATGCTTCTCATTCTCGTCGGGTGAATTCTGGCTGTGTGTACTGAAGCCGGTTGCAGTGCCTTGGTTGGGCTTTCTAGCGCCAGTCGAGCTGGCATTGCTCCGTACTTGTGTCAAGGGGATCTCGTTATCCATATCAGGCCGTGAGTTGCCTAGTTGCACAAAACCCCTTGGTGAGCGAGGAGAGCGGATCGACATCGAGGTGTGGGGATATGTAGGTGTAGTAACGTTAGATAGCCGTCTAAATACGACCCAGCAGAGCGGCTCAGAGGGTTCCCTCCCTTATTATGTTATAAAATGGGATGGGAGTTGGGATATACAAGCGAACGAGTGATACACGTGTATTTTGTTTCCCCTTCCCTTCTTCCCTCGAGATAGCACCAGGCAATCGATCGGAAGCGCGGTGAAAGCAGTGCACTCTATAATTAGACGAGGGAAGACAAAGATGAGTTTAACCGTAGGCCTTTGGTAGGTAGGATACGGGAGGTTATGAATCTGGAGGAATAGGTAGACCAAAAAACGAAAGACAAGACGACAGAAAGTGTCTAATAGAGGGAAGAATAGGTCCAAAGCATGGTATTTTCATATGCTTGTAAAAAGAACCAAGGAAAGAAAATCAAGGAACCGTCAAAGATGGGAAAATGGAGAAAAGAAAGGGAGAGGAAGAGATGGAAGAGGAAAAAAGAAAGATCGCGAATCTCTCTACATAGTAGTAAGTACCTATGTCACTATGTCACTACATACATGTATATGCTACCGAAGCTACATGTAATAGGTAGGGGTCGCTGTTGCACATGCAGTCTTTTTTCTCTTTCTGCTTGGTGGTACCAAATGTACCGCATACTACCGCAGACTAGACTAGATGATGTAGGACCGATGGGGGGGTTGCAGATGTGGAGGATTGACGCGTTGGAAGGTCCGCTCTACGTGGATAGGGTCTTAAGGGGTCCACATGAGAATCGATCTAAGAGAATTGGGTAGGGTAGTACATACCGAGGGAAGTACCTACCCGCTCTGCCCGCTCTACAAACCCGTGTATTCCTGTCTTAATCCATGCACACTGTCTGATACATTGTATTAGTCGAGTTCTATTGTGGAAGGTGTTACAGTTGTATAAGGGAAAGAAATCGACGACGATACTATAGTCCCTTTATCCCATATGTAACATTTAGTATACATCAAAGTTCATCTCATCCTATACAATAAAGTCATTCATCTATTAACTTTCTACTTTAGAAATATTCTAAATCAAAGGCTTTAAGGGTTTTCTTTGTGGAATAAATTTTCCATGCCAAGATGTACCATTGACGTTATCCAGGGGTAATTGATCTAGATGTTTCAGCAGATTTGAATTCCAATTACATGCAGCTCCCCGTGATATGGTTGGCCAATTGCCACCAAAATTGTTAACCCTTGGCAGTGGATAGCTACCCGAGTCAGGGGGTTACGGTGAACAGGGTGAGCAGTTAGCTGGCTGGCTGGCTGGTTGGTGCTGGCGGGTAGGAACAAAAGTATCATCCGGTTAATTATGCTGCTGTCCCTAGCCTGTAGAATGTTAAATCAATTATGTACTAGTCTATAAAAGGGAAGAAGCACTTCGTATACTTTAGCAGGGACATTCCTATATAGCATGCTTTCCCCTGTCTTTGTCATGTTTCAGAAGTCGAAACGCCACGAATACATAGAATTTACACCTGCCTTTTATTAACAATGTATACGTACATGTAGTTAGGAAGTAACAAACAGAATGATGGCTTGCATGTGCATATGTACTTAATCTAACATATCTATGAGTTGGAAGTACATATATATATATATATCTCTGAATACAAAAGTACTTGGGTAGTTGTTATTATGTAAAAAGGGTTGTACATTCTGCGTAGGTAGGTACGTACAACGATGCATAGGCCGTGCACCCATAGTGGTACACCATATTAAAGACCAATGACGAAAGTATCGGATGAGTCTGCCCTAAAAATCTAGCCCGACTTTTTTTTCTCCACGGCAAACCCGTGAGATCTTGGTTGTCTCTCAACATTGTCCCAGCTTTTTTGTTACTCCGTTAATATCCCTAAGGTCGATCATCAAAATGACGAGTGTACATATGATTAATAATTACAAATATACCAATTCCTCAGCCATCTCGGAATCTTATCGCTTCAAGTTGCGCACTGCTATTTTATTCATTTAAATGAAAGGCAGGTATAATTTCTCTGCCTTGGAAGATACCAAGTCTAATTGATGCGAGGGTGATCACGAGTAGACGAAAAGGTGGTTGGAGATCAGTCTTATCAGCTGAGAAAATTATCAAAATAAGCAGTTGGTTACGCAGATCTCAGATCCCATCATTCTCCAGCAGCAGTTCGCTCCATACGGCTGGGTGACAATCGGGAATGGTCCCGGATGGGGCTGATGGATCAGTGCGGCGGCATGCCACTATCGATATACTGCATAACAGAATCAAGCTTCTCTCGTTAATCGTCTATTCTGATCCCGAAGTCGTGGGGGACTCGGAGACAAGATTAAAAAAGGGGTGTGCGTGTGAGGGGAGCGGCTAGTTGTGAAAATCGTTATATAACAAGAATCCACTCACACATACCTCAAGTGCCGCAAGCTCGAATTTCAAAACACGCCGGGGCAAGCCACGCTCGCTGATCGTCATCACATCGCCTTGCGAACTTTTGATAGCGTCGACACTAATGCTGGACTAACTTGTGACATCAGCTCGCGAATTTTTTCATTGATTTATAGCCATCCACCCATTCCTAGTTATATACCAAGTCCACTAAACAAGCAGGTTTTTATATCGTGGCAGTGTTTAGGCTATCTATTTACCGAGATGACTCCATTCAGACATTCGAGAACATCAAATTTGTAATATCTTGTATAATCTATTCTATCTATTCATGGTTAGACAACCTCCGACTCGGTACATAGGTACGATCTGATCCCTCTATTCCGCGAGACTAATTGAAAAACGACTCAAATGCCACGTAAACGTCAGCAGTCTAGACGAAATATGTTTCGTCAGTAACGGTATGTCTACGAGGACCAGGGCCGTGCCAAGAATAGCGACGAAGAGCCACTGCTTCTCTATCAGCTTGAGAAAACACAGTAATAGTATCGGCGCCGGTGGCTGTAGCGAAGCTTTGTGTTTCCGTGGCCACGATGGACTCTCTAGTATTAATAGTGGCCCCCGTTTCGCTAGCTGTCACTGGTTCATCCTGTGTTGCGATACTTGGCGGATCGGCAATGGTATCGTTAACTCTATCGAAATGGTATAGGGGCTCAAGGGTAGCATCACGTCGCCACAAAATATAACGCTTAAACCACCATGGAACTGCCTTCGTGGAATTGTACTTGATGAAGACACTTGTAGGTACGGCAAAGACATAGTCGAGTTCTTCGAGGGTACGCTGCTTCGTCTCGGGCATCCACAGGAAGATCATAATGAAAGCTGCGACGTTGAACCCTGCGTATAGGCAAAATGCGCCCTGGTAGATTTATCATATTAGAACACCCAACAATCGGTTACATGCACCGAAGATTTGCGAATTCGTACGAATTGGAGTTGAACTTACCAAAACACCCGTAGCTGCGAGGATCTTTGGGAATGTGATTGACAAGACTGCCGCCTAAAACAGACAAGTCGCTACAGCCCAAGACATCCCAACCTCGCGGTGTGAAAGTGGAAACACCTCCGCGCTGTAGGTAAATGGCACGGGACCTTCGCCGGGCGAATAGAATATTGCGAATATGTAGACGAACAATGCTACTAGGCTCACGTGGGCTCCGGAGGTCTTCGGGATGAGCGTGCAGAGACCGGCAGCTAATAGCGACCATGCCATCTAGTAGGATCAAGGGTTAGCGAGAGGCCTAATCAGATCGTCGCGAAAGCGGTAAACATTTCAGGGGTCAACTTACGTTGGGAAACGTGAACAAAAGCAGCGAACGCCGACCGAAGGTGTCAATTGTCCAGATAGCCGGCCAAGCGAAGATGAAATTGACTAGACCGAACCCCCACGACGCAAGTAAGGCATTAAATTCGGAAGTTCCAGCCTCCTTGAAGACAGTAGACGAATAGAAGGCTATGATATTGATGCCTACTACATATCAGTATTCCAGCTCGCGAAGCCTTTCATTCATGCCGGCAGCTCACCACACATCTGCTGCCCTATCATAACCGCGAATGAGGCTAGAGTCGCTCTTCTGACGCGAGGAATTGTAAATAGTTGTATAAGCCGCTTGAAGTAAGTCGATTCGCTGGCAGCCCTGTTCTCAATCTCAACTTGGGCTTGAATAGCATATAGATCGCGGGCTGCTTGTATGGGATGGTTGCGTAGGAGCAAGAGCGTCTTCATAGCTTTTTTGTATTTTCCTATTACATCTATTAGTGTATTCCCTTGGGAACCTATGCTTGAAACGATAAATCTTACCTTTCTTCACATACCAACGCGGCGACTCTGGGCAAAACAGAATAAGAAGCGTAAGTGGAACTGCCGGGATGAAAGCTGAGCCAATTTGGACTACCCCAGTATAGTTTGTCAACTCACGAAGAGAAAGAGAAATAATAGGTTGGTTATAATGGCGGGCACTTACGTCGCCAGGAGAGTTCACCAAGTTGGCCGACTGCTAAATTGGCGGAACATCCGAGCAATATACCAAAGGCCGTCCATAGCTGCCACGACATCACCAAAGCACCACGGATTGAAGCTGGGCTATTCTCGGCTGCAAATATAGGTACGGTTGAAGCCTTGATACCCATACCGACACCGAGAAGTATTCTTGACATGAAGAGCTGTTTCCATGTTGTACTTAAAGCCCCACTGATAGGGGTAACTAGGCAAAATATCGCTGATATAAAAATTGTCCCTGAATTAAGTTAGGCCAAAAATGTCCCCTTCAAAGAAAGAGGGTAAGATGGGATCTTATATTACCTCTTCGGCCAAAGAGATTATTCAGCGGATCCGAAAGCCAGCACCCGATGAGAGCCGATCCGATATAAGGGGCTGAGTTGATGAGACCAACTAGGAGCACATCACGATCCGCATTCCCGCTGATGCCGAATTGCTGGGGAAATGTTAGGTTCGCTCCGTTGCTTCCTTCCTGGTCCCATCCTTGAACAGCTGCCCCGATCGAACAGGTGATTATCGTCAAGTAAAGAAGCCGAGGGATCCTCCATTTATGTGCTGCCTCTGTTCTCAATGCCTCTTTCTCATCCACGCAAAGTGCTTCGGGGCCCTCGATGTCTTCGAAATTGGCAGGATCTTGGGCAACGAGGGCCCCCTTGCGCATGAGCGGAACGTATTCGCATAAACCGTGCCATTCAGAAAACCTAGTAACTTCGTCGAGGAGAAGTTCTTTGGGGATACCGGCTAATGGGTTTGATATCCTGTAAGGCCCATGTCGGTTAATCGAGCTATCTATTATAGGTGCTTGCTAGGTCACAAACTTGGCACTTAGGTTATGATTGAGGTTGACATGAGCCTTTGTGTCGTAACGGCCTGTCTCTGTAGAGGCATGGTATCGAAATTCCGAGGCATTACGGCTGCGGTCATATTGTCAGTGAACGGTGTAGCACGCGATACTAGTTCATACGGTTGTATATATTTAGCATTCTCTGGCATAATGACTGTAGATATAGGTAACGATGTTGGAGCATGTCGTGTTATTTAGGATTGAAATTAGATGGTAAAAAGCGATTCAATTATTATAGGATATTGTCTGTAGGATTTAGCATATGAGGTTGAAGGAAAGAAAGGAACATATTAGGGGTACGTAGCATATAAAAAAAAAGATAAAGTTACATGTAACCCCTACTTCTCTCTAAGAGAGGCTGCGATACATATATCAATTATCAAAAGTACCTTCCGACTCGCATATGAAACAGTAACCCTACCTAGGTAACTTTTGCCTCGTTCCGCAAGCTAGATCGGAATACGTCGGAATCTATTCTACGGTGAACAACTTCAAGAATTTGGTTTTTTTCCATCTCGCTAGCAACAACCTGATAATACATACGATTCGGGGGGTATCTTAAATGAAAGCAAAAGAAATGAAGAAAAAGTACATGTGCACATATGCTTGACGCCATGAGCTAATCCCGAAGTAAAGAGACATCTCACTTATCCGCACCCCTTTTTTTCCCATCTTCCTTTTCCTTAAAACCAACACACTAGATATAAACCACAAATAGCAAATAGCAGGCCACAGCATACTAATACACTCCCTTGTACACTGAAGGCCCTATCAGCCTTCTCATCCATCTCTCACCCCCCAAAGTACCCTTGTAGCATCCTCATTCCGTTTATTCACCACTCTCACCAGGTCCGCATATCTCGCCTTCCAAAATGCTGCTGCTTCTTCTCCTTCCGCCGGTACATCAGCTGCGGACCTCTCTTCGCCCGGTCGTTGCGCGCCTCTCTTCCACCTTGCATGAGGTACCGTCTCCGTAAGCGTGAGCTGACTGCTTGCCGCAGATCCGTACCTGAGCGCCCACGAGCATTGGTATCGCGTGAAATCGGGTCCGACCTCCACACGCTGTACCGTGTTGCCACCTGCTTTCTGAAGGTATTTTGTTCCTGCGAGCGTGGATAGATTGAGAAGAAATGCCTTTTTAGTAGGTGCGCGACGCGCTATGGTCGCTATAACTGCTTTGACTAGAGCGACCGCTTCATCAATGCCGGCGGGGGGTCCACGCTGGCCTTTTTCGTCGTACCATGTGCATTCCAGTATATCTGCTACGAACATAGCTTCAATCTCGTCACAGTTTGTCCGGTCGCTGTCGTCTGGATTGTAACGTGTAGGCGAGTCCGGAGGATCATCTTTTGATTTGGCTGTGAATACGGTAGTGGTATGGGTGAAAAATGAAGAGGTCTCTTCGACAGGTGGGTCCATCGGAGCACGGGTGCCATTGGCAGTGTTCCCATTAGCTGTACTCTTACCATTCACCATTACTACGGGTGGTGGAGGTGTAGCTAATCTGACAGGTCCGCCAGGTCGGTCTGGCACTTGGAGAGATAAACGACCAGGTCGGGAAGGTCGTGAGCTGGGAGCAGACGTTGGTGTTAACGTCGGTGTTGTTACTGTCGGCGCAGAAGTAGGTCCAGCCGATTTAGGTACCGGATCTGGAGGGGGCATTGGTGGAGGCGGAGGTGGCGGGCTTGATTGGGGAGTATTCTGGCCGAAAGCAATCGCCGATTGGAGCTCCCTACGTTCATCTGGAATCGCGGATAACGAGCTCTCACCAGGCCGATTTGTTGGTGGTCTTCCTCGGGGTCTACCACTGGTTGACGTCCCACCGCTTCTCCAAGCAGAAGATACTACCTTAGCTCCGTGACGACGACCAAGGGATTTGGTTTTAGGACTAATGGCCGAACGGGGTTCGTTCGGGTCCCCCCAAAATACTCCTCTAGTCGAAGGTGTCATAGCAGACTGGGGATAAGCCGACATTGGCTCACGTGAAACATCATTACCCCATGGGTAGGCTGAATTCGTTTCTGGTAACACACTCGATCTTGGGTCGACAGGTGGAAAAACGAATGCGCTCCTTCCATCTGGGTGGGCCGTCCAAGCATCCAAAGAGTCCGGACGAGAGGTTCGAGGTTCTCCACCTAGTGTTGGTGTCGGGGAATCTAACCTTGGCCTTTGGGAGGGAGATTTGCTGAGTCCATCTTCCTCGGGTCTCTTCCGACCCCGCCGTGGCCGAATATGAGGTAGTAAAGCACGCAAAGCCATGTCATCTTCAGCGGCGACACCATCTCTACCATCTTCACATACGGGGTTCGGGTCTGAAGGGATCTGGGTCCAATAAGGATGCGGATTGTCCGTTAAGTAGTCGAAAAAGGCATTTATATGCATGGAATGCATCCATCGCTGTCAGGAGTAAGCCACGCTGTTGCTTAACGTGGATGTGACTGGGTGAATCTTACCTTTAATCTGACGGCATATTGTTGTATCTTCTGAGAGCTTTGGCCCTTGTCGTGATCCGGCGGTTCCACGCCTAACTTCAGGGCTAATTCAGCCCACGTTTTGAGCTCCTTTGAGTGGAGCTTTTTGATAAGTTCGAACAAGGTGAAGGTACTGAAGCTTTTGCCTTCACTTTTTGGTGGCGTTCGAAAAGCTTCTCTCAGCGCGTACGTATCTGTTTCCAACGGCACTGCAGGGTTGCAGTAAAGTATGAAGCTTACGTACGCATCTTCAATAGAAGCACTCGTCACCCCCCTTTGAGGTAATGTAGGTCTTACCATCCCTACTGATCTGGGCGTCTCATTCTTAGATGGAGATAGAAGTGGGTTGAAACGACGGGAACCGTTGCTAGTTGGTGTAGATAAGGCCATCTTATAGTTATAAGATAGCAAAGCGTTCAATGATCCCCATCGGCGGTTTGAGTGTTTCGATTATATGAAGCGGTGGGCCCTCAATGTTGAATGTGTGCTGGGTTGAATAATTCACATAAATTTTTGTTGTAGATCTTCTGTTTTTCGGGACCCGAGTAACAAATTAGGTCCCCTACTCTCATTAAGATTGAGTATAACAAGATCTTGTCCTATATCATACAATTGACCCCTTGTTAGTAGGCTCATGTAAGCTTTGTGTAAGCGGAGGTGCAATTGTCGTTGTAAGTGTAAATGTAAGTGTAAGTGATCACCGTTAACGTGGGGAATAGATCTGTGAAAGGTAGGTAGGCTAGGGAAGCTAGGTAAGCTATACGATAAGCCACCAAGGATTTCGACTGGTTGGAACCGAGCTGGATAAACAAGTATAGACGATATAAATGACGCCGTAATACCGAGTTCCCCTGAATCGAATTTGAAGATTAGATAGAATGAGAAAACTAGTTGACGAGAAATCGAGATTTCTTGATGAAAGAGCTCCCTCCGGCGTCCAATGCCTATTATGCCGAATTCTATTTTGAGAGTCTCGATGGCGGAGGCTGGTGCCACGAGCACGGCTGTTTTAGATGGACCGGGAGTTGGTTGCTGCATGTGTCCAAAAATAGTATCAATACCACGTGACCGACTTACTCTGCGTTGGACTTTTTGGGACTTTTTCGGTGCTTTTTTTCCCTTTGAAGGCAGCAGCGAGCTGAGCAGTACCTACCTAAGGTAGTACGTACTAGCTAAGGCACATGCTGTAAAAAAGGGCCCCAAAATAATAATTAATGAGAAATGAGAAATGAGAAAAACAGAAGTTAGTAGCGAGCTTGCCCCTATTTTTTTCTTTGGTGGTGGCCAAACAAGCTCAGCCCAGCTCTGGTACAACCTGCACAACTTGTATAGCTTGTACAACCCATACATCCCTTATGGACCCTCCGTCCATACAATAAGGTATGATAGCCCACTTCTATTGCTGAAGAAATTGGAAAATTGGAATAAATGCATAAGAGTGGTAAGTGGTTTGTCTGCCTTACTCCCATTGCATTGGGCTAATTTGCCTCAGGTAGGATTGCGGCGGTAAGGGTTGTATAAAGCTGCACGTCATCGACCTTTCGTATAATTTATTAATCAATCATATCATCACCGTCACCTTCGCTTGCAGCTGTGAAACTCGCACCGTGACACACAGACTGATCCCTTTGTCGTTGTCTCAAATATAGGATTGGAAGAATATCAACTGTACCTTTCCACCATATTCTGCATATCTTGCACATCTAGTAGAATTCCAACCTCGATACCTAGTCGGAGATAGATGCATTGAGCTAATGTTGTCTAAGCCTCGTTTGATATGGTGTTGAAATAGCTAAGCCTAGCCCATTGGCACTCAATTGAGGCTGGCCTAGTATATTAATGTAAAAGAAATTAATTAAGATCAGGACATAATAGTAAGCATTGCTCATGAAGTAAAGATATAGATATTCTTGGCTTTGGATTGAGTTCGGGATCATCACAAGATGAAAGAAAAATAATAAGGAATTGATCTTTGGCATATTCCGTGCTAAGAAGTATAGCATCTCTCGCATGTGAAAGCCGAGAATGAAAATGATTAAAATGGAGAGTTCCAAAGGGGTTTGACGAATGGGATGCGGGGCATATGCCGGGGAGAACATGGGGAAAGAATGCTGACCTCGTGCCAGATGGGGAACTAATAGCCTGTGCAGCCCGTAACTTCGGCTTAGGGGATTGGATGATAGCCCTGGAGGGTACTTTTACTCCACTGAAGAGGGAGGGATCTTAGGGGAGCTAGGTAATCCAACAACCCGCATAGTGATGCAATCGGACCTCGGCTTCTAACGTGAGACTTTTGGCTTGTTCAGATAAAGCTCTACTCTATTGTAGATACCCCGATACCCAACCCTACCTAGGTAGGTAACTTTGAATGGGCATAATCAAAGGGAATAACCTAGGTAATGAACTTAATTAATTATACTCTTATATTTCTCTCTTAATAATTCAACTTTATATCTTTTATTCCATCTACTTCATCAACCCGTACCATTCACCATAAACCATTCAATACCTGCATAAAGAATCAACCATGGCATCGTCCAAACCCGTCATACCCCAGAACGACAACGTCGCGCACGCCCTCGCCGGCGCCGGCGGGGGTATTCTCTCCATGGTCTTAACGTACGTCACCAATGTCCTATCGTCATCATACATGAGCGCACAAGCGAAAAGCCACATCGCTTCACCTCGCAGGAAAAGAGACGCTGGTCTATCTACATGTACTTACCTAGGTATATATCTAACCCCTCTCTATCTATAGGTACCCCCTCATAACCCTCTCCACACGCGCGCAAGTCGAATCGAGCCGAGCCGAAACCGCCTTCCTAGCCGCAGCGCGACAAATCGTAGCGCGCGAAGGCACCGCTGGTCTCTACGCAGGGCTCGACAGCGCCGTCTTCGGCATCAGCGTGACCAACTTCGTATACTACTACTGGTACGAATGGACGCGAGGCTTTTTCGAAGCCGCGGCCTCGCGCGCCGGGCGCGCTTCCAAGAAACTTACCACCGTCGAAGCCATGATCGCCGGCGCGGTCGCCGGGTCCGCGACCGTGATCCTTACGAATCCGATTTGGGTCGTGAACACGCGCATGACGACGCGAAAGGGGCAGATTGAAGAGGAAGAGCAGGATAAGAGTATTGAGGACTTGGGGGAAGTGGAGAAGAAGAAGAAACAACCCACAACACTTAGCACGTTAACTGCGCTGCTTAAGGATGAGGGACCACAGGCACTATTCCGGGGTGTGGTGCCCGCGCTAGTGCTGGTCATCAATCCAATTTTGCAGTACACATTGTTCGAGCAGCTCAAGAATGCGTATGAGAGGCGGCGCAAGCGCAGCGTAACACCCACCGTGGCATTCTTCCTGGGTGCTTTGGGCAAGCTATTTGCTACCTCGATTACGTACCCGTACATCACGGTAAAGAGCCAAATGCATGTTGCCAGTGACGACGCTCAGGGGAAGCGCGAGGGTATGACGCAGGCTATTCGCCGTGTCATCAAGGAAGAAGGTTATGCTGGGTTGTATAAGGGTGAGTTTGACTCTTCGTCTATTAAGTTGATGATAATCTAGCCTGGCTTACTAACATACCTACGTTTCTAGGTATTGGACCCAAGGTTACTCAGAGTGTCTTGACCGCTGCGTTCCTTTTCGCCTTCAAGGACGTACTCTACGAGCAAACCGTCAAGCTTCGAGGCGCCATGGCTAAGCGAGCCGTCAAGGCGTAAACACCTGCCTTGATAACTCACTAAAAATGTTTACGATAGGTTACGCAAATTTCCTATATCGTTTTAAAATTGTACATACCCACTGTCTTTGTCTATCGTGTGCCTTGGTTAGGATCAGTAGGGATGCTCTGGTTGGGCTGGTATGATTCCAATGTCATTTGTCATCGACTTCAATTCAAAACGAATTCGATCATTTTCCGTGGCGAAGTCAACGGAGCTGGGTCTGCTATGAGGAACAGAATTAGTAAGTTCTGCTCCATGACTCGAAAAAGGAGGTCAAGGTCAGCTCATTCTATGTATCACCAAGCATAAAACATCAAGATATACCCCGAAGTAAATAAAAAATAATTTCAAAGCAACACACCAAATTACCCGATATCCTTCTCTAGTCAACTCTAATCGATTCCACGCCATTCATTACCTTGAGAGTATGCACAGCCTCTATTCGTAAAAAAAGACCTAACCCATTGCACCTAACAAACCCCGCCTGGTGTGCCACAATCTAATACGTAGACACCTCACTTTACAAGGACCAATTTCGGCACGATCCACCAATCATGATAACCCTTACCAGAGAGTGGCATCTCAACTTTAAGTGCCAGTTTCGGATCACCATCCTCACCGTCAACCTTGGCCTTGTCGAATGCTCGCAGTAATGTCGAGACCGCGACACCCGCCGCAATCGCGGCGCGAAGACATTTCTTGATCTCGCCAATCCATCGGTCGTGCGCATTGGCACTGAAGGCCTGTGCTTCCGACATCTTGGCCATGGCCTCGTAGCCTTTACGCGCACCACCAACTGCACTCTCGGCATAACAAATCAAATCACGCGTTGGGGTTTCGGGTTGTAGCGTTGCACGCGTAAATTCATCGAGCGTCGGTAGGGTTGGGAGCGCGACATTTCGGAACGGCTTCATCCGTAGATCATAGCGCAAGGCATCGGTGCTATATGGCCGTGTTGGTGTAGCAATGAGATTCAAACGTTGCAATACCGTGTACAGACAACACAGGCCATCGGCGAATTCCCATGTGCATGCCGCGTCGAGCATAGTGACGCGTAGAAACGCCAATGAGGTTAGGTACTCGCGCTCCTTGGCCGCCGTATATTGGGGTAGCTGCTGTGGGTGCTCACTATCGCCAGTGGAACCGTAACGTGCCTCGTTTAGACTACGCATCGTGAATGCCTTGATGCGATCGCCATGTTGCGCGCGTGTTTTAGCGAGGTAATTGAGGTACCAATACATGCCGGCAAGCTCATCCGTCTGGTAAATTTCTAACTCGAACCCTAGTTGGACGATCCATTCCATCTGCCTGAGTTTGTAGACGTATGCCCAAGATGATAAGGGTAACGAGAAACCAATCTCTCCCGTATCTATCACAAGGGGTTTCTCATCGAGCGCTATCTGAAGGAGCTGGTCGATTTCCTCAACATCCGCTTGTAACATGTCCCACTCTTGAATGCTATGACATAGTGTTCGTCGGACTCTACAGCGATTCTGGCAGAATATTCTGAAGATATCTAGATAGCACTCGGCCACTCGTTGCCGGAAAATCTCCATCTGTGCTGCGGTCTGATGGCGCGGGTCGGTGGGGACCTCTATCTTGTCGTTGGCGGGATCTATCTGTATTCCGCAAGGTATGACTACGATAGAGAGGTCGCGGTCAAGTATTTGTCGGATGCTATAACTACCTAGAACTACCATTTCATTGAATAGTAAACTTTGTAGCAATGTTCTGATATAAACCAGGGGTTGAGGCTTTCTTGCTTGGAATAGTGAGACGAAATTCTGGGGTATGGTCAGTTTTCATGGCGCGCGAGAAACCCGAATAACCCACCAAAAGACTTTGAGGTTCCGAGTATTTCAAAACATCCATTACATCGATGCCGTCCTGGAAGAGTTGCTTGAAGTGGCCATGACTCTCCTCGAAGCTAGGCTGGACCATTGGACGGGGTGGCATTGTGCTAGCTAATCGCCGTTGCAATTTGGTACTGAATGCCTCTGGCACAGGTTTACCTAATGAATGCTGCTTGCTGATATGCTCAAGCAGACCATTCATTTGTACCCAAGGCATCTTTAGCGAGTCGGGATTGGCTTTTCGGAGACCCGACAGGTCAATTGCCCTCAGAAATGCGATCCGTAATTCAAGTCGAAGATCTAGGGCAATAGAGATATCTTTCATCATGTCATTACTAATAGCCCGAAGGTCGCTTCGAGCTTTGTGGAGTACATTGTTAATTGATGCGACTGGTATTTCATAGAGAAGGTCGCGATCGTAGGTGTTAGTGACAAAGTCTTCCTCCTAGGAGTTGTCAACACAGCAAACGGGGACGAAAACTAGTAGAACTCACTTCGTAGTAGAGTTCATCCTTAACCAACTCATTCACGAAAAAACACGCCTTCAGAAGCCCAAGGCAGTAGGCCCGTAAAACGAATAGTAGTTTTGGTTGCTTTTCTCGGCTCTGGGCGTCTCTTAAGAAGTCGGCTTCCTCTATGCAAGCTGGACGGGGCTTTAGAAGGGCTTCTACGTAGATGCTCGTGAAAAGGGTCTGCGAAAGAGGGTAACCCAGGTGCCAAGCCATCTGGTGATAACATATAATTAGGAGATAAGATACTTGGGATAAGAATTATGTTGCACAACTGAGACACACCTCTAGGCAGAGCAGCTGGTCAATGATTCCTAGGATCTCCTCTGGAAGCAGATCGCGGGAGACGTCATATTCCTCGTCTAATGATTCTCCTTCTGCTAGAACACCGCTATCCATTTTAGGGTCCATGATCTGAGGTGCCTATTAGTAGGCAAGTCCCGATGGATCCATAATGTTAGGCTCAATACTCACTTCGAGGGCCGCGACGGCCTCGAAAAGTGTGAAGTGATCATCCTTATGAAGGTCACCCGGCGCTAAGGCTACTCAACGGGTTAGCAAGTCATACTCGAGATGCAGTATGAGGGAGAGAGTGTGTAGGCGTACCCTTCACAGCAGACTGGAACTTCTTGGTGATATCGGTGGCCATAACCCCGGGATGTGAGATATTCGGAGACGGCGATAACGAGTCAACTGGCTGCATTTTGGTTGTCCCCTGGATTATGAAAACGCTCGCGAATGACGCTGCTATTGGTTAGTTTATGTAATTAATGGTTGCTTATTATTATTTGTTATACCTGCTTTTTTTGAGATCCGAAATGACTGGACAAATGAAAAGTTGGGCAACTAAACTAACCTCAGGTTTAAGAGGTGTGATAGTGAGCGAATCGCATATGATGATTTTTATTCTGGACAAGTAGGCTGAGACAGTCTTTGTATACAGATAAGCGACTTTGCATATTTGTCACTCAACTAGAGACACAAGAACCAGCTATGATGAGCGGGTTTGCAGCTGTCGCGGTGGAAGGGAAGGTTTGAAAAAAAGCGATCTGTCAGGCAGAGGAGATGATAGCAGTAAAAGTTGAATACATGTAGTTTTTAGCGTCGAAATGAGCAGCACCAGAATATTCTTTCAACAGCCAACAAACCGTTGCTCAATTGAATTATTTTATTATCCAATCATACAAATCAATTTTGGTATAGAAGGTTAAATTATTTAAATTTGAGATTTTTCTAAAATCATAAGTCTAACATTAACATACCTAGGTACTTACGAGAGCACCTACCTCAAATGAGAGAAGCTGATTTAGGTACTCATTTATGCTTTTGCTTCAATGTTCAATGTTGTTAGGCAATTGAGGTTAATGCAGTACTACTGCTATCTAGGTACTACCCGAAACAATTTACAGCACATAGGACCACTATATCTCCAAGGTACAGTACCTTATGTAATCCACCTCAAATAATCATAGGCCTCACACCATCACCATTTAACATTGACGTAAGGGTTTGAGTATTGATTTCATATAGAAATGAGGAGGACCAATTCGGATTGATGTTGTTTTTTTATACAGCTGTACACGAGGTGGCGGAATAATATTCATTACCGTCCTTCCTGTCTATTCCGTCTATTCGCATCCGCATATGCATCCGACTCTCCCAAATCCTGGAACTCGTTTCTGTCAAGCATCGGAGTATCTCGTGGTCTAAGACGAACCACTGGACGCGGATTGGGCTGCAGCGGCGGCATTGGCTTCGGCTAAAGGTTTCTGGTCGCCCATCTTGCCGTTCTGTAAATTGAGGCATAAATCGCATCAGCTACTAGTCCCCCAGATTCCTATCTTCGCATTGGGTATTCAACTATTAGGGACGAATAACTCACCTCCCACTTGGCGAATCGTAGGTCCATCTCTCCTCGACGCTCAGCAGCGATTCTCTTATCCTCTTTCAAGCTTCGGCGCACGACACGGCCTGCGACGGCGAGGTAGCGGTTGTAGCTATTTAATCGGATGAGTTAGTATATATACTAGAAGTCTTCGCATTTTCCTGAAGACCTATGAATGTATATCCCGTCGCATAATTATAAATTGACTCACGTTAAACCTGCGGCTTTCCAGGCGAACACCATTTTGACGGTCGCTTGAGGGTCAATTGAGGATGATAATTGATTGAAAGTTGGTTGTTTGTATAGAAACAAAAGGTAGCAGCTGCGGCAGTTTGAATCAAGAAAGACCCGCTAAGGAATCGCTGTCACCGATAGCCCGAGTTATCACGTGATAAAAATAAGTTTAAAGGCAACCCCTCTTTATATGAAATTCCATTTAATAGAATATGTAATTATGATACAAACATCTTGTGTTCCCTGGGGGGTAACTTTATAACTTCTTTTCTTTCCTCTGGACGACACCATAATAGTTGAATGGGGCCTTGCTATCTTAAATTGGGTATATCTTTAACTTAAACAATCACACATAACGATCGAGGGGTACTACATATACCAAAAGATACAGTAGACGGTTGCGCAGGTAGTTGAAGATGGAAAAAAAATTCTAGGGGATTTACTATATGCACATATGGCTCGCCTCGACTCTACAGCGGTGGGTTCATCTATTGGTACACTTTGTTTCCCAAGTTCCGCCCTCTATACCTTTAGTCCAAGCTCTTCTGCATACGGTAATACGTTAAGATCACCAACCGCAGCAACCGTGGCCTTGCCATCTACGAGAGACTTCGCCGCCTGAAACGATTGTTAGTAAAGTAGAAAACAATTATAAAAAATATGGTTTCACATACACTCTTGAGCTTGTCAGCTGTGACGCCGCCGATAGACTGGACGGTCTCAGCAATTTGGAATGGCTTTCCGGTGTGGATGATGCCCGAGCCAGCAGACAGAAGAGTTGATACGCCGGATTGACTAGCCTCCAACGCATCAAAATTCGCTTTGGCAACGGCCTTCGTCAGGTCCTCCTTGCTCACGGCACCCTCTGCGATGCTCTTAAGAGCCTTTACTGCCTCTTCGCTAGCCTTACGAACCGAAGCAGCAGCACCAGTGACCTGGATGGTCAATAGACCAGCATCAGAGTAGGCGAGGTTGACTCCTGAGGCAACCACGCCAGGCGCTGAAGCTGCAGCCTTAGATAGGAGAGTGAACCCTGGCGACCATTTCACATTGGGTTGACCACCTAATAGGGCAGCCAAGACCGCAATTTCAGGCTTGAAGGTACCGAAGCTGGAGCCGGGGAAGGCAACAACTAAGGAGTTTCCGGCAGTGTGAGCCGTACGTTGCTCGCCGCCGTAGTACGTCGTAGCTTTCGTGTTAAGAGCCAGAGAGTTCGATGGCGACGCAGGTACGCTCTTGAAAAAATGTTCCGTCCACCTGTGCAGGGCAGTAGTTGTGGCACCATCTCCAACTAACGCGATGTTCGATTTAGCATAGACGGCGCTGGCGTATTCTGCGATTGAGTGTTCGTTTAGGTAACTCTTGAGTGGAGTTGAGCTCGTCGGGTATAAGGGAGCACCAAGGCCAGTGTGGAAGGCGACCGAATGTGCCGAGTCGAGAGCGAGGGCAGAAACATCGTTGGCAAGTTTGGCCTGCTTGATCTTTATAACCCTCTCAACATCCTCGTGAAATTCGTGCGCTATGGTTAAATAAGCAAACCAATATATTTTGTAGGTCAATGGCTTAAGATGGCTCACTGGTGTACTTAGTTTCGGAGATGACCTCTGCCAGCAGTTCGGTGAAGTAGGGGATATCCTCTCGTAAGAAGCTTGCCTCAAGAACCAATGCTTCTCGTGTGTGATAAGCAAGTAATTGACTTCCTAGAAGCTCGGATTCTCGGATAATACGTAGGGCGAGTCGCTTTTGGGTGTTCTGAAGTAATTGCAGCTAATTAGCTCACGACAATAACAAGATCCTTCGGACATCAATCAGCCCACCTTAAATGCAAATTCTTCCAAACCAACAGTAAGACCCGGAGCAGGCTGATACCTAGTACCAGCCTTGGCGACAATGGCGAGTTTTGTTGTCGGACCGTGAGAGTCTCTGGTGGCCACCTTCACACCCGCAACTTCGGTGGTGTCATAGGTGAGTGATGATGGTGCAGAAGATGCGGCAGCAGCGTAACCCCTTCGCTGAGCAAGCTGTGAACAGCCTTGCCTGCGGGCAGCAAGCTGGGCACCTCTTGAGAGAGCCGATCTAGAGAACATTTTATGAGGGCGATGCCGTCGACAATTGGCGATTGGGGAGGACAGTCTGCGACAACACAACTTTTGATTCCGTAGATCGATGAAAGCTTCCGAGTCCCAAGCAAAAAGATGCTCAATTCCGGTAAATTCTCGGTTAGTCTGAATAACTGGTACGACCGCCTGGACCGATACTTTATTTGAGGCTTAGTGGGGCTAAACTTTGGTCAGCCACTTGAGAGCTAATGCCATTGGTGCATGCGTCTCAGTGAAAAAAAATTCGGGGCGGGGAGCTTTTTTTTGGAGGGCACCTGCAGCCTTAGGTGGAGGGACCAAGCAAGACACTGGAAGGAACATTGAAGCTTCAACCATTAATCTGATTCCCCGCTATCCTAAAAAAGTAGTTTGCGTCGAAATTTATTTTGTCTTTTAAAACGCTCCTCTTCATTACACATCCTTCTTTTTTTTACCTCTTTTCGCGCCGTCTTCGCATCTCGCCGAAGACTCTTCTCTTTCGTACCCAGTACTTCAATGAAGCCGCGGTAGTAATTGTAGTGCTCTAGAGATAGTGAGAGGATCTCTAGAAGCCAACTCCTTCGACAAGTCCCCAAATTCTATCTTTACTTATATCAACTCGCGCGACCGAGTTCTCGAGCTTTATCAGTCATGTTAGTGGTGAGTCAACTTTTTTTTTTTTTTTTTTTTTTTACTTCCGTCTCATGCCGCGTGACAACTTTTCACGATGATATTTACGCAGAATATTTTCAAGATTTCTAATATATAATTAATTTCTTTTTTTATAATAAAAAAAATACTAATGAGATACATAATAGACTAAAAATGTTGCGGAACTCTGCGTTCTGCTAATCAGTGAGCTATATGGACAGCTCCCCTCGGTATATTTTCCCCAGCCGACATTCTCCAAATATCTTGCGACCAATCTTGGAACTAATAAATTTGGTCACACAGCGCATATTCTCGGACCTTCTTGGACGAGGCAGGTCAACCGTCGCCCAGATCGCGCAACATACCTCCTTGATCCATCGACAAGTGCGCCACGGCATTGCTGTACTTATCCAATTAAACCTCATTTTCCACCAAACAGACCCAGACTCGGGTATCACCTATTACGAAGCAGACCCGCATGCCGCCTACAACCTCGTCCGAATAGGCAAAATTCTCGATCTCGTGCGCATTAAGTACGGAGAACATGCGCATTTCCTTGTACACGAAGTCCTCCTCCAAGGACACGCAAAGGTCCCAGATCTCGTCGAGGCTTTTAAGAAAAGCCATGACACACACCAAGGAATCACCAACGGCACATCGCAGAATGGCCATATTCATGTCAATGGCAACGGTACCCACAATGGCATAGATGATGTCGATATGAAGGACGGGGATGCCGATCCTGAAGGACAAACATACGACAATCTTGCCCAACTGATCGCCGTTGGTATTCTCGAACCCCTTACGCCGACGACGTATCTTTCCCCACAAGACCTAAGAAGCACTGTTGAGCAGGAATTCCTCGTCAACCACCCCACAGGTATCCGAGGGACTAAGCAGACGGGCGAGTTTGAGAAGTATGTTAGAGAGAAACTCCGGGAGATCCAAGAAGATGGTGCAAAGCTGAGGAAGAAACTTGAGTATGAGTTCAATTATGTCTATGCTTCTAAGCGCCAAAAGTTGACCAACGGCGCCACATCGAGCACACCTGCCAACGGCGAAATCAGGAATATCATGGCGGAAGAAGTGAGTTCTAATTACAAAAAAAATACTGGCGCAAGTTTTTACTGACTTCATCTCCTAGTATAACACAGTTCTTCGCGTGAACCGCGATAAATGCGCAGTCGAGCTCCGTAATCTAAAACTTGAACAATACGTAGAAGACCTGATTGGCGATACCACATCGAAGGTGTACGCGGCATTACTTTCTGTACTAAGCAAAAAGGTTATTCGCTGCCAAGTTGACAGAACAATTGAGGTTGAGGATGAGGATAACTCGGGTGCTAGCGTCACTACTCAAGAAGTATTCGAACATCTTAGTCCCTCCATCGATTTGTCGGGTGGGATTGGAATGTTACATGAAGAGGGAGCCATTGACGTTCGATATGCGGAGAAGATCCGACGATACCCTCCGCAACTCAAGGGTTCAACTCTTAAGGAGACACTAGAGGAAGGAGAAGAGATATTGGGATCTGATGACGAAGACTACGATCACAGCGGAGAAGCAGCCGCTGAATTTGGCATCCACGGTCAAAATGGCTTTGGTGATACCACAATGCAGGTGGATGATAATTTTCCAGTTGGTATGGAACGGCTACACCAAATGCGGCAGCATCTGCTTATCCTTGCCGAGAGTAAGGAGGGATTCGTGCGTCACTGTGGTGGCAATGACTATGGTCAGTGGACAGTTGATTTCGAGCCGCTTCTACAGCATCTAAAATTTGTCGAACTTGACACTATCATCGAAAACCGTTTCGGCCGCCAAGGTTTACGCCTCACCCGAATTCTCAGAGAAAAGGGAAAGATTGACGACAAAACCTTGCCTGGCCTGGCTCTTATGAAGAAGCCAGATGTTCATGTCAAGATGGCAGAGATGGAAATGGCAGGGTTCCTAGACGTACAAGAAGTACCTCGGGACAACAACCGAGCAGCAGCTCGGACGATTTTCTTTTGGTTTTTCGATTTAGACAGAACGTTACAGCGAATACTGGACAACACCTACAAGTCCATGGTTCGGTGTTTTCAACGATTGGACGTCGAGCGTCTTAAGAAGAAGAGCGTCCTTGAACTCACCGAACGTAGAGACGTGCAGGGGAACGAAGAAAATACGTTGAGAGGGGATGTTTACAACGAATACCTCCAGTTTATCGAGCTCGAAAAGAAGCTTCTTAGTCAAGTCGCGAGGCTTGACGATATTGTCGCAGTCTTTAGAGATTTCTAACTAAGGATCGTTCACGCGCATTTGATACCAGGGCCGGAAGGATATGTTGCATTGCATGGCGGCGTTGATTCATGAGTGGCCTAACTTCTACCTAGGTACCTCGAGGACTATAAAAAATGGGCTTTGCATTTAGGACGGCGTTGGCTTCTGATCAATTCGATCAGTGAAAAAAGTTCAATTCTATGTATGGTACATCGGGTCATATATCAGAGTGTATGTTCCCGATAGGTGATGTACGTGTAGAATTGTCTCTTATCGCTATATATACCTAGGTATATCCACGTTCCTATCTCTATGGGTTCGTGAGTCTTCATTTATAGATGATGAAAAAAGCTACTGTTGCAACGTATAAAGACAATTTCCTGTTTAAATTTAAATTTATACGTATATGGGTCTACACGTTCCTGTTTCTTGTTCAATTGCAGGTGCAATATAATCCCGACTACCTACCCATATGTAGGTATCTCATGATAAAATACCCTAAAAGTAACCTACCTCTACAGGTAGGTGAATGTACCTACGAATCAGGATACGTAAGGTCCCCGGTCTCGAGCAGGGGCCAACGCAACTGAACCTTATCGCTGGGTCGATAAGCTTTTTGATCGTCTAGGGACTCCCCCTGGTCCCTGAAGCTCCCGCAGCTCCCCCACTAGATTGAGTTAGGGCGGTACAAATTGGTAATACCATCTTGAATTTTTTCATAAAGGAAAAAAAAAAAGTTCGGCGCGATCGAAATTTTGTTGGATTTTATCGTGGGCAATCCTCCTCCGAGTCCGCCGTCGCTTGCACCCTCTCGTAGCTCCTTAAGATACCTAGGTAATATACATACATAATCTATCGGTTTAGCACATATAAGCGACCAGATAATCTACTTTTTCAAGCACCTTTCCTAGATTATCCCGCTTTACAACCCATAATGGCGCCGATGGTCACTGGTAAGGAGCGCGAGTCGAATCTGGCTCGGCTCCTCGGTTCTGGTGCGTTTTAACAATGCCTCGAGGCCAATTATAACATTCTAATGTCTATTATATAGGTTCCGCCGGTATTGCCGAATTGGCTGTCTTCCATCCTGTGCGTACTTTTTCGTTCCGGATCGTTACCCCGCGAGACTAATAACTCCGAAGGTCGATACCATTGCGAAGCGATTAATGAGCAATCAGACAAAAGTGCGAACAACCAACCTCGAATACTCGGAAAATTCGATATTAATCGTGATATAGATCAAGAATACCAGCGAGCTAAACAAGGTCATCTTCAAGGACAAGGCAGAGGCAGCATTCGGTCGAAAGTTCGTCTCGCTTTTCCCGGGGTTGGGTTATGCCGCCGGATACAAGGTCAGAAATACTGCATCGACGAATCGAAAAGACTGTTGGCTAAGACGTAGTACAGGTTTTGCAAAGGATATACAAGTACGGTGGTCAGCCAGTTGCTAGGGATTATCTTGCGCAACACTATGGCAAGGACTTTGAAAACGCATTCGGAAAGAAAACCGGCAAGGCTATTATGCACTCGACTGCTGGAAGGTGAGATTTGACGTGACGAGCCGCTTAGACAAATCCCGATTAACGCATTGCAGTTTAATCGGTATCGGAGAGATCGTGTTACTTCCCTTAGATGTCCTAAAGATTAAACGCCAGACCAACCCCGAAGCATTCCGAGGACGAGGTATCTTCAAGATCATCTCCGATGAGGGCTTCGGATTATATAGAGGTTGGGGATGGACCGCGGCACGCAATGCTCCTGGTTCATTTGCGGTATGTCCGACGGTTGGTTCTCGTATGCTCAAGCTAACATACTGTAGCTATTCGGTGGTTCGGCATTCACTAAGGAGTACGTCTTCGCATTAAATGATTACAATAAGGCATCGTGGTTCCAGAACTTCATCGCTTCCATTGCCGGTGCTTCGGCTTCATTAGTCGTATCCGCCCCTCTAGACGTCATTAAGACCCGTATTCAAAACAGAAATTTCGAGAACCCCGAAAGCGGCTTCCGAATCTTGACCAATATGGCCAAGAATGAAGGCTTCACCAGTTTCTTTAAAGGATTAGTACCTAAGGTAAGAAGAACACCCCCCCTATTCCGATCTTGGTACAGCGCTAATCTCTTGTAGCTTCTCATGACTGGACCCAAGCTAGTATTCTCCTTCTGGCTTGCTCAGACGCTTATCCCAGCATTTGACACGATGTTGAAATAGAAAGTTAATGAGGTGTTCTCAAGCCTCCCTTACCGGGGATAAAATGTGACGTCGGCCGGGGATATGTATGATAGATCTGGGTGCCTATAGTCCGCTGTATGTATATACGATTGGAGCCGGCGTTTTTTTACGGTCGTGGACAACTAGCGGTACAAGGGGCGGACTCTATCGGTTTGGACTTACTGCTTAGATGATTACGAAGACTTCGATACGATAGATGAGGGGTTTTCTACCTATTTGCTGGGCTGGAGTGAAAGAAAAAACTCGACTCTTGTCAATATTCCATGAATCCCGTACCTAAGTACCTACCTAGGAATTTAGATGCTAAAGGGTTTATTATCCGTGGTTGCAGAGATACCGTAAGATGTGTAGATGGTCACATGGGAAGTATAACCCTTGTATTATCCTGACGGTTTAATCATGAAATAATCAGTTCTAAGATAACACGCTACACTAAAGATGACAAATATTCAGGTTTAAAATTGGAGCTATATTTTCAAGATGAATTGTTCATAAAAGTTTCAAGACATCCGAGAATAATCTTCTATACCTAATGCCACATAGCAAAATAGGCCGTCCGGTGTAGGTAACAATAATCATATAGTGCCTTTTAATCTTCACGTTCTAGTTGGCTGGCTTTCGCCTTCGGCTAAAATAACCTCGCCGGCAGTTATGGCTGTCAAGGATTCTCCACGGCACCCGCGATGCAATTTATAGATCAAGGTATGGGGTCAGATCGTGGTCCCGTCGTTGATTTAAGAAGCGAACAGAATCCCCGCGGCACGCATCGCTAGCCATAACCCCTTTAGACTTCACGCCAAGGATCTCACGATGATTTGGAGCGCTCTCATTGCTGGTGCCCTCTTGGGCCAGTCTGCCTCTGCGCAGAACATGCTTCGTTTTGGTTGCTCACAGCTCACTATCGAGCGTGCTGACCCTCTAGTTTCCCCTGGCCAAAACCCTGCCCCCCACACCCACCAGATTATCGGAGGAAACTCGTTCAACCTTACGGTAGGTTGACAAGAATTTCATCACAGACTATCGCTAACGTGCCTTAGATGGAACCGGCCGTATACGACCCCCCGAGCTTATCCACCTGCACTACATGCACTTACTCGGAGGACTTCAGTAACTACTGGACTGCCTCATTGTACTTTAAATCTCCTGAGAACGGCACCTTCCAGCGCGTTCCCCAATTCGCCAATGTTGGTCTCCAGCAGGATGGAGGTATGACAGTATACTACATGCCTTACAGCGCCAAGAACGGCAAGGTGACGGCATTCAAGCCTGGTTTCCGAATGATTGCTGGCGACCCCACGAACAAGCAAAATGTCTATAAACCCTCAATATGCCACCGCTGTCTCGGAAACGGCGAGGGTTTCGCTCCATGTGATGCCAAGGACACTGGAGAGCTACCCACCAAGTACTGCCCTGGCGGTATCCGAGCGACGATCATCTTCCCGTCGTGCTGGGATGGAAAGAACCTTGACTCGCCGGACCACAAGACCCACGTTGCCTACTCCAACGGTGGTGGTCTCGGTAGCCCGAACTGCCCTTCTACTCACCCTGTCGCTATCCCCCAGGTCATGTACGAAGTCATGTGGGACACCGGCAGATACAAGAACGACGCTTGGTACGGAAGTGGCAAGCAGCCTTTCGTCTACAGTTTTGGTGACTCGTAAGTTCCTCTAACCTTTATGAGTCGATATTTTAAGTAGTTACTGACGTCAATGATAGTGTTGGATACGGTCAACACGGTGACTACCTCTTCGGATGGCAGGGTGATGCTCTACAAAAGGCTATGGACGCCCTACCCACTGGACGATGCGCCAACGCCAACTGCAACGTTCTCAAGATCCAATCCGCTGCTGATGCCATGAAGTGCAAGAAGGCCCAACAAGTCGTTGAAGATGTTGGAGGCAACGGCCAATGGATCAAGGAGCTTCCGGGTGGTGTTGCTGTCTACTAAGTAGATACAATATCGGAAGAGAGTGTTTATCTAAATTCCATATAGTTGTCGCCGTCGGTGAAGTCGTAAAGGAGTTCTTAAGACGGTCACTCTTTTAGACAGACTTGCAGATAATATTTAACTTTTAAACTACACTTGCTCAATATTGATCGAACTCTATGTTATCTATATATACCTAGGTAGGTAGGTAGGTACAAGATAGTCGAATCGTGTTACCCCTAAGTGTCTTATTCGAGATTTTATAAGTACTTCTCTACGGAGAGTTAGTCTCATATCCATATATAGAAGCTCGCATGTGTCCGTTAATTTATTGAATTGTTATAGGGTTTGAACACGGCGACGCGAGCGCTTTCGAATATCAAGTGTGAGCTCGTAACGTCTCAGAGAACTCGTTAGCCAGGCTATTCACACCTCAGCCCCCTATTCCTGCAGTCCCAGGAATACCAAATCATTCTGATAGATACATCCGACTTACAGTACTAACTCTTGAAATACTTTCTAACTTGTTGTCGACCAACGATTTGGGTATCTGTTGAACTGTCTTGTTAACAAAAGGATACCCGATAATTATCCGATAAGTAGTAACTCGAAGTCGAGCTAGTGTGTAGCAAGCACACTATATAGACACCAATAATGAACGAATTGATTAACTGGTCCGTTGGCCCAATGGTAAGGCGTCTGACTACGATTTAATGTGTAATCAGGAGATTCTGGGTTCGACCCCCAGGCGGACCTTTTTTTTTCGCTATTCGCAACTCCAGCGTATTTCTTTTTGGGCTGTAGGTAAATGGATTGTGAAATATTGATTGGAAGGGTGGTGCGAATGTAGCTCGTACTATTTTGTTTGGCAATTTTTACGCGGCCAAGTACGAATTTAATAGCATGAGCGACCGGTGGCATGAGAAATTCGAGGGCCACGCAAACTACGTTACAGTCTGCTATTTTTGGAGCTGGCTTCTTGGGAGTATTTACGGCTATGGGTTTTACTATGACAATTATCCATTCATAAGGTTATATATTGCAAACAGTATTAGAGGAATGAGAAAAAGTGAAGTAATGATGGGATGGTGCTGTCTTGGAACTGTTGGGAACCCCGCTTTGGATTTACGTATGACGTCGGGCTTTAAGATAGAAGTTGCTGTGGTCTCATAGCTGGGATCAAAAAAGAGGAAGGAAAAAGCAAAAGTTGGAACAACTGTTCAGTTAGTTAGGTAGGACAAAAGTGAGAGGTCCGCCTGGGGGTCGAACCCAGAATCTCCTGATTACATACTGTATCGTAGTCAGACGCCTTACCATTGGGCCAACGGACCAATCCGATTGATGGTAAATTGTATTGTTTTTGTAGTATATGACTCGTTGTGCACCGAGCGCGGACCCAACGGTTTAGTGCAGTCGAACCTAGCGCTAGAATCTTCATCGCATTGGTGGATCTTACAGAGAAAAGAGCCCCATTAAGTACGCCCTATTACGCGGCTAGGGAAATCTCAGACCGCTTGGCCTCTTTTTTGGTTCTGAAGATGACCGACCACTGTTAAAATCTGATAAGGTGTGGTTTAGCGAATGGATAGGGTGGTGGACATCTACAGCGGTAGATCATGCGAAGATGCCGTACATGATGCTTGCCTTGCTTGTTCGCATCTATGTGGGCACGTATAATTTTGGATCAAGACCTGATTTCCGGGGGTTCCGTAAATCTGAGGGCTTTGTTCGGAGCTATCGCTAATTGGCAACAAGCTACATACTAGATGTAGTTGATGTGCTTTGAGCCCGGCTTATAATAAATTATACTAGGTATCTTACATGAAAGACCAAGATCGTAAATCATTTGCAGGCGGGTTCTGTAGATTTCCGAGGACCAGTGGGGTTCGATAGTTGAAAAGCAAATCGCTGGCTGGGTTAACCGTATCTTCACGCACTGGCAGACTAGCTATCCGTAATCTGCTCCCGCCATTCAAAAAGAAAAAACAAACCAAAAAAACACTGGCTTTGACAAGGTAGGATATACAGAGTGCCAAGCTCGCGGAGATACAAATCCTGATGAAATGGAAGTAGGTTGGTTATTAGTTCGTGAAAGATTGGGGGTAGTGATATTGCTAAATTCAATAACCACAAGGTAACTTAAGATTGTGTTGAGGGAGGGTAGGTAGATAATATATAGTCGAAGTGGTATAATATGGTGATGAACCACAGGCAAAGATGTGACGAGTTTGGAAATTTGAAGTTACAGTATCAAAGAAACATTGAACGAAAAACAGCGGGCGATAGCTATCCCTGTCGCCCAGCGCTGCCCAGCTTGAGTGGATAGTGCCTGCTAGCCTTGGAAGCGCTATTAATGTAAGGGGCAAGAATACAGTGGGTTAGTGGGGACATTTATTATGCAGGTATTGGCCCAAGCTTCTCGTTGCTGGGGCAGCGGCGTGTGACGTTGCAAATAAATCGGGATTGGGCAAGACCCCCGTTTTGTTTGTCCACAGAAAGTGCACAAGAGGGGAGGACCCATTAGGAATAATAACACAATAATACAGTAATAACCAAGTTGCAGCTGCCTTCCACAAGCTTATCACAATGGATATTATCAAGGAACCCCCTTACGTTTAAACCCATGCTCCGTTTTTTTTCTTTGTTTAATGTTCAACTTCATTAAGCCCACCTTCAACAATCATAACTCTTACTGACTAGCATCGCTTTTTTGAATTCCCGCTTCGACGGGGCCAGCTTGGGCTAGTCTTTCTTATACATCATTTTAACAATTTGACACAAAGCGATACAGTATTAAGCTGCGCTGCAGCTATATACGAATTTAAGAGACATATCATTCCATCAGTCAATCAAATTGACTAGAAAAACAACTTCTACATATAATCTACCCTCCCGAGTATGCCGCCGGTCGAGCGCGACGCACCGGTCGACCGGCCTCTAAGACATCAACATTCTTCTTCAATTGGAGCTATTGTCCCAATGTATGTTTCCAGTCTTTCCTTTCTACTGTTGTTGTCCAGTCAGCCATGTGGTTGTATCGTAGGCTTACAAAGAGTTCTAGGTGGGATAGTTCCGACCCAGAGCGGGCGCCGCCGCCTCTGCCCATGCACCCTCAGTCGCCCGGCGTAGGTACATCGCGTAGTGGCACCTCGCTAGCTATCCAGTCGGCGCACGCAGCTCTAAATGAGAAGGCGCGCGAGCATGCTCTTGTCCCTTCTCTCGCGAAACGAATGAACGAGACGTCACCCGAACGTGCTCTTATACGAGGACCAAGCCCTCATAAACGAATGCAATCCCTCCAGCCCGGTAGTGTTAGAGACCTAAGCCTCATGATTGAGGGCTCGAGGGATCGAGATTCAGCGAACTCTACCCCTCGCGGCTCGCCCGAAAAAGAAAGGCCCGTAAGGCCAGAGACACCAGTCCGTGGAAGAGATCACCAGAATAGGGACTACGACAGAGACACTAGATCATCAGAGAAGGAGAATACTGCTCCAGGAACACCTACACCGATGCCGCAAGGTCTAAATTCCGTTACCCGCCCATCATCGAGGAGGCCGCCACAGAGCATACTCGGTGAAAATACACCCCCTCAATCCGCAACAATGTTGGCATTGCAAAATATGCCTTCTAACTCATCGCGAGAGGCCGAGTCGCCTCTAGCGGCCGTCACAAACAATTCCACACCAATGATGAAACCACATCCCGCCACAGAATACCTCTCCAGTCAGCTTTTAACTCTAACCAACATTGCAACCGCCCTCCAAAAGGAAATGTCTCAACTCAGCCGTAGGAGTAGAGATAATGCTACCGACCTGATGAGCCTCAAAGAAGCCACACATGCCAGAGATGAGGATATTCGGAAGAGTCTACGCGAATTAGCCTCGAGTGCGACGGATCCTACTCGTTATCATAAAGACACCTACACTGGTGGCTTATATATCGACGACAAGCCATTCAACATGGGTCCTGGGTCAAAGATTGGCAGGCCTTTCTCTCTTCCACGGATCCCATCGCCGAATAGTTTCGCGGCCTCCATCGACAGAGAGTCTATTTTGAGTACGCCATCTCTTGTAGGCGGAGAGTCATCGCCTGCTACGATGGCTTTGTTGGAGAAGATCATTAGGGATATGGGGACGAAGGATGGCCAAGACACAATCGTGGGCCGTCTATCAGAGCTAGCCGACAGACTATCCGGAATGGCTTCAGCAAGCAAAGTGGAGGAACTCATTCATCACCTGAAAGCATCTAGCGAACACTCCTATGGCCATGGGATGGTAGACAACCAGCACAAGGCAAGGACGTCGAGTTTCAGCAGTGATGACTCTGGATCCAAGATCAGCGGCGTGGTGAATCGAAGGGTTGAAGGGTTACTTAATGGTAAAGAAACCAGACGACCTTCAACCTCAGCCACGACACGAGTAAATGATGTTGTAAATGACGATGTCATGAAGGTTATCCGCTCGGTTAAGGATAGTGTTGCACAGGCTGGAGGCATGACTGCTGAGGTTAAGGCCCTCGTACGGGAGCTTCGAGGTGAAGTTCTCGGGATGGGACGGGAGATCGGTAGGAAGCTAGAGGATTCTCACAAAAAGGCTCCTAGTAAGAGCGAGACGGCTAGCAGAGCCGAGCTAGCAAGAATCGTCGAAGAAGGGCTTGAACAGATCAGGGTTTACATGGCCCAACGTCTCAAGGACCACCGGCGAGACTCATCCGAGATAGAGAAGCCTGCAATCGATTATCAGGAGATCTATAACGCCCTAAGGACTGCTCTCAGCGACACAGAAGCAACGAAACACCAGGAACCTCAACTAAGCCGAAGCGATGTAATCGAAGCTGTGAAGGATGCCTGGGAGAATTACAAGCCCGAGATCGAAATTCAACAGATCGGTCTCGAGCGGGATGAAGTTCTTGATTGTCTAAGAGAAGGATTGGAACATTATGCACCACGCCAAGATACTCCCCAAGGCGCCAGTCGGGATGAGGTCTTTCAAGCAGTTGTCGAAGGACTAAAACACTTCGCTCCCCCACAAGTCGAAACACCTGTTAGCCTTTCCAAGGACGAAGTCATTGAGGCAGTTAGAGAGTGCCTTGAGGATTTCGAATTCCCAATTGCGCCTTCATCCAATGACCTAACTCGTGATGATGTCATAGATGCCGTCAAAGAGGGGATCAACTCAACGCATAGTACTGCGCTTGTACCCCATGGCGGAGAAAATAGCTCGGAAGTCATGGAACGACTCCATGACATAATGCAGTACATGCGAGATGAATTCAAGGCGGTTTCTGAGGAAGCGAAGCAGAATGTTGCGGCGAATGGTAGAGACACCGAGCAGGTCTTGGATGCTACTAGAGACGGCTTTGACCAACTACGGACGCACATCGAAGGCTACGTAGACAAAGCCGTGGGAGGTTCTAGTCACGAGGAATTGATCAGTAGCCTCGAAACTGGGTTCGAACAATTGCGCGCCCACATGGAAGAGTTCGTCGGTAGGGATTCCGGCTCCACTACTTCGGGCCAGGAAGAATTGATGACGAATATTGCCGAAGGCATCGAGCAATTACGGGCACAAATGGAGAACCGTACTGACGTAGCCCCCAGCGTTCCTAGCGCTACTAACCAAGAAGAAATAACGGCAGCTCTCACAAGCAACTTTGAACAGTTACGAACTCATATGGAAGGCTATGTTGACAAGGCCTCTGGTGCTTCTAATCAAGAAGAGCTTATGACCAATGTCGTCAACAGTTTTGATATCTTCCGTGAAGAAGTTTCCGAGCTTGTAGCCAAAGCTTCAGACGGTTCTAGGGATATAATAAGGCAAGAGATCGAATCGCTGCGGGACACCGTGAACTCTTCCCTTGTTCCTCACGTGCCACAAGTAAGCGACAATAGGGATGTTCTAGAAGCCATCCGCGAAAGCATCGAAAGAATACGAGGGGAGTTACTTCGTCCTCACGCCGGAACGACAGATATTCTTGACGCCCTACACGAAGGTTTTAGCGACCTGCGAATTAGCATTGAGAAGGTAGGCAACAAGCCAGCCGATCTCACTGCTAATGATGAAATCCTTGACGCCCTAAAATCTGGACTAGATGGTGTCCAGACGAATATCGAATCGCTTCGCGATAACAGTCAGGAGAAGGCTATTGCTACTGTAGGAGCAGCCATTCCGAGTGACGCTCTCATTCCAGCGGACCTTGTCAAACATGATGATATCAAGAATCTCGAGGTCATGATGACTCAGCTTAGAATCAAAATGGACTCTATGGAAACACCACAGCCCCCGCCTCAGGCCGCAGGAGGTTTATCGAAAGATGACCTTGCGGAGATGGAAGAATTGCTCAAGAATGGTCTATCTAAAGAGGACTTGAATGAGATGGAAGAGATGCTTCGGAACATGCAGGAGTCGATGGCTGGCATGGCTGGCATGTCTAATAACAAAGAGGGCGAAGAAGTTCCGGTGAATCTTGAGGACGCCGCTACAAAAGAAGACGTACAGGCCATTGAAACAATCCTTCGAAACACCAAGGCTCGTTTGGATGACCTAGTCGACGGAGAGCAAGCCGTTCGCAAAGATCATGTTGACGCTCTTGAGGCTCTCGTACTTGAAACCAAGGACTCCCTCGCGACTCTCTCAGGTCAAGTGGAGACCGTGTCCAGAAAGGAAGATCTACTCGCCGTCGAATCTCTCGTAAATCAGATCACCACTGCCCTAGCTGAGGAGAAGGAGCGCGTTGAAAAGTCCCTTGACGACCCTGAGAGAGTAACCAAGACGCAGGTTGGAACAGTCGCAGCAGCAGTGCTTGAAGTCAAGTCCGTTGTCGAAGGGATGATTGAGACTAACCTTGCAGCTATCCCCTCAAAGGACGATCTCAAGATCCTCGAAGACAGTGTCAAGGAGCTCAAAGAGAATGGCGCTGCGCTAGCGGAATCCAATACTAAGTCCTTCGAAGAGCAAAGGACGGAGACTACCGGCGTTGGTGAGCGAGTCGTAGAGGTCAAGGCATTTTTGGAAGAATTCCACGGTCTAGTGAAGGAGAGGCTCGAAACCGGTGGTAACGCTATTGAGTCATTGGGCAAGATCCTCGAAGGTGTAAGTGAGACTGTCCAGCAGAACGCCGACGTCGGTGGCAACCTGAAAGAGATGTTCGACCTCGTGAAGTCAGAATTCGAGGAATCGAAGGCCAATATGGTGGGCGCTAAGCTAGATACCGACGAAAAGGTCAAAGAGACTACCGAAGCTCTCGGAAACAAAATCGGAGAGAAGATCGGCGAGCTAGTAACCAAATACGACGAATTTCAACTTGTGATGGAAGACCGAACAAAGACGTCAGAAGGGAGAGATGAAGAGATGAAAGCTGCGATGGTCAACACGAACACTATAGCGGAAGAATTGAAGGTTCTTATCGATACTCTTGGCTCGACTGTTACTGATTCCCTCGAGAAAATGGAGGAAGCTTCAAAAACCGTATTCGAAAGAGTCGAGACCCTGTACGGTAAAGCCGAAGATAACCACGCGGATGGCAAGAATGAACACCAAATGACTCGCGACCATGTTAAGCAAGCAATAACGGCCGTGGAAGGTCTCCAAGGCCACGTCGGTGACTACCAGCCAAAGATTCTCGACTCGATCAAAGAAGTGCTCCTTATTGTCGGTCAGCACTATGAGCACTCGAGGAACTCAGAAAATGGCATTTTGCGGAAGATTGAAGATGCTAAGCCTGAACCCTTAATGTTGCCGCCTCCACCCGAAAAATACGATGACAGCTTGGTACAGACGAAATTGGATAAGCTGGACACTGAGATGCACTCTATGCGTGAGAATTTGCACAGCCAGATGCATTCGAAGTTGGATAGACTGATAGACTATACCCAAACCTCCGACAAGGCGTATTCCCAGCTTGACACTCTAGATAAGGTACACCAACAAGTTGTGAAGACGGCTGCCGATATTTCAGAGTTCCTCTCAACACAAAAACAGCGCATAGAAGACGAACACGAAGATCGGGAGAAGACGCTTCAAGAAACTACAATTCAGCTTGAGCGCCAGAAAGCCGAGCAGGAAAACATCGAGGCCAACTTAGCATACCTACGAGTTGAAGAAGCTGAATTGCGCGATACAGTCCTAGCTTTAAGGGCCGAGCAAGAATCTCTAACCCGCCAAAAGATTAGGCTGACGGCCGATGTTTCTTCTCTTGAAACTGCTCTGCACCTTCGTCGCGAAGAACTTCATGCAATGGACGCGCGTGCTGAAGGATTGGAGCGTAGGATCCTTGAGGGTGTTCTGGACCATTCTCGCGCCCTCCTCATGACTAAATCTACATCCAAGGGCCGTGACGCTATGAGCCGCAAACGTGTACCTGGTGCTAGATCTAGTTTGGGGCCTACGGATGACCTCAATTCTATGTCCAAACAGAAGTCCCGAGGAGCAGTCAATGTGGCAGTCAACAGTGGTAGGGCCAGTCTAGTACCACCCAATCCCGCCAGTGCCGGTCGCCGAATCCTAAGTCTCAGCCAGATTACGAACAACGTTCCTACGGGTGGTATTAAGCGCAGCCAAAGTGTTCGTACGCCCGCTGGTGCCGGCCTACGAAAGGGTAGTTGGGCTCCGGGAAGAAATGCCACGGGTAAAAGCTATGGCGATCTAGACATGAATAAGGAAAATGTAGAGCTCGTGCGTGAGAGCGATGAAGAAGCACATGATGATTCGCCTACACCAGAGTCCGAGCCGGGAACGCCGACGCCTGTGGAAGATGAGACTGTATTGATAGCGGACTCTGCCGATGACGGCCCCGTTGATGAAGACGAGGAGAACGCCACAGAAATACCACCTGAACCTGAAGAGCACGATGACGCCAACGAAGAGGCCGATGCGGCTAGACGCTCAAGCCTCGGTACTACAGTCATTAGCGGGGCAGAAACAGAAAGTGGGTACATTAGCGAGGACCCAGAAGGCCAGAGCGAGTGGACCGAGAGCGCATTAGGTACGGAAAGCATCATCTCCGAAAGCATTGCCGATGGTGATAGTATTGCTGGTGACGGTGAGGTTTTGGTGTACAATTAGTTGCTCAATACACCTGACCCTATGGTCTAACGCGATGCTGCGCTGGGCCGTACTTTTCGGCCAGGTTCGTTGAACTAGGAGGTTTCATCGAGTGTACGATTGTGGTTGGTTCGTCTGCTTCGCTCTTTTTACTCGTCTTGTTTATCATCTCGTTTGGACGAAGGAGTCAGGACCTTATGCTTTACGGAATGAGGGTTTACGTCTTTGGGCGTCTAGCAAGATGGAAGGGGTGGGTTGGAATGAATAGGGAGAAGAGGGAAATGGTATTTTGTTTGCTTTTTACTTTCCCTCTTCGCTTGTTCATGTTTGGTTTAGATGAAGTGAGTTATTACCAAGTGTGCTCGGTGGAAACAGAACTTGGGGACAGAAATAACCGATGGACATATGTACGAAGGGCTGGTGTGGCCGATTGATTACATATTGCTGCTGCTTTCGAGGAGATTGAGATTGTTTTATTATCCATGAGTAGCAGTAGTAGGGGTGTAGGAGTAGGAGGAATTGGAGTGGCTTTGTTTAAGGGAATAGGTCTTGGTTCTCCATAGCATTATTACTTATGATAATGATGACGGATCCATACTCAAACATTTTTTTCTACATCAATTGACTGATTGATTTAAGTGACTTGATAGTTCTAACTTGTGTGTCACGTTTTAATTTCTTTTCCATATCCTTCGGTGCGATATTGATACACATGCAGCCACAGTCTGCATGTCTTCTCTTTTCGTTTTTATTAGTATTGGTAAACCAGTGGTCATTTACCTCTAATAATAAACGTTTCTCAAGTTTAGACTCTTATTTCCGATGATCTCTCACAGTAATCTTCTCCCTTCCATCCATCCACAGTCTAAGGCACTCGGGAATCGTAACCGCCAGCTCGTTCTCGTCCCAACCATTCTCCAAAACCGCAGCCAAGACTCGGGGTACTGCCAAAGCCGTCCCGTTCACGGTCCATGGGTACGCCAATTTCGCGCCACCGCGGCCGCGCGATCGCGTAGCTAACCTTCGCGCCTGGTAATCCGTACACACGCTCGCACTGGTAACCTCGCCCCACCCGCCATCACTCGCACCGCTACTGCGTCGGCTGGGGAAAAACGCCTCGATGTCGACTTTGCGCGATGCCGAAGCGCCAAGGTCGGCAGTCGGCATTTCGAGGACGCGGCATGGAAGACCTAGACCTTGCAATATTTCAGTCTGCAGGTCGATCATCTCGTCAAAAACTTCGGTTGTTGCGTCGCTGTCGGGTGGTGTCCATGCGAACATCTCGACTTTGGTGAATTCGTGAACGCGGTACAGGCCCTTGGTATCGGCACCTCGCGCCCCGGCCTCGGCGCGATAGCATCGCGATGCACCAACGTATTTTAGTGGTAGATCGGCTTCTTCCAGCACAGTATTGGCTTTTAGTCCTGCGAGCGGGATCTCTGCTGTACCAGCGAGACATAATTCCGGCTTGCCGCGCGCAGCGTCGGCAGCGGACCTCGTTAGGGAATAGATCTGCTGCTCGCCATTTTGGTCGCGTGGCTGAAACCCGCAGGCCGCAGCGATGTGATTGTATACAATGCTCGGGGGCGCGACTTGCCGCCACCCTAGCCCCTGTTTGGTTACCACAGCAAGAGTATAGCTTATAAGGGCTTGTTCTAGCTGCGCGCCCTCGTCGAGTAGGTAGTACCACCCCCACCCAGAAGTTGTAGCGGCGCCGGCGAAATCGAGAAGACCGAGCTCGGAACCAATATGTACGTGAGACCGCCAGACGCGATCCGATGATGACGATGGTGGCTCCGGATGCTCATTTATATAGCTTAGTATGCGGGGTTCGTCACCACGAGGCGTATCTGGGCTTGTTAAGTTGGGAATAGCGAGAGCTAGGTCGGTCATTTGCGCCTCGAGCCGAGCTTCGTCTTCTTCGATCGTCGAGAGTTGTTCTTTGAGAGCACGTGCTTCTTCCATAAGCTGTTCCTTTGTCATGGCCTTTACATTCTCTTCGGTAGTTGCGGTGGTGGGTATTGGTGTTGTCTTTGCAGATTTAGATTCTGTCTCATCGTCTTCGTGCTGAATGGTAGCCGGATTTGCGATTTGGCGGCGTAAGGCATTGCTTCGCTCGCGTAAACTGCGACCATCTTGTTGACATGTTTGCCATTGCGTGAATAATTCAATTATGCGAGAGGGATAAGTGCTTTGTGTTTTGTAATTCTTCTCTAGACAATTTTGTTCGTACAACGTGGGGTTCTGACGAATGTGCTTTATGTCGACATTTGGTTTGGGGGCACTTGGGGGTCTGGTTGAAATAGGTATGTCATTGTAGTTAGAGGTAGTGCTATTAGGGCTAGTACTAGCGCTATATCTATAGGTTGAATTGGTGAATAGGCGTGCTGTCGTAGAATTGCGCAAAATGTATTGCCTTCTTTGAGGTCGAATTAGACGACACTGAAGGCATACAAAAGGTGGCTTCGGCATCTTTATCATGGTAATAGAGTCTCAATGTGATAACTTCCTTGAAATACTATCCAATTGTCATACATAAAGACATACGTGTCGTAGGTCGAGTATTGAGGTTGTAGTTGTAGGTGATAGAAAGAATTCTAGTCTCGTACCATCCGTCACTCTTTTTTGGAGTAGCTGGTGCAAGCTTCCTCCCCGCATATTACAGGGGACAGGGGACACTTGCCGACGGTACATATATAATGCACCTCACATGTACATTTAAACTATAAATTACTCCTATCCCCTATATTCTCACAGTTCTCATGGTTGACGACTAATTTATCATAAAAAGAGGGCAGATTGAGCATTAGTAAATAATAGTTATTTTTTTTTTCTTAAAATCTCAATTGCTTGAGTCTTATGGTAGGGTATCTTTACAATCAAAACTCACATCAATTACTTCATCATACCTTGTTTTCCGCACAGCGTCATATCGAAACCCCCAAATCAAAGAGTACCCCATACACCCAGGGTCCAATTGCTGCTGGCTTGGGAAGCTTGACCTCTAATCAACCCTCCAGCACCCATGCTCTGTCTCTGTTGTGCTTTAACATCCACTTCGTTAGGTCGACACGCGCCGTTCACTCCTTGTTGGAGCCATAGTTCACGGTCGATTGTAGCTAAAGCCGGCACTTTTAGTTGTGTAGCCATGCTTGTCCCGCACCATGGTCCTAGCGAGTCTAGAACCCGAAACGTCCCCTGAATAGTTGGTTTGTAGTTCTTATCCTTCTTAATCATTTCCTCCACTTGGTCAACTTCAGAGGGCGCATACGCGGGGTTGGTAGGCGGTGCTGTCCCACCCTCTTCCGCATTGCTACTCTCAGTCTGAGCCACGGGAATAGGCCCACCACCGGACTGCCGGGCGCCGTTTCGCCGTAACTTCGGGTTCGTCCTATATTGATCAACTCCTTTTCCCCTAATCGGGTCCCAACCTCTTTCCTTAGCGAGGAGGGACACTTCATCATAGATACGTCCTCTTAGACCAATAATATTTGAGCAGCCACCGGTGAAGATGATACGCGACATACAAATGGCGCGAACGTCTAACGGTAGCTGAAGCAAAGCCCGGTAGGCGAGTAGATGCACAGGAATCTCATGGTCGTCGAAGCAACATGGCGAAAGATGAGGCTCGAAAAAGACAGCTTCACATGGTTCCGCAAGATCTGCAAACGGGATCTCCACCGTCTTCCGGGGGTTACAGGAATTGAGAGTGACAGTAACTGGGGAACGATCCTCAGCCGGAGCCACCGTTTCAGACTCATCCTGCTCGTGTAATGTTGGTAGGCCTTCGCTAGAATCTTGTGTGGGTTGTTTTGCATTCCTCTTGCACCATAATATACGAGTCGCAAACTCCTCACACTCTTCAAAGCTCACGGCTTTATCCTCCAATTTGTCATCAGTACGCTCGGTCCTAGCGGTGCTTGGTCGCCCTTGCATGGCGTTGGTTAGGAACTCGTACGTCTCTTCCACTAATAATTTGCCAGCTCTGACGGTCCTCCAGCTCTGTACTTCTCTGAATTCATATACAGCTGTAACTGTTGTTTCATGCCAGCCAATATCAATTATTAGGCCTGACCGGGCGCCCGCCGCCAATGCCGCCGTGACGGGTGATGAATAAAGCGATATCGAGGGTGTTTGGAAGCGGTTGAACACGGTATTGAAGACGGAGGAGATGAGTGGTATAGGAAGTGTTGGTGGTAGGACGAGGGCTAATCTTCTTGGTCGAGAATCGATGAGAAGATATCTAGAAGTGTATACGTCAGTTATAATTACTTGTGAAATTGATTTAGATGTTGCCTACTTCATAAACGTGTCTCTCAACTCACGTTCCAGCTTGTCTCCGATTAAGACTAGATCCTGTCCTCTGACATCTAGCTGCCATAACTCATGATCTGCTCCCCAAGGTTTTCCTGAAGCTCTCTTCCGCCAGTCGGTCTGGAAACTAGCCTCCCAAGCCCTGAAATCCCCAGCGCGTCTCTGCTGCTCTGGACCAAACGACACGATCCTCTTAGGAGCCGAGTCGCCCGCAAAGCCGATCCGCAGTTTCCGAGAACCCAGTTCAATAACGATTACCTCATCGTCGGCGCGTAGGGTGGACGGAGATCCAAAGGACGAAGGGACCACCGTCGTTCGTGGAGGGGTGTGAGGCGTGGTTGGTAAGGCTTGGATTGACGAGCGGTCGCCAGTGCGTATACTAGACACGGCCCTATGGGGTAGACTGGGTCCAGCACTCGACGACATGCCTATTTGTTTGTATGAAATGGATTTCTTCTCTTACATGTTGAAGTTGAACATGGTAGGTTTCGTTTCGTTTGGAGAGTTTCGTAGGGAATTTAGATTTAGAAATTCCAATTTAAAGTTAAAGTTGCCATTATTTTGTACCTAGGCTGCTATGTAGCTACCTCAAACACGATATGCTTGTACCGAAGTAACTTTCTTTGTGGTTGGCCCCGCTTAGGTGCAGAACTAATCCCTGCTTGTGCATGGTTGCTAGGTGGATACCAAGACGCCAAAGTCAATATTTTAACTCGAATCCTCAATCAATGCATATTTCATCATCATTAACATCTTTCATTTACATTCTTATCGCCATCTTAATTATTGACTTATTTCGATATTCTCAGTGCTACTCTACAACCCAAACCAACGATTCGCTTCTCAAAAGGCAAATCCCTTCTAATATCATACCCTATGGCTCGGTAGCTTCTTGCTAAGTTACTAAGGAGGATTTAGCAATGGGGATCAAAGGGTCGGTGTGATTCTTGCTTGTATCATGTTTAAGAAGCCTTGCACTGATGTTAAAACAGGATATACAAAGAAATTGGTACCGGCAAACGAATATCGTTAACAAAATTGGCTGTCGAAAAGCTTGAGGAAACAGGCCGACCCTTACGTCTAGCTATAGATATTTCCATATGGCAATTCCAAGTCCAAGCCGCCAGAGGTACCCCATTCCCCCATGCAAGCGTAATACTGCAAACATGCATACTGACAACCTTCAGGCGGTTCGAACCCGGCTATTCGAACGCTCTTCTATCGATTGCTTCGACTCCTCAGCTTATCCATACAACCCATATTCGTCTTCGATGGCCCAAACAAACCAGCTTTCAAACGGAACAAGCGATCTGGTAGAGGTGATGGAGTCGCCACATCTATGGCGAAACGACTTATCAGGTTATTTGGCTTCCAATCACACGATGCCCCTGGCGAAGCAGAGGCCGAATGTGCGCTCTTACAACAAAGCGAAATTGTAGATGCGGTGCTCAGTGAGGATGTCGATACTATCATGTTTGGCTGCACACGAACACTAAGAAATTGGTCATCCGAAGGTGCAAAAGGGAGCAAAACCCCAACTCATGTTTCCATGTACGATACTGAAGAGCTCATAAAGGATGGAACCGGCCTAGACCGTGAGGGGATGGTGCTGGTTGCGCTAATGAGCGGTGGTGACTATCTTCCGGAAGGCATTCCGGGAGCTGGCGTTAAACTTGCTTGCGAAGCTGCTCGAGCTGGCTTCGGAAAGTCACTATGCAGACTGAAGAAATCCGATACGTCTGAACTGGCCAGTTGGAAGGAGTGGTTGACCTATGAGTTGCGGCATAACGAGAGTGGATTTTTCAGGACGAGGCATAAAGCCCTGACAGTGCCTGAGAGCTTTCCGAATCTTGATGTACTCGGATACTACACTCACCCAGTGGTATCACGCGCCTCCACCCTCGACAAACTGCGAAATCGGTCTTGGGATAAGCCGGTTGATGTGCAAGGATTACGTGAATTTGTCCGTGAAACATTTGATTGGAGTTATCGAATAGGAGCTATTAAGTTTATTCGGGTTCTAGCACCTAGCTTATTAGTACGAAAAATGATGTCCCGAAACATTCAAAATGAGGACGGTACCAAGTGTGTCGAGGTGTTAGAGAAAGAAGAATCGGAATTAGTTAAGTCAATTACCAGCAGGAGGACTCATTTCAGCACAGACGCCACAGCAGAACTGCGTATATCGTTCACTCCAACAAAAATTGTCGGGTATGATTTTCAAGAGGAACCGGATGAAGTGATTGAGTATGGGCGGGACGGCCTAGCATTAAATAGCGACGACGAGTTCGAGGCTTCGGAGGAGGTTTCGGAGGCTGTCGCGACGTCCGGCAGCAAAAAGCCATTCAATCCAACCGAACCCGATCTACACTGGATACCAGAGACAATAGCTAAGCTTGGCATACCTATCATGGTCGAGGACTGGGAAGCAGCGCAGCGTAATAAGTTGGCTGCTCGTCAGAAGCCAAAGGCTCCAAGGAAAAAGGCAAAACCTGCGGCTATACCTGGCGGTTCATTAGATAAATTCGTCAAAGTCACGAAAAGCATACCTCAAAACAGAAAAACAAGCAAAGATACCATACGAACGATCACAAGACCATCATCGCCGATACAAGCTAGCAGCCCACCCAACATGTTGGGCGTACCATCGCAAAACTCACCTCCCCTTCCACCACTCAACCAAATCTCCTTCAATGCGCGGGCTACAAGAACCAGTAAGCAGACCACATCCAAGCCCAAGCCCACGTCCACGTCCAAGTCTACCATCAGGAATGTACCCCCAGCCTCACGGCCAGACGCTACCACCAATCCCTGGACGATTGCCGGCTCACACGTCAGTCCTAGAGTCACCAAAACAATCAAAACCAGTGCCAAGACCACATGTGCCGAGACAATTATTATCTCCTCTAGCCCTCCTGCGTCGCCTACCACGAGTCGTTATGTAAGACAGGGTAGTGGTTCAACTAGAGAAGACTATAATACTTCAGCGCGATTTTCATCTCCGCCGTCGAGCCCGGGTAAGAGGCGCCCAGCCACGCCAATTAGTTTGTCACAAGATGAAGGGGATGAAGAACCAGGTCGACATAAGTCGGCAATAAGAGCGCCCAGCCCATCCCCCAAATCAAGCGAGAAGAAACCGCGGCGCAGGCTAGCCAGGACGGAATCATTACCCGTAGCGCAAAACCAGCCGCAATCGCCGGCGAACAGGAAAGGCAATAACAAGACACGACCATTTGAACGGGCGCGGACTGTGGCTGCGGAAGTCTTACAGCTTTCCGATTCGGAAGATGACGATTTCGATCTTCCACCGCTTAGTACGGTAATCAGCAAGATACCTATCATAAGCAATCCTAATAGTCCGCTTGTGCCCAGCAAGCAGATTAATAGGATCCCGGAGCTACAACCTCAGCTAGCGGAAAAGGAGGTGCTAAAAGAAAATATGAATACGGTAACAATCCAACCTACACTAAAGGATGCATTCAGCAGCACGAAGAAAACGACTAAAGTCTACATACCCCGTAAGAGCGAACCGGGTTTCTTCAGGGAGTTCGAGGTCGAAGTCGATGAAGCCGATGATTTGTTGGCAAAGGGCCGTGAAGGTGCTGCGCGAGGTGATGCTCGGGCGGCAGCGGCTTGGAGACGTAGCGACATTTCGTGCATTGACCTAACAAGTGTGGATTAAAATTTCTATAGTTATGGAAACGCCATGATCATGATTAAGGAATCGTAAGTCGACGCCGGCTTGGCTTAAATTACGTTGCATTGTAGGAGTTTCGCATTTATTAAGTAGGATATATATATAGAAATGCGAAGACCTAAAAAAAAAGGTGTTGGGCGAAAACATGAGATTTCGCTTGTTTTCCTCCTTGCTGAGGCTGTGATATGGTCTACTGTGTTCATTGTCACCTACCCAGGTGTACACAATGGTCATTATATATAATGATTATTATATATAATAATTATATTGTTTATTATAAAGCTATACATACCCCATATTCACAACTTAGTAAACTTATCGACCTTGTCAAACTTGGAAATGAAAATTTAGCTATTTATAATTTATTTATCATTATGCTACCTAAAAAAAAAAAATCTAGGTAATTGGTTGATGTATGCAAATAGAAAATATCAAACGTGTAGATATAAATATCGGTGGGTATCGTGAAGTGGGTTTTCCATGAAAGAAGACTCCGGTCCTTATACAATTCAGCGCAACGAAAAGAGCCTTAACCGAACCTGGGTCAATATTTGGGCAATAAAATTATGATGATGGTAATCGTAAATTCATAGCGCGTCCGCTATGTTCTCGTCTCAATATGGCAGAGGAGATAGATTTCGATGCTCGGATAACCCGCATCTATCTCGTGCTCCTGGATAGTCTTCCATCCCGTTTCATCTCGTCTCATTTCATTTTATGTCGTGTCGTGTCATTTTGTTTCGTACTTCGTCGTGAGATATGCAGCCTTAATCTTGTAATGACTCTTATTATTCCTCGATAGTCCATGGCAAATCCCTCTCCATTACTTGGACGCACGTCAAATAGCTAGTCATACCACTAGCAATTACGGACATGCTAGGAACGCCGACACTAGCATTACCAGGCATGATAGCGCTGCGCTCCAGCTCTAGTTCTAGCCCGCTACCCATAAGAGGTCGAACTATCTCTCGAGCCGCACACTTGAGCTCGTCGATACGTTTCTCAAACCGTCGTAGGTTTTCACGCGAATATAGATCGGGCGTTAATTTGAGGAATCGTTTGCAGTCATCGTGACTTAAATAACCAGCCCCTGTTAATGAACCCAACGTGCGATAAGTGCGACCTAGGCTTGCGAGATTTGGCGTTGTAGATGCCGTGGCAACTACGGCTGCAGCGCGGGCCGAGCCGCTGTTATGTTGCTGCCCTCTGGAAGAGCTGGGAGGGGGCACCGGCGCTGGTGATGTATTATCCGCGAGCCACTGGCGGAAGAGAGATACTGCAAGCCAGTCAAGGTACGACGTATTGGGTGTGACACGCTCGCCGCGTGAATTAGTTAGATTGAGGCGAAAGAGGCGACCCTCGATCCTGGATACAGTCTCTTCAAGCTCGTCTACCTTGTCTTCAATGATGTCGAGTACGATTTCTGGAAACGACTGTCGAATGCTACGCTCTCCAGCGGGCCATTGACCAACCACATGAATCAAGGCTTCTTGGAAAATGACCTTGCTCCTACTCAGATATCCCAATCGTAGGTAGCTAATAGGATACTTGGCGATTTGTTTCCATAGCCTGCTTTGAAATTGCAATAGATGGTGGTCGACTCGGGGTCCAACGACGGCCAAGGCATCATATTGGTCCGCTAGAGTTAACAGCGACTTACACTGCACGTAAGCATCGGCAATGCTTATGCTATCCAATACCGGCGAGTAATTGTAGAAAATGCGGAAAAGGTTGTCGTAATCACGGAGGAGATCAACGTCGGCTTGGGAAAGCGGTGTGACTGGGTCTGGTTTCGTCGGTGCAAGGGAGAGATTTGCGACGGAGCGGAAGAATGAGCTCGTGGAATACGTATGTGAATGGCTCGCCTTGCGTGCGGCAGGGGTATTTGCGGCGACACTCCCACCTCCAAAGATAGAATTTGGCTGCGTAGGTTCGGGAGCACTTGACGAATTGGCCTCCTTCTGTACTAACATCGGCACATCATCTCCTCCGGTTCCAGGATCTAATTCATACCGCCATCTTCTCCGCGGCACAGGGGAGCTCGCCCCTGGTCGAGCTACCTCACTTCCACTGCTACTAGCGCCCTCCTCTCCTATCCTTGTGAGTTCTTTCGAAGAGGTATCGGGTAACGGTAGCAAACTCGCTTTGGACCACTCTTGGCTCGTACTCGCCTCAAAGAATCCCGAACATCTTGTCAAGGTGTGTTTGTGTAGGAGATATCTGTTCTCCCTCCCCCCAGCCATTATGAATATCTCGACGTCTCCCGAGTGACTAAACACGGGGAATTCGTTTTGTGGAACGTAAGAACTTCCGCCCGCGTGGGAGCGGTTATACCGCTTACTACGGGAGGATGCATGGGGGCGGGAGGCGGTTCGTGACGAAACGACGGAGGAGGGGCCGCGGAGGGTTAGAGAATGGTCGGGTTGGGAGATCATGAATACTGGCGGGAGGCTGAAAGCTGGAGGGAGATGTAGTCGACGTTAAGACACAATGGGAGAAGGTAGCTCCTCTAAGACAAAGAGAGAACTTGAAATAATTCTCGTGGTCGACTCGAGGTGTAGATCCCCTGGTCGTAAGCCGACGAGCCAGCTAACTCGCGTGTTAACTAGGCGCGTGGTTAATACCGATAGGTCATGGATAGATCCGTCTTATTGCGATCGGACTAGAGGCGCAGCCCATGTGGCTTTCGAGATCGGCTGAAATCGTCCTCTCAGAATAATATTGTCTCGAGCTAGTGTATATTTGAGGTATGACAATGACGTCCTTCCGTGCGACTGAAATCGGGTTTCCGCGGAAAAGAATAAATAAAAAAGAGAAAAGCAAAAGCAAGATTAAGGAGTAAGAGAGACAGAGTTCCGTTTCCTCACTCTTTGGTGGTGTCCACAGCTTGAGGCAGCTAAATGGATTAGGTACGCAAAAGCACAGGACAATCAACATGTGGATCCACCCTATTGCAAGAGCATCACGAGCAACTGCGTGCTTAGATCCAGGTCGGTGCTTGACCGATTGTTGTCGATTGATAGGTTGTTGGCCTTATTGCGGCTGTGCAAGGGTTTCGTGCCAGGTGCGTGCTTCCCAGGTTCTCACGATTTCCAAGGGTTGTTGCGATTTCGCCACAGCAATTCTTGATATGTGGTAGGCGGCCTCCACGAAACGGACCAACAATGAAACGTTCTAGAAAAGCATCAAGAAGAAAAGAAGAAAATAAAAAGAGAAGTAGTTTAGAGGAGAGGGGGGTCGCGTCGAAGGGTCAATACGAGACGAAAACAATGGTATATAAAGGTTTATCAGATGTCGCGCTTCCGTCCGCCGCGTTCTTGTTTATTGTATTATTGTATTACCTACTAGGTACTCGGGTTTGTCTTGCGCGACCATAGAATAGATAGGTATGAGCTTCGATTGCCTCGATACAACCAAATGTCAAATGCATGTGCCTCGAAATGCAAGTTGAAACCGGTGGTCAGATGTACATCGCTCGACACCGTTCTGCCCCTCGCTCTCAGTTCTGGGCGAAAGAATGGATCCGAATGCAGCAACTTGCTTAATGGACCAGTAACGGATAACCTATCGATAGGGAAAGGTTGGCTAGCCGGACATGGCTTCGGCTTCTCAGCACCACTCGTTTGTTTGTCACCTTGGCGACCTCGAAACCCTGCATCTTGGATTTCCTTGAAAGTCGAGAGAACTGGGGAGCTGGTCAGCCTAACTTGGCGAGACGGATTCCGCCTTGCCACGTTTGGTAAATAGCATCAAATGTACCTAGGTACATAACAATTTAAACGGCCTTTGGTAAAAAGAATTGGTGCATATGTATTGACAACTTATTAGAGCACTTGAGGTTTAAAATGTTTGAAGAACTTATTGAAGGCGCATTAAAGAAATGACTCCTAGGTACATATGTAGGTACACATTTTATTCTATTAGAGTTTCCACTACGGCAAGAATATATGTACATGGATATATGCGCAGCAGGTGCAAATAAAATAACCTAATATATTGGTTACATAATATGCTACTTAGATGTAGCAAGGTAGGCATGCATCTGATTACGCCATTCAAATTATGTATATGTAACTGTTCGCACACATTTAAGTTGACCGTATGAAAATACCGAAATACCAAAATAAACGTAGCGCATTCGGCGCTTATTCACGCCATCACGATGACTTCTAGAAGCGAAGCGATATACGTGATTTAAAGTTTCAGGCAAATTCCCAACGTCGACGCGCTTGAGATGCGATAGGAAGCCCTACTTCAATTATCATCTTTCAGTGGTCCTCAAAACTGAAGGTCCGCATTCTAGTTATCAGTCTACTCCAGTATTGGCTTAAGAGTCCAAGAGAATCCATAAAGCGGATGTGACCCTGTTGTCACCCAACCTCTTCTTTCACGAATTGCTAGGCAGCATTTCATGCACTCGCACTGATATAAAAGGTTATAATGCCCCAAATCGTGGGTCGAACTGCAGCGAATTTGATTTCTTTTGGCGAAAAACCAACCATGTAGGATTCTATCGTACAAGTTATGTATGCATACAAGCGCCGTTGAAAGGAAGAATGAACTCTAGGCCCCGCTAACTTTTTTGTGTGTGGGCCCAAAATACTAAACAGCTCAAAGTCGTATAAGCGAAGCCGTTGAAGTCGTTAATAAAAAAAATATTTTAGTAATTCGAATGCGCCCAGCCGATACCAGCCAATCCCAAGTTACCTCTCGCCAAGCTACGCCGGCATGTCCTACAGCAAAAGCAATCAGTGACCATCTCCCTTCGGCAATTTAGTTCATGTCCATTTCGACATCAACTGGTGCCATCACAACTTCTTGAGCAGTCGTGGCCTCGATAGGCCTAGGGGATTCCGCAGCAGACATGACCTCTGGTCCCTCAAAAACGGGAGGAGACATTTTAAGATTGGCGAACGTTCGGTTTAGATCCTTGCTAACAAGTTGTCCCTGGCGTAGGTTCTCGGCAAATAAGAAAAAGCCTTCCGTAGCCTCGACAAGGTAGGATTGAAGCCCTTTACTCTCAAGTTGAATTCGGACGTTAGTGACGGGGAAATGATTTTCGATGTATCTCGCCCACCCTCGAGCAGCAGCTTGGATGTGTTCGTCCTCACTGATGCGGTTCCATCCAATCCCGAGGTGAAGTGTGAAGTTGTCGATGATAGGCTGGCTGCTTGTGTCCGCTGAGAGGCCGGGAGTGGATACAGCAGGGTCTACGTCACGGATTGGGCTGGATCGATTGATCTGCGATTCAATCCCAGGGACCGCGATGGCGTTCATATCTAGTCGTTGTGATTTGCTGCTTCGTAGAGATGGTCGCTCTTGTTGGTTGATGGCACGAGCCTCCTCATTTTTACGGGCTTCGGCCGCGGCTGTCTTCTCTTCAAGCCAAGTGCCAGATTGGCTTCCAGCATCAGCCACGTATGACAAAGGAGATTTGATGAGGACCATTCCTTCGCCATATACCCATTCGTCTTCGGGCTCTTTCACGGGCTCGATGGTCTGGAGTTTGACCTCTTCGACGTCTAGATTGACGCCCGCCTCGTCTCTCGATCGTTTTCGGCCAGCTGTCGAACGAGCCATACCAGAGGGCTGAGACCATGGAGAGGGGGCCCCGAAAGCTTTGGGTCGGCTGAAGGGAGAAGTATGATGCGAGAAGGGGGACATGCCAAACGCGCCTTGGTGAGCGGCACTTGGTGACATAGTAAGGACTGGGGACGAAGTACGTTCGAAAGAACCCATTTTGAATCTGTTAGCACTAGATATCAGATGAAATACGCAAAATAAACTGGTTAGATATCTGATCTTATGTCGACGGCGTCAAATGGTATGATCGTGTCGCGTGTCGAAGAATGGTAGATAGGGTCGATGATGGTTGGAGGGTTGTCTATAAGAAAAGAGGGAAGTGTCAATTGATCTAGAAGAAGTGAGTAGGGGATTTAAGAAACAAGATACGATCCGGTGATAGGTGGTTCAATGGTTGTCGGTTGTTTCGAAGGTTTGTTATGTGGTTATGTAGGTGGCTACCGAGGTGGGTGAGGTGGAGGAGGGAAGAGATGGGAGATGTGAAGAGGTAGGGATGGGAGGATAGATAGATAGGTGGACGGGTGAGTTAATGTTAATGTGCGTGCAGGTATCTATGAGTACCTGGGTATGTATGTATGTATGTGTGACGAGATAAGAAAAAGGAAGAAGCGGTATGAAGATGTCCTATGAATGTAGTGATAAGGACGAGGATGAGATGTAGTGAGTAGAAGACTAGGACGAGAGAAGAAGAGGTAGGTTGTAGTTGGGTGGTGGGAGGATCATGTAAGAAATAGGGAAGACGAAGGGAGAAGAGCCTTCAGCAGTTAGCAGCAGTAGCAACGCGGATTTTACATGCGCCTAGGATGGGATAAGATAGGATAGGATGGGCAGAAGAAGAATCAGGGCGACAAGGATGGCTTGTGTTATTAGTGTGCACTGCTGGAATACTAGGAGGTAGATGACGGGAGACAGTGGAGCAAGAAGGACGGAGTCGGTTACACGGTATTGTAGCGTAGCAATGAAGGGACGTAGACGAGGAAACGGAGAGTTGGTTCCATAAGTGTATTGTGTTAAGAGGCAGAGAGGCAGAGGAGGTAGGTAAGCTGCAGAAAAGCTGCTGTAAGACCGGGGCGGGCTGAGACCAAGCCGTGAGAGGGTGTGGGTTATGAGGTGTGATGAGAAGGCACGCAAAAAACTGAAAATCCAAAGTGAAGGGTATTATCTAGGTACATAGATACATGAGAGAGACACTATGCAGAAAAGGGAAACGGCTCAGACAAAAATTGGATGATTTACAGGAGTTTTAAGGGACTGGCCAATCGGCTACTGCAAGTAAAAAGCATGAATGGGATTTGTACCTAGCACGGGAACAGGTGCAGTGACGATACTTACATACATTAGGTAGGTAATAATTTAGTAACCTCGGTGGATATTGAAGCAGGCTGGTGTGCAGCTTGCAGCTGCACGCGTACGTCAACTTTTTAGACTTTTTAGGGGTGCTCAGGCCACCCTGATTGTCGAACCCTGGAAGGAGGATCGGGGATGCAGAGAATTCGGTAAGGCGATACTAGGATGGAGCGACCCAGGCGGCTCTAAGAGGACTTACAGTCAATTTGATTGGTCAAAGGTTGCTACGGCTTCGCATGGAGCCATGGACTAGTGGCTTGGCATCTGGGGCCGAAAAAGATCCCATAGAAATCTGGATGTTATTGGCCGAGAAAATCCCCCACTCAAGAGTCTCGTCTAAGGAGCAGAATTATCCACCGGTTATGTCCGTAAATGTAATGTTGATCGCGATTTGCTACGCTAGGACAAACCCGTGAACCCATTGCATAAAGTGGTACAACTTTCCACATACAACTATGGATAGGAAAAACTGATTGACCGATCCAAGGGTTCCAACTTATGAACACACCAATAAGACAACAACGATCGACGGAGAAAAAAAGGATGTGGCCGGGGATGCGGAATTGTTGATGCCTACCCACTTCTCCTCATCTTCTTTGCCGATACGATGAATAAAGCTGCCGGTTACCCTCTCTAGGCACAGCATTAAATGTTTGCGTCATTCCTTTGTAGCAATCTATGTGGACCTACCTCTTGGTACGAAGTAAATGAGAGCGGGGAACAACAGTGAGATAGATGAATGCATTCATTCTATAATAACACTACAGGTTGAGGATCTCTTCCCAGTGTATACACGATAAAGCCGTCCATGGTACCCTTTTGCAACATCTACTTAGAAACAACAACCAGTTTGATACCGTGTTAAACCTGTCGGTACTCGCCCTGTTTAGACCATCTTGCTTATTATATCCATGGGATAGTAAAGCTTTGTCTGTTTGGTAGTGAGACATCCTTACAAACGACTACCTTCAAAACACATGATTCATGTGAGTAACAGACATTGGCATCAATCTCATTCCCCGCCTATAGAGCTCTCCTCTCGGTATTCAGACGCCTCATAGAATAGTGTCGAATCTTCAGCATTCTCCCGCCCACTATAAAGACCGTGAAACCCAGGAGTATCAAAGCTTGATGGACTATTTATGGTACCCCCCCTTCCCCTTTCTACATTAGAATGGTACACGGACCGAGGACCTCGACGTGGGAGTGGCGCGGTGTATGCTCCATGAAGTCGGCTCCGATGACGGGCCTCCGGAAGGTTGTGTGGGGTTTGTGGTTGTGACGATGCCGGAAGAGCATCGTTGTAAATCCTTAGTCTAAGTTCCGATCTGCTCATAGATTGTGACCTGTCTTGCGTCGGCGAACTAGAGAATGAGCTAAAGGTATGTGACGACGGCGACGAATCCGAAGACGGAGAGCCGTAGCTAGGAGACCGGACCATGGATTCGACGAATCTCACTGCTGAGCCAACCAGTCGCCTACCGTTACCCCTAGGTGTCTACCATAAAAGGTCAGTCAAAACGTGCATAGCGCCTCATCCGACTCACCGGAGAGTTTGAACGGATGTCCGTCTGTGTTGCACGGAGAGACGATCGTCTAGGTGGGGTTTCTGGCGGCTCCTGAGCGGCATCGGTGCGGACAGCTTGTGTCTGACCGTCATGTCGGGTCTATCAGTTAGTTTGTCAGTTCCAATGCTATCTCCGATAACAATAGGGACGGACCGAAGGCAGGGACTGCGCATCAGAGACAGATCGCATTTCTCTCGAGAATGGCGGCGGAAGTGTCATTGGCAAATTCCCCCAACCAGTTGGACGTGGTGTATTCAACAATGTAGGGTTCCCGCTTTGTGAAGAGCCTGGTATACCCTGAGAGCTACTCTCGGCAGAGTCACCACCAGATCTTCGAGGACGCCGAGGCCGGTACGCTAGACGCCTTGGGCTTGTTTCGATACCGGGAATCGGATAATCTTTAGAGATGGTTCCTTGGGTTGATTGGCTTATATCATCCTGTTCATGTTCCGACTCGATGCTCCTTTGAACCACAGGGACCTTCTTGGTACGGATAGGTAGCTTCCCTAAGGAATCTTCTCTAGCAAGATACTTCTTAAAACGAAGACGACGGTCAAACTCCTTGACTTCTGTTATGGTCAAGGAGAGTGTAGTTGATGATAGACGTAACATATCGTCTGATTATTTCGTTGCCAAAAATCCAGGGTTGTGCCTCTAATTTTGTATTTGAGAGATCTCACAACGTTGCAGACATTATCTACATGTAGTTGACTTATGTATGCGGATGATAAGAGTAACCTTCTGCTTCGATGTTTCCATCTTTTAAAATGGCAGCTACAAGCTTTATTGAGCAGTTGCACATTTCTATTAGATGCTTGTGACGTAGGGCTTGTTTCGAACGAGCTCTAATTCGGACGAAGCAACCATGTACCTACCTAGTAATTATACGAAACCATTCATACTATCAGCAGTCCAATCGCTAGTATACATGTATATACTTCATATCTAGGTAAGGTATTTACGTGTTATTTTGGACCACCGGGTTTTATTGAAGGCGGAAGATTGACTACATATAGAAATAATACCAATGCTCGTAAGTATGTAGAATTGATAATTGACCTGGTTGGCTAGAAATTTAGAATGTTGCAAAGTACCTCGAATAAATGAAACCCTACGCTTGCCGGAAAGACCAGACTAACAAAAACATAAAAAAGGAGTAGCTTCAATTTGAGTGCGTCTTTAAATCTTAAACTGGTTGAGATTCGGATGATGTATTGGATGTATTGGATTAGGCTTTCTAATAGGAATGCACAATGCACAAACCTTCCTTCCTCTGAGTGAAAGCATCGTCTCATGAATCGTTGATGCGTACATACCTAGGTCGACATATGCGTATTCAACCTACATGTATTGACTGTTAACATAATCCCATAGTTTTTTCTATATACATATTTAGGCAGGTATTATTGATGCTCCTAAGTTCAAATCATTATGTAAATTCGGACAAGCTTAATAAGAAAATATTTAGGAAAAGAAGCGATAAAATATAATAGCGAATTATTAAGAATGGATTATATGTTAAACCTTCGAGATATTGAATTATGGCTGTAGCTGAATGCGAAAGGTACATGCTAAGATATACAGAAATCAAGTTGTTGATATACTTGCACGTGTTGCTATCAATTGACTTTTGTCAGCGGTCAAAATGAACAATTAAAGGTCGTGGGGTGTATCTCTTTATCAGCGTATAAGTATACCTTAGTACCTAAACGGTTATAGGTATTGGACCCTTGAACGGAAAGGTGCTAAATTCGGATGTGGACCGCTGTAAATTACGAGGTATGTACCTAGGTACGTACCGCTAAAGAGTTCACCAGCAAAACACCCCCAAAAGAACCCTGGAATCCACCTACATCACACTGCTAAGTACACTGCTAAGCAGCTAAGGGAACCTTGAAAGCACTAACAAAACACCCAGGCCCCTTCTGGACCTTAGACCTGTCCCGACCTTGTCCAGTTACCTGCTACTTTTCGAAATTAGCATCGACCAATTTCCAATCTGACTACCTGGAACTACCTGAGTACCATCGCGTGTCACTCACTACCTACCTGACTACCTGGTAGCATGCCTATCGTCTGTTCGTCTTTTCTTGTTGGACCCTTGTCTATACATGGGAGCATTGGGATTTGAGGTTTGAATTGACATTGACCTGCAGAACCCTGGGCCGTGTTTCCCTCCACGCCCAGTACCAGAAGAATCGGACGAGTCGTGTTGAAAAAATAAAAAAAAAAAAAATACATTGCATGCGGGAACATTGAACGAACCGAACTGATGTACGTGCAGTCGCAGTAATTTACTACCGGACAAGACAACGGACAGACGTCAAACCAATTTCACTACCACCACCTAAAAGACACACTAATAGGTACTCTACTCTACCTTACTACCCACTATATTCTCCCTTTCCCCTACCTGTCTCGTCTCTATCTGTCTCTCTTCGCCTTCCCCCTTGCCTTATCTTGTCAAAAAATCAATACACGATAGTCATTCGTTCTGAAATCCCCAATCTTGACATGCTCTGATACCAGACTTTCAGAGGTTTCGAACCCCCGAAGAACAACCGCGAGTTGGTTAGCCTATCTAATACCGCCAACGGGGGCGGGTTTTTACCAGGGGACTCGAACGGGCGCCGTTGAACTTTTTAATTTCATTTGCTCGGGTGCCCTGAACGGCGGATTTTAAAGAAGCATAGCCCGCCTTGGGGGGCCGGTCATTCGATGGTTTCGCGTACGTTGATGACGAGCCGTGAATAGCATCTCGTAATACGTCCCCTTCTACGTCGATACGATTTGGCAGACTCGCTTGTCCTGCCCACCGCGCCGCTTCGATACCCACTCCTACTCACGGCCCTGCCACCTACATGAGCAACTAGGTCTTGGCACAACTGTCGATATCACCGGTTAATTTCCCTTTAGTTCTTCTCGTTCTGTGGCATCGCAGTCACCATGAATAACGACCTGAGCCTTTCGAGGGCCTTGGGTGGTCTACGCATTGCGAACCCTGACGATGCTACACCAAGTCCATCCCTAGAAACCGATCCAGACGCTAATGCATCCGCGTCGACCCAAATCGTCTCCGATATTCGCCCCTCAGACCCCGACCCTTATAACGGCCAAAGCAGACCCCAAACTGCCGAGATGACAATGGGTATCTCTGGTATATCATCCGATCCTCAAAACCAAATGTCCGCATATGCCCAAAATGGAGCGTTGCCATACAGCAACGTTTCTTCCTCCCGTCCACAATCTGGCTTATATGCCACAACGACGGCGGCTGAACGCGACCAAGCTGCAAACTCTTACCATATTCTACGAACCGAACCATCCAGGACACCCATGTATAATATGCCAGGTAAGATCGACTCGAGGGCACCTTCGGAGTATGCGCCGAGTATTCCTTCGCGGGAATCAAGTCACCGGGAAAGATCATATAACCCGAACCGTCAGCTTCAAGCCGTGGCTGGCTCCGGTCCCCTCCCTCCTAGGAGGAGCTCGAAAGGCATGGGTGGCGGTTATACCTCAATTCCCGGTGTTCCTATCGTACCCGAACCTCGCGGCCTTGCATCAGATATGTCGGTATCCCAAAGTAGCGAGGAATGGAAAGACCGCGGAGCCGCTGTGTCAATGCGAAAGGAGGTAGATGCTAACGGGAAGACGATTATGAGGCCGGTGAAGAAGGGTGTTCGGGACTTTTCCTTCGGCCGAGTTCTAGGAGAAGGATCATACAGCACAGTATATTTCGCTACTGACAGGCAAACCCTTAAGGAATACGCGATAAAGGTCCTCGAGAAGAAGCATATCATCAAGGAGAGGAAAATCAAGTATGTCAACATCGAAAAGGATACCCTCAATCGACTTACGGAACATCCTGGTATTGTACGACTATATTATACTTTCCAGGATGAGAACTCCTTGTACTACGTCCTGGATCTCTGCAACGGCGGTGAGCTTCTGGGTGTGCTGAAAAAGACAGGTACCTTTGATGTGGAATGTACAAGGTTCTTTGGGGCCCAGATCCTAGATGCTATCGAGTATATGCACTCGCGTGGGGTTATTCATCGGGATCTTAAGCCAGAAAACGTCCTTCTTGATGATCAACTACACGTGAAGATTACCGACTTCGGAACAGCGAGGTTATTAAGCGACCCGAGAGCACCTCAGCCCCCTCCAAGGCTTGAGGATACAGGAACCAGCTCTAGGGGCAAAGATCATGACGACGATAGTCGTGCGGCCTCCTTCGTCGGCACGGCCGAATATGTCAGTCCCGAACTTCTCACTAATAAGAATGCTTGCAAGGCAAGTGATCTATGGGCATTTGGTTGCATCATATATCAACTACTTGCTGGACGGCCACCTTTTAAAGCTGGTTCTGAGTATTTGACTTTCCAAAAGATCGTCAACCTGGATTACGAATTCCCCCCTGGATTCCCCCCCGCAGCAAGAGACTTGGTCGAACGATGCCTAGTCCTAGATCCAGCTAGGCGACTTACTATTGAACATATCAAAAACCATGAATTCTTTGAAGGTCAACAATTCGGCAAAGGGTTGTGGAGGACGAAGGCACCCCGACTACGGCCGTATGTGCCACCATCTCAAGAACCTAAGATCATCCAACTCAATGGATCTCCGGCTAGCCAACAACAACCTACGTCTAGGCCACCAACTACCGGGAACGGATTAAATGGCGGTTCTCGGGCACCAGGAAGGATTATTACTGATATCCCCCCGCCGTCTCAATTAGATATCGAGTGGTCTCCAGTCTTGACAAGAACGAACGAAAGGATACTACGCCTTGGTGATCTTATGGTTATGTCAGCGCCAATTCCTAATAGTCCACATAATAAAGGTGAAGAGGGCCACAGAAAATTCTCTCGGTTCTTTGGTGGCAGCACAACGAAGAAAAGACAGCGCCTGGTAATGATCACATCAAGTGGAAGGATTGTCCTGGCTCCAGCGGGAGGTGAAGAGAAGAAAGCGAAATTAGAGATTTCACTTCTCGCACCGGACTGCTCGTGGAAGAGCCAAGTAGATGCAAAAGGGCAGACGGTATGGTGTGTCGATTCGGTAAGTTTACACCATTTGGCTTTCGTACATACCTATACTTACGAACTTTAGGCTGGCATTCACTATACGTTCGAAGACGTCAAGCCCCCCTCTTCCCTGGAACCACCTCGGCCGACGGCGGAAGATTGGCTTGAATCTCTACAGCAGGCCAGGGATTTTGCCGTATCGCTGAATCTCAGCCGTTCATATACTAGTGATAATGCATTCGGGGAGATGTCTTCGTCTATGTCCAGCCCAGCGAGTACTTTTGGACCTGACGGTTACAACATCAACGATAGGTCTCATCGAAATCATCTGAGTAAGAGTCAAGCGAGTTTGGAGGATACTTCGAGTACGAAAAGGAATCGATTTAGTAAACGACAATCCAAGCAAGGGTTAGGCTCGGCTTTCTAGGGGTAGCTTCATATCGGCAGCTTGGAAAGTTCTTACGCAACATTATACCTTTACATCACCTAGATCAATCATCCCTATGATCTATCTAGCTTCCCCTTAGTTTTCTCTTTCATATGCGGCATGTTCTAGCGAGGCGTAGGCTTTGGTAGCTTTTGGTGATATTTGAAAGGGGGTCCAAATCATGACACGAAAACAAAAAGGCATTCTAGGAGGCTCTCCACAGCACCAGTCTGCACCTCCCACTGAAGCATACACTCGGCATCTCATTTTAGATGGATTAGAAGGATTACATCAACGCATGACCATACCACACAACACACTGCACATTCCCTAATATAATATTCCAATATAAGATTTACTTCATACCCCCTAGGTCAAGGGAAGTGGGAGAGGAGGCCAAAGAACACTAGGCCTGGTGGGTTAAGGTCGTAGGATTCGGGGCAATTATGCTGCTGCCTGGAAGGGCTTGAACCCCGCGAAGGTATAGCAGAGGTCGGAGAAGTAAGTGGTCTAAATGGACCAAATACCCCAAGCTTCTAGAAGAGATCATAGCTGAATATATCGAACTGGAAAGATAATAATATCTGAATAAGTTGATTTGATTACCGGCTTCTAAGCTGCTCATAGCCGTAGAATGAATGTTGAGGTAGGAATATATCTAACCATTCACAGGCTATAATCATGAGTTGGAGGGGTTGTCATGGATTTATTGGCATAAGAACTTAAGAGGAGACCAACGTTCTTTATAATATTCTTTATGAAGGATTATCGTATTGGCTATCCGTTGGGATATCTTTTCGACGGTATTTCTCTCTGTGATGGTACATTTTATGCTTACATAAAGCCAAAGTTCATACCTACATAGGTATTATGTAAGTAGCGGCGTGTATTATGTCAGCTGGATCTAGGATTACCTAAGATCTGGTACTATCTGAGATTACCTAATTTTAGTGGAAACAATGGTCAAGTTTTCTTAGTCAAGCTTGGCCCAGCTGCCCAGTCAAAACTCGAAATTGGTCAAGGTCTGGTCTAGCTAACTTTTCCAAGGTTCCCCAATCATTCGAAAATTAGACCGCGACGAGGCGGACACGCGCCTTTTTTTTTTTTATTTTATTTTTATTCCATTTTATTTTCCCAAAAACTATCCAAATCTCCGACCCAACCCAGATAACTCGGACCAGTGCCCCCCTAAACTTTCCAATCACGATCGGAACTGGTGTTGCACCCTTTGACCGGTGGAGCTACGGGGGAACCATACCCAGTCGTCTGCTAATCTAGTCTCACAAACCAAGATTAACAGAGAGCACGAAATAAAAATAAAACAAGAATACACAAAGACAGTAATAATAATAACCCCCGTACGAGAAGGAAACCAGAGCGCGTTGGCGCCGAAATCGTCAAGATGCAGACTGGCTACCGCCCCTACCCGCAGCAGCAGGTCCCGCCACAGCGTACCCCCCATTCGGCCGGACAGCGACGAGGAGGCATTGGTACGTAGCTCTAGAAAGTCCATTTGATACGATACGATGCGATCTGATAGAAGATGCTTAATGGCCTGTGTGGTGGCCTCTCTATTTTTATATTTTTATTGTTTTAATTGTCGACGACCCAGCGAAACCCCACACATCATCCACTCAACTCATCCACTACGTCCACTACGTCCACTACCTTCACACGTCCACATATATACTACACACGTCCGCGTCCACTTCGTCTACTCCGTTCCGTACATGGCTCCACTTACCATTAGTTCTTTGCCTATCTACCAACCCACCATCTGTGCACTTACACGTTGTGTACCTATAGTTGACTCGTACACATATACCCTCTTTACTACCTAGCGTTTCTCTTCATCCTCTCTTTGTGTCGCACCTACCACCGTATTACACCGTATTCCGAGACTTCTAACGCCGACGTTGTAACGCAGGCCCCATGATGTCGTCTGGTCCTCACCACCAGGTCCCCCTGACCCAGGCGCAAATCGCCCAACAACAACAACAAGCCGCCATTCAAGTCGAGATGGCCAAGAGGCGTAGTCGCAAGCCAACCGATAAGAACCTTCCCGACAATATTGACGATTGTATCATCGGTGAAATGTCTGCCAGATATCGGGAGCTTAGGGACTATGAGAGAAGACTTGATGCGACTATGACGAGGAAGCGTCTCGATATTGTCGATTCGGTTAATCGAAGTGTAAAGGTAGGGTCTGCGTGCTACGCATGACAGGAAAGAATATTTAGGCTAATTGTATGGTTTAGCGATGGAAGACGCTCCGAATCTGGATTACTAACACGGCGGAAGACCAAGTCTGGCAGGGGAATAGCATTGTCGATACCTTCGATTTCAGCTCTAATCTCGAACCGACATATCGCGTTAAAATCGAGGGGCGATTGTTGGACGATGACGATGATCTTGATAAGGATGATGATGATGATGATGATGATGGTGACGATAGCGAAGACCCAAAGGCCAAATCTGAGGATGCTGATCGCATGGACGAGGACCCGAAACCAAAGACTCCAAGATCTCCCAAATATCGATTCTCTCATTTTTTCAAGGCATTGAATGTAGACTTTCCTGCCAACCGCAAGGGTATCGACCAAGCTGTCGAATGGAAGAAGCCAGAGCGTGCCGGTCCTACGTCGAATCTTTCTGCCGCAGCTGATTTTGATGAATTGACGTTCAAGCGCAACGGGGATGAAAATCTCAACATCACGATCAATCTATATCGTCACGAGGAACCCGAACGATACGCCATCAGCCCTGATTTGGGAGACATTATCGATTTGACCGAAGCTACGCGCCAGGAGATTGTGATGGGTATCTGGGAATACATCAAGCTGATGGGATTGCAAGAAGACGAAGAAAAGCGCAATTTCCGTTGCGACGATCTTTTAAGAAAGGTGAGCAGTAATCGCGTTCTATCTTCATTGAATATGTCTAATCGAAATACTAGGCCTTCGGTATCGAAGTGGGCTCGATTCCCAAGCTCCACGAGTATATCACACCGCACATAAAGCCCCTTCCACCGGTCAAGCTTCCTTATACCATTCGACTTGACGAAGAATTCCACAAAGACCCGCAACCTACCGTATATGATGTCCGTGTCGCTGTAGATGACCCTCTACGAGAGAAGATGCTCTCATTCTTGAGTAACGCTGGCTATGCCAGCATGCTCAAGGAAGCCGCATCTCTTGATGATCACCTTGCTACCATTATCCAGGCAGTCCACGTCTCTAAGGCCAAGCACGCTTTCTTGACGTCCCTTAGTGAGGATCCTGCTACTTTTGTTAAGGATTGGTTAAGTTCCCAGAAACGCGACCTGGATATTATCATGGGAGAGGCGAGGGGTATCGGTGAAGATACTACTGGTGATGAGTGGAGAAAGGGAGGCAAAGATAGTATCTGGTCTACCGTCAACGCTCGCGAAAGTGTCACCGTTATGTTGGCAAAGCAGCCCTTTACGTTGCAGCGATAGATTTCGCCGCGGAAATTATGGAGTCTAGGATCGATAAGAGGGAGCGGCTGTGTCCAGGTGGGAACCTGCCTATGGCGTATGGCGTGTTGGTTATATCCGAATACTTTCAACCGGACTTGTAATCGCTAGGGGTGGAAATAAGGGGGTTTTAAGGCTTTTTACAAAAGGGCAGTATATCCTGTATTAGTATACCGGTCTCTAGGGCACACGTCAAAGTATTACACATTTCCCGGAAATGAGTGCGTTTTTGACCAAAAGAAAATGCGATTGCATTTGAATTCCGAAACTCTTGACTTCGTAATACTACGCTCGGATTCGACACTAGGATGGTGACAATAGGGATTCATCTGCATACTACGTCATTACCGTGGGTATGCGACAGCTAGTATCGGGCTTTAAAGTCTTAACACCGAGGATATTGGAGCTTTATCCCCTCAAGACTCTTCGTATAAGAACCTTGGATTGCATGAGGGTATTTGAGTATTGCGTCTTCATTCTAATATAAATTAATTTACACCCAAACCCATTTGTATCAATAGAAAATATCAGATCAAACGAAACTATGTCCACGATATTCAAGAAAGCCAACACAGCCGTTATCACAGGCGGCGCATCCGGGATCGGTCTCGCGCTGGCGCAGAAGTGCGTCGGCTACGGTATGCGTGTTCTTGTTGCGGATTGGGATGCTAAAGGGTTAGAGGATGCGGCAAAGAGTCTTGGGTCTGGCGTCAGCACGGCGAGGGTCGACGTTAGTAAGGTTGAGGATTGGGGGGAGTTAAAAGGGAGGGTGGAGAAGGAGTTTGGTGGTGTGTATTTCTTTACTGCCTTTTCATAGAGAATTGCAACGTAAGTAAGAATGTATAAATGCTGATGAGATGACAAGGCCAGATCAATCTCCTAGCCCTAAACGCCGGCATCGGGGCCCGAACCGCCTTTGAGGGCGCCGAGGCGGATCCGTCGATCTTTCGGAAGGTCCTTGATGTCAATTTCTTCGGCATCGTGAATGGTGTCTCCACATTCCTTCCTTTTATCAAGGAAAAGGCATCATCCTCTTCGGACTACCAGTCCGCTATCGTCATCACGGGTTCTAAGCAGGGTATCACGAACCCACCGGGCAACCCGGCGTACAACGCTAGTAAAGCGGCTGTTAAGTCGCTAGCTGAACAACTGAGCTACGATCTGCGCGCGCAGAAGAATATCAATGTGCATATTCTTGTCCCCGGATGGACGTGGACGGCGCTCGCGGGCGCGGCGTCGGGAAGGGCGAAGCCAGAGGCCCCGTGGACACCGGCGCAGGTTGTAGATTATCTTGAAGGGAAGATGAGAGAGGGTAAATTCTGGGTCCTGTGTCCGGATAACGATGTAGATGAGGTGACAGATAAGAAGAGAATGTTGTGGAGTGCTGGTGATGCGGTGGAGGGGAGAGCGCCGTTGAGTCGCTGGAGGGACGAATTTAAGGGGGAGTTTGCGAAGTGGATGGAGAAGGATTTGTGAGATGGAACTATAAGGCTTGCCTTAGGCTTCTATACCATGATTATGTTATGATGGTACGTCGGGCTTAATATATGGAGGGCTAGATATAAGGGCTATCACGTCTCACGAGTTAGCATACTAGCTACGGATACGAATGGGATTTATCGTAATCAGATTTCCATTGCGAAGTTAGCTCTTCGTGCTGTCATGACCTAAACGCCTAACTACATGCACATAATGACTGCCATGACGGCTGCTTCGTACGTCTATTGCTCGCCTTGGATATGAATGCTCGGCCTCCTCTAGCTAAACCCGGAATTACGATTCCTGTTAAAGCTACTAACCATATACGTCTTGTCCGGACCTGGAGCCCTGGGTGGGTTTCTAGACCACCTGGGATAGCTGACGGGTCGGGGGGACGGGGTTGGGAGGCATGTTGCGGATTTGTTTGATGAGAAACTCGCGCTCGTCAATAAACTGCTCGTCATCGGTGCGGTCCTCGAGGAAGTGCGACAAAAAGGTCAAAAGCTTGTCTCGGTTCATAAGCAGGATCTTCTGCACGGCAATAGACTTGTGGGGGTTGGCCACGAAGACCTTGAAGACGTGGAAGCCTTCGTACTGAACCATTTTGCGGTCGCTCCGTAGTAGGTTCATACATATCTTTAAATGCTCGCCCCGGTCTACGTACGCGGTCATGACGTTGTAGTTGGAACGGTCGAGTAATATTTCGCCGAGCAACTTGATAGATTGACGCTTTGTTACGTAGCTGTTCGATTGTACTAGGATGTGGTTGTATTTGTCGAAGAAGAGTTCGAAGTTTATCGAGAGATATCGTGGCACGAGCTCTTTATGTTTGGTCAGGAGTTCCTACAATTCGATATGTTAGGGAATATCTGACAACAGGGTTGCTTCGGCTGTGAGGACTACGGTTACACTTACCCTGAATGTGGTAAAAGCATCGGCTGCGACCTCGAATGAGCTCTTGTCGATCCAGTCGAAGAATCGCCAAAATACACCATTGCCACTCTGCGGTCGCTCCCTGTCGATCGCAGTCACACCCTTCAAACTGGATCCCGGCTCTTCACCGTCATCATACAATATAATAGCGGCGGCTGCCTCACTCTTGAGTACTTCACGAAGTACGGTACCGGCTGGCGTCGCACTCTCTTTGTGATCATAACCTCGGCATAATTCTAACAGAACTTGCGGTTTGTTATTCACTACGTAACTCAATGCGACGGGATCGGTCTTCGGTGATGCTGTGGGGGGTCGGAATCGGAAAACGTAGGAGAATATGACTTGTGTGTCTTTGCGGGACTCGAAAGGGAGGCGGTGGAGGTATTGGGCAAGTAAGAGAAGGAGATCTTCTTCTATTAGGCCGGTAACTAATTGGTATACTTGCTCTGGGGTACTTTCTACTTCTATAAGCGCAGTATTAGTATCATAATAACATAGCTATTCACATGACGGCGCCGTAGAAAGGAGTTGCGCCATGGGCTTGCGACGGGGTTGGGCTGGGGTTAAATACCTGGCGTCCCTTGAAGTATAAGCTTCATCTGACTGAGAACCTTGGCTAGTTCTTCGGCCTGTGATTGGGTAGTTAGATGACCTGCATATTGAGGTTATTCAAGGCGATCCTTCGCTGGTACTCACTCTGCCAGGGGCGTCAAGCTTGAGAATATGTTCCCTAGCTTGCTTGGGTAGGTCAATGGTGTTCGTTCTAGTTCTGGCCCTCGAGAATAGAAAAGACATGATTGCGATTAGCTACAAAAGCAGCTCATCTGTATTTGGAATGTCTTTCCACAATGGTCGGGATCGTAGATTAGGAATTGGGTATGATTTGGGTCGGCAATGGATCGCCCGTAGATGACCACAACTAGAAGGATGTCCTTGTTCTCGATTCCTTTAAAATTTTGGCCTAGGGTTTAATCGGATGGGGACGTCATAATTGGTTATCCTTTTGGTCGGTAAAGTTTCTTTGATCGTTATCTTTATCCTAAACGTTAGACTCCGCTAGAAGTGAGGTTTTGAGTGTTGCCATGTGCAGTTTCCTGGTTGCTGTTTATTATAAAATCCGGGGATCGGAATGTTTATTTACGGGGGTTCAGTTGTAATCCTCAGCTGAGGGTCCCCCCCCCCCCTTACCCCCGGTATCCCTTACGCCGTAGTGCTGTAGCGTGGAGCTTATCCCACCTATCAGTGGGCACTCGACGCCGATAACACTCCTTTTGTACCTATCCTAGGTGGGTAGGTGGTAAGTGCGTACTTCTTAGTCAGCTTAATAATCTTAATAATCAATGATCTCTTAGGATAAGTCACTTTTAAAAATATCATCCGTATAGGAATAGAAGAAAAGCCATCGCCATGTAATGTCGAAAATTAATAGATGATCTCAAAGCTTGACAATGAAGACGGTGCTAAAGGAATTGTTAGACGCTTAGGAATTGGTAAAATATTTAGATAGCAAGCTCTATTTAATATTGAGTCATTAAGTCATACATCCAAAGTATCGTGATGGTGCTGCTTTCGTATGATATTCATGGGCGCCAAGGTATGGATGGTGGTATCCTTCTATCTCATCGAGCTTGTCTGGACGCTTTCTAATCTCTTATGAGCTGGCTAATGAATTTGATACATGTATAATAAATCACATACCAGAAAACAGTCTTTTAACCTGAGAAATTCATTGGTGCATTTGTCTTTATGGACTGAATTATAATCTGCGACTATGCATTTTCCATATACCGATGCCTATAAACGACCATCAGTATCAACATTCTGCGACATATGGGGTAGTATCGTGTATAACCTCAGCAGAACATTGTGAAACTGCTGCGGCGAACTTCTGAATTGGCCGCTGGCGTGGTGGCATTGTTTCAAGTTGTTATTGAGAACTGTATGGAAGAAGGTCAACGGTTGATCTCGAGCAATTTGGAAGTTTCGTCAAGTTTTAACCGTGTTTCCTAATCAACTGGATTGAATTAAGAGTTTGTTTTTCATGCATTTAACCTATTTTGTCTCATCATGACGTGATTAGGTAAGATAGAGTGGATACTAAGATTACTGGTAGAGTTAGGTGGGGAGCACGGGCCGTTACACTAGCGGGTCACCTCCATTAAATTCCACTCTGACCGTCTGTCTTCACTAACAGATAACGCGACGCGACACCTTCATTTTCACCATTTTCAATTAATTACGAATTGCCAACGCCAATTGGGGAATTCGAAGGTTGCTTGCTATCGTTGGCTCATATTCTATTTGTTTGCAAGTCCGGACTGATAAAACGTCTTACAATTGATCTTACCTTTCCAACCATGAATGATGCTCCTTAATTACGCACATATACGTTCCTAATAGCTACAATAGCTACTCCGTATATCAACTTCTGCTACAAAAAGACGGAAAAATCCTAGGCAAGACCATGGTCTGGCTTATCATTACCCTGACCCAACCACTACTTTATCATGGCCCTTTTACATAGCCGTCCTTCATCTTTCTCTTCTGGGATTTCGGATGAATTTTCTGACGAATTTGCCTCTCAAGACTCAATACATTCAGTCGCCATGGCTTCACCTGAACCACCCCTTTCTCAAAGTCTAATCGAGGACCGTGATAAATACTCCGATGACCGTGGGTTATTCGCCTGTTGGTGTAGAAAATTTCAATTCCGCTAACTTTGGTCCTAGACATCCGAATTTTGCATCAAATTGTGGTTCGGGCTGAAGAGATCTTGTCTGATCTCACGCCCTCTTCTCGCCTGCCAACTCATGCCTTGTTTAAGGCTTACGATGAAATCCTTCCCGAGCATGGGATTGACCCGGATGAAGACCAACTCATCAGCAAGCTTGTTTTTAGAATTGGAGGCGTTAAAAACACTGACTCGTTGAAGGAGAAGTTTAAGATCATTATGGCCCGCATGGAAATTACTGTCCAGGAAGATGATTTTCAAGTGCACGGTAGTGATGGTGGTGATGTTTACGCAAATTCCGTTGCCGCCTCTGACGATTATTCTATCGCCGGTGATACCACAAACCGTCTTCTCATTGCGGAAAAGAATGCCCACAAAGAATCACTCCGCGCTGTCAACGGTGTACGAACCGACGATGGATATGTTGTCTTGAGACGTGGTGATAACTACCATGGCAATATGAATGGCCATACGCCTAGCGAGGATGATTCTGCTGAAGCTTCTAGGATAGAACAACTCCTTGAAAGCAGTGCAATTGCCTTCCAAGAGAAGCACCATAGCAAGTTCTCCACCATGAGCACTTTTCGGCAATGGCAAAAAAAGTCGGGTTACATCTCCAACCTATGTGATCAATTTGATGCTGCTAGGCAGGCCGACCTAGAGGAAGACGCCGAGGCTAAATTCAACACCTGGAGAGCCTTGGCTGCTGAGGTGGAAAACTTACCGCCGCAATACCTCCCGCCTGGTGTATGCTCGAAACGAATTGAAGAAATTGCACTCCGGACCCATGAGATTCACATTGCGAAAACTACAATCAGACGTTGGCGGCATAATGTGGCAGAGCAAAGGCGCAGAGCTCGAGAAATTGAGGAGTCATTGGATCCCCTCGAGCGCGTTGCATTAAAAGCACATAAATATGTGATGTTGTCACGTGCATTTACCGGGTGGTCCAACCGTTTGGAAGAAGAAACAAAACGAGCTCAAATGGCTGCTAAACTGTACGAAATGAGTTTGAAGTCTAAAGCTTTTGGGGTTCGACAGCAGCAAACCGAGGATGTCTCCGCTGGCGGGACTAGTGGTGCTCACATTGCCGGTTCTAATGAGGCCCCGAAGCCCTCGCTGGATATCGTAAATACGATGTCTAACGTTGTCGATAATGCCGGGTCGTCTAAAGTTGCGATTGACCCCCGTGAGAGGATCTCTCCCGGTATTCATGAGAAGGAACTTCCTTACAATGACCCTGCAGATTCACATGATGAGATGGACGAGATAACTTTACTTGCACGACGACATATCCTCCGCATGCGCTACTATGATGTTTGGGAGAAGTACACAATGGACCATATAAACAAAATTAAAGAGTTCACTGCTGGCCAACAGAATGAACGTCTCGCTGATGCAATCCCTATGTGGCGTCTGCAAGCTGAACAAGCTTCTCGGGGACGACAGATCTTACGATACAATGCTAAAAAAGCTAACTACTATAATAAAGTGGCCAGGACACTAGACATGTGGAGACAAGAGAGCCAGGACAGGATGCAAGGACAAGATCTAGTGCTCGAGGATTATGCTGAGCGAGCTAATTTTTACTACAAAGCTACCAAGACATTGCCTATCTGGAGAAATGAGACGGAACGTGCCATCCAACAGCAGAAAGTCCTCGAGCTTTATGCGGGCCGAGCTGAATATTACTACGGGGTTACGAAATCGCTTCCCGTTTGGCGAACACAAGCGCAAGAGGCCGTCCAACACGAAGAGCAAACACTTGCGCGATATGCCGAGCGAGCCGACTACTATTACAAGGCTCGAGATACACTATTTGCGTGGCACGACCTTGCTAAGCAAAAGCGCAAGCAGAGGTTGAAAGAGGCGCACCTGGAAACTCGCCGAATTGTGAAGAAAGGTATGGGCAAGCGATGTATTGCGCAATGGCGTGAAAAACTGCAGCCAAGTCTCGAGCAATATGAGATGATGGATGCAATTTTGGAAGATATTACTGCGGACCAAGAATGGGGGCAATGTGTGGAGGCATTCGATGTTTGGCGCGAGAGAGCATGTGAACAGAACGAAATGGCCATTATGAGCGATACAATGGTTAAGGGGAGGATTTTAGAACAATGGAGGGATCAGTCAGCACATCAGCAAGAATTACAAGCTGAAGCTGGAGAATACTGGAAAGAGAAAGCTTTACCGCAAGTGCTGAAGAATTGGAACCTCAGATCTCTCCAAACACCAAATTGGCCGCTCATAGTAGCCAACGCCCTGGAGAAGAAGGATAGAAAGTTGTTGCGAACAAGCTTCGAAAAATGGTATAGTCGAACAGCAGATAAGCTTGTCCCAGTTGAGTTACCCGACGGAGGTTACAAAAGTATAGAGCAAATTGTGGAAGACGCCCAGCATCAGGCGTCGTTAAACCAAGCACGGGGCTTATTCGACAAGTGGAAGGCTGCTGCGGGTTCTAAAAGCGAGAATATCCCGCCAGAGGTCTACACGCCGACGCCAGGGAGACCACAAATCTTCCTAGGAAACCTAAGTAGACGAGAGACGACGACACCTCTGGCACCTGTACCTAGCCGATTGAATTTTCGGGTCAGTGAGACGGCTGTTAGGGGTTCAGCAATGGGAGGTAGGGCTAGTCGTTCTGGCCGCCCGGCAAGGAACTTGAGGGTTTCATGGGCGCAATAGTTCATTATTTCCAAATTGTTGGCGTTACGGAACGGAATAAGCGTTTGATACATGACAAACCCACAGTTTTGTATGGGAGGTTATGATTATATATGTATTGTGATACCCCATTGGTCTGTCGATTCGAAGAGTTCGAATGATACCCAAAATAGAATAAATATAATATGAAATACAGCATTTCTTGATCTCGAACGTGAAGTGTAATACTCAGATGTTGCATTCCCCCTTTGTCATGATCTTATCGGGGTTATGCAAGTAATAGCCTAAAATGTTTAATTATCGAGCAGGGATTCGCGGGCTATCCCACGTCATTTTGCAGCCGCAAACCAACGCGAGTTCCCATTGTAGCGACGACATCTGACTACCAGGAGAGCACCTGACGTTTTCCAGCCCTCCCATCAGAGCTACATCTACTTAACATACTTTGGCTCATCCTCTCTGATCTTTAACTAATTTAGTAAAGCTTCCATGTGCCGATCGGGCTAATTACACCAAAACCAGAACCAATCATCGCATCAGGTGCTGAAAGCTCTCAAGGGAACGAGAAGAGCTATTTCGAGAATATCGAACCAAACGAAATAAAACAATTTGTCCTAATATTACAAACACGAACCGTCGCCTCACCTTCGAGTCCATGAATCCTTAGAAATGTTCTTCTCGATTGACCTGCGACGGTAGTATGAAGGCGATCCTTCCAGGCCAGCCCGAAGCTAGTCTTCAAGCTGTGTCGACGGGTTATTGGGACGGCAAGCGCGTCATCGTTTATATAACCGGGAATGCCCTCGCGATCCTCTCCGACCCCGAAACCATCCTCCAAACCATATACGACGATGACGAACATAAACTCGAGGCAGTCTCCTTTGATGAGTCCTCTGGAAAGATAGCTGCTTGTACGGATGCTACTGTGAGGATATATAGACCTCTGAGCCATGGCGATGATGGAGGCTCGCCTAAGGTTGTTTGCCCCAATGTTGAAAGAACATCAACTGTAGCTCACCCGGCTGACTGTATGTAGTGGGCGTTACAAACATGTTTCGAAGTTAGTCGAGGTTCAACACCCTTAACGCTATCATGGGGAAGCTCCGAAGAGCTCCTCATCGGACGATCCTCTCTATGGCTCTACGACACGACTTCTACACCTGCCTCTTGTCATTGGCAACAGGAATTAGCTAGTCCCGTGAAAGCTGCGAACCTCTCTTATGACTCGGCGTACATCGCATCCATCGGATATCACGATCGCCTCGTAAAAGTATGGCGGAGATTAAATTTCGGCTCCGAAGAAGTTCATTTCGATTTTACATACTTGCCACACCCCCGAGCCGTTACAGGCATACAATGGCGCAAGCCATTCCACGTGGACCAGACGATGGAAAATGTTCTCTATACGTTTTGCGTCGATAATATTATGCGAGTCTGGACTGGCGCGGACGGTTCCGGCTGCCAATCATTGCGCCAATGGGGTAAGTTGGACCTAGCGGCTGCGATACGGAATGAACATGAGACAGTGAAGCACAACATGCGATGGGCCTTCATCCTTGGCCAACGAGATCTTGCCAACGCCGCCGAAAGAGCTGTACAAGAACGAAGTGATGGGCAAGAAAAGGACGATGTCGCGTTACAGTACTTATTATCTATCGCAAACAGAGATACTGAAATTTGCGTCGTCTTTGATGGACGAGGGAGTATGTCATCGTGGGCCTTAGAGAATATAAGTAGCAAATCCCGAGGCGTCGAAAATGTGGATAATGTTGCATTTGTCAAGTCAAAAGACTTTGATTTCCTCGGATCGTCATCCGGGGAATCACACGTCGAGATTCTCAGCTATTGCAATAAGAACGCTGGGAATTTGCATATGCTATTTCACCATTTTAATGGAAAGGTGGAAGTGTTTGAGAGCAACATAGCGGATTTTCTCGACCCGACTTCTCACGCAAAGAACCGCTTAATCCCTCGCGCAAGCTGGTCTGGACATTCGGCTTCGATCAAGAAAATTGTGCGTAATTTCAGCGGCCGCGCGATCGTATCAAGGACTGAACAAGGTGAAAGTATTGTCTGGCGGCATGCCACTGGCCCATCACGAACAAGACTGTTACGCCATAATGTCATTCCAGAGAAGCGACATATACATCGAATATGTTTAATCAGAGGCGGCAGATTTGTTGTTTTCCTACATCATGGCAGCATCTCCGTCTGGGATTGCGCTTCTTCGACTCATACACTACTTGCTGAGTGTAAATATCAAGTCCATGGCAAGCCTCTTTGCATCCTTGTGTTACCTCGTGAGCGAGCCGATGATGATTCCGTCGCACACATCGCAACTGTTACGTCGGAGCAGCAGGGAATAGTTTGGGAACTTCATTTACCCTTGAAGAATGCTACTGCTCCCAAGACACATATCAACGGTCATGAAAGTAGCCTTCGAGAATTCTGCACATTCAAGCTGCAAGATGCTGGAGACCTTGCTTATGTTTTACCAGTTGACCCTGCAGGTTCCTCGCCTGTGATATCGGGTTTCTTGGACGTTTTTGCCCGCGACGTTGCGGTGTCGTATACACATGGCGGATGTGTTGAGTTTTGGACCGCAAGAGTGTCCCGAGAACGAACTCGGGTGGAGTGGCTTTCAACGTCCTCGATGGAGACAGGTGTGTCGGAACCCGCGTTAGTCAGCGGTAGTACAATGAAAAAAGCCGCCCTTGTGAACAAGGATCGATCGGAATTAACCATTTGGGATATTCGAGGTGCTCGATTGGAGTACAAGCAAGATTTTGAGAATAATAATACAGTACAGGATCTTGATTGGACTTCTACGCCAGACTCGCAGTCGATCTTGGCTGTTGGCTTCCCGTATCGTATTATTTTACTCTCGCAAATGCGCTTCGACTATTTGAATAAAGGACCTGCTTGGGCGCCCATTCGCGAAATCAGTATTCGAGATTTCACACCTCATCCGATTGGTGATTCAACCTGGCTTAGCGACGGCAATTTGATCATTGGTGCAGGTAATCAACTATTCTTATATGACCGGACATTCGAGACTACCGACCGACTCATCTCAAGCGCACGCGTGCCTCACCGTAAAGATGGTACTAGAGATTTATTTGATGTCATTCAAAGATTGAATGGTCCGTTGCCAGTTTTCCATCCTCAATTTCTTAGCCAGTGTATATTAGCGGGAAAGCATACTGTGGTCCGACGCATACTATTGGCCTTGCACCATACTCTACGGTTCCATGTAGAAGGAGACGCGATAGATGATTATCTAGGTCTTGACCTAGCTGAGTTCTATATTGGCAAGATCGTAAGTCATTTTCATTAACCTAATATTCGTTAGCTAACGTTCCAGGCGTCAATGTCTACCAACGGAAACGGCTCGTATCTCGTTTCTCAGGCATCATTTGATGATGGTGAAGAGGCTTTTACAGAAGAAATCGCTCTATCTATCTGCGAAAACCTTCAAAAAGTAACTGTGCCGCAACTATCGGGGCATGAGCAGATCCAGTTGCTTGACATCGTTGAATGTTCTGGAGTGGTCGAAAAACAACGGCGCTCAATGGACGAGAACGGGTCTAGATTTATGTTATTCTTCCGACAACATGCGCTAAGAAAGGGAAGGACTAATGAAATCCACATGTCGTGGAGGGAAATTAATTGGGCCTATCATTCCACCAGCCAGGATATACTGACTGATTTCGTGTCACGTCAGTACCATGGTACTATGTTGTGGGAAAATGCAAGGGAAAGCGGCATGTTTATGTGGCTTACGGATGAAGCCGCAGTAGTAAGTCCGATATTTTGGATAAAACTCCGAACTCCGTCTGATCATCATGCAGAAAACCCAATTCGAAATTGTAGCTCGTAATGAGTACACGAAGAGTGAAGTGAAGAACCCTGTGGATTGCAGTCTTTTTTACCTTGCCTTGAAGAAAAAGACCGTCCTTCAAGGCCTATGGCGAATGGCAAGTTGGAATAGAGAGCAAGGAGCAACGCAGCGATTACTTGCAAACAATTTCGATGACCCTAAATGGAAAACGACGGCATTGAAGAATGCCTATGCTCTTCTTAGCAAGCGTCGTTTCGGTATGCCAATTCGAATTACTCACACGTAAAACAGTGCTAATATGACCTCCAGAATACGCTGCTGCTTTTTTCCTCCTTGCAGACCACCTACAAGATGCCGTGAATGTTTGTCTCAGCCAGATCAAGGATCTCCAACTTGCTATCGCTATCACTAGAGTGTATGAAGGTGATAATGGACCAACATTAAAGAAGCTACTTGAGAACGAAGTCCTCGCTGTCGCAGCCCAAGAAGGTAATCGATGGCTCGCATCATGGGCTTTCTGGATGCTGAAACGGAGGGATATGTCGGTTCGAGCCCTAATTGTAGGTTTTGATTGGAGCCCTCATAATGGTCCAATAGCTGACTTGATCAAGACACCTGTTTACACGCTACTCGAGACACCAGTTTCCTCAGACAACCTAAAAGCAAAATCTTTCTTAACAGATGACCCAGCATTAGTTGTATTATATTCGCAACTTCGACAAAAGACTTTACAGACCCTTCATGGGGCATCAAAAGTGACGCCAAGAACAGAGTGGGAATTCGTTTTACATAATGCTAGACTCTATGACCGTATGGGTTGCGATCTATTGGGTCTTGATCTGGGTATGTCACCACACCCAGCTTATGACTATCTTCTACATAAGCAGCTAGCTAATTACTATACAGTCCGCAACTGGGAATTTCTTCGACACACATCCCCAACTATTGCCTCGAATATCGGCGGAGACGTAGACCCTAGGAGCCTGCTCCGACGCCGGAGTTCTTTAGTCGTGCAAGACATGCCTGTCTCAGCGGTCGTTCCGGGCGACATGAAGACGGGAGGTCATGGCGTCAAGCCACCGCCAAGCGTTTTCGAGGAGCCGGATGCGAATTCGTTGCTTGATAGCTTTGGGTTTTAAAAATTCATCGAATAGGCAGGTTAGACTACAAGAACGCGTCACAAGAGACGTTGTGTTTAGGTAGCCATACTTGCATTATTAGACTACCTTAGCGTTTGCGAAACGGTGACTTATTCGTGTATCTATCTAATTAGGCTAGGTTAGGCACATGGGGCACGGAACGGTGTATGGTATACGGGGGTGGTTTGGCCCCATAACGAAAAGAGTGCGTCTAATGCGGATCACGTTATTATAAACCACGTTCCAAACGGAGCTAGCGGCACGCGTAGAACGGGTTCTCGGGATTTGGATGTGTAAATTGTAATGTATGAGGTTAGGCTATCGGCATCTGATGTGCTTGTGCGGGATCTGATGATATCCCGATTCGGAAAAGGGGAATTAACGTCGTGAGTCAACTGAGCCTGCTGTGCGGTCGAAATTAATCAGCAGTTAATCCAGGAACATAGTCTAATTGGTTACTCCATGTGAGACTGCGTCTGTAGCCGTGTATGACGGCCGTACTAATCACGGGATCTACACAGATGGCCTGTCCATTAGGTAGTTTTCCTCTAACCCCCTTTCTGTCTTGTTCTGAAACCATAGCTCCAGCCTCGATCGGTGCTAAAAGATCGAAAAAAATATGAGGAATGATATATCGGACCCGGGGGTCGCGTACGTCAACAGTCTCAGCCTCCGAACATGATCGGACTTTAACATGACGGTGTAGGACTATACGGGATGGGGCACGCAGAAACCACTCATCACACCATTGCTAAATTCCTTACCAGTAGCTTTTGTCGAGACCATCGCGGTAGGGCGGGGATGTATCACCAACCATCTATAACTCCAGCCTTCTTCGGTGGATGATCAATAACGTAAGGTCTTTAGATCTGCATATATATCCTCTGGTCTTTCTTTGCTTCCCCTTGTTATTTCCGGCCTTAAGAACTTCCCCCTTATCCTACAATACCTACCTACCCGAATACCTACCTTACCTGCGCCTAAGGATACCCATCAGCATCGAGCAAAATGACTACTACTCCTTTCCCAGACCTGCCAAAAATCGGCGTCAAGTTCCCTCACTCCCCCATCTCCATCGCTGCCTTCGCATATACCAAGGAGCACACTACGGAACTTATATACAACCACTGCGTGCGCAGCGCCTACTGGGCCCTCCTACTCGCCAGAAAACTTCCCGAATTCTCCTCTTCCAACCGCCACGTCAACCTCGAAATCGTCGTCCTAGCCAACATCCTGCACGACATGGGCTGGGCCACGACCAAAGAAATCCTATCCGAAGATAAAAGGTTCGAAGTCGATGGCGCGGACCTCGCGCATGAGTTCGTGAGGAAGTATGCCGAGTCAGGTGCACCCGGAGCAGAGGATTGGAAGGATGAAGGGGAGAGCCAGGCTAGGGTTCGACTTGTTTGGGACGCGATTGCGTTGCATGCTACGGGGAGTATCGCGCAACATCATCCCGCGCGTGAAGTCGCGCTTGCGCATATGGGCGTTATTGCCGATTTGACCGGCCCCTTGTTCCCGGCCGGCGAGCTTGGTGCCGTGATTACGGTTGCGGAGTACAAGGAAGTGGTATCGCACTTCCCGCTTGTGGGGTGGAGTGCGGCAAGTGTTAAAGGGATTATGTGTGGACTATGTCGCGATAAGCCGGCGAGTACGTACGATAACTTCGCGGCGGGGTTCGGTGCTCTTTTTGGGTTTGATGGCGAGGGGAATGGTAGGGAGGAATACCTAAGAGCTAGGGATGCAGCGAATCCGGTTAGGGGAGTGGTGAGTGGATTAGAGTTTTTGGAGGGGTTGATGGAAGAAGATACGGAAGGTCAGGGAGAGAGGAACGGGAATGGAGTTGGAGCTTAAGGTTCAAAAAGGGGATGAAAAGCATGGCGCGTCTTTAAGTTTGGGTAGTCGGCGGGTTTATGCATCGGCGTGAGGAGGATGGGGATCTTGCATGATAAGGTTAACTTAAATGGCAAGAGGCTGTCCCTAAATCATCTCTACTCCATCTCTGGAAACCCTAGAGCATCTAACATCCAATGCTCATCTTTGAAGCCCTCAACCGGGTCGAGCCCCCTCAGGGGTCAATCCTAATGACATATTTTAAGATTCTCATGAGATACAGCCGAGTCTCTTATACAGCTGCAGCATGTTATAAGATGGAAATATGTGAATCCTGAATTAGTGAGGTCCCTTTCGTGCCTCCAAGCTACGTGATGGCGTAGCCGGCGTTGAGCCTCGGGTTAGGAAGTGAGATGTCGCGCCCTTGCCAATTTCCTATCCAACATACATCCTCATATTATCCCCCATTTATCGATGTCGTAAATCCATCGCATGTATGATTATGTTATTATTTACTGCGGTCGGTCTGTGGCGCAATTATCGCGAAGTGTCGATTAGGGGTTACCGAAACTTTGCATCATCAGCGCCCTACAACTCATAATGTCTTTTTTTGGAATATTAAACAAGACAATTTGCTATTACTCATTTCTAAATTATATACGTGGAATCATTTCAGGAAATCGATGTAGAGCTGTCCATCTTCGGTACTTTGCCGATCCGCGGCCCGCGGCCGACAATGCACCGAATTTCGCTTCAACGATGCGAACGGCGCTACGATATCCGATGAAAATAGAAATTCGGCCAGGCTGTGCTTACCTAGGTATATGCGATAGTAATCCGTTTGGCTAGTCATTTCCCCATTATGGGTACCGTGAAGGTTATCACCATATCAATCTCTGGGCTTTAAACTGCGGATAAGATATTACGGACTCCTTTGAGAAATGTTAGTTTATAAAAGGATATGTTTGGAATCTCGAAAAAAAAGAAGGCAGATCATTCGGGCTCACTCTCATTAAAATCCCAAACTAAAGCTCCCTTAACTAAACGAAATAAAATTCAAAATGAGATTCGGATTATTGCTGGCTTCCCTTCTTGGGTTCGAGGGAGGTCCTCTTGGGATGGACAAAGCCCTCACAACACCTGATGTTCCAGCTAAATTCCTCGAGAATGTTGCCTTCGTCGGCCATTTTCCCTTAATGGCTTCGCAAACCGATCCACGAATCTCTTACGCTCTCTATGTGCCGAAGTCACACTATAACCCGGACCCATCTACCAATTCAACCCTCGGAAAACTTCCCCTACTTGTATATGTCCATGCAACTGGCCGAAGTATTGTCGCCATTTACGACGAACTCGTACCTTTCGCCGACTCAACTCCCTGTGCTATACTCGCCCCCTTATTTCCCGCCGGCATTGATGGTCCTAACGATGTCGACTCATATAAGTCATTAAGTTCCTCATCGCTCCGCTCAGACCTAGGGCTATTGTCAGTCATAGATCAAGTCGCGTACCGATGGCCAGGCCTTGAAACCGATAAGGTGTTCCTGATGGGATTTTCAGGAGGCGGTCAATTTGCCCAACGCTTCCTGTATCTTTACCCCGAACGCCTTTCCGCCATCAGCGTGGGAGCACCTGGGATTCCCACCTTCTTGGACGAGAGCAAGGATTGGCCCGAAGGTATCGCTGATGTTAAAGATGTGTTCAATAAGACGGTCGATACAAACCTCATTGGCGGCTTACCTATCCAGATCATCGTCGGTAACAAGGATACCGAGCTTGATGGCGACGAAGAGTTTCAGGAGTGGAAGAAAGAAAAATTAGGTGGTGATGGGTTACCAGCTATGAATGAGACTCGACTTGAGTCGGCGCAGAAGCTTCATGACTCTTTGACACAAGCGGGTATTCAATCCCAGTTGGATATCGTCGATGGCGTCGGTCATAATGAGAAGGGCGTTCGAGAGACCGTCTTAAATTTCTTGAAGCCTTGGATTCAGAAAGCCAACTAGGGCATGGCGGAAGGGAGACACTCGTCCAAATATTAGGACGGTGTAGCTCAGGGGGTGAACGGAAGTCACTCATTAGAACTCTTATTCCAACTCGGCACGTTTATTACTTTATACATAGTTAATTATATCATGGGTGTTACTCACAGCATGTGATGCTCTCTTTTCCATTGTCGCATATTGGGATATCATGAAATCTCAATTTCTCGATGTCTTTTCCTGGCCAAAGAAAATAATCGTATTTAATTTACTCCCATATTAAGACTATACACTTGAAGTATGCTAAAATTCAACTCCGATTTTAGAAAAGGGGTAAGAAGTTAGTATCTTGCGAGAATTTTGTCGGTCTCGTACTCAAAGAGCCAAGTGCGTTGGTGAGCCCCGGAAACACACGTTTCCACCACGCGGCTCTGCATGTCTTCCTTATTCACCGAAGAAGGATCAACCGGTGTGTCACATCCTTCCGGCCGATCAATGAAATCTATGGATTCGGAGAATATGTCGATGTTATGACGTACGAGTTGTTAGTCGTATAACGATACACCACACTAGGGGGATGAAACACCTCAGCTACCTACCAAAAAGGGGATACATGTCCATGGAACGTACCATATCCTCCGTGCTGCCCCTTCGCTAGTTCTGTTGATACCTTACCTAAGGCACCCACCTTGATGGTTTCACCAATCTCTACACTCCGCCTTATGATGTGAATATTTGCAAATGTCTCAGTGTGGAATAACCCTTAGCACCCGGTGCAGTACTTCGGACTGAAGTTCCAATTGATCTGGCGCGTATCGTGTTTGGCTGATATAAGCATACGTCACAAATCTCCCTCCTTCATGTGTGCCCATGGCCTTTTAGCTCATCATAGCTCATCTAAGACATTTGCGCGCGGGTGGGAGGTGCTAAATACGACAAACCTAGAGCGTGGCGGTCGGTTATGTTGGCAATTCGAATCTCCTTTATTCATCTTCTTGGATTTATGCATATATACCTAGGCATATATATCGTATTATCCTTCGAAATATGGCGTGCGATGACGATTTTACGTGGCACGCATGACGTTTAATATGGATTAGGGCGGTTGCACGATTTCTTGGTGGCTGTTTTAATATCGTCGTTGATGTGAGATCTTGGTTGGGTAAGGCTCTAACCTATATCTGAAGCCAAGGGGGGAGAGTCAGATTTAATGAGTAATAATATTGTATGTTGACTCGAGTAAGTGGAGGCATGATGTATCATAGTATGGCGAAGTAAAGAGTATTCCCCCGTTCAAAGTGTCCGAGTTAGCGAAATCAAGGTATATCTATTTAAACTACATCGTAGCTTTCTCCGGTTTGCGCCAGATGTTTGAACTATCCACTAGGTCAGGGGTAGTCGGACTGGAAGTTGGGTCTGGCCTCCCAATGCGACTCGTGCGAAGCCATAATCCTAGGATGCGAGTCATTCATGGTGGCTTTGGGGATCCTCCGAAATTGCTAGGGTCATCCCTCGATAATTAAGTCGCGGCTTAGATCAATGTTTCGCTCGAAGCCGAACCAAGAATGCCCAGGTCAAAATCAGCCCGGCCATTCTTAGGGCTTTTAAGCCGAACCTGCTGACATTGTAATCACAGAAATTCAGTCTCAGATATTTCGGTTCTTTTGCAACTTATTACTAAATAGTTTCGGTCAATCCGGGGTAAATAAGTAAAAATTTCTATGAAACGTAACAATCCCCATGAAACTAGAGATGTATTCCGTACGGATTAGCTAGATGATCGCCTCAGAATTTACCAGATTGAGAAGGTGATGTTATACAGCACCAAAGTAGAACCGAATGGCTTTGATCTTGAGTGGTTTCCGGTCGTCCTAGATGGCTTTTTATCAGTCGCAGCTGAAATTCTTCGTCTTCTCATGTAAGTGTTAGCCGTTCCCGAGATAGCTTGCCACTTTCTAGGTCGGCGTACAATTATCGGGGTGATCCATATGCTAGGGTAACGATCACCCTTGGCATTCGGAATCCGTCAGCTGGTAAGGATTCCAGATCCGGGTATGGTTAAGGATGTAAAGTGATATATAGATGCCGTTCGTCAACGTTAATGCTGTGATTATGAAGTTATCCCACCTAGATCGCGGATCTGTCTTGTTAGTTGACGAAGATGCCTTCAAAAGCTTACCTATTTTTATCCTTCCTTCTAGCTTCGGCTCAAGCTAGGGATATCCCATCCAACCTACGGAATTTCTATAATTCAGTAGTAACGCAAGGATCATGCAAAAAGCCATTACAGGGAGGCTTCTATGATATGGCAGGGAGTAGTGACAATAGTAAGTTTGGTAACTCGTACTAAACTAGAAATGACCTCCTGAGACCTTTGATCTAGGCTTCGCCTATTGCGGTGACCACCTAGATGACTACGGCATCATCTACTTACAAGGCGGAAATGGGAAGTTGGCCAACATGGACATCGATTGCGACGGAGACATAAGCAAGAACGATGACGGCCGTTGCGATAACGCCCACTCAACCCAAAGCACGACATCTTTCAAGCGCTATGTGTCAGCGTATAAGAATGGTGTTCCGGACTTGAATCCTTTCGTCCACGACTACGTAGTCTTCGGAAACAGTGGAGACAAGGAAGGCTGGATCACATTTGACCCTCGCGAGTACGGCATGCAGCCTTTGAGCGTGATGGCTGTTGTCTGCAACAACAAGCTGGTGCGTATTTCACATTAGTGGACTGTATTATGATGGCTGACTGTCGGGCAGATTTATGGCATTTGGGGAGATACGAATGGCGACGATGGCGTGAACGCCAGAATCGGCGAATCGTCGATTTCAATCGGGACTCTGTGCTTCGGTACTGGTATTAACGGAGAGGTCGGCTATGACCACGAAGACGTCTTATACATTGGATTCACCGGCTCCGACGCCGTCCCCGGCGATAAAGCGAACTGGCGTGCGGCTGATGAGAACAAGTTCCAATCAAGTATTAGCAAATTTGGCGACAAGCTCATCCAGAGGATCGGGAAATCTTAATGCTTCCCTAAGTGCTCCTTAGTAGAACCCAGGTCGAAGTCATGACGTACCAAGACCGCTAGGTATCTTGGTTCGGGTTGAAATGGAATGGGATCTGCCGAGCTGGGGATTCAATAACCATTGAGTTAAGGAATAAAAAGAATTGGTGTTTATAGGAATCGGCGTAGGTCGCGCGGTATTTGGTTGAGTCAGGATTCCCTTCATTTTCTTACATAAAATGTATGTAAATACCCTTTCACGGGAAGTATACGAATTTGGGACGCAGCATTCGCGAGACGGAGTAAATCAAAGTCACCTTATGTGAATATTCTAGAGCCGTAATTGGAACATGTATGAGCTCAGAGCGCTCTGAGATTGGTCTTATTCTCAGGGGTGTGGCGCATGGTATTGAAACGTAACTCTAGATGTTCCTAGAATCGTAGAGAAGAGGTGCTATCGAGTTCGGCTTCCGAAAGAGTTTGTTTGAGGTGGTGGTAGTCCGTGGTCTGATAGGCTCTTGAACGCGTTGGTAACAGGTACGAGCCACGAGAATGAAGAGAGTTGACTGGCTATGGAATAGCCTATGTAAGCGATGTACGGCTTCGAAGTTTAGGAAATCTTGTATCAATGTAGTTTATGTGTTAAAGCAGTCAACGAGCGAACGGATGGTGAAGTATCTGGAAAACAAAATCATATTGTCATTATGCGCGCTCTTGTATGAATATGAGTTGCTCTTAAAATAAAACAGGTATCTTCATCTAAAGTGATTCGAGGGTAGTGATGGAGAAGAAAATTGAAAGAGATAAAATGAGAAGATGAGAAGATGAGAAGGTGAGGGAGTAAAGGAGTAAGAGATGAAGTTGGATAAAAGTCAGGTGTTGTCGTCATCCCATCACCTGATCTTTATATTCGGTATATTCATATAATTATGCATTAATCAAAGGTAAATTTACTGTTTATCTGCATATACACATACGCTGTTTTTTATACTTTCATATTTTCTACTTTAAGATTAATTATTAATCTTTTTTAATCTCATTTCCTCCCTCATTCTTTTCATCATCCTTCATATTTCAACAACCAACCCGACTATAATCTATCACGACTCTTGTAGTCCGGCGAAAACAAACAACGACGTAATGGCTATCATATTAATGCCCCAGACATTCGTTCGAACCAAGATGAATTTGCGGTTTTCCTGGCCCCAGATATAAACCCACGTGTAGAGCAACCGAGTAACCAGATAGGTCAGCGACACTGTATTCAAGATGTCTGTCGACACGCCCGCCGCGTTTCCTGCCGCAATTGCTGCAGCGTAATAACCGAGCGTTTCGAACGCGTTAGAGCACGCTGCTTCCGCGCGCTGGAGACGACCGATTAACTGGTCGCGGTTAGTCAGCGATGTCCGTGTTGTCCTTGTCGCGTGGGTGTGGTGGGGTATGAAATTCGGAACTCACCCGCTTGTCAAGATCGGCCTTCGAGAGCTGCGCGGAGAAGAGGCGCGGGTTGTTCCCGTCGAAGTACTTCTTCCCCGGCCCCGTGAGACCCGAGTACGCCCTCGGTAGCAACGCCTGTTGCACGCGAATGGGTTAGCAAGTGGACAATACACGTAGATACGCAAGGTATGACGACGAAAGAATGTCTTACGAAGAAGAGTGCTACGGGGACCTAGATTAGATGATTAGTTTGAAGCTCGCGCAATCAAGTTTGGAGCTGTATTCTCTCAACTGACTGTGTGGTAAGATATATTCTTTTCGAGGCCGAGATACGAAGCCATTGTCACCGGTTGACTTTGTTTTCCTTCCGGGCTATAGATGGTGTACAAGACGACTTAAGTGCTAATGAGGTGAATGAGTTTTTGGAGGGAGTGGACGAATTCAATGATTTATATTTAAGTTACTTTGGTATCTACTAATAACACTGAATGCTTAGGTAGGTTTCCCCATACTTAAGTATTGTTGGACCACCCCTGAAGCTTTTGGAGGATCAAAACGGGGCAGAAAATAGATACGCTGGGTATAATAGCGCGTAATTTGACCCGCTTCTGGCGTCGGAATCGTCCCGAGTGCCCGATTCTTCAGCTGCTTGCTTGAAAATGTCTCCGAACCCCTAAGGATTTTATCTACTTATATATTCATTCGTATCATAAACCCGTGGGACGTTGTCTTGACGTTGATTCGGGTATAGGGCGTAGGACTACTTGATCAACTATTACTGTAATGGTGTAAGAACTCTTTTACAAGCATAATCTAAAATTGTAAAAATAAAATTATTCATTTAGCTGACCTGATAGATAGCTTATGTAAGGATTTGAATGTCCAGATGGGCTGACAAAGCAAGTAACTTTTGTTAGCTTGTAGTGTTCCGTGTCCCGCTTCCCTGAGAACCTTGGAAGATTCAAAGTGGGGGTTACTTAGGTGTCCCCTAACATTCGATTTAATGGGAAAGAGAATACTTAGCTAGCAACGAAGGGTTTCGCCGTCTCCGACGTTATTATGCTTTTCAATTCGATCCGTCTTATCTAAGCCGCTTTCTTGAAGACAACTGTGGAAGCAGCAGATTAGTAATACGAAAGTCCACGGCCTCAATTGTCTTGAATTGTCTTGACTGGAGATGCACTAGCAACATTCAAAAGTGCATCATGATAATGCGCAATAGTTCTTGCGGCACTGCCTCATAACCTCTATCCTTCACCAAAACTCATTAGTAATTTGCTACCTCTGAACTCAGTGTGTTGGCCTTAAAGAGATGAATACAAAAGAGCGGCGAGGTAGGACAATATTTGCCTGTCGTACAAAGCCGGGGGGGTTGGTACAACACATCCATCTAGATGAGACAAGAACGCTACATTGGTATCATTGGACATGTTAGCCCCGATCTCGATTTACGCAATAATCACATACATGTAGGTAAAAAAGGCGCATTGATGTAGCCTATCAATTCTTTAATATATGCGCCGTCACCTGAGAATCGTAAGACTACATTGTGAGTACGGCAGTCATAAGCCCGTGGATATGCGCCCTGCTGTCAATCGAGACTCCTAGATAAGGCTACATCGATACGGCCCGTTTGTAACGGCGCGCCATCCGTAACATTCGTTCGTGACGCATAAAAACAATGCACGAGCTTCTTAACGCGTAGCGAATCATTTCATGTTCGGAGCATCAGGGTATCACGACTTGTATTTTCCGCCCTTAGACGGGACAGGAATTACTATAAACAATTTGCTAAGAGCAACCTCCTGCACCTTAGCAGCATATTGGAAAAGAAAAAGAACCAACTTTGAGAAAACGGCTCGTCGGAAACGTGTATCATGTAAATTCACCCCCTCCCCAGTCCCCCCATAGATCGTTGAGATCGGATCCAAGCATTTCAAAGTTGAATTCGGGGTTTTGGGTAGGAACCTGACCAGAGTCTGACGAAGGTAGCACCCACGGCATTGTTAGTGCTACGCCATCCCGATACGGCGTATTTGCCATCTGCATTGTAGGTGTGGCATCCATAGGAAATGGTGTGATAGACTAAAATTGCCATTAGTAGTTGTATACATACCTAGGTACGTAAGAAAACATGTCTAGAGCATACCTTGGCTCGACTGATCGGATCCTGAGCTGTCTGTGGTGACGTTGAAGAAGCTCCTGGTTGCTGGTTGGGATAAGGGGGGATCTGGAATGCGAGTAGCTTATAATGCAAACTAATGAAGCGCTCGGCTGCTGACGCCTTGGCTGCTTCCGATGTCTTAATTCCCATATGAGTTTCTAGGAGGCCGAAAGCTGCACACATGGATGAATAACCCCATGGATCGTTATTGCCACATCTCAACACCCGATCTTCCTTCATTGTAATACACTTTTCTACGAGCCTAAGGGTGTCTTGTGCGCTTGACATGATTAAGGTCATCGAGTCTGTTTGCTCCGCGTTAGTTTAACACAAAATCAAGTATATGCGGCCCCCATACCTTTAGGTTGGTGCAGCGTTACGTTGCAGAGATTTATGACGGAATTCATGGTATCTTCGCGAAGGTAAGATAAGGTCCTTATTCCCTTTTGGTACAACCGATCATGCATCATGACAATATCCCGTGCGGCAGTGTAGTATGTGAGTTCTGCTGTTTGGTACTTCGAGTTGAACTTCCTGAGTTTCAAGTACGGTTGATGTAGGGGGATGAGGTACTGTCTAAGTTGAATATGCAGCAGTGTGTGCGCCAAGATTGGCTTCTGAGTGGAATCTTTGTCGTGATCCAAGTCCCATGCTGGTAATTGGTCAATCTCATGAGTGACCATATCGCTATATTGAAGGACTTGCTCCCATTCAAGATCAATGGGTGGGCCCGTCAGCAATTTAGTTAAGTCAACCCGAAGTCCTAAACTACGGCGGCTGAGATGCTGGTATGACGATGATGTGTACTGATTCGGCGGACGAGAAACAGGAAGATCCTGTGAGTTTTCGTCGAAACTCTCGTCGTCGACGTTCTTCGGCGGATTGGTGTCATTATGAACCGAGCTCAATAGGGTCGGGAGGCCCTGATCAAATGATGCTTGCACGTCGAATTCGATTATGGTAGCCCATACTCTTCGTCGCATTTCTGCCATATAAGGAGAGATTTTCGCTGCCACGTGATCAGGATCCTGGTGAAGTCCGACGTTGAGACCATCACGTATTAGCTTCCCGGAAGTGGTCCAAAATCGTTTCTTCTTGATAAGGTTCACTTTCTTGGCAAGGTAGAGTAGGCAAGCAATTTGATAATGGACTAGCTTGCGATGCTTTTGGCTTTGTTTGTCGTGCCAATCATCACATGCCCTAACCCACTTCTCGGCCATCTGGATAGAACTAGATTTGATGCCGACGAACTTATTGGATGCCTGGGTATCAAGACAACAGGACACGGACATCATAGCCAAAAGAAGAGCAGTGAAGGAGGCGACTTTGGTCTTAGAAGGGTCCCAGTATGTCTCATACTCTGCTTTAAAGGTGGGTACATGGATGATGCGATAAATCTGCTCAAACTGGTCGAGATAGACAGACACAAGGGAGTCTGTTTCCTCTTTAGAAGGAAGGAGAGACTCTAGGCCTAGGTCCGGCTCGGTGGCTTTCTTCTCGCGATCCTGCTTGCGTTTTCCGCGGTCCTTCTTCTGGATATTGAGAGGCTTGAGCCATTCTTCGGCTGTCTCTCTCATAAAATGAAATATCCCGGTGAGTTCCTGGAGGGACGACCAAGCATTATGAGGTCCGAAGTATTTGGTCTTGAAGTCGTGTCCCCTTAGGTTTTGGTATTCAGTCACCCCAGCCTCGACATTTTGTGGGGTGAATGAGGGGTTTGAGGGCACGGACTGGCCATCTTTGCCGGAGTCCTTGAGGGTCGATGGTGAGGCAACGATGGTACTGCCATCAACTGAGGTTTGTTTTGATAAGCTTCCTCTTAGTTGAGCGACCTCGAGTTCAAGCCGGCGGATCCGCTCATGGTCACGGGCAGCATCTCTCAGGGCCGAGGGCTCAACGTCGCGGCGGACTGGTGAAGGGTTCACAGAGGGACGACGAGGTTCAGAGCCATATGTTGCTGGAGGAGCAGTAGGGACAAAGGGCGTCTTTTCTCCAGTCGACACCGACGTTGAACCCGGTCTTGACTCATATGTGCACCTATCGGGTGTGCCGGACTTGACACAACGATCACAAGGCAACTCCCTTGAGCATGATAGCTTTCGACGGCGACACTCTAAGCATGAGAGTCGCACCCTTTGGCGTTTCCGAGCTGGGCCTTGGTTATGCTCGTCATGATCATGCTCGTGATCATGCTCGTCATCTTCGGATGGCGCAGGTAGGTTATTGTGATTGTTGCTGCTGCTGTTTGCTTGAGATTCCGTCATTGTTACCGATGTGAATCCGCGGATATAAGGTAGGGCGCGCAGAGGGGCCAAACCTTGGGGTAAGTGGCTAGATTGATAAGATCAACAATCAATAGAAAGACATAAGATTAATGAGTTTCTGTTCCATACCTAGACATCGGGAGCAAGTGAACGAAAACGTGAATCACTTTTTTCTGAGACGTAAGCTGTTCGGAAGTCCGAGGCCAGGCTCGGATCTCGGACTTAGATGAGATGGGGTCCAAATGCACGACATCAAGCCATGACGTTGGAATCGTTTGTTTTAATAATCTTACGAGTTTTAGATCTTATTTGTGCCGAATAAAGGAGTCTAGAGTTATCGCATTGATTGCTCTCATAAAAGAAAAAAAAAGGAAAAAGCACACTCACACAAGGGGAAAAAACCTCGATGGGAAGAAACCAACACCGATAATTTGCAGACACCCAACAACAAAGAGGGCGGCTGAAGAAGCGGGATGAGTAGAATGGAACCTGCGTCACGTGCTGAATCCCCCATACGTCCTACGCCTTATCAATCAAACAAGTGTTATCTAATCGAGGAGTCGGAACCCGAGGCTTGTGCGACGGTTCGAAGCAAGGGTGTTAATGTTTATTAAGGGAAGCTGCAAATGAAGTTTGCTACCTCAAATTTCTAAAGTGGCTGGGTCGGTGGCGTCACTTAATTGTTTTAAGGTCGGTCCAATTTGATGAGTTCTTCCGACTTTTCAAACGCATACATCATTGTTACCTAGGTACATACATGCATTCAATTCCACTACCTACAATGTACCTAGGTGCAATGAGACACGTCTGGTTTAATCCGGCGGACAGTATTATACTTCCATATACGTATATATAGGCGTCTTTGTTCATCTTCAATGTTGCGTGGCAGAAGCGGTTTTCTCGTATTAGACACCTATACCGAGGTATAAAGGCGCCGATTCATCGGTACCTAGGTATATATGTACCCGCGGTGTATAGGTAGGTACGTACCCAATTTGTTGTTGCGAATACGAAGATTCGGTTTCCCGCAGGCTTGTTATTCTTCCGACAGTCCGGGCGTATTTTAACGCCATAGTTAGGGGGTTTATTTAGGGGAGCTTCGACAAGCTTTAGAAGCTAGAAGCTAGAACCCCCCTCCCCACCATTTTTTATCGACCACACTGCCACTGTCACTGTCACTGTCACTTTTCATCCCTTCTCACCTACATATGTAGGTACTTGGCCGCTTATACCTATTTTTAAACGCCAGAGCCCCCAATGGGCTTTGGGATATCGTATGAAGACCAGCATCATGGATTCCGGATGATATGGATTTTCATGAATCCAATATCGTATTGAGACATTCCCTAACCGGATAAGAACTAACTCGCTTCCTCGGTATCATGGGATTAATTCGCTCTGATTACATCTCATCGCAACCCTGCCTCTCTAGATTGGGCTGCTGCTGACTGTGAATGGAGTGTAGTTTGATAACGTAGGGCGTATTATTTCGGTTCGGATTATGGAATAGTCGTCTACACTTCGTAAAGCGTTTTCCGTCGCTACCGACCTCTTGGGTACGACAAGTTGTGTAGGTATTATCGGGACCAGAATACCAATCCTCGGCATACTAAATAATTGTGACTGGGAATTGCGATTGCGACCGCGTTCTAGAGATGTTTCGGCCTTTCGAGGTGGCGATAATTTATGTGGAAACGACTCTATTATCGTAGGAGAGCGTCTCAACGAGGATTGGCCTGCCAACTCGCCTCATCCGCACATCCTAACATCTCACATCTGGCGGTCTCCTTGGGTGTATTGTTTCTAGGTGGTGCGTTTTGTAAGAGAAGTTTCATAGGCGAAAAGATTTTGTGTATCTGCTGAAGCATGGCTCTCTCGCTTCAGAGTACTAACTTGGACTCCTTTGAGTCGCTGAGATAGCATATTTCGTATTAATTACCTCGCGTACTTTGGAACTTCGAGTCGAGTTATTCTTGCGTTCTATCAAGTATTTGATAAATAATTCGAGTGTATTGGTCTCGAGGATAGGTTTGTTTTCGCTTCGGGCCGCCGACCAGCGGAAGGATATATCGAACGTCGAGATATATTGTCAGGACAACGATAGCCGTCTTTGGTATCAAACCCAACCCTATGATCAGACGGACGCTTCCCTTTGCTCTAATCTCGTGCGCAAGCCACCTATCGGCATACCAAAAAAAAAATAAGATGGCATAAGGGGGGTTTATATGTTGCTATCGCTCGCTTCTTGTATTGGAGGGAGGTTTCCATGTCGCATTCTAATGACATACGTCTCATAATCTCAATTTACATATCATAAACTAGCTAGAATAGTAGAGGAAAGGTTACGCAGAAGGGGCGCCGTTTAGGGACTCCACGTATAATACCAGAGAAAAAAAGAAAAACTAATATCTCGAACATGGTTGACGCTACTGATCGAACGATTTCATCGAATGACAGCTGCAGCACAACTTACCTAGTACCTATAGCTACAACACTTAGGCGTTTACCTACCTCGCTATTCGTCGCTTGGGTCGTTGGGTTGTCGCCGCCGGCAGATAGAGAGTGGGTACGGAGGTCGCGAAGTAGATCAACTATATACGCCCGGGGTTAGTGGGTACAGCACCGCCCGAGCGGTTGAAGTAAAAGACGAGCAAAGGGGGTTTCCACTTTAGGCCGATAAGGTGGCGACTTTCCATGGATGTTGAGCAGATTTGGAATTCGACCACCCTGTACCGTCTGTACCCGTACACGTGGATCTGACAATCCCCAGCATAAATCCTAGATCGAGATCTACGAGAAACGTGTCTGGGGTCTTGCATGTTCCGTGTACCTAGCTCGCTTGGGAAGATGGCTGGTTAGCAGCACACGGCACAAGTATCACCTACCGACTCACCGTGAGGCCTCCCTTAAACCCCCTTTTCCTAATCCGGTAATTAGCATAACATATGACTCAGGTTTGTCGCTCTAGTCCAGACCGTCCACGTTGCCCGCCTTTGGAAATGGCGACTAATTACTGTGTGGGAGGTCCGGTTTATAACGCTGCTGGCGGCGCGAAGCAGCAGAATTTGAAAATAGCTTTAGAAACAAAAATGATAATTTTTTTTAAAGAGTGGAAGTGAAGAGTGCCTGGATAAAACGATTGGTTTAGTCATGTTCTGTTTGTGGGTTTTATATCTAGTATCATGAGAATAACATACTCATTGCTCATTAAACGTTAGGGAGGGCTACAGAGATTCCTGCGCTCTGACACGTGGGGAAGAGCCCACGGTCCTATGGGGTCTCCCCTCAGGGCGGCGAATCAAACGTCGCAATCTCAACCAACCTGACTGACTGACTGACAAACCAGGGTTTGAAAATTCGAACTCGAAATGAAACTCACAAAACGATAAAACAGTAGTGGCTCCGTTGTGATGAGATAATGAAGTCCATCACAACGCCGCTAACTCATAAGCTCGTTCCCTCCTTAAACCTCGGGAGTAGTTAAGGCACGCCTCACGAGAGCATGTCGCGATTTTGGTACCGACGGTTAACTCTCGGTGGCATTCTAGCCTTAATCACCCTATCGCAGCAGAGAGTTCCTCCGGTCATTCTAGCGCTAGAGTCGAGAAAGGAAAGAAAAGGGACATGGGAAAATTTTTTGTCATCCTCTTTTAGCCGAGCGTCGTCGTTCAACCGTTGTTGAGGGACAGAGTCGAGGCCGCGCCGCATATTAGTCATTCTTTAGCTCTTGGGGACCTATGATACACCTGAGAATGGTTCGTCGTAGGCTGTTACATACAGCCAGTGTGGCAAAGGGTCCTCCCTGGTACGGAAATATGCAGACGGCGGCTCTACACATGCCGGGTTGAATTGTGGTTTGGGGGGGTGTGAGCTTTCCCGACCCGGAGTTCGATCTCATGGTGATTGGACCTGGTGCAACGACAAACCGATCGCCGGTCAACATCCCAGCAGCCCCGGTGGCGTTCACCAGGGACCCGATTTAGAGTGTGAGAAAGTGGCGCGACGTGGCGAACCATGGGCAATTCTTCCGGATGCAATTGGTCATCTACCACCCAAATAAGCGGTTCTTCTGCGCGTCCCTACATGATTTGCAACTGACTGATACCCATTCCAAATCTCCGCACGTCATGCTGTTCATGCCTGTGTCAGGGATGGCGCGTATCTTTGCGGGTATCGCGGTGGTATGACGTTAGGACCTTCCTGTTCCGCGGCCATACCATCCAGGGCCTTGTCTTGTGAGTACTGCTCCCACCAGTGGACGAAGTGTTCGAGTGTATGGTCCCCATTGTCATTGATCATGCTGAAGACCCCTATGGGCCACCGAGATCGTATCTCCTGCGCCATGTGATCTAAGCGACCATCGCCATCTTCGACTTCGGCGATCTCCCTGAGGAGGTAGATATCTTCTGCACTCATGGATTGTCTGAGGAGGCGGAAGATTGCTTCCGCTACGTAATAGTTCTGCCCTTGTTCCCATAGCCCCTTAGCACAAAGTATCATCGTGGATCGTAAAGCCTCGTGCGTTGCCGAACCATTCTCTACTGACGCCATGTCCCTTAGAGCACTGAATCCTAGCAAGTGTAGGAATTGGACTAGTGTGACATCTAAAGATTCGAATCCGTGGCGTAGATAGTAGACCCGCATAAGAGTCTCAAAGCACGCCTTTGAGTGGCTAACAACAGTATTCGGGTCCACCTCTGCATGTATATAACCCATATGCATAAACGGCTCGAAAAGACTGATGAGCAGAACGTGATAATGAATACTAGAAAAAGAGTCAGCATAAATACACAATGAAACGCCGACTATATCATAATCTACGCTAGAAAATACTTACTGCATCTTAATATGCGAAGGCATGGCAATATTGCGGGCTTTAAGTGGTTCCGGCAAACCCTCATACCAGGCTAGAAGTCTCGATTTGAGTCTGATGGCAGCATCGAGCGGCATTCGGTTGAAGGTCCTGGGTTGCACAAACGACAGTCTCGTAACTTCGTTCATGATTACGCGAAACTCAGAGACCGCCCTAAACACCAAACCGTTGGATATAGCAATAGCTGTCCGCCCAAGAGGATATTTCACCTCAATCTCTCCATAATATGCGGGCGCATCGTCGAGATCGGGGAGTGGCCGAGCTGGTGGATTATTGAGGATCGGTGGTTGGAATGTGTGGAAAGTCGCGAATCTGGTATAGGCATTGGCATTAGTGAGCTTGTCGTGGAGTACAAAATGTCAAACAGGAAAAGGGGGGCCTGAAAACTTGAAAAAACCTACGCCTGCCAGTTGTACAAACACCACGCAGTTGTTCCTGCTACTACTTGCCATTCCTTGCTTTCGTCCTGGGTCGGCGAGAAGAGAGACATCGCATTTGCCATCTCAAAAGTCTTGTATGTATAGAACCAGCTTAATTCGTCGATACCGTTGAAGTTACATGTCAAGTTAATGATAGCCGCTGCTTGAACCGTCGTTATCATAGGATCCGCTTGTTCGAGTTCGAATAGCCTTCGGGCTTCGGCGAGGAAGCGATATCCTAGATTGTCGGGTTTCCAGTACTCGGCTCTGTTCTTCATCCGGCTATATCCATGCTTTCCAAATCGTCAGCGTAGGTAAGAAGTATCAGAAGGGTCGTGCGGAAATGCTATTCTTACCCATGCAGCTCCCAGGACTGCATTCACCAACAATGGCGAACAGAATCGCTTGTTACCGGTGCTCATGTCATCAAGGAACATCTCTTTATGGAAATAGGGATGGAAAGGGAACTCGAAGATGAAGTAGATCTGCAGAAGGACGCGCAGCATTGGGTTGTCGGAAGAAACGGTTGTCCAAGTTGACACGTTCATGGACGATATGCGATTGTCTTTAAGCTCTACAGTATGGTATGGCACTAGATACACCTTTTTGGATTCGTCCTCGACAGCCTTCAAGGCTTCTAGGGTTGCTGGAGGTTGTATGTCCACCTTCTCAAATAGAATGGACTGAAGGTATGGGTTTGGCCATCGATTTAGGTGTACTGGCATCTCTCGAAGATACGGAAATTCATATCGGAATCGAAGATCTGGTTTGAGTGAAAGTTGGAGGAGGAGATCGCTGTCCGAGATCGCCTGGACAATTGTCTGCGCCTCTTCGCCCATTCGGAGTCGTTGAATAACTTGAGCGGTCTCTTCGTCTGGTCGGGATCGCATAATTCCAAATAGATCTTCGTATGCCTGGCATTTGATCTCTAGATCGGTTAACTTGCGCTTCTGGGCTCTAAGGTGGGTTTCTGTCGGGAGAGTCGTGTATTCGCAGGCCGTTGATCTTTCGATGCACACGGAGCATCGTGGCCGCTCGGCTGTACACTGCAATTCGGTCAGCCCCAGATTAGGGTTACTGAAGAGATTGAGGTGAAGTGACCTTGCTCTTCCTCTTTCGACAAGCCTCGCAAGCTGCCGGGGTGGCTATTCGCTTAGCACGATGCTGGGTCTGCGATAGGGCCTCGACGCGAGGAGGGTTGGGGGCGTTGGGCAACAGCGGCCGCAGAGGTTGCTGCGACATACAGAAGACACGAGAACTGAAAGACTAAGCTCAATGAGATATGGATAATACTATTGAAGTTGTGACAACTTCTTAAGTTATTCTATCGAGCAAGATCTTCAAGAAAAGAGAATCAATACCTGGGTTACTTGCCAGGGAAAAAGCTATGGTATTGTCTTTTACGTATGTACTCGATCCTAGTGTAAGTGAGCTAGGATCGGGTACATCTAGCAGTCCAGGGGGGTCAAATCTGTGAGGCTAGGCGGTCCCAAATGTGGCGTCTGCATGCAAAACAGAGAGAATGCAACCGGGAGGGCCAAAATCTAGACCCACACGACGATCTGGTCCTCCAGTACTACTTGGCAGCGTAGTCCGAGAATACACATGGCACTGACGATCATGTTCTTAAGCTTCACATGGGCTCCGCAGCACCAAGATTCGTTATGGAGAAGTGAAGAAAATATTTCAGGTTTAAGACTTACGGGCCTCTTAAAAGTGACAGAAGTCATGGAACCGGCTAGGGTGGCTGATATGTGATCCACAAGTAAGCGGTTGTTAATTAATAGGTACACTTAGAATATCTAGCGAGAAACCTCACTATTATATCACCTAAAGTACCTACCTGAAACAGCCACTAAACGCGTTCGCCAACTTCTTACCTACCCCAAGGAAAAAGACAATAGTTAGGGTACCCAGAATCTGCCGTGTCGCCACTTTTAGTGGTTGGATTTTCGGTGGTATAGGAGCCCCCTAGCTGGTTTATACTGTGCTCGGAGAAGCCCCCTGTATCCGAGTCGAGCAGCGTTCCAATCAAAATACGCCTAAGACTTCAGTGGCCTTCCACGAAGAAGCCTGTCGGTCACTAGTAAAAGCCTCGTCACCGCTGGAGCTAGGTTCCCATACCCTGTTATTATGAGGTTGTGGTCGCTCTAAGGGTTTATGCAGATAACATCATTTGAACATCATTTCGGATGGAGTGATTCTACAATAAAACCGAAACATATTTCAATTTCAATTGGCAATATAATAATTAAATAATGATATCATTTCGAGGTATTTCGGGAAAAGGAGTGGAAGGCTGTATCCTACGGTCGGTGCATATTACTGTGCTATATTAGCACGCGGCCGCAGTGAGCCGAATAGGATCGATCACTTACGCCCTGTTATATGGGTATCAACTCATTGTATTATCTGGGTACTTTTCCAAATAGGTAAAAGAAGGAACGGAAAGAAAAGTTTTTTTCCTTGCTTCCCTATTGCTGCTTGGCCACGGCCGTAGCCCTCGGTAACGGAATCTCCGTACCAACTAGCTGTTCGAGAACAGGCACCCGGAAGCATACAAACGACGGTGCCACAGAGCTGGCCAGGTATAGTTCTCACAGCTCCACCGCCATATCGCTAATTTCCCCTAAGACTGTTACGGTATTTATTACTTTCCTTCATCATCAGCGGTTGCATTCATGCAGTTGAGAGGGCCTTATGTGCTGAGAATACATAAGTTGATCATATCCGTCTTGTTTCGCTTCCAGAGCTGTGCCTGAACCCGAGCGCATGTCGCCACGAACTACCCAATTCTCCCCCCGGGTTCCTTACCACCTATAAACGCCGAGCCCATCCCCGAAATTAGCGATCGAGATCAATTCGGCGTTCTAGTGGAATGTATCGAGCGCTTAACAATTATAAAGTTATACAAACTAAGCGATCTGTTTCGCAGTTTCTGTTATGTACTTCTGGATGACTAGGCAATCACAAATGCCATGCTTCAAAACTTCATTATTGAGCACAAGTACTTCAGTACGCAGCGTTTCCGCAGTGATTTTCAACGCGTCTCGTCCGGCTTCTAGGGTTCTTTCTCTTGCCTGAAGAATAGATGCCTCCCTATTTTTCTTCTGACGGCATTTATTGGCCGCGACGCGATTCTTTTCGAGCTTACCTACCCGCTGATCTCCGTTGACCCCGAGGTCCTCGTTGAGCGAAGACGACGACGACGAACTTAGCCTAGCTTGACTTCGCCTGCGTTTAGTTCGATGACGAGAAACCATCTCCATACCGCAATCGTTTCCGCCCTGAATACTATATTTCTTTATTGAAAAAATTGGCGGCGGTGTGGTTTGTCGTTGCTCCGATTGTTGAAGCCTCGAGAAGCCAAATGTCGAGAAATCCTCTCGCGAGGCAAATTACAAATTGCGTCTATACAATTAGGGTCAGTAATTACCAAAAAAAGTTCTCACAGTGAAATATTACGACTACATACCGATTTTCTATCATCCCTTTCGTTTCTGGGGAAGCTACTTCGAAAAACTCCTAGCTGGTCGAAATCCGCATTGGGGGTGGCGCTGGTATCTGCGCTGGAACCATCCCATTCCAAATGCTGGAGATTTTCAAGAATATCGAATCCCTGCGGGTTAAACTCCCTATCTGGACTTGAGAGGGCGGGTTTAGCTCCGTGGCGAAGATAAAACGAGTCCAACAAACTAATCCCGCAACTCACGGCCATCGTTGAAGTTTTGTGGAATGCCGCTAGACGAAACATCCTATACCTTTAAAAAGTGAATCGTTGGGGAGATAAAACGCGATTGGAGCGAATTACTGACCCCGGTAGCGAATAGAGTGTTTCCGAAATTATCACCGATGTCGTCGCCGCTTCCCGAGTTCGTTGCTATACGGGCGGGTGGATTAGGCTGGTTTCACTGACCAGCATCCGCCCAGGTGATCAAATACCGCGAATACCCCCCTGGGTAATAATGAATGTGTCTTTGAAGAAGATTGTGGTTTAATTTACGACTAAAGATTGCGTTATAGGCTTCCAGAGGCCCGCGCGGTTGAAGACGTGGAGAAATTCCCGGGTCTGGGCTCAATACTTCAGACTGCTTAGCAGCTCATTTAGAGTACATCTGATCGGAAGCTACTCCATCGAAAATAGTAAGACATATTGAGACGGACAGTATTTGTCAAAGTTAGCTGGATCGTCGGTAGTGTCTCGGGTCGCTGTATCCGTTTGTTGCTCGGTCTACGGATCAGTGACGCAAATTCTAGTGGCAATACCCCTAATATCCAGAGTTCATCACATATATCTTTTAAAGTTGACATGTAGGTTGCAATAGAGCTTTAATGTAATTGACTAGTTCGTCCCCACAACCGGAGATGACTCCATCACTATATATTGGTTGATGATAATGGAAAGGCGGAGTTCGGATTCGTCCCAGACTCCTGTACAGCAAGAACGCGACTCATTTTTACACGTTCAAAAATGACTGTGTTGTCCCAGCACTTAACTATTGGGAACAAGGTGTTCCTTGTGAGGAGCTGTTCAAGCCTGAGCCTAGACCACGATTCAAAGTAAAGTAAATACACTGGGCCTAAGCTCCTGGGCTGTCCAAATATCCATCATATGCTTCGCATGTAATAGTTTTGGCCGAAAAAAAAATGGTTTGAAGACGGCCGACTGGCATTGCGATGAAATGGTACAGTGGTGCTTGACGTTTAGAAAGGGGGCAGGCTATTTTGCGATTGAGAAATATTGCAACCCCTCCCTTTCCGACCCCCCATGGCCTTATCATGTACCCTAATGTTGGGCTCTGCAGACGTGGCTCTGCCGAACCTTCGTTGGAAGTACCACGAACATCTTGCCCAAGGCCATCTAGCACGAATTAGGCGTAATGGAGACTACTTGCATGATTAATTGTTATCCGGGCCGTCTTCACCCCATCATATCACGCGCAGATGCAAAGCATCCCGCATCGGCCAGTTAGGCCTTTGGGCAACTTCTCATTTTATTGTTGAAGTAGATGTAGAAGACTACGCTTCTAAGCCCAATATGATAATACACTACTAGCTTATCCATTCGATTTTACAAGTTGCCCAAGCCTTCTTAGACGTAGTAAGTCCTTTAAACGTGATAAAATAGGTGGCAAAGGGCCTGGCCGTCAAATGGATCATGTAGGATAATGTCTAGAAAAGTATTCTATATGGGAGAGAGTAGCGTAAATTGTCTACTAGAGGTATACTTGTGGGTCGCGCTACGATTATCCCCTTCTTATCCTCTGGAGGTAGCGGGAACATGTCAGTATGGCGCTTCTGGCTTGAGATCGAAATATGTGTCGAGCTAAATCAGTGAATAACTGTCGATGAACCATACGAACGTCTGGTTGTGTACTTCCGACGAAGATCCACCTCCATCGCATTTACGTAGCGTAATCGTCAATCCGGAACCCCCTGTTTGATGTGTCTAAATCTACGGGTCTTTCAGCACTTTCTAACTGAAGACTTAGGCCTCTCTTTATTGGCTATTCGGAGCCGGCTCCGAGTGTTTTGGTAATCCTTCCCTGTTAAGCTCCACGTTTCGATCTCTCTCCCAGAAAAGATTCAAGTCACCAGCACATCCATCAGGTTCAGGCTCGATGGCAATTTGTCTGATTGGTTCGGTCTTTTTCAGCTGACGTACGATACCTTCGCCTCCCCGAGGTCAAGTACCCCGTTCGTTCGGCAGCAAAATCGCTTATGTTGCCTTCTATATATCGGAAAAGTTGTGTACTACATGGAATCGCGGAGTTTCAAGAAGCTCGCGCCAGCGCCAGCCGAGCCAGGCACTGGTGAAAACCAGGCCCAGATTTCTGTGCCCGTCCCTGGTCCTCGCAGGAACCTAACGAGAAACGTAAGTGAGGTTCCCATATATTAGGAGGAAGTCTATTTTTTTCTTCACCCATAACACCCCTTATCATAGGCTTGCTCTCCATGTAAAATTAAAAAGGCGAAGGTGAGTTGATTTGCCTTCAGCAACGAGTCATAAGTCCCTTAGGACTCGAAGCTGAAGGTCTGACAGTGTGACGGAAACCGACCTACTTGTTCCAGATGTCAGAAGAACGGCGACACGTGTGTGTACGAGGTGAACAAGCGGGATATAGGAAAGCTACAACTACTCAGCGACCACGATACCGCTAGATTACAGAGTTTCGAGCTAGTTTTTGGGGTGCTGCAAAATGGGCCCGATCACGAAGCTGCGGATCTCTACTCCCAAATCAGACTTGGGAGATCCGTTGAGATGCTTGCATCTACTCTAAACCCTTCTAGCATCCAATCTTCGACATCGGCTTCGTCCAAAAACCCCGCAGCTGCGTCAAGTTCATATTCAACCGCTATGCGCGACGACTCCGAGACCCCAGCTCCAGAAGCATCGCAAGGCTTCCTTGACCTCCTCTACGACCGAGATGACTGGCTCCAAACTCCTGACGGCACAACTCCTGACGGTACCAGTGCCCACAACACAGAGGGGGAGTAGCCAGAGAATAAATATGAAATACCATTCCCGCAGCGGCTAACAAGACCGCATGTTTCTTCTAATAGAATACCGTTTAACTCCCATAAAACATACGACCTCTCGATGCTCACCGACCTAACCCCGAATACCACACGACATTCATTAAGTCCCTTCGATAGCTTCAGTACATCCCTATTCCAGAGTTCCAAAGAATTACGGCCTCGATTCCAGCTTTTACTGACAAGAAACGCCATGCCGCCACTAATTTGCTTCCGAATGAGCTATGGTGGATTCCTATCTGTTCACACTGCGAGTTAGTGAACGGATTAATTTTGAATAGCTCAGAGGCAGCTTGAATGCTGCCTGCTGCTAATCTAACAATAAACCTACAGTGTAGGACCATTTAAAAAAGGAGGGCTTAATTTTTTGCGAAGCAGTTCTGGTGGATTGTTGATGGAATAGGATAGGCTGTTGGGTTTATTGTAAGTACCTACCTAGGTGGTTACAACATCACCTCTCATGGTTATTCACGATCGTTACCAAATTTAATATGGATTGAAAAGGCCTTTTTTAATGGCAGTGGCTGACTCGGATTTTATTAGGCTCGGAAGAGATTGCGAATCGAATTTTACTTGTTTATATCGGTTTACGTGGCGCGGGGCAATCTCCGTCCTTCATATGGTTGAGTAATGGGTGTTTAGCACTTATGGATCGAGATGGGAATATAAGTGGCGAAGGATCCCTATATGTGGAACTACGGTTTGATCGAGGAAGAGCCTCTAGTCACGGGGAATATTGCCACCCCTCGTGTCGGGTGATTGACCCATATCTTGAGACATTCACCATTTTCAAAAGATCAGCCCACAGCAAGGATTTCATTCCCAATACCGATTACGCGGGACGGAGGGGCTTCCGGGTGGTATCATTGGATTGTTAGATTATTGGAAACGTTCGAATGGAGTTATACAGAGCATATTTAGATGGGCGTGGTGGATAAGGAAAGAATGCAATATAGACATTCGGGAACATCCGCCACTTGCCACGAGATTTCAAATCGCGTGCCATATAGAAACCTACTTAGGTAGGAATAGCTACAACATGTGGGTAGCCAATTTGAGCTGCGTAGGAGGTTCAAGTGCAGATAATGGGAGTTTGTTGTGAAGTCTCCGAAGATTGTCCCGTATTTCTATGTTGATAAGGCCATGGGTACCGACTAGGTAATCTTCCCTGACACGACGGACCGCATGCTACTGATTAAATCGGCAGCATGAGCCCCAAACCGGCATATTCTACCGACTGTAATACAACATGCTAGCGAGCATTCCAAAGATTCACCGCCGTCCAGACGATACCCAAATTAAATAACTCACCGAGGCGACGGGGAAAATGCCTTGTTCGTTATAGTCGAGGAAACTTATCTAGTTTGTCCAATTTGAATGCGAAATGAGATTGACCTCTAGATATAAAAGTTAATATAATTAAGAGAACGAGAGATATTAGATACTCAAGAGTATTGCCACTAGATGGCCATGATCCATTATTTGAACTGGTATGACGGTTACTTTCATATTCCAAGGGTATATCTATCTAGATAGATAGCACACGGTGAGATGAAAGACATAACGATCCTTGGTAGCCATTCGGTTTAGTCTCTACGCATGTGAATGTTATGTTCGAAAGCGGTTCTGTTAGAGGTATTTTCAACTTTGGTGAGTATATCTTGGTGGAACAAAGTTGACGTTTGTATGACGCCGGCCGATCTCCGTAATGTTGTCGTCATATCCCCTCAAAAATTCCGCTTCTGTTGGCTCCTTATCTCTAGGTCTTCGCATGGAGGCCTCAATTGAACACTTTTCTTGAACTTGGAGGCTTTAAAGATCGGAGTCCAAATACTTCTATCGTAAACTCGGCTGTCGTGAAAAGTATTTTCCGTGGCAAAGTAGTCTAGTAGTAGCAATTATATGGGTCAATAAGCTGTGGAGTTAAGGTATATGGCATGTATTTACGTATACATGAAGGCGTCCACAATGATCGAAGGGCTTAACCAGAATGAGGCAAAACGTGTCTCCGAAGAAGACGAAAATTGAGGCTCGGTTAGGGCGTTGTGGAGATTTCAGCTCGATAAGCCAGGTGCGGAAATGCAGGATGCAAACGACGCGACGGGGCGGCCAGGTACATATCCCAGTATCCAGCACCCAGCGCCTCTCACGTGACACCCATTGCCATACTCAGAGCTCCGGAGTGGCTCCGCGACACTTGATTGGTCATTAATTTGTTTAGGGTTATGCCAAGGAACAACTTCACGTGGCACGTGCGTGAAGATCCTTCCTTCCATGATTTCGGTACCTTGGTACAAGTTGCCGACCGTCATTTTTCCATCATCAAAATCCATTCGCCGTATTTATTCACTCTTTTATTCGCTCTTTTCAGCTATCGAGAATTTATTCGCTATTTAACCTCGGACCCCATCGGGATTCGTGAATGCTCTCGAGAAATCTCATAGGTCGTTATGAGCCGGAGCGTCAGTTTATTTACGACACTCATCCGGACGCATCATATCACTAGTCGTAAAAAGCTCGCACGTGTGAAGAAAGCCGCCGAGTCACATCATTTACATGTACTTGTTCGTAGTTGTGGTTCTCCCGGTATCATGTACGCCGAGGGACCTGACGCAGTCGCCATTAACACCTGGGTCAGCTTCGTCCAAGCTTTACGGTATAAGGACTTCCAATGTCCCCGAAAGCCGGTATGCCATGAGATTCTAGCCGACGGCCGGATCAATGACGCTGGCTTCGAAGAGGTCGCTTCTGTAGCTGAGTTTGGCAAAAGGATGGAGCAGCGTGGTCTCGGTGGCTGGTGGAGGATCGGAAGTGAGTAACTCGATACTCTATGGTTCGACTCATATTCTTTCATCTCGCTTCCAACACACAGCTGTCCTTCCGAATGATTCATTTCGCCCAGGCCACCTTTACCTCGAGGATATTTCGTAATGGGCATTGCTAACCCTAAATGTGGTAGTGGGTTACGAATACCCCGATGAATAGATATCGACCCCATGGCCCGATATACCGCATATCAATAGCCTTCGACAGGAACCAATAAACCGGCCTGGCCGATAATCATTATTGCCAAACCATACATCACGAAATGATGTCAATCAACACTCCGGGACACCTAAAGCTCTTGGTTCGCAACTGGGCAATTGACATCACAGAATGGGTACCAAGGGGGCCGCATCATAACTCCATGTTGGATTCCCGGTATGACCTATCGGTCTGAGAGCTTGACTCGTTTAGAGGCTCGGGACGAAACGATAAGAGAATATTGCGGATAATTTGCTCTGGGTATTAAGTGCAAGATTCAATATTTGCTTTCGCAGACTTCGGGAAGGTGGGCAATGCAGCCTCGCTTTCAGCTACCTAATCCATCAGGAAGGTGTTCGGTTGGAAAGCCCATGTCCCAACTCCACCCAGCTCTGAGCTGATGACCACCTATCCGGCGCCAAATATAGAATAGCAAAGGATCTCCCGGCCTGTGCGGCTCGCACTTTGATGTGCTGTCACATTGCCGATGGGATTCCTTGATCATTATGCGCGCAACAAGATTGTGGGGAAACCTGGGGAATTCATCCGCGCCCTGGTTGATCAACCGGGCCAATGACATCGACCATATTTATTGATTTTCAACTTTACAAATGAAGAATCTGGCCGAATCCACCAGACGGAATGTGTCAATCCTTGTATCAACTCACATAGGGTGCTGGTTTTTTTTCGTGGAAACCCGTAGTGGAGGTCCTGTTCTGAAAACATAAAATCCAGGTCACTCGCAGTTCGGATCGTCAATCGGGTTGCTTCTCTGAACCAGAACCGCACGCTTACCCCAAACTTATATCGTCGTCGGAAATTGTTTACCGGCTTGGCAAAATGAAGTCTTCGCTCTACGTTGTGCTCGCTACCGTAGCCGCCACCAAGGTGGCCGGTCATTCTTTATTCCAGGCCCTCTGGGTTGATGGGGTTGACCAGATATGTCTCATACTGTCGATGTTAAGTGGCATAAAACTAACCTAGCCAGTACGGTACCACTTGTGTCCGAATGCCTGGCTCGAATTCTCCTGTCACGAGCGTCAACAGCCCTGATATTCGTTGCAATGTTGGTGGTTCTAGAGGGGTTGCGGGAAAGTGTGCTGTAAAGCCAGGAAGCACTGTCACTATCGAAATGCACCAGGTAATCAATATTATCGAATACCACAAACGAACAATTTACTGATTGCTACTAAGCAACCCGGTGACCGAAGCTGTGGCAGCGAGGCTATTGGAGGAGCTCACTACGGTCCCGTCAATGTATACCTCAGCCAAGTTCCTGACGCTACTAAAGCCGACGGTTCGACCTCATGGTACAAGATCTTTGCCGACTCGTGGTCAGCTAAGGGTTCTGTGGGTGATGCAGACAACTGGGGTACCAACGACTTGAACTCTTGCTGTGGCAAGATGGATGTTCCCATCCCTGCCGATACTCCCGCAGGTGACTACCTTCTTCGAGCTGAAGTCATCGCTCTTCACACAGCTAGCTCGGCTGGTGGTGCTCAATTTTACATCTCTTGCTACCAAATCACTGTTGGCGGTGGCTCAGCAAAGGCGGCTGCCCTGCCAGCTGGTGTCAAGTTCCCCGGTGCTCTCAAGAGCAGCGACCCCGGTATTCAGATCAACATCCACTCTAAGGTCTCCAACTACGTGAACCCGGGCCCGGAAGTTGTTGCCAGTGGTACAACTAAGCAGGCAGGTTCTGGTTGCGGTACCGGCTGCGCAAAGACTTGCACCGTCAAGAAGTCCTCCGTCTTTGAAGCCTAAGCACAAACTGGAAATTGAGGACGCAGAAAGGTATTAAGCAGATCTCGGCATGCCCGTCGAAACTTCAAGATTGCAGTGGTTAGGGATACTTTCGTTAAGATGGAATTAATTTAAAATTTTAAAGATATCCAAATATCTGCCTGGAATATCAATTCAAGATTTATCCCTATTTAGCATGATTTTTGTTGAATGTCGCTGCCGGTGAATTTATTTTAAGGTCCGTTTCCGCCGGCCTACCTGCCCGAAATACAGATCGGGTAGGTCCCTACACGTAGGCGAAGAAGCAAGTCACCTTGTCATACACGAAAAAGAAAATTGCTTCCCTTTGAAGGCAAAGCACATCTTGGCATGGAACTTACTAAGCCAAGCCACGCCTTTCACCTGCATATTCCTGCTGGTCTGTGCGTGTACAACCACAATCTGATAAACCCGAGGCTGGGGTTCTATGTATCTAGGCCGAGACTTGCCCTAAATAAAGTCACTGTATCCCCTAAAACGTTGGCGGACTTGCCAACCTTCCCTTCTCATCCAAACCTTAGAGGACAATCACACCATCACACACCTCACTCTTGTCCAAACCAACCCTCTCAATTAGAAGAATAAGCCTTCAAAATCGAAATCGCAAAGATGGCCCTCAACGAAGCACACAAATCTCGCATCATAAGCCATATGAACAAGGACCACAGCGCGGAGCTATCCCAATATCTCCGCGCCTTCGCCGGGGTATCCGCCACGGCAGCGCGCGGTGCCGAGCTCACAGACATGACGCTGGATACCATGGTCATCTTCACGCCAACATCTGGTAGTAAAGTATATAAGATACCCATAACCCCACCCTTAAAGTCTGCCGCCGATGCCCGCGAGCGCTTGGTCGATATGTCGCGCCGCGCACAGCAAAAACTCGGGTTGAGTGATATCCGAATTACTACCATCACGCCACCACATGGGGGCGGAATCGTGAGTTCCGCCGGTGTTTCGCTATATTTTATCTGCGCGGCGACGCTCTTCTTCGTCAACCCGGAAACCCCAATTTGGGGCTTATTAAACTCGTACTTCCCCTATGGTGCTGCGGGCTACATATGGCTCGTCAAAGCCATTTTCCTACCCGTTATTCTAATCCACACCGCCGAAGCGTGGTGGATGGCCCGGACTAGACTAGCTCCGCACGGCGTAGAGACCGGTTCCGCGCTATGGTGGTCATGGACCGTTAACGCATTTGTGGAGGGCTGGCCCGCTTTGATGCGGTTCGATGGACTAGTTGAGGCGGAAAAGAAGAAGAAGGAAAGTGGAAAGCATTGAGAGTCTTTCATGAACAAGCGATGCGGCGGTCTATTTACCCCCGTAACACCTACAACGGACAGTGCGCATCATAAAGTCGGCGATAATACAATAACTCGTATCATGTCTAGCTCAATTTATTAAGGACGACGAAGAAATTAATTAGTAATTACACAAGCTACCCACCTTTACATTTGTGTCACATTTCAACTCCAACGTTATAATAACATGCCCTCTCCAGCAGCTCTTAATACCTAACCATACATGCGAAAACAAACAGAGTACAATCCACCCAACCTCCCTCCTGGAAGAAGCAAAAACCAGGACAGATATCAAACCCTCAACTAAGCCGGAAGTGATACCCATATATCACCTCTAGTGTCTCGTGGGTCAAGCGTGGATATTACATGGCGACAAATGTACTCTCGATACCATCAACGGTCTTCGTTGGGGACGTGCGACTTCCCGGTTGTAGCTTGGAGAGCCCCCTGGACAGAGAATCCAGATTGGTCCCCCACGACGCTGCTAGCGTTGCTTGTGGGCCATCATCATTCATTCCTAGTGGAAGTCTAGACGTACATCTGCGGACTGAATCCTCTATAGCACCCTCCCTCGAGAAGGTAGGGGGATTTACCGTTGGCGATGGTGATGGTGGCGGCGACGGTGGCAGCGCCGGGTAGGTATTGGTATTATTGGTATCGATGTCTAACATAGCTTAGGGATTTATTAGCCATGCCAATCTCGGTCGGAGCTCACTTCGGCGTGATACTTACATAACAAAAGACTATGTGTTCATCCCATGGTGGGCGGTGCCCTATGCATTGTCTCGCGGACGAAACGTCCTGAATAGGGACATTATGTATGTGCCCCATGGGATAGGCAGAGAAGTGCTTTTTAAACCGTTCGGTAAGCGGTGATATGATGTAAGAGGGTATCAGTAGGACAGTGTTACATCATGGAAGGTATCAAGGAGTAAAGCAAGTGAATTTTACGAGTATTCTCGGTTGGTTGAATATTGGTGAACAAAAAAGGAAGAGGAGAAGAGTGTTTGGATCATGGGGGATTGGTCGTATTTATAGACGAAGTAAAGGAGAGTTGATCTTTCTCACCTAAGAATGACTCTTGAATTAACTTCAAGCTTCTTTTGAGTTTATCTTTTGGAAAGTGAGGAGACTTTGGTGTTTCTCTTGCATTAATCATTTCCCCTCCTTAAGTAAGGCAAGTTAGCAACCTTTTACCTGTTAAGAGTCGTAAGGTCGTGCCTTCGATGGAAAGAAAGTCCTTGGACTCGGACGACACTTCATCGATGCATTTTGATTGAGTTCGTCGCTTTCGCACCTATAAGTACCTAGGTACCTAGGTATGCACTATATGTATTGAAGAAACAACAATAGGGAGTTACATCTGAGGTATCCCACCAACTAAAATATCTAATAAGCTCCGAATTATTCGAATTATTTGCTCATCTATTTTACTCCCAAGAGCACAGTTGCAGTTGGAGTAGTAAACAATTCCTATTCCAAAGTGTCGCTAGGCCAATTTGTTGTTCGTTATAGCATTGTTTCTCCCCCTAAATGCTCTGCACAGCACACCAATAGTAAAAGAGAACCCCCGCACCCCTCCATATAGCACCTTCATGCGCAGTATAAACGGCTCATATAGTGCTCAAATCCACTATGTCTTATCCTCTGATATGCCCTACGGTTGACAGCTACAGCCACCGGACTTATCCTGAACGCACAGCGACCCAGTTGGGCAGAGAGAAGCGGTGATCCATACCGAATTTTCGCAAACCTGAATTATGGACGATATGTTTGGCGTGCTAACAAGTATGAGTGGGCTGGGTATATAACCATAACGTAGCCTGCAAGGGGATATAAAAGGTAATGTATACGTACTTGAGGCATCGGAATGTGCCCGAGGCACAAGATTGTATCTCATGTATAGCGGTACAATAAATTGGCGTGAATGCCAGAGTGATTAGAGGTATGAATTTGCTGGGCTGCATCGTTGCGGATTGCCGCAGAATAGCACTCGGGGACACGGCACCCGCTGTTGGCCACTGAAGAGAATCAAAAATAGGGGGACGGGGCAGCGTTACCCTTAAATAGATAGCAGTGCGCAAACTGGAAATAACATCAAATCTCTAAAATATTCAATTTTAAGGGATTGATAACTATGTATATAGGAACCGCGGTCTTAAATCATGATGTCATCAAAATGTGTAGGCACTTGAAGTCTTTATCGATTCGTATACATGAGAATAGATCACCCCTAAGAAATAACGATCAATTGCGGAAGCAGATGCGAAAAGAGCACTGAAGGAGGCCATCGTTGACAGGGATTGATTCTTAATAGAAAGGGGCCGAACTTTGTTAAGCGTAGTGCGGCCGCCCGTGCAGCGATCTCATTCAGCAACAGACATGATTGACGTCAACAAAACTTCGAGTCATTGATTTTCTAGTGTCATATCAGAGGGGAAATGCTTAAATACTCAACCCGATTTGTCTAGAATTTAAGGTGTATCGAGATATAGTTGAAGTAGCTCGTGGTAGTACTGATCATGGAGCTCGTCAACTTCAGGGGGCGGCATATGCTATGTAGTTAAATCGCTGTCAAGTAAACAATCATTGCGAAATACGAAACAATGCGCTTGTAATGACGCGAAAGCTAATTATTAGACATCGTTATCAGTATAGAAAGGATTCAACTGCGTAATAATCATATATCGCTACAAATTGGTTATCCCCTGTCGTCGCTGCCCAACCACTTGGGTGCATAACGGAACCATCCTATACTAACAAGGAAACAAATGCTGTAGTTCTGCACTGATTAGGGATGGGGCGATGTCTGCATTGGGTATGTGTCGAGTCTGGTACTTAATCTTGTGGCCGGAAAGTCCTAGCTCAGGGAAATGTGCTGATCACCCATTATCCGGCACCATCCCAGTAAAAACATGACTATACCGAGGAGAAATTCATATGAGCAAACCGCCTCGACAAATCAGAAGAGGACCGGTATCCTAATTCGGTAGGTGCTTCAAGACTATTGCGGTATCCGGAATGGAGACGCACCGCCACTACGGGGTTGAACCCTTGGTGTCTTTCCGAGCTCCGTACCTAATAACTAGCTTCTACCCGGAGAGATGCCCGCCTCCGACCTTTGGGTCAAGCAAGTAGATGCCTAACCAGAGCAGAAAATTCGCGTTAATGGTAGGTTTTGGGCAGCCGTATCGGTTTGATTAAGAGTCAATTATAACCATCAATCTCCTACTGTCCTTATAACATTTTTGACCCTTAAAAATAGTTAAATATTCAATATGGGAAGAGACCTACCGCAAAACCAATGAGTCTGTAGAGCAAAACGAGACCACCAATCCAGGGGCAGATTAAGCCCCATCCGCCCACTGATTCCGTTCGCTTGAATTACCGAAGCTAGACGGCTCAACTCTATAGTGTGTCCCACCGTTTCCAGTACCTCCATAGTCACGACGGGCGCCGTTGGTTCCATCGCCGCCTGCTGCCGCTCCATTCCCGCCTTCATCAACCTCTGCTTCCCCATCCTCCAAGAGTCTCTCTTCGGTAGTATCGACGCCTACAACCTGAGCGATACGTCTATATCCAAACCTAGAGTTACTGTTCCTGGAACCGCGAAATGCGAAACTCGCAAGGTTTACCAACTGGGACCCAAGTCAGTCATGTCCTCTATAGGGTTTCAAAAACTGGGAGAGAAAAGAACTGTAGATATTAATGAATCATACTTACTTGAAGGATGCCAGCGAGTACGACGACAGCAAATTGGAAGCCAGCAGTTCGCTGCTCAGCGGCACGCCAAGGTTCAAGACAGCGAGTATGTCTGTTGGGAAATAGCGTACGGCACTGGCCCTGCGGAGCGGAGCGATCCTTCATGGTATTAAGTCCACAGCAGTTGAAGGCATCCTGTATACGCTCGATAGCTCGATCATCGTGCGCACTATACAGGCGTTGCCAGTTGTTATTAAGGCTGCAATCAAGTTGCCCACCCGGTACGAAACCCTCGGCAGCAAGTGTGGCCAGGACAACCGTCAGCACGCCTTGGAACAACTGTAGCCCAGCGGGGAGGAGGCGCTGCAAAACAGGCGACGAGGCAGCGCGCCGTAATAGAATTCCTCGGAGGATAGGCGTATAAAAGATGTTGGCGGCGGCGATAAGAGGGAGAATGATCGTAAGGACGGTCGTTCCGGTCGCAAGAGGCAGAGAAAGATTGCTCGAGGTCACTTGCACATAGCTAAACCGTATAAGTCAATGAATTAGAAGGTAGGATTAAATTGAATCGACGGGGGCGCTGAAGCCTACATTGCGACCGCGAGCAAGACGATGAGGAGCTATGGAGATGTCAGTCTACATGACATGGCACATTGACTCGTATACGAATTCGATGAGATCTTACAATAGGTGGAACAATTGCCAAGTTCACCATTTTGGGTTATGTATCTGTTATCGGTCGGCTTGGGAGATGGTATTGTCAACAATTGAATGGCCTTCTCAATAGACTAACATTCGGAACGCCCGAATAAGAGGTAGTCTTTTTGTATATGAAAATTAAAATGGGAATGGAAATGGAATGGGTACCTAAGATATTATAGTTAAACTAAGCGAAGGCGAAGGTTGAAAAGTGAAACAAGGAGGGAAACTTAATTCAAAGGCAGTAACTGCAGCAGCTACGGGTGTGCCTGCTCACTTTACACTCGCTCGTCTGAGCGCCTGCATCTTTATGGAGGGGTGGTGACGTTCTTGGTGCATGCTGCCGTCTCCAGCCAATACAATAATTCGTAACAATTTTCCTGCATATGCTGTGTTACCTGAGCGGGATGACCCCTCAACCCAACCCCTTTCTTTAATTCGACCCTCCTAACCTCCCCGTAATTCTTTTCTGATGTATCACAACAGCGAAATATCAACTTCAACCAATTATACCAAAGCTGGAATGAGTCATGAAGAGCTACGGAACATCGGCAGCCACTTACAAATATACGCTAGAATGCGCAAATGAGCAATAGCGCAAACGTGACCGTCCAAAAGATATGAACCTTTAGAGGATGGTTTAATTAGTTTGAAGCCTCAGCCTTCCCACCTTGGTATCTAATATCATACAGTGATGCTCGTCACGTCTGGGTCTCCTTATTGAATGGTACGACCCCAATTTCGAACTCTCTCTTAACTCAACGATCTTGCGCCCACGATCCACCGTTTGTGCAACTATAGCGTATGAAGCATCTATTATATTAAATAACCTACCTCCAGCGCCCCCTACGTAGCCTCTTTCCTAGCCCGTCTGTGTTACGAACCCGCCGATGTCGTTGGCGTTCGGCACACCGACGACAGTCAAGGATCCATGGTCAAACGTTCTCCAGTATATCTTCGTCAATAACCCATAGATGGCGTTATGGAGTGCTTTGAACGTGTCGAATGTGTAGGACGTCGCATTGAACGATGCCTTCAAATTGTCGTGTCATATGTTACCTCCCACCAGTCTTGATGCGGGAAGAACGCAGTCGCAGTACCTGTGACGAACTCAAAAACCTCGTTTCCCGCTTAGATCCTATACTCGACTCTAGACAGGCAGGTAGTACTCGCTAAGCCTAAGGGAGCGAGAATAAAGGCTATCGATATTAGTCTCGGTCACGTTAATAGCGCGGACGAGAGATGATTTACGTTGAAACTCACTTGTGACGGATCTGAAATACACATTAATCGGATTTGAAAAGGAGTGGGTGAATTTCATTCAAGATACGCCGGCAGATTTATACGATTCCTATGAGCCTTCATCCGGGAGTTTATATCGAACGCGTTAACTTGGGGTATCAAGGCATCTATATATCCAGGTATGTGTTATCATTATATATTCAGTTCCGCGCGCAAGAATATACAGTCAAATACTTTATCACGAAGGTCGACTCCGCAAAGTGAATTTATTTTATGATATCTTCACTCGAACTTGCCATTGGGCCCCTAGCTTTATATATTCATACCTTTATTAATAGCCTATGTCTGAGATACCCGTAAGATAAGTATCTACTGACAGAGAGTGTATTATACGAATCATTGGGCTTCTGTCCCGGTGAAACTATGATCACTGATGTTGACGTCGAAGTATGATCAAGTCTTTACGATAAGCATTTGAGGGACACAATAAAAGATGCCATCGCGAAATCACAATATTAACAGTGCGACTTGCCAACTCCAAAGCTAAGAAATCACACGTTGTTTCTTGGCATAATGGGGGTTTTATGTTGCCAAGCGCGTATCCTAGGGCAGAAGCTAGGCATCACCTATAGCTGACGTTAGAATAGTTGCTATGGTCCCTGGGTCGATCACGGAATTCTTCAAAAACCGTTGATCTGCAGTTCCTCGGACGCGGCGGGTGCCAATCAATCTCGTCTTGGCGATTGCTTAGCCTTCCTATCCGGGACCTCAATGCGCTGTGCCGAGAGTCAATCTCTTCGTTTAGGCCCGAAGCCAACCAAGTCGCGTGGATGGCAGTGCCGAATGATCATCATCGTATTGGGGAGTGTTAGGCTTTCATAATCGTCGATGAGAATCGGTTCCGCTCGCGAAGTTGGTGTTCTATCTTGACCTTCAACGTAGGACATCGTGAAGTTTCCCGACCAGATATCCATGTGATAGGCGAGATGTTTACGTAGCTTCGGCCAATGCTACGCTAGAAGTTTATAATTAAGCTTTCACATACCGTTTATCCAATTGATTGCTGCCGGTTCACGAGTGGATGCGACTCAGGGATATGACGATCCACCCCTATCGGATGATCCATCATGACAACACCCGCCTTGGGGATAAAGTAGAACGCGGGGCTGAAGTCTACTTTATTCTCCTTGGGCTCCTTCCCCGTTTGTGTGGTTCCTGGCGATCATCAGGACTATCGCATGGTCAAGCAGGGTTGTCTTAAATATGATAGGGAGGTACAGCCATCCGACATAGGAAGTTATTTACACAGCCACATGCTCAATTGATGTAAACACATGCATTTATACCTCCCTATTATCTCGAGGAACATAAGAAGGATTGACTCGGCTACCCATCGCTAGAGTCTAAGGGAGTCTCCAAGCCGGATACCAACCATTTTCCAGCCCAACTATCACACCTTCTGTCAATTCAACAGCTTTCCTCACTGACCTTGACTGTGCATACATACACTCTTAATTTGAGAATGGTTCGCTCAATTCTAATCGCGGCTCTAGCAGCTACCTCTGCTGCTATCTCAGTCGGACGTCGAGATGCACCCAAGGAACAACTTTTCACGATCCAGCTAGAACCAGGCGTCACTCGAACCGTAACTGAACAGGAGAAATGGGCTCTGAAGGACGTTCGTATCCCACTTAGCCTCTGAATAGCTACTCTACCGGCGAATTAACCTTTTTATAGGAGGGCAAGACGTTTATAGACATTACTAACCACCCTAACTTCGCGACCCCGGCAACAGCAGCCAAGAGCGCCGTCAAGGTCGCAGCTGTGGCGTACCCATCATCCATGACCCAAACGGAAACCGTCGACGGCCTCATCGCAAAGTTGAACAAGACATCGGTTGAAGACAGACTGACAACCTTTTCCAACTTCTTTAACCGATACTACGATTCCGAGCTTGGCAAGAACTCTTCCGAGTGGCTCCTCAAACAAGTCACGGATGTTGCTTCAGCAAGCGGGGCGACGAACGTGACAGTCAAGCCCTTTGCTCATGACTGGCCCCAGAACAGCATTATCGCTACGATTCCCGGAAAGTCTACTGACAAGATTGTCGTTGGTGCACACCAAGACTCAATCAATGGCCGAAACCACAGCGCACGAGCTCCCGGTGCTGGTAAGCCGTTTCTCATGTTTGAACTCTAGTATTCAATTGACTAACGAGTCTTCAGATGATGACGGATCTGGTAGCATCGGCAACCTAGAAGCCTTTAAAGTCCTCCTAAGCGACCCCAAGATCCAGGCTGGCGAAGCTACCAACACGATCGAGTTCCACTGGTATGCAGCTGAGGAGGCGGGTCTATACGGCAGCTCTGATATCTTCGACAAGTACAATTCCACCGGGGAGGTTGTCAAGGCTATGCTTGAACAGGACATGACAGGCTACGGAAATAACCCGAGTAAGTCCAGCTCTAGTGCCACTTTTTCGCCTTGGCATCTGATTGCTGACCTTAACCTCTGTAGTGGGTGTCATCACCGATTACGTCGACCAAGACCTTACGGCCTTCATCCGCAAAGTCATTGACCAGGTAAGCTCCCTTCCTCTCTCCTTCCCTATCACACCCCAACGTCTGACATGACTAACAACGTTCCAGTACGCCACAATCGGCTACGTAGACACCAAATGCGGTTACGCCTGTTCCGACCACGCTTCCGCCTCCGCCGCTGGCTACCCCTCGGCCTTCGTCATTGAGGCAGCGATGGACCTCACAAGTCAGTACATCCACACCGCGGACGACACCCTCGACCGCGTCAACTTCGACCACGTGATTGAGCACTCCAAGCTCGTCGTGGGCTTCGCGTACGAACTTGCTTTCGCGTCTTTGTAGAATGGGGGAGACTTGGAGCTTTGGGTCTTGGTACTACGTGAGCATTAGAGGGAATCCTTTCCCGCAGTCTTACCTAGGCACGTAATCAATAAATACAATGATATACTTCTATCACAGACTTGCTGTTTCCTGTTAAAATATGCATTTGTTACTCTCATATGAAAGAGATAATGACCTAGGTAGGTACCTAAGGTAGTACAAAACTACCTAGCGTAACCTATACAGCCGACCTATGTGCTGTTTACTAGGTACCTATCAGTCTTAGTGACAACTTTAAGGTTGGCTCTAGTCATCCTAAAACGAGTTATTCCTAAACCAAGCAGCAGCACCGTCAAGATAGTTGAATCTAATTGGCCGAGATAGTCCCAGAGACAACAACGATTTCCGAAAACGGTATGTGTTAGCTCATATCTGAGTTTTGATTGGCTCCTCCGAGGAATAGGGGCTACACTCCTCGTATTTTTCGTGTAACTAAGCACTATTCTCGATCTTAACGGTTAGTTGGATCTGGTGTAGCCTACCTAGGTATGGTAGCGCTTATGTGGGCGGCGGAAGAGTAAGAGATACTTACCCGAAGGAAATATGGGAGTTGTCTTACTAGATGAATGTTGGTGCTTAAGTATGGTCGACTTTAGTAGTTTTCAACGTACAGATAATCAAGACATTCATTTACGGCTATAAATATGACAGTTCACGGGTCAAATTAAAAAGTGCCATAAAATTAAAATTCGCGATTTACCACTACGGACTCCAGCTAGAAAACACGTAACAAGCAATCCCCATTGTGTACACTAGGCGCAAGGCCGTCCACCGGATGGGTATCATTCCACATGCAAAGATGAAAACCAGCCACGGCAGTCATAACGAGTTGACCGCCAAACATCTGCAAAGCTATGTGCCACATGAACCATGAACCGTAGAGTAAACCGTAGTAAAGTGCAAGGTCATTCATCATATCATTGGCCGCTCAATGGGCTAAATCTCGTCTAATGATCGTGATAACCCTCGAATCACGCACATTGCTCTCAGAGAAGTATCTTTCCGTCAAAAATCCTCTAGACGCCCAATGATCCGTAGGTGAGGGATTAATAATTTACTGCCAATGAGTCACCTGGCAATGATGCTTATGCTGAAGCAATTGCAGGTATAGAAACATAAACTATTGATCTAGAGGTGATTAGAATACCTCACATACACTCCATGTTGTAATGACATAAACATACCAATTTTATAAATTGACCCGGGGATTGTACAGTCCTTAGCGGATACGCGAGCTCTCGTGTGAGATTAGATCGTGCATACCAGAGTTCGGACTGTAGTAATTAGGGTTAGGCGGTTGAACAGCGTGCATGATCCGAGTCGACATAGTGATCAGCTTTGTTAGACGTGTTAGAAGGGGGTCTGATGGAGACTGGGGCGCGATTTGTTGGTAGAGTCCGTCGAATTTGCTAAGATAAGTAGTCATGCATTTCGGGATCACGTCGCGAACTTGTGGCTCCTGTAGTGAAAACTGTTTAGAGCTGTTATAGAGCGGATGGGGTTGGTGACTAACAATGTGACCCAGAGATCCACTTAGTATGTGGAGGACCACTTCCACCCAATCCAACTTAGTCTGAAGGAGAGGCCCCTTCAAGTGTTCGGCCAGGACAGACGCTACGGACAGTAAGACGAGCGCTGGTAAGTCCTGGAGGAATGCAGGATTAAGCTTTGAGAGGTATTCATCGAAAACCTCGGCTTGATGGTTTTGCTGAATCCATCGAATTAAACCGGCTTCATGATCGCCTCTCTCCACGAAACTTGCGACATTCGCAATCATGTGTTGAACCTGAGGCTCCCTGGTACTCGTGCTGTTCGCCTGGAACGGGACCATCTGCAGAGAAGGGTCCGCAGTAGGGCTTCCATACAAGTATGATTGCGATTGGAGAGACTGTTGCATGGACTGCTGAGGGTGGTGAGACTGAATCGTCTGAGGTGCAGAAGGGATGTGGTTTTGAGGTTCTCGGGGTTCTCGAGAATCTCTATCCCTGTCTCTAGAGCCCGGATGCTGCTGTAGCTTAATTGACTTTAGAAGCCCATCCTGGAAGTGTGCCTGCGTAGTAGCCATTGTGCTAATCGTCTCGGAAAGGCCAGTTACCAGCGCGGTAAGTTGATCAATCTTCTTGCTGTCAGCAATGTGTCGCTGCTCAAGTTCAGCGAACTGCTCGGTGGTTCGACCTTGGACTTCCTGTACGATCGAACGCGAAGCTGTGATAGCCGTGTCGTTGATAAGAGGAGTCATGGTGGCGACAAAGGAGGATCGGAGGCTCTTCTCGACTTCGTGTGCTACGCTATGCGCCACGCTATTCGCGACCTTATCGGAAATGGCTTTGGCGAACTCGGGTTTCTGCAGGGCTTGGTTAACGGCAGTCGGGATAAGCTTCTGCAGTTGGTTCTGGATCGAATGCGAGACACGGCCGGTCATTTTACCATCAATCTGATCAGTAATAGTCTTCGTGACAAGCGCACTTAGAACAGGGACAACGTCGGTTCCAAACTGGTCATTGATCGTATTGGTGAGTACGACCTGGATGTTGTTGTTTAGAACATTGGAGACCTTCTCGAGCAAGGATTGTTGGTTCTTAGCAAAGGTCTCGTCGCGAGAACGGAACTCAGCGTTGACGACATCTTGGTGACCCTTAAATTCGTTGGCAATCACGCTACCTAGCTTCTCGCCAAGGCTAGACACTATCTGCTTGACGGTCGACTGAATCGAGTCTTGTGACATCACCGGCTGGAACGAAGACGCAGAAGGCTTCAAGTCGGATTGTTTCGAGGGTGTTGGATCCGCTTTAGCTGCCTGGGAGTTTCCGTTAATCTGTGCGTTGTCCGTGGCAAGCCTCTCAGCGGCAGCGGCTGCCTTCTCTCGCTTCTTGCGAGCCTTCTTCTCGGCCTTTTCTCCCTGGTTGGCGGGAGCAACGGGAGCTATAGCCTCCTTCCGCTCGGATTGTCCGGCGGAATGTATGCTCTCATTGGCCTTCTGCAATTGCTCTTGAATAGAAGGAACTGATGAAAGCTGAGGAGGGGGCGTTTCCTTCGCGGGGCGAACTCGCAATGGGAGAGGCGTCTGCTCCTCCAAAGACTGAGGTTCAGAAACCAGAGCGTTGGGCAATTCCTTGAGCTTCGCGATCTTGACCATACCAACTTTCTCAGCATTGACGCCGTCGATAACCTTATTATCTTTCGACCATCCAAGCTCGCTCTGCTTCACAATAACACCAGTGACGCCTTTGGAATGCATCGCATACAGCTCAAACAGGCTCTGCTCGTCATTATCGGATGCAGTAGCCGGGTTTACCAACAAGTCTAGACTTCGCAGGACGCCCTTATTAGCGAATGAATACTCGCGTACACCACTAATAACCGCGGTTGAGTCGGGCTCCGGGATCGATGGATCTTTGGCCACTAACTTCTGGACGTATTCCACCTGAGATAGACCCTTGATCGTGTACTTGGGTGCGGATAGATGGAGGAAGTAGATTGAGTTGCGAGTGGGATGACCCACCACAATCATGCCAGAGGGGGGATGGTACATAACGCTGCAAACTGGGTCGGATTCCTTGGCATGTGGCAAATTGAACTCCTGGACCGGCTTTCCTAGAGCCAAATCCCATAATTGAAGAGTGTGGTTCTGTTTCATACCCACTATCATATATCGGAGTGCCCATCCCTTCTGGTATGGCCGTTGCTTATCCAGCAATAACACAGAAGTTGGCCAGGCTTTCTCGCCCTCGGGTGTGGTGTTGAGGGTCATCAGCGGCTCCTTGACCTCGAGTGAGGTATGAGCTGGCATCGGAGCTCGCGGGTCGGAGTTCTCGTCGGCCGCCGTTAAATCTCGCACATCCCAGAACTTGACACGGCCAGACTTATCAAGAGAAACAATGGTAGTGTCGTCCTGGCTGAAGGTAAAGTCTTTACCGGCCTTGCCCGTACTGATTCTTAGAGAGCATTCCTTATATAATCTCTCAGTATCAACCACACGGTCTTGGTCAGGTCTGAAGATGCCGTTTTCTACGACATAGGACGGCCAGACGATATTGATAGTCTTCCCACGACCAACAGCGAAGAATTCTGGGTGAGTAGACGAGGTTCTGGCTCGAGTCTTCAAAACACCTCCATTTTCGCCGCCGCCTTCTTGCGAGATAACAAGAGGAGGAAGAATGAAGCCGTACTGCTCTGGGTTGGCATCTTCTAAATGGTCCTTGTCACCATTTTTAATCTGGACGTAATAAACGGTCCCGCCAACGCCCGTACCGATGATCGACTCCTTCGGCGTAACAGTGGAATCCAATGGAGTTGAGGACATGGCGACGTTGAAAATGCGGTCTTTCGTATCAGTAAACAGTTTGGCGTCCTTACCGTCATCCTGTCGTATTACACGAAGCCCACCAGCCTTGGACATTCCATATACCATGTACGTCTCCGTAGCGGTAACTAGGTTTCGATCGATTTGGTCGAACTCCTTCTTGAGGCGGGCAATGTCAAGGACGACATCATCTCGGAATTGGGGACGGGGCTCCTCTGTCTCCAGCATTGTGATCGAAATCCACGGCTTCATGGGGAAGTTATACACCTTTACCGGATTCGGTGTCTCCTCAATCACCACAATTTCGTCAGCCTCGGCACTCTCCCAACTATCTGCAACTGGGCCTTGAGCAACATCATCGACAATATCGCGGATGGTTTGGGCAACTTCGGCCGAGTATGCTTCCTCGAGGACACGAGCGTTCTCTTCTTTCTGGAGTTCGCTCTTGATGTCCCTCGCCGCTGCTTCTGCCGAATCCTGGAATTCAGCGTCAGTTTTGGCCCTCATCATAAGTTGAACCTCTGCATTGATCTTAGCTTGTACCTCTTCGTGCTCTGCCCTCTCTATAGCTTCCTGCGCTTCTTTGTCTGCCTGTTCAGCAAGACCAGTGATCGCCTCGGCAACGGTCTCCGTGTTCTTTTCCTCGTCAAAAATCTCGCCGCGGGGGGCATCCGTGATGTTAGGAACAACTCCCTGCTCGGCAGCTGAGAGGGGCGACATGTCGAATCTTTCTCGGATATGCTCGGGGCTTGCGATGTGGCTTCGGTGACTGCTGGGTCGCTTATAGTCGTGACCGAGTCCGGAAGAAGATGCAACACTAGGGGTCTTCTTCACAACTTTAAAAGAAGTCGATACGGGAATCTCGGTCGGCATATGTCCCGATCCGCCTGGTGTTGAAGACTTGGACGCAACATTCTGAGGAGATGCCGTACCAAATGCCTCGAGCGGGCTCGCATACTCAGGCTTGTTGTACCTACGACCACTATCTTGCTGAGAATGCTGGGAAGCTGGTGAGTGGTACTCAAACTTTGCCGGGGGCGACTCGACATGATCTCTGGATCCGAAACGGAATGGCATAGGTGTAACATCTTGTGAAATGCTGTCGGAAAAGTGCTGATTCTGCGATGTGTATTCCTTGTGATGTTCTACCGAGCCATTACCCGACTGGGGAGTCAAAGTCGGGGGCTGAGACGACTCGATCGTAGACGGAGGATCATTCTGTGCCGGCTTCGGTCGATGAAGTAAGTTGAGAAGATAAGTTTGCGTATCCATCGAGGGTGGACCACTACTCCAAGTCGATTGAATCGATCCCTGAGCTTCAGCTCGTGAGGCTTCGTTCTGCGGGTTTCCCTTCATAAGGTTAGCGAGAAGGCCTGAGGGGTCGCCAGTCATCGGCACCGGAGCATGGATAGGAGGAGGATTGTTGGATTGAGGCTCGAAGGACTGGGAAGCATTGCCGGGCGGAGACGGGTGCGATGGAGCTGTAGCACCCGGACCACTAAACTTGAGAAGGTTCAACAAGTTAGTGCTTTGGTCGGGCTTGTTTGCGACGTTGGATGGCATGCTTCCAATTGGTCCTAGACCCGTCGGTCCAGTCGGATGGTGGGAATGACTGTAATTATTGCTGGGCGGAGTCGGAGCTGCAGGCGGTGGGAAATCATCCAAACCAGTTACAGGCGAGTCTGTGTTAGAATGCCCATAGTAATCTTGAGGATTAGCACCCTGGTTGTAAGAGGTGAATCGAGAAAGAATATCGTTCACTGGAAACTGCTCGTCTGAATTCTGCTGCGCGTTACGCTGAGCTTGCATACGAGCAAGCATTGCATGCAAGCTGTCTGAGCCGCCACCACCCGGCGGGTTATAACCCGCCATGCTGCGATAAAAAAAAAAAGAGAGATGAAGTAAGCAGTGACCTATCTCAAGACAACAGGTTACTGTTTAGTTACGATGTCTCTCGATGAGACAAAATCCAGAGCCTAGAAATCTAGCTTCGTCGCCAATGATGGGTACTAGAAGGATGGATGGTAAGTGAAGGGGAGAGGAAGTGAAAGGTTGAGATTGAATGATGGTGAATGTGGGAAGGAAGAAGGAAAAAAAAAAGATGTTGTTTCTCCCAATCCCATGCAAGACCTTGACCAGCCTCGCCAGAAAAAAAATAGCAGTTCGGAGATAGGTAGGTACCTAAAGCGCTAGGAAAGACGCTACGTACCTAAGCATGTACCCAAGCTTAAAAAGCTCCTATCGGCACTCTTAACGACAGGGGTACGTGAGATGATCTCAAGGCACCTAAGGTAAGAAACCCAAAGTAAATAATTGGTCTAAGTAGAGAATCGAACCAACTATTGCTGTGAAAGGAAGGATTTCTGTTTCCGCAAGGTATGTTGAAAAAGAAGTGTGAGTAAGTTGGTAGTAGAAGAAAAATAATAAATTGTGGGTGAGGAGAAGAGAACTGAAATCTCATCAAGCGGGAAAGAAGTCGAACAACGTGTAACAGATAACGTTGGGCGGCCATGCAGGTGCACGCTAAACTGGCGATGCACGTACAGCGAATTAGTGAATCTAGACTGTGAGAAAGTACATGCGCACGCCTAATGTGCAATAAAATTTAGATGGTCCGCATAGAAGTACTGTGGAAGGTACCTGCGCACGTACCAGGAAGTCAGTTTGGTATTGTACATGTAGCGTCATGGATGTGATTTGCCGGGCAGGTACACCCGAATTGCGCCCGCAAATCAAGAGCACACATGTACATGTATGGAGTACCCCAGGCTCCTCCCAAGTATGTACTGTAGGTACGTTCTGCAGAAGTGCGTACATGCACGATGTACATGTAAGGAAGTTAGTGCGCAATTGAGCGCTGAATGTGCTAGCCTAAGGGAAGTTTATGCCTATAGATACCTGGGTACCTAGTTAAATAGTGCACGGGTTAAACCCAGGGTTTAACGTATTATGTAATACTGCTTGCATAAAGAATTCAATAGAGTCAAGTCAGGATTTCCAACCTTAACGATCTTCACACTTCGAAATCAACCAGGTCTTGCGCCTACCGCGAGCATATCGTAATTATTCCTTATTTTTCTATAATTTGGACTTGTAGCGAAATTATCTAAATACGTTATCCATATTATCCTACTCTCGTTACCTTATTTAATAATCAATTATCCCTCGTTATCTTTGTTGTTTGTCAGATTAAAAAAAGGGACCTACCCACGGACGTTGAATCATTGTTTGTAGGCTCCGGCAATACAACCGACCATCATCTCAGTCAAACGTCTCACCTGCAGCTACCAGCAACGCAAACGGCTTCCCGTCTCTACCGCCATGTTCTGTCTCCGAAGGTAATTATATCCTCATATCAGCATTATTTCCCCTAAACAATACACCCCGTAGAATTTATATGACGTGGGCTGACATGAGTTTCGATGGTACAGTTGGCTTCCTCTTCTCTTCATCCCGACAAACGCTTCTCCCGCCTTCATATTCCTATTCTTCGTTTGCACATACTTCCTAAATAGGCCCTGCGTTTACTGCTCCGTCCTACTCCTGATACTCTTCGTCACTTCATGTTACTGGTCGGATCGATGTTTCTTCGACTTTAGTAGCAACTGGTTCGCCCCGCGACCTCCGACGTCATCATGCCCTTCGAACGCGACGACAATACCCGACCCTGCTATCGCCGAATTCAATGCTACCGCTGTCGAGATGCTTAACACCACCGCCAGCGCTCTTGCTAGCGCAGCAGCCGAAGAGCTAGCTAAGCGAAAAGAAGAGTGGACAGGGCTCGGGATCGAATGGTTGCGAAGCCTGTTAGGCCGAAGGGAGTGGAGAATCGAGTGTATGGACCTATATATACGACTATAGATTCGTGCAGTTTGTTCCAAAGAGATTATAATGTTAAGCGCGATCTCGTCCTGTGGGCTTCTGAAGTTATACGGAGAAACAATTGCATGGCATCGGCGTTGGTTGGACTGCAGTTTAGCTGCCTCTCTAAGTATACACAAATCTATCGACTCTTGGATAACCGATCTTATACTCTGATATACTATATGGGCCAGACTATGGTTTGTTGTTTAGGTAAATGGTATATATCCTAGGCATTGAGAAGAACCGTGAACAAAAAGAATATCAATCATAATCCCAAACAATATTAAGATGTGACAGGCCTCGTGCTTGAGTACAAAAGGTGCCGGAGGGAACAAGACATATGACCGACCATTCAAGATCCTAGACAATAATGAGTAATCGCATTTCTTGATTTATGAATGGGTATCATAAATATCCTATATATTATTGCCTCTAACTCTTCGTCAAATTCATCGCCTTCACCCAGGGCTTCCAATAATTCTCCACGGTATCCGGATCCCTCCAACCAGTCCAATCCGCATTCGTCAAGCCCCAAGTATCAACCAACCCCTGGACCCCAGACCTTATACGATAACTACCCGCTAAACTCCACATCATCCAACTAACGTCATGCTTCTCGGTATATTCGCGAAGACAATTCTGTACCGTGGCGTTATACAGCGTCGCGTCTTGGGCATTGCCGAACTCGGACAAAATGACCGGCGTTAGGCGCGTTGCCGGCGGGCAGTCCTCTACAAGACCACCACCACTAGTGCTGTTACCGCTGTTAATACTACACCCAACTGGCGCATCAATACCAAGCGCATTAAACCCAGCGCGATACAGCGCGGCCTCAATCGCTTCGCAGGTACCCGTGTCCACGTCCTCGCTCATAGGGTACAAATGCAGCTCCCAGACAATCTTATCCGCCCACGGATGCTGCGCAAGGTCAAAGACCACCGGATCGCGCCGTCGCGCGTCGCGCACGGCCGTGCACTTGTAACACGGTGCCGTGAGTATGTTTTTTCCGCTTGTGAGCGCGGACAAGTCTTCGTCATATTGCATGCCCGACCATGTAACTAGGAGGTCCGGGTTTGCGGCGTGTATCGCGTCAGCGCCGGCGCTCATATTTCCGACGAGTGTCTCCCAGTTGTAATACAAATCCGTTCGGTTCCAGCTCTCACGCAATTCATTGCGCAAGGACATGGAAACGACGTTTGGGTGATCCTTGGCCCATGTCGCGACGTGCGAGAGTCCGCGCCGCCAGTTCAATGTGTCGAAATTAAGGTCGTCAAACCAGGCGTTGCCGTCGGTGTGGCTACAGCACCATTGCGCCTTGCCGACATGGACATCGGGATGAATATATATGCCCTTATACAACGCGATACTCGCGATATCAGACCAAATCTCGAAGCGTGTCGTCTCGCGAGTCCAAGTAGGGTTCTTAGCGATAATTTCGTTGGTGACTTTAGTACCATTCTCATAACCGAGAGCCATGATGAGAGCAACTTCGAGAGGTACATCTTCGCCTCCTCGGTCGTAAATTTCCTCGACCATTTGAATCGCATAACCCCTATTATTAAGTTAGTCATGAGTTATCATGAGTTAGATATCACTTGGGCGAGGTCCATTTACATGCGGATGAAATTGAAACCCACACCGGCAACGTCGTCCAAGATATCTTCGGCAGACTTCCACTCCAAACCTTCGGGGATCATTGTCTCGCCTATATCTAAGCTTAGTCTTCATGTTCATATGAATCGGTTTACATGGTAATTCAAAATCACCTACCACTCATGGGCCAGTTAACTCCAGCCCAGGTAACCACTTCATCACGGTTATTGACAACATCTCTCCCCTTAGTCTTAAAAGGAGCGTATGGCCATTCCCCGGAAGAGTTTTCTTGCCTGCGGCTGATGCGCTTCTGCCAGCGCGGCTCAAAGTCCCCTTCAAGCGCAGGCACCGGTGGCATCCACGAAGCGCACGCCAACGTTGCGCAAAGCGACAACACGACCGATACCTTCATATTGAGGAGATTGGGTTACAATAAACACACCATCGATCAGGTCACACGGGTGCGACAGGGTAGTAATTATATAATGCAACTAAGGCCATATTTATAACCGACTGGTCGCTTCACCTCGTTCGTAGGAAAGCAAGTTTCCGCTGGCCAAGACAAAAAAAAAAAAGCCTTTGTCCTTATTTAGCTTCGGTAAATTGTGTACTTGACCATTTCGAGCGGGTGATATGCCCTATCGAACAGTATGGTCCCTTACATTGCCAGGTTGCCATCCTCATCTTAGATTTCATTCCAGTGGAGCGGCTGTTAAGAGTACCTATACCAGGGCTAGTAGGTGACGTTAGTAGGTACCTAATAGTGAGGAGATACGAGAAATCCGGGGTATAACATGGGGAATTGCAGTTACTTCAGCGGGGAAAACTGACCCTAGCCGTGCTGTGGGCGGTGGAATTGTCGCTATCTATTAGGCCGAACGCTCCATGGCGCGCGCTAGGGACGGAAAATTAGTTCAGTGGCGCCATGACGGCCTCAACTTATTACGCCCGGCTTAAGTTAGCTTCTGAAGTCGATTAGTGTAGCAATTTAATAAGTTTAAAAGTTATTCCCTAGTTATGCCGGCACAAGGCGAACCACGATATGTCTTGGCGACCTCGCCTTAAAAATTATATTAGGGGATGAGGATAGTGGATCACAAATGGTCTTGATTTGAAAGGTACCTGATTCTATAAGTGAAGTACCAAATAATATGGCCTCGTACTTTTGACCTTGACCCTTGAGCTCGGTAATCAGCATAAACAAAAGGCATATTTCGCACCTATTCAAACGCCTAGCCTTAAAACCTCTATCTGGCAAAAAACCCCCCATTTATGCGGCCGGTGATGCGCGTAACAAGGAAATGATTAGCCCCCCTCGCGGTATACGTAATAGAATATCCCCCTAGCAGGTTCATTACAATCTTGGTTTGATAGCTGATTGAGGAATACTCGAGGCTTCCTCGTTAACGAGCACCGAACCATTCTTTGGACCATTGCCGAAGAAGATAACCTGTACCGTCAGATCATCCCTACACATGGTTAGCAGTTATACTAGATATAACAGAAAGGTAATTCTAAATAACTGACCTATACCGTCTCGAAAACGGAGAAACAAGTGTGAGCAATGCGCATACTTGCTCCTCATTCTTACCACCGAGGGCATTGCGAATTAAATGCGTGGCAACGTTCTTGTCCTTCACGACGAACCGTTCCTTCTCATCGGGCGAGATACCCCATTGTCGTAGTCGAACCGGAGTCTTCTGGCCATCAGGACCTGCCTCCTTGCTAGCTTCCACAGGAAGATCTTGACCAGGGCCAAATAACTTTGCCCATACAGAGCTCATTTGCGACGTTGACGCTTGCTCTGCGGCTTGTGTCTCAATCCACTTGCCGACCAGACCAACAACTTCTTCATTTGTCAGCATCTCCCAAAGGCCGTCTGTAGCCATAACTAGAAAATCGCCCCTTTCGGGTTGAACTTGAGTGGCAGTGATAACAGGCTCAGCTGTCACGTAAGGGGGAGTCTTGAGGTATGGGGATGAGCTTCGGCCAAAGAATGATGCTCGTAGTCGCTCGCCAACTTCTCTACTCCACTTATAGGTAGCATCACCGAATGCTCGGGTCGGCTCGAGGCCACCAAGTACGCGGCCGTTGTGTACAACGCGATCTTCACCAGGATGATCCTTGCGCATTCGTGCCGCCTCGTTGGGATTGCTTCCAGTTTGATCTTCGGATAAAGCAGTCGCTGTCCATTTGCCATTGGAACTACGGCGACCTAGAACAGCACGCGAGTCGCCTGTACAAGCTACGCGGAGGGTCTTGGTGCTGCTATCATAGAAAGATAGTAGAGCGCAAGAACCAGATAAGGCAGGGCCCAAAAGTTCAGCTGCTACTCGCTTCGAGTTAGACTTCAAAACTTTCTGCACACTTTCGTGTACAATCTCGTAATCCAAACGATTGAAACCAAGCTTAATAGCAGTGTCAATAGCCTCAGAGGAGGGCACTGTTCCCAGTGTTCCAGCAGCCTTGTAGGTAGTGTTCAATTCTCGGGCAACAAAACTGATCAAGGTTTGTCGGAGTTTCGCCGACGTAGTCCAACCACTAGAAAATATTAGCCTCTAACCCCGTACGACGAAGGGGGGTTGGAAGAGATGCGATGGAATTTATATAGATATTACGTACGCATGACCGTCAAAAACACCCCAAAACATCCAATCGTTGGTAGATTGCCCCTCATTCTTTTCACCATCTCGTGAAGCAACCTCGACAATCTTTTCGGCGTGGTCGTCTTCGATCGGATTGTTACTCGCAACTTGCACCACGTCGTATCGCAAGACACCTTGTCCTCGATTGACTAGGAAGGAGGCTTCATTCTGGCGAAGTTTCTCGGTGGCTTGCTCGGGCGTGAGCATCTCCAATACGTTTCTTCCACTACCGTCGACGTTCTTCGCAATCGGACCGTCGCCGACAAAAGTACCGGTGTGCAAATCGTCGGCTCCGACTACGAGGACATTACGGGTGGGGGCCGCACTATTCGTAAACTGAGTGGGAGTAGTCGTATATGATTTAGCTCCAACTTGCTCTAGAGTATTTCCTCCCTTGTACGTATACCAAGCACCGTAGCCGACTAGGCTCGATACCAGCGCGAAAGAGAATCGACGGATATACATGGATGATCGCAAGGGCTCGCTTACAGCATAGTTGGGGCGCGGAGGATAAGAGGAAGCGGAGGCGGTCGCGGTTGATGTTGATGTTGATGTTGACGTAGAGGCGGCGGATCGAACGCTTAGGCTGGCAGCGTTATGACCACTGCTGGCGTTGTTGTAATGGTGATGGTAGTGGGGGAAAACGGTGCGTCGCGGGCGACTAGTACGAGCTAAGCCCCGGACTGCGCATTGAAAAGTCGTCCTAAGGGCTCTGACGGGTACGCGACGCATTTGGGAGGAATATCGCGGTCGGCGCCGGATTGAAGATGGGAAGAGGTTCGTTGTCGCTTAACGAACCACAAAAATCTTGAAAGACGAGTTCCAGGGCTGGTAGCGGAGTGGAGCGCGAGTCCGGGGATGGGTTGCGTGTGAGAATTGCAGGTGAAAAGATTAGGTAAGCTTTGGAGACAGTGGAGACGGTGGAGACAGGGATGTCGAATCGTGACCTACTTCTCTTTTAGGCAGTAGAGTTACAACTTATCGGAACTAATCGGGCTGTAAAGCGCACATGTGGGTAGGTACATGTAGGGTTACCACTTTAGGTCCGGTGCTCGCTGCGCTGCTGCTACGCGCAAAATGTACAGGGGGTTCCAGCGCTAGGTCCAGGGTTCTGGATTACAGATTACATGTAGGTACCTCCTTACCTAAAGGAGCCGCCATACTTTATCCATGTCGCTTTCAACCTCGGCTCCTCACAAATATCATCATCGAAAAACAGCAATTAGATATACTCAAGCAGTTGATACATTTCTCAACATATATACCTATATAAGAGCCTGTTGTTTTATAAATATGTCAGCATCGGAAAATCCCCTGGCTGGTATCCAACGTCGCGCCGCCGAAGATCCTGATGCACGATTCAAGGCTTTCGACTCGTATCCTTGGGCTAAAGACAGAGCATTCACTGTGAGTCGCAAGGCCCTAATTTTTATCAATGTACAATAGCGACTAAATATTTCAAATGAAGGAACAACTTTCAAGTGCCTTAAATAGTGCGCAACCTGGCGAATCGAATCTTTCTGAGATCGCGCTCGGGGCTCGGGTCCACAGATTCGAGCAGCAAACCAAAATCAAAGTCGATGGTGATGAGTATAAACAATGGCTTTCCCGAAACAATATTCAACAACCAAGATTCGTCTCTGAAGAAGCGGTGGCGATAGAATTAGTGACCGCGGTATGTTTTGAATCAAGATCGCATAAAATTGCATACGCCTACATCGTCCAGGACGAGAGATTACTAATGCCTACCATCACCAGCCGAACCCCCAAGATAGAAAACTAGCACATCTTCTCGTAGAACTAGGCGATCCTCTAGGGCAAATTGCTCTCCAGCAAACCAACCCCCAACCAGATGTTGTTGTCCCCAGTTGGCAGGCCGCTGCACCAACAGCAGAGCTCTATATCCAAAGAGATCCAACATCAACAGAACCCGGCAAGGAACCCTATCCTAAGAAATTCGAGGAAATAGTTGAATTTTTACAGAGTGGCAAACCAATACCTGGGATTCGGCAAATCCCCGATACCGTGATCGAAGATCCGTCAATTACCGCTCACGGACGTCTCACAGCGCCACCAAAGCCCTGGGAAATCGGACGAACCCCTTCGACTGAATATCCCGAGCCATCAATCGCGCAAGGTGGAATATAGAATAATTGGAGATAATAAAGTAATAATTAATTAGTAACCGGCCATTAAGTATAACTACTGCTGTACATGTATACGTTCAAATTCCGACTGCTACCCATCAATTTCCATCATATCCTCAGGCGAAACAGTGGTCGACTTCGCATTACTTTTAATCTCCTTAGTCTTCTTATCCTTCTCATTCTCAACATGCTGCGCAAGCGCCTCAAGTGTCATGATTCCATGCTTCGTTAAGTTCATCAGCATCTTCTCGGCAGACTTGCGCGGGGGTTCTCCAAACCGACCAGCCGTCTCAATATGTTGACAATGCTCGTGCGTGAAATTTGGTGGTACTTCGTACGGGCCTCTCTTTGGCTCGGGACAAAATGATCGGATGAAGAAGATCTCATCAAGTTCCTGGCTGTTGTCGGGAAGCGCGCGTTCTTCTTCCTCCGTTAATCCCGGGACCGCTTTTAGGTATCGAGGGAGGTTGTATTCATGTTGTTGACATTCCCGACGGATGCGAGTCTTTTCGCGGTTGAGCATATAGTATATGTTATCTTGGACGGCATCCGCGTGACGATCAATCCAGGCACGCGTCTCTGAGGACAGCTCGATGGGATCTGTGGGCGGATCTGGTGGCGGTTTGGTAAGATCCATATTTGCAGGTACGAATATACTAGGCGCGATGGTCTGATAAACTGGGATGTCTTCTTGTTGGTGTGCTTTGGTTTCCCTTTGCACCGTAATTGCCATGATCGCCGTTTGATGTAATGATCCAGGGGTCAAGATTCTTCGACGACTAAAACTAGCTGAACCTGAGATTGCATGCGAGAACTGGCCGGATAGCAACCCATCAACTTAGACCTTTTCGTCCCTTTATGTACCTAGGTAGGTGAGTAGTTGTTTGTGGCAAAGGTGTAAAGGGAAACAGTGAGTGAGCAAATATATGGTCTTTGGCGGGGTGATCGAACCCCCACATTATGCACTTAGCTAAATGGTTGATTATGTCAGCTCCATTGCTACAGAGACTTGATGCTACTATTAGGTAAGTCGTATGCAACTACCTAGGTACAGGCAATTAGACTCCTGATACCTACATAAGTTCAACTCCTTTTCATGGAGGTTTCCTGATCTCTACGCGTTTCGTCAAGTCAAATTCGCTACCTTACGCTCTTGAATAGTTATTGTAAACTACCTAGTAGTTCGTAGGCATAAATAGAGTATCTGAAGTATTTCTATTAGACTCAAAAGATAGTATTCGTTTCGACTGTTAGAAAGTAGCCTCAACTTTCCGAATATTCAGCTACATGAATAGAAAGATAGTAATCCACAAGACGATGAAACAAGAGGGTTTAGAACACGACGTAGAAATTATTCTTAAAGTCCTATCGAAGTGAAATCAGCAATTCTACTTTATGATACATTAACACGCAATAGTACGCTAGACAACAATACGCTACCATCGCATTCCGCATAAGAACCATATTTTAACAATTTACAACTGCACATTCACCGTAAATTAAAACCATAACCTGACGTTACTGTAGGTAGCGTTGCGTCGGCGTATCTACGGATTCCGTCTTGACGTCTATCTATAGGACGGTCCCTAGGGGACGGTATATCCTCGACGCCCACTCTCTGGGATGATTGTTCTTCTTGGTGGTAGTTTGGCCATTTCCATTGTTCGAACTTTTGACGATATTGTCTGTCTCTAATTATTATATGAGAATATTTCTTGTGCTAGCAAAGGAGGTGGACGACTTACGTAGCTCTGAAATCATGTGTCCTTGCCATTTCATTCTTTACCTTAGGTACTGGCCAGCGCTTAGTAACATATAGGTCCCTCAATGTATCCTGATGTTTCTCCCAATCGGTAGTTATGTTTTCTGGCTCCAACGATGATGGGGGCGGCGGTGGTGATTCACTCCCCGATTCTACCGTTAAATTCACTAATTGAGCCGGTGTAAATTCCCGTAGGGTAGTCGGAGCATAAGTTTTGATCGCGTTGTTCATACATTTCCCAATGGCTTCCTTTAAAGGGGTCGAGATTGGACCGATTTGATTCTCGTTAAGACCCAACGCAGAATGAATACTCGTAGTAAGGTCACCCTTTAATTCCTGCAAGACCTTGGCTATAGCTTGTTGCGTATCGGTGGCATGGAGGTCTTCTACCAGGTCTATAGTAGTTAGTAGCCGATAAGGAATCTAGGATCTCTGACTGACATGGGGATGATGGTCGTGCGCAATTTGGAAAGAGTATATCCCAACACTGGAACCATTTGGCCTCTTCATTGGCACCTCTCTTTCGAGTCTTGAGTTGGGCCATAGTCACCTGGTTGATCCCTTGGACTCGCGCGTCCCGGTCTGCCGTCTCCGACACCGTACACGGCTTAGTAGCTCGCATGTGAAGTTTAAGATCTTCTTCAGCCTCGAAGGCGCTGAAACATCTGTGACAAGCGAATATTACATGTCGGCGATATAGATGTTCCCTAAAGTAGTTGGGTAATATATCAGCCGAGTTGAAGATAACTGATATAGGGGACAATTAAGAACTTACTTCATACGGTGGACTGAATCCCACCCATGACCACATGAGCCTCCCCGAAGATATCGATGGCGATCGTATAGATAGAAAGGACAAGCATATCTCACCGGGGCGTCCTGTTTTTGGCGTTTGGATAAGTCGTGGTCGTCGCTATCAGCGCTAGATCGAGGGTGCTTCATTCCGTGTATCGAAGACAATCGGTCGGGCGTGACGGTGGCTTTAACCTGCTGTTCTACTCTAACCTGACGAGGCATTTGTGTCAGATTCGAAAACATTATCTTAAGAGTAATTAGTCGCCCCTAAATCAATAGACTATGCGCGCTTTATTATAAGCTAATTTTCTTCAGATCTATTGATCGCTATAACGTAGAGGTTAATACGAATTAAATTCCGTGTGCGATTGCTTTAGCCTAAGTAATGACCTAGGCCCAAGGCTGGAGTGTGGGATTGCTTACCTAGGTAGGCGTCGAAAACCGTACGACAAAGGTATCTTGTCTGGTCCGAAAGCCCGCGGGCATTCTACTCCGCTTTTACTGCGCGCAAGCTGCTACATGTAGCAAATGACAGAAATTAGATTTCGCTGGAAACGCGTAGAAAACTTATGTCGCGCTCGGGGCCGAGTTTTTCGGTCTCGCTTCTTGCTTAATATTTTGGTGATTGGCTCGGGGTGTCTGGTAGCCGGGGCTGTAGCATCAGCTGCTCGTATAAGGTATATTTCTAAGTGCTTGATAGGCTGCCGACCTTAAAAGACATGCAGCGGCAATATAATATGTGAGCTTGTAACACACTGGCGGGGAGGAGGACTTGGTGATCTAGCCATTCGTTTCCACGCCCGCTACACCTCCATACGACAACCGGTGTCTGCCTTGTCTGATTTATATATGATGACTGCCTAGGTGTAACCCGAGGAACCGGGGTGGGAGCTCGAAAGGTACTAAATATGGCACAGTTTTTGTGCGAGAAAGGAGACAACGCGCCGCAGAGCTAAATATTCCGTACGCCGGAGCCTTCCTGGAGAGCCTTCGTATAATCGAAATCCGGAATTCGTTAGGTATATAGGTATTTTGATTTAACACCACGCCCACATCCACATGGGTGCGAAGAGTCTGTACAATATACAGTAGCCACGACCAAGGCTCTCCGTACTAAATAGGACTGGTGATGGTCGGGGCTTCCGGTTTGGGAAGCCTACGGCCGTGTGTTCCTTTATGCCCACACCAGGCGATTTATGCGTATGTAATGGTGGTTCGATCCTAGGTTCTCAAACCGCGGTACCGCTCACCGGACCTTATTATAGATGATTGCGTAAGGTGATAGATCCCGTGAGGTTTCCGTTCCGACCGTTCCCCACCCCCATGAATCTTCGAGAGTAGACGGATCCTGCCTTCTTTCTTTCCCAACTTACTCCGCGATTTGATGTTACTAGGTTTAGAGTTGATTTATTCCATTATCACACCCTTGAAGGACCTAGTCCACACATTTATATTCCTTGCTTCCGACGGCCCCTGAATGAATCGCCGTGACCAATCTTGGCTTATGAGAAACGAGCCTGTCGTCGTAAATTAACGTGCTACCAGAAATCGGCTGAGCGAGTAAGTCTCTGGGTCTCTTTTGAAGTCGAAAAGCGCTTTATCATTTCATTATATAAATGAGGAACCTTGAGCTCGTCGACAACGACTAACCGGATTTCGCTTGACTAGTTTTGTACAATAGGGCGGAAACGCCGCCGTCCGGGCTTTGAGAAGCATCTCATTAAGTCGTTCGTTCGTCTCATATGTCGTCGAGCCCTCCCCGTCCAAGACCTAAGAAGCCATATAGTTGGACTAGGATCCATGTCTATAAGAGCTCGACTGATTAGAATCGCGACGAAGGGACTAGTAGTCGAGGGCACGTTGCGCCGAGGGCCCATCTCGTTAAAACATAGCCCAACAAAATTCTAACTACCACGGCACACCCTGTGTTCAACATGCGCTTCCGGCATACATTGACGGTTATTACTATCGCTACCTCGTGGCGGGCACCAATAGCTTTAGCAATCCCTATGGTGAGTAAAGATATACCATGAGTGCATGACAATGAAAGTGCTAACAGACCATAGTCAATTGCCCACACAGCGGGTGACTCGGGTAAGCAAGTGATCTCCTATGTTCTATTCCGCATTTTCCAGAGGAGCTAACCTCTACGTTTTAGTTGAACTCAGCCCAATAGCTGGTGTTCCTCAAGAAAGCAATAGCACAAATAAGATCACTCTCGAAAGGGTTGCGGTCGTCCTTGGGCTTGTTGTTAGTGTCCGTGCCATCATCAAAACTATAATCGCTGTTATAAAGTGGATGCGTAAGATGAGGGATCGCAAAGGAAAACATAGGCAGGAAGCTGCCGGGGTTTCCAGGAATCCTATTAACGACGAAGCTGGTAGAGAAGCTCGCGATGCGTTTGCACTGACAACGCAGCCGGAGGACAGTAATGAGATTGAGATTAAGCTTGAGACTCTTCCAAAAGTTGTTACTGTAGATAAAGTTGCGCCACCGTCGTCATTACCTGTGGAGAGACCTTCTCAGGTGCCGACCCCTTCCTCCTCATCGCGGGTGTAGTCTATTGTGGAAACAGAGAGTTAGGTTGGAAACTCGAGCCCAGTTATGTAATAACTACTCTTGATCGAGATGGAATTGCTTTTATGATGGTTTGGGACACTCCTTTGGTCTTTTCTCCCTGCTTAATTCTCCTTTCTTTCTTCCTTTCTTTCCCTATTCCTCAAGGCGTTGAGTGGATCACTGGTTTGGAAGGGGTATTCTTATGTGCAAATCGGAATTGATAGTATAATCAATGGATTATAGGAAGCCTTAATTGAATGAACGTGAAAATGGAACATCAATTTCGTGAGGAAAAAAGAAGGAAGGAAACGAATCGATGGGAAAAATTTAAATTTCTCATTTAAAAATTTACCCCTCACTCTAATCCCACTTCCTTCAGGTCGCAAGAAACGAAGGCGCGATGGCAGACCACGCGCAGTGCGAGCGACGACGGCGGCGGTCCGGACTACCCCAGGAAACCCCGCTAAAGCCTTTGAGTGAAGAGCAGTGCGCTGTGGTTCGTCGAGGGCTAGCGCATCCCCCCTGTAGGTTTAGCGACTCAGTTAACCAAAGCCTCGCCGAGTTGGCTTGAAGGCTCAAGGTATTCTATTCGCTTCAATTAAATTCGGCTTGATTCTGATCTAAGGTTAAAGAGACCTTCACTTTATAATCGCGCAACAACAAGCTAATGTCTCAACAAGCCGTGTACTCATTGTTGGGAAATTGGCCAACCAAGCGATACGGCGCAGAGAGCGCGCTCTCGGAGGTTGTAATATGTTACGGAGTTGGGGTTAGGTACAGTACCTAGGTACGCCACATTCGTCATTTAATCGCCATTACCCTATAAATATAGTGGACTATAGCGACTGTTTCCCTATCACCTTAGCGCTATTCGCATTGTAGACTTAGCTTTCGGCGCAGGTTTATTTAACGCCCCGGCGAGCTCCGTGTACCGTGTCGTATTCGCAAGCGTACAATATCTAGCGGTCAATAGCCTGCTAACCCGCTAGTTATTATCACATCTTGACTGATTTACCGCCGAGTTAACAGCTCCTTGTCCCGCAGCGGCAAGTAGAGCATTCCAAACAACCCGGTTGCACTGGCGACGTTATAAATGGCGAAGGATTCCGAAGTACCTAGGTAGTCGAAAATGATAGTGGAGATGAAGTAAGATGCGCGAGTGCGCGCAAGTGGGAGGACGAGGACTCCTTATCGCTGTTCCACCTTGCAACTTCGGAAGACAGCAAGCACTGCCAATAAACCCAAGAAAAGAGCGCCACCAGTCATTTTAAGAGCCATTTTCCTCGCGAACGAGACAAGCTCTATCAACTCCTCCCTGTCGAGTCCCACGGCGTCTCGCGCTGCATAGTAATCTCGCGTACCCGACCAGGAATCCCGGAGCACTGACGGCAATTCGGATGGATGTCGCAACGCCTGAAAACATTCTCCCAGTGCCTGCCTTTCGAGCTCGGCTTCATGGCGTGGGTAAGGCATTGCAAATTGTATAATGAAGTCTTTTCTGAAAAAGCGAGGATGATCAATGAATTTCCTTGGGCTGACCACTCGTAACTATAGGTCGCATTTCTAAGAGTGAAATAGTGCGCTATGAAACTTGGGCTGCTAGGCTGTTTTTAGGGGGAGACCTGAGCTGAAATACGCCCCCTGTGCCCCCTAAACTGATCTGCAAGATCGACCTAATTACCCCCTAAACCCAGTCAACCAACACGCTAATATGCTCTTCCATAAATGGTAAGTGCTAGCCCGTAGCTGAGTTCTAATTGGCTCATTCATAGCACGGTAGTTCCATGTAAAGTCGTGATTTCGCCTAATTTTTATATAGTATATTTCTTCTTGAACAAGTTATTTTACATCAATTTTTGACTGAAAACGTATAGTGGAGTGATCATTGAGGTAGTGCTGAGTTCTTCTTGTGTCGAGCTCAATTAAAATTGCATGTTCGCAGGCCTATCAACTAAATGGTACCCCACGGAAGCAGTAGGCTTTTTAAAACGTACCACTATAACTTACCTAGGTAGGTACCTAGCTAAGAGGCGTGTGCTAACAGAAATCACAAGGGGCATATAGGGAGTATTATGGGGAACTCATAGGGCTCCTGTTATGATATCTTACGGTCTACCTTAATTACGAAGCGATGTTAGTATGCTATCCCAACACTAGCCATAGACCCTAGGTGTTAATCTCATACTTAGATACCTAGGCATAGGTCGCCCACGCCTCTCACGTCCCCTGTATACTTAACCAGCAGTTTTGGCAATTCCTTATCAACGAGTTCTAACCTCGAACTGAAGCCAGCCAATTATATACGATGTCATGCTATCGCCAACTCCGCTGCAGAAACCAGGATGCTACATCTCCAACTTGCTATCTGTCCAATAATGGTGCCGCCTCATACGGTTTGGTGGATGGTCAGTGTTCTCCTTAGGTACTTACTCAGCTATATGTGCGAATGATATCACTCTTTAACTTTACCCTCAAAGCCCCTCTTGCAACAAGTGCAATTGACCTCTTTTCCTTACGATACAATACATTGCCTAATCGCAATGGCTTCGACTTCTGATTTCCCGATTCTTGACTTTTCAAACTTCACAGCCGACTTCGATTTGTTTTCCAGGGAACTGTACCTTGCAAGTAACAAATGGGGCTTTTTCGTCTTGACCGGGACCGGAATTCGCGGCGTGGATGAAATGTTTGACCTTGTGCGTGGTTATACAGAACCAACTGACCCCAGTCGTTAACAACTACTAACTATTCAGCCTAGTCTCGTCAATTCTTCGATTTGCCTCTAGAGCAGAAAGGGGAGAAAATCATGAACGAACAGGCAATAGGATATGATGGAAAAACTAAAACCACGTATATAACAATATTCTCATGCGAAAACCCTAGCTCATAGGTGCTTTAGATTTGCTGCTTCAGAAGGGATGGCTTTTAGTCTACCATCAGGGGGGATTATGGAGACCGATCACTTACCAGCTTGGTGGGACCAAAGCAAGCGGAGGAAAATCGAAGACTTCAAATCGCAGTGCCAGGACCTGAATCATGCGCTTCTTTCGTGTTTTGCTGTCCAATTAGGACTTGACAAGGACTACTTCCTCGCAATGCATGCTGAGAAGGCACCAGGCAATACGTTGAAGCTTATCAAGTACCCTCGCATGGAACACAGACCTGGCGTCGAGATCCCGCGTCTCTCTGAACATACAGACTGGGGAAGTATAACGTTGGTATTTACCAAGCAAGGAGGCCTTGAGATTCGCGACCCCAACAATGAATGGTGTCAGGTCCCCATCGTCCCCGATGGAATTGTCGTGAACATCGCGGATGCGCTATCCCTATGGACTGGCAAGGAACTTAAGTCGACGATGCATAGAATCACCTGGGAGAACCTTCCTATAGAACAGGAGAGGTATAGTATGGCATACTTCGTGAATCCCAACCTCGGTAGGTTTTAACGGAAGTTATCCGTGATGAAATCGTCGGCTCTACTAACAATGTTCAGATGCACCTCTTTCGAACCCCAAGGACAGTGAGTCGCAGAAGAATGGTAATGGACTTACTTTCGGGGATTACTACCAGATCCGCTTGCGTTTAACGTACGGATCACTCGAGGATAGTGACTTTAAAGACGTCGATCCAGAGGCGCTCTATATGGTCAAGACCTTAGGTGTTGCAGATGCAGGTTATTTGAAGACCAATGCCATTGCAGCTTGATCAATTCCAAGGGGAACCTAGGTAGGAAAGGGGGGGTTGGAGTAGAGTCGGGGGTGGTATGAGTGCCTGATCCACTGGTGTGCAGACCTTGTGAGAGTATAGCAGAAAAGTGTATCGAATAAAGCCGCGCTTGCTGCGGTAGGAAGGGTGGAATCCTTCTTGATACCTTTTTTCGTCGTATCATTTACCCACCGATCTAGCCATGGCTGTGTTTCCTACCCCTCCGCGATCTCTTTCAACCTGGCTTATGTTTGATATCTGCGCTCTGTGGCTATGGCGATCCTAGACAAATGCCTTGCAACGTGGATGGACTTTCTCACGAGATTGTGTCGGGTAATTCGCCAATTGCTCCTCAATTTCTGCATGGTACTGCTTATATGGGTTACCAGCGGAATTAGTCTTGAGGAATTATTGCAAGCAAGGCGGTCGTTGGACCGTGTCAGAAAGGAACGAGTACTACCTTGAAAGCATTTCCCGAAATAAGATTACAAGGCTGATTCTTGAACGTTTTTCGAAAATATGCCTAACGTATGGATACCGAAGTAATCGAATGTTACCGGTGGATACAGGTCTCCTTCAAATCCATACCTAGTATCCACCAACGTAAATATTCCAATGATTACCATGTGCTACTGTAAAAAGTAGTTAAATTTCGGGCGTAACTGGGTCGTTAGCAAACCATTCCACGTATATTGCCCCTGCTGTGGCTGAGTGCTGTGAAGTACTAGAGTGCCCAGATAGTGACCAAGAGAGCTCGTCTTGGACCCGACAATTTGGAATATCAGAACCATGTCTCATGGAAATATCTACCTAGGTAGGTACGGCTGTTGAGATCCATGATTTCATCTTAGACTTGAATCAGCCCGCGCCGCGAAGCTAACATACATCCAAGGCAAGGGAAGTGCGGTGAAATATAAACCGCCCAGTAAAGGTCGCACGCAAGCGTTGTTGTGATTATGGTTTTCCTGTGATAGAATATCAGGGTTCCTTAGCGACCGAGAAATAAAATTAGAGTGACATAGTATTATTCTCAAGGCGCCACTTGCATCATGTGTCCCGATATTACCCGCGTCTTCGTCGTTAGATTACACTTTGGGATCTGTAAGCCCAGATGATAAATCCAGAGTAGCAAGTTTCGCTAATTGATTCTCAAAAAGACAATGCCTATAAACGTGTAAGACGACTACCTAGGGGGCAGGAAGGTAGGCAACTTGACCTAAAGTATTGAATGGTAACCCGCAGTGGCATAGCGTAAGCCGATTTTGTCTAAGTCTAAATTGTCCGCGGGATTGCCGCAATGTTTTAGTGGAGACACCATTCCGTCAAACAATGCCTCAAGCCTATGATACCGAGAACTCTTTAGTGTATACAATTATTGTATACAATAAGAGATCATCCCATGACAATCCGTTTAAGGCATCTTAAGACTGTTGCCACCCTTGACGTCACGCTAGAATAGGTAAAATTCTAGAAATGTTCGATGCATGACTTTGAACAAAGACCTAGATAAGGCTTGGCGACCCCTTATTATTGAAGAACATCGCGAACACTTGACCAATAGGGCCGATAAAACGATCGCTTTACTGGCCAGGATCCGAGATTGTCGTCATTACAATACACTACTCACTCGAGCGTCGTCTGGGAGGACGCTAAGATTTAGTGTTGATTATTAGAATGAATATCGCTCAAATATCTCTCGGAACTCCTTCCCGGATCGGATACTCGGAACTGTCTTCGAGATATGTTACCTAATCTAGTATCAGCCAATGTAAATAAGTGGTTTTTGTTTGTCATAGTGGTCGGGCGTGCCAGCTGGCGGGATTCCATCGTGGCAGTGCTGGGGTCATGACCACTACTCGCGTAGGCCAGACCGACAGTACTGGTTAAGTAATTGGCTCGGCGTTCTAGGCGAATGCAACATGAATGTCAGCCAATTAAGGTGAATCGAGTTGTTAAGATGGGCGCGGCGTATAGTGTTCGCGCACCCAGCAAAGAATCTGCATGTAGTCAGCAAATGCCAAATACTTTTCCAATACACTAAGCTTGGCGGAAAACAGTAGATGTGGGTACCACGACTTATACAACGCATTCCATCGATCTAGAGGATCAGGCATATTAACGGTCGTGTGCTAGGCGTACTGATGCTGCAGTAAGTACTGTCAAGTTTATCAAATTATTCGAATCCGGCATGCAGTAATTATTAGATCGCCCTAGAACTATCGTAGCACCGCCTCGGTAGATCTTACCATAGTAGGCTGCTGACTTGAAAAATTCATATTCTAGTTAGATACCTACATATGTAGGTAACTAAGAAACAATCGTATTCTCGTATCATCGTGGCTGAATGTGAATTTGATAAAAGAAAATTAGTTTCGCAGATCTTCAGCCCTTTCCTCTTTAAGTGTGAGAGAAGTATAAAATGGATTGGAACTCTCCTTCCGTCACTCGATTGACCTTTTAATTTACCCCGTGTTACTTCCCCAGCTTTCCCGCATGGATACACTAAACTTGCCCCTCCGAATTCATACGAGGTTACACTACAGCCGCTGAAAGCTAGCATTCGCAGCTCCGCAATACCACACCTGAGCACTAATTCTGCTAATCTGCAGCTACCCCAGCAACAAAACAGCTCAGCTCTACGCTCCGCACGTATTTTAATACGTCGCACCACGTTTAATAACGTGACATCATACGCCCTTCCCAAAGTTCTTCTCCAATCACAACAAACAAGACGAAACCTAATACATAACCTCAAACCATCTTGGTCTGATAGTCCCCGCCCGATTTCTAAATCTTAGTTTTATTTCTCCAATTCTCGACGTCACCCGCGATTGTATTTGATATTCGGGCGCCTTGATCGACAACCTTCCCTCGGGACTCCACTTCACCATTTACTTAGTAGTCGCTAAGACGTACAACAGACCGAAACAAACAAACAAACCAACAAATAAACAAAATGGCCGACCTTCAAAGGAACAAGGGCGTTGAGCAGCAGACTAATGGGAGTAGCTCTAGCCAAACCCAAATCGGTTTTCGTCCGCAGGCCAACATGACCGTCGAGCGTCCCAGGCAGGAGGATCTACAAGCAAGCTACGCGTCCATCGTAGGAACAGATGCGAACCCCAAGGGCTGGTACGGTAGCATGATCAATGCTCTTGGTTCCTGTATGGGTACTCTTGGAGCTGTCCCTTGCATGATATGCTGCCCGAACCCTTACAAGCAAGTCCACCAAGGCAATGTGGGACTGGTCACCAAGTTTGGAAAATTCTACAAGGCCGTCGACCCCGGTCTAGTCAAGATCAACCCTCTCAGCGAACGTCTTATACAGGTCGACGTGAAGATCCAGATTGTTGGTACGTATAAGCCTTCTCATGAAGGCCAGGTAACATAGTAGGTTCATTGCTAATGAAATATATGTAACGTATAGAGGTTCCACGTCAAGTTTGCATGACGAAGGACAACGTCACCGTTGAATTGACGTCCGTCATCTACTACCACATCACCTCGCCACACAAGGCCGCCTTCGGTATTGCCAATGTGCGACAAGCTCTCATCGAGCGTACCCAGACTACGCTACGTCACGTTGTCGGTGCGCGCGTCCTGCAAGATGTCATCGAACGCCGCGAGGAAATTGCGCAGAGCATCGGAGAAATAATTCTCGATGTAGCGAGCGGGTGGGGTGTGCAGGTGGAATCAATGCTTATCAAGGACATTGTCTTCAGCCAGGAACTCCAAGGATCACTGTCCATGGCCGCACAGAGCAAGCGTATTGGAGAAAGCAAGATCATTGCTGCCAAGGCCGAAGTCGAAAGCGCTAAATTGATGAGGCAAGCTGCCGATATCCTATCCTCCGCACCTGCTATGCAGATCCGATACCTTGAGGCGATGCAAGCCATGGCCAAGTCAGCGAACTCCAAGGTCATTTTCTTACCTGCGAGTAACTCGCAAATGACTGGTCTGGACAATACTATGATGCAAGCGGCTCGGCAATATGAAGCCGGCGAGTCGAGTGATCCTCACAGCAACAGCTCAGGCTTTGATCAAGCGGTGAATGCTCGTATCGTCGAGAACATCTAAGGGAGATATTTGCCCCTAATTTCGAAGCAGTTGCAATGAACAGAAACTATTGTATCGCTACTTGTATTTTTACGATTGGAATTTGATGAGGAACGTGGCCGTGATAAAGATTATTAGGGGGCCTACGCGGCCATGGACTAAACGCAACAAAAAATACCCCGAAAAACGAAAAACGAAATACATGTTTCGGATTGATTGAAGTTCGAGGAGGGACAAATGGAAATCGCAGGGTTAAGAGGAGGGCGTCTATTGATACCCCTATCGTTCGCTTCGAAGTCGTCGCGCTTCACTTTTCTGCTTCTTGTGTTTCTCTAGTCTCATACCCATGGAAACTTATTTTAGGGCTTAGTATAATGTTATTAGTAGCTTTCACATCGTGTTTAATGTGATTATGATGTTGAATTGATGAAAACTCGAGTTTATGCCAGAAATTGATCAACTGTCGATACAACACATTTCACGCTTACTCGCGAATTATTTTGAAACGGGTATCAAATCGCCTTTCATTCCTATATATTCAACCCCTAATCGAACCCTTCAAACTCATCACCACCACCCATAGCCGTAGCCCCTTCCTTCTGACCACCACCAGCATCATCATATTTCTCCCGATTTTTCCTCCTAACTTCCTCAAGCAGACGCTCGAGATCCATCTCCTTAGCTCTGTCTTCCTCGTTAAGTCCCTGCTTCCGCTCAACCTCACGCTTCCTCCTCTTCCTATCGCGCCGCGTGGCACGCTGTTCCTCCTTTTCGTGTTTTCCGCTCCAGGCCTCGGAATTTCGTTTTCGCTTGGCATCTCTCTCCTCCCTAGCTTCATGAGCTTTTCCGCTTTTATCGGCCTCCCGCGCTTCCGCTAACGCGACCAGCCGCTGCTTTTCGCGGTCTTTTTTGGCATATGCGTATGTATCCCAGTCTAATTCCACACTAAGGAATTTATCCCCTTTGAAGTTTTTCAATTCTGGCATTTTGGGGAGGCGTAGGAGACCCCATGCTTGCCCCAGATCGGTCCAGTCTAAATCCGCGACCCGGAAAATGGAACTTGCGGCATGCTTGCTGTAGCTGCGTACCCAGGAGACGAATGCGCGCTGTGCTTTGTCGTGTAACGCACGGTCTTTGCGGATTATATCGCGGATTTTTACTGTTATGGATTGCGCATTGTCGTCGGTGATGGAGATAGAGGGTTGTTCAAGGGGGGTAATTGGGGTTTTGCGGATTTCGAGAAAAGGGATGTAGTCTGCTTCGGCGGGCTGGAGGAACACAACGCTCAGGCCCCGTCGTCCGGCTCGCCCCGCGCGACCGCATCGATGCAGGAAGGACTTTGGGTCTGAAGGTGGGTCAATTTGAACCACAAGGTCGACTTGTGGGAAATCCAAACCCCGCGCCGCGACATCGGTAGTGAGAAGTATAGAAGGTTGTGCGGCATTGAGGAATTTAGCAAAGTTCTTTTCTCGCACTTTGGCATCATACTTGCCATGAAGCGATACTAAATCGAAGCCCTCTGGGAGTAGTGAGGGTAAAATATGTGAGAAGTAGTCGACGGCGGCACACGTCGATAAAAATACAATGCTTTTCTGCGGTCGGGGGTCAAGTTTGTCAAGAAGCTGAACAAGGCTTGGCCACTTATGACTGGCGGGAGTTGCGAGGTAGCTCATCTGCAGACTTGCTGGCGTTCTCCTTTCTTCTATGATACCCCCCGTCTTCAGACTCTTCACTTTCACCGCGACCTTGACAGGATTCCTTAAACCCACTCTGATAATCTCACCAACCGCCTCACTAACGCTGGCGCTAAAAAGCCCCGTCCTTCTTTGCTTCGGTAATCGCGAGAGGATTTTCTGTAGATCCGCTTTAAAACCTAGGTCGAGGAGTCGATCCGCCTCATCAAGGATCAGAACCTCAAAGGAGGATTGCGGGCAGTGCACATGTGGAGACGAGAGCAATTCGACTAGTCGGCCGGGCGTTGATATCAAGACGTTAGGCGATGCGCGGAGGAAGAAGCTAAGGTCTTGCGCGGGTGTAGTGGTGCTGCCTCCAGAGAGGAGCTGAGGGACAATTACGGGTGAAGTCGTCTCAGGTCGCTTTTCTTCGCCCGTAAGATGGGGTATTAGATCAGAGGATTCGGGGTGGAAAGCGATAAGTGAGGCCAAAGCGCCGTGGATCTGTCCCGCGAGTTCTTTCGTGGGCGCGACGATTATGGCGGCTACATGATGCCGTTTCGTGGGTTCGTCTTGTCGCAAAATTCTGTGGACTAGAGGGAGTAGGAATGAAAGGGTCTTTCCGCTACCTGTAACAGCCTATTATGCATTAGTAAGGCTGACTTGAAGCCATAAAGCAGGAATTGGCTGCCTACTTCTACAACCACATCTTTATTCCCCCCTCCAAAAAGAGGCCATACACTGGCTTGAACTGGGGTAGCCCGGGCAAAGCCCATACTCGCAACGGCGTCGAGAATCCATTCCGCAAGGGGTGGTGTTAAAGCATCCCAAGCTCTGGGATCTTTCTTCCCTACCTTATTCTCTGGCGCCATGATTCAATGTGTCGGCGCATTAAAAAGTGTCTAGAGCAAGTGGAATGAAACTATTTAGAAATTTCGAAGATTGTCAACCTTCAAAAAATAATTATCTTATCAAGCTTCTTATCTTATCTCTATTATATAATCAAACTCCACTTTGTGTAACATTCAAACAATAAGGTTCCGTACCATCCGCTTATAATCCTAGAAGTCTTCCCAGACTGCCAGAAAACCATCAATTGCTTAAAATGTCTTGGACTTCTTTCTTTCACATTATCATGACATCAATACCTAAATATCACCACCACTGTTTTTATCCCTAGCTTCGGCAAGTGTTGAAACCCCGAAGATCCCTATAACAATTTATAATCCTCCACTCAGCTCAGTCCCATTGATCCCGATCCCCAAGCCTCATTCGGAATATCTGAACTTCAGAACTTCTTGAGGTTAACATCCAGATTAAACAATTTCTTCGCATTCCCAAACGCGAAGCCTTCCAACTCCTCCCTTGATAAAGAGCTTTCCTTCGCAAGCTTCCGAATGAAATCGCGACCATCAATGCTCGGACTATATGGGGTGTCAATGCTGTAAAGAAGGTGGTCCTTTTTCGTCACCTTCAACAGCATCTCAAAGATCCTCACAGTGAATATGCCGCTTGTTGTTACCCATATATTCTGATTCCAGACGTCGTTGAAGTCGCCGCGATCGAGCTTAGAATCGTATTGCTTGAGGATAGCTAACCTATCGAGGAATAAAGGCAACAATTCGCCTCCGTGGCCAATTATTATCTTCAATTTGGGGAATCGTTGAAATAACCCAGCACACCAAAGTTTAGTGATGTGCAGGCCTACATCTTGGTGCCACCCCCAACCAGCCATCGCAATTCCCATCATAACGCCAGTGGAATAGTTTCCGCCGTACCTATTTTTCATTTCTTCCATCGGGGGTGGCCCTGGGTGGATGTAGATCGGGACATCAAGACGCTCAGCCGCTTCAAAAACGGGCCAAAAGCGCTCGTCATCGTAATGCGTCATGTCGTCCAAGTGGCTACTAATCATAGCACCAAGGAAACCCAACTTCTTAACTACCCGTTCCAATTCAGCAGCTGCTTTGTCCGGGAATGCCATCGGAAGAGTCGCAAAACCACCGAAACGATTAGGATTCTTCTTAATTGCCTCGGCCATCTGGTCATTTGCCTTGCTACATCCCTCCGGATTATCGTTTCCAACTCCCGGTGAGTGAGACATGATTTGGTAGGAGACGTGACCCTCGTCCATACTAGCGATCCGGCCAGTCGAGTGGTCTTTCAAAGCTTGTTGTGAACCTGGGAATTGTTCCTCGACATCATGAGAAGGGAGCGGAAAGCCTCCAAGGGCCGGAAACATAGCGTGCTCTTCGAGCGTGATAGCAAACGGAGGAACAGACATTTTGCTTGTGATAGATTTTCTAATCTGGTACCTAGAGTGAGTCCAGAGGAAGCAACCATAACACAAGTGCCAAAGACAAGTGCTTTATAGTTAGAGCTACCTTCTTTACTGCACACTACACACGGAGACCGAGACTTCCCGACACAGTCGTCACTATTTTCCACATCTCTATTTCCATATATTTTGACCCAATAGATACAGTCTATGGAATGTTGCTTTCGCCTAACAATTTTTACAACAATCCCGCGAATCCCGAACGCGAGTAGCTGGTTCGGGTCGGCCCATACCTCGCTTCCGATCTATTGCGTCACTAACTCGTGTCTATGTAGGTCATGCTTTTTTCAACCTGCTAACTATCACACCATTGGATAGGGGCAATCCTGATATGGATTTCGGGAAAGGGAAAAAAAAGAAAATGCAACCATATGCTTATCAGGTAAGCTTGTCGGTTGGATTATACAGGTGGCTAAGCGTAACCATCAACCTCCTGGCCCCCGTTTCTAGGTTTACTCCTCCAGCACCTGCAACTCATTGTCATTTCAATGCAGAGATTAACATATTTGAGGACTTAATACATCCACAGGGAGTTCGCGTCATTATCTAATTAGATTGTTTAGCATTCGATAATACGTTAGCGGTAAGGTCTACATTGTCTCTTCCCAGACTGATATCCTAGTCTAGGTGAAGTATCATGTACTTTGGCCCAACCCCTATTTCACAATGTCTTTTGGTTACATCAAGGGTTATGTAACTACAATCCACCGTGCCGTGAAGAATCATAGGGGGTAACTAAGGGGGTATTGTATTAATAAGTACCTATTCTGTTTCGATATCAGATACCGCCTGCTAATTGCCTTATCCTAGACCTGTTCATCAGATCTTGCAAGGGTCAAAATAATGCCAAAATTGCAATGAATAGCTTTAAAACCAGTACATATAGAACTCCGCCTGCATATGGGAAATTTCTAGAAATCTATCTGTTCAGCGCCTGAGGGAGATGTGTATGGTTACATAAGACGATTCCTGAAAGACGTTCATCAATAATATTAAACGGATATTCCGCAATGACAGTGAGTCAAGGGAGCCTTCCAGAAATCAGCTTGCGAGCGGCTTGTTGACATTGCTTGTAAGCTATAATACGACCATTAGCTGTGAGTGAAGGCTCAATGAGCCGCCGAAATCAAGTTTAAAGCGTCTGGAGTTACCTGCATGTCCCTCCCCGAGGCCTACGGCTTGCCAGATACCGCATCTCAAATACTTAAATAACATCATGGGGATTCATACGACGGAACTACGGTCGTCCTACTTCCCTGAGTGGTACGTGTGTGCGTGTTTTGGGGTGTCTACATGTACGGAACGCGCAGTTGAACCCCTTAACGCTGACGAGCCATCCACGCCCCCATTAAATGCACAGCAATAGGGACTTGGAATGGCAGAATGTACCGGTTCAATAAAGTTTAAATTTGGTAGCTTGGACCAGGAAAACAGGGAAAAAATTCCGGCTGTCCCCCGAGTAACCGGGCAAAGGTTCATATAGTAAAATAATAATTGAGATTTTCAAGCCGACCCAATTAGATGGACGTACCCTTGGTGACTTGATAGCTATGAACAAACTACCATGAGGCGGTCATATGCTTAGAGCGTTGATAATTGGCGTAATTTGACAGTACGACCGTCCAAAGCGAGTTTTTCGTAGGTCCCGGATTCGAGGATGGGGGTGAGCGAATCCAGTACCGAGCTTTTTTTGCAATTCTTTTTTACTCTTTCGTACTTTCCATTATTTCTATTATTCCCTACATCAATTAATTTGATTCTGCCTTTTTTTCTCTCCCCATCGTGAAGCTAATTTTGACGCCTATTTACATTTTCTTCTTCCACCATTCCACCTCCACCATAATGCCACGACACTCAGCCATAAAATATTGAATCCAGCGACTACGTTGCTGAAGCTATAAGCATGATAAAATTAAGTATCGGGATCAACTTATTTATACTCTTCAATTAACTAATATTTTGACAGGACATTGTCATGAATTTTCATAATCCCCTAACATCGTCTCCAATGACAATGACTGCCTTCTACATCCTATGAGATCAAGCTATCTGGTAACCCGCATTAACTCTGTACTCCTTACAAAATGAGATCTGTAGATGCCGGTAGCCTTGTATGTGCTCAGTCTAGTGATGCAGAAGCGGTAACACTAGACATGCGCATCATCGTGGGAATCTCTGGTGATGAGTATTCTAGGTTAGTTTAAGACACTAGAAATCTTAGGTTATATTTTATTCCATGCATATACAAAGCCTTGATTGTCATTTGATCTAAGGTTTTTGACAACTCTCTGCATGTTTGGATGAGGCTCAATGCATATCCATGTGATGATCACAACTACTAGTACACGTCTGTAAGCCTATTTCATCAACATTGCTTACAAAAATAATATTTGAATGATTAAGAACTTTATTAATTACCCCTTTCCATCAAATAGACTAAGAAATAATAGCTTTCTTCCTAATACATTTAGGTAGACGTCAAAGTTCGATATTGATGCTCAAGGTTGAAAAGGAGGTTGTACTTACGTAAGTCTTCTTTCGGATCGTTGTCGGCCGAGAAGCAAGGATATCTGCACAAAATAACGAGCACGGACCATATATGATTATTTAAGATTTATGCTTAGGCTAACAACGCCAAGCTTTTTTGTATGACGAGCTTCTGGATCCGTTGGTTCTTGCCTTGTTCGTCTGTTAGTCTGTTAGTGAAAAATTCAAATTTCTTACCATGTTCACAATCCATGGATTGTCACGCGAGCCTATCATTTAACATTTTACATTCCTACATAAATAAATGTACCTAAGAAAGTGAGCAGTGACGGTACACCGAACCGAGCTACGGCCCCATCACCGCCACATGCGAGCCTAGGAAGTCTTACCTGATACGATACCTTACCAAGATTACCTCCCAAAAACTACTATCTATCGGCACTGCGGATTATTCATGCGTGCGATACCCGCCCGAGTCCGGATTGCAAGGGCAGAGCCACGATCAGACTCCGAATCGAAGCAACGAGAAGAACCACAATGCGGCAGAGCGCATCTCTGCTGCATCACCATCGCCCTTCAATCTGGATTCGATAGCCCTTCTCACTTCGTTTTTCACTGGGTCGAACACGACTACCCGTGAATCTAGAAAAGATAGACAACTTCATTGTGCATTCTGGCCTTTGCGATTTTACGATCTGCGACAGTTATTTACGGGCACTGTTTCCTCTTCGCCTTTGCCTCTATTTCCTTATAATATGTCTGTTCGCGGCAAACCAATCATTCCCGCCCCTCCTCGTGTGATATCACCGAGCCCCACGCCCTCCGAAACCCAAGGCGATTCTCAGGATGCATACCTCGGTCCAGTCACGCGCTCGGCTGCTAGGCGTCAACAATCTAGCAACGTAATACCTCCACAACCCCTCCACGAGAGTATCGATGAAGATTCAGATCCGGAGCTCCGGAGGGCACGGACGAGATCACGAAGCCCCATAAAGACCCGCAAAGTTAGTGGCCTCACTTCCACTAAATCCGGCCGTGCTTCCAAACCAAAACCAAAAGACAATGAAGAAGTTAAGGTCAAGGAAGAGAAGGCTTCTAATGGACATTTGGCACTACCAGCACCTACATCGTATGGCTGGGATTGGCGCGATTTCAGTCGAAGTCCAAGTCCGCTCGGTCTGATACCCATACATCGACATTTCAAGATATTTATTCACAAGCATGAAGTTCCAAGGAAGGTATTACACGTATCGATAGGATTCCTTGTATACTGGCTCTATGTCAGTGGCACCCAAACTTCTGCAGTCACTCCCTTTCTAATGGGAGCTCTTATCCCTATTGCCACTACGGATTATCTGCGTCAGAAGAACGAGTCATTGAACCGATTCTATGTTAGATGTCTAGGCGCGTTGATGCGCGAATCCGAGTATAAAGGTTGGAACGGTGTCGTTTTTTACCTGCTTGGCGCTTGGATTGTCCTTTATTTCTTCCCGAAAGATGTGGCAGTAGTATCTGTAATGCTATTAAGCTGGTGTGACACCGCCGCGAGCACCTTCGGTCGATTATACGGAAGATATACGCCAAGAATCCGACGAGGCAAGTCCCTAGCTGGATCTCTAGCTGCTTTTCTTGTTGGAGTGGCTACAGCTGGATGGTTCTGGGGTTGGCTCGCACCAAGAACTGGTCCGTTCCCCGGGGATGAAGCACACCCTTTTATGTTCAAGGGTATATTGCGACTCCCAGCGTTTATTTCTAATGCGCTCGGTTATTCCGAGTCTGAAAGCGTTATTGGTGGGCCTGTTGCGCTTGGATTGTTAAGCCTATGGTCGGGCTTAACGGCGGCGGGTAGCGAGGTGATTGACCTCTTCGGTTGGGACGATAATCTTACAATTCCCGTGCTCAGTGGTATCGGGATCTGGGGGTTCCTCAAGATTTTCGGATAAGAAAAAGCCGGTTGGACGGTGTAGCATTTCTACAAGGCTCAGGCGTACGTAGGGCAATCGGCGTTACGAAGGATGGGGAGGGATTTGTACGCGAAGGCTTAAAGGTTAGCCTTAATAGACGGGTTATGACAAGGCATGGGAGCATCGGGTATGGCACAACTCACTCATCTCACATGATTTCAAGATTTCATTGATTCACCTAGAGATTTTCTTCCCCGCAGGAAAAAGAAAGAGAAACGAAGACTCGGGTACATCACATGGTCCCCGGTATACGTAGACACCTATAAATTTTCCCCAGATGCATTTCTTCAGCTACAACAAACCATCTTATGTCAGCTAATGAGGTGTGAAATATGGCTCAAACACCGGCCTTACTCTGCAGCTTTGCCATGGAACGTTAGCTCAGACGTTGGCCAGATCTGTAGTGACCGGGTTGCGGGATGTCGTGCATGTCTTGCCTAAGCTTAGTACAAGAAAAGGAGGAAAACAAGGGAGGAATCGTTACCATTACGTTACGCAGGCCCTATGCCGCGGCCCAGGCTTCTATTTACCTCCGACTTACACAGCATACAGCATGATTCTCCGACGAACCGTCGTCCAAGGCTAATTTATCAAGCGCGCTCGAAAGATCTGAGTGCCCTGCGAACATATTACAAATGACGCCTTAGACAGGTTGCGCGAAATTACCTGGCCTGTTCTTCCTGCATGATGAGAACGAGACCGAGCTGGCAAGAAAAAAATACAAGTACTAATTCACGGCCAGGAAAATCCGCCACTCTAAGACGCAATCGACCTTTAAGGGTACTGTCAAGGCATACTCGGCTCCGTCTTCCACCCTATGAGAAGATGCCCCATCATCATCGGCGCGCAAGTCCTGCTTAACTGCGCATACCCATCCAGCCAGGCCCTGTCAATTACCCTCCACGGACCAAACATCCAAGTATCCACTATCCACACAGCCTGTGCCGCCCCTGCACCTATCTAGCTTCCACTTTCTACCTTTTTCCATAGCCCTTTAGTCCACCTACAAATAGTCTTTTATTGCCTACTCTCTTATTCGTACCCCGATCGCTGATCGGTCCGTTGGATTTCATATCATGTAGGCCTTGGGGACCACGATGAGTTGTCTCTCGTGGGTGAGGTAGTATCTCCTCCCGGCCCTGCATATATACACCTGAACTTATGAGCTGCCAATGCGCCTCATGTCATTGTGCAACCAGCCAAAGTATTACTTTATTCCATACGCGCAATACATACGATGCCTTGTTAGGAGGCCTCTTCGGGTTAATTTTACTATTATTCAGTAATACCTATGCCATTCGTATCTCTTGCGGGGTGAGTACACTCTACGCGAATGCATAGAGGGCTCCAGTTCTCGGAGGACACCGCTAGAAAAGTCACTACCATTATACGGGCAAAACCTGTCTACCGGAGGCAACGGAGCTAAGTCGATTAAGTAGCTGCTAGCCTCATATCTTTTGGACCCAACCTCTTGGGATACACCCTGCGATATGGCCTGGTGGAGTTGGCATCCCGAAGGTATTCGCATGCCGTGAAAGTCACGCCTCTCCACACCTCCCTCTAACACAACTGCCATCGACGAATTGCATAGTAGATCATGTTCGTTAGGGCTCAAGTTAGTCCTTTCGCCCCTAGTCGATCCAGGATGAGCCTAGAAAACTTGCCCCTCTGCCCCGCCTTCTTTGCGATTGGGGAGTTGTTCAAATCTGGCCTCATGAAGCTCCGGGTTTAAAAAGTCTACGAATATATGAGAAGTTTCTCATACTATACCAATGCATACCAATGCACCAGCAATATGGACTAAACAAGGCCAATGGTGTTAATACAGCTTTAGATTTTCTTTAGGGTCCATAACATTCACCGAATGGCGTCCGTGTTCCTCAATATTCGTCTTACTGATGAAGTGTCTTCCTAGCCGTATCCTGGTATTACCTACATACCTACCTAGGTACCTATATACATCAATTATACAATATAGTTAGCTTCTATATGGTTTCCTTTTTCATCATTTCTCCCGCGCGCGGCTTCTGTCGCTTATCCATGTTGAGAAAAAAAGCCCCGAGGGAAGAAAGAAAGAAATCTGCAGCCAGGTATCTCAGTTTGTTTCGTCAGACATATCGATCAACGGAATCTAACCCGAACAGGTGAAATTGCTGTATTGCTGTTTTCTCACACATGAGGACATCTGGTGCCAGCGCATCATGCTTCATTGTACATGTACGTACATTCCGCCCCAGCTAGAACCACTTACATAGTACACCGGAGATTGCCCAAGTATCTTTGGTTCGCTTATACTGTGTTTGATTTTCTTAAATTCGGGAAATTTATAATGTCGAGCTGATAGAAACGATCTATTACACGAGCTCAAGCTTAATTCATTTTTAGAATATCCCACGGCCTACTTCCGAGACCAAGCGTTCTTGAAGAGGTCATCTATAGATACTTACACGTCTTATTGCCAACATGTACGCCAAGATTACTCTTGATAAACCAGGGTGGTGGGGCGGAACATCCAATTCTTTTTATTTTCTTCCCTCCTTCAATGGACGGAATGGAGGGGCAAGGCAGGGCAAGCGGAGTATTCCCCCTTTGTACCAAAGAGAAGACGACTTGGGTACGTAATTCCTTTTTTTTTTTTGTTTTTTTTTTTCTTCTTTCGTCTCTTTCCCTTTCCCATCATTGCATATTCCCCTTACCCTTTCGAGATTCCCCCATGATGGAAATTCCTTAATTTCTGACCAATAAGAAAATTGCATTTTCTATTTCACAAGGGATTTTGTGAAAAATGATTAAATAACCACGCGGGAGATTCCCGATACAGAAAGATAGGGTCGCTTCAGACCGTATTTCATGCATACCGGTCCTGACATTTGGGAAATGGGGACGTACTCATACGGTTAAGTCGTCCCCGAATATACCAATAAAAATGAAGAAAAATAAAATAAAACGAAATAAGACGTAAAGAGTAAAGGACGGGATTAAAATAAAAATAAATAATATTCCCAAATGACGCTCTACTTCGGCCTTTGCTGGCTGGCTCTTGAAGGGGGGAACTCGAATTTGACAACACATCATCACACAAAATGCCCGATCTTGCTGCACTTCTGCCTGACTGGCCAGTAACAAGCAACGTTGACATTATTCGAGCGTTTGTTTCTGACAGCACCACGCCTCCCTTCCTTTTATTCCATTACCCTTTTCCCTCTTCAGTCCTTCCCACTTCAGCGTCATTGACCAACGAGCCGTCAGCTCGAAGCTGCAACTTAGGAGTTGCAGATGCAATCCAATTCCCACATTACTACCCCCCAAACGGGGGCCCCATATAGCCCAAGCCCGCTTCTTCCCATGAACCATGGATGGGCTCTTTGGATGAAATCCGTCGCTGCTTTTGCGGAGCTGTTTCTGCTCGACTGGCTGACTTTTCTATCAGGTACTACTTGTTAGCGTCAGCGCGCTTGTTCGTCAATATATCCGTCCGATGTTCTAAATAGGCTTAGAGAGGGTACACCCGGCTGGGCGCAAGTGTCAACCGGTAGGGCGGTCTACGATATAGCATTGACACTATTTTATATAAATGGAAGGAAAAACGTCAAAGTTTCATGGTCCAGGGTCCCAACGGCCAACCGGACTTTATATCCACGCCCCCTTCTCGACAATACGATAGCACAGACGCTTGTAACTTCTCACATCCAATCCAGATGTTTAACATACGCGCACGCCCCTCCTTCTAGCGTCTAGTCTAGGAGTCCATCTCGGTAGAGCCCTGACGTCTCGATTTCCTCTAAAAAGGCACATGCCATCGTCAGGATTCTAGAAGAGCCATCCTTTATTATACATATTATACGTACTTACTAGGCTCTTGGCTCTTCTCAAGAGCGATTATCCCCCTCTTCCATGACTATAGAATGTTTGATATGATACTTAGACGTAAGACTTTTTTCAGGCTCGGCTTTCTCTATTTCTCTATCTCTCGTCATCCATTCTCGCGGGTTTTCCCTTGTTAGACCCAGAAGTCGGCCTGCTTAACCTCCCGCTTCTTATGTCAACCATGATACCCTTATTCATACTTTCGTCCCATCCCCATAACCCGCAAGGAGCCGGTTGGCCCTCATTCCTTGTTCTGTCACCCACTTCCCCGAATTTTTTTTTTATCAGTCTCCTTTTCTGACTTCACCCCATGTTACCCGGGGCTTATATATGTGTGCGTACATCCGCTCTTCTCACACTAACCACCCTCTTCATATACACGTACGTATATACATCTGTATATGTATATATCAGACATGCCACACTGTTTGTATTTCCCGAACTTCCAGCCTGCCTCCTTGTTCCACTCTACCTGCAGCAGGTGGCGTGTATCCTAGATCCTCCTGCATCTGGATACTACCACTCCCCCCTTACCTTACTACCCATCCAGCATGTCTTCCTCCCACGCCGTCGTGCTTCTCCCCCCACCACGTCCACGTTCCTGAGCGGAAGTGATATTCGTCTCTTTTCGGCATATGGCTTAATAGAACGAAAATTTGAACCAGAGATCGTTCCCTCGTGAAAAGGAGCTTATACCGGAAGGGAAGACCGAGGCAGACAGAAGGCGTAATCGTGTCGATTTGGAAACCAATCCGGGCATACACATGTGTTCGCCTCTTCTCTTTTCTGCTCTAACCAAGTACCCAGCATATGCACACGCCCCCGTGGAGATCTATCATATCTGCCCACGCACACACACGCATACAGTTATACCACACACACAACATGAAGATGGCCAGACTACCTCATCATGCCTGCGTGTTCGTTTCTTATGTTTTTATTACCCATTATTTGCATTTTATTTCTCGTTTCCTTCCTACATTTCCCCGTTCCACATTCTATGACTGGCTTGTTCACCTAGAATGTCGGGGTCCCCGTGGACATACCTAGGTTAGGTACATATATACATACATAGCTCCCCACACTGGTAAGCTAAGGTAATGTACATAGACTTAGTTGCGTCTGATATACACATGTATCGTACATACATACACATACACATACATGTAGGTAAGAAAAATCCAGGGCCCGGCAAAAAAGGGGAACACAGGAACCAGACCCAAGTATTCGTCTTGTCTATCATGAGTTCGTCCCATACCAATGGTCGGTCCTACTTTACATATTCTATTCCCTACCTACCTACCTATTACACCGTTAGTCTTAACATGTAAGTACCTTTCTAGTCTATCTGCCTATTTGTCTATATTCTATCCATCTATATGCCAGTCTACCGTTTAGGGACTCGAGCTAAAGGCCCTTGCCTCCTTGCCTCTTATTTTCCCGTTCCATGTTCCCATGTCCCATGTCCATGTTCCATGGCCCCCTTGTCCCCCGTGTTCTTCCTCCTCGGCCAACAACAAGTTTTCATATTAGAGCGGGGTTACTCAAGAGGAAAAAAAAACGCGTCTTCCTAGGTAGATCGAACGAATAGAGTCTTCGGGACTTATCCCATCCTATACCCCTAACGGACGGGACTAGAGATGGCCCGTCCTCAGGACTTGCTTGCTTGCCTGCTTGCTCATCAGATCGAGGGGAAAAGGTAAGGACTGAAAAAGTATAAAAGGAGGTTCTCTTGACGGGTTGAGCTCGTCTTCTTCTTCTTCCTCTTTTCTTTCTTTCAAACAAGTCTTCAACTCCTCAAGATCATCTCGATACTATCTGTCTAGAAGTTGTCTTTGCTTCCACCTTCTCCTGACTTTGCCTTGTCAAGATTCCTTTCTACTCTTGACTTATACCCAGACATACCAACACATACACCTACACAAAGACAAAGGACTTAGAAGTCTCACACATCCTATCTTGCAAACTTATTGCATTGAGCCACCCCGTCTATCACATCACATACCCATACACCACAATGGCATCCTACAGTACACAATACTACAGTACACCCACCTCCGCGGTCCCCATCCCGACCAAGGCGGACCAATACCAACAATACTACCAAAGCGGCGGCGCGGGGAGCACCTACTCCGCCTCGCCCTCAGAAGACGACCAACGCGAGCGTGATGCTTCCGTCACTTCTGGCGTTCCCTCCTACGGCAACAGCAGCAACAGCAACGGCGCCAGCTACGCCACCAGCTATGCTAGCGGCGACTACTGCGACGGCAGCCAAAGCGGTGCATCCGTTAACGGCGTAGATTTCAACGATTACATGCAAAACCGCTTTGATGAGTCCTTCGACCCGATCCCATTAGATCGGAGTTTGGCTCGTCAGGCACAAACGTAAGTTCTCACAATCTTCATTTTCATGGCCCAATCCAGTACCTTGCTTTTCGCTCCTCGAATTTCCCGTTCGTACAGAAAACGGGAAAGCGAGAAAGCGAATAAGCGAGCGAACACGAAAAACCAAATGACAAGCAATTGAAAAAGTGACTTACACCAATATTTAGTTCCGGCCAACTGAACAACAAGCACCGCGAACTTCTAGAAATGCAAGCGGCAGCACAAGCACGTCTCGCTAAGTCGCGCGCCCGCTTCCAACAGGGCTTGAACGACGCGAGAGAAGTACACGCGGATCTAGAGTGGACATCTAAGAAAGTCTCGTAAGTATTACCAAAATTTCGCTTCCTTACAATTTTGCGCAGTGCGCAGCATAGAAATGAACAAGCAAAAATACACAAATTTGAATTATAAAAAAATGAACAATTCCTCGTGGAGAAAATAATTCGGAGAAATTTGAAATCGTTAAATTTCGCCGCATTGCGCAAGCAAAAGCGAAATCTCGCGAAATCGTCAACCTACAAACACAATTTTTCGCGGAGCGAAAAGAATTCACATTTTAACCCACCATTTTCTGAATCACCCGCGGAAAAGTTGCAATTTAACTAACAAATCCGTCTTACAGCGCAATGAAGAAGAAGGCCGAAAAGAAGCACTCCAAGGAATACGAAAAGGCGCGCGAGCGATACCCATCGCCCGACTACTAAAGGGCGTATTTGCCAATCGCTTCGCCGCCCCCTTTTTCCAATGTGAGCCGCAAAAAAAAAAAAATTGAGCCGCATCACGGGGGGACGAAACGAGTTACGTGCGTTACAAGCGCAACGTCAATCTCGGCTCTTTTACCAAAGAGCCTCAAAAACGAGGAAACGGAAGAGAAAAGCAAAAAAAGTTACTTGCTACCACCATCTTTTCTTTCTACACATGTCGTTTATTTTAACTTTTTAGCGGCCGATCGCTCGTTGCAACTGGAGCCCCCTTTTGCCCTTGGGTGTGAACGGGGGTCCGGGGTAGTTGGGTAGGTTTGCAGGAACCACGCGAGATCTGGCCGAAGAACTGCGAGATCTGCTCGTGGTTCCCCAGTTTCTGCCCGGTTCTGCGATCTACCACTTTTGTATGCACACTCCCCCTCCATCTTCGCGGGGAGGAGACGATCTGAGTTTGTTTTTTCACCGGTCTGGTTTTTTATTTGTGGTTCCCAAAAATATGCACATACCCCTGACGTTTTTCATGTAAGTTGGAAGGTGGGAGATACACAAAAAACCCGCATAAGGAGGATGTGGACGCTGGTTTGACAGATTTGGGCGGCAGAGCGGCAAAAAGATTTTAGACGCCAATCTTGCATCGCCGCTTTACGGCCGGGCAAGTGTGATACGTAGCAGATGGTGTGTGGGCAGTGAAACGGATCCCGCTTCTAGTTCCTGCATCTTCTACTGCGTGCTCCCCACACAACGCACGCGCTGACGCACAGCGAGCGGCTCGGCTAGCTTATTAGCTTGACAGGGCCGTTTCACGAGGTAACGAGCTATGATTGGATGATATCGGATGACCTGGGAGCCAGCATGGGCTAAAAGTACACCATCTTTTTATTTCTAGTAGGTTTTGGACGTGCGTGAGCGATGGGATGACGCGCGTCTGACCGGTGAACTAGTTCCCGGGGTTCGTCCAGCTGCAGGTAGGGGCGACAGGGAGCAAGGGGCTTGGAGTCAAAGAGCAACGGTCGATCGAGTTTCTTAGGGACACACTCGGGGGCGTAAGAATGAGGATGTACTCCTAGATAGAGCACGTACTCCTCCTCCGTAACCTAGCGCTGGGAGGACACTTATCCATTTTGGGATATGGGTATTGCCCTTTTTGTAATAAGTCTGGCGGCGGCATGAACGGTGGCTGCCCTGTTTTGGGCCAAGAGTTTCCTTAGAGGGTTTTATTGGGCCGGCGTTGTACTTCTTCTCGACAGAGTAATACAAGAGATTCCCCGTTCAGTGACTTGACCCAGTATCTCGCATGTGTGTACGTGTGTCTTAGACACGGTGTACCATAATCGTATGTACCTCTCTAGACCAATGAAGGCTAGAGGGGTACAGCCATTCTTCGATCTGTCGTATGGGACGGCGAGTCATAGATCAAGGCAGGGCCCATCATGTATCTCCATCCATCCTGTCACGTGACGCGGTGATGCCTAAGGGGTATCGGGCAACCTGAATGTAACTTTCATATATCTGATAAAGCTGGTTGGATATTGATAAGTAGAAGGAATAGAAGTCATGATAGGTACCTAAGTATATCATGACTCCCATCTCTAAGACCGGGTAAATGACATCGATGAATTAAACCAGCACTCACCCGAAGCATATCGTGTCAACGACGGTTGACAAAGGACGACGGATGGACGACTTGATCGAAAATGACAAGACGAATTCATCTCTTTGCTTCCTCCCACGACATCCAACTTCCTCTGGGTTCCAAGCCCTTTGACTGCTCGAGCCGATCCCATGGGTTAACATTCGAGCTCGGGTCGTAATAGTCCTCCCACCACTTATCTCCTGACCCATGCCCATGACTTCGATGTACTTGGTTACCAGTATGACCACCTCGACTACGAGATCCATCGCCGGTGCCGAACATGGGAAAAGTACGAATTGAAGGCTCCCCAAGTATAGTATCGATCTTAGATTGGATATCATCATTCGGATCGTCCGTAGCGACCGTGGGTGGGCGCGACGTATCCAAGTACTGCGGTTCTGGATCATCTGCGTTTTTGGGACTGCTGCGTGATACGTTATTGGAAAAGTCGGTTTCATCTTCATCATCCCCGAGATCGACCTCGTCTGGATTACGGGTTCTCACACCCAAAGGCGTCGCGTTCGAACCTGAAGACACCTCTTGGACGGCACCATTGTGATGAAGAGGAATGGTGGAGGTTGAAGTTGAGGCCACTACAGCGTCGGCGCGGGGATTGAATTTGCGCCGCTTATTGGAATTATGTTGGGCACCAAAGCTCGAAAAGCCCATAGCTTGTGCCATAGCAGCGGCAGTGTCTTCCGAATCTTCCATGACGAACTATCAAGGATTTCCTTTTGGAGCTAGAGCTATCCTTGATATCCTTGACGTTTCTGAGTTAGATAGGAAATGGTGAAGATGGGTATGAAGATGAGAAAGAGAATGCCCGAAATTGCAGTGGCAAATATTCATAGGGTCGTTAGCAGAGTTATATAGGCTCAATGCTCACTTTAAAAGCAAGCGGTATGAGAATTACTCGTGTCTTCAGATATGGATTGTTCGAAATACCCGAAGCCAAGTGACAGCGATGAAGAAGACGTGGACAAGTTAGATATGAAGTCGGGAAGGAAAGCACCGAAAGAAGTAGGTAGATTAAATTTAGGGCCGATGGAACGTAAGAAGCAATCCCTGCAGCCTTATTTGCGGGAAGGAACCCTTGAACCCTTTGTCTTTCTAAAACGAGTTAATCAGATGGAACATAAGTCTATGATGACTCATCATGACAGCATTTTAGGTTAGATCTAGTCTAGTACGATTAGGTTATGTACAGTTTTAGTTTATTTACCATACTGTGTACTCCCTCCAATCTGACATCCCGCTGTGGTTATGTAATTCAATACTATTCATTCTCTAGATCACTCTCTTCCTACATCTAATTATCTCCCCCTAACAGTATGCAATAATCAAATTGGTTTCTTGCCCTATCTCCAGCATGCCTTTGTAAGTCGCCAGCAATTTACCTACAATTAACCCTTAAACCAAAGTCTATACCACCTATACTCACAACTAGACTCGCAGACACCTACTGGGCAAGAAATCATGGAACGTCTACAACCCTAAGAATATCGAGCGCGTGAAGCATGATGAAGAAGCAGCCAAAGCACGCGAAGAAGCAGAAGAACAACGCCAACAAGAAGTCGATGCCGAGCGACGTCTAGCGATTCTCCGTGGCGAAGTGCCCCCACCCTTACCTCCTCCCTCACCCAGTGCCGACGACGAAACCCCTAGCCGAAAGCGAGATCGCGATGAAGATCCGGCGACTTCCGGTTGGGGTAAAAAGCGCCGGAAACGTAAGCGCGCAGGCGAAGATGACACGGACTTCGAATTACGACTTGCGCGTGACCGAGCTGGAGCTACCCGAACAACCAGCGATGCGCTTGTGAAAAGCCGGAGTGATGCCCCACTTACAGACCACACGGGTCACATCGACCTATTCCCCGATGAACGGTCGCACCCGCCGAAAAACGAAAAGACGGAGTCGGAGGCTGCAAAGAAGAAGCGGGAAAATGAAGATCAATACACTATGCGCTTCTCAAATGCAGCAGGCAAAGATGGTTTGACTGATGCATGGTATACCAAGGGCGGTGACATGAAGGATGTCATAGACCGAAGTCTGGATGCACCTAGCAAAGACGTATGGGGCAATGAGGACCCGCGGCGTAAGGAAAGAGAGGTTGCGCGCGTCGTTGCGAATGATCCTCTGGCTATGATGAAGAGAGGCGCCGCGAAAGTCCGAGAAGTTGAAAAGGAAAGACGGCAGCTCAACGAAGAAAGGGGGCGGGAGCTAAAACAGCTCCGCAAAGAGGAAAAGAAACGGGAGAGGCGGCGTAGGCGAGAGGGGAGAGAAGATTATGACGACTTAGAGGGGTTCACTTTAGATGGTGCTACTTCAAGTCAACCCCCGACCCGCTCCAAAGATAAAGACGATTCTCATCGGCATCGGCATCGCAAATCTCGAGATGAAAGCAGCCGCTCACGGCGCCACTCCGAGCATAGGCGTGATCACAAGTATGATGAACGTCATAACTCCGAGTCGGACGGCAAAGACCGAGAAAGGAACTTGTCAAAACACGATCGCAGGCGGGAAGGGAGAGCAGATAACTATTAGTATTGTATTGTTTAAAGACCCGGCGTTTTCCGAATATTAGATACCCCTTTAGTTAGTAAAAGCATCAATAGCACCAGCGCATCCGCTCCCATAACTATGATCGTATGGATTTCATAGCATTACTTGTCCTGTGTTTCTAGGGGTATCATTAAAAGCATCCAAACCTCTGATTCGTTGCTTCCGGACTTCCAACATGACTAATTGTTCGAAATTTTCATCACTGCTTCCACGGCAAGCTGATCGCAACCTCTTGTATATGCTTCTCAACCAATTCCACTACTTTCGGGGCATCTTTCAATTCCTTCAACGCCTTAATAATTTCATCGGCCGTCTCCTTACTCAACCCCTCTTTCAAGTCGCTATATATATCAACCCCCTCCTGCGTAAACAGCGTCGGCGCAAACCATGTTACGGCCCAGCGCTCAGTCTTCCCCCCCTCCGCTTCGTTTCCCTCCCCATCACCCGTCGTAGGTAATGGCCGTTCACCCCATCCAAGAACTTCCCAATGACTGCTCGCGATCGCGAGCAAACCTTTCCCGCGCCAGTTCCAGGCGGCGGGTATACTCTTATCCGGCTTCTCAATACCTTCAACGCTTTTGACGCCACCCTTGCCATTGGACTTTTCATACTCGACTAAGTTATCGTTGGTAGCGGACGAGGGGTCTTTATACGGCTTATAGGTTATGCGCACGTTCTGTGCCGAGCGCCACATTGAGAGCGTGGAATGTGTTACGGTCCATGTGCGCCGGAGCCAGGGGAGTGGGGGCGCGGAGAATGGAGTTTCGGTGGGTGGTTCGGACGGATTGGAGAGGTACTTAGAGGGCGCGCGGAGGGTGATGGTGGTCGGAGGTTGGAGTTCGGACATTGTGATGGGTAGTAGATGTTACGTGTGATGCTGTCTAAATGCGGTTGTATGTTTCTAAATCAAGCAAGCGTGGAATTTTTCGGAGTTCGGTTCAGATGAGGTTGCTTTGTTGAGAGCAACCGTTGAAGTTGACTGAAACAGGGGTGTTTAACGAACTGTAAGACGTTGAGCAGGATAATCGGACCGAGTAATAGGTAGACTACGTAGGTATTAGTGAAGGAATGGGAGAATCATGTATAATATTATCACGAAGTAAACGGTTCGGAGAAAATAATGGACTGTAGGGAAGTTATAGAATGCTATCGGGTTGAGGTGAAGGCGCACGATGCTGTCATGTCCATGCGTCCAAGCTCGGGAAGCTCCTTATCCGGTTTTCGTCACATAGTCAGGGGCGAGTTCACTTTACTTCCATAAAAACCGCATATGGAGAAATGGTAGAAGGCAGAAAAGGGACGCAAATTTCGAATATGATTACATGTTATTCCACTAATTAGAATGTAGCTACCTACAATTCAAGTGATGTAGCTTTACAAGGAATTATGAAGCTTCAATGCTACATGAAAGTGCATGAAATGTAAAAACCTGTTACGTAATGTAGTAAATCAGTCGCTTTTGATGGAGCTTCATCTTATCGCCACGTGATGCCAGGTTCTTATGAATTATGTTGGACAACTATTTGTGAAAATAATGAAAATAAACCCAAGACCTCGAGGATATCATCATAATAATTGAAAGTCAAATCTCCCTTATCCAATTACTCCAACTACCAAATCCATACCTCGTACACATAATCATTACAGACCTTAATCACGATATCGCACATGCCTCATTTCATATCCATCGCCAACGTCTACTTCCTCAATTATCCCACCCCCATGTCCATAGTCATGGCCATGTTCATGTGTGGCGTCGTGGTGATCCATTGAGGTTGTGCGAGCATTATCCATCGATCGTCCCCGTCGAACGCCACCAGCGTCATGGATTTTTGTTGCTCGGAACAGTCGCGATATGTTTTTTCTGATACCTAGAATCTGGTCCTCGCCTGGCTTCCGAGCAATATTAGTGAGAGGTCGGTTTGCTAACTTCAGTTTTTGTCTAAATGTAGGAGTTTCCATATCTAAGCCATCGTCCGACGCGTTGTCGTTTCGCTCAGGCTTTGGATCGTAATGGCGGGAATGTTGAACTTCGGGGATCCAAGTCCATGTAATGAGAGCCCCGAGAAGCATCGCCGGGCAAAAGCCAAGCAGCATTCCTGCGAACTTACCGCTGTAGGCTAATTGGTCGTCATAAACAGCGAAGTTTGTAATCAGCAAGATGGTTATTGCTCCGAGTTTACCAGAGGCTGCAGCTAGTCCATAGAACGTTCCTCGAAATTTGGTTGCGAAGAGTTCTGCTGGAAGCATAAACGTGATTGTATTAGGACCAAGATTGAAGATGACTTGAGCAAGAACATAGAGGGTTACAGTAAGCGCATGCTGAGATGTTTCGAAAGTGACGAAGAAAGTACCGCCGTTAACCGCGAAGAGTGCCGCAAGCGCAACAAACATCCAACCCATCCATGTGGTTCGAGGGATGTAGTCGATGGCGAATAAAATGATGATGCTTCCTGGTAAGGCTCCGCTTGAGATGGTTTCAATATTCCGTATACTATCTTGTCGAAGCATTTGGTATATCGTGATGTTTGGCGAAGCAAGATCTGCTCGCCATGTAGTATTATTGATACATGCCGTCTCTTCCGGTGAATTGGTGACATTCGGGGGCTCCGAGAGCCAGATTGTGGAAATAGTCTTTGGGTTATCAAGGCCCAACCCGTAATAAGCCAGGTCCAACAGAAACCAGGTTAACATGACTCCCAGGAGAGCGCGCCAGCGTCCCTTCTCGGAAAGGTGCTCCTTCGCTTCATGGAAATATTCTTTAGCTGACTCCCACCAACCCTTTCGCGAGTTTCTCGTTATAGTTGTCGGTCTTTCTTGTGAGCGTTGAGGAATCATGGGCATAGGGTCACTGGTGTCGGTAGGCTGAAGAGTTGCATCCAACGGAATAACATGACCAACTGCTTCAACGGCATTTGCAAGCTCTCCCTTCTCTACAAGATAGTAAGGTGTCTCAGGAATAATTCGCCTCAGGAAGAGCGAAATGAGCGCCGGAATCGCCCCGATCCCAATTGTTGTCCTCCATACTACGTCGATGACGGGTGCTGCAATTTCGTAATTTGTTTCCAAGGGAGACAGGTTTTGGCTTCTGCTGACTCCTTCAAGAATGGCTAACCCTAAGGCATAAGCAGCAAGTTGGCCCACTGACTGCATCAGGAATACAGCCGCTATCATTTTACCTCGGGATTTCGTCGAAGACCATTCGGATGCGATGATGGCTGAGAGCGGATACTGTTCGAAAGTTAGCATATACTTCTCAAAAATACACTTGGTAATAATCTTTACTTCTGCTCCAAGTCCAATACCCAACATAGCTCGCCAGAAACCAACCCAGCCATAAACATTCATAGAGTTATAACCCCTAGATGCTTGTGTCATCCCCACGGTTGCGACGACAACAATACTCAACTCGAGACCGTAAATAGCCTTGCGACCATATCGGTCAGCTAAATGGCCAAAAAGTATCATGCCAATCATAGTACCTCCCAGTGTTGTTATGTTGATGACTAATGAATTGGATGACCATCCATGAGAACAACCCGGTGGGTAGACATAAGAGAGCGACGGAGAAATCACGTTAACAGCGAAAATACTGTAAGACGCAGTAAAAAATCCCGAGGCGGCAACAGCCCATACTCTCCACTGGAATCCATCTAAGCCTGGGTAGTCGAGTACCGATTGAACTGCTCGTTCGGGATCATGCAGGTCCTATGACGTACATACACGTTAAATGGAACATGCGAATGATGGATGGTTGGGTCGTATAATACTTACGCACTCTATCTCGTCTGCAACTCGACCTGTGGTGGCTCTAAGATTAGAAAAATAGTTCCCCATGGCGTGCAATTAAATCCGTAGGCCTCTGAAATGTCTGGGACGATAGTTCGTGTCATTCACATCATAAAGCAAAAGTTCGCATTGAACTAGGTATATATTTACTTCAAGCCATAGTGCTTCGGATCCGTAGTACGCCTGACCATTCGGTTACGACATCGCGTTGACTGTTCGTGTTGTGCCCGTTTAGAAAGACAAAAACGCCTGATAGGGCGCAGGGTGTCATTTTGCGACTCCATATAGAAATCCAAGCCAGTTCTAGAGCGACTCAGCCGCCCCTATTTAGTCGGAGGAGTCTTCGGTGAAGCTTTGTGTGTGCCGGCCGTCTCCTAGAGAAGCTCCTTAGGGCCAATCTTTTACCTGGAAGTTGGTACTGTACATGCTGCATCTGCCTACACCTCGCTTGGTGGATTCTGGACCAATCGTAAGGGGGGCTTCCTAATAACAGTATGATAGTTAGGAAGCGAAAATGACATGGAAAAGTACTCTACATAAGCCGTTAGACTATCTCAAACACCCTTGGTCTTATAAGGGCCCTGGCAATCTCGAAGCTCTACCAAGCTAGCGGGAAACGTGGGAGGTGACAAAAATAGTACGCGCTCTTAGACATTCAGGTTCCCTCCAGAAAATGCAACTAAATAAATTAGTTGACATTTCGTCTGTTCTAAAAGCCATCGTGGGTACACAGAATATGAATTCCTATAAGGGGACTGTCAAAAACGTGGCCCCAATACGGCTTTCTATTGGATATCTTTAACAGATCCCTGCTCGGAACTCCAATCCACCAAATTACAACTATGCTCGTTTCTTCGAACCTCATTGGAAAAGAGCCTAGAGAGGGGACCCTCATGTCTTAGATCCGGCCCACGATACCGCTGTCCCCGTACACGCCTGGGCACTTTGTAGCTAGGCACGACAGTTGAGCCGCCCCCCACAACTCCCTTATGTGAGACCGGGTTCCAGCTTAAACGTGGGCTCGCGTGGGAAGTTCCTCTTTCCTGGGTCTAAAATGAATAAAATGGACCCTGGGACAATAATATCGATCGTCCAACTCTCACTCTCCGGCGTCGAACTGGTCACCAAAGTTGTCCGAGAATTCTTCGGCGGTAATGATAAAGTGCCAGACAAACTCAAGCGCCTGAGGGATCGCCTTACACAATTCCACAACGCTGTTGAAGACGTAAAACAATCTACGGAAAATAATGCGTCATCGAGCCGTGCATACCGAGGGGCTGACTCTGTTATCGAAACCCTTACCGAGTGCAACGATTTTTTGCGTCAGTATGCGTCGGCCTTGTCAGCAGATCGGACACCTTTGGGAGCTACCCAACGAGTTTACTTACTCGTTGGCCCAGAGAGTGTTAGGATAGAGGATTTTGATAAGAGAATAATGAACCACTATGTAGAGCTCCAATACTGGAAAACCGGGCGTTTGGAAACAGCAGTTGAAAATCTGAGAACCTCGTATGTTTTTTTTTTTTCTTTTCTCTAAACATGCGCCTCTCGCTAGGCTACTAAACGGAAATCAATACAGGATAAACGAAATGAACGAGATAAATCAGTTGGCCTTTCGAACAAGACACAGTTACAGTCATCCACATCGAGCGCATGGTTCGCCACGACTGCCCGATTCACCCGGAGTATTTAGCGATGAATTTCTACATGAGCCTTCCACAAGCCGGGACGTGGCCCAACCCGGTTTTCCTAGATCACCTAAGATCAATCCCAGCCCAGTTAACCCTTCGCTACCTTCGATAGATGAACTCCCTTCGCCACAATTAATATCGAGTTCACTACCGGATGTAGGATCGCACGGGCTCCCTCGTCGAACCGGCCCTGTCTTGACATACCTTAGACGTGGCACCGACAGTACGCTCGTCGAAGAGGAAGAACCCATCAACTCGGGAGCACAAGCTCAAATCCCAACGTCACCATCACAATTTCGAACTCCAGGCTATTCAGTGTTGTTGTTTGTCTAGCCATCCTTATATCATATTTTAAGTGCTAACTTCCGCTTCTAGACGCATCGACTCCCACCAATATCAGTTTAGCACTACTGGCTACAGAATTTTCAACGTTCTCAATAGTAGAGTGATCGAATGGCATAACCCTCACAGTACAATTACGGTTTTGCATTATGGTAAAAAATGATACGCACTTGGCAAATAGTATGATACTGACTCTGCTTAGTTCACGGAAACTCCAGCATACCACATACTATACCTGAGGACAAGAGGTCTAGGGTGTTCTTTCTCCCGAAGGATGTTAAACATAACTTCAAAGTTACCAAGGCCGATGGCCAGCCGCAAACGATTAGTGGGAAGCCCGAGTACGAATTCTATCGCAAGGCAGACCGAGAAGTTTTCCAGAAGAACATCCGAGACTGCGAGTCCCTGGAAATGATAAGAGCCCTGAAAATGCACAGCGCCGCGGATAACAATATTGCGATAAAATTTCACCTCAAAGTTTGGCGAAAAAATAGCCTAAACGACAAACCGACATTCTCCTTCGCAGCGCACGAAATTGGACAGCCTAATCACCAAGTGGAGTTTCTCATACGTTGGTTCAAGAAGACACCGGAACTAAAGGGGGATCATAAGTTAATATTGAAGGTGTACTCCGGAGAGCCCGACCCGGAGACAGAACCTGAAACCGATGCAACAAAAAGGCGACTATCGTTTAGAAGGCAATCTCTGAATTCGACACAGACGAGTACTTCGCGTTCGAGTTCGCGACAGCGGTCTTCTTCGGCAAGAGCACCACTTCCGACCCTATACGAGTTTCAAGGGATAGAACCGCCGGGTGACGTTCGAAAGCTCGGGCACCTTGAAATCGAATTCTTGACTCAAGAGCGTAAGCTAGAACCTATCCACCAGCCACTTCTCTTTTCATAGGGAGTTCTATACTTATATAAATACTTTTATAGTTCGAAAAGCCTTCATCAAGGCATGTTACGAAGCACACCGTCCCGCTTGGGAGGCTTTAAGACGAGACGGCACCCCAAGCCCGGTCTCTCAACGCTCGTCATATTCGCGACCTCCGAGCTGGACCTTGGGGCCAAATCAAGGCCCATACGAGCTAGAAAGTTCGAATATACATGAGATGGAAGATTCCGGAAGACACGAACTAATGGGCGAACCAGTGTTCCGAATCCCTTCCCCGAGCATGAGTTTCACGACACCACATTTCGCTGAGGAAGTCCAATTCAATACACAATCTCTCTTCACACCAGCGCGAGAGTTCAAGCACGAGCGAGATCCCAGTCCAGCGGCTACCGAAGATTACGATAGAGGACCCTACTCTCGCGAGCCAGGGTAAAGCCTCAAAAATATGAATATTTACGATTATCTGCTTTTGCATCTATTGAACCACAACAATACCTACGGGCTTTGTCTCGGAAGTAATACTAGCATTGGCATTATTAAAGATTACGATGTTGCGATGAAGTAGATGAGAATGATTTTAATACGATGCGTTTAATGTATAGAAAGCCTGGCTTTAGGGCGATTAATTCTTGTTACAAATAGCCCACTTCTCGATGTAGATATACTATAGATTGTGATTACCTAGCTCTACCAATTTTATTTGCATTTTCGAACCAGACTAAAGTTCCTCAACGCCTTCTACCGAGCATAGAAGAAACTGGTTATTCGGTGTTTCCAGCCATCAAAGTTATCTAGACTACCCCAAAACTCTTCCATCCCTACCTAATCTATTCTCTATTGCGCTGCTTGAGGGCTCAGTTGATCGTCAACTTAGCCCCTTTACATATATAATTCTATTCGTTAATGTGGTGGTATCATAAACAGGATCCGGGATATTTCAATGGATAGGGCTGAAACCGCAATATGCCTACCTAGTACTATTTGATAATATCCCATGGGCTCTTTGTGTATCCTATACCCTTGCTACAGCAGGTTCATGGTTAGCCAAACGATTTTAAATACTGAATACACCCAACGTCGCACTGCAGCTCAGAGAAAGGTTGTGGTATGTCGGCTTCATATCCTATCTCATATCCTATGCTTTAGCGAGGTTGACTGTCATACGAATATGCCCTGCCAAGATTGTCCTCCTGAAGCTACGTTACTTTACAGAAATGAAATGATATGATACGATAATTCAGAGTTAAAGAATGTGTGCGATAAAACGAAAAGGGGCAACTAAACTATGTAACTATAAGCTTCCCTAACTCCCCGTCGGCCGGAAGACTTCCTAAAGTAGGTAAATGTATAGCTTCGGGCGGGGCCTCGGAGACCGGATAGTAGGCGTGGGGGGCGTGTACTTGTTCATACTCGATCTTTCTGCGGATTACAAGGTATTTGATATTAGCCAATGAATGGCCGAGAAATTTACCCCGCCACCCAGGCTTCAGGATTAAAAATGCACTAAGCCTTATGGGTACTAGCATGAATTACATTAACTTTGAAACGACAGCTGCGACGTAATGGGCCGCTAACTTCAGCTCACTCACACATTATACTTTACAGCCTTACACCTTAACACACCTCGGTGCTTCAGCGGCAACTTTTCTTTCTTTTCCAACTTCAACTTCAATTTCACATACGACGTAGAGTTAAACAACTCCTCAACGCATAATAAAGGAAAAGGATGTCATAAGCTCTGTTTTGCTTATAACACGTCTCCTATAGTTCCGAAAAAGCTCCATTTGTGAATTTCCGCCGGTCGTTCAGCTTAGTGGGTGTCCCGCTGACGCAATCTGGCCTGACATTGGTTTCTTCCCACTAACCAGATACCTACCTATCTTAGCTAACGTTCCCACCATTCAACGGACGTACTCTCCTCATACACCAAACCGCGACGATGGATATGCGAAACAACCTCTTCGGCCGAGGACCCCGCAGTGGTCTGCCCGGTCGGCAAGTCCAACAAGACCAAGGCGGCTATAGCCAAGTCCCCCAAAACCGACCCTCGCGAGACTACGCCGGTCCTCCTGAATATGATCCGAGAGGTGCCCATGGTGCGCCATCGCCAGGTTACGGAGGAGCACCTCAGCAGAGGAATACCCGACCGAGCGCTCCTTCAGGCCGCAAGGTCCAACTCAGATTAGCGAAATTAGAGAAAGGCGACCTCGCCCAACAATACATTTTCAGCAACAGGTGTGCTGTCTCCCCTCAAGACTTCCCTCCCGATCCGCACGGCCAGGATATACACATTCTACTGAATGGAAATTTTGTGGTGACCGCTCGTCCCACCGAATACATCCCACCAGGATGCATCAGTTTATCCGACCCTCAACGAACATGGTGCGGTATTAGTATGACCGACATCGTTGTTGGTGAAAAATATGAAAACAAAGTACCATTAAGTGCGATGGATATCGAAGTTGGATTTGCGTCCCAGCGCAAGGTAACAGATGTTCCATATGACCAGGACGAGCTTGCGGACGATTTCATCAAAATGTTCCAGGGCCAGATATTTGCCCCTGGCCAGCGATTAATCATGGATTATAAAGGGATACCTCTAATGTTTGTTGTCAAGACCGTTCAGCTTCTTGAACTACTTGGAAATGAGAAGGGACAAGCTGCAGAATCTTCCTCGAGGCCCGACGCTCGAGGACTGCTGTTAGGCAATACTTCTGAGATTAGCTTCTTCAAGGATGCTAAGAATCCCATCAAGTTAAAAGGCTCGACGAAGCGGCCCGCCACCAATGCTATCCTTCGGCCAGACTTCAAGTTCGCCGATATGGGCATTGGAGGTTTAGATGATGAATTTAGTACGATCTTCAGACGTGCTTTCGCATCTCGAGTTTTCCCTCCAGGCCTAGTCGAGCAAATGGGAATTTCTCACGTAAAGGGTGTTCTACTATATGGTCCGCCAGGAACTGGTAAAACCCTGATCGCTAGACAAATCGGAAAGATGCTCAACGCCCGAGAACCGAAGATTATCAACGGTCCGGAAATTCTTAACAAATATGTCGGTCAATCAGAAGAGAACGTCCGAAAAATGTTCGCGGACGCCGAGAAAGAGTACAAAGAGAAGGGTGAAGAAAGTGGCTTGCATATTATTATATTCGACGAGTTGGACGCTGTCTGCAAACAGAGAGGTAGTGGTTCGGGTGGCACCGGTGTTGGTGACAGCGTGGTGAACCAGCTTCTATCTAAACTCGATGGTGTGGACCAACTTAACAACATATTACTTATCGGTATGACCAACCGAAAGGATATGATCGACGATGCGTTACTGCGACCAGGGCGTCTTGAGGTACACGTGGAGATTTCGTTACCTGATGAGCATGGTCGAGTACAAATCTTGAACGTGAGTCAAATTCTTTCCCCTTTAATAGCAAGTGACAATTATTGACTTATTATCGTAGATTCACACTGCCAAAATCAGGGCTATCAACAAATTAGGCGACGATGTCAGCTTAGACGAGTTAGCACACCTAACCAAGAACTATTCAGGTGCAGAAATTTCTGGTCTCGTCAAAGCAGCACTTTCATATGCTTTTACTAGGCATACGAAGCTAGGAGACGTTACCGGTGTTCAGGGCAATCCCCAGGATGTCATGCTAACACGAGCCGACTTCATGAGGGCACTGGAAGACGTCAAGCCGGCCTTTGGTGTTTCTGAGGAAGAGTTGAACAATGCTGCTCCGTATGGAATTATCGATTATAGCCCGCACATTCAGTCTATTCTATCTACGGGTCTCAGCTTCGTTCAAGCAGTTCGGACTTCGGAGAAATCTCCACTATTCTCTGTTTTAGTCCATGGTACCCAAGGGGCTGGAAAGACTGCCCTGGCTGCGGAGATTGGGTTAAAGTCGGAGTTCCCGTTCGTTAAACTCGTAAGACCAATCGATGTCGGTACAAACGAGGGTGCCAAGCTTGAATACCTGCGTCGCGTATTCTCCGATGCCTATAAATCTGCTCTTTCTATAGTGATTCTCGACAGTGTCGAGAAGATCATCGACTGGAACCCTATCGGACCAAGATTCTCTAACGCTGTTGTGCAGTACTTGGGTGCTGTACTTGAAACCCGACCGCCCAAGGTAGGCCCCCTTTCCTCTGCAAGTCTTATCTTGTCAAGCTGCTAACAACCATGTAGAATCGTAGACTTCTCATCATAGCGACGACAAGCCAGCGGTCAATGCTGGACCAACACGGGGTATTCGCGTGGGACCGAGAAATCGCGGTACCGTCGATTAAGGACCACCGCGAATTACAGGCGCTGCTGGCAGCGTCGGGCAAGTTCAACAGCCCCGCCGATATCAACGAGGCCCTTAATGAGTTGCAGACCTTAACCGGTACTCAGGAGGTTGGTATCGGAGTTAAGGCTGTGTTCTCGGCGCTCGAGACCGCGGCGGTGAGAGATCCGCTGCCTATTAGTCTAGCGGAGGATATTAGTGCGATCATTGCTTCAAGGAATCCACAAGGGTATTAGGAGCGAAAGAAGTCGATGGGCTACATCACAAATGAGTGAAGTCTGATGATAGAATATAGACGGAAGCCTTAGAATGAGGATACTGGGGCCTCCTAGCCTCGCTTACTCCGCCCAAGCTTTTCAAAGTGAATTAATTGTTTCGGGATGTAAACTTCCGCAAAGTAGTCGCCCTCTTTGCCCTAAACCTCTAGCGAGGTAGCTCCTATTTTAAGACGCCATCTCCACTACCTCGAGAGCGTGGCGACTCACTTTGATCTCGCTATTATTAGGTCTCTATGCTAGCTAGGTGCGTATCCTCCATATTTTTTGGTATGATTTCTTTCGTTCATATCGGTTAGGCCTTTGACGTACCTAACCACCCCAGCCCCTTTCTAGGAATTCGGAGAGGGTGGGTTAGTTACAGCCCAGCAAGAAGCGCCGGTTGATATGCAAATTCAGTCAGCATGCACGATATTTATGATATTTACTCTCCCTTATTTCGAGGTCATTATTCCTGTTGAATCCTTCGATCGTATGGTTAGGATGAAGTTGTTGGTGTCTGGTGGCCAATAAAAGGGGGAGCTGCGTTCTGTTGGTGTGTACTAGAAAAGAGCCTCACAACATCAACTCTGAAATAGACTTTTGGCTTTGAAATTAGAAATAACGTCTCCTTGATGAGATGATCTTGAAATACGAGACGGAGCATTATGGTAGGAGATTTGGGATGTCGTGCCCCGTACAGCAAATATATAAGTCGACTCTCCAGCTTCATAAAGGGGATATCATCATCCTCACAGAACATTAGCACACTCAGAATTCACTACAGCGATCCCATCGTTTTCCTATCCTTTTTATCATCAAAACCTCTTATCCACTTCCAAACTTCAAGATGAAGGTCTTCGTTATCCTCTTTTGCCTTGCATCAGCAACTCTTTCTCTCGCCGCTCCAACCACTAAAGCAAACGCCACATTTGCGAATACAGCCAGCGTCCGTCAGCAACTTGTCGATAATCTCTTCGTCGCGCCCGACCTCATCAGGGTTCATAACGTAAAAACCAACCTAAACACCGACACCGACAGCACCACAACCCAGCGTGCCGCTCTTATCGAAACCAGTACACTTTACGAAGTCAAGATCCCCCAAACCGCACCAGGTGCAAATTGTTCATTGGTGCTTTTCGCGGGCGCCTTTGGGGATGTAGTCAGCGGAGCACAATCTGTTAACTTTTTCAACAATACGATCTCAGACCTAGCGAAACAGGGGATGGGGAACCTTCGAGACCGGGACTTAGGTCGTGTGAACTTCAATCCTGACACGAAGTTATTTGACTTCGACGAGACGGTTGTTAAGGACCCTATTGCTAAGTGGTTTGAATGCCCCCCTGCCGGTACGACAATGGTCTTCGAGGCGGTCGCGGTGGGCGATTTCGATGCTGTTAATATCACTCAGGCTCCTAGTAGCGCGATTAATCCGCCAAATGGGTTCAGTCTTCGGATCTACTAGAGGGGTAATACTATGTGGTGTTTGACTAGGGTGCTCGGAGTTGATGACGACGTGGCTATTCCGATTCTCTCGTTTATTATGGAGTTTGGTGTTACTTCTATTCCGTGTTTATGGGGTGGCTTGCATGTATCGGCGGTTACGGACGGGTTAGGTAGACTTGGGTAAGGGTATGAGGAGTTGGTCTGGGTTAAGAGGACATTCTTTCATTACAGCACTATTAACATAGTATCAATTCGCTTTTTTTTCTATGTTGATGTTGAAGTAGGTTCATAACTACGGAACAATAAAGTGGCTCTATTCGTACATATGTTACAAGGAGGAATACCTATGGGGAAGTCCGAAAGGCGCTAACTGCATGAATCCTTCGTACCCCTTGTTAGTGCAACATGGAATAGTTTGAACATTCAGGGCTCTCTTCTACGAAGTGACGAATCATTTAGCTGCTTTGGCAATTAACACGGGGATTCTAGCCAACCAGAACTTCATTAAATCGCGATACCACATGAATCCTGTCCGGTTATACCCCGAAAATACCTAAGCACCGAATACCAAGACCTCCGCCTGGTTGAGTATTAATACCCAGTCTCCTCCACGATAGTAAGTACCTATCCAGATATTTTGTTAAATTTTTCACATGCTTCAACACTTGTAATTCCAGAGATATCAACATCCAAAAGTCATATTATAGACCTATCTCAGTTTTGCATCATGACTTTTTCTATGCTCATTTACCTGTCCCGAAAAGCGGGCACCACGCCGGAGCAATTCAAGGCTCACTACGACAATAAGCATGTACCTCTTATCAAGGAGGTGGCCGGCTCGACTTTTCCGCTGACGCACACGCGGTATTACATCCGCCGGTCTGAGGGCCAGGCCGAGGGTACAACCCGCAATGCTACCACCCCAGCGCAGGTTTTTCTTGGCACGCAATCGGATTTCGATGTCGACGCTGTTGTCATCTTGACTTTTACCGATGAAGCGGCGTTCCAGGAATTCTTCCAGATCACGCATTCCCCTGAGAATGCGGCCAAGGTGGTTGCTGATGAAGAACTTTTCCTCGATCGCACACAGACGCGCGCTGTCGCTTTGGGCTCCACTGAAGTTACTCAGAAGGATTAAAGAATGTATTTTCCCCACTGGTTGGCATGGTTTATAGTGGCGTTCCTGTGCAACACCATACCTGTGGGCCTGTACGCGCACGGGATCGCGAGGGGACATGTTCTGAATCCCCTTCATTTATCCCCCGCGAAATACAAATGGGTTCGTACAATTTGAAATAGATACATTTTATCGAGTCTATAAAGTCCAGAGACGTAGTTCTCGTTCATTTTGCCATGGGTGAAGCGTGGCTTCGAATTACACAGCCCTTCTGCTAGACCAATGAGCCGCACTCTCTGCAGCGATGCCTACTCGACTACTGCACGAGCTTGGTAAGCAATGGGGCGAAGCGAAGATGTCTCGGAGCTCGACTCCAATCCATCATCTTAGCATCATATAATAGTGTGTAACATACCTTTTCAGTCGCATGAGCGCTTTTAAAGCTATTATCATTAGATCTTTATTTTAAATCGAAAATGCTCTGCAATATCTGTAAAGACTCTCTAGAAAGTATAGGGAAATTCACGCAGAATTGCCTGTACAAATTACATACTAAAAAGACATCTGATACTTCTAATTCTTCCGGTAAACATCACTTCGAAAATGCCCTTCAACGTATAGCGATGTCTGATTCTAATGACTCTTAGGAAACACGCGTCCCTTGAAGGACTGCTGGTGTGTATACGATAATCACCGATATGGTCATCACCGTGATGAGGATTCTTTCATACGCTCGGCACAGCAAGGCTGTGTCATGTGCAGCGATTTCCCTTTTTATGATGATCAAACTAGGCAGAGTATTGGATTCAAAGATTTTGGTTTCTTCAGCACTTTCAAGTTTTCATTCGATCGTGACATAATACCATGTATGACCGTCGATACCAGCCGGGGGTCAAAGACAATTGAGCTTGTCCCGGCAAAGTGTAAGTTCATTTTCTCCCTCCCTTTGCGACGTGATCTCTATTCTAGTTATTACCGAAACTAAGTAGAGCTATAGTACTCTCGGGTGGTTTACTCAATTTTAACCTCAGTGGTTCCACGAATTCTGCTCAGACGTGGTCAATTATTTCCTACTGGATCCGGATGTGCTCACAGTTTCACGACCGATGCAAATTAAAAGCCGGAAATAATGCATATAAACCGACCCGATTACTAGAAATAAACTACTCTAAAGATTCCTATTCATCAGAACTTCCGACCTTTCGGTTGGTAAACGGGGAGGATTGTCCTCAGGGGTCGTCATATGCTACGTTAAGCTACCGATGGGGCGATAAGCCTTTAGAAAGGACTATTCGGCTCTTGAAGCATACATTCACCTGGCTGGAGATGCCAAACACTATTAACTTCAATTTACCCAAGACAATTCAAGACGCTATGTATATTACACATCGCCTTGGTATCCAATACTTGTGGATCGATCGACTTTGTATCTACCAGGATTCGATGGAAGACTGGCACAGAGAAGCCGGTACAGTGCAAGATGTGTATCGGAACGCATCTTTCTGCATATCTGCTCTTAGCGCTGAGGATGATGAGGGGGGTTGCTTCTTCGATCGCGACCCATCTCTAGTTGCTCCCACACCCATCAGGTTACATGGTGAGAGACGGTCGTACAGAGCCGAGCTCGAAGACATGGCATGGTCTACAGCATTTCATAACGAACCTCTTCTACAGAGAGGATGGGTTCTTCAAGAAAGACTTATGTCTCCTCGCACCATCTACTTCGGAAGGAAACAGGTCTATTGGGAATGTGCGGAATGTCACGCATGTGAAACGCACCCAAGAGGATTCGGAAAATTTGCTCCAAGCGACGAGCCCCGGAAAAAACAGGATGATGCCGACTTTTGGTTATGGAAGCAACTCATTGCCATTCCGGCTCTGCCACATACCACGACGGACCCCCAAGCAAGGATTCTTGCGAATTGGAGCGCTACAATGAGCCTGTATTCAAATACCAAACTCACTGTATCCGCCGATAAATTAGTAGCCGTGTCTGGGCTAGCAAAAGACGTTAGAAGGGCATTAAAAGACGTCAACCTCGGGAGACATCGATATTTAGCGGGACTTTGGGAAGAAGTGTTAATGCAGACGTTGGTGTGGTACGTCAGGGTTGGCTCCCCTGCTCATCGTCCAACTAGACATCGTGCGCCTTCTTGGTCATGGGCAAGTCTCGATGGCCATCTCATCATACCAGACACATTCCTCGAAGATACGACTGAACTAAGTACTCTATTATCGGCCGATATGGAGTTCCTTAGCAAAGACGACACCCGAGAGGTGAAAAGCGCAACGCTGACGCTATATGGACCGACGTGTCTTGTCACTACCCAGGCCTCATCATATAATCAATACGCGGCAAGGTCGTTTCGGCGCCTCGACAGTAACTTTTCTATTGAATGCAATGGAGCCGATGACTCCTGGTTAAGCAAGCCCACGGTGATTTTCGATACTATAGATGATTTCCGCAACGAGTTGGTCTGTATCTGGCTCGTGGCTCAACCGGCGTCCCTAGCTGGCTGGCAAGCATCTGGTCTAGCGCTGCAATGTGTAGGCCTCAATATGTATCGGAGATTAGGGACTGTTTCTTGCTATCATTCAACACAGGCTAGATTGGAACAGTTCGTTGATATTTTTCCGCGGACGGAAGTTAAAATTATTTGAGGCGGACGAACCCCGACATCGTAAGATATATGAAAGATGTGGCCAAATGCGGCAAGCCACTTACGAGAGCCGATCGTCTTCAATTCCCGCAGGTGGCACTTCAACCAGAGTGACGCCCTCAGTATTTGCCGGTAACTCATCGGGCAGGCTGCTCGGTGAGATCTTTTGGGTGCGTGTTGACAAAGTCGACAGCGGGAATTTGACGGATCTTTATGGCAACATGACAGTAACAGATCGCGAGAGCGAGGAGTATCTATACGATCGTGTCAAAGATAAGCCCGAGCATATCAAATTGGGTAGACATATCCTGCTTATTGGCCCTAGTTGAGGAATCTCGGCAGCCGAGGATTTCTCTTTTGATATCGATCTTAAGGCCGTCAATGGGTTGAAGTTGCTAAGGGCAAACTCACTTGGAAACATGGCCCCGAAAATTCCACCGACACGTATGACAGACCCCTTACGCAGCAAGTCAAAGGAGAGCATGGCGCGGTAACGGTGCACTGCACAGCACTAAGCAACGCCGCAGTCGGGGAAGTAGAAGTTATTCTATTGGAGGGAAACGAGGATCCAGCACAAGTTCGTGGGCCTGTTACAGCCAATAACGGCCTGGGTGAGGCGAAACTTTTCCACAAACGGAGGACTAATCCTATTTCTGTGGTGGAATGTGGTGGTTCCAATGGACGGTAAACTGAGCGTCAAGATGGACCTTTACGACTCTGAAGACCAGTCTTCCTCGATTGCGAATGGCACTGTTGATCTAGGTTCACCGAAAATTCAAACCTCGAAAGAAGCAGCATTAAACGGAGAGCGCGGCAGTATTCTAATGAGAGTCAACTGGTATTGATATTCACGTTCCCTGCGTCGTCTAATTGGGGGAATCGCAAAGGTTGGGTGGACTTGGATGGGCCTATTCGGAGCGGATGAGAGCTAGAATAGAGCGCTACTGTTATAAGGGGTGTCTGAATGGGTTACTTGTTCGGTCATTACCGCTATTAGTGCACTCTCTGCCAATTATTTCGCTAATTGTTATTCGGCCATTTATTGCCGTCGACACTCATTGAATCAACAAGGCTGCCCAGGACCTAGACAGATTCGGTGTGCAATCTCAACAACACTCGCTTAGGCTTCAGTCAGGGCTCGATGTCGTGAATAAATTAATTGATTCATTTGAGCCACTAATGGGTATCATCTTCTTTTGACTTCTAGAAATATAGCCCTATTATGATTATCGCGCCCGATTCCTAGATTCACTCGCTTCCTCTCCTAACTTCGCGAGCGCTAACTCATATGCTGCCACCTTCTTTTCAAATGCATCTTCCTTCTCTTCGGTTACTCTTATACGCTCGACTTTGTTTTTCCTTTGGATAGTAGTCTCGCTAGCAACTTCGTTCCAGAACCATCTTGCTTCTGGGTTCGTAAATAGTGTCCAAGCCTTACCCGTCTTCCCAGCTCGGGCTGTGCGGCCTACTCTGTGGACATACGAAGCTATGCTCGACGGCATATCGTAGTTAATGACGTGATCTAGAGAGGGGAGATCGATACCACGGGCAACAAGGTCAGACGCCCCAAGAATTCTTAACTTTCCGGCTAAGAATGACCGGATTGTACGTCTTCGAGTCGCATATTGTGTCGTTGAGGTAAGAGTACCAGCAAGGGAGCCTAAAGATGGCGAAAGTAAGGACAAAAGACGCGAGAGACGTAGAGCTGTCTCGTTGGATTTGGTGAAAATTAGAACGCTAGGCGTATTGCCATCGGGAGGTGTAACCCTGGGTGGCTTGAATGACGTCTCTAAACCGGAATCTGCATCTGACTCTGACTCCGAGTCCGAACCTGAGGACGAAGTGTCGTCATCCGATGGGTCTTGCTTGGACTCGTTGGTGCCGATCTGTCCTAATATGTAATTGCTTTGAAGCAAGTCAACAAGGAAGAGTGGCTTGAGATTTGGATCGCTGACTTTGAGCGCAGCTTCTTCGAGCAATTCGGGGAGTACAAGTTCGGCTTGGCTGATAGCAACCTCCGCCTCATTGGCGATTCCCGACCCCTCAAGCATGACTAATTTCGGCCAACGGAGTTTTAATCCTTCTAAACGATCGAGATCTCTCGTCATTGTGGCGCTTAGGACGATCTTCCTAACACCCGACAGATTTGACTGCTTGTGATTTCGGGAATTATTTTCATTTGACTGTAATCGTGGGATAACCACTTCCAACCACTGTTGGAAATTCTGGCCAAGCAATTTATCAGCTTCGTCGACAACAAGCCATCGAACAAAGTCTAGCGAAAAGCCAGGAGTGTATTTTATATGTTCAACAAGTCTTCCAGGCGTAGAGATCAAAATATCAACTTTAGAGTGATACGTAATTACGTGATCTGGTAATGTTTGGATTTTGTCCTCTCTTTTCCGAATCCCCGCTCTTTCTTCATCCTCAGTGTTGTATCCCCCATCGCTCTCTTCGTCAATATTAGACGCAAGTCTTCTATTTCGTTTAGCATATGCTTCAGGGTCGTATTTTTCTTCCCTCTCTATAAAAGCTGCTTGTTCTTGCTCAATGGACTGGCTACCCATTGCGATACCGACACGAACCCTTTTCTTCGAACCATTTAGAGAAAAGGCACCAGCGCATTGTTCGAAAACCTGCTGAACTTGCCGAACAAGTTCTCGAGTTGGAAGAACAATCACCGCACGCAATCTTGTTAAATGACGATTTCCTTGACTCAGGTCTCGCACCACGGGTAGCGCATAAGCTAATGTCTTTCCTGAGCCTGTCGCAGCAGACACTAGAACGTCGCCGTGCATCGTTTTGTCATGATGAGGGAGGAGGAGGGGTATCACTGCCGTTTGAATAGCAAATGCTTGTTTGTATCCACTTGTAGCTAATTTCTCGGCGGCCTCGGGAGAAATCCCTAGTTCTAGAGAAAGCCCAAATTCCGTAAAAGGCGCGGTAGCCTGCGGAGAAACACGGATTGGCTTTGCCAACCAAGGAGGTAGCGTATCATAAGCTGGTTTTGTCGCATCAGGAATGACTGGCTTGGGTTGAGGCAGCGGTTGAAGTCCATGAACTTCCGGTACATCTGCATTTACATCCACATCCATAGCATCATCGGTCTTCGTTTCTGCGCCGTCGGGCGCATCTTGCATGCCGATATCCTTTTGTAGATCCGCATCCGGTTGTGACTCTGGTGCTCGAATTGACTTGGCGGCCTTTTCTAGTACTGAACGATGCCGCACTGGGGTTTTATCCTCGACTTCTTCTAACGCTTGATCATCGCTGCTCTTTTTTATTTTTTTCTTGTTCTTTTTATCCTTTTTTATTTTTCCATTCGTCTCCGATGGCGTCTCTAGAGTTGTGTCTCGCGCGATTTCCTGATCTGCCGTGCCCGATTGCGGGGGAGCTTCGTCAGAATCAACACTATCCCGATCGGTTTGTCGCATGACGGGATCGTTATTGTCTAACCCGTCTACGGCTCCTTCGCTAGGCTGTGCTTCATTTTTCGACCTTTTGGGCTTTTTGGATTTCTTTTTGGACTCTTTAGGTGCGTTTTCTTCTTCTTCTTCTTCTTCTTCTATTCTAACCTTCTTAGCTGGCGGCTCATCAATCGCATTCCCTTCTTCAAAGTGGACATGTTGGGTGGTAGTTTGGTGGCTACTGGTCGGCTTCGGAGGCGGGATGTATCTGGCATATGCGGTAGGTTGCGACTTTACTGACGTTATGGAAGGAGTTTCGATGGCTGGCCGTGGCGATTCCGGAATTGGAGTCGTCGCTTTCGGCGGGGGTACGTATCGCGCATACATTTTCGTTATATGTCGCGATGCGCCTTGTTAAACTCAATGGGGAAGAGTTTGAATTCGAGCGTAAGAAATAAGAAGCTTAAAGCTACCTCGGCGGGATTTCTATAATTCTGCCGTAGCACAAAATTTGACCGCCTTCCCTATTGGATGGAATTATCTCTTATCAGATCTGTTATCGATATCAACCCTGTTTACGTAGCTCTTAGCGACGGTAAGGGCACTGACTTTTAACAATAACAACATCAAATGCGACAACATGAATTGGGATGTTTTACCCAATCCAATGCACTCGACATTCATCTATATTTCTATAGATGTACTAGAGTAGGAAATGGGCCCAGATCAACCAATAATATTATCACAAAGTCAATTCGCGATAGCCTCCTATAGCTCGACAAATGCAATACCCTGAATAGATTTCGAGTGAGAACGACGACTATTCGTTGATCGGCCACTTATTGCAAAAACTATTTTCAATTCTCGAATATGACTCGAAATCCCTCACAACATCTCGCCGTAAATTATCATCCGCCACGATGTCACACAGAACATATAACATCGCTATGGTTAGCGATTTCTTCTTCCCGCAGCCAGGAGGAGTTGAAAGCCACATTTACCAACTTGCAACCAAGTTAATCGACCGAGGGCATAAAGTTATTGTAATTACACATGCCTATGATGACCGAAAAGGGATTCGATACTTGACCAACGGCATTAAGGTCTTTCACGTACCCTTCGCCATTATCTATCGTTCCACTACATTTCCAACCGTGTTTTCGTTCTTCCCTCTCTTCCGGAATATTATGATTCGAGAACAGATCGAAATTGTCCATGGCCATGCCAGTTTAAGTAGTCTCTGTCAGGAGGCTATGCTACACGGCAGGACAATGGGATTGCGCACTGTCTTTACAGATCATTCATTATTCGGATTCGCTGATGCAGCGAGTATCTTGACTAATAAGTTGTTGAAATTTACTCTTAGCGATGTCGACCACGTCATCTGTGTCAGTAATACATGGTGAGTTATATCCTTCTTTCAAAGGGAATACCTAAGCTCATGTATACAAAAGCAAGGAAAATACAGTTCTGCGAGCGGCGTTAGATCCTCTTATGGTCTCCGTCATTCCCAATGCACTCGTCTCCGAGCATTTTAGACCGCTCCCTCGCCCGGATCCGAGCACCATGACATACGTTCAGCACCCGCTACCAGCACACCCTCTCGGCCCGAACGATACTCTCGTCATCGTGGTCGTTAGTCGTCTCTTTTATAATAAGGGAACCGATTTATTAACCGCTGCCATACCTCGAATTCTCGAAAATCACCCTAATACCCGATTTATAATTGGTGGATCGGGACCAAAGGCTATTGAACTAGAACAGATGATTGAACAAAACGTATTGCAGGACAAAGTGGAGATGCTAGGATCTGTGCGACACGAGAATGTGCGGGACGTGATGGTGCGGGGACACATTTACCTGCATCCTAGTTTGACCGAAGCCTTCGGAACCGTTATTGTCGAAGCGGCCAGTTGCGGACTATACGTAGTATGTACAGCAGTAGGCGGCATTCCGGAAGTCCTCCCGTCGCATATGACTGTGTTCGCGAAGCCCGAAGAAGACGACTTAGTCGCAGCGACGGGACGAGCGATCGCTGCACTGCGCGCTAATAAAATCCGCACAGAGAAATTCCACGAGCAGGTTAAGACTATGTACTCTTGGACTAACGTGGCGAAGCGCACCGAGCGCGTATACCGCGGCATCTCGGGCGATATCAGCGAAGCCGAGTTTTACGGCTTCGACGTTAATAACGATCCACATTGGCATGCGACTCGGGGTCGCAACTTCGCGCTCATCGATCGCCTCAAACGCTACTACGGATGCGGTGTCTGGGCTGGAAAGTTGTTCTGTCTTTGTGTTATTATCGATTATTTATTATATGTGTTTTGTGAATGGTTCTGGCCCCGCGATAGCATTGATATCGCAAGGGATTGGCCACGCAAGAAGTTTCACGACGACGATGATGACTAATTTTGGTTATGAAGGATTATAGAAAATACTTAGAGCTGGATGGTGTCATGATGGGGCTTGTACGAATTCTTATACCACGGATGGGCGGCAGGCCATTGCATATCAGCGACTTCGAATCTTTTCGCCATTAAAAAGGGTGTTGGCTAAGGCCAAATATGGGGTTATCATTACGATGTAAACATTATTCTAGGTGTGTTCAGCTGCCCACCTGCTGCGACTCCGATATAGACTCTCCGCGGCTTCTGCTCATCCGCATGAAGCCGCTAGCCACCCTCGCAGAATCGTGCCGCCATATATGCTACCCCCAGCCTACCCTCTACCCCACGAAAAGTCTAGACATCTACGTGTGTAGGTGGTGGAAATCCCGCGGCGAGTTGGAAGAATGAGCAGTCGAATCTCAAAGCTTATGGGATGTTGTTCAACCTGTTATAGCGAGACATTTCGTCTGTCCGGGGCGATTTAGATGTAGATTGACGCATTATCAGGCGCTTATATCCATAATCAAATGAGCCAGACAACAGGAGCGAGGAGTAAGACACCAGAGACCGCCGTCAACCAAGAAATGGGGACTCGGGTTGAAGCAGCACTCGGAATTTCTGTAGGTCCGGCGTTACCCGTTGTAGAAGCGGGTGCCGACCCGGCACCGGTCGTGGTACTGGGGACATTTGTTGGGGTCCCCGTCGCGCTCGCAGTCCTTGTCGCAGTCTCAGTGTATCCGGAGATACTCGCACCATTCCCATCTATATCGCCACGATAATCGCCCGTCGCATTCTGGATCTTGAAGTTTACGTTCGCGCGCTCAAAATTATAATCCACCTTACTCGTCGCATTGGACCACACACGTGCCAATTGCCATAAGATGGGCCAGTCCTTATCGTCCAGGAAATCCATAAGCGCGGGGGTCTGTCGCCACACGTGCATTGTCGCGTTGCGCACCTCACCGCCCTCGATAGCGTATAGATGGTCGATGGTATGGGACTCGTATAACTCGCCGCTGAGCGTGCCGTTCTCTTTGGCGATGAGGTTGGTTTTTATCCACGGGAAGGCGTAGATCACGTCGTTGATCGAATCGTACTCCGGTATGCGTGATATCTCGAGGAACGAGATGTACCGGTCATCCGTGTTGCCTTGTTCAGAGAGCGCGACCTCGGGGATTTTTAAGGCGATTTCGTCGGGCTTGAGGATATCTTTCGGTGGTTCGCTGGTGGAGAGTTTCAAGCCTGAGGCATACGTTGCTGTGAAGTCGAAGTCGTGGCCTTGAATGGACTCGTCAACCCATGCGTTGACGTGTTGGATGGCTAATACGGCCGCGACGAAAGCGCTACGGGTGAACATCTTGGAATACACTTATTTGTTCGAATCGCGACGCGCTTATTGAATTACCTACGGATAGCTTCGAGTACAATATTATATCATCATTATTCCACCTGCGCGGCACCTCCAGATATATAGTAGCGAAACCCATGCGACAATTTCGTGAGTCATCCCGTCGCTAACTACATTCTTTCTACATCGTTGCATCCAGAGTGGATGGCGCGCTTCTCCTCGAGTAAAATCAATCGGACAAGAAAATCTACGACGGCGCAGCATTATTTTACGAGATGAGAGATCGGTCCTATCCGGTAAGGCTCATTGCCAAGCACGCCGTTCTAGATTGCTCGGCCTATAGCAATTAGCTAGGCCAACCTGAATAGGCAACACATGGTATGATACGCATTTCGCCCAGCGCTAGAATGGGATGGTCCAGCGGGAATGACAGGGCTAGTAGGGCGAGCCGAGGCGTGGGATCTAGACGACGTTTATCAGTCATGATCATGATTAAGGGGTCGCGTGCCGGTAAGACATCTTATCTAATGAGTCGACGTCCTCACATTTTATAAATATTTATATTTTATGAACACCCTTAATATTCTCGTTTAATGGTAATTAAAACTAGTGTCGAATAATTATGGAAGTAGCTACTTTGACAGCTTAAACACTAATTAAAGATGAAAGTTAAGCAGCATCGACACTTCCTACGAATACACCCAAAAAGCTAGTAGAATATCACAAGATAGAGTTTTAATATGCACACTTTCGTCAACACATAAAAGTGAAAAGCAAAATTCGAACGTAGAACTGACAAAGACCGTTTCAACAATTAATACTTCTTAAATCTTCATATTAAAACTTCTTGTTGCAATCCCTTCCCTTATTATACTCGAGCAATCCATCAAGAAATAATATTATGAGAAAACATGGTGTTGGTTCTCCCCTACATGTTCAATGACGATAACACCCACAATAAATGTAAATCAGTCATTTTTCACCCACAAAAATGCCATTAATAATGACAAATCTGAGACAAAGACACCACTTTAAAAGACTCGAAAATTTCCTATATTGCTGCAATCGAGTTCACTTCACAATCTGAAGGACATCCCGCCGTTTTCTACAGACATCCGCAATATAGGTCGCACCAACAACCGACAATGACAATTCGGCGTCATTTACTTCTAAGGCAACGCCTCAATAACGGTATGTCCAGCATTCAAAAGAAGACTTTGATGCCACAATCATTTGATGAGTAATTACGCTTTATTTTCAAAAAGCGCTCCTGCGCGATGATCCTACTTTTTACCTCATATCTGACTGATAAACCTCATAACCCATGCTGAGAAAACATGTTATATCACTAGCTAATCAACGCCATAGATATCTAGATGCACGACGTATATGGTGAGTTTATTTTCTTTCCCGCTACTGTTGGTATTTCCTATGACGAGCAATATTTTACATTTACATGACAGGAGGAATACATATTCCCCTGACGCGATCCTACCATGATTTTTTGCTGATGTACCTGAGGAGATTCCGTCTTGCATCCTTGATTTGCGACTTGTAAATATGGGTGTTTATATGCTAACAAATGCTCATATAGTCACGCCGACCTGGGCGCACTCGCCCCATTTTTGATGGTGAAAAATTGGCTCATAGCCATGGAAACCCAGTGCACATACTAAATCTACCAATATCAATTCCATGTCTCGTGATGCTATGAGGCCATACTCAAATACGCGGTTTGTCATAAAACCACCAGTTTATGTGATGAGTTGGTAATATTCTGGAGGGCCAAGCTTACCTAAGCGTCACCCGGTGGTTTCTGAAAACGGTTGTTGAAGGGTAAAATCGTCGTTGCCAGAATAATGGTTATTTTTGAAGAATCGACAGCCAATCAAAAGCCAGGATTTTATGAATTTCCTAAAATAGATATTGTTGATATTATCGTGAGTTGTGTAACCATATAATTTCCAAAATTTCTTATAAAAGGGTCTTTTTTTTAAAAAAAAAAAATCTTTCTTCCTCCTCTTCCTCTTCTTTCTTTATCATTATTCTAATAAAAAAGAATGATTAAAATCCTTTAGGTAATCCAGGTCAAGTATATTAATCTCTTAATTTCTTTCACTTAAGCTTTCTTAAGCAAATCTTTTAATCTTTATAATATAGTACCCTAGTAAATAAAAGCTATAATTGTCGTCATCGTCGTAGTTATCGTAGTTGTCATAGTTATACATGTACCTATATATGTAATCGTAGCTATAACGTAATCTGCTATACCTACATACCTATTTACAATCATTTTTCTTATGACAACCGTTGTGTCGGATTATATATCAAATCTGATTCAAACCGTTATTATATAAAAAACCATTGTTCTTGAAAATAACCGTTATCTCTTGACAGCGGGCGGCATTTAGGTATGGTTACACGATGCGAGTTCAACCAACACGCATCAGGTGTACGAATCGCGACACGGAACTCCGCTCTACCGCACCCAAAATTCAGGATAATTCATGTTGGATTCTCAATTCGTGCTAGTACTCAGTGTCTGACACTACCTAGGTAGAATTGAGCATTCCTTCCTTATATGAAGGAAACCTGACCGAAGAAAGGCGTCATGTGGAAGTTTGACTCGTTCGTCGGGTTCCACGCGCCAAGTAGTTGGTCAGGATAAGTCTCCGGCGACACAACCGTTCGGAAGAAATTCATCCTCCATTCCGTCCCCGCCGCTTGTCCATCATCGACGTTGAAAAGCCCCAGTGGGATGGTGGCTGACGATACCCACGTCTGCGCCGTTTTATCTAGGGTCGTCTCAGTTGTCAGGCCATCGACCAGGGGCTGAGTAAGAAAGGAGGTGTCCAACGGCGCACTGGCGGCGCGCACTTTGGATTTGTTGTAAATCCAAGCCTGGAATGTGACATTATTTGGGCTCACTTCGAATTCCAGATAGGTTTGCGGATCATTTGTTCCGCGGTAGAGGAAGCCCTCCATGACTTCGTACTCCCAAATGGCGTCGTTAGTCGTCTGGCTGGCGTTGAAGTAATAATTCGTCTCCTCGAACGCCGTAAATGTGATGTGGATCGAAGTATCGTCGTAACACACGTCGACTTGAGTTTTTGGGAAGTCAGCTTTGTCAGGAACTGACTTGTTGTACTCGACGGTGCCCTTCCCAGCCGAGCATGCCGGCGCCTCCAATGTCGGCACGCTGGCGCTTACTGCGCCAGCCACTGCGCCAGCCACTGTAAGTAGAGATCCCAAAAGCACCTTCATATTGGCACAACTTATTTTAACGAGTGTCGTGTAAAAATAGAACGACCTTAAAGAAGAAAAGAGGTTGAAGAAACCGGGAAATATAAACGAGAGCCTCAACTGGGAAAACATACGGTATTTACTTTTCCCAAGGTGAAGGATACCCCCCGGCGCATGACCCCGGCGCGTGCAGACATGGATAGCTGGTGACCTTTAGGTAATTTCCCATATAGGCATAAATGGGAAATCCTTCGGATCTTTTTTCTATACCAAAAAAACGTTGTACCAACTGTGTAACGTAGTAGAACTAAGTAAACGAGACCGAAAATCAGGTAAACGATGGGGTTCTGGCCCGGCCGAAATACGTTCACCCCCATGGGGGCCTCCTTGGCGTGTTCCTCACCATAATTGGTTGGATATCTGTCATTGCAACTCTGGCGTCCCTGTTCTACGGGCCGAGATGATGATCTGAGGACAGGGTAGCTCGACCTAGGTATCTACTAATTAGCTCCCTATTACGGTGAAGACCGTCACAGAATGGATGATGCGATGGTTGGTTTTCATACGAGATATCACTACCTACTGTAAAGGGAGATAAAAGTCAACTATCTTCGAGCGACGTTCATTTCGCGCTCTGTTCAATTGAGTCGCTCAATCCACTTCTTTTGCATGGTCGGTCTTCCATAAGTGGTTTGTTACAGCGACACTCACATCACCTACTCTCTAGGTAGGTCCCTGTACTTAGGTTCCAGATCAAACTCACGATATCCAACATGATCCTCATATTGAAGAGCCTAGTATCAATTTTAAAAATTTTAATTATGTATAACAAATCGGCTTATTACGCTAAATTATAATGAGTTGGTATAGAAGACAAACATCTCGACGCAAACGCTATGTCTCAGAAAAATGAATCAACAATCAATCAATCATACCAAGGTGCGCACACCGAATAGCCTCCACCTCAGCAATCATCAAATCTTAAGCAATGCCTCATACTCAATGATGTGGTCCTTATATCCCTCAAAAGCAATCTTCAACATCGCTTTAGCTAGGTGATCGACCGGAATGGACCCCATGGTATGTACCATGAGCCCGTTTACCAAAGTCGGGTACTTCTTGGTGATTACGCTGGGTCGCACAGCCCAAACTTCGAATCTGTCCTTATTGGCGTCTGCGACATCGCAAAGCTCTTTCTCGACGAGTCCCTAATATCCACATTGTTAGACTTATAGTCAAGATAGATAAGAGTGTAGCATGTTGTTTTACCTTGATTCTTCTGGTATCCTTGAAGAAGCTTAAGTTCTTGTCCTGGTCCCATTCTGCCCATTTTCCGCTGCAGAACACGAAGCGGAACTTCTTGGACTCCGGGAGTTGGGGCGCTAGTACTTCCACGAAGGCTTTCGCGGCTGCGACGGTGAAGTCTACTGATACTTTCTTGGCCGTCTCCACGTCTGGGAATTGGTATGCACGACCACCAAGGGACCTGTATAATTTGTTAGATCTTAGGTGTATATTCATGAGGAAGTGGTAGCGCACTTACCAGAAACATGCTTCAGCACCTGCGAGTTGTGCCAATAGTTCAGGTGGGTAGACTAAAAAGTCTTGGTGTTGAATTGCAGTGACTTTTTCGCTCTTGGTGAGGTCCTCGGGGAGAGATTTGCGGGTGAGCGCAAATATTTGGGTGATTTTCTCATCAGCGATTGCTTGTCGAATGACTTCACCCCCGACAAATCCGGAACCGCCAGCAACAATGACTTTCATTTTGAAGATGTGTTTTTATCTGTGGTTTCTGTAGAATTGATGATATAATGTGTATAAAGAGTTTAAGATGGATTGAAGTTGTAGTTATTATATAATTGTCTGTCTTGTTGGTGGAGATAGATGAGATGGGGGAAGATGGGGGGTTAGTTATTATATCCAAATTGTTACAGGCCTAAAAACTACCTGAAAACGTGAAATGTTAACTGCCTATTTGATTGCTAAGCGTAAAAACATATACGATAGCCTTTACGATACTTGTCGTCGTAAGTCTTTTCTAATTTATTCCAAGGTAATACTTTTAAATTCTTAAAATCGTTCAGCTCATTAGCTAATTTGTTAGGCATCAGTAATTAGATTATAGAAAGTATACCTAGATACTTTAGCATCAATCGTATAATCCTCCTCCCATTTCTAATATTTATAAGCCATGACGTGGTGGTGGTTCAGCGCCTCGAAATAGGTTACCTTAAGTGGGATACTGTAGGTGTTGTAGGTGGGGTTAAGATCCTATCTGAGCAGCCTAAGGCAACCTATAATTCAGCCCTAGAGATCCTGGTTAGATTTATCGCTCAAATAGGTAAATGACGGCTAAATATGACCTAAAATGTAGTTAGCGCAACGCTATAAAAGGCACTGTAAACAATTTTATTCGCTATAGTTATGCGCCGTCCGCCGTTGTATATTACAAACATCGTCAGCACCTTAACTCTTGTATACGCTAGGTGCATTCCCGAGTTCATCCTTATACACAACCCCGTCTTTCATCACAACTCTGATTTTTCTCAATGCCCCGATATCTTTAGTAGGATCACCTTCAACAGCAATAATATCCGCCACAAATCCCTGATCTAGCACTCCAAACCTCCTTCCACATAAATCTCCTCCACAGACCTCCCAACCATGTAGCGTGGCCGCCTGTAAAACTTCTGGTACAGGTATCCCAGCTTTAGCTAGCAGCTCCAATTCCAGCACATTCTCACCATGCGCAAGAGCCCCCGTATCACCTCCAGCAGCGAGTTTAATACCTTTATCATACGCGGCCTTCACATGATGAAGAATAGTCTTTACAATTTCCTCACCCCATACCACATGATAGACCGATAAAGTCGGCACAAATATCGTGCCGTTATCCTTCAACGCCTGCAATGCCTCGTCACTCGGGATAAATCCATGCTCCACGCTCGTGACACCTGCCTTCGCCGCCATGATGACAGCTTCGGGGCTTTGCGCATGCGCGGCAATCGGGGCGCCGGATCGCTTCGCCTCAGCTACCATCTCATTCATCTCATCCTGAGTAAACAGTATCACATTCGGGCTTCGCTGTCCAGTAAACGCATCATCGGGTGGCGGAAAACAAACATCCTTCGCCCCTTTCCACGCCGGCTGCGGGAATCTTAATGCCCTCTTGCGATAATCCGCATAGAATTTAATCACATCCGCGCCGGCCCCTATGCGTCTGCGTACCGCAGCCCTCACGCCCTCGACGCCATCCGCGGGGTCCGAGATGCGGGGCGCTGTAGTACCTATCCCGGCGAGTCCATTTTCTTGGCGGATTTCATACCCGCCACTGGACGCGATGCACTCCGTTGCGACGAACATTCTTGGGCCGGGGATAATACCGCGGTTGATGGTATCTCTAAAGTTGGCATCCGCATCACGGAGACCCTCCGTGCCTAGGTCCCGATAGGTAGTGTACCCCGCATCCAAAGCGGCGCGCGCATGGTTCGTAGCACGCACAATACGTTCGACGAAACTCTCGTCTCGCATTTGGTTTATGGATGAGACGTCTTCGTATGAATGTAAGAATATGTGGGTATGTGCATCGACGAATCCCGGTAGGACGGTAAGGCCCCGGAGGTCGATTACATTGGGGCCTGATACGTTGTGAGTTGGTAGGGAGTTGTTGTCTCTTCGTTTTACGTTGGTGATTAGCCCGGTTTTTGTGTCAATTATGATGGTGAAATCTGAATGGAAGCGCTTGTTCTTGGAGTCAAAGAGAGATGATGTATGGATTGTGAGCTCATGGTTGGCAGTAGGTTCTGACATGATTTCTTTGCGCATTGTGATGTTAGTAGATTCGTCGCTTTATTGGCAACCTTGGAAGATGAAGGAGTTTGGAGGATTAGAACGAAAGTTTACATGTTGAAGATGAGTTTAATATTCCAAGTAAACAACGTAACTTTGACATTAGCTCCACTATCCCCTCGGGGTATTGCCTGAATAGGAAGAATGATTATAGGTACTCTATACCAATAGTAAGCATGAGCACTTACCCTTTTTAGATAGGTATTCTCACGACGCCGTCGTATGTAGAAGTTGAGACTGTTCAACAGTATGAAACGCTCATATTTGATGTGAGTGGCCGATGACCTGCGGGGAGATCCGGAGCTCGGAGTAAATTTTCTGAGCCTCTACGCAACCTACATATGTAAGTAGCCTAAGGAGGTAACGAGTGGCTGTATTTGGGTTACTCAAGGTGCCTTCAGCTGGGATATGACACGCCGATATGTACGCAAGTACCTGTTTTCTCATTGTATAGTATCCCGGTTACGATGTAGGCAAGTTCGCAAGGTAATGTAGGCCTTGTTAGATATTGAGAGGTTCCGTTAACGAACGAAAATGTCGATTATAAAAAATCGATCTAACACACCATCAAGCGCCTCAATTCAACCCAGATACGTTTACGCCAACCAGCATTTTCTACCACGACGTGTTGGTGCCCGGGCCATAGGTCCATATTCCGTAAGCCGAAGGAGCTGATTCTACTCCGTGTTGAAATGAATAAGAATTTTAATCTCACTTGAGCTTTTTCTGCTGGTTCTTAAAATCGAGAACCTTTATCATCTCTTCCATGCGGAATGTACGCCAGCACATAGCATCAACAATCCACTCGCCTACACATGTCCCAAACCACACAAGACCTGCTAGGCCGCCATACCAAAACCAATCTGGACGTCCAAAAAAGCGTCGTATGATCGCTGGTCGCTCGGGACGGAGCGAATCCTGGACCAGCTTCTTCGCGAACACTTCCGTAGGTACCGTAGAAGCATTTTGGCTGAAGACCAGTCTCCATTGGAAGATATCACTGGCACGCTTGTAAAGACTGTTCTCTGGTAATACTCGATGCGCTTGACTCGCTGTGTTGCTTTTGACTGTGCCCGTCATTGAAACCATCACGCGAACATCAAACGGCGCGAGTTCGAACCGTAAAGTACGGGAATAAGCAACCACGGCAGCCTTACTTGCGCAATAGACAGATCCAAAGAGGTAAGGTGTCACGGATGAAAGAGACGAGATGTTAATGATCAAGCCCTTGGCGGCGATAAGTAGGTCTACGAAGGCCTGGACCATGGCCATGATCGAGAACACGTTCGTCTCAAAGGTCTGACGGACATCTGGGAGCGAAATGTCCGTTGCGGGATGAGTATGCGTGCGACCCCTGCGATATCCATATTATAAGCCTTCTCGGATTTAACATAAGAGAAACAAAGACCGAAGCCTTATGTAATGAGTAGGTAGGTGGGTACTAACGCATTGTTCACGAGAATATCCAACTTTCCGTTGGTCAACTCTTCAACTTCCCCATGGCACTTTTTGATACTCTCGGCGTCGGTAACGTCCAATGCGAGAGTACTCATGCCCAGAGCTGCAAGCTCGGACAAGACCTCGATTCTTCGTGCAGTAGCGATGACATGAAGACCTATTACTATGTCAATCCCGCGCCACCTCACAAGATGGGGAAGGCGTTATCTACCTCGTCGGTGATATTCCAGGCATAGACCATGCCCTATGCCCCCTGGCGTGCAGCTACATAAGTACATTGGTCAACAAACTATGCGGCAAATGCATTTTCTAGGGTTAGTTCGCTTATTTACTCACCCAGTTATAAGCACTGTCTTCTGTCCTGGCTTTGGTCCGGTCATTTCGACGATCGTTACATGGAGACTTCGATTGATTGATGTCTGTGGCTGCGATTTCAAACCGGGAGGTATGCACTCGATCGACGAAGAGATTCGCTAGGTACCGAGGTACTTATTGTAACCCCCCACGCTGGCCTTTCGTATTAGCATATCCCCGATTACTTCATTGCTACATGTAAGTATCTAGGTACCGAATCTCGTGAAAAAGAGCACTCTTTGGAGGTATACAGCATGGTGGTGAAGAATAAATTTGAGGTTAATCTTATAGTAAGTAACATAGAATTTAAGAGTTACAGTGAGATGCCTTCCCCGAGGGCACCAGGTACCTAAACATTATGTCTATGGAAGCGGCAGGCAGCTGGGACCAGAGCTAAAAGAGTTTGAGTTTGTATGAAAACACAGAAGGAGCTGTGCAGATAGCTTCGTTAATAAAGGTAGGTGTTGCCTAACTTGAAAATTGCCTAGCATATCTTCGTATGTATTGATACAACGATTAGGTATAATTTCAACAATCTTGTTCATAAACGTTGAAGTTGTTAGATCATGTTCTCACGAAGATATAACGTCGGACTAGAGCGTACCTCTATCTCTCATCAAGCAAAGTAATCAGAGAATATTACACAGTAAAGAACATAACTTCAAATCAAACCCCTTATCTTTCTATCACCATATTAATTTTTTGTTGGAAAATACAAAGGCCCCCTAGATTCTATATTATCAATATGGCCCAAAACAAACAGTTGCAAACGCTTAAGCTATTCTACCACCCCTTCAACGCCGGTGAGGACTATAAGGGCCGCCGATTCGACACCATTCTCGGTTGGTCGGATGACGAGCTAGAGAAGACGCACGACTACATCCAATGGTTATTCCCACTGGCGGAGGAATCTCGCGCGGTCAAGAACTCCCCTGTTGTCGATGTAGATACAATCCGGTGGTTTCGGCAATCCGGGACCGTACCGAACATGATACTCGCTCTCAAGCGGATGCTATGGTTCTACGGCTTCGAGATCAGATGGAGCGAAGACACGACAGAAGTCGAAGTCGAAGTCGAACCAAAGATCAAGATCGAGCCGAAAGAGGCATTTACGAATGGAACGGGTCGCAAGATCTTCCACCGATGGCTTAAGCCTCATGACCATAACCACGCCCGCATCACGCGTATCCTTAGATCTCTTCGGCTTTTTGGATTCTATGCCGAGGCCCTAGCTGTAAACCAGGCATTCCAAACTTACGCACAGACATACCCGGGTGTGGCTAAAGCGGTGGTAAATAAGGCAAGTCGTGACATCTGGGAACAGGTTGCCACATATGCATTATCCGCATGGGGACATAATGGGCTGAAAGAATTTGACCTAGAGGACGGATTCACTTTTACGCAATAGAGGATCCGCGCCGAGAACGAAGGGTCGGGATGTAACGATGTTTCTAAATGATCATATTTTAGGTATGCTCCTCAACAAGAGTACATAGTTACTTTTGTAGCGTAGAGATATTAACCTTAGGCACCCTGAATAATAATCAACGAAAAAATACTTTTGTCGCATCATAAAGACCATTGAAGAAAATGTGTTTGTGTAAAACAAATTTGTGCTAAATGATTATGTCTTTTAAGGATATGTTTTATGCATCAAAGAGACTGTTTAACTTTCTAAAGATTTGTATGGCTCAAAGGGGGTTAGATATTTACGTGGTGTATCAAAATTAGTGGTCACGTAAAACTCAGGAAAAACATCATTTTCGGATCTATGGGTAACCTAAAGACCCTTCAATCGTCTCGATACTCGGACCTTGTGATATCCCTTGTCTTTCAATAGTCCATTATAGTTGCCGTTTGACAATGTTACTTGTTGTTTCCCACCGCCGGTAGACATGCAACAGGCTCGCCAAATATTCAACTTCATTGGTAACTAAGATTGCTGTAGGCATTCTATAGGATCACGGGTCATGTAGGCTCTTTCTGACCACCCTTCATGGTGGAGATGTTAATGGGATCAGCATATCGTATTCACAGCCTTACTTAATGCTCATCGACGAAGTACAATCGTTTACCCAGCCCCCGCTACGTCGAAGTAGTTTTCGAGATGTCCGAATGAAGACCCTGACAAGCGGGTGTTGATGCCATTCTAGGTATTTAAGATGTGTGGGCTGCGCTTTCTATCCTACTGTTGAGAGCTCAACAGTACGCATAGGGCTTTCGCATACTAAATTTGCTCATATACTGATGCTTGCGGCTCAAAGAGAACGAAATTCCTTTATTTTCCCGCCTCGCGCGCTTGTGTATTAATCGCTCAATGGCCTCTTTTGGACAGCTTATCAACGCGTTCCTGAAAGCCTCGCAAGAAACAGCCGTCGGATTCGCGAATCACAACTTTGACTTTGCCATTGTTAAATACGGTGCTCCTCATAAACATTTGGGCTTAAGCGATGCATTATCAAAGCGTCTTAAAGATTATGCTGAGGATGGACCTCTCCATATTACCGCACGAAAGTTGGGAGCACTCTTTCAGTGTGTTATACCTGACGTCCCCAGCTTAGTTCAAGCATATGGATCGCGGGCGAGTGAAATCGCTGAACTGCCTGAAGTCAATCCCAAAGCCAGCGCAAGCCATGGAGCTTTCACAGAACACGGGCCGCCGATGGCGCGACGATATGTGCCGCAGCAACATCGGGGAAAGAGACAGCTGCAATGAACTTTCTGGCTCCTCCAGTATAATGGCATCACCATTCCACTGGCTCGACGTGTTCGGGCGCAGAGAAAATATTTACAATGATGATGAAGCCTTAAATGTGTTCGAAAGATTCCCACCCGGGGCCAATGAGCAGCCTACCCCACATACATTCATATACGGTGACCTTGAGACCTGCGCTGTTTATCTCCCTGGGAGGAGAGAGGCCGCTGAATCGCATGGCAATTTCCCATCTGGCTCGGTGTATAGAAGGAGACTTCCCAATGAATCTTATTAAGGTCACACTTCAAGAAGTATGCAAAAACCCTATCCATAATGAATATTTCAATTCATTGGACGCAATCGGTGTAGCAGGGAGGATCTATTCTAAGCTTCGCGTACTAGAGTTTATCTCGAGGTAACATCAAGGCCACTCATCGAATCATGTTGGTGGAAGGAGTTCCAGTCAGAGAAGCCTCGTATCTTGCGAGCCATTTTCAGCTGTGTTTCTCATTTAGAGACGGGTGCTAAGGATGTAGATCCTAACGATATTGGGGACCAGACATTCGCCGTTTGCCACGGGACATCCATCTTTGTCCCCGAGAGCTTACTTAAAGATCCCTTGGAATCAAGCTCGGAGATTCCCGTAGAGCGCATGGCTGGCAACGTTGGCAAGCCGGGTTTGTCTTTCTTGATTTCATCCCCTGGCCCGAAGATCAGGAAAGTGAATCACTCAACTTGGCACATGATTTCTCACGAGCCCTTCGACGGAGTGGCCCAAGACAGCTTTCGGGAGACTACCTTCCACCTCTCATTCACCGGGTACGAACATGCGATCCATTTAGGGAACTGCGGTGGTCGTGATGTGCCTGCATCCTTCTTAGAAACGGCCGTCTCGGTTTACGACCGAAGGGAATGGGTCCATGATCTCGATATCTTAGGGTCGTCAACACAATGGATCAAACTTCCAGATCCCCAGCGCGAGCATTCGGACGAACAAAAGACAAACCAAATTTTCATAAGACGCTTGGTTTCTGTGGACCCCTGGATGGAACTACTTGATCCTCCACTTAAAGCCTCCATGGTACGCGCACATGGGAACCTAGTTGCCAGGCTTCCGGTAGCTGGGCTCGCTGTTCGTCAATCCGATCGGGTCTTTATCCTTAATTCGAGTCCTTGTTGGGAATGTCAATTGAAGGCAATATCACGTTACGGGCCTAAACGTCCCAAGTCCCGTATTCCCCTATCACCCTAGTCACCCCGAGCTAGCCAGTCTGAGGATGAACAATATGGAGATGATTTTTGGGATGTTGAAGAGGAAGATACATATGCTTTTAATATACGAAGTTTGGAAGAGGATGAACTGATCCTCCGGTGGAAGCGGAAGAAGTTGGGGAAAACGATGTGCGACCGGGAACTTTCATCATCTATTGATGTTTCGTTATTAGTACCTACCTAGGTACCTAGGTAGATGATTATGATGTGGCTTTCTTTAATGTAATGAAGCTGACGAACTCCGAATTTCTTCTACACCGAAGAAACGCCACGATAATAAACCATCTTGGATTTTTCGCTACTAAATGCTAGGTACCTAGGCCACATCTCTAATGTAATCTCGCCTCTCTTTGATTCTAGAATAGTTCTTCGGTCAGCCTTTTCGAATTTCGGAACCTCACATATTAAAAATTCCCTAGTATAACAACATTCAAAAACTTGGGTATGGTATACGAGTTTTAACGGTCGGGGTTTTGAGCACATGTTTCCGTAAAGGTGTCTCAAGGTAGGATACATGACGCATGCAGCGATATGCCGACAGAAAATAAAACGTTGTAACTTCGTAATTGTGTGTCACGACGAAAGTGAATTTATTTCTTATTGGTCTAATATATCGGAATAAGTACTTTGTATCTATTTTATGCTATTTTTGCATTACTGCAAGTTTGAAAGGGAAAAAAGTCTACGTATTTAATGCAACCCTCCCCTGTAGCGCCCGTTGTTATCCGTCATTATAAGACATTATAAGATGACGTCGTTTCTGTAGAATAATTCATTAGTGAAACTGCAAACAAGGAAAAGCGACCCGCGCCAAAAGCCGTCTACCCGTCTTGTCCGTCTTGTCAGCCACGCCGTCCTCATTCTCTCCCGCCACTCGGTCGTATTTCCTTCCTAAGATCTCTATGCAGCCAAGTCTACGAGAAAGAAGAGGCGCCAACTCCTGACTAGAAAAGATAGTGCAAGTTAACTTAAGAGGATCTACATGCAAGGCTAGTGTGGATTTGGCCGAGACGGGATCATCAAGATACTTATACACGCAGATAATACGACACTACTACGCTACTTATGCATACTAAATCAATCAATGCAGGCTGGCTATCGTGAAGCTGGATAGATCGGCTGTCTAGTAATTCGATAGATTCTAGAAAAATAAACAAACTAAAGGTAGGAGGAAACAAATAAGTGCCACGCTTTTGATTTATTTTTATTTCTACGGAGGAATATACAGTACATATCTTGTAACTAGGGCCGGTGTTTCTGAAATAAGAAATAAAACGAAAGCGGAAAATTCCGTGGTACAGAGCTGGTGCGATGTTTGTTTGAATGGAGGACAGGCCGCGTTTCAGAAGCAGCTTGAGAACGCCACTGAAGAGGTTCGATGCCCTCCTCTTGTCTCGTAAATGGAGGGAGGGGGTCATTACCAACCTCTTTCGTCAGTTCCCTGTCACATAAAGTATCTACTTACATATGTACTGATCAATTCTTGTATGGCACGCCGCATACGTCCAATACAACGTCGATACATAGGATTGCATGCGGCAACATTTTGGGTCTGGTCTTGAGAACTTGGCCTACGACCCACGGCAAGGTAAGCTTGGTTGAGTGGGATGAGGGAAAGGGAGAAGGGAATTTTTCTTGTTTCTTGCCCCGTCGTCCCAGAGATAACGCAACCCACCATCTGGACCGAGTTTTGGGTCCGCGTCGTATCGTAGTCCACATATCCTTGCTGAATCGATGTTTAGGACCTTGTGTGTTCGACATAGTGTACCATAGTATGTACAGTACGTTACGAACCAGGCTTTTCGTGGCTTTTCTTAATGTCTCTTTGCTTTGGTCCACCACACCAACATCTAACTTGTACCTAGCCCATGGTTCTTATCCCGGCTCTTCTTATTGTCTCTTTCTCTTTGTGAACTTCCTTATCCAAAAAGCTTCCCCTCTCCCCGTTCCCATTATCATGTGTATTGTACTTATCTACCCACGCCATGCCATCACCATGATACCTCGCGACAAACAATAGTAACTCGCACATAACCCAAATCTAATCTTTGTATGAGTAGCTGCTCTACAACTCGACTTCAGCGGAACGAATTTACTCTCTATTCTGTCTATGCGCTGCTATCAGGCAGCTAGCTAGCTCTACGTCGCATTGCCTCAGCTATTACACCATCCCAGCACCTTGCCGCAGCATAATTATCAAGGCGAAAGACACACCAAACTCGAATAGCGACCATACATACGTACAAACAAATCTACATATTTCAAGATGCGAATATCCACCATAGTTACCGCCGCAGCTCTACCAGTGGCATTTACAGCTGCAGCTCAACAAAGAGTGCTGGCGCACTCTACAAGCATGAAAATTGAGGACCTACCTAGCTCAACAGGTAAGTTATTGAGCTTTTGCTGCTATGGTTTTTCATCGGACAAAGAGCAATAGCTAACAGAACCGCAATAGCTTCTACACCTATCCTAGCCAACTCTACCGATCCGTTGGCGCAAGCTGCGAAGCCATTGACTACTGCTGCGGCCGAGAAACCGGCTTTGGAAGCTTCTGTCATGGGGCTTATTGTCTTTTCTGTTGCTGGATTATGTTTAATATGAATTAAAGGGGATGAGGGTGCACTCTCGGCGGATTGTTGGGTTTAGCATTTTCACTGGCGTTTTTTCGGATAGGACCATCATGAATGGTTCGGGAATGAATTGGGAATGGTTATGACAGGCATTGAGACCTTGATTTATTGGTCTTTATTTCGGTGGCGTTTTGAGGGTAAGAAGAGGTCTGCGCATTTTTGGATATACCCGTGTCTGCATCATTTTTTGAATACCATCAATTCATCATCACGACCCGACTGAGCAATACACCAGCTATTGCTCTGCTTCCTCTCTATCCTGTCTTGTGACTTGCAAATTGTTCTATTCTGGGTGTAATTACTCCCTTTCTTCCAATTCCCTGGGTTGCGCTAGACCAGCGCCGGTGTTTCATTCACCTCTACCAGATTATACCACTATAATCAATAGTAGCTTAATCTCCTTTTAGTGGGATTCGTCCGATGTTCTCGCCCATCGATTGACGCGCAATCTGGGCAAATGCCGCGTCCTCGTCGTCGCATCCCCAGGAAATTGGGAAATAACATGATTCTGGGGCGACATATATGTAATTGCGCCATCAGCTGTTTCGCGACGGCTTGGCATTTATATATACCCTTACGCTTGCGCGGCGCCTTGCCAAGCTGTGTTTCTTTAGGGTCGCAATGTTTCAAGCGGCGATAGGGACTTGGTTGTCGGTAGAATCGGGGGCTGAAGGGTCAGAGTCGGGTTTTGGTAAGTTATCCTAGATAATATCGTCAGCGCGCATTCATTTGAATAACAGAATAGATGCATATGAGAATACTGACTAAATCATAAATAACCCGAATCATCAAACTGCAACTAGGACAGACTGCGATATCCGTCGCCTCGTCTTGGAGATCCATGAGCGCAATCTCGAATCGATCGCCACACGGGCAAGGGTAATGGTAGATCTGTAGCGTCTCATCGTAGGTCATGTCTTCGATCTCGACCTCGTCGTAGACGGCAACTTCTTCGTCAGCCATCGTGAGTATTCTTCTTGCTATTTCGCGATATTGCAAGAGAGACGGAAATGAGTGATAGCTGCGAAAGATATTTAGTTGATGCCGCCACCAAAGAAAGAAAAATATCTTGGACAAATCAGAACACCCCGCGCTCTTAGTCACTCCCCAAATCGGATAAGAGCGGCCTTTGAGTTGCGCGACAAAGAGCTAACTGAAATTTACCCCACTACTCCAATTACTAGCCACAAGGCCCGGCCACAGTCGTAAAGTTCCAGCCACTTCAGCTGCCGAGAACCACGGACCAGGGTTCAATCACATGCAAGTAGGACGTCACCAATTTAGCATTGTAGCTCATGGGATTGGTCGCATCCTCGCCGAGGGACCTTGGGAAGCTGCCATCGAATACCGCAGCTAACACATTCTTAGCATTCTTTAGCTGTGCAACATTTCAATTCAGCAACCAACTCAGCTACATAACATAACAATCACAAGTGTCGCAACCATGTAATCACTTCATTTACTATACCAGTACAATATACTCAATAATCCAATCTAATTATCTATATCCTACCATCTATCTCATGGGCCAAATTCACCATCCCTTGTCTTTGGGGTAAACAGTGTTGGAGTTCCCGAGGTTATCCGTTCCAACAACCTCCAGATCTTCCATCATGGCCGTCCAATCTAAACTCGTCCTCCCCGACCGATCCCTCAAAAGCGTCGTCGCGCAATTAACATCCCTATACGCCCAAAACCGCACCCGCATCTCCCGCGCCGTATACCTAACCCTCCTAATCGCCCTCGTAAACCGCGTCCGCCATGCCATTTCCGAGCAGAAAGCCGCGTCCGCGCGCGAGGCTGCCAAGAAGCGATCGGGTACTGTCACGAGCGACGGGACTGATACGACGCAAAAGAAGAAGGTTGAACTAAATCGCGAGTTCTTTAAATCGTTATTAAGGTTGTTGAAGATTGTGGTACCGGGTGCGAGAAGTAAGGAGACTAGGCTACTTGTTAGCCATAGTTTCTTTTTGGTCGTGAGGACGCTTATTAGTTTGAAGGTTGCGGAGATGGATGGTGCGATTGTGAAGGCCCTTGTTAGGGGTAATGGGAGGGAGTTTTTGACGAGGATTGTTTGGTGGATGCTTATTGCTGTTCCGGCGACTTTTACGAATTCTATGGTAAGTGCTCAGAATGGTGTCTACTGATGCTTTGGGGTAATATTAATGATTGATGTTATAGTTGTCATATCATCAAGCGGAATTGTCGCTTAGGTATCGGACGCGGTTAACCCAGTTCATCCACGACAAGTACCTCTCCCAGCTCACATTCTACGGTATATCAGCGTTAGACGATCGGATAAAGAATCCGGATCAACTTATCGCGGTTGATGTGGCGAAGTTCTCGAATAGTTTGGCTGAGTTGTATAGTAACTTGGCCAAGCCTATATTAGATATGGTAAGAATCTACCTACACAGTACAACCCAAGATGGAAACTAACGGGTGCGAAATTAGACCATATATACGTGGTCATTATCGAAGAGTGTTGGTGGTGAAGGTGTCATGTTCATGTCCTTACTCGTCCAGCTCTCAGCGCACGTCATGCGCGCTCTGACGCCTCCATTCGGGAAATACGTTGCGGATGAAGCGAGATTAGAGGGCGAATTCCGATTCCAGCATTCGAGACTTATCGACCACAGTGAAGAGGTAGCACTCTATCACGGTCATGAAGCAGAGAAGGATGCACTCGATAAGGGATATTTCACGCTTATTAAACACGTGAATTATATCCTCCGACGGCGATTTTACCATGGTGTTATGGAAGATTTCGTTATTAAATATTTCTGGGGTGCGCTAGGCCTCTTGCTTTGCAGTGTACCGGTGTTTTTCAAGCTACCGGGCCAATTAACTGGCACCTCCAGCATGGGCGATCGAACAGAAACATTCGTTACAAATAGGCGAATGTTGCTCAGTGCATCCGATGCTTTTGGACGAATAATGTTCTCCTACCGAGAAATTATGGAATTGGCTGGTTACACATCACGAGTCGCATCGCTATTAGAAGTTATGGATGATATTCAAGCTGGTCGCTTCGAGAAGAAGCTGGTTTCTAGCTCGGGCACCGAAGATAACGAAGCCGTATTGAGAGGTAGGGGTAAAGTGGTCGAGAGTCAAGACATTGAATTTATCGATGTGCCAATCATCTCACCCAACGGCGATGTTCTCGTCAAGGCACTTTCATTCTCGCTTAAGCAGGGCGATCATCTTCTAGTCGTGGGCCCGAATGGTTGCGGGAAATCAAGTCTTTTCCGAATTCTCGGTGGTCTATGGCCTGTATACGGCGGTACAGTCTACAAACCGCCCTTCACCGATATCTTCTACATTCCACAGCGTCCGTACCTCTCCCGCGGGAGCCTGCGCCAGCAAATCACATACCCGGATAGTCTACGAGCAGTTCGGACGCGCGGCGTGACAGATGCGCAACTTCTAGATATCCTAAAGATTTTATCGCTAGAACATCTCGTGGACCTGTACCCCGAAGGTTGGGACGCCGAAGCCGAGTGGCGCGACGTATTATCCGGTGGTCTGCAACAGCGCGTTGCTATGGCGCGATTATTCTACCACAAACCCCGGTACGCGATTCTAGACGAGTGTACTAGCAGCGTGACGCTAGAGACGGAAAAAGTTATGTACGATACTGCTAAGGCTTTGGGGATTACCCTGATGACAGTAAGTCATAGGAGGAGTTTGTGGAAGTATCATAGTCGCATATTGCAGTTTGATGGACAGGGCCATTATGTTTTTACCAAGTTGGATGCGGAGAGGAGACTCAAGCTTGAGGACGAGAAGGAAGATCTCGAGGTCTTGTTGAGACAGGTGCCGGATATTGAGAGGAGGATTGGGGAGCTTACTGATGGATAGGGGCAAGGGAGGAAGAGGATCGGGGTGTATAGTAGGAGAGGATTGTATATAAATCCAGCAATACATCAAGGGTTCAAACCAAACGACATCTCGTCCATACAGATGTAGATAACCCAGGTACCGACACTATACTAAGAAACCCACCGATTTCCCGATGAAATATCCAGGTACGTCTCCTGCCCAGTTTTCACTACGGTCAAACCCAAGCGTAACGATAACGACTTTCAGCGTATCTCGTTATATGGTCAATTTTGTCAATTGTGACTAGACTTCTGTATTATAAAAGCAGGGAGCGAGCTATACCTAGGAACCTAGGTGTATGGATTTGTAGTGATTCTCGAGCGAATGTGTTAAGGAGATACCAATCTGTCCACAATGTATAACCCTATTTCGATTTTCATTCCTCAATTCCTATCATCATTTTTGGTATAACCATGACGCTCTAAGGGGCTGATAGCGGTAGACCCAAGTTTAGGCAGGCTCGCATTCGTCATCGACACAGTTGTACCCAGCACAGCATTGCTCGTGGTTGGGTTCGGAGCACCCGCTGTTTGGGTAGACAAGGCAGCCTTGCTGTTTATGTTTTCCATTGTCAACTCAAGCTCGCATAAAAGTGTGGGGAGGAGGTATCAATCACTCACGCGCCCATAAAGTGTCTCGCCCATTATAGCGGCGCTTGACACAGAGGCGAAGACGAGGGTGCAGATGGCGAAAAACTTCATCTTGACGATTGTTTTGGTAGAGCTCATTAACCGAAAACTCAGTAGAGAATGCTTTGCTGAATCGACGTCTTTCGGATAGGAGAGGATGCCAAGCCTTTTATATAGATATTCGGCTCCCTACATCAAGACCATCTTGTGTTAGCACCCGGTTCGGTTGGTTCAAGAAGCTAAATGATTAGTGTTTGCTATTCCAACAATTGTAACCACCAAACATATCCTTCCGGCGCCGAGGACCGGTGTGAGTGGTGTGTATCCCGATTCAAAAGCAAAAATCATCAATAATATGCGGCTACATACATGATGATACGCCACCAATGAAGATGAGGACGACTATTGGATCGTACCTAAACTAAAAACTCCGTAAATGGCGTCCTAATGGAGGATACCAGTCAGCTCCTGCGGAGTTGAGTAGTTCTTCGAACAATATTACCAGATCTATCTGGAAGCAAGGCAGCCTCTAATAGAGTCTTCGATATGAGAGGTTGAAATATGTTGGGAGTTGTTGCACTGCGCACCGTGCACCATAGGTAAGCTTATATTGGTGACACTACGTATGACTGCGGATATTGGAGCCGGCAGCTATGATCCTTAGCTGCGAATCCTACTTTAATTGTCGTAAGTAATCACCATAAGGAGGCATCAAGAGGGATTCGAGTAGCGGTCTAGTTTTTCACTTGTTAGAGATCACTATGCGAAGTACGAATGCATCACTGCCTAGCATGTCTAGATATTGCGGATAGATCGGGTATGTATGACTACGGCTCATGCCTTAACGAGTTCTCATATTGGTTATCTAAGATTGTCTCCAGCGGGATCATCACAATAGCTTACCACGGCTGCAATGCCATTGATCATTTGTCTGGGACGTACCTCAAAAGGGGTGGTCATCATGGTCACCAGTAGGCCGGCTATCACCTCCTACCCTGACTATAGGATGACATCTTCGGAGCGTACCCTAGGAAGGGATTGTACACGGCTTGAAGTTTGGAGATATTACCTCTTTATCACGTGGCTGTATGAATAGGGGGGAAGCTTTAATATTGCTACCCAAGAAGGTAAGTCCTTTATATACTAATACATAGGAATGAAATCCGAGAATGGCCTTTCATAAACCACACGTCATCAACCCCTTGTTGGTTCACCGTTTCCCCGGTTACACCCGTTCACGATTAGCACCAAACTCTGTCAGGCTCCCAGTGGCTAGGAGTCCTCAATCCAAGTTCGTTACGGACCCAACTGTTATCAAAGTGGGATAGGTCCCTGTCGCTTGGGGTGTCCGTGTGGAGATACACAAGGCCAAAAAAGCATTTCTGATAGTTGTCTCTGTTAGACCAGGTCCATTTTTTCTTGTCCACCATCTGGTTTCGGTCGTTGTTGCAGTCGGCTACGTTGCGGAAGAAGTTTTCGAGGTTGATATTGTAGTTTGAACCCATTAGACGAACTTCGGTCGGCGCGTTGTCGTCGTGGTTGACGCATTGGTTTTTGCCGCCTCGTTTCAGGATAAAGCATTTCTAAGGGTGGGTTGTTAGTTAAGCAAAAGGGAAATGTCTCAATGATGAGGGAACTTACTCCGTCTACGTATCTGGAAGCGCCTTCGAAGTCGCTGCTGCACTTATCTTTGCTCAGTTTATCCTACATGGTAATATTAGCACTTCTGGTGAAGCAACGACCCTTGTCTTCAGGATTTCTACTTACAAAGCTTAGGACATAGAATTGTCGCTGCTGTAAGATGTAGCCGATCAACGCAGCTCTCTATAGCGCTAATTAGTTCCGCACACTTCCTGTATTCTAGGTATTCCAGAGAACTCACCATAACCTTGAAGCCTTCGTTAAATAGGGGCTTAATGGCCCGGTCAGCGTGCTGCTGATCCATGAAGTATCCAGTTTGTAATCTATACAGCGTTAATTAAACATTTCATGTGAAGAATTCACCAATTAACGGTATACTTACAGGTAAAGAAGTGCTGTTTGGTCATCAACTCCATTTGCATGGAGGCCAGGGTCCACGGCTTCTGCGAATTCAGCGAGCTTCACGTTGACCTTAGCACTACCTCCGAAAATCTTAGCAGCGAGGGATTCGGTCGTATCGCTAATCATCTGGAACCAATCCCCGAGGGCGCTCTCGACTGATTCTTTCAGTTTAGTAACGTCAATTACGCCATCTTTCAAATTGTTTGACGCCAAGGCTTGAATAGCAATGTTAGTAACCCTTAACGATTATCAATAATAGGGGTAGGGAAAGGTAGGGAAGGCTCACATAGCGCTCCACCAACGCCGGTGAAAGCGGAAGCCCCTATACCCGAACCTGCTGCTGACGCCTTAAGTTCTCCGACAAGAGCTTGGTTTCCAATTCCAAGACCAGCGGGTGCGGCTAGGCCTGCCGCTCCGAAGATTCCGGATATGATGAACTGTGCTAACTGTATATAATTATTAGTTATAACTACTTATTTATAGTCTTCATGAAGGTGCCCTTACAGCGGCGTTCGTCAGTGCTCTCTTGTCTCTGTCAAGTTGTGACTTGGCGACAAAATCGTTGATCAAATTGGTAATCTTAAGGTCTTCTAGGAGGACATTCTTGATGGATGCAATATCAAGGTTGTCGAGAATACTGTATATATTGACAGCCTCGGTCTGTACGATAGCGACTATATCAAGCCGTAAGGGGTTAGTTCGTATTGGGTTAGAACTGGGAAACCGAGGAGGCTAGAACGTACAGGCTGCTGGGTTGTATGTCTCACAGTCGGCATCATGAAGGGGCTGGCAGTTCTGGGAGTGTAGGATAGTGCAGTCTATATCGCCTGGAGTCTTGCCAGTATGAGCCGTGGCATTCTTATGCATCTGCTGCAACCAGTCATCTGTATTTAGTCAGTTACTTTCTGTTTTACGTATTTGTTTCAGTCGATTCAGACAAGGAAGACGAACCCATCTTGTTTTTGCGGTCGTAGAACCAGTTACCAAAGTAGTCAGAAGCCTTAGACTTCGTCCATGCATCCTTATCAGCATTGGCAACCATCTTACAGACATCCGCGTTCGATGGATAGCCGTTCTTCTTCATGTGATCATCCCAGCTGTCACGGCGAGATAGAGAAGAATCCGAAGGATAGGCATAGCCGATACCAAACACTAGCCACCCGGCTAGGGAGTTTAGAGCTTGGTGAGACTTCATAGTGAGGTTATGATATGCGGAAACCGATGGAACGAGACAAAGTTGATGAGGTTGATAGTATCGACTTCAGCTCAAGGACAAGAGAGCCGTCCTGGAAATTTATATTATTCTGCTTTCTTGGCATACTGCGCGATTTGGAGTTCTTCTCGTTAGATATTGACGATCTTGCCTCCAGCCCTTCGTCGAAATTCTACAGAAGAATAAGGCAAATGACGATCATGAAAAAAGTTCCTCTATGCTCTTCTCACCTGAAAAGAGGAAACCAACAGCTATGACACAATATAGAAATCCTCTACAAATCTTTATTCTAGAAAAGGAATTTTTGTCGCTTAGGATTTTATTCTGAAGATTAGATCGTCATTGGAATCTGGGGTCTCCATGCGCTTGGCGAGGATCGACGATTTTATCGTAGGAACCATCACGCGAACTTGGGAAGCCAAGATCTCTAAACTCCTAACTGCATATTCTAGTGTTCATCTCCATACCGATCTTTATTTGTGGTAATATAACACGTGCTGTTGGTTCCTATGGTATACGGCACAGCAATCCAGTAGTGGTAGCGAAACAACCACGACCGGGATGTCTAGTGTTAGCGATATATTTAGAAACGTATGCAAATCATAACACCCTTCATGGGTGTCTAGGTATCTATGAGGCTGATATAGCTTCGAGACTCCTTTCAGTATTATTTTCATGTAATATGTGTAGTTCTGCCAATCGTTAGCAGAGTCATATCAATGTGTTACACGAGAAAAATCAATAGGATTTATAAAATCGGATACTCTCCTCACGGCGCGGATTAAGTACTTCGACAGCAATCCCAGGAATATTGAAGTATTACTAGTAGGGGGTTGTCCTAAGCCCATCATTAGACGACGACTGCGATTAAGGGGTAGAGGCTCTAACCTACTAGACAGTAGATTGGGCACCGATCTCGGTATCTAAGAATAGCTAATAGCCTCCTGAAAAGGTTTTCAACCAAAGCATGAGCAAGTGTCGAAGGATCTCACTAGAGTACTTTATGTCAATACACATTGACTTTAATAGTCCATAATGTTCTATCAATCGACCCTTGCGCTCAGGCTTAGCATTGACGGCATCAACCATGCGGAATCGGGCGCTTAGCAGGGCTGATCTAGGTATGGATAATGTATGTTTGCGCTATCGGCATCGGAGGAATTTATATAAGAAAAGTTAGCTTTGAGATGGGTGGTAGTGTATAATGTGGTGTTGAAACACTTCACGATATTGTCACAAGCACAGTTCCGTGAGCTCGGACATATAGGTAACTTAACAATGTCTAAATTAACAATGTCTAAAAGTCTATTAGCGATATATTAAATAAGAGATGATATAGCGGAACTTACTAAAACACCAATACTCTAATAAAGTGTATAGACATTCTCTAGTGTCAAATTGCCTCTCACATTTAAAATCATCCCGCCGTAAAGTTCGAGCCGTCTTGATTTAGCTGCTGTAGTATTGATATAGCCCAAAGCTTCCTGTCCCTTTTATCATGGTTTGCTTTTCCTCGAGGCGTATTTAACTTCGCAAGCAGTGCGGTTTGCAGAGGAAGCGGTGGTTTAAAAGGACGACTCCCCTCCCAAACAGTAAGGAACAGTAAGGAACTGCGTACTTTTCTCTGATACTTATTTTCTCTTGCCATAAACACTCCACATCGCATTAATCTTACTTTCTTCACTCACGTATACCTAGTATAGGTAGCTTGGTTCACTTCCGTATTCCTAGAATCCATCCTATAATATTTCCATTCTATTATTGAGGAAGCATGGGTCTTCGAGGTCACACCTTGAGTAGGTTACAGACGGCCCTCATCGTCGCTCCGTCCTTTATTCTATTTGGTTACAACCAAGCCGGTATCGGTGGTTTAATCACCCAGGACGACTGGGTCGCAACATTTCCAGAGATCGACACTGTTCACGCCAATCCCAGCGAGAAGGGACCGAGATCTACACTTCAGGGGTTCGTTGTTGCGGTCTTCGTCATCGGCGCTCTCTTCGGTTCTCTTTCGTGTTCATGGACAGGCGATCACTACGGTCGGCGCAAGATCATCTTCGTTGCTGGTATCCTCACACTTCTTGGGGAGGTCCTCGAGGCCACGTCAACGGGACTTCCGCAGTTTGTCATCGGCAGGATCATAGTCGGCTTCGGTATCGGTCAACTCAGCTCGCTCGTCCCCGTGTGGCAGAGCGAGACCTCGGGCGCAGATAACCGCGGCAGGCATGTTGTTTTGGACGGTCTTTTCATCTGTCTCGGTTACGTCCTCGAATCCTGGATCAACCTGCGCTTCTTCGAGTATCAAACCGGGCCCATCACATGGCGCCCACCAATCGCTATCGCATGCGTCTTCTCGTTAATACTCATCTCTAGCATTTATTTGTTCCCCGAGTCGCCACGCTGGCTTTTGATGATGGGAAAGAAAGAGCAGGCCCTCGAAAATCTCACTATTCTTAGATGTGCCCCTCCGGATTCGCGTGAGATCGAGGGTGAGCTTTCAGGTATCGAATTGTCCCTTGACATGTCTAAGAAACACGGCGCCGGGTTATCGCAGCTTTTCCGGGCAGGAAGGGATAAATTGCCATACCGTTTCGCTCTCTGTATTCTCTTGCAGTTCTTTCAGCAGATGTCGTAAGTCACACAACTACCCCTCTCAGGAAAAAGAAAAGAAACTAATAAACGCCACAGCGGAAGCAATCTTATCAGCGTCTACGCCCCGATCCTCTTCCAGGAGAACCTCGGCCTAAGCAGTGAAATGTCGCGAATACTCTCGGGCGGGGCCCTAACGTGGAAATTTCTTTCATCATTCCTCGCATTCGTGGCCATTGACAGGTTTGGGCGAAGGGCCGTCTTCATGGCCAGCGGCGCCGGCATGTCGTGCTGCATGGTGGCGCTCGCGATCGCCACTTCGTTCCCCGCTTCCAACCGACCCGCTCAGGTCATCGCTTGCTGCTTCATTTTCCTATACAACACATTCGTACCTATCGGTTTCCTCGGTGCCAATTTCCTTTACTGTACCGAGGTCGCACCAATTCGGCTGCGTATGGCAATGAGTTCAATTTCAACGGCGAATCACTGGGCTTGGTAAGTTTCCACTTTCCTTACCCTGCTATCTTCGTTTCTCCTTGAAGGAACACATTAATTAGGGGGATTGACTAACAAATAACGATAGGAATTTCATTATCGCAATGGTAACCCCCGTCGCCATCTACAGCATCGGCTGGCAGTATTACATAATTTTCGCAATAATCGCAGCTTGTATTCCGGTTACGGTATACTGCTTCTTTCCCGAGACGATGGGCCGGACTCTCGAAGAGATCGACCTTTTATTCAAGGGGTCGCCATCCGTATGTGGTACCGTTCAGTTCGAGAGGAAATTACGTCGCAACAATGCGCATCACATATTACGGGAGAAGTTAGAGGGTGACCTTGTGCTTCAAGGTTCAAACGGGGACACGTATGAAACTTTTGAGACATAAATATTTGTTTTCTGCGAGGAGACCGTTGGATGGGAGCCGGAGTTAGTTTTGTTAGATACCTCTGTATGTTCTTTGTTCATTAGGATAAGCGTGTAGTAGATAGATATGAATTTATATAATTTAGATAGATATGTATGATCTTCCCTACCAGCTGTCGGGTTATATTAGTAAAAATATCAAGTATGACGTTATTGAGCAGATTTTCTAACAAGTTTGCTGCTGGACGGAACCAATAAGTCGTACGGCTGAGCTTTGTGCTCCGCAAGGTATGTTGCGCCCCCTTTTCATTGGACCGAGTAGTTTAGTAGGCTATCAGGACAGATCGTCGAATATCTTGACATTTTAAAATTGGTGTCTTATGTCGTTTACTCATGTGTCTTGGGGTTAGTGACAAATATGTTGGTTGAGTTTATGTAGGTGATGATGAATGAATGTCAGATTATGTATCGTGTGACTTGGTCCTTGTGCTGGTATTAAAAATAAAAAAAGGGGTAATAATTCGGGGTTTTGCCACTGTTATTGCATATACACTCTTATACTATAATATTAATGTAGATAAGTGGCTATTTATGTGATTAAAGAATAGTTTGCATTCCGCTGTTAGTGGACAGACGGAGGGAATCCACAGGCTGGAGAGGTGCTTATTTAGTGGAGTAAGGTCCCCTGTAATTTAGGTACATGGGTATTTGGTGGTGCCTGATTTTAGGCGACTTTAGCGATTTAAAGCTGAGAGAAGCATCGCGAAAGAAGAGTCAACCACCCAAAAAATAAAACCAAAAACTCAGCCAACTCAACCCTCAAACCAGCTCAGCCCCGATGCTGACGAATTCTTGGTTTAAATCTGTCTTTACCGTTCGTTACAACGCCACTGACGACAACGTAATTCATATTCAGTGACTATTTTATTTCAGGGACTCGATTGTGAATTTTCAATTACATACCGACACCTGACAAGTTAATTTTGGGTGCCTGGTTCGTTCGGATGTGCTGTCGAAATCAAAGTATTAATCCCTGTCCACGTTGACGATAGACGATATATATTTAGATTCAACCCAACCCTGTGGTTAAACCTTGGATCGACAGACATTTCCCTTCGACACGAGGTGGCGCGATCGATTAAACTTCCCTGGTTTTATTCGCACGATCAGGGGATACGCCTCATCTTCATTCTTTATCCCTGTTCTTTTTACTCATCATCTTTAGGCCGGACTCTCATATAAAACAATACCCTCACATTCTAAGAAATCTGCGAAACTGGATAAATCAACAAATATGTACGAGGGCGAATATGTTGAGGCACGTTCGCTAGCCTCATTAAACTATCTAGCCGCCAATCCGCCGCAATATCCGAAAAAGCCTAACGAAGAAAGGCAAGATCCGATCACTCTATACATTTCAAGAGTACCCGGTACAAGAGGTGAGCTTTAATATCGCATAATTCTAACCCATTTTAAAATACCTATCTAACATCTGGCTTAGATATCATCCTCTCAACTCAAAAACCACAGGTTAAGAATGTCACAGCAGAAGATGTGGCTAGTTCATTATACTACGTTCATTTAAACACCCCTGAAGATGAGGCACTTATACCGCCCCCTAGCCAGGCCTTACCTTCATCGTCTCCTAGAACGAGCGAGGAGAGCTCAAGGTCAGGTAACCAGATCCATAGGAAGCCGGTACCTGGGGGCTCAAGTCTCGCCTCATCACGAACAGACGATAATGGACAATTACCTCCACTCGGAAAAGAAAACCAAGGGTATGGCAGTTCAGCGCAAATCCCGATAAGAAAGCCAATTCCTCAATCTGGCCCACCGGGTCCTTCGCAACAGTCCCTATCCCCTCAACCCGCGCCACCAGCCGTTCCCGTTCACAGAAAACCTCTTGGTCCTAGACCGGTTACAGCGGACTCTTATGACAGAAACTTACCACGAGGACCAGTTTACGACCAACCAGAATATCCACCTAGATTAAGTATGGATCAACCACCATTACCAGCTCGACCAAGTGAATTACCAGATCCCTATAGTTCAATTGGTAATGGCCGATCACCATCGCCCACTAAACAGCGTCCATTCGCCCCGTTTTCTTTAACCCTAATTAGGAGAGATCCGAGCTCAGGCCAGCAATGGAACGTTGGAAAAGTAGCATCGTTCCAATTAGAAAACCCCGAGCTCATTAACGATGAAAAGCATCACCAACCTTCTCCGTCGATTATTATACATTTAGAGACATCCGGATACGCTAAATTCCGCGGTATGCCCGCTCAAGCACCCGCGGATATAAGAGGCAGTCTCGACCTCCGTCCTGGAAGCGCATCCTCCGCATCACGTTTCCCGGCACCTGACCTTACTACGGCCTCGAATGCTTTCGAGCGGCAAGTTATGATGTCATATTCGAAATCGTTCACCGCTGGTTTGCGAGAGAAATTCCGGCACCATCGTGGTTCATCCGATGATGATCGAGCGGTTTCACCCGCTAACCGACCACAGCATGACCGACACGGAAGTGTCGCTTCTATAGGGTCGTTCGGTGGGGATTTTGATGGCGGCGAGGCTCCGGTTATCACCCAGCCCGCCCCTGGTCTCCGACCGCGCGGTTATGTGTTTAATTCCCCATGGGGTGGTCGCTGTGAATTCGTAACTGGAAATGCGGGGCGTAGTCTTAGATGCTTGCATATCCTCCCGACATATACCGGCGCAGTTTTCAACCCACTAGTTGACGGAGGGGATTCTTGCAGTGGAAATGGTGGTGGGGCCCACAAAACCAAAGGCCAGCCGATAAGCGAACTCCGGTTCAACCTTCCAAGTAGCGAGATCTTCAACGAGAAAAAGTCTGCACCTGAGGGGGCCGCGCGGGCAAGGGATCAGATACAGAGCCAGTTTAATCGGGTGCTTCAAAAGGCGCAAGGTTTAGATAGGGATAGTGACGATGATGCGGATTGGCATCTAGATCTTAGTCTCGGACGAGAAAGAGCAGGTGGTGGAAATAGAGGAAAGAGGGCGAAGATGGGGAAGCTGATTGTTTTTGATGAGGGTTTGAAGATGCTGGATTTGGTAGTTGCTGCGAATGTGGGGGTTTGGTGGACTTCTTGGGAGAGAACTTATTAAGTAATCAAGGGTATTGTTTCGTTGGGGTGGTACGAGGGTTGTGGTAATGAGAAGGGTAAGGGTATGACAATGGAGGGGGTTGGGGATAATGAAGAAGACGAGGGTTAGGGATAGGGTTAATGAGGGGAAGAAGGGAATCTTGCATAGAACGGCCTGCATGAGATACCAAAGGCGTACTAGGATCGATTGCTTTTCAAAGTTGCGTTCAGATATCAGATATGTTTACCTACCTAGCGTTGAGCGGGTTTGTAAGGGGATGTTAGCTAAGATCAAGCTATATAATGGCTATAAGCTCTTCGGAAATGAGTAGTCTTCTCTTAGGGTAAAGACTTCATTTTTGTGAAATGGGTTCCAGGGTTAGGGATATACAACACGTAATCATCAAGCCACTTAGCTAATCACTACGGGAAGGTCGTACAAGATTGATGCCTTTGGTGGGATATCCTCGGCTGAGACATCTATTGGGTGGACATCAGCCCATCGCGAAGATCTACGGGATATATATCTAAAATAAAGGGTCTCGAGTATATTAGGGGTTCAAGAGCTTACTTAAGTGTAGGCTCGCGGACCCCTAATAAGTTTTTCTCTAGGCATGATCGAAGAATTAAGGAATACTGGTCGGACTGCGGGCGGTGTAAAGCGATCGAGGCCTGAGTTCGATTCTTGTAATTGTAGGATTTGGGTTGCGAAGCAAAAATTTATTTTCTTTTTCCAGTAAACTTATCCGGAAAGATAAATCTTACTACGATAACTACAATAACAAATTCTCTTCTATAAATCCAAAGTAGACGAAGCCGAATACCTTTAAGGGGTCACAAATGTGGCTAGTGAGTAGTAATACATGAGGCTGTGCATTCATTCGTCAAGCCACATTTCAAGAAAATGCCCCTCCAATTGAAGAATCGAATTTCGTCGCGATCCAAACCGACTTGATCGACAAGCCAACATAGAAAAAAAAGCCAGCCCACCATGGTTCCAACGATAATACGAGGAATGACCCTAAAGCGTGTAGCTCCCAAATTACGAAATATTCCGAAACCCATACCGCAATTTTACGACAGTCGATATAAACCTAAGAAAGTCTGGCCGCCAGATTTCTCCAAGCTATCCGAGAAGGAACAGTTCCGATTCGAAAGACGGTATAAGCGAAGAATGAAGCTTGCGACTGCGCGACCGCGGTGGGATAAATATGTCAAATTAACACAACTCTTTAGTGTGACTTGTGAGTTTATGAAAACAATGGTATAATCTGTTAGGGCACGAATTAATACGGTACCTTTGGCAGTCGTTCTGATTTATTCCGTCTTATTTATGGATTGGCAAAGGGAGAACCAGCCATTGCAAGGGGTAAGTTAAGATATTTGCGTAATAGCTCTCGATATATAATCTGATAACATGAATTTAGGTCCGAGACGTAATCTGGGGTGCGTTAGGCGCATTCTCTCCCGAGCAAAGACACGAAAGGCGAAAACCCGATATAGAAGCGATCACAAACACCAAATGACCGATTTTACATATTGTACCTACGTTATAAGAATCACATTGCATGGACGGAGTTTCAGGGACTGGGAAATACCCAATTTGATGTTACCTTTGGAGCTGTATAATGCAGGAATCTCCTCTTAAAAATACGATGACCATAATGCTATATCTCTTACCCGATGCTTATCCCGTAACCGTAGTCGATCCCAAAGAAACGCCAGACGCCCTAATATTCACATAGCTGGCTACCCATGCGCGGGGTTTACCGGCCAGGCCATACGAAGTTCCCACCCATACCTAGGCCAGCACCCAACCCCGTACTTCTAGTCTCGTTGACGGGACGCTTGGCGACAGTACCTTGAGCGCGAACACCAGAAACTATGCGGTCGAGGTTCGTCTCGATGACAACACCACCGACGATCATCTCACTCAAGGCGGCATGTAGGGTCTCAAAGTTGAAGATAAGGTCAAGCTCGCACACGTTCTCGAATAGCTTATCCAGCGACTCGACGTACACCTGTATCAGATCTAACAGTGCAAGAGGCGACTCCGTGGATGTCGATATGATGATAAAGTAGAGCGTCGCATAGTTTCGGTATGTTACTAGCGACGGCACATCGTTATGCGGCTCGGAGGCCGAGTGCGAAGTACCTGAAGCGGCTAGTAGAGGAGGAAGCGGGAGGAAGTTACATGCGCCGTCGGGTCGGTTCGAAACTAGGGTGAATATCTCGGAGATCAGACGTTGCTGAATACTGGTTTCCTGCAGGTGAGAATGAGGATTTGCTTAGCTTGCTGCTGTGACAGACGAAAAACCAAGTTTTGCTTTTGCTGTTTTAGTGAGATAGGATTACATGTAGGTCATACCAGCTGAGTGTAGAATTTGGTCAGCCGGGGCTGTCCCTGGCCATTAAAGACCAGAACTGCGTTTATCATGGCCGGAGTGCGGGTATCCAAGGCATCGGCGTATGTAACGATGAGGTGGAAGTGGGCGGTATACCCAGGTAGGTAAAATGTCTGAATGTATAGAATTACGTGAAGGAATGATGGTGGGGCAGAAGACCGAAGAGCTGAAGTAATGAAAGTAACATTTTTATGTACTTCGCCCAAGTTACTGCCACCACTAAGCACATGTACCACATGAATACCCCACTAAGCGGCATAATGTGGCTTGAAAAGTCGGAGGTTGATGAAACCTTATGCGACCGGAGTGAGATGCACCGCCCCCTTTTTCTTTCTGGTTCTCTTCCCGTTTTCCCCACCAAGTACATACTAAAGTATTAGTCCATTAGCCCGCATCAATTTAGATAGATCTTGATTTGAGTTTAAAAAGAGCTAAGCGCGCCTCGAGATCTGGTGCAGTCTTGTTCTTTTCTCCTCTTCAACTTCTTTTTTTCCCCATCTTGTTTTGGGAAGACCATCACGCCGTTCAATCGGAAGAACGGCGGCTAAGCAATCACCCTAGAATTTTTATACAGTTTTAACCAGGCCTCGAGACGAGGCCATTTTAACATATCATCATGGCACACAGTTCGGCAGCCACAGCCTTCTGCGTCAGACTCATCTACCTCGGCCTCTGCCCACCATGCCAGAGAGCCGCCTTCTTCAAACCAATCTAGCTGGTGTGACTGGGAGAGTTCCGTCTCAGGGCCGGCGGATCTCTTCCCGTCACTTGGGGGCTCCTCTTCAATCGAGCTCTCACCTGAAGATTGGTCCCTGGGGTTGGAAAATGACGACAATATAAATGGACTAGATTGGTCCCTTCCCGGCCTAGACGGGGTAGGCGACGATATTGTATTCGCGAATCACGTGCATTCTGGACATTTAGATGGTGTGTTCTCCCTTGCTATGTTATATATATCTACTACCTACCTCTATCTTCTATTACACTCTTGCTAATATATAATACCACACAATTCAGCTTCAGAGACGCTGCCTAGCTGCGAACCCAATACTGATTTCTTATTTACTCAACCTCCTCCTGGCCTTCACATGCAGCCACCGGAGTCAGAGGCAGGACCTTCTGAAGAGTCCTATTCACCACCAATACCTCAAGCTTCTTCCAGTCAAACTCAAACGCCCCAAACTAAGGGTCGTTCACCCCCTACAGACCCCGTTACAGCTCTTAAACGCCAACGCAATAATGTTGCGGCTCGGAAATATCGGCAGAAACGAATTGATCGCATCAACGAGTTGGAAGGGGAACTTCAATCTGTCAAGCAGGAACGAGATGATTTGAAACTTCGTCTGGCTCGTCAGGAGGCGGAGGCGGCGGCGTTACGAAGCATGTTGCAAATGAACTCTGGGAAGGGTATGGGAAATTAGTATTTAGGCAATTTGTATCTTTTGAAGTGTGTAATAGTTCGGAAATCTTTAAATTGAATTTGTTGTTCTTTCTCAGACGATGTCGACTCGTTCTTTTCCTCATATGTGGGTTGTCCTTTGATAGGACCGCAGAATTTAATACATAGGTTGAGGGAACGTAATTGTCATCTTCGATGGGTGGATGTAGGAAAATGGACTTGGGAATTTGACATACCACAATTTCAATTGCACGATGCGGATAATTCTAGTTTGAATAAAACACTGGGAATTGATTCATATTCTAGCTAAGTTTATTTCTACATAACAAGTTTATATATCCTGTCTTTTCCGCTGACATTTTTACTACTAGAGTCACCATGATGCATCGTGAACACTATATGAATACTATATGAGCGACAATGATAGAGTATGAATACCATATGAGTGAGAATGATAGGGAATGAACACCGTATGAGTGAAGATGATTCATACAGGTCAAATTTGCCGAGATCACGACAATGCCCACGCACAACTCGAAAACATATTTCCCTCGACTTTATGTTTCAATCCAATAGATGTACTTGGCATGAGGGGGCATTGCTCTTTGTCAGTCTGATTCACGGTTGACTGTAAATGATCCATTATGATTCATTTTGAGTCTAAGGGGAAAGGGTTCCACAATAGGATAATCCTATGCTGAATGTAACTGGAGTCTGACATGCTATGAAGATAATTGGGGAGATTGACTATCAGAATTATTAGAATTAACCCCTATTTAAATATATAGCCTCTTCTTTTTCTTTCAAAGAGGCTTTTAACTAATGACTCTGACTACCACATACTGCAGATTTCGAATACGCCGTGTATGCGCCCCATAAGTCAGTTGAGACTATGCAGTATTATGGGTTCCGAGGATACTCTAATTGACCAGTAAGTAAAACTCCAGTACTATGATTTGAACAGATCTGTAGCTTACATAAGACAGAAGCATCTCAATTGATCTTCATACTGCAGATTAGATATCTTAGTAAGATACGTAACAGAAGAGAAAGGGGAAGAGAATGCGCGATGATGACATAATTTAACAAATGTCCTAATACCTTACCTAATCGAACTATACTGCCATGTCGGAGCATCGCATATTTCAACACCGATATCTGATGCTCCACTCCGCTTATCTACGGTGATAAGATAGAAATGTGACTCCGATATCGATAATCCACTCGGGGACCTTGGCACACTTTGGACCTGCATGTCTCGTCTCGGGTCTAACCTTTTGCTTCCTTTTTATCACGATACCAACAAACATAATCCATCCCATCCTATCCGTCAATCAACATGGATGGCCAATGATGGCTGAAAATGGCGCAATACCAGCCCTGCCACTTAGGTTACTTAGGTCTTCGGTGAAGCCGTCTTTGTTAACCCATTTCCCAATCCCAAATTCACCTTAGACAGGCAACCCTGCATGTTAGAATCGTATACCTAATACATTAATTTGCGGCGCCTCCATATTATTTACACAATCTAGCTACACAAACACGAAAGCGAGCGGGGTGGCCGCATAGGGGGCTTGTTTTGCCTTTCCTTCCTTTCTTTTTTTTCTTTAGCAAGCACGGGCGAAATACCCCCGTGCGTCCCTTCTTTTCCCTCGCCATGAGCACCGAGCCACTTCTCGCTGCTTCTGCAAATGGGCATCGTAGTAATCACCACCAAAATCAAGACCAGTTATTAGGTAACGACAACATGGGATATGACCGCGAAATAGAAAATGGCGGCTTTGACCGATACTCATACGATCCGTATGTCATAGACGATCACTCGAGCGACCTCGTCACGGCCGCGGAGTCGCGCTCGCTCTCGCGCGGTCTGGCGCAGAGACACCTTTCCATGATCGGCATAGCGGGCACCATCGGCACGGGCTTGTTCTTAGGTCTCGGAGGTGCGATTCAAACCGGTGGTCCGCTCGGCGCGTTGCTTGGTTACGGTATCGTCGGGTTGATCGTGTGCGCTGTCACGTTTGCGCTCGGGGAGGTGTCGGCGTTGTTACCAGTCACCGGATCCTTCGTTCGGCATGCGGAATTCCTAGTCGACCCGGCGCTGGGATTCGCGGTGGGTTGGAATTTGGTGTACGGTATTGCGCTGTCGATTCCTAGCGAGATCACGGCGATTTGCGTGCTTTTTACCTTTTGGACCGATAGCGTGAGTCCGGTCGCGTATATCATGGCGTTTATCTTCTTGACGTTCATTGTGGGGATTGCGTTCGTACGTGTTTTTGGTGAGGTGGAATTCGCGTTTGCGATTCTTAAGATTCTGCTGGTGGTGTTCTTGATTATTTTGGGGATTGTGATTGCTGCGGGTGGCATACCGGGGACGCCGGCGATCGGGTTTAGGTATTGGCATAATCCGGGTCCGTTTGTTGAGTATATCGCTACGGGAAATTGGGGTAAATTTCTTGGTTTCTGGGGGGTTCTTACGAGTGCTGTTTTCTCGTTTGCTGGTGTCGAATCCCTCGCGATGGCGGCAGCCGAAACGCAAAACCCTTACCGTGCGATCCCGAGAGCTTGTAAACGGATCTTCATTCGTGTGGTGCTTTTTTATATGCTAGCTATCTTAGTGGTGGGCCTGTTGGTACCAAGTGACGATGAGAGTCTCGGCGATGACTCTGGCACAGCCGCCCAAAGCCCGTTCGTCATTGCAGCCAAGGCCGCTGGTATCGACGCTATCCCAAGTGTTGTGAACGCTGTGGTTATCACGTCCGCGTGGTCAGCATCGAACCAAGCTCTGCTGTCCGGCACGCGTGTGCTCTTCGGTCTAGCCTTGAAGGGACAGGCGCCGCGGATCTTCCTCCGTACGACATCATGGGGTACTCCATACGTCTGTGTGCTACTTTTCACGGCCTTCAGTTTTCTCAGCTTCATGAGCTTAAGTTCCGGGGCGTTGACTGTGTTCTGGTGGTTTGTTGACTTGACAGCTGCCGGTGTGTTAGTTTCATGGTCGGTCATTTTGACGAATCATATTCGATTCAAGATGGCTTTGAAAAAACAGGGGATACCGGAGAGTAGGCTGCCGTGGAGTAATTGGTGGACTAGTAAGTTGTGCCAATCGGTAATTTACTCATAGTGAGTGACGTGCTAACAGATATTTCTACGTAGTCTACACTTCTGGCTTCTCGCTTTTCATGTGCCTTCTCATTTTATTAACGGGTGGTTTCAAGGTCTTTACGAAAGGGAATTGGAGCGCTAGCGATTTTGTTTCTTCGTATTTGTATGTTTTATATCCCCCCTTCTTTTCATTTTTCTGGTACTTGTCCGTGATGTCAGAGAAGTAATGCTAACCTCGAGCTAGGGATATACCCCTTGTTCTTGCGGCGTATTTTATATGGAAATTGGTTAAGAGGACTCAGATCCCATCACTTAAGAGTATACCCCTTGACGAGGCTTTTATGCAAATGGCAGAATACCCTGACGAGCCTGAGGAGAAGTCAAAGGGTTGGATTCGCATACTTAGCTGGATGTGGGATTAATAGTTTAGATGGATAAATAGACTAAAGGGATAGAAATGGCATTATCATGGCATAATAGAAGTGAAACTCCAATGAGTTATTATATTCACAATTCCTTGGCTCCGGCATAAGAGGCAGATATCCTCCTTGTATATGTGGTGTCGAGGAAAGGGGTACTATTCCAGGGACCATCTTACATAAGGAGCACTAGATATGCAACTACCTAGGGACCCATACTATTATTCAGACTAAGAGAGATAAATTTAGGTAGGCCTAGTTCCATTCACTAATCACCGCCAACACTAGGTGGCAGTAACAGAGGTGACAATGGATGTAGACCCTCAATTACTTTTGTTGCGGCGACAATATCTACAATTATTTGAGCCTGACTTTCTAGCTTGGCCTTCACCCAAATTATTAAAGAACGTGGATGCTCAGAAATGGCTTCACAGGCACTTGTTCGACACAAATCGGAACCCACATTTACCGCCGGAGAGCTATCAATTGCGCGTGTTGAAGCAACTTACGTCTAAGATGGGAAAGGGAAAAGCAAATTTGGATTCAGATGTAGGGTTCTGACTTTTACATCCGGGGTAGACATTCACTGAACAATTTCTAGGGAGTTTTGGGTGAACTAGCGGCATGCCTCACCTCTCTTATAGCCAAAAAGGTGTCATCGGAAATCAAAGTATTCCAGGAGAACGCATACGTAACTTTCACTTGTATACCAGAAAAGCGCAACGACTATGAAGATACATCGGAACCTACACTTACACTACTCGAGAAACGACAATTAGTATCAGGTTCTCAAATCACGGGCTTTCGGACGTGGGAAGGATCTCTTCATCTTGGCTCATACTTGCTGACCGAAGCTGGATCACACTTCGTCAATGGCAAGAACATATTGGAGCTAGGTACTGGTACCGGTTTTAATGCTATTCTCGCAGGCAAGCATTTGCATGCGAACCATGTCACCGCCACAGATGGTGATGGAGGAGTGATTGAAGCGTTGCGGGAGAATCTCACGTTGAATAAAATTGACGATCAACAGCAAGTTAGAGCCAGAACACTGCTTTGGGGTCAGGATTTAAAAGGAACGTGGGTGGAAGATGGATGCCGCGCTCATCCATATGACATTGTACTCGGCGCTGATATCGTAAGTTCATATACTCTACTGACTGGGAGCAGATAACTGACCTAACCCACAGACATACGAAAAATCAGCAATATCGGCCCTAGTATTGACGCTTCAGAGTCTCTTCGATATGAGGCCGAAGCTCCAAGTTATTATATCAGGCGTTGTCCGAAATGCTGAGACATTCCAGACATTCAGAGATCAATGTGGTGCGTCTATCTACCTATATGGGAAATTGGTCTAACGTTCATAGCCTCCCATCATTTCGTGGTTGAAGATATCCAATTTGAAGCGAAACCGATGCGTCAACAGAAATCGCTATTCTACGCGGCCGCCGTGCCACTGAAACTGTTATCTATCACTCGTCCTTGAAGGAACTCCCACTACGAACTGGCCTCGCCGTTAACATAGAATAGAAGACAATCTATACTCAATAATAAATTTTATGCGCAAGAAAATTGTTCACTTCAACATAAAATGTCCATGTATACTTATGAGCTATCAAATCAAGTCAAGAAAGCACACACCAGCGCCGCAGCACCGGCCCAAAACCCAACCGTCCTCACGTCAACACCAACTCCTGTAGTACGAGTGGCCGCACTACTACCCGTCGGTGTAGGCGACGCAGACGGTGAAGCCGAAGGGGAACCACCCTGTCCATCTCCATCGCCAAAGAACTCCGGGAATAATTGCGTAGAATTCTTATCCTTCACAATACCATGCAGAATAATCGCGCTTCCATTCAACACGCTCTCTATCTGCTCTTCCGTACATGTCGAGGTATCGTATATATAGCAAAAATGTAGTAAATCGGGTGGATTATCATTTTTAATGGCCCACGTATCACTCGGGCCCTCAGTCTTATACTCGTCATTCCCTACTAAATCCACGGTTCCAGTAGCAATATCTTTGTTAAATAACGCGCGGTGGAACATCTGATACGCAGTTTCGGGTTGATAAGCCGGTACTTCGTGACCTGCTTCGTATACACGCGAAAATGAAAAGTTTCCGTATTGGCGGACTTGTCCGCCGACATACGTCTCGTTGACGACTACATCGGTGTACCCCGCAGCGCGGAATTGCTCGGAGTGCGTGTAATTTACGGCTAGACTTACGGCTTCGCCGCCGATCCAGTTGCATGCGTAGTCCCGGTCGCCGTAGATCATGTGCACTTTAATTCCGTTTTCGAGTAGGTAGGATAGGTCTTCGATCCAACCCGGTCGCGGGTAATCGCCGATGGCGCGGAAGGCGTAAGCGACGGCGCTAGATGATTGTGTGAAGTTTAGCGGTACGCCTAGAGCACGTTGGACGTGTGGTTGGTTGAGATATTGGTTGTAAAAGGGTGCAGGGAAGGGATTCGGATCTAGTGAGGCGAAATCGTAGTAGTTCCGCCCGGAGTAGTCGAGATACGGATCGCGGACCTTGTTCGAACAGAAGGTTTCCGCATCAGAACAGACCTGGTTCACCGTCGCGTTAATACCGATGTTATCCGGATCCGACTCTAGGGCTAACGCGCGACAATCGTTAATTTGATCGCGACACCCGTTAGGTCGTTCGAGCGCATTGACCATCTGCTGATAGATAGTCTCGTTGACGGACTCTATGCCATACGTATTATTATACGCGATATGCGGGTATGCTGGCCATTGGATCTGGCGATCGATGCAGGAGTTAATCAAGATCAGCGTGTCCAGGTTGATAATATAGCTCTCGCCCTCATCCTCCCACGTGCCATTCTCGATTTTCTGATTCTGCTCCTCGAAAAACGCTGCGAATTCGGGGCCATATCGTCCACCATATGATTCAGTGGCGATGCTGATTCGCGAGTCGTTCGGGTGGTATCCTGGAAACTCTTGGAACCAGGTCTGTGCGAAGTGCCATAGCGCGATAGCGGCATTCCGCGTACCTTTCGCGGTTTGGCTACGGTTTTGACTCGGGTATGTGCCGATTAGGAGGGTGGTGTTTTGCTCAGGGACGGGGTCGGAGGCGTTAAGTTTAACGACATCACCCGTGACGAGATCTTGTGTGATGTTTTGTAGAACATCGTATGAAAAGCCCACTTGGGTCGGTTGGTCTAGGAATAGTATATTGACTTGGGTGAATTAGCGATTTTGTATAAATTTCATTGAAGTCATTAGAAATGAGTCCGTTCAGCTTACCATCTGTATTCCATGCCCATTGGCTCAAAGTAGTTGAATTGGAGTCGGAATTGACGTAGCAAGGTCCGTTCTCAGTGAAGAGTCCGTACAATGAACTACTTCCAGGACCGCCGTTCAGCCATATTGACAGTGGTGCACTCTCTGGGTTGTTTCTCGCCTCGAAGAACCAGAAAAATGTGTTGATAGGATATTCTTGGTCTTCTCCTAGATCGGCGAGAGAACCGGGAGGTAGAGATACATATCCCGCATACGATTTGACTCCCGGAGTTGTTTCACAGATGCCTGGCTAGAAAACATATTAATCCTGAGCGTTTGGGATTGATATCGTGCCTAGGTTGGCTCTTACTTACCTCCTTATAGCTAATCTTAACGCCATTGTCGAATTTCGATTCAAGAACAGTGACATTTTCCGGCGTTGGTGGGAATTGAGCTCGAGCCAATGGCAACAGCAGAGAAAAGCCGACCGCCGTATGAAGGGCAGTCGACAACATGGTGAATAAGGTCAAGAGTATCCACCCCAGAAGCGAAAGTCTTCATTGTAAGGCGGTCTAGACATTTACCTTTATATACACCTAATATTCAATCCTTTGGACTTGGCGTATCCGTCTAGTCCCCCGCATTTCTATACGATCGCATCGCTCGCTACCTTGCCAGCTGTATGTACGCATGGCTAGATAGTACATACGGGGCTTCCGAGTATAACCCTAGAAAATGCCTAGAGTTAACTAGAAAGACAAAGCGTGGGGATAGCTAGAGAGATATCCAATGAGGCTGGTAGGTTTTGATCTATAAGCTCTATAAGCTCTATAAGTATGCATATTGCGTGCTATGGACAAGCTCGACGATAACACAATTAAGGAAGGTTACAGTGGGAATACCTAGGTAGTTTAGGTCTTATAGCGAACCGAGCTACCCCGCGTAGAAGAAAAAGAAGAAAAAATCTAGGCGGTTGGAGTCCCTGGAGAAAAACTTGGCTGGGGTATCTCCTAGGCGGGATGATGAGGTTACATTCGGGTGACATGATACCCGATCGGGCGATAGTTAATATACATGCCTTTTATATGATATAGGTAGGTATATAAGCGACTTGTAGGAAGATTCAAGACTATATGTATGCCATATATGTCATGATAATCAAATGGTACCTCAGAGTTGTGAAATGGGCAAGTGATGTTGTTTTTCTTAGATTTGGGGTTATAGCCTAATATTATATATTTCAACCAACGTCTCGGGGCGTAGTTGACGTAAATTTAGGGCGCCATGGCACTAAAAGCGCCAGAGATTAGGTATTAACTATAGGTGACAGTTAGTGTTGTACAACTCCAAGACAACAGAAAATCAATGGGAGTAATAAAATAAATATTGATTTCTCCATAAATGGCATTATATAGCTTTTCTAATAAATACCTAGGTAAATAAAAGCTATTTTACTACTAGACAGCATCTGTATATTTATCTTTCATATCATCTCTCTTTCTCGTGAAAATGTATCCAGTAACGCCATTCCAATGACTTCGTAGACCCAATCAACCCGCAAAGCTATTTAGATACCCAACCGCTGTATCATAAGTAAATCATACAATTCTACCCTCCGAATAGGCACTATCCCCTATCCATTGCAAGTTCGGAGGTCTTCTGCTGTGCTCATTTGATGCTTTTCCTGCTTTATCTAGGTCTTCTTGAACAATGAGACGTGACGAACGCTCCCGATATGCAACAACTGGAATCTATACGTTATTGCTTTGTCCTTCAAATAGCCCAACTACCTCTCCTAGCTCGAACACCCCAGGCCATCTCGCCAGTCCCAGCGTCGTTAAGACTCGGATGTTGGCGTGCCCATTCCCGTATGTAGAGCTTGAGCGCGATCCAACGAGGCGGTTTCGGTTTTCTGCGTGAAACTCGTGTTATCCTTTCATCCTCCTCGGGTGTGCGCAATGGCGTCTCCTCGCCACTATCCGAATCTATCGCGGAACTTCCTTTAGAAACGCTCATTTCCATTTGCAGCATAAAGCCTTTCTCAACCTTGAGATTGTCATCCTTACGTAGTTCATGGATGTCGATCCCGCTAATCTTGCTTAACTCAAGATCAAAGGCACGCGCGGTAGCGGGATATCCGAGACTAATATAATTGTAGACTTGCGTAACAAATTCATCGTCAAACTCGGCGGCGATGATCTCCTCGAGCTCCTTACGCGCCTTTTCTTTCTTAAGTCGTTCGTCAAGCCCCGAGAGTATATATTGGCCCCTGCTGTTGCGATGTGATGGAGATGTCGCTCCAGGAGATTGCGTACCAGTCATGACACCACTAATGCTCACAGAATCGCCAAATGCGGCCGCAAACGGGTCCTGAGGTGTGTCCTGGGGAGTCATAAGGAGATTCGGCCCCGGGTGAGGGGTTTCTATGTTGTTGGTTTTGGCGGAACAATACCCACGCCAGAGTCCTGTACTGCCGGTAACGTCCCGTTGTTGCTCCTCGGGCTTATCGAGAACACAATATCGCTGGGTTGGCTCCATGCGCGTTTGCTTCGGGCTGGGACATATACGGAACTCGAGATCACCGCCGAGCATGGGCGGGGAAGCGGCCATACGCATCCTCCGCATCTGAGGGTCTTCCGGCTCGTTTGCACGGAAAGCAAAGGGGATGCCGAATGGGCTAGCACGGAGGCCAGTCTCCGGTGCGTGATGCGGCGAAGGTAGATGAGGATGAGAGTCTACTCTAGCCAACAAGGCTGGTGAAGATGCACTCAGTACTGGACTTGTAGTATCCTTCATACTTTCATCATATGAAGTTCGGAATGCAGATGTAGTCCATAGTGGATCCGCAGGCGGAGGGGCTAAGTCCATATGGTCCGAGCCTTCGTCGATACTCATCCTCTCTTGCCTATTGTGAGCTAGCTTTTCAGCATGCGCTCGCATTTCTTTAACGGCCCAGCCCGGGTCGGATTCCTTGCGTCGCAAAAGCTGCGAAGTGCCATGTCTTAATCGTTCGTCCAAAGGATCGTCATCTTCCGAATTATCTCTCACGAGAAAATGCTCCACACCTTCGGGTCGTACACCATTGGGGAACGCTGCCATGGCCGATTCTAGCTCACGTTGCCTGTGTGCCTCCCTTGCAGCCACCGCTAACAAATAACCCGAAAATTCCTCGTCACACGACTCCCGCCTATCACGAAGATGGGGCTTTCTGCTGCTCCACGAATCACCATCGTCATCCTCTTCTTGTTCCGGGATCCCGCTAGACAGGGCTGGCGCCCCAAGATTGAGGGCGGGAGCATCTGCAATATCATCATTTTCTTCGGAAGACTTTTCTGATTCGGATGACATTATAGTATCAAGGTCGGGAGTATATGATTGTCGTGTGCCTCTCCGGGTATTAGGATGTGGTTTCATGGATTGCTGTCGGCGCGGCGTTAGAAGACCCTCGCCCTCGCTATTGGCGTTTGGTACGCCAGCAACGGCAGGGCGAGGGGCAGCTTTTCGCTTCGGTTTCGGGGCATAGATGTGGTTTGTACCCGGTGTAATATCCGTTTTGTCTACTGGCTTTGTAGCTGGGCCCGGTTGATCGGCCTTCTTTGACCTTCGCGTGGTTTCAATCAATTGCGGTGCAAACTTCCTCCTCGGTTTGTTCTGCGAATTTTCGCGCTGTTTTGAGCCAGCTCGTTGTTCCTCTAAATAGAAGGATGATTGTGGGGTTGTCGGTGAGGGGTCTGGCGTCAATTCGGCGGTGGGGCCTATGGGATTCTTTCTGTTGTTGCTTACTCTGTACGAATCGAAAGTGGTTTCAATAGGGACAGGAGCAAAACGTCTCGCGGGCTTAAGCGGCTGCGGTGGAGGTGGAGGTGGAGGTGGTGCATCTGGCATTTCGGTGTCGTTGACTTGGACCGAGACATCTCTTGTAGTCCGCCTGGTTGAGTTGACCGTAGAATCCGGTGGTGTTGAGGCCTGCTTCTTACTCGAGGATGACTTCACAGATTCTTCAACAAGCTGAGGGGCGAATTTCCTGCGTGGCTTTGTTGCGGGTGCGGGTTGTGGATGGGCAGTCGCAGGAGAATCAGAAGTAGTAGTAGTATCGGCGGATGTCGTAACATCACGCATTGGCTCGTCTTCACCGGATGCCATCTTGGAGTGTGTATTCTGCTTGCTGACGAACACACGGCGCAATCATTAATCTAGATGGGATAGGGAGGTGAAATAATACTAAAATCATGTATTGATAACGAGTTGCACAGTGGACAACACAGAAAAGGATGAAATAGATTAAAATTCTTGAAGTTATCGACAAAACAAGGAAAATGATGGAATAAGAGGAGCAAACAAGTAGCACTAGCAGCAGCAGCAGTAGCAGTAGTAGTGACAGCAGTAATAGTAAAGCGTTGGCTCCGATTCTAGAAACAGTTAATACTTAACAAATCCCCCTAGCTTTTTAGCCCCGTGACGAAAGATGGCCATGGATCAGAGAACCCACGAACGACGCACCGCTAGTTTTGCATTGAGGAGTCCCGCGGTCTCCTCCGGGCGGTGGGGGATGTGGATTTGCGGGTGGGCAGAGTGGAGCTGGCTAAGGATTAAAAAAGAGCGGCCTAGAGTAGAAAAAAAGGACTAAAGGGGAACTGGTAGCGGTAGCTTCGTGTTGGCATTGTGGGATGGAAAATGGCGATCTTTGTGTGGATAGGATGGGAATGGATGAGCCGGTACCGACCCAGAACGTTCTTGAATTGCCATTGGGGCCATTGGGGCTGAAGATATGGGGAACGAATGGGATACCTGCATGCCATGTACATGTAACAGTAAGTACCTACATATATATATTATGTATACGTAGACATTACTATCCATTGTGGCAGATCATGCACTGTATAAGATAGATGCAGGAGCCATTGTCCAATAGATGTGTGTAGTGGAGGAGATTATGTTCCAGCGTAAGGAAGAAGAGGATAAAAAAAAGTTGAAGAGGGAAAGGAATAAGGTCGTCCGGTTTCGCAGCTGGGCGAAATTCAATTTGGAAAAAGAGTGAACCTTCCCTATCAAACCATTGTGGAATAGACTTTTGAGGTAAGGGATTGGAGTAATAAAGTTCTAATAAACTCAGATTTCGTGGAGTTAATTGCTATAGCTAAGTACCTTGATGTACATGAGATATGAATAATATTGAATAAAATTAATTACCTACCTATTACACGTTTGTATTACAACCTTAGGTTACTCTTGTGATATCTTGACTTCGTAATGCTCGATTCGAATTGACTTTTTTCTTTTTTTCTATGGAGGGGTTCCTGATAGCGAACATGTTGTATTATACAGTGTGACCCCGCATATTTATACATGCATGAAACGAAGCCATGAGCTTGCGACAGGTACCGTACGACTAGGTACTTCCTTGTAACTAGCCCCAGACTTACATCCATCTCATTTTCATTACACACACAGACACAACACGTGTACCAGGGGAAGACCTTGCAGACCGACATTTTAGGGTATGCGCTTCAAGAACGTTTCCCATCCGAAAGTTGTTTAACATTCTTAAATTGTCTCTTTATTAATCTTCATATCGAAGGTCGGAAATCTATATATTTGTATACCATCCTCTTTTTGTAGACACATAATGATATCCGATAGATTTTACTAGATCCTGCAATTGGGTACGGGTTGTGGCATAAGATAATAAAGCCGGGATATCTATTTGAATCAAAGTCCTGACATCATTTGGCGTAGTATAGACATAATCGCAGGTCTAGCCAGTTCGAATCGGACTTAAATCGGACTTGACACACATATTCCTTACATCTTTGTTCAACTATACGCGTTTACACAAAGAATCATTTTTAACTCTTTGGTTGAGGTTTCACTTAATATTATACACGTGTATGGCATGGCGTTCCTGATATTGACTTTATTTGTTTAATAATTAGATTAACGAGATCTCGGGAATTTTTAGTCTGAGCGAAAGTTCGCATGTGTTGTTTTTACACCGCCTATCGGATCTACTGTACAGTAGCACTTTTATCTAAAGTTATCTCATCTGAACTCGGTCACATGTACGCGCTCAGATACATTTCTAGCTCTGGGGGTGCATATTTTACATGTTTTACATATTTTAGTAGGCTAACTCGTACAATGTCTTACCCCGTATTTAGTCACTGAAACAAATAAGCAGTAGACCTTTTCATAATCTTTCTCAATTCATATTCGCGAAAAAAATGAAGTTTTTGAAATAACATCGAGATCTGTGGATATCCCTTACCGAATTGATGAAGCTGCGTCATCCCGGCACTAATCCAATTACGAGATTGACTATATCTCTAGCAAGCAGGTTATGGAAATGTCTACTCGTTTCCGTCGATAATAAATAGAACTAGATAACTATTAGCGGCCGGATAGACCTACCGTATTAGGGCGACTAAGGTAGTTTAGAAGAATCGCCTCCCTTCGTGGCTGTTAGGCTACCTTGGCAGCTTACCTGTCGTCGTCATTGACCGGTTACGACAAAAATGCCAAAATACTTGTCTATGAAGTTGCCAATTCATTTAGGATATGGTACATATATGTTGGTTTACGACTGGTGCATTTCCCCCAAATTTCCGATTTTCGTACCGGCATGAAGTTGAAATATCTGGAGATTAGAGCTTAAAGGAATATAAGAATCCTCAGCTGATTCTGTAACGATTAGGGATCTCGTATGACTGCTAAGATGGGGTTTTATTTTACGCTCCTAAGCACGGGCACATAGAGTCTTCACTATTGGCTCATCTTCGCCTCCGCTCCTCCGCGTACGTTGTTGCAGCATAGCCGGGTCTCGATGGTTCTACCGGCTGTTCCACTGTTCCGGACCTCCCTCGTGCAGCTCCGGGATTCATTGCTTGTTGATCGCATTGACCAAATAGTGGTCCGCCTGCGAACAGGCCAACGTGCACCGCGAAGTCGCAAGTCATTGCGCAAGGGAGAGAGAAATGTGTAATCTCATCTTGCCTATCCCTTTCTTCCTTACTATATTGATTATAATGGAGATTCTCTTAATATATCGAATCCTACGTGAAGACTGCGCTGTATATGTTCATGACAACTGACAATAAAGAATCCGCAAGGCTTGAAGAGAAATTTTTGGATACCCATTCTGCGGTATAAATCTGATGCCCTCCTAGATAGTGTCACGCGAGCAGATGTAGTAGCCGTGGAGACGCACTCAACGGACAGGATGCAGGCACGCACGTACGCCCGCGCCCGCGCGCAACGATGCGGCGCCTGAGATGACAGCTCGTCTAGGGAGATGAGAGTGGAGGAAGCCAGCATCATCATGTCAAGGGAACGTATCACGATAGGACAAGTTTGGGGGCTTTGTACGATAAACCTCGACCGCCACGAGCCGAGACAAGTTTTCGGTGCTACATTTTAATTTCCCCAGCGTAGGACAGACTCCATCTATCGCCGCCATTTCCGTCCAGCCTACATGGAGTTTTATCGCTTCCCTCGATCTGAAAAAGTGAAGTTACTTTCGGTGTTGGGTTGAGTCGATCATAACCCCCAGCTAATCCGAATCATACCTAGTATATGAGAATCCATATTCGTGCCGACCCGATAAAATGCAATATGCCCCACGGATGTCAAAGCTGCGCACAGTCTTTCCAACCAAGCAATCTTGGGTAATTAGGAGGTGCCGGGTTGAACCGTTCCTTGAATGCCACGGGGTTGTTGCTGATAACCCGATAGATCAACATTCGATGGTAAGTAACCAATCCGTAAGGCTATTAGGTACCTATCTACCTACCAACTCCGACACCTGGTCATGCCAAGAGATATGAAGCTTGATAGTATGATGCCTATCTGATAAATAAAGCTTTGTCGATGTTGCAATTGAAAATCCTATCAACCTCGAATAGGATAACAGGGTACGTAGATGGCAACAACCTTGCCGGGTGTCTTGTAATTACCTGTGTGACGCGACACACGGCTGTGATATTAAGCAAATACCCGATATGCGTCATTTAAGGTCGACAGGCAGTTTCAAAATGAATCCCTTAGGAATGAGTAGAATTTGGGAAAGGAAAGCCGGTGATAATGGCTTGATAATACCTCATGTTGAATCTCATCATTGTCTCATATTGTCAGCTTCTGCGTTTCGAGATAACTGACACTTTGAGCTCAACAAAAAACCTGCGCAGGTATACTCCATCTAGCTGCAGGCGGATATTGGCGCGATCGCAATATAACGAATCATTAGATATTGCACTTGATCCGATCAATTTTCGGGTACCTAGGTAGTATCCATGGAGTTATCCTGCCTCTGTCACATGTCACATGCATGTTGGGCTGCAGATGTAACGGGGCGTGATAGTATTAGGCTGTGACGTTGGCGGTAATTATTTTGTTTAATTTTCGAGATAGCTAGATGGATACCTACTTTATGATAAGTAGGTAGTTGAAGTGGGTAGCATCTTGGAGATTAGAGATGCAAAAATAATAGAAGATCTAAGTCTATCATGTTGAAGTTCGCATTCTTTTATTAGCCTTCAGTTTTGGATCGTGTAGTTCCACGCGGGACGTTGAACTGTCCAATCGTTCTGATAGAAATTAGTAACGATAACATCGACCTAAAATCGCGGAACTCCACCAGAATCCACTTCGCACAGACATAGTCAGGCCAACCATGACGTATCTCTCGTCGCAGTGCATATCTCTAAGCTCGGAGTTTGAAGGGATAAAGAGGTTGGTAAGAGGATAGATCGCGATGCTGAGGGGGGGGGACCTAGCTCTATAGTTGAGACAATAACTTGTTAAACTATCGAATCACGTCTCGTTGCGGTGAAGCCTGAAGCCTAAGAGCAAACTCAATTTGCTAATGAATAAAAATGTAAAGCTTTGGTTAATTACTCTCCCTTTCTTTACACTTATATAGAGACTTGGAAACGCATTTTATTAAGAATAACTTCTTACAAATGACTATAAATTTATAAACTTTCCCACTACATGAAACTACTTACATAACTTAAGTTGAGCTAGACGAACATGGATGATAAAACAGCTAAATATTTAGTGTAAAAATTGTCGAGGTCCCGTAGAGGATCACCACCTAAGAACTTTAGCCTCCTCTTCTTCGTATTCCGCAAATAAGAACAACTATCGAACTGTTACTCTTAGATAATTACTTGCATTCGTAATATAAACTATTACTTAAGGATACCTAGATATACCCATTAGATACCTAAGTATGTAGGTTATTGTCTATTGTTAGGATTTTGGAACGTACAAAACATTGAAGAAAGATAAAAGGGGGAAAGCAAAGAAGTGATAGTGGCGAGTTTCTTCCCCCAGAAAGATCAACAGCCCTGAAGCTCTGGACCAATTTTTTCCCTTTCTTCTTACCCCCCTGTCTTCCCACCCCTGGCTTACTTACCGATTATCTGCAAAAGCGTGATAAACCCTGCAATAAACCTGGTCACTATCCGTACCGCTAAACCCATTTCGTGTAGATAAGCTGGACAAGTAACTTCGTAGCTGCATGAAAAAAGCCACTGGACATAAGCCACATGGACTCTGAATTGGCAGCACGAGGACAAACAGTGTGCTAATAGTGTCGTAAGAGCCTATTAGAAGCGTTAGATTCGTCGAAATCCGTCAAAAAGCATAAGAAAAATCTTAAAATCATTCAGGCACAATCAACAATCAATGACATTCTCCATTCCCCATTTTCTCTCTCCATTCCTCTTAGCCTATAACATCTAACCTCTAACTCTCAGCTTTCGGTCCTCTCCACGATCCATGCGCTCTGTACGGCATACATACCGTCAAACTGTTTGACTATTCATCTGCCGCCCGATCCCGCGTTTCGTTTCCCGTTGAACCCGTTATTACCTATTCTCTACTTTTTTTCTTCTTGCCCACCCTTTTGCAGCGTCTATCACAAAGAGTTGCAGATGTACACCATCGTCACCAACTTGACAAGGATCACGACCCGGTCTTAATCCTAGCTATCATGGAAAATTAATTGATTGACTGAAAAAAAATATTATTATCGGCCAAAGCAGCAACAATAGCAAGCGGGACTGGGATCCGATTCGATTTTCTTATTATCTTTTTTGGAGTCTCTTTTTTCTTTATTGTCCAGTCGAGGGCAACTTATCGCATCCATATTTTGCTTTACTTGTCTGCTTACTTTTTTTTCTCTTCTCCATGGACTCTTTTGATTTACCATCTGATCTATATTATTTCTGCATTGCGACTATATCCTGTCAGATCTGTCTTGAGCTACCTTAAACTTGTGTTCCTACCATAATCTCTTGTCCTTCCTCTGTACTCAACTCGAAACCTATTGTCTTTTTGGAATTTTGCGCTCGAGTTACTATAACATTTTGGACGACGCACATGCACGACGTATTACCTGCGCCCGCGGCCCGCCTTGTTTGGTTCCTCCCCCCGCTATAGTGGCCGTTATTTGAGAGATCGCTTCCCTCTGTTTGGACAGATTTGGAACGGGGCGATAAACCCAATAGCCTACTAGAATATGGCCGCGATGTATGGCGAACTGCCCCAGCATGATAACGATGACGACGACCGAAACAATGGCCGATCTCCTTCATTTTCGCTCTCTCCCGCACGCTCGTCATCACCTATGCCTTTTCTCCCGACCGTTGAATCGACATTTACTCCCTTATCGATGGATAGCGATTTCTATTCTAGCATTGGAGGAGGAAAAGATCGTGATTTGGCCGAAAATGAATCCCAAATAATAAGAAGCCACAAAAAAACCAATAGTAGCACGGCCACAATGGGGTCCGGAGCAAGGGCCAGCGTCGGGATTGGCCTCACCAACATGGTCCAATCATTATCGCCAGCACGAGCCACACGTAACGGTCGGAACGAATACGGACTCGTGTCTCCTGATACTGCTCCATCTTCCCCTTCTTCGAGTTCGAACCCCGACAACGCTGGTTCAACCCCAGATCCCAATCTTGTCGCCGAGAGAAATTCTGCATCTAAATATGTTGGGACTGATTCCCCAAACTCAAGAGCGACGAGTGGAACTTCGGGAGGAGACTCGCAGGTAAAAGAGATATCGTCCCTACAGCGTCAGCTGTACTCGCCGCAGCCCCTTATCATCAAGCCGAAACCTCTTGTTAGAACTGCTTCCACAAAAAGTGTTTCACTGCGTCATCCCACCCCTGATCTAAATACCAGATCCTCGTCTTATGCAACTAATATTGCCCAATTGGAGGCCACCGCTGAAAAGCTTTCGATGACCTCGTCCATTGAAGACGCCATCCGAGATCTGCACGAGGAACAAAAACGGAACGATAGTCGACGGTCTTCCATCTTGGCTGCGAGCATCGGCTCAATCCCCGAAAACAACGAACCAGTATCCTTTCCGGTCACGAAACCATTATCCACTGCCAGTTCGATTCTCGAAACTAATAGTGCTGCACGCTACGGGGCTTACTCTCCAGCCGGCTTCATGTCACCTAATTCTTCCCTATTATCCAACCCGACGCGCTTAAGATCGGGTTCCGGTACACTCGCGAGGCCTGACGTCGAAATTGCTAGCACTGGCGCCATGTCAAGGCACGGTCCGGGAAAAAGCTCCGTGCGGAGTGTCAGGTCCGCTTCCAAGCCAACCTTGACAGATATTGCCGAGATGGAGCCCACATCACTCACGCCAGCAGCCATGGATGCAGCGGACAAATTGCCCGAGGAACCAGAAATCGATCAGACGTTACACATACCACATATGGAGGATGTTGACCTCACACCTAATGCAGAACAATACGGCAAATCGGGTGGCTATGATTATTGGGATCAAGCTGTTGCTGAAACTCAAAAGGGTCAAGGGACTCATGACGAAAACGACAGGCCGCCGACGGCCGCTGGATCTACTGGTACTTTTGAACAGGCCGAGCAAGCTTTCGCGAATTTCGATGGTGCCCATTGTCCATCGGATGTCGATTTGGAGGAATCGCTATTTATGCCTTCGTCTTCGAATTGGCCGCCAGCAGATGCTCCGTTCTTGCGGCCTTTCGACTTGGAACCTTCTAGGGATGAAGAGGAGCCGGATCGTTCGAGGCCTGTTATATCGGGTCCAATCGGCCCACCAACTGTGAGACCAAAGTCATACTTAGATCCCGAGACTGGCGAGACGATGCTCTATTATCCAGCTCGCGTTCCGTTAATGCTCAATTTGCCACAAAAGCTGTCCAAGAAACCGAAGGCTGAAGTACGGGAGACACGTAGATCTCAGATCCTGGATAAGATGGCTGGAGGAGACCGCAAATCTGGTGCTACTTGGTTACCAGAGTATCTTCCGGAGCCTGCGTTTGAACCATTGGGACCCAATTCCGACTCTTTCACTCCAGCACCTCCTACTGGTCCTGGTGCGGAATCACATATACGGCCGGTTTCAAACGACCAGCGCGAACCCGAGGGCCAGCCTACCGCCGAGCCTGGATTGACGGATGAAGCACGCAAGTCTCGCATATCAGTTCTTAACCAAGACAAACGGAAGTCGAAAGTTCCTAACTTGGATGGTTTACCGCCACAACTTCGCGCAAGCGCCTTTTTCGACTTGCCTTCTGAGGTGCCAACTATTCAGCTTAAAGATGGCTCCGCAATGGCGACTCTCGATAGTATTCTAGACGCATCAGCGAAGGCACCCGTATCCGCTTTTACCGACCACGCTTTCGCTGGATCTTTAGGGTCTGAGGTTTATGGCGTCGAAAAGAAGCGCAAGTCGCATATGAAGCGCGCTAGTGCTACTGACTTACTAGAGCCTAAGAAACGCAGCTCCTTCTTACACCTTAGGAAGCCTAGCGCTCTAAGCCGGCATTCCGATTCCCGGGAGGAGCGGCGTAATACTATCGCCGGAGGTACGAAGGCGGGTAGCATTCCAGGTAACGGACCAGAACAGGATGAGGAAAGACAACGGTTGTCTGGCTCTATTGACGGCCGAGCGGTACCCGAGCACGAAGGAGAAGATGAAGAAAGCGAAGGGGAAGAGGCAGTCTATAATGGCCCGCCCACGACGTTATTGGCTGAATTGCAAATTCGAAAACAACAACAAAAGCTCCGTACCCGACCAGTTGCTTCTGCTTATCCGAATGGTCTACACTCTACGCTCCTAGAGATGGATGCGGTCGCCCAAGTTGAGCACGACGCCCGCAAAGGCAAGAAGATAAACCTTGCTTGGGAAGACCCCAATGCGGGTCCTGTCGATAATTCGGAAGACGAAGATACGCCGCTAGGTTTGCTCATGGCTGCTAAGGGGCAAAACAACGATATGATCGCCGCCATTGCTGAAGTAAACCGACCGCCTGGTCTAATGGAACGACGTGATATGGAAGACAATGAACCGCTAAGCCGGCGCCGGGATCGTCTCCAAGGAAGGGAGGTTGGCCCAATGAAGCGGCAGAGCATGATGACACTTGGCCAGAACTTTCAAAATATGAACGGTAGCCTAAGGGCTCCAAGTCCGCAACTCCGTGTACATACCCCTGAGGAAGAAGAGGTTGAAGGTGAAACCCTCGGGGAACGCATGCGCCGCCTCAAGGCCCGCGAACAAAATTCTTTACCTCAGGCTAGGCCAGTCAGCTCCGCATTTTCAGCCGAGCTTCTTAGCCAGTTAGGCGACACATTCAAAGAGGACGAAAGCGAAAGCAAGAGCCAAGGTAAACCAAAGGCCCCGGCCAAAGAAGAGGAAGAGACCTTGGGACAGCGTCGACGTCGGTTACAAGCAGAACGTGAAGCCCGCGAGCGCGCAATGACTAGTAATATGCTTACTGGTGTAACGCCCGAAGTGGCCACATCGAAACTCACGAAACGCCATTCTCTAGCTGATGTGCTTGGCGCGGGTGGATCGAAAACTGTTCTAAGGGATCCCAGGGCGGACGCGGCAAGAGCAAGGCAGGAGGAAGCAGCTCGCTACCAACAAGATCAAGATCGTAAGCTAGCGGCACTTCGCAGTCAGATGCCTTCCAGTCTTAGTACACCGAATTTAAACCTACCTGGAGGCTATATGGCCGGTCGATTCAATGATGGTACTGGCGGGGGCGTCGGTCATCCACGGACGACGACGGCTATGAACGGATATGCTGGTCAGGGTACGGGAATGAGTACTGCCATGCTTAATCATGGACGAATGAATAGCGGAATGATGGGAAATGCTTATCCTACCGGACCAACTATGGGAAGCCCGATGCCTCCGTACGGCACACCAAATGGATACGGTACCCAAGCACCCGGTCAAATGGACAGAGTAGAACGATGGAGGCAGAGCGTTCTACCTTAAGGTCCCCCTTTTAGCCTCGAGCATCACATTTCGAGGCTCACTAGAGCGAACAATTCAACGACACCTGCTGTATTATGCAAGCATCGCGTCGGCGTTACACTATAGGTTTGGGAGTATTCTTTTTTGGATCTTGCATGGTGGGCATCACTGGGGGTAGCATTGGAGTTCGAAAAAGAAAAGTACACGTGTTGCATATATAGGAGGTATACATATATAATGTCATGTAAACATATAATCAGCGGGTGGCGATGTTGGAAGGACGGACGGCGACGCATTCAGATATATATAGGTATGTTGCATATTGTATACAGCGATTTAATAGACACAATAGTCCATATATGTTATTATTACTCATTACAAGACTTAGCCTTGGTTTTTTTAAGCTCAAATGGCACGCAACGCGCGTTGAGCGAAATAACGATTCATTGAGGCGCCCGTGAACATTATGGCGCAATGGGTCTTCTTGAATGGAAACGCAACGACAAAGCACTAAGCCTCAACTGAAACGCCGACATGAAGTACGGGTTGTGTCGGTATACCAGCTTTTAACTTGACTATATCTGGTAAGGGGTTTGATTCGTATGTCCTTAGATCAAATTCAATAGCTGAAACTAATGGTCAAAATAGCTTTCAGTACGACTTTAGGAGACATTGTATCCGCCAAGAAGTACGATGATGGTATTAGCGTCAAAAGGAAATATCCTCGCGGGATCATATCGGGATTTAGTCAGCTTCCATCTTACCCTTCAGGCGAGTCACGCTCAGGAGATATGAACTCCGGGAAAACACGCTGCGTAGCTTATCATTGAAACAGATGTCGGTTATTCAGGCTAGTCAATAATCAGTTGCTAGTACGTTGTCCAACGGGGTTCCCCGTGGCAGGCGAGTCATGTTTATTCTGCGCATCCTCATGGCGGTTGAGCTTCACGTTTCGAATAGTATCGCAAGTAGAGATCACGATGAGAAATCTGGAGTCGACTGCTTGCAACACGCTTGGCACCCCTAGTGACCCACGGACAAGACTTTTATATATCACCTGAAAACGAAACGCCCCCGTTGAATTTTGAGCCTCCTATGTTGATCATTGCGTAGCCCGGGAGGTGTGGGACGAGATAGCGTAGTTTGAGTCTTTCTAGTCTATGATTGGCTCTTATGTCTCAAGAGTAAGACTAGTGGCATACCTATTTCTGCCTCCCGCGTGGAGGAGGTTGGGTTGAATAAAGTCAATGCCTGTCCGATGTTGAAAAATGTTGGGATGATACCTGGTCTGAATTACGTAGGGGGGCTTGGGGACTTGAGGAAGGTTTCGATCCGCCATGACGGCCCGTGAACTATAACGCCCTCTCGGCGTCTGATGTTTGAACTAATACGATATCCTTCAATATCCTTCAACTTTATTAGAGTACTAGATACAATCCAATAAAATACTAGTGTTTTCTATAACATATCATCAGAAGACTACCTTTAGTTGACAGATAGATATGGATATCGGTCAAGTCTAGTGGATGATAGCATCCATATTATTGCCTCATGGCATGAAATATGGGGAGGCATGAAGAATAGGGGTTCACGTATGTACTTAGTTACCGGACGCAGCTGAATCGTATCGTACCTAAGTACCACTTTTCCAAGCGCTTGCAGTTTAGACCACATGGCTTATCTCCAGGTATTTTCCGGGTGTTTCAGCATTCTCGAAATGTTATTTATACATATTTCTTGGGGGGCTAATTCCTTTTCATACTAGGAGCTTTGACGATGTCTTAAATTCTATATACACCACGGAACACTAATCATGCCCAAACACGACCCCTGTATAAGTAGAATAGGGGCCGCTTACTTACATTCTCGCCGTTAGATTGAAGTATGAACACATCCGAAAAAATAACTATAGGAATTATGGGTGTAGTTTAGTGAGGCATTCCCCTCCTAGTCTACTCGTACCTGGCTTTAGTGAACGCTAAGACGAGGCTCTGCGGGTCAGAGCACGACGTCGTCTCTCTCTAGTAGGCGCCCCATATTCCACTAATATTTTCCCCGTGATCTATTGGACTGATTCAACGTTTTTCTCGTGACCTTGAAAAAATATGAATCTTTCATGCACGATGTATGAAGGGAGACTTGATCTTCCCCAGGGGGGAAGAACCGATCCGGGGATGTGCCAAGCATGAAACATTTAGCCATCCATTGGAATGCTTCTAGTACAACCCCTATTAGGATACCTCCCTACTGCGTCAGTTCAGTAGTAAGTGTCCGTTCGCGCATCTTTTAGACTATTATCCTTATTGCACTCGGACGCCTCTCGGACTATGTATTTAAAGTCTTGAGTTTCCCAGCTCTTGGACCTGTTAAATTACCACTCATCACCAGCATTAAGACTGATCTTCTTCTTTCTACCTATCCTTTAGCAGAAGAAGGTCAATTCCACTTTCCTTACCTCTCTTAGGGAGTCGCACGAAGCGTGGGACTTTTCACCTAGCAGGGAAGATACTTCTCTTTCTTTATATCATCATTATATCCTTGACTTTCCCAGCGCTCATCATGTATCAATACTTCTTTCTTACTGCCCTCGTCCTATGGGCAACCGGGACCCTTGCCGGGTACAACCCCGGCGCCTCGGACAATATCGCCATATACTGGGGACAGAACTCTGCCGGCGCTGTCAATGCCGGACAGTCCCAACAATCTCTATCAGAGTATTGCTCCAACACCGAAATCGACATTATTCCCATTGCCTTCCTATCCAACTTCAACCCAATAGAATTGGACTTGACAAACATGGACGATGACAAGAACATGGGGGAGGAAATTGCTGCTTGCCAGAAGGCCGGCAAGACCGTCCTGCTATCCATCGGTGGTTCCATGTTCAACTCAGGACCCTCTGACCCCCAAGCAGCAGCGGATCAAGTCTGGAGCATGTTCGGTCCAGGCAGTGGGAACAACCGACCCTTCGGCAACACTGTTGTTGACGGCTTCGACCTGGATATAGAAGCGCCGATCCAGAACATCGCGCCCTTCGCCGCTCGTCTCCGCCAGAACATTGATAACGCCAACAACGCCGGTGGTGGCCAGAAGTTCTACCTGTCTGCGGCTCCACAATGCCCATGGCCCGACCAGAACAACGACGCTATGCTACAGGGGAACTCGGCCGTGGCTTTCGACTTCATCATGGTGCAGTTCTACAACAACGCCAAGTGCGACATCCGCGTGTTCGACGGTTCGGGCGGGACTTCGTCCCCTGCACAGGCCGGGTTCAACATGGACCAGTGGGACCAATGGGCGCATTCAAGCAAGAACCCGAACGCTAAGGTGTTCCTAGGCATTCCGGGTGGGCCGTCTGCTGTTACTTCCTCCGAGAAGGCATCGTACAAGGCTCCCGATCAATTGGGTCCTATCATCGCATACAGCAAGAAGTTTGCTAGCTTTGGTGGCGTTATGATCTGGGACATGTCTCAAGTCTGGGCGAATCCCGGCTTCCTCGATGCCATCTCGAACGATGTTAAGTGCCCCCCGGCCCAGAACGCGGCGCGCCGATCAAGCGATGCCGCGGTGCGCAGGGTGCACCAGCGGGAGTGGAAGTTGTAGGATCGATCTAGTTGGAGGAATAGTTTTTGATATCCCATTTTTGGTTAACTATGAGGGTTAGGATTTACTAATCCAAGAGGGTTAACGCGAGGTGATTCGAGTCATCAAGCGAGAACCTCATGGATTAAATGCTTTCGATGCCGATAATACCCTTTTAATTATTTTTACATACACGCATATACGGTACGGGGCGGAGCGAGAAAAAGGGGAAAAGAAAAAGCATCATTCTAGCACTGGCTAGCTAGTTGGCATGTCAGCTGGCTGGCTATGCGGATGATGGATTGGCATAACTCGGAAGCAATAACTTTCATAGATACCCAAATTCGCTGACTAGATTATTAAGGGCGGATTATATCATTTTTCATTATATAGGTAATCATTTATATTGTTTATAAATTAGTTGGATTCGGATTGCTGTTGTTCGTGATGATGATGTTTTGGGAAAGATAAGAAAAGACTTATCCCCAGCCTCCTCCTTTTTTCCCCTTCCCCCTTTTCTTTTCGTTTGCGGTGGCGGTCCGAACGCCACCCCCGCTCGTGTAAGACATTCAACTTTATCTAAGTACCTTGGTACTTTAACCCCTATTTGAATTCACAACATTCAAACAGTCGTGTTTGGCTAATTCCAACATTTCTATTCAGAGAAATTAATTATTCGCCACGATGTGAAATAGTGTTTGTCTTCTACTTAGATAATCCCCGTGCCTCAATCAATCATTAGGTGGCTTATACAAAGAAGAATGAGGGTAATTCGGCTCGTTATCAAGGCCTACGTTCATCGACGTCAGAGGCGCATTCTATCCCAGAATCAGCATGCAGGAATCCGCCAGCCGCTCACATTCATCGGACTTCTACTTCGTAAACTCCTATCTAAGGTATCCGCCCGAAAGTCATCAAAAGCAATTTCAAGCCACCTAGCTTGTACGTAAGATTTGAACGGTCACTTACGGTCAGCAACGTGCTCGAACGGGTATTTATCCAGCAGATCGTTTCATACAGACTTGGCAATGGAGTCGTTGAACCGCAGGTAGGTACCCAGGTATGTATGATAGATTGGTTACAGGCAGTTAACCTTATTTTCTTTCCATGAATAGCTACATCTTCATATACTACTATGGGTTATAGATGTTGCAGTTGCAGTATCATTTTTCAATAGCTGAGGCGTACGAGTTTTTCCGTTTTTACTTGAAGCTGTGACTTCATGACCATAGGTTGAAGCATTTCTATCATTCCTCCAGACCACTCACCTCCTCATCACCATTACACCTTGAGGTTACTCACAACACTATCATATTCCAGTGCTTCTTTCTATAAGATCTGCTCTGGACTTGCTTTACTGACCCTCAAGTACATGCAGGTGACTCAAGCACATAGGGTCCTACGTATTTGAATTACCTTTTTTAAGAATACCCCATAATCTGCAAGAAAAGATGTGACGTCCTCTGCCGAACTTTTATCCAAGTTCGATTATATTAGACATATCTGTCATTGGTCGCGTAAATGAAATTTATCCTAATCCGGGTTATGTTGCAAGTGCCGTGTGGAGGTGCAAGGACCAAACCCCAGGTCAAATTGATTGAGCCGCCATGGAAAATGTGGGCTATATATACCTCCTGGGAAATCTCCCTGCGACAGAATTATTACGAAGGGTCCTTTGATATCTCATGTTCAACTCTACCTCTGTCTCGGACTAGGTAGCTGCTTCAACATGTCGTCGATCTGGAGTTCTCTCCTGCTGTCCTCGCTCCTCGCTGGAGCTAGGACGGCGGCATTGGCCGTGCCTCCTAGTGGATGGGAATCAAAGATAGAGGTGTAAGTTTTATCCTTGCTCAGATATCTCTAGTATCTCTGATCTAACTATTAGGATTCGTATAGTATTCGCAACCCTGTCTACCCGCTTGATGTCGTAGACAAACTAGAAACGGATACCATGCCTAAGGTTGAGTCATGGTTAGCCGACAAGATTGCTGCAGGCAAGAACAACAACTGCACACTGGAGACCGCAGCTGTACGCAGGGAGTGGTTAGTATCCCGTCGTTATAATACCCGTAAAAAAGCTATTCCTTGCTCTAATATAATCACAGGAGCGACCTCAGCGAGGAACAGAGAATCGAGTATGTCGCTGCTGTGACATGCTTGATGAATAAGCCTACCACAGTAGATACGACGAGGTTCCCAGGAGCCAACAGCCGATACGACGATTTTGTCGCATACCACATGACACACGCCATGCAACTTCACGACAACCTCCACTTGTTTGGCGCTCATAAATACTACGTCTACCAGTTCGAGAAGGCTCTCCGTGAGGAATGTGGCTATACCGGCTACCAGCCTGTATGTAGACTCCATCACATATTATGGACGAAGTACTGTTGCTAACTTAGGGGCCTCGCAGTACATGAACTACGACCGTTATGCCGATGACCCAGAGAACTCTCCCTTACTCAACGGCAATGCGTCCAGTCTTGGAGGCAATGGTAAACTGGACCCCTCGTATAAGGGCGTTCCCCAGCCAGGGCGAACTCCCAACATTATCGCGTCAGGCGGTGGTGGTGGCTGCGTCACTGAGGGACCTTTCTCCGAGTATGTTTTCAAACTACTTATTATTGGCAACTACAGCCCCCCCATCTACATTCGCAGTATTTATATGTGACTAACATGGCAACAGAATGGTCGTCAGTCTCGGACCGACCTCAATGTCGATGGGTTCCAACCTTCCCAAGAACCCGAAGTCCGACGGTACGGGCAAGAATCCGCGATGCTTGCGTCGCGACATCAACAAAAATGCTCTCATGGGAGCTAGGGCTGACCGTGCTTACCATCTCATTAACGAGAATGATAACATGGACAACTTCTACAACGAATTACTAGGAACTCCGCCACCTAGAAATGACCCCTACCCCTGGGGAGTAAGTTTTCCTCCTATCACTAGCTAGGTGTGATCAAGTATCAAAGCTGACTTCTGGAATCAGATCCACACCGCAGGCCATTACGTCGCCGCCGTTGACCCCGGTGGTGATCCGATGACTTCGCCCGGTGACCCGCTCTTCTACTTCCACCACACGGCTTTGGACCGTCTATGGTGGATCTGGCAGATGCAGGACCCAGAGAACCGCCTCTATGCTATTCCGAACGTGAACATGACCATGCCTATGCACAAGCGGGCGGATGACCCCCACAAGACCATTGTTGACCTAGAATGGCTTGGTCCTCCCATCAACCTTCTGGAGACGCATGATCAGCTTGGTGGAAATGGTGGTGCTTTCTGTTATGTCTACGTTTAGTGCTGGGGATGGAGTGCTCGTATACATAGCTTAGTTACCTAGGTATTCAAGATAGCGGTGTTTATTCCAAGCTTGAATATATCCTGTCGTTAGCTACCTGTCCAACTTATGTCCTATATCCGGCTAGAAAGACATTCTATTGCTATAGTAACTCCTTCATTAGATCGTCATGGCAAGTATGGCTTCATCATTCTATCCACACCCACCGGCTTCGAATACTAAGACCACTTTTATCTAAATAGGTTTTCTAGTTTCCTTTCAATTTCCACCCCTTTCTGTGGTTCGACAAGCGAGCTAGGAGAGAGTGAGATGCCTCCGCTGCGAAACGATCCCAATTGTCGATACTAGCAAACAAGAATACCCTGGTCCTAGATTATCCAAGTCCCCGCTATTTCTTATGCTGTAGGGTTATTGGGCTTTAGAAACTCCGCGATAGAGCAACTCCGATGGGAAAGTCCGTACATTTTCCTCAAATGAAGAACATAGTTGACCGCGAAACAGCATATACCTTACGAAAATAACTCGACTAGACACGCACTACAAACTTGCTCTCGGCCGAATTGCGGATGCCTCTAGTCATAATCTAGTAGTACAAGTATCCACAGACAAACCCACATTGTCTAACACAAACCGTTATATACTATTTTGGAAATTAAAATCCTCAGTTCGTGATGGCCTCCCTCCAAGTACATCCGTGGGTGGCCTTCCTTTCAAGAAGTCTCGATTCGTCTAGTGGTTAGGATACCTGCTTGTCATTATCTAATAACGAATTCGCAGGTGGCCGGGGTTCAATTCCCCGATCGAGAGTCCTTTTTTTCTTCCTTTATTTCTTTTTTCGTTTACCTTATCCTTATTCTCTTCTATTGGATTTAGTCGAAGACAGATGTAGCGCCTGACGTTGCTGTCACGAACATATTGATGTAAGTAGCTAAGTCTTCTATCTTTAACTAATTTTGTCCATGGCCTAATTATTTGAAGACTGAGTCATTTACTTATTATCGATATTTATATGATTTTACAGGGGAGAGATAATTAGAGCCCGAACAAACACACCGACCACGTTTGTCGCTAATCTTCACGATAGCTTCCTTGTTCTAGATCATTACAACCTCACTTATCCCTCTTTACGGAATTAACGGTGTACTAATTTGGACATCTTCATCTACGGAATTTGTCATTGTGAAAAGTTAAACGTTCATGGTTAGTTACCATTGAAGTTCCATCGGGACATAGTACACTCCCATGGGCGTGAAACGATATGGTCACATCGAGTAACCAAATTTGTACTTAGTTTCCCAAATAAGTCACCACCTTGTCCTCCTCACCTCCTCCCCATCCCAAAGAATTTCAGCCTACATGCAGTGTCACCACTCATCCCATCGGCAATGGGCTAGAATCACTAGCTACGTAAGAGGATTCGTTCGGAACTAGGTACTCCGAATATCATGGATGGATCATATGTTATTTTTCGATAGCATAGGATGGTTTCCTATCAATATTAGACCTGCTAGATTGTAATTTTAGATCTGACGAAGATATTTTTGATGGTTTCGGCAATGTAAATCTTCCTACCCAGCGCCGACTACATTGAAAATAAGTCATTATGGCGCCGATAACTCGTTCGTCAGGCATCGCAGCCCTTACCGTAACTTTGCTCGCAGTATTAGGACCTGCTTTCTACCAATTTGTCTTTCCGTATCTAAATCTTCACTCATCGTCGTCGCATTTCATTTCATTTCCCCTCCCTCCATCTATCTCGAAGTTCCTCCATATCCAAGATGTCGAGCAACAGGCATCACCACCATCGTCATCATCGTTTAGCTGTCTCCCACATACCTACACAACGGAGATAATCTCACTAGACCCGCTATTAATCTACATCGACTCATTCCTCTCGCCGACCGATATCAGCGCACTCCTCGAGGCCGGCGAACCCGAGTTCGCCCCGTCGCAAGTATACAAACGCGGCCGGAACCAAGGGACATCAGATCGCACCTCATCATCCGCCGGGTTACCGCGTAACAATCCAGCTGTGCAATGTGTACTAAACAGAGCGGAAACATTCCTCGGCGCTATGCTAGATTCATCCCGCGATGATATCGGACCCCCGCAGTTGGTCCGGTATACGTCTGGTCAAAGGTTTAATAGACACCACGATTGGTATAAGAACCCGCAGCCCACGCGCAAGGGTATGCTTGGGCGTGGAAGGACGTGGAATAGGATTGCTAGTTTCTTTGCTATTTTGGAAGATCAGTGCACGGGTGGTGAGACTTGGTTCCCGTTCGTGAATACGACTGCGCTTCCGATGGTGGATGCGGAAGGTCGGCCGCTTTGGAGGAGACATGAGGATGGTGGGAGCGCGTTTAGACCTGTTGCTGGGAATGCTTTATTCGTATGTTATACCGGCTGTTTTTATCCATTGAGATTTCCCCATCCAACTCATTTGAGGTCATCGCTAACTCCTTATGCCACAGTGGGTCAATTTATTTAATAACGGTACCGGTGATGATCGGACTGTCCACGCGGGCCTACCGGTAGAGGATGGTTTGAAGACTGCGATGAATATTTGGCCTCGGAAATTCTATGAATAAGATGTGAATTGGATTGGGTCGGGTAAGGTATCGATTTTGTACTATCAGGTTTTTTACGTATTTTATATATTCGATTCCATTCGGGAGATCTCTACCCGGATCCTAAGCACGCCATTGATCTACGGCCGGTCGCCTCCGTCTTCCTGCGAAGTTAACGGCTCATATATTTCCGGATCGGGTTGAAAAAGGGAAGACAGAAAAAGCGGGTATACATCCCGTGTTGACTCCCGTCAAAATTAAGCGAAACCATTGGAATCTTCTTGGAAGTCCACTCTGTGAGCTAACAATAGATCTCTAGATCGTCAAATATGATTCTTCGCATATTTCGAACTCCACATTAGGTCAAACACCCTATAATAGATGACCATTTCGTCCCATTCATACTTGTTACACAAGGTGTAAACCTCTATACCGAATAATCCAACGGAATGCTAAGACTGGCTAGACACAATTGAGGTCTTCGTGGCTCAGATGGTCAGAGCGTTGGTCTCATAGAAATATGACCTGATCAATAGGTTAGGATATCCAAAGGTCGCGAGTTCGAGCCTCGCCGAAGGCAAAAATTTTTTTAACCTCAATGCTGAGATCTACTATTTTGGATTTGATACCCTTTTGGAGGTGGTTACCACTACTCTGGGGTGTTAGTTGGCCTTTATGAAACAGCGATAGCTTTTGTTGGTTGGCGTTTGATGTTTTCATTTTTCTATTGGGGGTTCTGTAGTCCTACACGATGACGTTCATAACTCACATAGTAGTCCATCCTTTTAGCCATACCATTTAAGCCTGGACGATGACTTGAACATCTGTCACCGTAGCCCGTGCCATCTTCTTGAGAAGTGTCCTTTCGTCTGCCTCGCGATACCTTTCCCAACCGTCAAGCCCCTCCTTTGCTTGAATACTTAACGTCTCATAGCCTTGCTTGATCACCTCCGCCACCTCAGTACTAGTGAGGTTCCTCTTAGAGCCGCCAGAGTCGAGCATTGTCTTATAGTGGGTGCTCACACTTATGAGAGTACCTATTGAATTCGACGGTCGAGTCGCTAGGTTGTAAGTATCTCGGAATTTTACCAGAACCTCGCCGCTTTCTACGACTTTATAGAAAAGATCATCATAAGCAGCCGGGGTAGGAAGGAATGCCTCGCCCGCAGAGAGGGAGAGAGCTAGAAGATTTACCACAAGATCTAGGAGGGAATCGAAATGCGACAGGCCTTTAAGGTCGGAAGCATACGTCGTGAGGAACCGGATGAGGGATAAAAGTGATCGAAATAGCTCGGACCAATGGTACTGTAGTCGTGTCCGCGATCGCGAGAGGTAGGAAATAATACGTAGCATAATACCAACACATAAAGTGTAAAGGCTGACATCTAATCTGCGGCGGAGATTGTGATTGATACCGTCAACCATCGTATCGAGAACGCTCGTCGCTAAGATTCGGTCACCTCGGACGGCGGGTAAGAAAGGCTGACGTTGACGACAGAGTCTGACGGCGACCTTGCTCTCATCGCTACACGCGCGTTTACAAAGAAGTTGGTCTTCGATAAGTAGTCGTATAACCATCAAACTGAGATGCGCATAGTTGGTAGCTCGGGTGGAGAGGAAAGCGTGCTGAAGCAAGTAAGAAGTTAGGGATAAGAAACTAGAAATGGGTTGTTCTTCGCCTTTCTCGGCAGGCAAAGTGACAAGATTGAAGCAAAAGAGCTTGTTGGCATGACTGAAGTCATACGTTCCTAATAGCACAGCAGCATCCTCACCCGGTCTAATTAAATTAGCAATAGTTGGATGAAGATGATGGAATCGTAACCTACAACTTCGCAAACATCTGCTTAGCCACTTCTGGGTCATAAGTTGGTTTTTGATTTGTCTTAGCACCAGGGGCAATGGCACCAAGTCCAATCATGCTTAGGGTGTTACTGAATGTCCATCCCTCGGGTAAATCCTGTAAAATATCGATATACTGGCCCCTTAGATTTTTGCAGGTGTGTCCAACACATCGGACAATGGTTTGTATAGCCGCTTCATTGACAAAGTCGTTAAGTCGCAGCTGATAGGGGTTTTGGAACTCGAATTTGTTGTAGTTTGCCAGCAAACCCAACAGGGTGAACGGTTCCAGGACTTTCTCGGCCGAATCCGATTCCTGAATTAACTAGGATGCGTCAATTTTCACTGCTACCGAGTAGGACACGAAGTACCAACCTTCATAATTGCTGGGAAAAGATCCCGTTGTATAAAATACGTGAGGATACTCGTTTGGTATGCGCCTGAGGTAATGGATAAGACCACCTCGACGGCCTTTTGCCGAACTTCCACTACGTCGCAATCGTCAATACCACTTCCTCTTTCACAATGATAAATGCCGGTGAACCTACTCGATTTGCCATTGCGGATTATTCCGTCCAATGCCCCTACAAAATCGGTAAAAACGGCATCGACCTGATCTAGCCCCGCCAGTACAGCTATGATATCGGAACTTGGGTTCGTGTATTTCTTGGGGAGGACGGCCGAGAAGAAGGTCGTTAGAGTCTACGAGGAATTGATTAGAATCGTGTTGTGTTCGCGGGAAGCTCCGGTGTCGGATTTGGTGTTACCTCGAGAGCATGTAGGTCAGCGATGCCACCACCTTTTTTCAAGCACTCTACAGCTCGAAAGAATAGTTGTTGGGTTTGCGGTTGAAGGTTGATTAGGTCGTCAGGTCCAAGTCGGTCTAGGATTCTCTTTAAAGAGGGTCGATCGGGGTTTAGAAGGAATAATTCGCGCCAAAAGCCTTCTGGCTTTTCCAAGTCGGTATCAACGTCATCCTATTCGAACAAGGGATGGTCAGCGACCCAGGATTATATAGGTGTCACTTTGGCAAAGGTCAGGCATACCTTGGAATCCCACGGTCAGCTTTTGCCCATTCCTAAAAAAAAAAAAAAAAATCATAATAGAATCTGGTGCTCCCGAACCTTGAATAACGTTTCGTATAGTTGGACCACTTTCGGCTGGAATATTTCAGGTCGGGCCTGTTGGGTCAAGGGAGAGGTTTCCATAGCCGGCAGTGAGGATTATGCATAGATGGATAGCACATAAATGCAGCAAGGGTTATAATATTAACATAGACACTATCATTAGGAAATGAGTGTATGTGTGAATGAGCAACACACAAAGTCTTGCGCGGTGATTTTACATATATGTGTATGTGATGGGTATATGTAATGAGAGTTGTACGCGCATCGCCAAAGAATTGAAATTCGGGAGAGACATGCGACACGACGACGCTAATTGATTAAGGATTAGGTGCCTTGCTTAGCTGCTTAGGCCCGATATTTGGTGTACTACGCCGACCCCACATAAACTTTGTTTTATGAGTTACCTTACATAACCTAGCCGTTTCATTGTTCTAGGGAAGTCCCGAGATACCTAGATACTTAACGGATAAGCAGATATTCCGCTATACCCTTTCAACCGGTCACTGTTTCCTTGTTGGTAAGATAATGACCAATGAGAGATATTTGATTGGTTCGGTCAAAGCCGGGTGTCCAATCGACCGATGTCATCAGATCGCGGCTCCCAACTGTGCTTTGAAAGCTAACCGGTGTTTTTATTAATTTTGCCATCAATTACTAAACCTGTACCTGTAAACCTACAAATCAATTCCACGCCGTTATCCTGCGTACTACCAGTACAACTACATTGCGATATTCAAAGGAGATTCAAAGGAGTTTAATACATACTATTAATACCCTCACCGCTCTGGATTCCGACGTGATACCTCCCATACCATTACTACCGTCCGTTGCGGCGTAATGAATTCGCCCCGCGCAGCTCTATCGCGAGCTGCGACAGGCCTAATAGGTCGTCGAATAGCAACATCCGCCCCGAAGTTACGACCTTGCGAAAGTCTACTACGGCAATTCTCACATTACCAACCATGGTATGCGCCGTCAGAGAAACACCAAACAACACCATCCTACCAGCCATATCCTCTTAAACCGCCCCAACCCTCACAACCCCGCAACGAACCCATACCAGAGACGTCGATCGCCAGCCCGATACCACAAGTCCATGAGACAAGACCACCTGCACAACCACAAGCCGCTGCGCAACCCGATGCCTCGCTTACAGAACGAGAGGCTCAGAAACCCAAGCCAACAGCGCCAAAGCGCAAGCTTAGACCGCGCAAAGCCGCTTTGAAGCTCACCCCCTCGGCAGTGGAGCACCTTCGCGGTCTGCTAGACCAACCCGAACCCAAGTTGATTAAAGTTGGCGTGCGCAATAGGGGATGTAGCGGCCTCTCGTATCACTTAGATTATGTGGACAAGCCCGGCGCTTTCGACGAGGAAGTGGAGCAAGATGGGGTCAGGGTCTTGATTGACAGCAAGGCGTTATTCAGCATAATAGGTAGTGAGATGGATTGGATTGAGGATAAGCTGAGCCAGCGCTTCATATTCCGAAATCCCAACATAAGTGAGTGATTATTGTTCCAGACATTTTCTCGCGTCATTGGGCGGATTGCGATTAATGCTGACAAATACACAGAGGAGGAATGTGGTTGCGGCGAATCATTTATGGTGTAATCACGGACGGGGAGGCGGCGATTAATGAATTAAGATACCATTCATCCGCATTTTCGGCGGCATTGCTACGATTATCACTAGACTGTACGAGTTTTATACATTTGGTCGAGCCATATAGACCTCGTCCTTCTACACACGAATACCATGATTTACCACGCGGGCAGGAACTCAATAGCAGTTGCCGAAGCGTGTGCATATGTCGAACTAATAGCTTTGTATCTTGTGAACTAGATATTAAATGCAAATATTCATTCAGGTACATTTGTGTCCATTTCCATTTATTTCCATTGTGCTATTTGAACGACATAACTATCATACCTAGGTAGTCTCGAAAGTAGAATCACAACGAATCCGCTACGATAGTCAAGAAATGGACAAACCAGGAGCCAGCGCGAATTCTAAATAAGGGGTAAGCCCGTTTGGTAAGAATCCTATGCATTCTCATATTCCCATACTAAAACCTCGGCCGAAGCGCATGGATACCTCTTAATCGATGGGCCTAGATCGTCGTACTGCAGTTGGTAATCTTTGGCCAAATCTTCTAGTAACGACTTCGTCTCAGGTAGAGGGCAAGAATGTCGGAAATGCATCACATGAAAAAATGATGTAGCTCATGGTCTCACGATTGCGGGGCTGGGGATCTTTGAAGCAACCATTAAGCAGAGCCTTGAGTCAGTAGTGGAGGCACTTCAGCCCACGATAATCAATAGTCTCTAATTCACAGTTGAAAGGGAGCGATATCATAGTCAGACAGCCGCCAATCATCCCCGAGAAGGGCGGGGAAGTTTAGACAAGGTCCTCGACATCGTTATTTACGCGTCGAATGCGGAGGCCCAAGTAGCTCTCCCACGTCTTCCAGTCCTATACATTTTAGCTAGTATCGATGGCATTTCTAGCGACACACAGACATATATGAAGAGCAGCGTATGCAAATACATTGAAGCAACTGCAACTCCTTATAAACGATCGAAATTTTCGGGTCTTGTTGCCGAAACCCTTGCGGAGAGAAAAGGCCGAAACCATATCCACGCTGCAGGAGACTATGTATAAGCCCTCTAGTCTGTTATGTATTGAAATTTTCCACGGAATCGTAATAGGAACTCCGTCATAGACAATCCTCTCTTCCATTGCATCTACGTCTATGTTAGAAGACATGCCCTAGGTAAGGTGATGAACCGTATCTAATCAAGATTTCTGTGTCCCTAGCAGATCCAACAGTCAAGCTATATGAAGAGGTACTGGGAGACCCCCTTTCGCCGTACGGGGTAGAGGAGGGCCTGGGCTTGGGGCATTAAGACAAAGGAGTTATTAGGACAAAAGGACTAGCTACCTGTAAGAACTTAATATGAGGATTTCTGTAGCGGTTATTGCGCTGTTCTTGTCCAATAGCAGAGGTACCCTCCCTTATGGTCGGCTTTATGACAAGCGGAAGAAATCAGTCAGTCGGTTCTATACTTTTGCTGGATTAGTTAACCCGGGGCTGGGTCGCCGGTTCTGATCATGCTATCGGTCCTTTTTCAACTTCACCCCTAATGTTTTATATTGTTAAGCCACTTCATTAACTTTGTATTTTTATATTTTCAAGCTCGTTTAGTTATTGATAGCTAACTTAATCTGGAGGCTGAGATTCGATAGCCTGGTGATATCTAACTGAAGCTTGGCTAATAGCTGGGCCGCAGTAGCAAATGCTGCTGGTAATTTGGGATCATACTCGCGAGCGTTGCTTCTGGCAAGTTTGCTTGCTTCCTTTATCAATTTGTCCAATTTGTGTGCACTCCCTCGGAGCAGTGACGTGTCACTATCGGCAGCTGTTTGTTCATTTGTCTTATCCAAGTCTTTGTGTCGTCAGTACCTAGAAGCGAAGGTATATCGGGAATGAGCCATACCTACGGCAACGCTTAGTGAAGCCGCGAGCCTTAATAACGCGTCTAAGACAGTTTTTCCTAGCTGACGGTAGATATCCGACTCACTCTCGAGCAGACCGTCTAAATCTTTGTCAGAAAGTCCAACCTTCCACAAGCACAATTGGTCACGCTTTTCGCCTAGCCGAAGCCGCACGTCCTCCCAACATCTCTGTTCATTTTTTACCCCTCTAGGTTCCAACTCCACCGGTCCATCAGTCGTTTCGAGGATGGGTGGCGTCTCGTTGCAATTCGAGCCGGGTTTTATCTCGGTGAGGCTCGTAGCGATAGAGTCATGGCCTGGATCGTTCTCGGATATGGTAATCTTTGGGGAGACAGGGTCAAATGAGAATGGCCACGACTGCTTGCCTAAGACCAAGAGCCAAAACTCGATCGTGCCGTAGAAGATATTAGATATAACTCTCGGTGGGTCTCCTCTCTTTGAAGTTGAGACTTCTCGGCTGGGACGTCGGCTCGGTCTCCGTCGGGGCGGTGCTGGGTTATTATCGTCCCAAGAAAAGCGACGCTTGGTTTCCTTTGTAGGTTTGGTTTGGGGATTCTTACCCGATGGCTGACCGAGCTTGACATCCTTGGACTCCATACTACCATTGTCTAAATTCAGGGAGATATGAGTGACGTACTATAGACGCCCTGACTTGGCTCTAAAAAAAACCCGCAATCCGAGCGTAAAAAAATCCAGAATACGCGGGAGTTAAGCCCGATTTTCAATCGGGTCAAGATAATTAGAGGGTAGAGCGGGGATTAGAATGTTGAAAATATTCATGGCAAAACGCTGCATGTACCTAAGCTTATGGGAACAATATTTCCAACGGCTCTATAAGCGGTGATATCTAGTGGCGCAATGTATTGCTTGAATCCATCAATCTATCCGCTGTTCAAAACATGAGACGAACTAAACGGGATGGCCGAACTCAGCTGAATTTCGGGAATAAAGGACATAGAGGGCGTATGGGATGGCCAGATGCCGACCTAGGTGCCGACCCAACGTAATCTTCTCCCACCCTTCACAGGATGGAAATTTCGGTGAGCATCCTGAGTCTGTACAGACGACCAATGGCATGAAAAATATCAACAGCCTTGTCTCACCATAGAAGAGACTTTGTCTCAAGCCCCTACTCCCTAGGACTCTAATATCATGCAGTGCTCGTATGTAATTTTCACCTCTATACTAGGCCGAGAGGTGCCGAGGTGAGGGGGCAGCGGGTCTTCACGCCGGACTCTTTCTCATGTTTTGGTCGCGTTCGATTCCGACTGACAATCGGGATACATACCTACTTAGGTAGGTATACTGCCTTAAATGGGTGGGCATGACGATTCTGTGATGAACTTAAAGTTGGTAGCATTGGTTCCAAACACACTTTGGTATGCCATATTGCTCACAACATGAATGCTGTCAGTAGTTGAGCTGTAGGAAATGATACATCGTAGGGAGTATCGGGAGGTTCCCTTATCTTCCGTAGCAGCCATCTGCGCCCTCTTTGCACCAAATACAGAGTTATTAACCCCCCTATATAGTTAGCTTTATGGTACACTCATTGGTTCTTGTCTAAGTATAATTGAAAGTTCACTTATGATAGCTAAAACTTAAGAATTTGATATCTGATTTACCATCCATTTCTCCTATTTCCACTGCCAACGCCGGAGATTATGGCCAGTCTCAATACATTGTGCGAACAAATTGAAAGATTTGTGGCTTTAACTCGTCTGGAACACCCGGTCCTGCAATTAATTGCAAAAGACCTTCCCTCTTCGCTCTCTTATCTGCCTCCTCAAGAAGCCTGCTTTGCTGCTCTTGGTTCACTGCAGAGTTGTTCATGAAAGAAGCGCCACCCATTGAGACGTTGCTTATTGTAATTCTGTCGAAGTCCTTGTCTTCTGGTGTTTGAATAACGCGACCATTCTGAAGGACAGCCACCCCATCCATTTTGACGCCTTTTATGTCCAGTGTTACTCCAGAAGGGGCAAGATTAGCTACAATGCACAACACGAGCGTATTCTTGTGTTGCACGAGGTCGTTTTTAAGCTGCTCAAGTTGTTTCTGTTCCTTTGGCCCTTTCGCGAAACTATGGGCGAAAAGACGAAACCCCTGTCCCTTTTTGGTGTTGGCCTCTTGCTTCACGATAAGTTCATTGAGTTTATTCGCAAGGCCATGAATCTCCCTCATTGGTGGTCCGATGGAGTCACTCTGGAGCATTGCATTGCCTTCAACTTGCCGCACAACAGACTTTGTGCTCTCGATATCGCGTGCAACAGTCGTGAGGTGCATGGCGTACTCTTTGTTGTGGTCTAGCGCCAGTTGGACGCGCTCTAGCAGCTTGAAAGATTGCTCAACGAGCCCTGCGATGGCACTAACACCTCCTACTGCTTCCTGTCCCCCACTAAGAAGTTAACAAACGCATAATTTGGCTCGTAGAGAGCAAGAATATCTTACCATCTCGGTCGTACCGTATTGTGCGATTGCAAATAACGGCTAACAGTGAGATTGAAATTATTGGTATCTTGTAGGGAGGAAGGAAAATATGGGACAAATCAAAAGAATATTCTGTGACAGGAAAACGTAGGATGGGGCTATGAGATGGATTTGGCTTAGTAGGACTTAATCCTGCCTACTTCCCGTTGGGTGAGTAGGCTGTGTTGTCGATTGCGTGAATATTGATGTTGTGTGACAGCATTGGGGTCACCTAAATCCCACGTAAGCGGGTAATATCGACGGAGGAACTTGAGAGATTTGGAGCCTCATCTGATAAAAAGAAATATCTAGGTAGGTACCTACTTAACATATGAAAAGGAACCTTGCATGACTTCGGTGTGGAGGCTCGGACCGTCAATGGTTGCAGGCTCGTTCTTCCTATTGGGCTAGGGTAATAAAGGTATCTTGGTGGGTGGAAACGCATAGAATGTTGCATGCTGCGGCTCAAGAGATCTCCCACCCTCTGCGAAATAGTTACGGCGTCTAATCATATGGGTCCTCATAGGTTCCCCATGATCCGACTCGTTCCATCAATCAGACTCCCGTTTTGCGAGGTAAATTTGATTGATTCATATCAAGGTAGTCCCGCATTCATTCATCCAATTAATATCTTTCTCAATTTGCTAGCTCATCGCTAAAGATTATTTGTTATCACATAACGATACAAAGACGAATCTTTATGCAGCATGTCTATTGGCTTGGGCAGGAATCATGTTAGCCAAAACGCAAGGCTTCACACCGAACAGAACGTTTACTATGGCTCTAATATAACCAACTATTTAAATCCTTTCGTCCTGTGGGAACCAGGCTTTTCTGATCCGGCGTGCAATGGTCCAGGGCCATGGGCAAGGTATGGATTACATCACAGACTCCGGGCTCCAAATAGGCCACATCTGCGCCCCTCATCTCGTAATGCGAGGTCCTCAGGCCAGATACCCATTCCCAATTTGACTTATGAACAATACAAACATCTCGAACAAGTAAGGGAACAGAAGGTGGAAGAAATTTCAGTGGAGGACAACACCATTCAAAATTCATACGACAGTCTCCAAAATATGTGCATTGGTGTGGAAAAATACCTCGAGCGAGATTATACTTGTCTCAAGACTATTGAACAAGAGGTTAGTGTACAGAAGGTCCGGTTTGTGGTCACCAGCCAAGCGCTTCGTAGGGCTGTGGAATATACCCCATTAAACAAATTATATGAGGGACAAGCCCTCGTACTGCTCTACACACAGTTGATAGACGGTTTAAAGGTCATTTCCAAACTGTTGGGGGATGTTCCATATCATTTGAGGAGAATCTTGAGCAGGTTTCAGCAAGATGTGAGCTAAAGTCTAGTACTCTTTTCTCGCTATACTGACGTGCTTACTAGGAGGAAAGCAAATCGAGCCTTAAAATAGGGAATCCGGCCGAAGCGAGTTCTCCCGACCAAGAGTTCAAAGATGTGTTGGAAAATGTTGAAAAACATCTTGAAAACTTCTACTCTCTGGCTAACTCACTCATCGAACAGCCAATCATGACAGAGGCGCCAGAGGACGTGGAACGCCTGTATAGCGAGAGCCAGGCCGCTACTGCTTTATTTCAATGTTTCAGTCAAGCGTGTCCAGTCGACGATCATAGTAGTCACACTGTCTATCTCGGGGTCTCAACTGATGAACGAACCCACATGGGCATACAATCACGAGCGACGAGCCAGAACAGGGTCTGGTTTTGTGTGCGCTCGAACCCTACTGCCAAAAGAAGGAAAGAGTCGATGTCTAGTACAGTCATGCAGGTGATGAACACTTCCTCTCGCAAGCGAAAACGGCCGTCGGATATACCAATGCGTTTTCATCGGCCTCTAAAATCACGCAAGGCGAATCGCAGTCAAGCCATGAACCAAGTCCAGGTGTGTCCAGAGTACCTAACCCAGGGCGAGGATTCCAACCTAGCGATGCGGATGGTGGCCGCGCCGAGAGAATGGCATAACATTTACTTCCTAGAATCAGAGAAGCGCCCCCCGGACGGGCACATGCCGATGAAGCTAGCCAATCTTTTTGATGATAGCAGGCGGGAACACCGTTACGATTTCTCGTGGAGAGTTCACGTAGCCCGGCTCATTGCTGAGGCTGTGCTCCGCATTCAGCACCCAGAGTCTCCGTGCCGTTGGTGTGAGAAGGACGTTGTCTTCTATACCGCGGAGCCATATGACGACAACCTTAAGCCATTTTTAAAAGTGGAGGTCGAACGCGGGGGGGACGGAACCACCCTTAATATCGCGGCAGCCAGGAAGCCGGGCCGATGGCTTCTCAACCTTGCTCTGATTCTCCTGGAGCTTGGCCTTTCCCAGCATATTGAGGCGCCTCCTGACGGGATGGGTGAAGAGGAGTATCGAGAGCATATCCTGTGGCACGTGGAACAAGCGAAGGGCAGGTCACTGGAGAAATATCTGACTGTAGTACGCAGCTGCGTTACAATCAATTCTAGAGGCGAGGGTGGTCGTATTACAGTGGATGAGCACAGCTTTCATGAGGATTTTTACCGACTTATCATTTTCCCACTGAAAATGATTGAAAATGATTTAAAACCGCCTGAGTATCTATCTAATACCTACTACCCAATGGCTGGATTTTCCGAAGATAATCGATAGATAGGTACCTATATAATATTACTATAAAATTCTTCCCCAGCAGCGTTTCTACCTGCCTGGCAGCCTGGGTAGGTACCTAAGAAGTAGCTGAGTACCTAGGCAGACCCGCCATGAATACCTATGCATGCATCTGTGGCGCCACGATCAGTCCAGTCAGCAAATTCCCTAGACCGTTTCTCATGTAGATCACGGAGATTCGCCTCTTTGACTCTCCGAGTTGAATTAAAGCGGCAAGGATGGTATGTGCCTACTAGATATGTACCTAGGTAGATACCCAACTAGGTATACGTACCCGGGCACTTTTGCTTTTTCGTGGCGCTGCCCAGTACAGCTCAAGGCATACTTAAGGTAATCCTGCCAATCAACATTAGCGCTTGAGGCTTAACTAAGTGGTCGGATACAGCCGAGTACCTAGGTACGTGTCTCGGGAATCGACCAATCCTACTGCGGTAATGAATGCACTTCGCCTTACGTAGCTCGGGAATCTACCTACCTAGGTAGGTAGGTACATATCGTTTTCCTCAACTGAACCCCCCCAAAAAGGTACCGCACCTAGTGGGATACCCGGCATCATGTTTTGTGTATGAGATCTCACAGCAAATGTGCGAATGCTATATGGGCGTCTTCTCAGTTAAGGATGGCTCATTTTGCTCTTCATAGGTACTGGTTTTGGTAGCTCTTGAGCTAAATTCTCTAGGAATATTTTCGCCTCAGGTATGTTCTCGTCAATATTCCGCGCGAATACAAGAAAGTTGTTAACCGCTGTAGATATCTGTATTAGACGTGGTTTGACGCTCGAGGGCTGGCGACCCGTCGTGATAGCGTGAATGCGGTCGTGTACTCTCTCCCTAAAACCCAACCGTGTCTCGCTGGAAATGCTTTCGAGACTATGAAAAATCCGCAGTGTCAGAGGACGCAGGATGTCTAGTTAGACTTCTCTTGGCGCAGCATATATGCAGACAACGATATCAAAGGCTCTTTCCAGGCCTTCCCACTCTCCCTGGGAATAACTAGTGGCTGTCCGTATATGTTGTTGTTCCTTAGACTCGACGAGGCAATTGATGCTGCTAGTGATTACGGGCAAGAATACGCGTAATAGTGGCGCGAAGTTCCTCTCAGCTGCTGCTCGAAGGATGCATAATCCTGCGATAGCGAGGCCATAGGCTTCACTATAATTCCCATCCTCTACGCATTTCCGATATTCTTCCCCTTTGAGATCGAGTACCTTCTCTGCTAGGTTGCCCATCCGACTTTTAACCAGCTCTGTCAATTGGCTCGCCCACTCTCGACTGCAAAGTTCCAGCAGACTCCGATTCGAACTCGAAGCTAATGCCCCGATAAATTCCAGACCAACAAGTCCATATATTTCGCTACCGACCCGATCTCCTGAAGTGATTGCTTTGTTGAATGTATCTCTGAACTTAAGGATGAACTGCCACACCTGTGTTTCTTGCGCTCCAGATTCCTCAACGCCGTTGACGGCTATGACCCATTGTTCTGATAACACTCTGGATAGATATTTGAACGTTTGGCCTCGCCTCAGGGCTGTAAATAGTAGCTCTACTCCCACCAAGGCGAGACCCTCAGCCCTCTTCAATCGCTCTTCCGACTCGGGTCCCGGATTATTCAGGTGTTCCCCGAACCCATTTAAACGTCTCCGGATCAATATTTCAAGCATTGGCTGCCCGATGTTAGGAAGTGAAATCAGGTTGTTTAATGCGTCGGTCCAAGAATCGGCAATTAACCGAATTATTTGGGTATTGCCTCCTAAGATGGCTTTTTCCAAGATATTTACGGCGCCGTGTATCATCCGATCCAATACATCAGGGAAATACCCTTCAAGGACTTCTAACCTCACCGAAGGCTGTCTTCCTGAAGGTGGAGAATCCAAACCGTATTTACCTCGCAGGAACTTATGCGCGAAACTCCAGCGTTTCTTGTGTTTCGCAGATCTTGGGAGTTGATTAGAGAAGGCTTGCCTCACCCTTACCGGGTCTATAACACCCAAACCAGAAAGCACACCTTTGGATGGCGATCCGTATGCCATTGGTGCTTCCACATTCTCTCGGCGCTCTGTTGAATTAGCCCACGTGCCTGTCTCAACATCGGCTGCTGTAGCCAGCTTTATCACATCGTTGAATACGCCCGCCCCGAGTCGGGTCATCCATTCAAGGCGAGATGAAAGACCATTTTCAATTTCATTTCCCATAATTCTTTCATATTGTAGGAATCGCTCGTCAAACCTGTTACGTTGCTTTAAAGCGAGAACGAACATTCTCCGCTGAAATCCCTGACTAGTTCCGTGAAATGTGCTAATAGAGTCACTTTTGCAATAAGTCGCAGCACGTTCATCATATCGCAAAAGAAGTTCCTCGACGTCCTCGTGTTCTTGCTCGTGAGCAACCTCGTAAGCAGTGCCCATTAATTCTACAGCCAAGCGAACTTGGGCCCCCTTTTCTAGAAGAAGGCTTGCAAGGTCTTTATGTCCGAAGTATGCTGCCGCACTGAGAGCTGGCCCATATAACCCACTCGAGTCGTTGACATCCACACCGTAGTTGATAAGGGCTTGTGTGGTTCTATAGAAATTATCTGACTCCATAGTTCCGTTGCATCCAGTAACGGCTGCCGTAAGAACACTGCCGTAAACATTGTGCTTAGCGTGGACGTCGAACCCGTTTGCGCAGAGGAGGTTTACAATCTCCAAACAGCCATGGAAAGCTGCAGCATGAAGCGACGTGCCAAACGGACCTTCACCTTCGGCAAGGGGTGACCTTTTTGATCGATCGAGAAACCCCTTTAGAAACTTAATCCGTACATTTGAGGAGCCTACTTTGGAGGCGGCGGGCGAAACGCCCTGGGTTTTTATAGTGGAATGTGCCATGAGCCGGCCCAAAATTAGCTTGGCACATTTGACGCACCCGAACGAAGACACTGCTTGCAAAGAGGTGCCGGTAGAACCTTGGATCCTGACATCAGCTCCGGCTATCACTAGTTTTGAAATAATGTCCTCGTGGTGTTTCATACAGGCGGCGATTAGAGCTGTTTCCCCACCTTTGCTCCGAGTGTCAATATGAACTCCTTTCTGGAGGAGGCATTCGACAACGTGCTGGTTCCCATAGTCACTGGCATAAAAGAGCGGTGTTCGGCCCTTAATATCTTGTATGTCTCCGTCAGCCCTATATTCAATAAGCCTCTCAACAACATGGGCAGCCTTTTCCCGATCGATATTGTTTCTGATAGCCCAGTGAATTGCGGTTGACCCATTACAATCGCACCCAGATAAATCGAGCCATCCCCGCTCCTTTTGAGAATGTAGAATGCTTCTCAAAGCAAAATAGCTTAGTATGTGCTCATGGCGTATTCCGGCTGGCATTTACCTGCCCATAGTGAGTAGATGCACCTGGAACGCTAGCTGTAAGTTTTCTTTCACTTCACGGCCTTCAGACTTTTTCAGTAGCCTTTGAAGAAATTCGAAAGCTGCGTGGCTCTCGCCTAGGCCCTTGAAATATATAGGCCAATTGCAGGAGGAAAACTCAAGGAATGGATTCTGCTGCGAAAGATGGCGCAGGCCACCCCAATTATACCACATTGCATCATTGAAAGACCCCCTGGAGAAGTCTGGAGAGTTTATATGAGCCAAGCAGAGTTGTGCGATTAGACCACGGTCGAACATCGGTTGGTTCGAACTGAAGAATCCATAAATGGACTCATGACAAAAGCGAAAAATTCCTTGGTCTTCATTGATTTCGACCAGATGTTTACACGTCTGGATTACCGTCGATGGCTGTTGCTGTAGCTCATCGAACGTCCTCTTGTCTATTTTTCCGTCTCTAAGATCGAGTGTGAGGGCTACGAATAGGGTCTCTTTTGCCATCGAGCCGGTCGTTTGCCCCAGAAGGGCTATGGTTCTTAGTGCGATTTGCTTTCTAGTTGGTTCGAGGGCTAAAGACTGGAACTCGTCGGCATATGATTTATATAGACCTTTCAAGTCATTGTGTAGTTTGAGTGTTTCGAGGGCATTGAGGACGTCTTTTTCGTGAACCATATTGCGAATATTGGCGGCTTGTAGCTTAGCCCATAGGAACCTGAGTTTATATTTTCTTGTTAGCTGTGTAAAATATCAGATACTTCATTATTACTAACATTCCATCTACCCTGTTAACCAATTCGCGCAGAACGCGTTTTCTAAGTTGCGGGCGAAAGTCGAAAAGACGTGAAGCAAGCTCCTTTTCTAAGTATTTTCTGATATCTTCCACGTTATCGGCGGGATCGACCTCTATCTGAGCCGGGCTGTATGCTAGTAGAGCTGGATAGTCGGGTACACCACGGGAGGTGATGACAATGGCCAGACCGAATTTATTTTGCGCTTCCTTGTGTTTCCGGGCGAGATTGGTGAGTTCGTCTAAAATATTACGGTTATCGGCCTCAGGAAGTTGGTCTATCGCGTCGATAGCGATATACACATCACGTTTGGCCGCGGCTAGTCGGCGATTTAAATCGTTCCAGAATTCGTTATCACTACACTGACTGATAAAATCGTTACTCTGATCCGCGTCCTGTTGGGCGATCTGCTCCCAGAATGTTGCCAACCTGCTTCTGAAAAATTTCTTCTTCTTTTTCTCGTCCCCATAATCGATATAAAAGTAAAGTTGATGGATAGCTTCGGGATTTTGTTTTTCGGTTCGGCGTTCATGTATGCTCTCGATGACGCGTGACCTAATACGGCACGGTTAATTCCCGAAATCAGTACGTAGAGCGGGTTTCCAACTATGAAATAAGAAATAAGTAGAGGATGCCTAGGATACGTGCATCAATGTGGTCTTCCCGCATCCTGCTGTTATCGAGTTACTGTTGTCTCGGGGGATGCGAAGTTCAAAAACGTACGACGGCCGTGAATCCATAAAAATGAATATTGCTTTTCCATATTGACCCATGTTTCAAACTCGGTTTTTTGCACCAGCCACTGACACGTTCCGATATCCTTCTAGTCCCTTCTCGCTCGGATATGATAGTTTTCGGCCGACTTCTGGGGGCTTAAGCGAGAATTGAGTCCGGTATTATCTGTAGCATATAGATGAGCATTTCAATAGGCTGCACTAGAGTAATACTTATGGACTTACAGTTATATGTGATACTATCCCCATTATGGATACCCGCTGCTATACCAACGACGTGATGTAACGTTATAGAGTGCTCAGACATCGTGATATTTACTTAGGCCGACTCGAATCCTGTGATTAGGAAATTAAACTGAAGATTCCATTGTCATGAATGAGATGTTAAGTAGTCTCCAAGGGATGGGTTTAAAATCTATAAGCACAGTTTAGGGCAATGTGCTCATCTAGTTGTGGGTGACCATTGGGATTATCCTCAAAGTTGGTTTCTCTATGTTTCTACTGACTCTTGCATGGTGATACGTTGATCCGCAGCCTTCGGATGATCAAGAGGTGAGAAAATGGGATAATCTGCTTCACCGGTAATATTGGCGGAACATTGCCTAATGAAACTTCGTATATGACGAGGTGCTGGGGGCTGATTACGTGGGTGTACATCGGGAAACGACATATATAATGTAGGAGACGTTCCGAGCAGCTATTAAGAACTGACATATAACAAGATTTCTTGGTCTACAAAGCTACAATGCATTCGACTAAATATAAAAGTAACGAAAAGTATTCGTACTTACTCCTGGACGAAAACCTAAGCCGCGAACCCCTGCATAGTAAGGCAGGCGAATCACCATTTATTGTTGACTGTGTGGTGGCTCCCGGTGCTGAACCCCTTGATATCTCCGTTGTGGATTCCTGCCGCCAAGCCATAGATGTATGACATGTTTATAGGGGAGCCGGCGGAATATGAGCTTTGAAGCATTTCATCCACCGCGGCTTCCAGCCAAGGATCACAGCCCCTTACAACCTTTGCTAGTTCTAATAAGTTGGGCCTACTGACCCCCTTGCATTCCTCCCGGCTGAGTTCGAGAAGCTTTTCTCTATTCTCTTCCGGGAAGAGGCTTTCAAGTCCTTTAACAAGTTCGGACATGTCCCGAATGAATTCATAGAAATTATCTTTTTTATAGAAGACCCACTTAAGAGCCTCGATGGCCCCCCCTGAGTTGAGCCCTTCGTTTACGCAGGCACTCTCGAAATCTTGACCGAATTTTCTTCGACTCATCTGGCATCTCCGATTCGGGGTCGAACCTTTCGTCTTCATTTCTGGGCAGGGAAGATCGGATACTCTCGGCATTTTGTTTAGCCTTATGGAGGGTGCTTTGTATAGTTTCGAGGATTCCAGTCGCTTTCTTCAATAACTCTAGATGGGCTTGGTTACTATCGCTTAGTTGTAGGTCTTCCCCATTGCTATCGGATGTTATGACTCCAGCCGCCTCACCCCAGCGAGAAAGGCGCAGTTGCATGATATCGAGTTTGAGTTGATACGTTTCGAATTGGTCTCTGAAACCCCGAGCAATTTGGATACCGTCGAAGAACTCGACAGCAAAATACAAGAGACTGGATACATTACCAGCGCAATCCATGGCGACGAGGCTACCGGTGTATTGCTTTAGATCGTGTATTGCAAGATTACCATATCATACTAGATATGTAGATGGTGAGCGTAGCCGCTTGCTGTTCGCCATTGATTATCAAGTGGACGACTTACTTATACCTACCTACCTAGGCATCTAGATGGACAGATACAGGCATTTCACATGGTCGAAGCTGTTAAACCGACCTTGGATGGGTACCTATGTATCTAGGTAGGTATCCAGGAGGAAGACATAATTCTAAGCAACTATTGGTTCGTGAAGCGGGTGGGAGACAGTAGGGTTTTATCCGGAGTACACTGTAAGGACGGCCACCCCATAGGTTGCGCATGTATCTATAGGTGAATAACTAGATTGGCCAATTATGTTTATCGCTTCTTCAGATCCTCGCTCCTAGATGGCTAATGATACCCTTAGATTTGTGGAATTTTCCTGAGACCTCAAAAGGGTTGCTCTCTCCGATGCTCTAGGTAATACAAGGCAACATAGATCACGAAGGGCCACCTAGAGGCAATGTAGCTGTCAAAACATATGCTACGAAAATTGCTTCTTTGATCTTGGTATCGAACCGCCAAGAAGCAATGTGCATGATTACTAGCCAGTCCATTCAATGTAACTTTTGCTTTTCGGCCAAGTAACAAAATCGCAAGCCACTTCGTACAGTTCATCGCAGATCAGATCTGCAGAAGTGTGCAGAAAAATTTGCCGGTCTCTATTCCGCCGCGTCTTTCCAGGTGTCACCAAAATGTATAAGTGACCGGTGAGTATGTCGCCCGGAATTTAGTAGTCTGGCCGTCGATCTCTTTTGATTCTTGCACGAGGCTTATTCTAAAAGTGTGAAGGCGGAGGCGCAGCTATCTTCCATATGAGTTGACGCCCGGCATATGGATGGATGTCTTTCCTCGGAGCCGACCCTTACTACACATATGCATCGTGTATTTGGTGGCTGGGAGGACCTGGCGCCACCTATTGGTAGAAACCGACACATCCGAGTCATCTATTTCTCACCGAACCCGCCTCGAGGAGCTATATAGTCTGTATTGACCGGCTTCAGCCTCTCGTATTAGTATTCATAATCTAGGCAACATCAAACTGTAGAAATGTTGCCTTACCGTGAAATCTATCTCATAACTAAGATTCGTTTTATCTTGATCTCATCGCATAATCGGGACTAGGGGGTCTTGCGGAGGGTCCTGGAATACCTAGGTACCTTTTGTCTACCTTGTATCGGCACAGGCGTCTTTCGTGGCGTCGATAGCGCCGAATCCTTTGGTCCATTAGACCGACATACTAGGTAGATCGTGAGGCTTACTTTAACATAAACACCATGAGATGTGACACCAGTACATGTTGGGTTAGAATTCTTCTCATTCTTAATTATGAAGCGCCAGAATTTAGTATTATCATATCCCAGGTGAATAAGACCGCGGAATTCGTTCTAACTCAAGATCGATACTATCATTAATCCCCCTATCTGCAAATTGAATATGCACCTCTTCTATCCTTAGGATTTGGCGGTTAGAACTGGTTTCATTGAGATTTGCTTTGTCGTCGCTCGCGTTCTGGTCGTATTGACTTGCTATTTTGGACCGTCTAGGCGCTGGTAACGAGGCGTGATTGCTCAGTACCCTACTTGCTACCTCTCGCGATCGATCCTTTATGTACGCGACAGGGTGGCTGAGATGCCCGTTGGTTTTTGCTGTTTCATGGACAAGTGCGCGAAGAACGGGGACTGTAATGCCGTGTCAGTGTTTTGGATAGTAATCCAAGTGTTTCGCCAACGCCTAAGACGAGTAGAAGAGGAAAGGAGCACTCGATGGCACATACTTGACGCTGCCATGATTGTGGTCGCAATCTCTGCGACGGACCATATGGAGAGTTCAAAGACATCGTCTAACTCGGCATTAGCATAGAGTACAAACGTAAGTTACATATACCATGCTCACCAGCAAATCCACTACTCTTAAGGACTCCAAACTTCGTGGATTTGACGATAGCAGTTATGCCGGCGCTGAAGAATGCTATTAGAGGATCCTATAAGATGTATCTTGATTACTTGAGATAGTTAGACTTACCAAATACCCATGCTCATAGCGATAGCAATGCCAATCTTCTCACTTGTACGTATCTGTAATTTAATGATGATGGGCCACGGGAGGGCAGCTAGAACAAAGTCCATGAATGCGGAGTATGCTAACACAGTAATTAGCAGATTTTCAAACGAGATTATCGGCGATACGACCATACAAGAGGCGAAGATGGTGACTCCGAGAATAACATTTCTATTCCAACAAGTTCCATGGGCTTGGCTATCCCATATTAACCTCGTCGGGCGACACTGCAACCACCGGAGTATTACGCTGACACAAGTAATCCCATTCATAGAGATCATGATCATACGAAGGGCAATCTTCAACTTCGGTCCTGCGATCCGGAAAAGTGTAATCGCGAAAGAAGTCTTGCTCCATATCGCTGCGATAAAGAAGAGGGTTCCCACCTGCAATATCCAGTGTGAGTCACTGGAGTCAGGATTCAGGAAATGGGATTGGTAAGTTACATACGATGGTGGTGAGTAGTCCAGCATCATGAGCCCCCATCCGATCGTCTTCATTATGTTCGATGAATACTGCAGCGACGCTGATACTCAAAATCACACCCGCAGTAATAAGAACAAGCTAGAAAAACCACGAAAGTTGGTAAGCTTGAGGCTCTTCAGTGTCTACTAAACAACATTAACAACCAACCCATGACGCTATTAAAATCCAATCATCCCACCACAGACCCCTGTTCCTCTTATACTTGCAGAATATTCGAAGTCCTAGAAATACTGTCGCGAGGCTAATGAGAACCCAAACGATGGCGTTGATCCAGTGGCCAGCACTAGGTGTGTGTGTATGGTCTAATGGTTCGGACCCCGTATCCGCCATCGGGCTCAGTGGTGCGATTCAACTCTTGCTACTCGTAGAGGACGACTTGATTGATAGCTTACCCAGCAGAGCGGAACGTTGGGGTTCATATTTATTGAAGATAATGGGGGCGGCGGGATCATCACCAATAATGCAATTCAAAAATGTATGAATACAACCCTCCTACATGATACATGGATGTTGATCCCAGACTCCTACAATGGTATGAAAAATACATAATGTCATGATCTTTCAATACCCCATAGTAGTGTCAGAGCAACCTCGCCTCTTACCTGAAGTTACAATGCGTTCAAATTGTATATCTCCTTGACGCTAGGTGTCTTAAACACATATATTGGTAGGGCGATCATACTAGAATAATAATGCTAGCCGGCCGACGTTGTATGGAAGCGGGAGGAATGCGTCTGTCTCGCAGCTCATGGTGGCGTCAGTTTGGTGAATATTCTCGGGAGGATTGCCGATTTATCGCCGCAATCATAGTGTTTTGCATCAGAAATATGGTGCGTCATATTTTCGCGCCATGTTTTATGGGTAGGAAGGGGTTACATAAGTGATGAATATATGGTATTCGGCGCGTTGGAAGAAAGGGGATGCGAAATATCTTCAACAAGTTTTGGCCTTAAATCCAATTGTGGCCATCTCTTCCTGGATGAGCTCGGAGAACTGAGACATGCCCGCGACTTTGATTAGGAACGTAAGCAAATGTTGCTTCTTTCAACGCGCTTCTCCTAAGGACTGGCTTGCTGGGTACTACTCTGGCGTCAAACGTGAGCTTCGTCAATAGCCTTGTTATAGAATCAACCTTAGCTCTACTACTCGAGAAAAAGTTGTGACGCGCGCTGAATGTCAAACATTGTTTTGCGTTGAGGGAGATTGGGGGCGGCGGCTTTTCCATTCACCCATCTCCGAGACGGAATAAACCGAGGAAATGATTAATGCGAATATGAGGGCAATTGATGGCCCCGACCATACCTCGGCAACTTTCTACCTCACCTCTAAAGTTCAATGAAGCAGTCTTTATCAACGGGTCGCCTTGGAATAGAATAAGTTGGACCTTCCGGGGGGTTTCCAATCCTCTTCTTTTAGTGCAGACAGATAAAGACCAACATCAAAATGTTCTCTCAAAATGTGGTATAGTTTATTAAAATCTACCCGTTGCTAGGCGGTTGATGATTAATGCAATATTAAGCGGCCGAGTGACGGCCTATCCTCCTCTATGATCTCGTTATATTAACACCTGGCGAATAGACGTATGCACATCTCTTAATCCTCGAATCATCTCTCATACCCATGTAGTCGTAACCCTCTATTTCAGCTCCTCGATAGCTAAGTCGACCGGCTCGCACGACGGGTTGTGAGGCGGTTGTGTGGATACCCAAGCAATGGATTGGTAGTAGTAACCACCGGTGAATTGGTAGCAAAGGTGGAAGTTAGTCAAGTTGCCATAGGTGGGCACCGGGTTGGGGTAAGTAGCGTTGAATGTCGAGTCGTCGTAGCCGCCGTTGATGTACAGCGTGCCGTTGTCGGGGTGGTAGTACACGGCTGTACCATCCTCGACGCCTGGGAAGATCAAACCTAGGAGGACGTTGCTGCTGAAGCTAGGCTGGAATTGAAGGGCTGAGGGGATCGTGATGGTGCCGTTGTTGCTGCCGGCGGTCAGCAGGTAGGTGATCCAACCAGGCTGCGAGGGAGCGCCGGTGTCTGGGTTGTAAGAGGTGTAGTTGTAGTAGAACTCGGTTACACTGCCGGCGACGGGCGCGGTGCCAGCTGCGTAGCAGAGTCCTTCTATTCCTGCACCTGCGTGGCAAGCGGCGGCGTATCCTATTGTTTGATATTAGCCAATTGTTTACATAGGTCCATAGGGCTCAGCTGAAAAGAGGGCAAGTACCATCAATTGACGAGTTGGATTTGCCGGTGATGTGCAGGGCGTAAGGTCCAGTAGAGTTAGAGGCTGTCGCCGTCGCAGCCAAAGCAGCCAACGCAGTGGATTTGAACAGCATCTTGAATTCTGTCTTGTCTAACTTCTAAGCTCTAGGTAATGACGTTAAAACACTTTCGTGAAACGTGTACTTTAAACACAAGGCGTGGAGCTGAAGAGAAGTCGTAGGGCTGGTTGAACGGATTGAATAGTTGAACTGCAAACAGGAAGCGCGAGACAAAAGAAATTTATAACAATTGTTGGGCTTGCCTATCATTACGCTTTTGAGGTCACGATCCAGGGAAAATTACCCGATTAGGAAATCAAGCTATTAAACTAACGCAGACTTAAGTCCACCTACGTATCTTAGGTACTGTCTGTTGCCCAGTCATTAAAAAAATAAATATGCGGGGGAGCCGGCAAGGTCGGCGTAACATCATTGACATCGTCGGATGCAGATCCAAGGCATTTTTCTGGATTGTGATAGGCTCAACTACAAGAAGCTGAAGCGAACGGACCACTCATATCACACCTCGTGTATGCAAAGGAGATCTATATGCGGGGACAGAAACACTACTCCGTTACAAGGGATCGCTTGCTAAGGAAAAGGGTAAAAAAGAAAGATCGTATTCGCCTCATCGGCCCTTAAAAATAGAGGAGATGATCGATATGATGCTTATTTTTTGGCTTATTCTTCGGATGCGTTCCGAATTCTCTCATACAGTACGATCGAGACTCAATATTACACCATATATCGAGCTGTAATATGATATTCATCATACACTAACGTCATCGGTTAAGTAAGAGATAAATACAGCAAGCAAACTAATTCGCACCAGTTACCAACTTGAGTAACGTTCGATCGATTTCCAACACCCCAGCCATGTTACCGCCGTATCTTTCCAAAAGCAAAACTTTATCAATTCCTTCCACAATTTAATTTCTTATGCGTAGCAGTCAACACTTTATTTAGTTATTCTACAAGGGTGGAACAACTACAGTGATATATGAATATCAGAACCATTATAAGTGGATTATGCCTACCTAGGGTATGTGAATGGTATCTAGTTCACGATGCATGGGGGTCATTGCAACCTCGTATAGAAAATCGACTTCACATTACATATATTGCAGGGCAAACAGACCGACCGGCTCTATTCAGAATGTGGCCTTGTCGAACCATCAGCACCGCATGATAGTGATCGTAACCGCGAACCTACATCAGCAGCCCGAATCACAGATATGGATTATACGGACGAACGATCACCTTAAGGAGCATGCGCAGGAAGATTATAAGGATGAGATTAATAAAAATGTGAATGACCAAATCTAAGCTGACGCCACGAGTCTTACTGATCGTCGAGTTGTACGATCCGCCTCATCTCATTTTAAACAATTCAAGCAACGTCATTTAATTGGATTTTTAATCCGGCCTCGGTGTAAGCGATGATATTCAATACCATCCCATGACACACCATGAAGGCATTGTCTGACTGCAAAAGAAATGTGGAATTTAAGTCTGCTTTTCCGGGATATCGAGGTCGAACCTATCGCGATATTTTGGAACATCAACGAGCTATCTAGGTATCCAAAGGGATCGATCTTCTTAGGCATTAGACAGTGCTTCGAGAATTGAAGGTTTGAACACATACCTAGCTTCCACCCCCTAATTTACTATCCCTTATTCCAGCATATGGCAACGGCTTTAGAGGCAAGGGGCTGTTTCGTAGTTGCAAGCTTACCGCATGATGATGCTAATCTTGGGGGCAGATTTCAACAATATTGTCATTCGGAAATATCTTGATGTGCCTATCTAGATACCAACTCTTTTTCATCAATAAACCGAACGAACCCCCCCCCTTAACTACTAGCTATCGAACCCGTTTGCTAGAGTAGTTTCTTCGCAGGCTAGAAGTCGATGGCATGGGGTATGAAAATCAAACGAGTTCTAGTCAAAACGACGAGCTCCTCCTCTTATCGTATCCAATTATCCGGAATAACGACGACATCGCCGCCACCCTTATATGTTTCAACGGGTCGCTCCCGCGATACCGGACTTCACATTCCGCGTTCATCACCAACTCGAACAAGAATACCCGAGTCGTAAAACGGATGTTGCACTAGAAATATCGATGCCCCCACGCTATTACGCCGTGTTGGTTAACGCGCTTCTGCGTCTTTCGTTGCTAGCACCCCTAGAATCTTAGTATCCCAATCGATATATCAACATGCCGTCCCTCGACCGTAAGCTCGATATTTCGATAAGTATCTTCAACAGTCGCATTAATTATCATAAGAATATAGTGATTCATGAACCATTTAATAAAACGGGAGGATCGATAAGAGCCAGAACAATCATACGGGAAGTTGAGCGCATTACCTAGGGATTTTACATATCTATATCACGCCTTAAAAGTAGGTATTCTCTAAACACATTCGATATAATAATGGTTTCTGAATAGTATAGAATTACGTGCTTTATAGCGTGATTGCGTGATCGTAAACGTAACGATGAATCTGTTGGCGACAAGCTATCTCCTGCGATATCCTGCGGGGTATAGTAAAGCCTCATCAGCAGTATGATGTATGCGAGGTATATAATCCTCGAATAATCTACCCCACGTTAAACATCGTGTATCATATCACTTATCTACCTCAACGCTCTCAATATGGCACCAGCGGTTACTATTGACGAAGTTTCCCAGGCTTTGCCTTCTCATACGAAGAATAAAGCTTCCCATTCGTCGCCATTGAGTCTTTCCGGAGCTTTAGATAAGTTCACTTACGAGGATACAACTCCAGCAATTGGTCGCGAATTCCCCGATGTGAATATTGTTGATGATTTGCTCAATGCAAGCAATACCGACGAATTAGTTCGCGACCTTGCCATCACTAGTAAGTTGGATCGAACAGGTTTCCTATATACTCGATAAATACTAAGACATTCTGTAGTATCTCAAAGGGGTGTAGTGTTTTTTAGAGCACAGGATAATCTCACCGATGAGCTTCAAAAGCGCCTAGTTCACAAACTTGGGCAGCTCACCGGGAAGCCCACGGATTCATCGCTGCATATTCATCCGATTCTGAATGGTACCTCGGAGTTCGGAGTTGGTGATAACCAAATTAGCACGATAAGTTCTGTGCAGCGGAAGAAGCTCTTTAAACCCGAGCAACAAGCGGATAGGAGGCGCTACGATTCGGCGCAGTGGCACTCCGATATACAATTCGAACCAGTGCCTGCTGATTACACTTCCCTTCGCCTGACTCAACTCCCTAAGACAGGCGGCGATACGCTGTGGGCGTCAGGATATGATATCTATGATCGGTTCTCAAAGCCGTACCAGAAGTTCTTCGAGGGGTTAACCGCATCCTTCATTGGTGATGGTTTCATCAAAGCTGCGGATGCCGATCCTGAAAATATCAAGATTTACGAAGACTCAAGGGGTAACCCCGCCAACTCCGGAAGGACACTGAGAGCGGTACATCCCGTGGTCAGAACCAATCCCGTTACAGGCTGGAAGAGCATTTTCGCGGTCGGACCCTTTCCGAAGTACATCAATGAATTGACTGCGGAGGAGTCCTCGGAGTTACTCGATAAGTTCAAGCGGACTATCATTGAGAACCACGACATACAAGTTCGATTCAAGTGGAGGAACAAGAACGATCTCGGTAAGTCTCGACTCTTCCCTAATTATGAGTTACAATATTCTGATTCCGAGTAGCAATCTGGGATAACCGAAGTGTCTTCCATACTGCCACATTCGACTACGATGGGCTAGGCGAGAGGTTTGGAAACCGCGCGGTCGGGATTGGTGAGGCACCGTTTTTGGACAAGAATAGCAAGTCTAAGGCCGAGGCATTATCTACCTCTTAAGAGATAATCGTATGGGTTCTTATCATACACGTGTAATGAGGTTATAACGTATAGTCAAGAAACAATTAGTAGACAATGATCTGTCTCGAAATATGAGAATTTCGGAAAGTATTGTGAGTTGAAGTTTAATCCAAAGAATAAAATTAATTTGAAGACTTCCTTCCAACATTCAATGTTGAAGGTTCCAATGAACGTATGCAGGTACTTGGGTACAAACAAAAAGGTACGAGACTGCGGGGCAGGCGGGGCAGGCGGGCAATAGGTTAAATAATATTTTACCTTACCTACCTTATCTGTGGTTGTACGACCGTAAAACGGAACGAAGCGAGAAGGTGCGAATGTGACTCAACTCAATTTCTTACATTACCTCCTTCTCCTCGAAGCCATTCATACTTTTAAACTTTTCCTCAATTTCCATTATTTCTATTCAATCGAAGACGTGGCTAGAGGGTCATAAACCCCCACCTACCTACCCCTCCAGTCGACACCCCCCCCGAGAACAATACGAGAAAAGTAGAAAAAAGCAAAACGAAAATATGGCTGACGCAGGGTCCGTGGCCGGGGCCATCGCAAAGGTCGTTGTAGGCGGCCAGAAGCCTGCGAAGAAAGACAAGAAGAGCAAAGGCGGTGCCGGTGATGCCAGCGCAGGCCCTATCGAGATGACCCCCCCACCCGATTTCCTCAAGACGCGTCTTGACCTATTCGACCGCCTAAAGAAAAAGTACGACGAAGAAGTCGCCGCACGACCGCGCGAACAGATCAACATTACCCTTCCCGACGGTTCTATCAAGGTCGGCACGAGCTGGGAGACTACCCCCGGAGACATCGCCAAGGGTATATCAAACAGCTTGTATAAGCGCACCGTAGTTGCTAGATTGGATGGTGATAGAAACAAATTATGGGACTTGGATAGGCCTCTCGAACAGAGCTGCAAGCTCGAACTCTTGACCTTCGATGATGAGCAAGGAAAACAGGTGTTTTGGCACAGCTCTGCTCACGTCCTTGGTGAGGCTTGCGAGAGAAGGTTTGGTTGCTCGCTTTGTATTGGTCCCCCCATCGATGATGGATTCTACTACGAGATGGCTCTTCCCGACAATGCCCCTGTCTTGCAGAGTGACTGGACGCCCTTAGAACGCATCGTTACCGATATCGTTAAAGACCGTCAACGATTCGAGCGCCTTGAGATGACCAAGGAGGAACTCCTCGACATGTTTAGCTACAACAAGTACAAGCAACATATCATTTCCACTAAGATTCCCGATGGCACCTCCACCACCGTCTACCGAAACGGACCCCTAATTGATTTGTGCCGTGGACCACACGTTCCGGATACCGGCCGGATTGAGGCGTTCTCAATTATGAAGAACTCTGCATCGTATTGGCTAGGATCGCAGGAAAATGACTCTCTCCAACGTATCTACGGTGTTTCTTTCCCTGATAAGAAGAAGATGGCAGAGCACAAAAAATTCCTAGAGGAAGCCGCCAAGAGAGATCACCGAAAACTTGGTAGAGAACAAGAACTGTTCATGTTCCACGAGATGTCCCCCGGTTCGGCCTTCTTCCTACCCCACGGCACAAGAATCTACAACACACTTCTCGCATATATCCGAGAACAATATCACAAACGTGATTACCACGAAGGTTCGTAATCTAATAGAGATCTTCATGATTTTCGCGAATGCGTCTTTATGCTAACTTATAATCGCTACTAGTTATCACTCCTAACATTTTCAATTCGGAACTTTGGAAACAGAGTGGTCACTGGCAGTACTACCAAGAAGATATGTTCGTCATAGATTTGGATAAGGAGAAATGGGGCCTAAAACCCATGAACTGCCCCGCCCATTTCCTTATGTTTGGTAACTCCCCGAAGGTATACAGCCAGCTGCCCTTGCGCTATGCCGACTTTGGTGTCCTCCATCGAAACGAGGCAAGCGGTGCCTTGTCAGGCCTAACCCGTGTCCGTCGTTTCCAACAAGACGACTCCCACATATTCTGCCGACTCGACCAGGTCACTGAAGAAATTTCCGACCTGTTCGATTTCCTTTCTGAGATGTACGGTCTACTTGGATTCTCCTTCAAACTTCAACTGTCAACCCGACCAGAAAAGTTCATGGGCCAGATCGAAACTTGGAACACTGCTGAGGGCATGTTGAAGAAGGCGTTGGATGACTTTGCAGCTGGTCCTGCTGGTGTATCATGGACTCTGAATGAGGGTGATGGTGCTTTCTATGGACCCAAGGTGATATCTAGTTCTAAACTAACTAGTCAAAATTTCAGCTAACTTCAAATTAGATCGACATCAAGATATTGGACTGCTTGAACCGAGTAAGACATTTCGCTTCTATATTTGCAACCAAAAAAAAAAAAAAAAGAGCGCAAGCTCCAATTTTTTGATTGAAGATCGATCGTCTACAGCGAGATGCTAACCATAACTTTAGGAATGGCAATGCGCCACAATCCAGCTCGATTTCATGGGCCCCGAGAGTAATGCGCCACTCAATTACGCTGTTTAATGCATATTTCTAATATTTTATAGATTTCGGTCTCGAATACGTGACAGCCGAGGTGCCTCCTACTAAGGCTAAACAAGACGAACCAGCCGCCGAAGCAACGGAAGCTAAGACTAAGGATGAACAACTGGCTGGTACAGACAAGGCGTCTGGCGGCGAAGCTAAGAAGGGAAGGGTAGTCAAACCTCTCAGCCCGGGTTGTGCTCGTCCGGTTATTATCCACCGAGCCATGGCTGGTTCCATAGAGAGAATGATGGGTAAGGATTCTAAACGGAGAATGAGAGAAATCTATTGCTCACTTTTTTCTAGGTATCCTCATCGAGCACTTCGCAGGAAAGTGGCCTTTCTGGTTAAGCCCGCGGCAAGTGATGGTTATTCCAGTCGGAATGGGATTTGTATCGTACGCCCAAGAAGTCAGAGAAATCCTCAAGAAGGCGAAGATCTTCGTCGACATCGACACCACTGGAAACACATTGCCTAAGAAGATCCGAAGTGCGCAGCTGGCACAGTACAACTTCATCTTCGGTAAGTTTATTTCTCATCCATGCTCTCCTATTATCTACGGCATCGCGTTACAGGATGGTCAACTAACAAGGTAAAACAGTCGTTGGAGATGAGGAGAAGAAGGGTCGTCAAGTGAATGTGCGATACCGAGATGACACATCCACCCAAGACCGTGGAAAGCCTGTAGCGTTGGATGAGGTTGTTGAGAAACTGCGAAAGTTAGGAGCGGACCGGGGTTCATACAACCCCTTCCCTTCAGTAAAGCAAGCAGATAAACCTGCAGAATAAGTTACGATATATCGAGGAATATGTGGCGTTGAATTAGTAAGTTCGGGTTGAGTGGCGATCATTGACATTTGCCATGGGTGCAGTAACTTCTTCGCTGGGTTGAAAATACTTCTCTGTTGGGGTAGATATAGCGCCCATAGAGGTGTAAAAATAAAATAAAAGAATGAAAGATTAATTCCCTCCGAAGAGCTAAACATTATTACAGTCATTAGTGGTTTTGAAGTTCATTTCTCATCAATTACTTGTCGCGTTGTACCAATGCATCGAACCGCTTCTAACCGAGCCACTGTACCTCTGCTTTCGATAGTCTAGTACGGGGAACATATCATGAAGAAGATAAAATTATCGTAGCATTCCATTGCATTCAACTACTTGATTCACCAATTGCGGATTTACATATCCCACTAAGCATAGTGGTTCTGCACTTTCAACCCCTTAAACTCAAAAGAGGTGCCCTCACGCTTCTCCAGCACGGTCTTATAATGAACGTCCTTCACTCTAGCTCGCACATAATCCGTACCAGAAACTACTGGCTTGTTAGGATCTTTGTCCTCTTCCGAGATGAGACCGAGACGGTCTAGAAGAGGCGATGGGACTGTCTTCATGGGCGTGTTGGCGCCGGGTCGGTTGAAGTAGAGGAGCCCGAGGCGTGCCACGTTGATTTGGTCTTTGGGGGGCGTAACTACGCGGTGGATGGTAGATTTGATAAAACCTGTTGTTTTGTGAGCTTAGTGAACCATATGGGGATTTATCTATGATAGTATTTACCGTTGGTGAGGAATGATAGAGTATCCGCCGCGTTGCAGGTAACTGTAGTTCCGAGTTAGCGAGATCCATTATGAGGTCGTAGGAAATTGACTTACTACCACCCTCCACAGGGCTAACATATTTCCACTCGCCCTCCGGCGTACGGATCTGTAATCCAGCAATATGCTGCGAGAAAAGTAGCGTCAAGCTACCAAAATCGGTATGTCCACCCTTTGAGTAAGCCTGCGCCTTGTCCCATTCTTCTTGGCTTCGCACGTTATATAGCATATAACGTAGGTGATCATCGGATTCCTCATCATAGGCGTGCGCGTCCGCGAGGTAGTTCTCGGGAAGCTCCAGGATGATGGAGATCAAAACGAAGAGCTTTCGAACTACCTTGTCGAAGAGGTCCCGGTGAAAGGACGCGATTTCTTCCCAGTTTTGCTCCACGATGCGGTGTTTTCCTACGTTTGTGAAGGCGGGGATGGCTTTGGGAATGTTTAACTAGCAGATGTGAGCGTGGTGCCGGACAAGTAATGGTAGAAATAGGCTCACCATTTCTACATTCTCTTTGACACCTGTGTCGCCGATCCAGCGCGAGTTCTCTCTATATCCAAAGTACTCGCCTTCGGAGAAGTTACAAGGGAATCTTCCTAGTATATTGATACATGTTAGTCGGTATCCCTCGTCACCTAATAGACTCGTGTTTTCACTTCAGGGGTAGCTTTTAGCTAAACCAAAACGCTGGGGTGAATTAAACATACTATAGTAGTGTCAGTCAGGGGTCAACCTCGTGGGTAAATAGGCATTGCACATACCTCTTCTCTTCTAAGGGTTCCTTGAAGAACGCATTTCCGAAGCTAAACTGACGGAGCACGCGCTCATCATCAATGCCCGTGTTCACCACAGACCAAAACCCAACTTTAGTGACAGCGTCATAAAGCTGCCTGGCCAGCTCTTGCTTGCCACCGGGCTGGTCGAATATAGAAAGATCAATTTTGGGCAACTCCGCGTATTCGAGCTTCTCAGTAGTTGGCTGAGGCCGAGTCCATGGCTTTATCAGAACCTTGGTGTTATTGAACTGAGGTTCTACAGCTGGTGTTTCAAGAGCAATTGGTGCCATTTTGATTTGTTTGACACTATTTGACGTTCTGATTATCTGATCATTCCATTTCTACGAACCAACCCCTCGCAAGGGGACTCTCCCTTCGCCTTATACTAACTCGAGATACACTCATTCGCTATAACAATGAACTTTCCCTCACATTACCGTTTAGTCAATTGTTTTAGTTGTAGTTGCTACGTTCAGAGCTATAGCTTCACCCAATTGCGACTTGATTGGCTGCCAAGTTCGGGGGTCGAGCGGGGGCAGTTGCGTGCTTGGTGTTCTCATCGACCCCATGGTATTCGTGCTCGAGCGATCGAGCAATGGGAACAAAGGACCCCTCGGAATGCCTTAGATAGGTCCCGAGAATTTCGGATGCGCCGCCGTCCCGGTGCAAGTGTGTGTGGCACTGATTGATAACGTCGACGGGGGTTATCGCTAGATTGGAACGCAACTACGTAGCCCATCCCACGTGTTTGTACCCTCATTCCGTCCTCGCTGGGTCTAAGGGAGGCGATAAGTCCTTTCGTTATAGTATAATCTACCTGGGAATTATAAACGCGAAGTTAATGCCGGGCCTTTTAACATTGTTACCATATCCTTTAATATGACGCGATGGCGCGGCGGAGGTCATGGCTAGGCCAAACATGGCTTCCCGTAGTTAATCATAGGAAATACGCGTCGGATTTTTCCTTCGCATCTAGCCGGGAAGTATGTAAGGCTTCTAATCGCCGGCTCGGATGGTCCCCTTTTTCTTTTCTCTCCTCAGGGCGCAAGTTACCTTGTGCCTGATAGGGAGCTCTCGTTGGAAGCACCGCCTTATAGATCGACAACAATAGCGCGTGGTCCTTTGTCGCGTACTTGAATATTATCGATATGGCTTCTAGTACGAGCAAATCTCTGGCGATAGCCAACGACAGGGTTGTCACTGACAGTAGCGACGATGCCTCAACGACGGCGGACCAAGAGCTTCCAGTCATCAACTCTGAACTCGAAAAGGGCGTCATGAAGAAGATCGACTTGTGGCTCGTTGGATTCTACTCTTTAGTTTATGTTTTTCGAGTAATCGATTCAGCCAATTACTCTAACGCAGCCATCATCAACCTCGAGAATGGCACAGGCATCAAGAAGCAACTCGGACTTAGCCCTTCGCAGTGGGCGTGGACACTATCCATCTTCTCGTATAGTTACATGATATTCGAGCCGACAAACACGCTTGCGATGAAAGTGTTCTCGCCCTCGAGGTGGATGTTTGTTCTTATCCTTGGTTGGGGTATCGCCGCTTGTTCGTCAGCTGCAGCGCAGGATTTTAAAGGAGTAAGGAAACCCGAAAATTCGACTAGGGATATCCGAGCCAGTAAATACTAATATGTTTTCTAGATGATGTGCGTTCGTTTTGCTATCGGATTGGCTGAGGCGGGATTCTTCCCTGCTGTGCTTTATCACATGGCCTTCTGGTACAAACCCAGCGAAATGCCGCAACGGATCGCTATCTTTTACTCGGTCGGCCAACTTTCACCGGCCGTAAGTGGACTGCTGGCCTATGCCATTGGATTCATGGACGGATTAGGAGGCCTCTCAGGTTGGCGGTGGCTGTTCTTGATTGAGGGAATGCCCGCCATCGTCCTCTCAGTGGTAGCACTATGGCTGCCGGATTACCCCGAGACAGCCCGAATGCTCAACGATAAGGAACGGCTGTTCCTTCAAGATCGCCTTGCTGATACGGCGCCAACGGGTAAGAAAGGACACTGGGATTTTGAGTCATTGAAAGCTCTTGTGAGAAACCCTACCTTTTACACATTTGCCGTGTATTGGATCTGTCATGGAATTGGTGGGTTCGGTGTTGGAACTGCACTTCCTACCGTCATTTATGAGTTGGGTTTCACAACGACCTCCAACTCTCAGCTCATGAATATCGTAAGTGCTCGAACCAGTCATTTCCGTAGGACCACGTCTAACATATACCTAGCCTCCATATGTCTCCGCATTTCTCTTCCTGAATATTGTTGGGTACTTTTTGCATAAGAAGTCTATCAGGCCCTGGACCACTGCTGTAGCGAGTAAGTGTTAAATCAGGTTCGAATTACTACTCCAAGTGCTAACGGCGCCACAGTCGAATCGACGATCATTGTCTGCTACATCATCCTGTACACAGTTCATAATGCGGTGGTACGGTACATCTTTTTGATCATCGCTGTATCATGCGCAGGTTCAGCTTATCCAGTCATTTGGCCTGAGCGTATTCGCGCGATCGAGGGGACGGTGGCGTCAGGTCTTGGGATCGGATTCACCAACGCCATGGCGCAATTTAGCGGAATCGCGGGCCCCCACGTCTTCAGCACAGTGTTTGGTCCGTCGTACCATGTCTCATACGGAATTTGCCTTGGATTCCTGTGTGTTGGCATCGCAGCAATTCTCCTTTCTTGGTTACTTGTTTGGAGAAGGGATCGCAAGAGAGAGGCGGAACAGGCCCAACGAGAGGGAGAAGCTGTTATTTAGACCGAACATTTAGACAACGTACCATGATATTGGCATGCTAGTTACGCTGGGACCGGCCTAGCCGATATAGACGCTGTGTAACTCATAAAACAAATCCGTGATTATCTCGTGAATTTAGTGCTCATCGTAGAGGTAGTGATCTTCCCATGTATCATGTGTAGTATAATATGTGGGAGCATGTCGTCGCTTCGCTCTCGAACTGGTCACATGTGTGCCAAAGTAGCGTGAATACTGCTCATGACAATACGTGTCGCATGTAATAAATACTAAAAATATTACATGGTTGAAGCTGTAAAGTTATGAATATGAATTGCGATGATAAAATAAATCATATAGGTGACAGGGGGTAGATTGAAATTGGAGTATAGTTGGCGATGGTGTCGTGTCGCTTTACAGAACGAAATTCAAATATGTTCGACAAAAATAAAAACGGGCAAAAATAATCAGCAAATTTAATAAAAAGCCTTTTGGTCCTAGTGGGGATTGAACCCACGACCTATGCATATCTCACAACAAGATTGTATAAGAGCACCATGCTAACCACTGCACCATAGGACCTTTGACGCACAACAAAGCTAGGCAGAACACTCAGCCCATTTTGAAGGTTGAATTTTAATTGGTTTAAGACCTATTATATAATGTTATTTCAGTGAGTTTTTATTGAATTTCGCCACAGCTGTAAGAGGCCCCGCTAAAAACATTCCAATGCGCTTTTAGTGGAACCTGAACGAATTGCCTTTAGAGGGAAGTGCAGTAACCCCACTTACCGAGGTATGATAAAGATCTTTGAACGCCATCCACTTCCTTCTTTTATTCTGAGTTGTAGCTGCTACTGTCCTTTTAGCTTGAAAAGTGCAAATAATAAACCGGATAAAAGTGATTATTTGGTAATACATACTGTTGATTTTTCTGACGGGGAATGCGAGAAAGGTGAATCATCAACTACCGTTGTACTACCGTTGTAGTTAGTGACTTGTCTTCTGATAATAATAGATCTGCATTGAGGAATTGACCATTAGTGGGGATGCAAATATCCCATCTGCTTATTAGAAAGAATGCGGCATGGGAAAGGCAAGCGGGGGATAGACGGAAACGGACCAAATGAAGATTCCGTTGGAAATCACGACATGGTATCGTATAATACCGTCGTACTGGCCGGACCTATCCAGTAATTATGCCCGTGGAAATCCGGTAAGCTAAGAAACTAAGGGGTTTTAAACTAGTGATGAGAGAAAATTATGTCTTGCTTATCAAGCTCCGTTTTCTTTCATTCCTCGGCCGGCACACTACTTGCGGATGGCGGACTTTGGTGGACTGACCGGAGAACTATCTATATGTAGAAGCAAGATGAATAATATATTTCGTCTAGTTTAGCCGGTTGTTCTAAATGTGTTTAGTCAGGAGTCGTGACGCAACGGAACGTCATTTTCTTTTTAAACCGAATAAGTAAAGCATAAAGTATAAATATCTTTGATGGCCTCATAAATTGGCAACTTCGATAAAAATATCCACTCAATTAGTCATACAGCAGATACGGAAGGTACGAAGTAGTAACTATCCGCGACTAGGGTTGTGGTTGAGTTTAAAGGTTCTTACTTAGCCCCTTAAACTTCCCCCAATTCATCAACCATTCTCACCTCATTAAAGAAAATAAAGGAGAATTACTTCCAAAATGGCGCCAAACAAGACGCTCATCTACAAGAAAGTACCAACTGGATATCCAGTCCCAGGCGAGCATCTCGTCGTCGAGGATCGGCCCATTGACCTCAATGGAGACGCTCCTAAAGGCGGACTACTAGTTGAGATCGTGTACGCCTCCTACGACCCGTACCTCCGAGCTAAGATGCGCCAACCCGGAAAGGGGTACTCAGAACCTTTCAAATTCGACGAGCCCATACCAAACCACACCATTGCGCGTGTGATCAAGTCAGGCACTCCAGATTTCAAGGAAGGAGACGAGATAGCTGCTTTTCTCCCCATCGCAGAATATGCTAGGATAGCTGATCCTGCAGCTGTAAGAGCTCGCAAGCTGCATAACCCACATGGTTTCGACCTAGGCATGTTCCTTGGTCCCTTGGGTATGCCTGGTTTAACAGCCTACGCCGGTTTACATAAGATCGGAAAGCCGAAGAAGGGCGAAACGATATTCGTCAGCTCTGCAGCTGGTGCGGTAGGACAGGTCGTTGGTCTACTCGCCAAAAATGAAGGTCTTAGGGTCATTGGCTCTGTCGGCTCTGATGAGAAGCTGGATTACATCATAAAGGAATTAGGATTCGACGGTGGCTTTAACTACAAGAAGGAAAAGGCCGCTGAGGCGCTTCCACGGCTTGCGCCAAATGGCATAGACATTTACTTTGAGAATGTGGGAGGCGAGCAATTAGATGCTGCCTTGGAAAATATGAACTCCGGAGGTCGAATCCCGGTTTGTGGCATGGTAAGATTTATCCCCCCCCCCCCCCCTCTTTTGGATCTGAAACATTCGTAATCCGTTAATATTAACCTGCATGTAGATCTCGGGGTACAATCAATCTCAGGAGCAAAGATACGGTGTCAAGGGACTCTTCCATGTTGTCTCAAAAACCCTCGCTATACAGGGATTCTTGGTCGGACAACCTGAATTCGGACCTGCGCATTTCCAAAAACACCAGGAAGTAGTCCAGAATTTGATTGCGGAAGGATCTTTCAAAGCTAAGCTGGATATCACGGAGGGTATTGATAAGGCTGCCGAGGGATTCGTGGGCTTGTTAAAGGGCGACAACTTTGGTAAAGCTGTGTTGAGGATAAGGTAGACGAGTTGGTGGCGCTTGAAAGAGGGGAAGAGGATTTGCTTGTGGAACATATGATTCGGTGGCTGAGAGTTGAGGAGCATCTTACCGACGGCTTGATAACACGGTCTGGATTTTGTCCGGAATCCAATCAAGAGTCTGCCTAGGTACCTCTAGTTCGGGTAGGAGATGGCGAGCGAGTCCGGTGCTACATGCCTACTACCAACGTCAGTTAAATCGCTTTTCCGTGAAGTGAAGTAATCTTTCTAAAATCAACATAGCATGTCACATTAATTCAATCTGTCAAAGTTGGATAGCATCCTGTATTAGCGATTTGACAAGGCAAAGCGTGTTCGTCCCCTCGACGCGTTTATATAAATACACCCTCGCCTCGACTCTTCTAGGGGCCAATTAAGTCTAATCATGATTATCGTGACGTTGCTGAATGCTTCATCGAAAAAATAAGACTGGGGTATGTATTCCGACGCCAGAAAAATGCACTTGATCAAACATACGAACACCCTAATTCCACTTTTGGACTTTCTTCTAGCAACGCCATTCCTAATGACCAAAATTCCTATACCGACCAAAACCTTACGGTCGGTTGAACCCTTGCTTAGCCTGTTGTAGCCCGTTAATTAGCATTGGTGAGTTGAATAACGAGGACATTAATATCTCTTACCTTCATTTGCTCTATCCTAGCTTTGAGCTGACTCGTCACCTCTGCCGCCCTTTTCCAACTCTCGACACCGTTCGCGCCGCCTCCAGCAGCCGCCGCGTTGGCAGCGGGTCCAGTGTCCTGTCTGACATTTTCCTCAATTGACGGGCCCCTAAAGCCACGGGCAGGACTTCCCCTCCCGCTGGATCCGCTGCCGTATCGCAATTCCGGGCTCAACTTGCTTCGTGGATAATTGTGAGGCGCATCACCATTTTCTTTCTCTTCTGACAGGGTGCTATTAAAGCTCATCCTATTGCCTCTAGCACCCGAGTAGTTGGAACCGTCGCGGTAGATGCCCATATCATCGGGTGTGGGACTCGTCATTCCGGGACTTCCAATGCCACCGGAGACACCTAGGCCCTCGGCTCTACTGAGTGCGCGCTTGAGACGCTCTAGTTCTCGTCGGAGTCTCTCGTTGGTTTGTTCGGCTGATTCTGCGTCGCTCCTTGCCCTGACCAACTGAGTTTCTTTGGCCTTGATACTAAGCACGTCTCTAGTGTGGTCCTCAATAAGTCCCGCATTCTGGTTCTTGAGTTCTTGTACTTCCGACGTAAGCTTGCTTCGTTCATGTCGCATCTCATCAACCTGTTTGGTAAGGCGCTCGTTGGTTGTACGTAGTTCTTCAAGTTCCGCACGCTCCATGGCCGTAAGCCCACTTGACGGGGGCGGTGAGGCTGCTAAAGGCGCTGCGGCTGGCGCAGCAGCGGGCTTCGCTAATGATCGCCCTGCAAGACCACCTCTTCCGAGCCCGATTCGGGGCTTGGGAGGCGGCGACGCTGGGGGTTCCTCATCCTCGATGGGCGGGGGTGGGGCTGCTGCCGCAGGTGCTCTTCGTGGAGATGCTGTACCAGGGGGGGCAAGTCGTCTTTGAGGTGCTTTTAGCCCAGAGAGGCCGGGTTTGGGCATGCCAAGCTTGCTTCCTGGAGCAGTACGGGTGGCGGGTTGTGGCGTCGGAGGAGTCGGTTCTGCTGCAGGGGGAGGTGCGGCTGCCGGTGCTGCTTTCTTGGCGGCTCCAGGGGCCTTTTTCCCACCGCCGACAATCTTCTTCGGACCACCAGGTGGGCCACGAGCTGCTGGGGCTGGCTTGGGCTTATCCTTAGCTTTGACTTCTGCCTTTTCGAAGTATTCCTTGATCTTGTTCTTTCGAATCTCGTCAAGACCCTCAAGATGAGGGTTCATCGCACGTTCACCGATGATCTTCATGACTGTACCCAGAACTTCAGCTCCGCCAGATCTCAAGCCTTCACTAGATTCCGCGAGTAATTTCTTCGCCGCTTCAACGATACTGGCTACCTCTTGCTTGCTCGGGGCCTCTCGGGTTGTTCTAAGGCAACGGACAAGGAACTTCATCGTCCCCTCTTTGACTTGCGGGTTCTTGTGCCCAAGGAATGAGAAGATATCTTCGAGACAATCGGATAGACTTGTCGCGAGGAAAACTTGATCTAGGGCGGCACCTAGCGCGTCCGAGACCGTCTGCTTCTTTTCTTTTAACCTTTCCATTATGGGTGCCATGACGGTCGCCCGGTATTTGCCATAGCTTTTTCGGAGACCCTTGGCAAGCACTTCAATACACTGAGCTGCTTGTGTGACCACAGCAATATTGGCATCTTTCATCGATTTCGCTAACCCGCGATTGATCTCGGCATAATCACCATCTTTTATCCTCGGTACATTGAGCGCCGCAAAGAGTGCCTCGAGAGCTTCTTTACGATCTTTCCACTTTGAAGACGCAAGGTTATCGTGAAAGTTGCCTGGAACTTTCGAGAGGACGTCCTGGGGTTCCGCGAGATCGAATGCGTCTACTTCGGCGGGCTCGTCGGCTCCATCTTCATCGCCTATGTCATCGCCTTCGGCTCCGGGTGGTGGCGCACGCGCTAGGGCTGCCTGTTGCGATTTTAAGAGACGTTCCTGTTTCGGTGGCGCCTCTGCCTTAACCTTCTCGAACTGCGCTTCCAGGTCAGATTGTTGTGTTGGCTTTAGATCACCCCAGAACATAGGTTTCATTGCGTCCCTGAGCCATCGGTAGAACTCAACAGCCAGGTTGGTCGCCTCCGCTCGCACATTCTTGTCTGCATGCCCAAAAGCCTTCGGGAGGATTTTGAGAGCAGGTTTCGGGTCGGCTACTTTACAACCATAGTTGTGGAAAATGGTGGTGAGAGCTGCCAAGGCAGCGGCGATGACTTTGGGTTGTTTCGCAGATACGGCTGGGAGTATGTCCTCGATGATGGGGCCGGCCACATCACATTCAATAAGAAGTAATAGTGCCTCGATAGAGGCGGCCTTGGTCGCAGGTCTAGTAGATATAAGGCCCTTCTCGACGATAGGAGTGACAACGTGACCACGCGAACGGACGCAACCTTCTTTTCCGTTGAATTTTAAGAAGGCACAGTATGCGGCGATACCATCTGATTGCGCTGCAACGTTTGAATCTGCGACGGCTCCTTTCCAAAGACTAGGATCTTGGTTGAACGGTCGGAATGCGGGATCGTGCTCGTCTGGGGTGAGTTCGAACTGTTTTGCAGCCTCTTCGTAGGCCTGTTTGCGCACTTTCCAAACCTATGAAACGAATAATTGATTTAGCACTGGCGTGATAGTAAAGGCGCACAATCGTATAGGCATAACACGTACTTTATGTACCCATCTCTCTGTTAAGGGCAGAGAGCTGTAGTCAGGCTCTCCATCCGCCATGTTGGGAGTAGAACGAGTGCCGTTGGTCGTTAGCGATGTCGGTACCGGCGTAGAAGTACGAGAAGGAGTAGGCGCTAGAGCGGTGTATATCCTATGGTCGCGGGACGGGATCGACTTCTTTCGAGTACGTTTACGTGATAGGACTGAGGATACTTTTTTTATTAGCTTCGGTAAAGCTGGTTTATTCTTCTCGGAGAAGAATAGATGCATTTTACACGGAGAGTGCGAGTAACATAAGGAAACAAAGGGTTCGAAATGGAGTAGGAAGACGCTTCTTCCTCGTATCTAAACTCTTGCTCCTAATGGAAACAACTACCAAATATGTCTTCGTCGTTTTTGTAGCAGTAGTCGGAGCGAGCGCATGGAAGCGAACAGAATACACAAAGGAATGAACGTATTCCCTATGCGGACCGAGTATAGCATTCCGAGAAGAACTGGAGAAAAGCAGCGAGTTTGGAGGAATATAGGACGTGTAATATTGAAAAGGCAAAGGTAAATGGTCCAAGTGACTGGAATAAACGTACATTGATCTCATGGAAAATAGATTTAGAGTGTAAGCCAATCGTCAACTACCGATCTTATGCTTTGTGTTTACGCTTTCCACCGCTCGTTGCGGCAACCTCGTGAAGTCAAAAGCTCAAATTTTGCGGGGAGGACCGGGAGGCAGAAAAAAAAAAACAATAGTTTGATGTTTGTCGACGATGTGATTAAAATCAATAATCTACTACGAGTCTCAAAGTGGTCTCGGCGATAGGCGTTGGTGCTTGCTTTATTAAAAGAGGCTTTTCTTCAGATAAATGTGGAATAGGAGATGCTTGTGTTAAACATCGAGGGGTGCGAAATAGTAAAAAGCGTCGACGATGACGGAGGTGTTGTTCGCCGATTTATTATTCCACTAACTAAGATACTAAACTATCCAATAGGTTCGCAGTAAATGTGGGGGTACCGAGCTGGAATAGCGTTAGGTAGGTATGTACTAAGCAGGCTAGGGTTGCCATGGGCACGCAAACGGTACGTATTCATGGGTTCCCCATAGCGATCTTCAGCATCGGTGCGTGTGCGTCCCTTGAACGCTGCCCAATATCAATGCAAGGTACAATACACCGCATCAATTGATGTAAACATTGGATTGTCGATATTATTTACACACATATATATAATCTTAATAATTTTGTAAGTTTACAAATTCACGAGGATTGTCCCCGAGAATACTATTTCTGAAGTTCAATCTTAGTTTTCATTTAACTTCACCAATAGCATCAGATGACGCGAGTTAAATGTTTTCTGTTAAACCTAGATTTTGGATGAACACGGATTATCTTGGTACCTAACGATTGATAACACCAAACGACTGTTAATTGTGGAGTAAAATGTACAATTTAAAGATATGGGGGAGGGGTGACTTTGTGGCTTATACGTGTGCCTAGACGTTGGCCCAATGTGGCTTTACATGCCTTTATCGGGTTTCTATCCGTTCCAAGTTGTTGTGTGCGATCAACGCCGGTCCATGTATCGTCGAAACAAGGTATCGAGAAAAACAAGTAAACCATTTGCCCAATACATTTTATTACCTCTATTCGTCGCAAAAATTCCAAGTCGACGATTATACCATACCCCTCCTTAGCGAATTCGACATGTCTGCCCCGCCATATACGAACGCATCTACTTAACTACGTGATCTGTGATTTTTTGTTTTCGCACTTGGCGACAGCTTCAATTACGTCTCCTTCAGCGCACTCCAATTCAAATACTAAGTAAGCAGTTTGGTTCATAACTTCACATTCTGCAACCACCACCACAACAACAACCTATATACCTATGATGTACTTCGTGCCGAATCCCTAGATTGCCGACATCCACCTCTATTCCGACGATTATATCACCTCTTCCTACTCTCACCGATTCTGTCTATTCGAATTTCAATTTTCCCAATAAAAATCCACCCCACTGAGGCCTGTTCGTAACTCATCTACCCCGTCCAATGTCCTTTCCACGTTGTTCCTACTCGCGATAGACATATCCATTCTAAACTTGCGACAATATTGTTGTTTACAATTTCTTTGCGGCCATATCATAAGACTTTCTTTCAACACCTTGTCTAAAGCGTTGTCCGCTTTGTTATCACCCTCCTCTCTTGCCGGGATCTACCTATTGTCCTTGCCGTCATACCGATCGCCTTGTATTTACTATTTAACACTCTAACTCTCTTATTTTCTACTACAGGCTCATGAGGCGCTTTCGAGGTGTGAACTGGACAAAATGAGCCAAATCTTAACTTCACGACAAGCTGAAGAGCTGTACGTTTCCCAATCCCATCTCTATATTTGAATAATGTGCAAGATTTTGAAGTAGAAGCTCGGTGCTGACTTATACAATAGGCACAAAGCTATTATCGCATACCTTTCATCCAATAATCTACCCAATACAGCAGCTGCCTTACGAGAAGAACTAAATCTCGGAGATACGTTCGATGCTGCCACCTCCAAGAAATATGAAGGTCTCCTAGAAAAGAAATGGACCAGTGTCGTCCGGTTACAGAAAAAGGTATGTTGTCAACTACCTCGATACTATGAGTACTCGTCCCTCTACTGACACGAATCGCGTTGGTATTAGATTATGGATCTGGAGTCCAAAAACGCCTCCCTACAATCCGAGTTAGATAATGCGACACCGACTTCCCTTTCCAAGCGAAACCAAGATCCGGCTAATTGGCTTCCCCGATCGCCACCGCGTCACAAAATAGAATCTCATAGAGGCGCCATTAACTGCGTCGCATTCCACCCGATCTTCTCGTCGCTCGCATCCGGTTCCGAGGACTATACCATAAAAATATGGGATTGGGAGTTGGGGGAGCTAGAACGAACGATAAAGGGTCACACGAAGGCTGTGCTGGATGTTGATTTTGGTGGTCCAAGAGGGGGAATTCTATTGGCATCCTGCTCAAGCGATCTGACCATCAAATTGTGGGATCCTTCTGATGAGTATAAAAATATTAGGACCCTCCCGGGACACGACCACAGCGTCAGTGCAGTTCGTTTCATTCCGTCGGGAGCAGCCGGTGCACCGAGCTCGAGCAACCTTCTCGTATCCGCATCGAGAGATAAGACACTACGCATATGGGATGTAACCACGGGTTATTGTATTAAGACAATACGGGGGCACGCTGATTGGATTCGAGACGTCTGTCCTTCACCAGATGGTCGTTACCTTTTGTCTGCTGGACACGACCAGACCGCACGGCTTTGGGATATCTCGCTTGCCAATCCCGAGAGTAAGTTGACCTTAGTCGGACACGAACACACAATCGAATGCTGCACTCTAGCACCTCCAGCCGCATATCAACATCTAGCACCACTTGCTGGATTGAAGAGGCCGCCACCAGTATCTAGCACTGCAGAATTCATGGCAACAGGATCTCGGGATAAATCGATACGGATCTGGGATGCCCGAGGTAACTGTATCAAAACCCTTGTTGGCCACGACAACTGGGTAAGAGCCCTGGTATTCCACCCGGGTGGGAAATACTTGCTCAGTGCTTCCGACGACAAAACACTACGATGTTGGGATTTGTCTCAAGAAGGAAAGTGTGTAAAGACGGTGGCGGACGCACACGAACATTTTGTGTCTTGTATGAGGTGGGCCCCGGGAATTGTACGTGAGCCAGTGACAAATGGCTCGTCTGAAGGACAAAATGGCGCTTCTATTAACGGCACTGCTAAAGCCGTCACACCCGATGTGCAAATTCGGTGTGTCATCGCAACTGGATCTGTGGACCAGAATTTGAGAATCTTTGCCAATTGAAATCGCAAGAAAAGTGTGTGATATGTCTTGGAAAGATGCATAGTTCTGGGTGTCACCTAACAGCTTTGGCTTCCGTCAAACTTGAGATGCTGGTGTGGCTGGATAATGAAATCTAGCTAACAGCATGGGTGACCTTCTACAGACGTTGCTGCTGCAACATGGCTCCAACCGTGCTGCCCTCCTAGAGTCAGTGTACGGGAGTTCTCAGACCAAGGACTTGGACGCCGAGAATTCGAAAGGTTACAAAACAGAAAAGGGACTGGGTTGGAGATGGGGTGGAGTTGAGCTTGGCGAGGAATATGGTGATGATATTTGATGGCGTTGTATCCAAAGGTTGGCGCCACCTTCTGGGGTGTGTTGGCATCAACAGGCTGATTAAATGATGGCAACAGTCTCTACTTAGGTAGATACGGATGAAAATAGATACCCTACCAACGCACACTGAGACTTGAATATATAATCTAGCATGAAAGCTAGGTTCCATATTATTTTATTTCCCTTGCGTGTCTTGTACCAAGTGTCCTCTCGTGATGTTGACAAAGAATCATGGATATACGGAGATGACCCTCAATGTCATTTTTCGGATTTGTTGAGGCAACAATTTCGTCGACATAATTATTTGATATATGCATGCGAGTTAGAATGACTGCATCTATTGGTATGTATTTAATATTAATAGCATCGTACAAATAGATCTCGAGTTAGCCTATAGTGTATAAAAATACTGATATAAAATACCCCTTTTTCTTAAGAGGCTTTTAAACAACTTCACATGTTGAAATTTATGTATGTACTCGAGTACCGTGGCACAAGAGATAATTGGATACTGTATTTTTAAGCTCGCTTACTGGCAGCACCCAGCCGTAATAAGCAAGGGATACCCTTCTTTGTGTTACGTGCTTGCCGGATCTACAGGTAATCTGCGGGTTATCTTACCCTGATTAGTCCAGTCAGCGGCCGTGCTTGCACAGTGCAAAACAAGCCAAAACCACCGCATGCACGTCTAATGTAGCAGCCGCGACGGAATTACACTTAAAAAATCACTTGCAGCAGCGGTCATAAGTACCATCATATACAATATTCTACCTAAGAGTACATTTATGGATACGTTTGTTTTTCCCCTCCATAGTTAATTCCCCGGCCAGGAAAGCGCAAGGCCCAGGTCGATTTCTTTCCCCGACTCCAAAAGTTGGATGGAACCTTGGAACTCTAGAACTAAACTAAACTCATCGGGCTGACATTTCTTCCCTTTTGATAATTGATTACCGATCTATCTACCACCACCACTCGCCAATACAGCTTAACCTGGTCGTCATATTATTGATGAAGTTGTGGTTTTTGTTTCCGACGTATTCTCTATTGCTCTACTCCTAACCTAACCCTTTTCTCGATTTTTATTTATTTATTTATTTAAGAGACGGGGCGCGGTTAAAGGGATAGATGCTCTAGTTAATATCTTACCCTTTAGGTACCTAGTTTGGACGGCGAGGCAACCTCAACACCTGACCTTTGCGATCGCTGCCTGACAATATCCTTGTCTTCTGTATCTTGCCATTGGCTTATAGACTTCCGAATCTGGATCCACGATATCTTGCGATTGATCGAGATTTCCCCCAAAACGTCTGGGAAGGTACAAATAAGCGCCAGATCGACCCGACAAATCCCATCCGTTACCCTCGAATCACTGATAGGCGGGGGAACTTGAGAAAAATATTATACTAGAAGAACCGCAGCTCTACTACACGGGGAGACTACGTAAAACCTGCGCCGGTGACGATATCGCATTTCTTTTTAACTTATAGAAGACGCGACCGAATCAAAACCGACTGAGCAAGGGGTGGCTTTCCTATGATAAGTCCCAAGCCCTACGTAGACCGCTAGCATAACTCATATCCACATCGACATTTCTCCCATTTACCGTCCTAGTCCGGTGCCGGTACAGCGCAACCGGCACGGCGACATAGGGCGCCGCCTTTACCACGAGTCGCCATGTTTTGGAGATTTGGCGGCTACGCCAACATCTCGACTATCGATACCATCCTTGATAAGCCAGACTTCCAACTTGAGGATCTTCTCGACGAGAGCGACCTAATCCAGGAACTAAAACAACACAACACTAAGCTAATCGAATTTCTTCGCGAGTCTAAGGTCCTCGAGAAGCTCCTTGAATATGTCATCACACCGAAACTCGAGCCCGTAGAAACTCCCGAAGAAGAAAATAATGAAGAGGAAAAGAAAGGGAGATCTAGGGGCCTATCTTTCGGCCGCCCACGTGCCTCGTCGAGGGCGACTAGCGATGGACACGACGAGGATGAAGCCGAAAAGAAGCGCAATAGATATGCGTACGTTGCGGCCGAAGTGCTCTCTTCTGATAACTGGTCTATCTACGAGGCCTTGATGGAAAGCCAACAGCTCCTGAGCGATTTCTGGAATTTCTTAAAACACCCATCCCCTTTGGACCCCCTACAGGCTAGTTATTTCACTAAGGTCAACGAAGCTCTTTTCGACAAGAAAACAGATGAGATGTTAAGCCTTTTGAAATCCCTCGACGACGCCATTCCCAATATGTTACAACACGTCGATTGCCCCATGATTATGGATCTTTTACTTAAGATCATCAGCCTCGAACGTACGGAGAATGGCCAGGGTGTTGTTGAGGTATGTTGTTCCTACATTTGGGGTGTAGAGGGGTTGTGCAAATGAATTGCGATAGATTACTGACATGGTCTCCCTACTAGTGGCTTTATACTAAAGATGTCATGCCGACATTACTTTCGTTCCTTGGGCCGGAACATAACTATGCTACTCAAACGTCCGCTGGAGACTTCATCAAGGCTATCATCACTGTCTCTGCCAACGCCTCGCAAAACGAGCAGGCTTGTATTGGACCGAACGAGCTTACACGCCAGCTTGTATCTAAACCATGTGTTGAAAAGCTTATTGGGTATATGCTCGGGGGTGGGAACTCTTTGACTGTGGGCGTGGGGATCGTCATCGAGGTTATCCGAAAGAACAACTCCGATTATGACCCGGACGTTGGACCCGATTCAAACGCCCCGCCTTCAAGTCGTGACCCTATCTATCTCGGTACCCTCCTTCGACTCTTTGCGGACCACGTGCCCGACTTCATGTCTCTAATTTTGAATACCCCTGCCCAAAAACAGCGATTAGACTCTACCTTCGGAGAAAAGATTGAACCCCTCGGCTTCGATCGGTTCAAGACTTGTGAGCTTATGGCCGAGCTACTACACTGTAGTAATATGGCGCTGCTGAACGAAGTTGGTTCAGAGCAAGTTATTGCTTTGCGAGATGAAGAACGCCAGCGCTTGCGGGCCGAAGGTCGGTTGGCAGTCACTCGTGTTGAAGAAGTACAATCAACAGAAGATCTGACTATGAGGATGCGCCACTCCTCTCCAGATGATGGTCGTCGTCTTGAGGTCACAAATGCCTCGGACGATGATGGGTTTGAAGAAGTTACTCCGGTAAACGAGATGACCGAGGACACATCGCATGAATTTGTCAAAGCTGAAGAAGAAATCCGCCCAGTCTCATCCTTCCTCGATAGAGACGACGACGATTTTGTAGAGGAGCCGCTCAGTTCCCCAAGGTTAAATGTCCAAGACGGGAGAGTCAATGAGCAACAATTCGAGAACCCCGAACTGGTTGTTGCGCCCCTTTCACCTAAAAAGCCAGATGCTACACATCAATTACCACAAAAAGAGGATGATGCTTCAGCAACTGATTCCGCCCCATCGCAATCACTCCAGTCGGCCACGGGAACACACGATGTAAAGGCAGATGAGAAACCTGAAAATACCGGACCCCCCTCAGGAAGTGTTGAAGGAGCACAGTCACAGCATGCATTAGAACCGCCGCCTCCAACCACTGTCTCCGAGTTAATGGGAAGTATTCCTAGCTCTGCAGCTCAAATGGGAGATGCGATTCTTCCATCATCCACTGAGAAGGCCGGCACAATGGCCACGTCTTTAGAGAGCGAGTTGAGTGCAGTTCCTAACGAACCCTTACAATCACAAGCAGAGAACACCAGCGCCGCTCCCGATATTCAAGTAGGCGAAACTCCTATAGCAAGCACTCACCAGCCTGGACTTGCTACTGCTGAACCAGCAGAACATCACGACCCAGTCGTCGGTGACTTCCTCAAGACGCAATTCGTGGAATACCAGGTGGTGCCAACAATATTAGTGAGTAGAGTTAAATAATACCCAAGCTATCTTTAATGTGCTAGCGGAAGCTAATTTTGTTGCAGTCTTTCTTCTTTAGATATCCCTGGAACAACTTTCTTCATAACGTCGTCTACGATATCGTCCAACAAGTATTTAATGGCCCGATGGATCGCGGTTACAATCCTACTCTAGCTATCTCACTATTCGAAGCTGCCGATATCACCAACGCCATTATCAACGGCCAATCAATTAGTGAACAGTCACAGACCAAAAATAAAACACGTATGGGTTACATGGGCCACCTCACACTTATCGCTGAAGAAGTGGTTAAGTTTACGGAACGTAATCCACCCGAGCTGTTATCCGAACTTGTGTTAGACCGTGTGATGAGCCAGGATTGGATCAATTATGTCGAGGGCGCCCTAGCAGAAACACGGGAAAGGGATAATGCTATTCTAGGTGGCGTGAGACCCGAGGTTGCTCTAAGTAACAGGGCTCAAATGGGCGGTAATGGCCTGGGTGGTATGGGATTGTCGAGCCTCGGTCTCGGTGGTGCGCAAGGCGGAGGCTCGAACGCGCTTGCGGAAGCTGGATTGAATGGCGGAGGCACCATGGAAATGCAGGATAACGGCAGTGGAAGCAGTATCGGCCCCTTTAGCATAAGCTCTGGTTTGCTTTCCGGTTCTGGTTTCGGCAGTTCCAGTGACGAGGACGAAGATGATGCGGAAGACAACGAGGAGGACGTCAATAACGAGGTAAGTTATCTTGCACTTTGACACGCCACATAAGTATATCTACTAATATTCCGATAGTTTCGTGCGTACACCGACCCATTGAACTCGTCTTCATCAATGGATCCTCCCTCCGTACCGCCGCCACCGCCCCCTCCGCCGCCACTAAACATCCCCCCGTCGCGAGCACGTCTACAACTTGCAGCGAGACTCGCTATGCATCAGAAAAATGCCACAACCTCGGCACAATCAGAGGGTGCAGAGAATAACGAAGCTGGTGGGTCTAAGTCTGGCAGGGAGGCCGAAAGCATTCTTCGCAATCCATTCGAGGATGACGGAGAGGATGACGTCGACGACGAAAGTGACGATGGTCTGGGCGATGATGACAATACGGATTCCTGGGGTGCGGGACCATCCAGAGGTAGTTGGTGGCGAGGTGCTTTGGGGAGAGGGAAGGAGAGATTTGGGGATGGTAGAGATGATTCCGACTCAGATAAGGATGAACCGGCTGGGGGTGATGAAGAAGACGAAGAGTTTGGTGATTTTGCAATGCCCGAAGTCGACAAGGACGGAAGCAACGAGAAAGGAGGGGTCATTGTGAAGCCCCTACCAGTTCACCCACCTTCTCAAAGTCAAAAGACATCACCCTTTACAAGTCTCTGGCCCTTTGGATCGAAGGACAAAGAAAAGCAGAAAGCTAAAGAAGGCGAAACGTCCGAGAAACATGAAAATCCAGATGATATTACAGGCGAAGACGGCGAAAAGATTAAGAGCACTCACGAAGCGACCCGAAGGACGAGTATCGAAGACCCTGACGATGAAGAGGTGGTTGTTTAGGAGCCGGCGTCTGAAACAGAAGGGAATTTAGGCGGTAGATTCGTCAGTATCGGCCGGCGCTCAAGTAGCAGCTCAAATAATAGATGATACCCCGGCCGAGCCTGGGAGTGGTTATATCTACCTACCTAAGTATGAGTACGTACGCGGACCAGCTATCCGTCTATTGGAACGATTGATGGGATCATGGCGGAAGGCTACTATTAAACGTGTTTGTATTATATATATGTGGTTCTAGAAAGGGATGTTTGCATGCATGTTACACGGTTTTCCTTCCTGTACAGTATTTTCTGGAATGGTAGGAGATTCTGAACAACGATCCAGTATAAGAAAAAATTAGTGTGTGCTACGATATATCAGTTTTCATCGGAGTGGGATAGTAGTAAGACAAGTACTGAGGTAAGCCTAATGCATTTCTATGCCGCAACGGTGTAGAAGAAAAGATGCACGTATTCGAAACATGTTTATAAAACGGCTTCACGATTAGGACTTTTTGGCTGTTGATGGCTTAGCCATTAGCAGTATGGCGAAGCCGTTTTCTACGCCGAAGCCGATTACCGCACTTATCAGCGATATTTAAGGATAATTTCTATACTACGAGGTAGTGCTGATGTTTATGGGGAAATAACGCAGCCCCGGGAGCGCGTATAATCCCGTAACGTCCGTTGGATCTCCGATGTACATCCACGGCTTTCATTTACCTACTTAGGGCTTAGATGTCTTCCCAAGATAATGATTTTCTATGTGATAGGATCGATCTAAAGTGATACCTTGCCATGTAGAAGTGGCGTAGGTGAGAATGACATCAGGAACCACAAACGAGGGCGAAGGATTCCAAGTTTATTTTCTTTATCCTTATCCTACTTTTTGAGTAACTTGCCGTTGGGTTTGTCATCATTCCTATCTAGTCTTGTTTTGCTCATACTTAGACGAATATATGCTGTGGTTAAATTTCGTAATACCTCTGGTGCTGAGAAGAAATATCCCACGGGGACAATAAGCATTGATGTGAGTTACTGATCCCCAAACCCACCATACATACCTAGGTACTTAAGAGATCATCGAATTGAATTCCTCTTTTACAATACTTCGGTGTATGCCGAGATTTACAATAACAATCTCCCCGAGCTTATGTTAGCTTATGATAGAAGCGTGTGTGTACTTATATCCCAGCTCGGAAGCCCTATTTTCCCCTCACGTCAGCCATCTAATTTCTTTTTATTGATCATATTCAGGACTTAAGACATTTTTGCTATGTCAGCAGCGGACTGGCCATAAATCTACATATGTACCTTAGGTAGGTATCTATTTCTCCATGCAAGTACCCATAGATGTACGTGTCCAAGAACAATTAGATAACCTTTGAAAGAATGTGTATTTCACCACACCGAAGCGAGTTATATGTCGCCATTTATTCAAAAAATACTCTCTACAAAATAGGAAAAGAACTCGAACACTGCCGTAGCATCCTAGAAGCTTTACCTGGGGTTCATGTCACATTCCAGGTCCGCTTATGTAGCTTCATACACTAGACCTATTATAGTTAAAGATGTGTAGTTGCCGTTGTCAGCTAGGCCTAATTGGGAATGGGGCTGTACCGACCCGGTCCTTGGTGTTACTTAATTTAGCTCAGCCGATTATCTTTGGATCCATGTTTGTCTCTAGGAACTCTTCCTCTTTCACTTCCATTTCCACTTCTCTATTGTAGATACCTCATCGCAAACCAGGTATGAATGGATACCTACACACTCTACGTACTAACATAAACGGGCCAACAACATCGAACCAACAGACCATACGTCAAAACGAAAAAGATAGATCCATTCTGATGTATGTAGTGCTATTTGTAGCCAGATCTACATAACATACACCTATACGGCGGTCTCGGGTATCTAGTGCAATGAGTCCACGCGACAACCTCACATACATCGGCTGCTTACATTACCAATGAAGACATGTATAAGTCAATCTTCGATATGTATTCTATTCTTCTTCTCTTCAATCTGTCTTCTGATTGGATACCAATATGGTAACAGTTCACGAGCCTGAGGCAAGCTACGCCCCCGGTTCCGTCTATGTTCGGCTCTCTAGGTAAGGCTTCTCTAGCGAAATTTCCGTCGACACATCCATCCATCCTACGTACCTGACACGCACCCACATTTCTACTTGGCCCTACGTAGTCCGCCCCAGCGCGGCGACGCGCAGTCATCTACTTGTAAGTCGTCCACCTACTTAGACATATGTCAGCTGGGTGAACCCCGAATAATGTTGACTGTGTGTCCCTTTTGTTTTTCGTTTTTTTTTTCTTTTAGTACACTTGTTGTTTTTCTCTTTCCTAATCCCTCGAGAAAACCTCAAAATACTACGTTATATCGTAGACCTCATTGTCGACATATCGATATCATAATAACCCTTATCCTCGTCGAATACGCCAAGGGTCTAGGTCTAGTATCCTCCTTCCAGATATAGGGTCTCTGTAAAGCATCTTTATACACATTCATCCATACCTTTAAACGGCCCCATATGTACCGGATACACACACACAAATTGCAGTGTAACTAGTGATTGGAGGCTCGCCGGGTGTTCAACCCATTTTTGTATCCCTAATCCCTTCGTCGCCGTTCATCCCTTCTTCATTCTCCCTTCCTAATTCTCATCTCTTCATACCTCGTCGACAATGGCGATGTTTGTAGAGAATAGCTTTTTACTTTCTCCGACCGACTCTTCGTTGGACGACAAGACAAATAGCGAGCCATGTTCACCTACTCAAATACCTACCACTACCTCTAAGAAGAGGAAATATCCATCGATTAATACTTCGCCTCCTGCTCCTGTAAAGAGAACCGAAAATTCGGGGGACCTCCTAAGGTCTGCGGTGGCCAATGCGCTGGGCGTCGATGCAAGCTCGCTCCCTCAACCGTTTCGTGCTGGCTCGAGTTCAAGCGGGGTTTCTCAACGGACTTTTGATGGATCGGAATCGGCACGAAAAGAATCGTCGAGCTCGAGTTCGATATACTCGCAAAACTCACAACCAGTCGATGTTACTACATGGAGGAAATCGATGGGTGGTTCGATCGAAAAGCGCCTCACTGTTGCTATTGCCAATATTCTTGAACTGGACAGCACCTCAATACCCGTAGACGAGTCGTTCGTGGATCTCGGCGGAACCCACCGACAAGCTAGAGAGCTACGGGCGAATTGCATGGACGCCGGTCTATCTATTAAAACTAAGGACATCATGAATTGCAAGACAATTGCGGAGCTAGAGACATGTGTAGCGCCGCTCACCATTTCGAGGTTCCCTAGGAATAAGACTTCACCGAAGTCTTCACCCACAGCCGTCCGTCCGCTCGATATAAATGAACTCAACTCACCCACCATTCCCCCAGAAGGCTACCAATCCCGAGCATTGGATCAAGCGTTGGAGCCCCGTCGACCTCCCGCTATTCCACCGAAAGCTCCGGCTCGGTTTTCTGCGATTCAATCACGACTCAAGCACGGCCCATCCCGAAAACGATATACCCAAGTCGAACAGGCTCTATCACTTCACAACGACATTTCGAAGGTGTCCGTTCTACGACCAAAGGCTGGATTATTTGAGGGCCAGCTTGTAGCATTTGTTACTTTGGCGAGTTGCACAGTGGAAGGACCAGCCGACTGTGAAGTCAAACTGCAGAATGCTTACAATACGATCCATCTTCCCACCATCCAAAAGGCAGCCGAACCGCTGATTCCGCCCGGGCTTGTTCCTGGGGTCTGGGTAGTATTGGAAAAGATGCCTGTCGACGACACGGGCAAGAACAATCGAAGAAAATTGCAGACATGGATCCAAAATGCGAATGACGAACTTCACAAGCAGATTGGTTCAATTAATTCCGGCCAGAATGTGAAGCAACCTTCGACTGCCATAGAAAGGCGGCTGCAGAAGATAGCGAGTAAAGTGCTGAAGATCGATCAAGCGACCATTGGCATGAACATGTCATTCACAAATCTTGGTGGTGACGAGAGCACTGCTACGAAATTCGTTGCCAAATGCGAGTCGCAAGGGATATCTCTTAATGCGGAAGACGTTATGCGAGTAGCGTCGTTATCTCAACTTGCGGCTTCTGCGACGTCGAGTAGATCGCATTTTCGTAATCCGAATAAGCCTGCTATGGAAACATTCGAGCTCTCCCCCATGCAGCGACTGTATTTCCATACTCCTATGGGTAATGATGGCCAACGAAGAAAATCCGGGAATGGCGAGTACCGATTCAACCAGAGCGTATTGTTTCGATTAAGACGGAATATGAGCGTTGAAGATGTGCGAGCTGCAGTTGAAGCATTAGTTGGACACCATTCCATGCTTAGATGTCGGTACCAACCCAGTGGAGATTCATGGTACCAATCCATAGAACCGGATATCCCGTCTTCGTTTCATTTCGCCCACCATTCGATAAGGACGGACGCCGAAGTCGAAGAAGTTATAAGCACCGCTCATCTAAGCATTGATATCGAAAATGGCCCGATTTTCGCTGCTCACCACTTCCAAACCCACGATGGTTACCAAATGATTTACATGGTCGCACATCACCTCGCTGTCGATCTTAAATCTTGGTGCATCATTGCGTATGACTTAGAAGGGCTCCTAACTAGTGGTTGTCTTGTATCCGGCAATACTCTCTCATTTAAAGAGTGGACGCTTCACCACAGGCATCGGGTTCAAGGTATGAAGTTCCCATTCAACATTCCACTCGGAAATGCGAGATACTGGGGAATCAATGCCACCTCCAATACATATGGCAATACGACGGCCGCTGGCTTCACGTTAAGCACAGAGATCACCTCAGCCCTCAAAGCTAGTTGCAAGGTACGGAGGACAGATCTTGCGGATGTCTTCATGGCTGCTCTTGGCCTCTCCTTCGCACAAACGTTCCGAGACCGCTCGGTCCCGGTGATTTGGAACCAGGAGAACGACAGAGCCGCTTTAGACGCAGAGCGTGACGTGTCCAAAACAGTAGGATGGTTTACTTCCCTCTGTCCGTTTGCTGTGGAATCCGCGCCAACCGATGACATCGTGAGCGTTCTTAGCCGTGTAAAAGATTTGCGACGTGCTCTCGCTGGCAAAGGTGTTTCGCAATTCGCCGGGAACTTGACGGATGCCACCTCCGCGCTTGCATTCGCGTCTTCTCACTGCCCGCTCGAGCTCATGTTCACCTATGCTGGAACCATGCAAGATGTGCAAAACCAAGATGCTCTCTTAGAGCAGCTCCCCGTGCCAGGTAGAGCGCTAGCTTCTAGCACATCAGACATCGGACGCGATGTCGGACGCATCGCCGTTTTCGAGGTGTCAATTCTGGTTGATCAAGGCGAAACCAAATTCAAATTCCTCTACCATAAAGGTGCGACACACCAGGACCAGATACACAGCTGGATTCGTAGTTACGAAAAGATCCTACGTCAAGCCGCCACGAAGTTGCAGAATGAGTCTCCTGGGCTGTCATTGTCTGATATTCCTCACATGGATATTACAGAGGAAGGCCTTCGCCGACTGAACAAGGAAATCCTCCCACGTCTTAACCTCAACGCCTCCAACATACAGGCCATATATCCCGTCACGGCGATCCAACAGAACATTCTAACCAACCAGTGCTTAACACCCGGTAGTTCTATTGCGCAGATGATATTCGATCTTGACACATCCAGCGGCCCTGTTGATATCTCTCGAATTTGTGCGGCTTGGCTTCAAGTATCCGGCAAACATTCAGCTCTTAGGACCGTATTTTCCCAAAGTGTCTCAAAGAATGGACTGTACGACCAAATAGTTTTGCGATCTCACTCCCCTAATATGCTCTTCTTGGAAAGCGACAGCGTTGAGGACGCGATGGTATCTATCGATAACCTTCCCCCATTGCTGCTTAACGAAGGCAACCCTTGGCATAGACTTGTTGTCTGCCAGGTTGCCGGAAAGACCTTTTTAAAACTGGAAGCGAGTCAAGCAGTATGCGACGTACGTTATTCACCCCCCCGACCGCACGTGTGTCTAGCTAATTAGGAGCTTAGGTCGCTAGCATGCCAATTCTCTTCAAAGAACTCGGACAGATTTACTTCCATGACAAGGCCCCTGCCGTATTTGAAGCATCATACCCCGAATATACGCAGTGCCTCAAGGCGACTGCTTGCAGCATTGATTTCTGGAGGGAGCACCTACAAGGGGTCCAGCCATGCCGATTTCCCACACTCATCTCAAAACGGCCTACACAGAGTCAATGGGAGACTACTTCCATTGACCTTAAGATCCCGTCTGAGAGCCTGAAATCTTTTGCTAGCATTTACAAAATCAAGATATCAACGGTGCTTCGAGTTGCCTGGGGTTTAGTACTCCGAACTTTCGTGGGAACGGACAATGTCTGTTTTGGTTCTCGCATCTCTGGCAGAGGTCTTCCCGTCGAGGGTTTGAGGAGCGCTGTGGGCTCATTTTCCACTGTAGTGACATCATGGCTCGCCATCGCTTCCGATGCGCCTCTCGCACAACTCCTACTCGCCGCTGAGGAAGAGTACAAGCAGGTGCTTGACCACCAGCATGTGCCGGTTTCCAGGGTTGAACACGAGCTGAAAGTCAAGGGAGATCACCTATTTAACACTTGCCTTGCGTTTGGTTACAAATATGTCGCGGACGACCCCTCCAGATGCCGCCACGTGAGAACTGAACAGTCCTCAGAATACGATATTAATACCGATGTCTACTTCCACGATGGCAACGTCACACTTGACATTGGTTACCGTATCCTTACCTCTGATCAAGCAACAACTGTAGCCTATGCCTTTGGGAGAGCCATTGAAGCCATTTTGGATGCGCCGACAAGCCTAGCCAAAGAGACAGATCTTTTCAGTATGCGCGACCACAGACAAATCTTAGCATGGAATAATATGCCTCAGGTCGACGTCCATGACCAGCATATCCACCAATTGATCGCCTGCCAAGCTTCACGAAATCCGGATATCCAAGCCGTTTGCGCTTGGGACGGAGACTTGTGTTACGGTAGCTTACATAAGTCATCTGTTATCCTTGCCAAGCATCTTTTGGCCTCTGGATTGAAGCCACAAATGCCTGTACCGGTGATCGTCAATAAGAGCCGATGGGCTGTTGTGGCTATGTTGGCAGTTCTTCAGTAAGTCAACAACACTCTTTCAAACTGGGTATCATTCTAATATAGTTTTAGTGCTGGTGCAATTATCGTGCCTATTGACGCAGAGCTCCCCTCGACATTTTCCTGGGTCATCAAGACGGTCAGCGCTAAATTTGTGTTGGTGTCTGATGATATTCGGAAGCACGTTGATGGACTTGGCGCGAAGGTTACCGTTGTGAACGAGAACACCGTCACGGCTATGTCAGCGCAACCCGTCGGCTTAAGCCCTCCCCACGCCGCGCCCCACGATATTGCGTGCATCCTATTCACTTCCGTCGGATCATCTAAGACACCCAAGGGTATCTCGTATAGCCACGGTGCCCTAGCGACTGCGTGTGCCGGTCAAGGTTCAACGTTGTTGATCAACCCATCTAGCAGAGTTATGCAACTCTCTTCATACAGCGTCGACATCGCGCTAGCAGAAATATTCACCACTCTAGTCAATGGCGGCTGTGTGTGTGTTCCTTCTGCCAAGGAAAAGATTACGGATTTTCCGGCGGCCGCTAGACGCATGCGTGTCAATTGGACATATTTGACTCCTACACTGTCCAGGAAACTTGACCCCGAGACCTTGCCTGATATCGCTGTTGTCTGTTTCCGCACGCGACACCTTGACGATGATGCATGCGCGCCATGGGTTGGAAAGGCCAAGGTGCTACTGGCATATGGCTCTGCCGAAGCCTGTCCGCTTGCACTCTCCGCAACGGAGGTGACGCCCACGAAAGCTTCGCAATGTTTCGGTAACCCGTTCTGCGGGAACTTCTGGATCGTAAGCCCCGAGGATAATAACCGACTCATGCCAGTTGGAGCCCTCGGCGAGCTAGTGATAGGAGGCCCAACGCTTGCCAGCGGATTTGACGTTAACGACCCCGACGTTCTAACTTGTGTTGGTAAGAGCGTCGCTCGTGCAAAGTCGCTACTCGAAAAATCCGGGAGCCGTTTACTCAAGACAGGACACTATGTTCGATATCGCGAAGATGGTGAAATTGAATTCGTCTCCGATGACAGCCAAGAGGCAGAAATTGGCAGCAGGAAATTCCGTCTTTCAGATGTCGAGCCGAAGCTTAGACAATGTCTTGGCCGAGGTGTCGACGTCGTAGTAGAGACAATTGCCTTCAATGATCCTAACTCGGCACCAGTACTTGCTGCATTTATAGAACTCGGTGAGAATCTTATGCAAGGAAACGAGAGTCTTTCGAAGCCTAGTCGTATGACTAAGGAGAGACTATATCTTTCTAAGAAAATGGCGGATATGATCCTTCGAGAGACTTTACCGAGTTACATGATTCCTTCGGCTTATATACCGGTCAAGCGCATGCCACTGACACCGACGATGGAGGTCAATAGAGTTGAACTCCAGCGTATGATCTCTGGGTTATCTAAGAAACAGCTTCTTGGACTCGCAGAGGTTTCCAATCCTCAAGAGGTCCAAAATACCAGTTTCAAACCTCTTCCATTGACCGAAGCTGAACAACGGATGCGGGTTATGTGGGCTAAGGTCCTCGACATCGAACAGGAGTCGATCACGACTAGCGATGGATTCCTAAGCCTAGGAGGCGACGCCGTCTTAGCTCATGATCTAGTTATCGAATGCAGAGAAAGAGGCCTTGGCATTTCCATCATTGACGTCCTCCGAAACATTTCCCTTGCCGAACTTTGCAGGGCTATTGTCATAATGGAGACTACTCCTGCTGCCGTTCCGGAGGTCCGAGTTGCACAACCAAGCCCCCCCAACACCCTTGTTGATGAAGCAATCGCACCGCGTCTCGGATCTGACAAGAGCCTAATCGAGGATGTTGCCGAGGCATCATCACTCCAGGCAACATACGTCGAATCCGGTATGCTACAGAGCCATGGTAACGTCAATTACTTGACGATCAATATCACTGGATCGATCGATTGGCACAAACTTCAAGATGCATGCTACATGTTGACCAAGGCTCACCCGATTCTTCGAACCGCGTTTGTAAGTCACGGCCGCCAGCTTTACCAAACTGTTCTTCGATCATGTCGTCCCGAGTTTCAAAGATACCAGTGTCAAGGCTGGAGACTCAGCAATTTGGTTACGAAACTCGTCAAAGGAGAGCAACCATTACCTGTTGATTTCCGTCAACCTATTACTAAGTTCTTCTACTTCGATGCTAAAAAGAGCTCTGCTCTTGTCATTCGTCTTTCCAGGGCCCAATACGATGATCACTCAATGCGCGTGCTCGTTCAGGATCTTAGTCAATTCTACAGTCGCGGCGATCGAGCTGTTCGACGCGCTAGCTTCTGCGACTTGGTCAGAGCGGCGCAGTTCCTTCATTCGAATGACTCGGCTGAACATTGGCGCCGCCTACTTGCGGGCGCATCAGTAACGCAAATCATTGAACAGTCCTCACCCACACATGTCGATTCTAACTCGACGACTCTTCGCCAGCAAATTCCTACTGGGTCGCTACAACTCCTGGGAATACCGTTTGAGTCAATCCTCAAGGGCGCATGGTCTGTTGTGCTATCGAACTTATCGGACACCGATGATGTTGTTTTCGGCCAGTTCATTGAAGGCAATAACTTAAGTCTTCTAAGCGGTCAAGACATCTCAGATGTTGTTGGTCCTACGGGCAATATCATACCCATTCGAACGCGTGTACCCGATGCTCCTATCACGCCGTATGAATATTTCCGATCTATCCAGAGTCAGCATGTGACCAGTGTACCACATGAGAACATGCAAACTTTGGACATTATCCAAAAATGTACTACTTGGCCAGCCTGGACTCGCTTTAGCTCCGTCGTCTACCACCAAAACATGAGTGAGGAAGAAAAGTCCATTGACTTCAATATTGGCGACGCGAGATGCAAGCTAGACAGCATCGAATCGAACTCACTATGCTCAGATATCTTCATTAAGTCGGTTATGTCGGGAACTGCTAACGTCGATATATCTTTCACCTTCTGCGAGAAGAAAGTACCTCTTTCCTTCGCGGACGAGGTTTTGAAGATGCTTTGCTCGGTTATCTCACTTCTTACTTCAGCTTTTGTCATAGAGCCGGTAACCCTAAAGGGTCTTTGCGATAACTGCGACACCTCAAGGATCCCACTTCCCTCACCGAAGTGCGAGATAAACGTGCCGTCGACCGTAGAATCGGTCGAGCCCGATCGCGCTAAGGCCGTTCATACTATGATATCGAACGCATGGGATACGATTCTCGACGTCCATTCGCTCAAGGTACCCGATATCCGCTCGGTTCCCTTCTACGAAATTTGGGGAGCGCTTCTACCCGCCGCTGAGCTTGCTAAGTACTACAACGAAAATATGCCTTGGATCCCGGGCATTGAACGCGTAACATTTACGATGGAGGAGATCATCGAGCACCCAACAATGATGCAGCAATACGAACTAATCATCGCTAAGCAACAAATACCACAGCTAAGAGGCAGTAGAAGCCTCATGTTAATGCGCACTCAAACAGGTTGGAACAAGGGCATACGCAAATTATCTAATGTCAGCGTTACCTCTAACCCGAGCAGTTTTATGCCGAGTAGCTATCCTGCACTACGCGGCCACAAGCCTAGCGCTAGCAGCGGGAGCACTTCCATGGATTCCATGACTAATGGCAGCAGCCAGAGTGATGATGATGAGTTGAGAGAAGACGCGATCCCGTTGAGACTTCTTGTTCCTGGGATGAAGGCGATGGCTAAAGGGAGTGACGCGAAGGTAGCGAAGATGGGAGCTTCGCTACTTGGACGAATGAAGAAACCTTCTTTCTCGACCTAGATAATATCTAGGTATTTATTTATTTCTTTTGTATAAGGGGGTTTACGTGAGGATGAATATTTACGTTTCGGTACTGTATTATCTAGCATAATTTGCATGACTGGTGTTTGGCATTGAACGAGTGGACAAGAGGATAGACTTTGATTCTTCGACCACATTTTCAGGACATGATACCAATGATACCTTATATATAGTTCTCATTCCTTGGTCCTTAGCTATATAGATACCTATAATCTATTTTAAACCTTGAAACGTCTAAATCGTTACTGCGTGAATCATCCAGAAGTCTCCTTGGAACTAGACGCTACATTGCTAAGGTACTAATTATTATTCCATATCATACATATATACATTAACCTCCCCTTCTCTACTTGGATGGCCGCTAGGATCATCCCGTACCTAAGTACCGTGAGGTTGATGCAGAAACATCTTGAACATAGGCGGCGGAGGCGGCTCTGTCGCAGCTAGGGCCCGTCTCCTAAGCGTCATTTCTCGTGTCTCCCTATTTTGTTCTAGGTAGGCCCTATTCGGCTTGAGTTAGTGGGCTACCATATTGGCAACTTACCTATATTCATACTAGTATTAGAGGGATGGGGGGAACTTAGGGAGGTTGGGGGTTTTGGTTCAAGTACATACCAGTATGTCTCACGGAGACACCTCCTCCTCTTCCTCTTCCTGCTGTCCGGATTGAAGTACAACGGAACTTGCTGGTGTATATGCTGCTGACATGCCTCCTCAGCCTTCCGGGTTTCCTTGCACTCCGGACAGGGTCTGTGGTTGACATAGACGGCTCGTCTCTCCGTACGTCTCTTGCAGTCACCGCCGTTTTCGGCGACGTAGCAGGGCGTAAACACTATCCGACAGTCGAATTCCTGCTGGCACTCGTAACAGTGTCTCCATTCTGGATTCGCCCAACACATTGTATACCTGGGTATGGGTACCTAGGTAGATATGAGTGGTGCCTCTCTCTTTCTTTGGTATATCCGAGTTGAATCGGATAAGAAAACTGTCGTGGTGTGTTTACATGAAGGTTGATGGCTAGAAGGAAGAGTTATATCTCACCAATATAGAGAAGCACATTGATTGGATCTTCTTTGCATGGCAGAATCATTGTCATTCTAATAAGGCCTCGGTATACCATGAAAGAATTGTATTCTTGGTGCTTTCTTGGTGGGATTCTTTCATCGCACAGTTCTACACAATGGGCATTGTAGATGACGACGTATAGGATGCCTTTCACATATTTAGACAATTGCAATTTGTTCTTTCTATGACTTGATTTGATCATAACGCTCAACTCATGAACGCCAAATATGATGTCGTGAAAACCTGTACCTCTGGGAGTGTGAGGTAAAAAGGGGTTAATCCATGCAGGAACCCTCAACCTTTCTCCATCATGCTAGATAGAGTATAAATAGGTATTGCCAACATGAAGCTTAATAGTATCCCCAATTTTTTAAGCAACGGGAATATAAGTAGCACATATCCCTTCGGACTCCGCATTCCGTAGCTCCTGGAAAATTGGCCAGCTATCATTCCAACCAAGTTTTCCTTTGTCGAATTTCAACATGCGTTCAGTAAGCTAGGGTTTTTCTTTGTCTGAGCCTGAGCCCCCAACATCCTGAGACATATACAAGAATGGAAGTATTTACGTGGACAAAGGATTTATGTCTTATTCCTAGATAAGGGTATCTATCTGGTCATTTACTTGAGGATGTCTCAAACTAGCAGCTCCACTGACGCGGGGACAGGTATGTCCTTTTCTTTCCTAGCGACTAAGTCAACGATAATGTAATTGTTACATACCTACGACTTCCAACCAATCCCATCAAACTGCTGTGTCAACCACTCGACTCAATGACATTTCCTAAACTTCAATACCGACTTGGTAGGCACTTCGATTTTACATCAGCAGCAGGGGAAGGGATTAGAAGATGGGTGGGAGAACAATCCAATTGGCTCACCGCCGCTGAGAAGAACATACGGCAAGATTTGGAAACATCTGAAAAGGAGCTCTGGCTTATCAGAGACGTTCTGGACGAATTGGAGACTACCTCGGAAGTGGGGAGGTCGAGCTACAAATCTCAAGGTCAAATGTTCCTCATGAGGGCTTGCCAGGAATATTCCGCCTCGAGGTGTCATATGTTGGAAGAAAGACTGCGGCATATTCACATATGGTCGTGCGATGAACAGATGGGTAGACATGTTCCTGATAGGGCACCGGATGAGTATGTTGTACCCCAAAGCTCTCCTTCGTTTAGGGAATACTTGTACTCTAGTAACCCGACCGCCTGCCGAGGCTTACCTCTTGCTCTGGGCGTACGCTTGCTAATTGATGACATATAGATGGCTTACGGTCGACGCGGGGTGGAGACAATGGCTGAGTGAGCAAGCTTCTTTGCAGACCGAAGGGTCCAATAGATCGACTATCGAACACTCCCGGAGTGGAGGGCTCGTGAGGCTCTGGGGTCCGCTCTTCCCCATTCTCACAACATGTGGCATGAGCAAGTTCTAGAATGCTACCTGAAATGGCGATGATGGTAGTCTAACGGTCGGGAGTACACGCTTAGGATAGATATCTTCCGGGATAAGTTATATCCGTGTTAGGGGTTGAGAAATGTAAATGAGGATGTCCATATGTTTTGTACATATCTAGGTACATACAGGCCTAGGCTTTTACGTCGTATCCGCGAAAGAAAACGCGTAGAATTTGGGGAATTAGCATCATTTTTTAGTGGTCCTGCGCTAGGTCAGAGCTGAAAAGATGCCAAGTAGGGACCTATAGGTGGTAGGCTGTTGTGCGACTGACTGCGAGTTGGTGGCGGCTGAGCCTTATCAATCCAACCGTTGTTATTCAGCTACAGCAACTACAACTATGCGTGCATTTAGTGACGATACATGGGCAGCTTTTGAAAACGAAAGGTCTCGTGACGAAGTAGAGATCTATATTGGTAGGTACGTATTTATCGCCTCCCTCTTTGTATCATGTTACGACGATTTCTTTACCTAAATTGCTATGCTGCTAATATACGAGCAATGACTCTAATTAATATATGCACGCAGTACATTATCGCCCGAAATGTCCTATCTTGGCTTGCCTGGCTTGCTTAGAATGTACATATTCTCTGCGTACATACCTAGGTAGTCCTAGCTTCAAGCCTCTCCGGGAACCCCACGAAAGCTTTATCAGCGTGATATCCAATGATTGCTATTAGTGTTACGTACGAGAAATGGGGGACGGGGAAATACCCAGCCAATGGAAAGACACGTCCTAATCTTGTCCTTTTGCAAGGTCCTGGAGTTCGGATCCTCCACTTGATAACCTTCACCAAGGGTTAAGTATCCTAGTAGGTCCACTGGGGGAACGAATTAGGGGGTCAACACGCCCCGTGGATCACACCGAATCTCTTTTAGGGTATGCTACCGCATTACTGGGTCTTGGGTTGGTAAGTGGTGAGAGCAATACAAATATCTTATACGTACGGGCGTATAATAGCCATATCTTAGGGCGAGCTCGGGCTGACCGAACTAATGGACGTCTACAGTAGTGCCGGTAAATATCCCATAAAGTTAAGACACACAAGACATACTATACATCTCATGATATTTTTCAGTAGGATTCGCTCCTCCTGTGTAGTAGGATTGGCTGGATTGGTCTTGATTGTAACGGATAAGAGGGGTTGGAGACCGAACAAGCAAGGGGTCCGTTTGCCCAATCGCTGAATTGACAAAGACGGATTGACACTGGCGAGCGATGAAATCCGGGCCAAGTTGATGAAAGTGGGAAAACGTGGACCACATGTAGCTAATATTATCTGGGGATTCCAGTGGACTGCTTCACGGCTAGCTGGGACTAAACTGGACCAAAACACCGTCCGGATGAGATTGGCGAGTAACGCTATGACTAATATCATCGTTGACGAATTGTTCTGGAACAATACTACGTTACTTACCGTACGTTGGTCATTGCATTCTATTCCTCATACGGATAATACAGAAGTTCCCCGGAAAATTTGGCGCGGATGAGAGGGAGCTTTTCTTTTTAGGTCTATGACAAGAACACAAGATATCTCACCGAATGAATGGCTACACTTAACCCGATAACCCTTTCGCGGCGAATACACACAAAAGCGGATAGGTTTCCGAAGGCAAATACAGCTTTTAGTATGTATTCACCCGTGAGGCGTCCCGAGCCTCACCTCATCTGGCAGGAGAGAGTACCTTTGAGTGCGTTGCAAACTCTTCCGTAAGAGTACTGATTGGTCCTGTTATATGTTACACATGTAGGCGTTCATATGTTGGTATGTAGGATATTAGCTATTACTACGTCTCAATTACAGCTCGGTCATGAGGGGGTCAAGGTAAGACCGCTCAACACCAACATCGCAATGTTGTGCTACCTACACGTCTCACAAGAGCGTATAGGATATGAATATGGTGAGACGTATGGCGTGTACTAACTGTTCAGTCGCCATCTTACCATCACATGCACCAGAGGAGACGAGCTTCTAGAAGCATTCCATGCATTACCTTCAGTCTTCTTTTTATCTGTAGTTTGTCTTTACTCTCTGCACAGCCTTATTCAACTAAACTTATTCTGGAAGGTATGTTACAGCTAATGCGCTTAATTATTGTGTATAAGCTGTTCTTTGGCTGTTTGGTGACCCTGAATTCATATCGGCGGAATCACGATCGACCCTGGTAAATAAATACCATACAGCAGCATGATAGGCGTAAGGCTTCATTGGGAGGGGGGAAGACCCGCAGGGGTGGCTGGCTCGTAACCATGGTTCTCCAACGCTCCCAATGTCTTGGGCTCGGTCATCCCCTTTACCATTCGCTCTTCTACATAAGATCATTCAAGCACCATCAGACTTGTCTCGTCTTGGCCTAATACATTAATCAACGGCGTGACTCTCGATTGGCGCCGTGCATAGTAGACAAGGCGAAATTTCGGGGACGGCTTTCACAACTTCTGTTTATCTAACTGGTCCAGCTGGAAAGATACCTTGCCAACGGACGAAAGCGATCAGGCGATATTAACTTGAACGGGCAAGACATGCAGATTCTTTTACGAGCCTACTTGAAATATCAATGACCAACGCTTTAAGAGCTGGGCATCGGGAAAAATTACTCAATGTTGCAATTCCGAAAAGAGACAGCAGCTGCATTAATGAGGCAGTGTTGATAGATACCAAGGTAGAGATAATGCATCAGTGGCCACGAGGACGGCTCGAATAATTTATATTGTTTTGGATATATATGCTGTCATACCTGTGCGCGATGGCGTATCTGGGCGGGATTGCGCCTCTCTTCAGGTCAGTAGCGTGCTGAAGTGCGTGCCGCACCGTATAAAGACATCCTGAATGATTACAGGGTGAAGATACGACCTGAATTAACGCCCGATTCCTTTAATACTCCCCTAAGCCCTGAGCGGGATTCCTCCTATTAACCGAAGTATCCCTTACCGGTGTTACTCGTACAGTACTTCATAAGTCATCGCACCAAATATCATGTATTTACGCCGATGAAGTCAAATATGGAGCAATGAGGTAGATAACACCTTTAGCGCATCATTTTGAGATATCTTTCGCATTGAATGAGGCATCTCACTGACTAAAAGAAACCATCAACATACCGTGCGAACTAAAATAGTCTGGGGTCGTAGTTTGATTAGACCTTGGCAGTCTGGAGAACCATCGCACTAAACGAGGAAACCCTGTAGATAAACGTCGTACTATGAGTGGCCATGTAGCCCATGTAAGTACCATATCAGTGGTTCTATCCGGGTACAAAAAGGATCCATCGCTCTCGCTGAGTGCATAAGCGAGGGCGAGAAACTTGATATAAAGAAGGGCGACAGGTAGAAAAGGTGGAGGGGAAGTGAGACCATAAGAAATATAACGATACAGAGACTCGGGAATCAATACAAGTCTTTATCTTCTTCTTAACTTCTCTGCCTCTTTCTTGTTTCATGTGCCGTCGCAATTTAGTTGATGTCAGAGGTCCACCACTAGAGACTGTGCTCCGTAGATCATGGCCAAGTTGGAAAACGGTCTCTTTAAGCTCTATCTTGGTTCGGGGCGACTCACATAGAGCACACTAAAGATAGCTATATGGGTCTGCTAAGATGGGCGGGATTAGGTGCTTACATAGGTCCATAGGTAGTCCACAGGTCCCTTGGGTACATCCATTATCACGCGAGTCGTTAGATTGATCGATGAGCGCCCGAGGGCTGCTTGTTTTCTTTATACTGACAGTCATTACTCTTCCTAATGTACCTATGTAAGAAAGGGAGTTTTAATTATAGTCCTTTGTTTATACACTTCAAATGTTTGTATGAATTAGTAAAAATACCTCGGTACCCATTTTCCTATATAGATAATTTCATAATTCTATTCATTATTATCATAATAATTACTGTTACCTGTTACTCGCCCTTAGTAACAATGCTATCCCTTCCTCCCTCATACGGTTAACCACCTCTATCCCATGTAAGTAGATAGATTAGTAGGTAACCAAATTCAAAGTAAGTAATGTTAGCCACCGAGGACCTACCAGGATCTTTCATTCTGCGCACATCCTGATCCACCGGCCCTATCAAGATCCTTGCTGTCCTGCCTGTAACTGTATTGTATTGAGGTACCTGTAAAAAAGTACCTCTGGGCGCTGAGAGGTATACTACGCCGCATAGTACCGTGTAATGTACTTGCTGAGCGTTCCGTCATTTGATAATAAATAAGAGTCTACCGCACCCTCGTAACTCTCTTACTGTAACATCGTTTCGCTCCCTTCACTCATCCCAAAGTCTTTTGGCCCTTTGGCCTGACTAGAACGTCCCCAGCTGTATTTTCTGGCCGTTCGTCTTGTCTACTTATCGTCGCGGATCTAGATTCGCCTCTGTTTCATTTTTTATCTCTTTTACTTCCCTCCCTAGATTCCAAATCAGGTACAACGACGCTATTATTATATAAAACAACGCCACACGCATCGATCCTTTTCTAATTCAATATGGTCTCCTCTGACCCCGCTGCCAGCAATGGCAGCAAAGACGAGAAAGATGTCGGGAGTTATTCCAGCCCGGTGCTCACGACGGCGGAAGGCGCCCAGCGATCCGAGAATTGGGCTACGCGCAATGGTTTGAACCTCGACTCTTTTAAGAAGCGCGATTATGGCGCCGGGATTGTTGAGCTCGACAGGAGTATGAGACCGCGACATTTACACATGATTGCTATCGGTGGCTCCATTGGTGCTGGTTTCTTCGTCGGTTCTGGTAAAGCTTTGGCTCAAGGTGTAAGTCGCGAAAGAGAAAATACATGTCATTTTGATGTCGTGCCGCGTCGCATTGCATCGCTGTGATTTGTTTCCATTCTTACCGTTGCAATCCCATGCGCTGACTTGGAAATTTGCCGTAATAGGGACCTGCTGCTCTTCTAATTGATTTCGTCATCATCGGTGTCATGATGTTCAACGTCGGTACGTATTGTCAACTATATCTTCAGTCTCAACGGCCCTTAAGCTCGTGTACCCCGAATGCGAATTAACTCAATATGCTAGTCTATGCTCTCGGTGAACTCGCTGTTATGTATCCTGTGTCTGGTGGTTTCTATACGTATGCGACTCGCTTCATTGATCCCTCCTGGGGTTTCGCCATGGGTTGGAATTACGTCTTACAATGGGCCGTCGTCGTCCCGCTTGAACTCACTGTGTGCGCCATCTCGATCGCTTATTGGAATCCGGATATAAGTCCCGGCGTTTGGATTACCGTCTTCTATGTCTTCATAATCTTCGTCAACATTTTTGGAACTCTTGGTTACGCCGAAGAAGAGTTCTGGGCTTCTCTCTTGAAGCTTAGTGCCACTGTTGTCTTTATGATCATCGCTTTCGTCTGTGTACTAGGAGGTGGTCCCAAAGGTAGTCGCTATGATCAGTACTACGGTGCTCGCCTTTGGTACGAGCCTGGTGCATTCACCAATGGATTCCCCGGTGTATGTTCCGTGTTTGTCACTGCTGCCTTCTCCTTCAGTGGAACCGAATTGGTTGGTCTTGCTGCTGCCGAGGCCCGCAATCCTGCCAAGGCTCTTCCCGGCGCCATCAAGCAAGTTTTCTGGCGTATTACTCTGTAAGTTCTTCTGGATGACCGGGCTCTTTCTTATTACTACTTTTCCCACTAACAGTGAGTATAGGTTCTACGTCCTAGGTCTTACCTTTGTTGGCCTTTTGATTCCCAGTGACGATACCTATCTACTAGAAGCGAAGGGATCGAACGATGTTTCCGCGTCTCCTTTCGTTTTGGTTGGAAAGTATGCCAATCTTAATGGATTTGACCACTTCATGAACTTCATCATCTTGGTCTCAGTGGTATCCATCGGTGTGTCCGGTGTTTATGGTGGAAGCCGTACTCTCACCGCGCTTGCCCAGCAAGGCTATGCTCCTAAGATCTTCACCTATGTCGACCGTAGTGGCCGTCCCAGCTTCTCTGTTGGCTTCCTTCTCATCTGGGGTCTGCTAGCCTACATCAGCTTGGCTGCTGCTGGTAGCGAGGTCTTCGATTGGCTACAGGCTGTCTCTGCGCTCGCCGCCCTCTTCACGTGGGGCTCTATCTGTTTATCGCATATCCGTTTCCGAAAGGCTTGGTTATACCACGGACATACTCTCGATGAGATTCCATTCAAGGCTATTGGTGGTGTCTGGGGTTCATGGCTTGGTTTGATCCTTGTCGTACTAGTACTTATTGCTCAGGTAAGCTCGCCCTCACCTTAACTCTTACAAAGTTCCTTGTATCTAATTCGGCTTTAGTTCTACGTCGCAGTTGCTCCTCCCGGAGGTGGGCCTAACGGTAACCTCAACGATGCTCAAGGTTTCTTCAAGGCGTACCTCGCCCTTCCCATTGTCATGGCATTCTGGATTGTTGGCTATGTATGGAAGCGTACCGGTTGGCTCCGTACTCACCAGATCGACGTGGACACGGGACGCCGAGAAATCGATTGGGACGAAATTAACGTCTATCGTGAGCGGGTTGCCTCGCTATCGGCATGGCGACGTATTCTAAACATCGTATTCTAGTATGCAAGTACTACACATAATTGCATTTTATTTAGTGGTGGTGCCCTCTTTGAGTAAGGGCCTGTAGCCGGCGTATGTATATACCTGAGAAATGTAAAAAATGGAAGTTTACATGATGAGAAGTCTCTAGTTGGCACCTGATATAATATATAATATACCACTATCTCCCGTCAATTTATCATAGAAGTTATCAGAGGTATAGGCCTGATCATGTCATATATATGCTATCATATGCCTAGGTAGTATTTACCCGCTGCGTCACCCATTGTGTGTTATTTAATCTCGTCGAGGGGATACGAATGTTTACGCCTTGCTGCTCCCACGTACCTTGGGTATCTATCCACTTAGTATGCAAATAGCTCCCCAAAGCACAATTTCCTTTCCATATGTTAATATTATTCTTGTTAGCCCTGATCAACGACTTCGCTTAGAAGGGATTGCGGGCTTTGTGGCTGGATGGTACGGCTTAACTGCGAAGGATATTACTATCGTACGGTTCGCTCTCTTGGTAATGTATCTTGTAGGATTGGCCAAGCAGCCTTCCCGATGCTTATCTCATTTGCGAATGATTGACGTTAACGTTGTATGATGAAGCAAGGAGGGACGGAAACAAAGGGCTCGGGACCTAGCCCAAGATATGGTCCTAAGACGAAAGAAATCGGAGCCTAGTAGGCTTTCAAAACCTGTTCGTCAATTGGCTAGGCTTTTCCCGGTAGGAATTCCAGAATTTCTCCTTATTCGCAGATTAACGGGTATCTGGGAATAAACCTATAAGCGACATGAGCGCCTAACGACACGCTTTCCTGGCTATTCCCATGCATTTCATGGCCACGCCGACGAAAATGCCATAGAAGAATGCTTTTTCTAAGGACATACGGCAGGGGTTCCATTATATGAGATATAAAGTAAGATAAGCCGAAGAAATATTCAACTGGGCTATTCCACTACCCTTTATATTGAGAAACCGGAAAAGGGGTCACACAAGCATGGGTTTACGTAAGGGAGTTGACGTATCAACCATAAAGGTAGTGTAACAACCCATAAGACACATACTTCAAGTACCTAGTACATCTAATAACATGCCCAGGCGAGTACTTATGTGGTCAAAGTATATCGAGCCTTATTAGCTGGCGGCTCAATGCAAGGATGGTTGTTTTTCATCTAGAGACCAACCGCCACGTCGGTTTCCTTATGATATCTGGGAACAATCTGCTGGTTTGCTAGATAGGATCTGCTGTTATCTCGCTGCTCCCCACCAAGAATTCAAGTGGGGAGATGAGATGTTCCAATTCGTCCGACCCGTAACATCAATACCACTTCACCTCCTTCCCAAACAAGTTCTGGTACAACCCGAGATAGTGGTTCAGCGGCGATTCAACGGCGCATGAATATCCGAGACCCTTACCCCTCGTTCGTTAGAGGGCGTCGCAATCAACGACAGCTGGTTGTACTCTATACATAACAAAGGCAATGTTTGCGAGTATTGACGCACTCAAACCAATATATGGCACCATGGCGCACTATCACAACGGAGGTAAGTAATTAGGTAAACAATGTAACATGGCATTCTGGTTCCAATGGGTTTTTGGATGCGAATGTTAGGAGCGAGATAACGACATACTTACTAAAACGCAGCCAGTAATCAATAACATCTGGGAGAAGCCGCCTAGATACGCTTGGACGTAAAAGGCTATTACGAAGCGACATCTCATAGAATGGGGTACTTTGGCCTTCTACTTCCTGAGCAACGTTTTAGTTGGGTTCGTCCCTCGACGGCTAAAGGTGTCTGGGCTTCTTTGTCGGACTTCTCTTCACACCCGTTTCACTTCGAAAAAGGAAACCCGCCCCCTTGTGGAAGGTCAAGGACCTTATCGCAAGCCACTTTCCGGTGGCCAATTGCCGAAAAGCCGTGCGAAGTTAATATATTACACAGCATTCCAAATAGGGACGTGCCAATGTCGCTACCCACCTGTATATGTTTGCTATAGATCGCGCGATATGTAGATCATCCTTCATGATAAAGAAATTTATATAAAATCTCGAAACCTCCTCCGAGAAGCAGGGCCACGGAGTACTGAAGAAAGTTATCTTCCTATCTGGCATGTGTTACTGTAGGGATCCGTCTTTTCGTGTCACATAGGGGCAGCCACCCCCACTCTCTTTCCGCCAGCGATTAAGCGTAGACGGAGCAATCGACAGGATGTCTGGAGTTGCTGAGGTTACTGAGATCAAGGGGACGGCCACTTCTCAGGGGGTGAGCGAGAAAGCCGGCTCCGATGGCTATCGGAATAGCGACGTGGAACTACCACTTGACGCGCAAGTGGAAACGTACGTACTCTGAATCTCTCGAAACCTCTCGAAATTACCACAGGAAACACTAATCATCCAACTCCAGTGACCTCAATGTTACCGAAGACGATCTAGCTGAAGCCAAGGAGTTAGCCGACAGATTAACACTCGAAGAAGTTCGCCCTATGATGGAAAGAGTTCTAAAGATACACGAGCATGATCCGAATTTTCCATACAGCATAATAGAACGAGTTAAAGCATTCCTAGGTAAGTCGGCAATACAGTTACGCAAGAGTCAACGTGCTAAACACACAATCTCTTAGGAAATGAAGCGATCTTCGAGCAACCTGAGAAACATGCGGTTTTGATTGGGGAAATGAAACTCGAAGCTGCTCTGATTACCGTTAACAGTCCCTATGCCGAGGTGCGCGCTGTTGTAGATAACCACGACGATGTGAACACACCGTGCGGTACCATCCGCGCTTGGATCATCGGTATCGGGTTCTCGATCCTACTTGCTTTCATCAACCAACTGTTTTCCATTCGACAACCAGCGATCAGCGTCCAGGCAAATGTCGCTCAGTTACTCGCATTCCCTATCGGAAAGGCTTTTGAAAAATTGCTACCTGATGTCGGCATTACTCTATGGGGCACCAGGCATAGCTTGAACCCGGGCCCCTTTTCTAGGAAAGAACACATGTTGATCACTATCATGGCCAACGTCTCATGGAATTATCCGTATACGAACAACATTATCTGGGTACAATATTTGCCGCAGTACTTCAATCAACGATATGCAGGCCAATTCGGATACCAGATCGTTGTCGCTCTTGCTACGAACTATATCGGATATGGTATGGCTGGCATTATTCGACGATTTCTGGTCTATCCTTCCCATTGCGTGTGGCCAGCATCCCTAGTTACGATCGCTCTTAATTCTGCTTTCCATAACGATAAGAATACTCCTGTTGAGAGCCCTTTCGGCAGGGTTTTCACCATATCCCGTATTAAGTTCTTCGGTTGGACATTTGCGGCTATGTTTGTCTACTTCTGGTTCCCCGACTATATCTTCACTGCTCTCAGTGTATTTAGTTGGATGAGTTGGATCTCCCCAAATAACGTGAACCTCTCAACCATCACCGGGTTTAATAACGGTCTTGGATTGAACCCCTGGCCAACATGGGACTGGAATACTCTGGTATGTACCTTGCCTCTTACCCCTTACTAGTCTCTCCTTTTCCCCATCGATAAAAATAGCGATTCTATTATTCAACATATCATATCACTAATATACGTGTTTATATGCGCATAGCTTTTTGACAACACCGACCCCCTCATGATCCCGTTTTTCTCTACGTTTAACAAATTCGTCGGCGCCGCTATAGGTGCTTGCGTTATTGCTGCTTTATGGTATACGAATACCTACAGCACGGGGTACTTGCCCATCAATTCGAATAGGGTATTCGATAATACAGGGGCGCTTTATAACGTATCTAATGTTGTTGACGAACGGGGTCTTTTCGACGCTGCCAAGTACGAGGTTTATTCTTTCCCCTTTCTGGCTGCTGGCTATATAAGCGAATACCTATTCTTTTTCGCCATCTACTCGGCCATCATTTCATACGCGTACCTGTACCATCGACATGAAATCGCAATGGGCTTCAAGAGTTTGATCAATAGCTTCCGAAAGGATGGGCGGGAACAAGTTGGTCAGGTCCAAGACGTCCACAATCGACTCATGTCCAGATATGCCGAAGTACCCGAATGGTGGTATACAATCGTACTCGCTGTCGCTATCGCGCTCGGGTGCGTAGGAATAGCTCATTGGGAAACATATACCAGTCCTGGCGTCGTTTTCTACGGTCTTGCACTTTGTGTTCTCTTCGTAATACCTATTGGTATCGTAAAAGCAATCACAGGAATTGAGGTTACACTTAACGTCCTCGCGGAATTTATTGGAGGGTCATGGGTCGCAGGGAATGCTCGTAAGTCTTTCATCTGTGACAATCCTATCTCTCTCTTCGATCCTCGGATTCTGTCCCGGGACTCGATGTACTCCCGAGCCAAGTCCAAACCCCCACAGTCAGTTATACGATCGAAAGCAAGCTAATATCTAACTATTATAGTGGCGATGAACTACTTTAAGTCATTCGGTTATGTTACTTGCTCCCACGCACTGCTATTTTCGCAAGATCTCAAGCTGGCCCACTATGTCAAGATCCCACCAAGGCAAACCTTTTCGGCCCAGATGGTCGGCACGTTGATTTCCACCTTCGTCAGTGTCGGTGTGCTTAATTTCCAGATCAATCAGATCCCTGGTGTCTGTACCATCCATGCTCCGAATCGATTTACTTGTCCGTAAGTAGTCATTTTTATTGTGTCACCCCAGATATTGTCTTCCGGAGGACACTTCCATAGCTAGAAGATATTTGAGCATTTTACAAAATTTATTTACGCGTTGCTAATACTCGATTTCGCAGAGGAATCAACACCTTCTTCACTGCTGCAGTCCTCTGGGGCACAGTAGGTCCCATCAAGGTGTTCGGCCGAGGAGGAATGTACTCCTGGCTCCTAGCCGGATTCCCCATAGGTTTCATCGTCCCTATTATAATCTACTACGCAAACAAGAAATACAAGAAAACATGGATGCGACAGATCCACCCAGTTGCTATTTTCTACGGCGCCTTATCATGGGCTCCATATAACCTGAGCTATATCTGGCCAGCCGTACCTATTGCTTGGTGGTCGTGGATTTACCTTAAACAGCGCTACCTCGGATTTTGGTCCAAGTATAATTTCGTTCTGTCTGCTTCCTTTAGCAGCGCTATCGCCATGGCTGCCATTATTATATTCTTCGGTCTTCAATGGTCGGTGATTGAGCTTGACTGGTGGGGGAACACTGTTACTGCGCAGGGATGCGAAGAAGATGCTTGTACGCTGTATCAGCTTGGCGAAGGTGAATATTTTGGTCCGCGTATTGGCGAATTCCATTGAGACCCTAGGTATACCGAAATATACCTAGGAGGTATGTATATAATAGGTGTAACGGGTTTGCGCCACTCCTGTAGCTGATTTATGATGTATGATTCTCAAGATGTTGTTTTCAGGGGCTACCCTAATTATGAGCGAACGATTTACTGAGTACCTGGGTACCTTACCTTGTAGGTAGTTTCTCGGTTTATCACTGAAGGAGAATATTGTAATTAATTTATGTATTACTGTGCTAATACTACTACTTGAGGCGTAATGGGATTGACTTATTTACGTGATGGGAAAGGATATTACACATTATACTATTTGTGATCTGTATTCCTAGGCGCCGTGTTGTGTAGACCGTGTGCAGGGAACACTTCCGTAAGCTAGAGTTATGTAACCACCATCTTTAATCATCTGCGACAATGACAATGCCATTGCCGTTGAAACCAAGCAAGTTATTCGAGCTTTTCGCATTGATAATAACATTGCTCGTTGCTAGACGCTTTAGTTCCTTGATACTGTCATCTGGCGACTTCATCCGGTAGGGTATAACACTCTTCAGGTACAGGACGAGACCTGAGATGTGTGGCGTAGCCATGCTTGTTCCGTCTACGGAGCGGGAGTCTTGGTTGCTTCGGATCCAAGCCGACTGGACTCTTTCGCCGGGGGCAAAGATATCGACTGAGTCACCCCAATTGCTGAAATTGGAACGGGTGTTTTGTCGGCCTATCGCACCAACAGTGATTACCTTTGGCGAAGAAGCGGGTGAAAAGTTCTTGGCGTCTTCGTTGGAATTGCCGGCTGACACGATGGTCAGTATGCCTTGCTTGTACGCCTCCTCGACAGCCCGGTTGACGGCTTCTTTGACTTCCCCGCCTGCGCTGATGCTGATGACAGAAGTCTCTTGACGATGTTGTCCTGTGATGTTGTTGACGGCCCAGTGGTATCCGTCAAGAAGATCCGACGTGTATGACTTGTATTCCGAGAAGATTTTGACTGAAATGAGTTTTGACTTCTTGGCGACGCCGCTGCATGCTAGTTAGTAGTCGTGGTTGGAGATCAGGCAAAGAATGTGGATATTAGGGATGGTCGGTGAACCTAGTGAGTTTAAAGGGGCATAGAGGTATAACATACTATGTTTTGCCGCCAATGGTACCGGCGACGTGTGTACCATGGCCAAAGGGGTCCACAAATGAACCGCCGACAGCATTATAGCCTAAAGAGGCACGGCCTTCAAACTCATCGTGTGAAGTCAACAATCCCGTGTCGAGGATGTAGGCGTAGGTACCCTCACCGGCCCTCGAATCGTATACGTACTCCGTCTTATTCGTCAATCTGTGAGAGATGGCACCTAAACCCCATGGGGAGTCGCTCTGAGTGATGTGCCTCGCCAGGGCGATTTCGCTGTCAGGTTCGACTATCTCCACGGCCTCATCGGTACTGATCTTAGCAAGTGTATCCCGATCCATGGTACAAGAGTAAGCATTCCAAGAACCAATATTCCACCGTTTCCCCATCTCGACCATGGGTGAATTGCTGCGAGCATGTAGACTACTAGCTCGTCGTATATGTTGGTCCACGCTGGATGACCCTAGGCCATCCCTGAGGGTGACGATATACCGACCCGCATCGCGCGGGGGGTGATCGTTTTCGTGCGATAAGAGAGGGTGAGCATAAGTTAGTCTGGCTACTGCGGTGAATACAAGAAGCAGCTTTCTGAGGCCAATCATGGCGACGATTGTTGTCGAATTGCGAGAAGTAGAAAACCGGCTATAGAAAGTATTTGGATGGTGAAATGATGTCAGGTAATCTACAAAACGGTAGCCAATTGTTGAATATCCGATGTTACCATAAGAGAAGCAATAGATGGTGAGTATTGATGGAATATTGTCTTGTCAGAAAGCAGAAAATTAAGAAACGAAGTCAAGCATGATAAAGATACTTGGACAAGGGTTGAGTAGGTATGCAGAAGGAAAGAGATAGTACATTTGAAGGTCGTGACCCCTTCTATTAAACTTATTAAGCTATTCAAGCAAGGTGCGTTCGACGTAAGGATCACTTAATCTAAGGTAGGTCCTTCCATAGCAACCTAGGTCTACGTTAGAAGGAAACCGCAGTGGTAGAGAAAGAGGGAACTTAATATGTAGTAGGTGCTAGACGCATCTTGCTGCTAAAACACCACCGTGTCATTAATTAGTAGGTATTTATTTTTATATTATCTTATAAAATCCGTCGCATGAGTTGTCTCTCTTATTTGGGCCAAACATGTTAGTTGCGACCGGCGGAAATTCATGTTCAATCTCGTTTCCAATAAAGTTATTTACGGCTTCTGCCAGGAAGATATGATTAAATCCAACATTGATCGATGCGTATTTAATAGCTCGAGTCTTGTGCATGTCTCATCTCCGCCCACCTTGTTCGACTTCCTGGTATAGAGGATCAATCAAAAGACCCCAATCCTCTTTAACATCTCGCTTCAGCTCGAGGTTCGTCTTTCGAGACTCGATAACCAAAATGTCGCCTCTGAAATATGCTAATACACCTCCTTTGCCATCCATACGCGCCGTAATACGGAAGTAATGTTTGCCTTCTTCGTTGGCTTTGCGAACAGGAATAAATTGAATATCGTTTTCTTGGCACCAATCCTCCACTTCGTCGCGGAACGTGGGCTCTGGCTTCTCTGAAGGTAGTGGTGGCAGCTCCGCCACCACATGTTTCTTCTCAGCTTTCGGTTTGCGAGACTTCGGTTGATGGGCAGGTCGTCCATCTGGTCGAGGAAGTTGGTCTTTTCCGTCGGGACCAAGGTCGAGAGCAGTCTCGATTAGAGCTGTACCCTTCTCAAATTCAGCTGCAACGCTTGGCAAAGATGAAATCTCGTTTGGTAGTAATTGATCCTTCCACCATTCAAAGAATTCCCCAATTTCTTGGTAATTAGCATCTGGGCTGGTAAGCCACTGGTAGAGAATTTCGTGCCACATGGGGAAAACTTCCGCGACTATGACCTCTCCTACCATGGACGTAGATATCACATCTGTCCATTTGAAAACTCCATTAAGCATCTCTAGATAAGGTTCTTGGTCGCTTGGGTCAACGCGGAAATTCGTACGTAGATATTGGGAAAGGCTTGGCAGAATATGGTGCATGACTAAGGGCCTCCATTGGTCCTGTTCCTTGGTTGGTCGGAATACATCTTTCCAATGTTTTAGACCAGGCACCACACCTTTCGAGAAATCCCAAGTGTCAATCAACTGCCTAAATTTACGCCTGACCTCTCCGACCAGCCCGGTTCCCTTGGGCTCGAGATGATGAGTTGGAAGATGTTGGAGCCATGGAAATAGCCATATATGTGGGTTTTCATGTCTTTTCTTTGGCTTCCAGCTATTAATACCGTCTTCGAGTCGCCTTACTACTTGGTCAAGAAGTTGAAGTCGGACGAAATCTGGTAAAAGTTGTCCCCATTTGTCAAAGAAATCCAAGAGTGATGTCGCATCATGAACATCCCACGTCTGTGAGATAGCAGTAACTAGTTTAGGGAAGAGGATTTGGTAGATCATGCTCTCCCAAGGTGTGGTTGACCTTATGTGATGGCGATGTGTGCCGTTAAGCTCCGTGTCCTGCCATTTTGCAACGGCACTTCTGTTGGTGGTTTTAGTTAGACCTAATAATCCCCGAATATTTGAAAGATCGGATGCAAAATTTCCCAATTTAGGGTCATCTAAAGGCTGCCACCCTTGTACCGCGTCTCGTAGGAAAGGATGTATAGCGGACACTGCCAAAGCTGCTAATTCTTCGTCGCCGTGAGTCGATGCCGCCGATTCAGCTTTCTTGAGTCCGGATATTACGAGGTCCCAATTTCTGTCTCGCGCAGCTTGGCTAACCCCGTCTAGAACAGACGAAAACACGCCAAGCCCTAGAAAATTGCTCTCGAGTTCATCAAGTTCATGTTGCAATTGTATCTCCTCCATAGAAAGCCATGCTTTTCGCTCTTCGAGACTCTTCCATTCCTCTACGAAGGCTGTCAGGTCTCCTTGGGCACGCCTCGCTAATTTGCGTGCCTCTGTTTGTGCTGCCACTTCTGTGCCAGCTGTAGGGGTCAGTAAACCCGAACTAGATGTTAATAGTTTCTGATCGCGTCCGGTGAGATCTAATATCGGCGCAAAAGCGTCTGGTATATTGAGGCCAGGCGCAGCCTTTTGGATATCGGTGAGAGTCAAATATTTGGTCTTAGCTCTTCTCGGGGTGCTTGTACCGCTGCTTGCCGTACTATCTTTGCCCTTCTTCCTCTTTTCGCGTTTCGCCTTTCTTTCTTCGTCCGAATCGATAACCTCTTCTCCTCGCATACGGGCCTGACGTTTTTCTTCTTTGCGTTCCTGTTCCGACTTTTCTTTAACAGCACCTAGACCAACACCTTGCGGACGTAGAGTTGCTTCAATGATGATATTTCTTCCCTGACCCTCAGCACCAAGACCCTGCCCTTCCACATAACCCATCTTTTCCATCATACGAGCTGCGAATGACTTGGCTTTTCCTCCTTTGCCAAAAACGCTGGGCTTAGGAATTTGGGGTGCCGAGGTGGGGGCGTCGTTGAGATTCGCTTTTAGGACGGGCTCGTTCGCAGATGAAGGAACAAACCCTTTTCCCAAAGGTGTACTTCCGTCGTATTTCGACTTCATTTTCGGCGGTCTACTCGGTGTATCCCCAGTGGTGTGCATGGTTTGAGATCGGGTGGGCTGAGACCATCCTAATCCGCGTGCAGGAGCTCCAAATCCTAGGCCAACCCCAGCCATCTCTTCATCTTCGTCTTCGTCCTCATCCTCTGGTTCTGGGACCGGTGTTGGTGAAGTAATAGCTTTGGCACCTAATCCGGGACGACTTGGCTCGCCATAATCATCGTCGTCGTCATCTTCGGAATGTTCTTCGCTAAGGCCTTGATCCAACTTTTCTTGACCGGCGGAGACAAACGCTACGTTTTTGTGGCGCAAATCTTTTTTTGATTTCCATCTCTTCCCGGGACCATCATCTTCGCTGTCGGAACCAAACATCCCTAGAGCGGCGCTCTCTTTCGCGTTGCGGCCGGTTCGTCTCCGCTTACGAGGGTTAAAATCGAGGAATTCGTCAGCTCGCGGGTCAGCAGAAGGTTGTAAGTATTCGTCCTCATCTTCTTCGTCGTCATCCGAAGATGAATAGGCAGCCGCATCAGTTTTGGATATCCTTCCTGCATCGAAAGACATGTTGTCGCGTCGATTATGAAGTAGCCTTGTGTTGTAGGTATTGTGGTTGATTTGTTTAGGTTTACGAGGCAGCAGGGCGACAGCTATACTTTTTAGTTTATCGATAGTTGAACTTGATAGAAGCGTACTAGATGACGTGGATTCTTATAAAGTAGTTAAAAACTCTACAAATACATAACCCCTCTAGATATTATGTATAAGTCAAGTAGATGACATAAGCGGCCAGCTCATTATTAGCATATAAATCTTGAGTGACTTCTTTTCGCGTTTTTTCACAATTAATCTAATTAAGTATCTTCCCCTAGCTAATCGTCATCATATATCCATCGGCCACTGGATTGGTCATACGAATAGCCTCATGTAATGGGGGAATGAGTTTGTAAGCCACTCTTTCCTAGGTAAGTGCCTAGGTGGATATAATATAGTTGCCTCTCTCGAGGGCTAGAAAATACGTTGAGCTCTTCGTCAATGCCTTTTAACGCCCTCCATCCATTCCTTGCTTCCTTTGGTGCCTTCATGAGCTTTCCTGAATAGTTTCCTCTCCCATTCGTCAAGACCTCTCAAGAATTCCTCTCCAGCACCTACACCCATATCCTCAGTAGCACCAGCTTTCCTGGCATGGAGCGCAATATCGGTAGCTCTCGTCACGAATGTTTTTCGAAGTGTGGCGCATATCTCCCTCTCTTCGAATACGTCAAGCATGCGCGTTCCAAGGCCATAGAAATTGTGAGATTGATCTCGGAGTGGAACGGCGCGAGGATCGGCTTTCAATGCGGACATAACCTCGTTAGACAGCGAAGGCGGAAGATCGAGCGATACGAATGACCCGGAATCTCCTTCCGAACTACCAGCTGATCTACTAGTCAGAGCGAGAGGTTCGGCGAGCCATAATGGTAGACCGACGAAGGCCCCAGCCTTGAGAGGTTGCGATGGGTTATTATCGAGATATCCGAGTTCAGGTACGTCGAGTTCGAATTTGCAAGGGACTTTCTAGAGAAAAAGAAACGCGTTAATCATTCATTGCGATTGACAATTATGTTCTTTAGCCCTGACTTACTTCGGCGTCAGTGAGTATCGCGTCTACGTCGTAATATGACATGTTGAGCGTCACTGAAGACCCAAAGTAAAGAATCTCGCGTGTACCTAATATACATTTAAGGAACGCGTCGAGGCACTATATTTTAGTGGATCATTGGACATCTATTAGGTGACAGCCCGCTAGATACCCCCACTTGGATCAATGACGAAAGGTTGATGGAAGTTTTGCTACACACCTAGGTACCCTAGGTACCATTTTACCCACCTATTCGTCCCAATCCGGAAGCCTAAAGCCCTAGAGCTCCCCTGCAACTACCCCACTAGACAGCTCGGACATAGCTTTCCTCGGGCTGTTCGGTCCCTTGTAACCTTTAATAATAGTTGACATCATTTTTGACAGCAGTATCGTAAGATAAATACAGCGGTTGTTCCCAGCCAGTAGAGGGGCATCTAGTATCTAAATTTCAGCCGATCACTCCTCCGTAGAGCCGAGATTATCCACTGTCACCAATTCAAGTGAGTACGAAGCAGTTTCGTTTTTTTTATTTTACAAATAGTTAACGCCCGCCATTTTAAACAACCAACTCCTATATCAAGACCTTGATCTTCAATTTGCTCACCTACTAATCTAGGTACCGACGTATTAATACTCAATCACAATGGCGACGACCCTATTCCGAACGGCCCCGGCGGCACGAGCGGCTTTACGCGCAACCTCCATGAGAACCGGCGCTGCTGCTCTAACTAGCACCACATTCGCCAGGGGCAAAGCAACTCTGCCCGACCTACCCTGTGAGTTATAAACTCCCCACTATAGTGTCCTAGAGTGTATTCTTCCGAATGAAACCAATTGGCTAACACCTACTACACAGATGACTACGGCGCACTCGAACCTTACATCTCGGGCAAAATCATGGAGATCCACCACAAGGGCCACCACCAAGTATACGTTAACGGACTGAATAGCGCATTAGAAACTCTCGAAGAGGCCAAGGCCAAAGGCAACGATACCAAAGCCGCCGACCTCGCCCCCCTACTTAACTTCCACGGCGGTGGACACAAGAACCACTCTCTGTTCTGGGAGAACCTGGCTCCGAACAACAAGGGAGGCGGCGGAGAACCCGAGGGCAATCTGAAGAATGCCATTGAGGAAACCTTCTCTTCGTTCCAGGCATTTCAGGAACAGTTCAACACCACTTTAGCTGGCATTCAGGGCAGCGGCTGGGCTTGGTTAGTCAAGCCGTCTGCTGGAGGACCTCTCCAGATCGTTACGAGACCAAATCAAGATCCCGTCGCTGGTAACCTTGTCCCTCTACTAGGTGTGGATGCCTGGGAGCATGCCTACTACCTACAGTACCAGAACCGTAAGGCCGAATACTTTAAGGCTATTTGGAATGTCATCAACTGGAATGTCGTGGGAAAGAGGTTGGAGGCGGCATAGAGCCAATTATGGATGTAGATTATGAGAAAGATTAGCAGGTTGAAGTTCTCTTTTGGCAATGCCGGCGAATTACCCAATATATGTACTCGCATATGAGCTCACAATCAATTAAATCTATGCGATATCAAGTCGCTTTACTCTAGACGATGCTATCCAAATCTGTGACGAAGTTCTTCGTAACAAATGCGAGGGAGGCACTGGATATGTACTTAAGTTTCAATATCTTGTTAAGCGGGAGGAGTTATCGTCTTGGCAAAGTGATTAGGTAATAAATATTTTTCTTGTAGTCATCACAGGTTCATCTTTTAAAAAACACAAATAAATTTATAAGGTCTATACTACATCGAAGGGTCGGTTATCATGACTTTCTACGTATCTCGTTTCCCCCATCGTAGCCATGAAATACACGTCTATTCATTCGTTACCTTTTAAAATTCACCGCAATGCTCCCGTATCCACCGCAAATCCTACCAAATTCTATGCGGAGATTAACTGAACTTTGGGGAAGCAAACGAGTAGAAGGTAGCGCGATCACTCTATTACTCCTCGCTGTTGTCCTATGCCTTGCTGCGATCAGCTACGATCTGTTCGGCCATTTCTTCACACACTGCCGATAATAATTAGCATCATGCATATTCGATTATGTATGTTCAAACATATTAAGTTGGTGGGAAGGATGGGGGTCATTAGTAAAAAGAATCCGACTTACACCTCTGAATGCTTGTGCCACTGAGCAGCTTAATCACCGATACGTCCTTTCCCAACGCCTTGAAGAACCATCCACGCACCTCAACCGCAGCGAGTGAATCAACGCCAAGCTCTGACAAGTTCTGGCCCCCGTTGATGTCTTCCTTGGGAAGTCGGAGTAGAGATTGCAGCCTCTCAGTAAACGCGTCAAGGATAACCCGCACGATATCATCCGTCCCCGTTAGCGCTGCTACACAGTCTTTGACGCTTTTGTGTATATTCGCCGCGGCTGCACCAGTGTCTTCTCTATCTCGACGAACGAAGTGGTTGAACCGTGGATCTTGATGCCAGTGCAACGGGTTTGGGTCAGTAGGGTTGAATCTACTTAAGCCCGTAGTAAGGTCAACGGGCGGGTTCGCTTGCCCCGCTTCGGCCGGACGACCTGCAATGACAGCCTCTAGAAACATGTGATGAAGATCACGTTCCGAAATAGGCGGATATCCCTCGCGCTCCAGCCCCGCATACAACTCCTCCTTCTCGCGCTGTAGGAAACCGAGACCGTAGATAACCCCGATATTCAACACCGAACCCACAAGGCCATGTCGGCGACGCTCTCCTGCTAGTCCGTTCATGTACATATTCGCAGCGGCATAGTTGGATTGGCCTGGGTGTCCGCCAATAGCTGCGAAGGACGACGTCATGATGAAGAACTCAAGGTCAAGATCTCTAAAGACTCTATCAAGGTTATGCGATCCGACAGTCTTGGGTAGCAATACCCGTTTCCACGTGTTAACATCCATTTGCGCAAAAACACGGTCGTCGAGCACCATTGATCCGTTAGCAATTCCACCGATAGGAGGCATAGATTCACTCAAGTCGGTTCTCAAGGCCCTCACGCTAGCTTCGTCAGTGACATCGCACTTGCGCACCTCGACTCTCGCACCGTAGGCTTGCGCTAGCTCCCTTGTCCAATTGGGATTCATCTTTGGCGTACGACTGGCTAGCACGATATGCCGAGCTCCATGCTTAACGAGCAAATAACATAAACTCTGACCAAAATCTTTGGTAAGTCCGGCTAACACGTAAGTCTTATCGGCACTAAAGATCTTCTCGGCCATGAAATGCTTCGTGAAAGTCAGGACATTGCGCTCGGCTCTCCAGTCGATGAGGCACAAAGGTGACGACGCCACCTTAGTATCAGATAGCAAGCTTGGAAGAGAGACAGTAGTGTGCTTTGCATCAATACCTTCCCCTGAGCCTACACCAACGCCATCGTCCGAGTTTTTGGCAATACCCTCTCGCGAGTTTCCATTAAACTTCGTCGTGCATATAGCATTAACGATGCCGTCATTCCAAGCCTTGCGACAACCAGGAGAAACTTCTCCGGCTATCCCGACCACGTTACAGATGCCAAAGAACTCAGTGCGAGGGTAATACCTGCAATTGTCTGGAAGCAAATCCAATATTTGCTTTGATAACTTTGCGCGCTTCGACGATTGGAAATCGAAAATACCCGCCCCTTCCGATGGAAAGATTGCCTTGATTTCTCGAGCCGACGCGCGTGGGTGTAAGTAGATAGCACCACTATCCTGTCCAGTGGGAGTTATGGAATAGCAACTGACAGGTCTGCTGCTGTATCGTGAGAAGAATGAGGTAACGCATTGGGCCAATGTCGGATCCGCATCGATTAGAACGATAGGTGACAGCTTGCGAGTTTCTCGATGCATGATTCCGCTGGCTACTAAGTAGCCCATAGTAAGAGATACCAAGCACGGTCCATCTTCGTCACTCATCTCTACGTCAAATACTTGATCATCCGGTAGCTTCACAAATGAAGCGTTTGACGCAGATATTGCCACCACTCGCTCGTTAGTCAATAAGTTTTGACCACAGCACACGTAGCCAAATGTTGGTGCTTCATACGCTTTTTGCCATCGGCTCAGGGAATCAAGCCTCAACATCTCCACAGAGCTATAATCCACTCGAATTGGAACCCCTGCAGCATTAGAATCCGACCGCCCGTCTCTTGCCTCGAAGCGAACCAAGCCACTCGGGGCGATGCGGGGGACAACGTCGATAGTTGCCTCAAGGGTATTCATGGGTTTGGGAACAACTCGTCGAAGAGAGTTAACGGTGTTATTCAAAGGCTTAAGGGGCAAAACACGGGGGATAAGTCGCCGTCCACTCTCAATATGTATCTCGCGCTCTTCCGTCCATAGGGCATTTCCTTCGCTTCTTCCTACCCCCGTTAAGCGGATGAAAGTATCAGCAACGGTATCTCCTGAGCCCTCGATGGTCTCTAGATCGAGCATCTGTAGCGTGAGGCTAGGGATCTCAGCCGACACCGTGCGAGTGAAACCGAAGGTAGCCGCATGCTCTGCACATCCAGATCGCGCATCAAGCGTGACCCATAATGCCTTCATATTGGGTCGCAAGAGTTCCCGTAATTGATCAAGCATTTGCTGCGTCATTCCTGCCATTATCGGCATGTCGAGATTTGCTAGTATGATGACAGCAGTGCATGCTTTCAGAATCTCTGACTCGGTCTCCTCAAATGTGGCCCGCACGGAAAGTTTCTCGCACAAAGGCAAAAGGCGCCGCTGTAAATCGCTGGACAGTTCGCAAGTGCCTGTGCCGATAATGAGTAAGTGCTCCGTTATCGAGTCACCTACGATAGTATTGATAGAAGACGGCTGTTTAGCAAGCTCCACGTCAATGCTGCTCAATTGTCGTACCATAACAGAATAACCAGGGAAGTACGACTGGTCGCAATCCTTAGCAATCTGAATAAAGCCATAGGACTCAAGATGATCTGGCCATTGAGGCGGCGTTGGCGCTTCATGCTTGTCACCATTAGCCCATGCCGATCTTCCATCAGTCACTTTCCAGGAAGATTGAACCACCACCAAAAAGCCACCCGGTCTCATTATGCCACGGATATCCTTCAATGTTTCAGACGCGTTCTCGTGTTCAAGCTTTGAAGCTGAGAGCAAGACAAGATCGTAGGTTTGACCGGGTTTGAGCTGAGTCTCGAGGTCCCCCATCAGATCCAACGGTACGGAGAGTAGTTTCTGTTCGATAGGCCCCACCGCCCGCAACCGCTCACGAGGATCTCGTTCTGAAAAGATACCGGCTGTGAAGGTAAAGAATGACGAGGAATCTATGGCAGACAATACGTCCTCAACGATACCAGACCCAACCAAAGTGAGGATGTTCATTTGAGGATAACGATGAGTAATCTGTTTCACTATGCGGCCGATGTGTCGCCTGAATAGAAGATGGTGGTGCGCCATATCTATCGTGATTTCCAGAATGCCTTGCACTCGTTCTAGCGACGGCTCCTCTAGTTCGCGAAGAGGGCGGAGGTATTCGGGATATTTGGAATCCCCTATGAAGTCGTCAATAACTTCTACAGTATCCGAAGACCATGTGTTAGCATTTATCGTGGCTAGAATCGATGGCGATATCTTCGGGAGTCGCTCGTAGAAGGCGTCGAGAGCCCACGGCCACGCGGGATCGTGAGGGAGACTCTTGACAACAAACGCGGCGACTCGTACGCAGCTTTCTATTAGGACAGCGTCGGTGTCTTGTAGAGTGTTGGGCGTGATGTCGGCTCGTATGATCTGATCGGTCGGATCAATGTCGGTGACGGTGGTAAGGTAGAGCTCGTAGTCGTCTTCGGGCAAAGTATGGGCCAACGCGGCTACAGCTAATCCCTCTATCTGTGTCTCCATGTCTCCGTCGCTATTGAAGATTCCTATGTCAACAACGATCGTAGCCTTGGAGTCAGGCGAGCTGGGTCGGATATCTGCCAAACGAGCGTCGACTGTTAAACCATCGCCCTTCTTTTTTGCGAGGTTAAACCGCATTCGATCGATACGTATCGGGAGAAATGAAGTCCAAAGGGACCTAGTCCAATTCGTTAGCTACGTCGCGCTCAAAATCTTTGTATCTCGTGTTTCACTTACTTGTCTCCTGGGGATGCATAAGCCAAGAACGCAGACTGGAAACAACAGTCGAGCGTGGCAGGGCTTATTTGCAGCGTAGTAGTATCTTCGGGGTGCCACCGCTGTAGGTTCGCAGAGCAGTAATTAAAGTGACGTTCAATAGACGTCAGGGCACGAAATGGGCCGGTGTATGATAGACTAGTCTGGTTCATCATCTTGTAGAAGGACTCAGAAACTGCACGGAACGACTCCGACTGCAGAGCTTGTCGGGGTGGTAAAGCATCCGAAGTAGGTTTTCCTAAATGGATACTGAGCTTTCCCATCATATTCAATCTCATAGTTGTCGTTCCATCGGCGGGACAAGATGATAACGTGAAACTAGCTTCTACGACTGGCTCCGAATCATAACCCTTCTGCTGTGGAAGCACCGACATCGCGAACAAAACCTCGACACCTACGGATTCTCGATCAATGTTAATACCGCTCAAAATCTGCATGTCCTGCAATTCCACCACTGTTGCAGGTCTGTTACGTAGGAAGTTTCGAGCCGCGTCGAGTGCCATGATACAATAAGCCGAGGCTGGAAGAAGAGCCTGGCCTTGAAAGCTGTGGTGTTCTACCCAAGGTAGTTTCTCTAACCTGAGAACATTGCGCCAACGAAGTTCGTGGTCGTTGTCATCCCTGGTCCGGACTCCAAGCAGCTCATGGGGTGCTTCAGACTTAAAATGGAACTTGCGAGACACACGAGACTCGCGGTAATGAATTTGGGAGTGATCCCATGGGTATGAGGGTAGGTCAAGAAGTTTTGTGCTTAATGCACTAGACTCGGATGATTGTTCAACAAACTTTCGCAGGTTAATCTCTTGCGGGCCATATTGGCACCACATAAACCCGAGGAAGTTGGAAAATGCCAACGTATCATCTTTACCTCTATCCAACGGGCTGGTGTAAGAGAGGTCGTGGTCAAGGGATTTAGCGCTTTGTGTGAAAGGTCCTTTAAGAGCTGAATGGGGGCCAATCTCCAATGCGCAATCAAAGGGGCCGTATTGCGAAAGCGCGTTTACGACAGCATCATAGAATCGCACTTTGTTAACCATGTTATCCCTCCAATAGCCAGAGCCAAGCTGATCGTCACTGTTTACGAGACGCCCATGGACGCTAGACACCCAGAAGGTCTCATTACCTTCTAAATTTGGCTTGATATCGCTTTCTTCCAAGGCATTGATGTATTCGGTCGCTGGCTTAAGCATGTGGGGCGAATGATAAGCCGAGTCAACTCGAAGTATCCTCGAGAACTTCTTATTTTTAGTTAGCTCTTCGTGAGCAATCCGAACCATGTCCAAGTCGCCGGAGAGCGTGACACCAGATGGGGCATTACTCGCACCCACATGCAGTCTGCCCTCGAACATTGAGGCCCGGCAAAATTGTGTCGCCTCTGTCTCCGATATTCCTGCGGCAAGCATGCCACCCTTGTGGCCTTCGGGGCTACCAGCAAGATGCGCCACATAGCCGCGATAATGTGAAATCAAGACTGCATCCCTCGCCGAAATCAAGTCTGCCGCATAGGCTGCAGCAATCTCACCAGACGAATGACCAATCACGGTATGAAAGCTGATACCGAGACTTCTCAGAAGATTTACCAATCCTATCTGTAGAGCAGTACAGAGCGGTTGGGATACGGCTGCTTCGTTAACCGAAGAGTCACTTCCTTCCGCCATAATCTGGCCTTCCAATGACCACTGAGGGGGTTTAGTGGAAGTTCTCAAGACGTTGTCGAGGGTGCGGATGGTGTTGCGATATACTTCGCAGGTGTGGAATAGCGATCTAGACATTGTGGCCCATTGTGCGCCTTGGCCGGTGAATACTCCTAGGATCTTCGGTCGGGCACTGAGTGTATTGCTTCGGACACCCACGCTGTTGGAAGTCGACAACTTCTTAAGGATGTCCTCCAAAGCACCAAGGGCTTGATGTCGCGAATGCACAGGGAGAGCTAGACGATATGGCAAAGCCGTTCGGCGAGAGTAGAGTGCCCATGCCAATTGGTGTAGATTGGTATCGGGATGTTGTTGAAGAAGGTCTCTGTAGGATGTGACGACGGCTCGCAGGGATTTCTGGGATGCAGCCGATAGGAGAAGAGGTAGGTAAAACGAAGAATCACTAGATTCCTCAGATTGGAGATCATTCGATGTTTCTTTCAAGGCAGACCGCCGATATATTCCATCGTCAATGCGAGGATCGTAGGACTCGACAATGACATGAGCGTTGGCACCTCCGAATCCAAACGAATTCACGCTTGCTCTCTTCGGCTGGCCTGCAGGAGGTTCAGGCCAAGCGACAAGAGAAGTTGGAACTTCAAGACGAGTACAGAACGGCTTTACGTTGGGATTAATCGAGTTTAGATGCAGGTTAGGGGGCACAGACCCATGCTTCATAGCCTGTATCACCTTAAGCAACCCAGCTAGGCCAGCCGCTCCCTCGGTATGTCCTAATACAGTCTTGATGGAGCCGACCAATATATGGTTGGTGCCAATCTCAGAGGCTGTGCTCACGTTACTACCGAAAAAGGCGTTGTAGATCGCTTCCGCCTCCCTGGGATCGCCCGCAGGTGTGCCTGTACCGTGCGCTTCAAAGTATTGGCACTGGTCTTCCGGCGCTAAAGAATCAAGGCCTGATTTCTGATAGGTGTCTCGGATGAGCATGGTCTGGGCCTCGGGGTTAGGCAAGGTTATGCCTTTTGTTCGACCGTCCGAATTTATTCCGGTCTCGCGGAGAATTGCGGCAATCTCGTCACCATCTGCCAAGGCGCGGGATAGGGGCTTCAAAAGTAACGCTGCGATACCTTCTCCTCGTGCGTAACCGTCCGCGGAAGCATCCCACATTCGGCTCTTTCCTGTGGGGCTCAGCATGTGTAAACTGGATTCGACGAGAAATTGCTCTGGTGTGATCATCAAATTCACACCCGTTACACAAGCCATAGTGCTTTCGCCGGAACGTAGACTTAAGACTGCTTGGTGGAGGGCTACAAGACTAGAGCTGCAGGCAGTATCTATGGTCATTGAGGGACCTTGGAAGTTGTAGAAGTATGAGATGCGGTTGGAAATAATCGAGCGGGCGTTGCCCGTGGCGTAGTATTGGCTCGCGGTGAGTTCATCTCGTTGAGACAGGGTGTCGTAATCGGCAGTCATGACACCAGCGAATACAGCCACATTCTTACCAGAGTATGTGGTCAACGTATATCCAGCCGACTCCATCGCCTCGTACACGACCTCGAGAAGGAGACGTTGTTGAGGGTCGATAGCCTCCGCCTCCTTAGGCGCAATGTTGAACAATCCAGCGTCAAAAACTCGGTGATCCTGTTCCAGCCAGTATGCTTTGACCGAGTTAGTAGTACCCTGATATTCTCCATCAGGATGGTAAAATGCCTTGGCATTGAACCTCCCAGGTGGCACCTCTCGTGAGAGGTCGGGGGTGCCGCAAAGGACATCCCATAGCTTTGAGGGCGACGTAGCACCGCCAGCAAACCGGCAGCTACTACCGACGACCGCGATAGGTTCTGAAAAAGGTTTCTTGTACTTCATCGTAAAATCGGTTCAACTTTAGGTTGTTCGCTGCATGTACGATGTGGTACGATGTAATACCGATGATGTACAAGAAAGTCGAAAGTCAGAAACGGCCAGACGAAAAGAAACCTAAGTATCAGATTCAGACTATTAGCAATGTTCAAAGAGGAAAAGAATTGTGCTTGGTGAACTTACGAATGAGAGGAGTATAAAGAGGTTGGTGATTAGGTATCATGAAGAATTTCGTCAGGTGAAAGAGGTTGTGTGGACGGATGTAGGTGGGAGGTTTATGTGTAAGGAGGGGCTGTATGTAAAAGCAAGAGTGGGAAAAGCCAGCTGTAGAAGAGATGGCAAATCACAATTACAGAAGGAAAGCGCGCGTTGAACTGAGAAGGAAGGAAAGTCCGGGTGGCTGCCGGAAGCTGCCTACATGTATATTTACAATGGCAAGAGAGAGGTATGGGGCAACAACATACATGTATTGTATGTATGCCAGGCACCTTTTCGTAAGGTAGGAAGGAGCCAAAATCTATTCCAAGGTTAAATAATGTTATCGGTGGAAAGAAGCAACCGCATACTGGACTAGCCACTTCCACGTACCTCAACTAGGATACCTAAGGTACCAAGATTGTCAATTGGGTGTCACATCTACATATGTATACGGGCCAACAAACTGGCAGGTACGGTAGCTACAGACACTAGTTGGTCATGATAATCGAGCACTGTACCTACCTACTTGGGTACCTATCTACAGTCCTACCTTATTTGCTATCTATCCAAGGTACCTTCCTCGAGTGCAAAAAAAACTAGTGGCTTAAGAATCAGACGAAAACGAAAAAAAAAGAAGGCAGTGACCAACGTGTATCAAAACGGGCCTCAATCATCCAGATAGGGAAAGAACCACACCCAAGTAATGCGTTCACGTGGGAACCTTGCATCTTATCCAACCAAGCGATAACCTTTGAACCATACATAGATCATTAATTTTTCATCCACAATCTCGAGCTCCCAAGACAATAGAATTATCATCCGGGCAGAACAGCTTCCTTGTTCTTGACTTCAAGCTCTTCCAAAGGTCATCTTCGCACCATTGCTTCTGTTTAAACTAATTATGATCACAGTTGCTTACGTAGGTGGGTATTTTACCTGGGTAGTCCGAATACAACGATGCGGTGTATCCAACCACCTAGATATTACACACAGCCTCCCCCGTGTGGTCGAATTTCGCGTTGTGCCTACTATATTTATTAATTTACGGGGCCTTCGAGAGAGCATGTCTTATACCAGGATTTGTAAGTTCACCGTTAATCAGTGCAAGGCGTGTTAGCCTGGCGGCGTTCCACACTCCTGGGATATTAGTAACGAATTGAAAGGCTGAGGTCTAAGATAAAAGGAGTAAAGCTTTAATCCAACTAGGATCAAGCTCGAATCAGGCCACTTCCTTTCGTCTTTCTTTTCTCATTTAGGCCTTTGTGCACTAGGATAGCACATGGAATTACTTGCAAAAGCGGAGCCTCGCATGCGGTGATATGTCATACCTAGCTCGAGAGCTATGATGGCACGAAGATCATGATAGCTTCCCTTAGTTGAGGCTGTACATTGTCATATCGCCTCCACAAAGAGCGCCGTCACTTCCGGCTTCCCGACTGGTATGTTCTTGCATCTCGGTGTCGATTAAGAGGACTAGCTAGTTACATATGTAGATGTCAAGCAGTTTTCATACACGACGGCTCCACCATACAAATGGACAATCCATGTATTATGGGGTATGTTTGCTGTCTAACTAGTTCGCTGGGGAGTTTTCCAGTTCCTATAACTCGGCTACAGCAAAATTGAGGGGTGGTTATAATATGGTATGGAAGAATCTATAGAACAGGTGTTTGATACTTAGGTGGCACAGTTCTCACATCAATTACATCATATTAGAGCCGACGATTCGAAATCCCCTCATCGGGGCTGTTAAATATGTATTGCTATATTTGTTCCAGACATTTGGATATAGGTTACGATGTGCATGGACCCCGAAAAAGAATTATGGATATCCTCATACTGTTCACCCTTATCCCATCGCTTGTCTCCATTATACATGTAGTATTTCAAGAAATACCAACGACGTCAGGTATCCCAAGGGAATTTACTTCTACACTTGCCTAGGCACGCAATAGACTAAAAAACAAAAATGAAGTGAAAGTCACATCATCAACATCCAATGATAGTGGCACGGCCACTACCGCCGCTAGGCCTAGCTGAAAAATAATGCCGGGATTTATATTTTATTGATGGCCGAAATGTTTCAGGGGTTCATTGTATGTTAATTACCCCTGGCTTTGTGTAACCTGGGAATGAGAGGCGATGATGGCAAGGCAAATATTCTGATCACAATAATAAATTCTATCAAGTCGATCTGTTGAACGGAACACTCCGAAAATCTTATCTGCTTTCGTCCGAAGAAGCAGATATATGACACACTAAGGAGAACTACAGGTGTTCACGTTTGTTTGCTATACATTGATGCCAAAGCGCGGGTACTTCTATTAATAACATATTACCTAGGCGCATGGTAAGGGAGGTGCCATTCGACTGGAAGCTAGCCGCAGGGTGAACATTCATTGGCCAACAGTAACTCGGGATTTGACTCGTGTGCTACTGGGTAGCTGGGGTAATTACCAAGTAGCCAACTAAGGATATCTTCAGTTGGGTTGGGTCCCTTACCGGGCGGCGGAGATAAACATTTCGGAGCAACGCGAACCATCTCGGAGACAACTGACTGAGCCGAAGCATGGGGAGTGGACATACCTACCTAAATTATTGATATAAACCACATCTTCCACATAGTTAGTTATTTCCTCTTCTACTGACATAAGGAATGCGATCTGCGAAGGCTATGTTCCATGTATGAAACGTAAATAGATGGGTTTATTGACGAAATAGGGGTAAGTACCTAGGTAGGTACAAGAATCAAAAAGGGGGGGAAACAATCGACTCCACTTCACGAAAGAAAATCTTCAGAGAACCCCTCAAACATATATACCTCTATGCGGGGCAAATCCCGAAAATATACATTAAGTGTCGCTTATATTTGAAAATATTTACATTTATCTCCCCCGCATCATTGTCCGCACTGACTCGATGGACTACTACTCGTCTCCGGTCCCGAAAACTTCTAGATGAATCCTTTTCGGATCCACACCAACGCTAATCAGGTATTTCTCCACGTCTCTCATAAACAGATAGGGACCGCAGGTGTAGTACTCAGCGCGAGGATCATCAAGGAAAAGAGTCGTTTTCGGATCAACCTTGCTCAAGTCTATCCTCCCCGTGAAGTGGTAGTCAACCCCCTGGACGTCCTGCTGCTGAGGGGATGTCACGAAGAATGTAGCGTTGATGTTGTTATTGACGTCCTTCGCGCAGGTATCATGGATGTGTTTGCTGAAGGCACGCACCTCGGTGTTATGCACGCCATGTATCCACGATATACGCTGCGCCGAGCCCGAGTTCACGGAGCTATTTAGGATCGAGATCATAGGTGTGAGGCCGACGCCAGCTGAGATAAGAGCAATCGGTTTATCCGTGCCGTCTTTCGGATCCACGAAGAATTCACCAGCGGGAGCTGTGAGCTCGAGTACGTCGCCTTCCTTGTAGTTCTCGTGAAGTAGATTGGAAATAAGACCCGGGACCTCGGGTTTCTTTCCCTTGTCCTTCTTTACACTGATGCGGTAGTAATCGCTTCGTGGCGCTTCGCTAAGTGAGTATTGCCTAGGTTGCATGTGACCCATTTGAGGAACGAATACTTGCAAGCTGATATACTGACCCGGTAAAAACGAGGGCAAAGGTTGTCCATCTTCAGGAGCCAGGTAAAAGCTGGTGATTTCTGAGCTTTCCGGAACTTTTTGTTGGACTTGGAAGCGACGCCAACCCTGCCAGTTCTCATGCGCGGCGTACAATTGCTTCTCTCGGTTGATAAAAATATCGGCTAGGGCAGTATATGCAGCAGTCCAAGCCTCTCCGATTTCAGGGGTGCAAGCATCACCTAGCACGGCGGCCACAGCCTCAATCAAGTGCTTTCCAACAATAGCGTATTGTTCGGGCTGTACGTTCAAACTCTCATGCTTGTGGGCGATGCGCTCAACGGCCGCCGATAGCTGACCCAGGTCGTCGACATATGTGGCGTATGCGAAGACGGCAGCCGCTAGAGCTCGCGGTTGGGCCCCGCTGGTCTGATTCGACATGCTGAAGATGTTCTTGAGTTCTGGGTGCGCGGCAATCATGTTATTATAGAAGAGCGTCGTGATTGTCACGCCGTGCTCTTTCAGAACCGGCGCGGTCGCCTTGACGATGGCGATATGCTCTGGAGAGATGGGTGCGGCGACAGCCATTTTGAATAATGACTAGAGACGGCGAAACAGCGGGTGCAGTGAGTGAGTGATTTGATTGCCCCTTCAGTTATGATTTTGGTAAGTAGTAGACTTTAATAATGATATCTTTGGATCGTATGTGCTTGGGTATGAATATAGGGGCACGAGATCAACATACCTCCTCATGCTGTGGTTGCACTCGACCTTAAATACTCTTATCTCTCCCACCCATATGGATATATAGATCCGACGCCATTGGCCCGCCGGAGGTGTTGGAAAGCACGTACATTGCTTCCATCCCCGACGTTCCATCAATCCATCGTACCATGTTTTTCCCGTGGAGAACGCCGAGTCAAAGTAGGCGGCCGGGCTGTGGCAATTGGATATGTCAAAGTCGTCTTTTTTTTCCTTAAAGTGAACCCACCAAGACTCCGACTATTTTCGTGAATCTACCATCTCCGCGGTGGCCAACCCCAAGACCACCCGAGGCCTCGCTAATTGAATCTACTTCCCCCCAGTTGGTGTCATTGCATATTGAAATTTCTTGATACAATTATGAATGAATCATGTCCATTATTAACCTTACCAGAAAATAATATGTATAGTTTTGGAATTAATCTGGGCATCTCCAAGTTGCGATTTTTGTTGGTATCGTTGTTCCTATTGCTGTTGGTGGTGTTGATGTTACACCTCAATCACACCCCGCTGAGGTCATCTCGATTTCAGCTTCTCTTCCGAAAACGTTCATTACCTTGCATATTCGCATTTGAATGATGATCTCCGAGGAGATTCTAATTATTGCTATATATTCCCGGGTTGCTTTCGATGTCGAAAAAATGTTCCAACTAGGTCAAGCGTATCACATGGATCGTAAGAGACGCATATCAGGGGGGTTATGAATAGCGAGGCATTTGCTAGATGTAAGCGTCTACCAACCTCATGGATATTAGCTAACAATAACGTAGAGTTTGGCAAAATACGGCCTGTTAAAAACGTCCCATTACTCATCGACTTGGATCTATGCGACCCGCTAAGTTATGGGAATCTTAGACGGTACTATTTACGTAATTGGCGTCGACTCTGGACCCTTCTAACTCCCCGAAACGTCCATAAAAACATACGATACGGTCAAGCGCCGCGTTTTCCATATGTATTTCTATGTAAGTTGTTATTGAAGCGTAAACATCCTCAAGTCCCGTGCGTATATAGTAAGACGAAATCGAACAAACCGGAATATATCGAAACTCGGCGGAGCGGATGGAAACTTAACCATACCTATAACGCCAGCAAATATATCACATGAACATCCCGTTCACTAGGTCCACATACATTACTCACACCCATAGCCCTCTATGAGTTCGACCCATTCTCATGGAATCTGGGTAATTCGACTTGTCGCGTGAACTGGCGCGGAAGGCGATTCTCTCCCTCCGCGTATGGATGACCAGCCTCTTCTCGCGCCAGATCATTAACCCATCTGCAGTTTCCTTTGAACGGCCCGGCACCAGCTTGCTTTACTCCTCCAACATGGGAGAATTTATTCGCGAGGTAATACCAGCAAAGCGCGTTACCGACCGTGCCTACTTCATCGCTGACACCAGTCCTTGCTGCGTCGCTCATCCGATTCCATAGGTCCTGGTCCGTGAATAATTCCACGAGATGCTCCGCGACGGCCTTATAGTCGTCGGGCTCGACCAGGAACCCGTTCTCCCTGTCCTTAACTTGGATTGGTATGCCGCCAGCTAGAGTCGCGATCACTGGTCGCCCGGCGTGGAGCGCTTCGGATACTTTGACCTCAAACCCCTCGCGAGTGGATAGCTGGAGAACAACGTGTGCTTTTGCGATTAGCGTGTTGAGAAGCTGGTCATTGGCCTGTAGACGCATGACACTGATGTCGCCGGCAAGATCCGGATAATGTATCTCAATTTGCTCCATAACTATGTCGTATATGATGTTTCCGTCGGGATCGTCGATTGAGCTATTGCCCGCACTATGTCGAGACGTGAGCTTCCGTCGTAGTGCTATACGATTATGTGAGGGAACTTACACTACCAATTGGGGGATGTCTTCCAGGCCGAGTTCCGCAGCACGTTTGCGAAACTCGCCATACGAGTCGATAACTGTGGGTATGCCTTTCGCTGGGTCAAAGCGAGCCACTTGGACGATATATTTGCCTGAGTATCATCGCTGTTAGTTTCATTCAATCGGGGCGAGGAAGCATGGAGTTTCTTACATTCTGGGTACCTCAATGTCGTCCTGAGATTGCCAACGTTAGCGATTCTCGTACAGTATTCTCGTTCGTATAATGTAAACTTACATATGCTGAGCATGGCATTGCGAATTGTAGTTGCTACCGTAGTAGCCGGTGTCCCACTCGTTAATGGGCTTGTTCAACCCATCGAGCCTTTGAAATGTTAGCCGACATTCAACAACCGTTTTAATCAATCAGAGAACTTACCAGTCTGTCGTCGCCGGCATATACGTGACCAATTCTCGGGGGACGTTATCCGGAACGAATTTTGGAATGGGGTGGCTCACGAACATATCCGCGTGACGAATATTGCTCCACAGGAAATTCCATGCTTGTTCCTGTGGCGAGCCACCCTGGGCGACAAGGTCGCTGCGGATTTGAATATGCGAGCGGTAAATAACAGGCCTATTCGGTGTGACCTCCTTGATTAATGGAATAAGGCCAGGCATTTGAGGGTCGTCAATCTGATATGCCATGATTAGCACAGGGTTTAGAAAAATATCCCCTTGCCCAATACCAACGTACCACAATGACATCGGCCCCGCCTTCTTCAACAGGGCGCAATGGCCCTCCCTTTGAAAGCCAATATCGGTTGGCATTCTCCGTGATCCAATCCGTGATCATCTCTTGCTCCTCCGGTGAGATACGTTCATCTGGTTTGCTGACTCCTTGAAGAATATTGTGCATATTCTTCGTACTCCGGAAGACACCCGGGCGCGGTTTTGGAACTAGGGTGGAATGTTATTATATTGTTCATCAATCGGGTTCGCATGCGCGAATTGAAAGTAAGGGGCTTTGCTGTTAGGTATCGCACATACCGTACCACGTCAAGTCAACTCCTGCTAGGCGAGAAAACCGCACCAATGCGTGACGCATGAGAGCGACGCCCCCTCCTTGGGGTGTTGAACTGAAGAAGGCGATTTTGACCTTTTTACCTTTCAATTCATTAGCATAACGTATCGTAGAATCCCATGTAGCCTTGCCACATGTTGATTTGTAGTCCTCGAGGGTTGTTAGGTGTGCTTTGAAACCTGCATCACTCATGACAGCGCCTCGGAAGCCGACTTGCAGGATAGGCACTAGGGAAGGTCCAAAGATCCTAACGGATTGGGTCAGTAGCGAGAAATCATATATTTGAAGTTCATCAACTTACATAACGCACTTGCGTGCCATAGAGTCAGCCTGCTCATCGACATTCTTCTCGTCCCAGAAGGACATCTCGGATTGATCAGTGTCGAAATCGATGGGAACGATATCGACTTCCAACCAAAGGCGGGAATTGAGAGTGGGGCTCAATTTCTTGAGCTCTAGAGGCAACCCTGCGCCGACGAATTTGACGAAGTTTTGGTGCTCATACTTTTGCACCTGGGAAACTACGTAATCTGCGATGGCATCTTTGCCTTCTTGCGACTGGTCATTTATTTTCAAGTGCTCGACCATATAGTCGATGAGATAAGTATTGTCGTGTGTCGCGATAGATAGTACCACGGTACCATCTTCGCTGGTTACGGCTGATATGCCAAGAAATAGTGGCTTTGAGAAGGAAGTCAGCCATAAGGCTCACAATCTTCAAAATTCAAAGTATGGTCATTGACGTACCGTAAGAGCTCGTGAGAAAAGCCCGTCTATATTAAGTTAGTAATCGATAATAAAAGGCGAGGGATTGTTTCTTGAATATCGGGTATCTCGGGCACACAGATGAGAGATTCGGGACATACTATGGGCATGTTAGCTTCTGTGAAACATACTACGGAATCGATTGACGGGGGTGCCCCTATACTGACCGTTTGGCAGCAAACTCACTAAGTCGGCGCTGGTGGTGAGCGGAGGTCGTCGAAAATCTTCTTCTCTTTTCCAAGATGGGTGCCATACTTGACTGGACACCGAAAGAGGTGCTGTGTTGACAGTCTAGTAACTGTTTGGTAGATATGCAAGGAATTTTGAAGCCTTAATAAATAATTGGTTAGCTTGGATTGTCGTAGGTTGCTCGGTGGTTTTTTGGGCAAAACAATCCGCAAAAAGTCTCTAGTAATGCTTTATTTTTGAGTTATATAAAGCAAACCAGGCCGCAGTCGGGTATGTCGGGCAAAGCAGTTGAAGAAATGCGGTGTGAGGTGGTCCGAGGTGAGAGAGATGATGAACGAGGATTTGAAAGCTGAGCAACTCGAATATGATAAGAGAGAGAAATATGTAAGTACAATTGATGCAGGTACCTGACTATCTAAATGTAGGTACAGATGTATGTAATGGTAGATGAGGCGAGGTGTGTGTAAGTACATATAACTGTCATAGTATATACATAAGCAATTATGTACCTGTCTTGTCGTCGAGCGCCTGTTCCCGGTGCCATTCTTGGATGTGAAGAATAAAAGTGGCATGATCTTTTTCTCTGCCGCTCAATTCAATCATCAACACGTACGTTCCACGTGGTTACCACAGATTTTAATGCATTGGGCATTTACCTGATATTCGTAAAAAGACATCTGAGTATCTATATCAACGAAGTAGGTATATACTTACAATTCGTATAGATACCTAATTCAACTGATGTCCCCCCTAACTGCTGTCTGTAACGCTGTATCGAACGTTTCGTTCCTTGGACCTTGGAGCTGGGACCATGATGGGTGTAATGGGTGCGTATGCGGGGGTCATTCAGCTCATTGCGGCGTCACAATGACGCATTCCATCTTTCTACCAAGACTTAGAAAACCTGGATAACGGTATGCTTCACCGTGTCGTGCTAGGCATTTCCATAATATACTACTTTGATATAAAACAGTAAATATATTAAATCATTCGATAATGTAAAAGTTGGTCGTCGGGTTTAGGATTGAGGCTGAAGAAGATATTCCAAGTCCATGGATTTAATTCTTTTAGGTATGATGCGGGTAGGTCTCTCTACCCAAAGATATCAGTAAATACCGTGCGATGAACATACGATGCTACTAATAACTTGCGTGGGTAGGCACCTAAGTACCTAAGTACTTGCCCATACCTACCTAGGTACATAATGTATATGATAGGAAATAAATAATTTCATGTTTTTCTTCCCGTGTTGCCTCTCAGCTCAGCCACCAGCACAACCATACCCTCTTCTATTCCTTCCAAACTCGGTTTGATCCTCACTCATTCGCTTTTTATTTATTGTGAAGCTTCAATGTTGGAAGCTGGGGAAACACCAACGAGGGGTTCAATAATAGCTCCACCCTTCTAGCCAATCAAATCGCTTGTTAGGCGGAGTCACCTACCAAGTTGGGAATTCTTATTATTTCTCACCCGCTTGCCTCCTTATTCTTAACCTTTTCCTACCAACATACACGCCGAAATAGTGCCAGGAAATATGTACGGGGAACCCGGGGAAGATGCAAAAGATGGAGAATATTAATTAAAACCGGCACGCTGAAAGCCATATTTCTTACCATGTGAAAGTTACACTTGACCGAATCTCTCTTATGTTTGCTTCTACTGCTGATGGCGGTCGCAACCGATTTTGACCTTTTTACAACCTCCCGGTTTCGTAAAGGTCTTCACTCCACCAATAACGACACAGTTTTCCTGCTAAATAGGTCTATCGTCTTATAAAGATGAAACTTGGGTTGCTTATGAATATCTTGTTTTTGGCTGGGAGGGGAGCCACACAGGGAACAAGCTGTCTTGATGTGGCTCTCACCGAGATCCCTTCATGTGCGCAATCATGTTTCCTTCAGAATGCACCGTCTATCGGGTGCGATGGTACTGATTTTACCTGTCAATGCCAAAAAGAGGCTACGCTTTACGCCGCAGTCGAACCCTGCGTTGCTTCTGGATGCCCAGAGCCGTCGTTTCAAGCTGTCATTGATGGGGCTTCTTCTGGTACGTTATTTTACGATCACCTTCGGTGTTTCGCGTACTGATGTATACTGTAGTCTGCAATTGCGCAACTGCCATTCACGGGGGTTTAGTTGCTGAAAACTCATTCGGTTCTTTGACCGTAGCCCCGACTGTCATTGCCTCCGGTTCAGCGGTTTCTTCAGTCATCGGTACTGTCACTGGCACAGTCATTGAGAACCCCACGGGTACAAGCGCCCCCAGCGCCCCAGCAAGTACCACCTCATCTCGGAGTTCCGCTCGGAATTATCGGAGCGATTTGGAATGTGGCTTTCCAAGGATCGTGTTGGTGGTGGTACTCATATTTTCTACTTGTTTATCCTAGTAGAACGACGTTGTCGGATGGGTAGAACGAGGATCGCGATATCGTATAATACTGTTAGCCTTGAACATCAAACACAGTTCTGATTATCAAATTGTATCTGGAGGGGCTGGTTTCTTCTAGGTGTCAACATCATCCTGAACATATACTGTATTTAACCACACGCTCCAATTACCTAGGTCCTTAGGTACCTACACATATACATGGGTACTTTGTTCTTATACTTGTTTATTTATTTTATTTTTTCCTGCTGAATTTGCCAAGTAGTAGCTCGAATATTAAGGGAATTCAGCTTGGATCAACGGTTTCACTCCGAGCCCACCTCAATGTTGAACATGTGTCAGGCTTCTCTTCGACGCCACAGGCGCCACCATTGCTGAGAAGGCCGGGTAGGGTGCATATCGCGAAAATACTGATCGAGTAATTGATATATTGCGAAAAGATACATCCAACCAAAGTCTTTGAAAGGCCTGCGGTTTCTCACATACTTGAATAGAGCCATAGTGGAATCCGAGGGACCATCGTCTTATGTATATGCAGTGTTGGCTGAAATGACTGACCTAAGTAGTATTTTCCGGAGATTATAACAAACATTATTCTGTCCTTCTTTTCAACGCAGACATTATCACCAAAATCGAAACCGAACCGCGATTAACCCCGCAAGCCATTGTCCTACTAACATAAACACAACACAACGAAATCGCAAGCTTGAAACACGTCGAACCCGCGTGTAGAATGATTAATAAAGATCCATGAATAACTCATTCTTACCGGGATACGGGGTGATTAAATCATCCCGTAATTGCTGTATCGGGGATATGAACCGTGGTGAAATTCCAAGTCTTGCCATTGTCTGGGGTTGACATTTCTCCTCCAGTTGCCTTGTATTGCCAAGCACCGGTATGCTTGAAACTTGGGTCTGCCTTATTCAGCGTGATAGAAATATCCTCCCAGGCTAGGAATGTATTAGTAGGTTCCTACATGTACTTTCTCTCTTGTGATAGATGCATTGGGGACTGGATGAGCTCACCATGTGCTGGAGCAGGAGAACAAGTACCCGCCGCGCATTCAATAGAGACGTAGAATATCACTCCATGCTGCCCCTGGCCTATTATCGGATACCTAGTGTCAGCTTCGCTCTTTCAAGAGCATTCGTTTCAATATCTACAACGTACTTGTCGAGATGCTAGAGAGCAGCTTATCATTCACGTAGAGATTCTGATCCCATTGGTTCGTATCAGGGTTCAGCTTGTCTGTCAAATATGTTAGTTATCATCCTAGTACAATCACACGCAGAAGTTAACATACAATGCGTCTTGATTCGAGATCCGGGCGCAGCGCTGACTGGTGCGCCGTTCTTGGCAACTTGGGAGCCTTTACGTAGTACCAAGTTAGTATAGGTACGTCGTCCAGATGTTCGAGACAGTAAAATCAAGACTATACGCACCTACGAGAGTATACGCAAAGTTACACCAGTTACTCCCAAGGTTGTTGCAGTATGGGCTATAAAGGGAGTTCAGTTGGGAGTCCTCCGAGTGTCACTTTCTATTGATTGGGCCACATCATACCTATTGAGTGCATTCTCAGTAACCCCTTGGAGGAAGTCTCTCTTATCCATCATGATGGCGCTCCATAAGGCAACGTCCCCTGCCATTGGGTTGGGGACTTTTCCTAGAACTAAGGTAGCCCTGGCTTCCTGAATCCATGCGTCTCCCTTAGTATTGAGGGTAATGATATCTAAATTGGCACAACATTGGTGAGCCAACGCCAGTAAGGTGGCGATTGCTGTAGAGATGGCTTTCATGGTAATCAAACTGATAGACTTATTAGACCGTCCAAGACCGCACCAGCTGCACTAGAGTTAAGAATTGCTTTCGAACGAAGCGTTAAGCACTTCCTAGAGATTTGGAACTTATAAAGGGTTGATATTGAATTTTGCCGGACCTATCTCTTTTAAGATACGGCGGCGAGTTCCGAATGAGGGCCCAGGAAATTACCCACGGTTAAAAAGAGATGGCACGTCTGGCTTCACGTTAAAAGTAATAAGTTCTAAAGTTGCCAATGAATTATAGGTCCCATAGGTTGCAGCATAAGCCATGAAGTGTCCTCCTTTCGATAACCCACCTACCGACCTGGGTACTGACGCGTCCAGCAATTCTTAGGATGCAGAGTGATTTCAAGCATATATTCTTCGCACTCTTCTCCAACGAGTCGGAGATACTTGCTATCCACTCGCGCATGGGATACGGTGCCTGCTGCAATAGGTTCGGGCAGGCAATCTATCACCTCTCCGGCCAATCGCTTAACAGAACACCATCTCCAGCTTTAATCTCATCACAACCTTCGACGTCTAGGTTTGCGATACCACTAGAGTTGGTTTTCATACAAGCCGACTGTTCTCTTGCCCAGTCACGCATGGCTGGCCAATTGCGACACTTGCGTATCTGACCATCTCCGGCACCTCTTCCGGCCTTCTGATATAACAGGGTAGTATCAGCATTGCACAAAATGGCTTGCAAGAGAGAACCTAAACAATGCGTCGAGTGACCAAAGGGTACGTCAAGCTTCTCTCCTTTGGCTAATTGAAACATCGTACGTCGGATTACCGTCTAATGAAGTAGGAATTAAGGAAACCGTCAGTTGTCATGACGCGTCATTCTTGTATGGGAGTTTATGGCGCAGTTGCTCACCAGACAATGCAAAGAATGGTAACCTTCAAGGGTATAAACTCCCTTACGGGGGTCGCGGGGATCATCCATGGAGGCTGGTAGCCCTTGCTTCGCAGCTAGGTCATGGCTAATGGAGACCAGACCGATGGATGCGTCGATATTATCCCAATTTCGATCGACCTCGTCCATGCCGGCGGTAGTCGCAGAGCTATATTCGTTCGCCCAGCGCATAGGTATAAATAACTCTTTCGCTGCTTCCGGGGGTACTAATTTTCTGTGAGCAGAGGCACCATACTTGTACCCACCTACATATACACATAGGTGGGTACTTAGCTAAGTAAAAGTACCTATGGGACTGAAGAGTTTATCACTAATGGACTGGCTGCTTGCTTTTATGTTCATGGACCCTAATTTTGGCCATGAGATAACACCAAGCAGCAAATTACCCGCTACTAGGAGAAGCAAGATAACATCCTTCCACATATATGCCCTATATAGTTTTAGGATTGGTCGAGGTAAGGCTGTGTTGGGATTTTCGTGGAGGTCAACGAGTGGAGTATCCTCCTCTTGACCCTCATAGTCTCTACTAAGCGGTACCGACTCAGATAGCATAGTTTGAAGGTCTAGCCTTAGGGGGGGAGGTGAGGATCCAATTTCTCGGCGGTATCTGGACGTATAGCCCTATGAAGGAAGGGATTTGATTCAAGTTTTATATTGGTCTTTGTTACATCCGTAGAGACACCAATCCTTCCACTGTCACCATCACACAAGACTCGAAGGGTTACGCAAGGGATAGACAAAACGAGGGACTAATAAATCGCTTGCAGATTGGGGGCTGGGTTTTACCCTCACCGATTGGCGGATCGGAACTAGGCAAGTAGGGATTACAGGTATATAGACATATGTGGTACTTGTCCGATGGGTCGGTCTTAACTATTCCGAGTCGTCTTAGTTGCGAGAAATCCAATTTTGCGATTCTTTCTTTGCTATGCCAGCCTCACCTCCTTGCAACATCATCACGCACGGAAGATCACGTCAAGATGAGTACCTCCCAGACGAACTCCAGCAATGGCCAAGAAAAGTATCTTTCGACGAGTGAGGGAGGTATTACACCAGCCAGCGTAATTGCTGTCGGTGCTGTACTATCTGGACTCGCCGTTATTGCAGTCGCCTTGCGTTTCTACGTACGATTGATAAGGGTATACTCTTCTTTAGGTATTGAAGATTGGCTCATTCTTGTATCCGTGGTTTTAACGCTGGGAATGGGTCTCATGATGATTATCGGTACGAACTCTACCTTTTCCGCCGAACGAAGGTCTAGGATTCATGCATTGCTAATAAATGGGATATCCCATAGGCTCCGCGATGGGAGGTTTAGCAAGACCAACTCCTCAAGGCACAGGATCGAAGGGATACTTGACTGCGACCGATGATGCCGAAATTCTCACAGAAAAGGTGAGCTACCTTTATACTGCTACGTCAATGCGAGCATCCAATTAACCATATGTCAAGATTTTTTGGGCTTTTGATTTGGTACAATGCTTCGCGTTTGGTACCGCTAAACTCTCGGTCCTGTTTTTCTATCGACGCATATTCCGTGGCGATGTCTTTAGAATTATTTCTATGACAATGATCGTTACCGTTGTCATATGGACGCTTGCTTTTTTCTTCGCTATCCTTTTTCGATGTGGGACGCAATTCTGGGCACTGTGGGCACCTTTGAAATTCCTCCTGGCCAATTGTTATGCCAGTACGCCCATGTTCCAAGCTTTTAGTATCTCGGATGTAATTACGGACGTCCTTATCTTAGCCATGCCTATATACTGGGTGCGTAACGGTCTAATACGATACTTGAGTATGTACTCTAGCTAATAGCAGACAGACTTCGAGACTTCATATGACATTCAGCAAGAAACTTGCTGTTTGTGGCGTCTTTCTTCTTGGTGCAGTGTAAGTAGAGCTACCAATGCAGTATGGCTAGGTGTAACGAAGGCCATTATTTGCTCACGTCTGTTTTACAGGGTGATAGCGGCGGGTGCTGCACGTTTAGCCATATTCGTCAAACAGACCAACAGTAAGTGTCAGATCTAATTTGTTACAAAGATACTTGCCTGGGTAGCCATGGTTCCTAACGACAACACAGACCCGTATCAGAACGCAGATGGAATTGGTCATCTTACTACGGAAATCTATTGGTCAATGATTGAAATGGGAATCTCCGTGGTTGCAGCCTGCCTTCCAGCGATATGGCCCTTGATCAGTAAGATCTCACTCGAGTCGATGGTGCACACCGTTCGTAGCATGTTTTCTTTGGAGTCTATTGCACAATCGGCATCTAGTCGTTCCAGGCGGCAAATGAGTACGAATGAGAGGAACGATAACGAAAGGGGCTCAGGGCCTTACGAGCGATTTTCTGGGGGGTCGGACAAAACCTCTACCAAGGATCCTAAGATCGATATGATCCCTATGCGCGACATCGAGGCGCAATGAGTGATATCTAATATCGGTTTCGCATCTAAATGAAAATCCGGTGAAATAGTCACACAGAAAGGAGGGGTTAGCTGACATTAGTCCTTCTTTATAATATTGGTAGGGGTTTGGGGATTACCTATTGGTTATTCTTCTCTTGAAGATGCTGTGGGACACTGCAAGAATATAGGGCGATATATATAATGAGGAGGTTCAAGTTAGGATGGAGTGATTATGGGTACCACGACGAAGACATGCAGGTATATTAGGAATAACAAACGGACGAATAGGCTTCTGTAAAATCAAGCTATGTTACACGGCGGCATCTCCTGAATCGATCCTAGGTATGTCAGTACCTAAGTAGGTACTGATAATCCTGGAAGTTTGGGCAACCATACTATTTGCAGCAATTACCATAGCCGATAAGTGGCTTCATTTTCCTCCCTACGAGTGCATATAATTCCTACATTTTGCGTTCCATAGCATTATCATTTGTTCTTACCAATGCCGCAACCATCTCGACCTGAATGTGCACCACCTCCGAGGTAGCTCGCATTTCTTTTCTTGATTCAGGTTGTAACACAAAAATAAATAAAGGTGCAGGTTTCCTATGTAGTGCGTTCATTAGCTTGATTTCGGTGAAAGAAACTGTGTACTGTGAAGTGAGATGCTTGATTAGATGGATCGTCACATTATCTTTGATGTTACTCCTAGTTTATGGGGTTACCAGCGAGAACAACATGGGAGTTGGTCCTACGATGCATCGAGTATATTTATACGTAGTCTGATCCTATCCCAGCCCTGTGATTGTTTCAATCCTGTTTATCATTAAGATCTATTCTAAAAGCAGAAGCAGAACATCCATACAATTACCTTGAAAGGATACATTTTCGCACTTCAGCTAAGATGAAGAGAAACATTCTTGTCGTCCTCATGGTATCTTTGGCGCCCGCCATAGCCGCTCCCATTTCCCCTGGAGGTACGTGGCTTTTCTTCAATTGAACTTGACGCTTATAGCTAATACGACTCAGGTGTTAAAGCCCGGGCTTGTGGCTCCGGTGAAGGTTCGTGAGATATCACATATCAAATTATCTGAAAAGTCCATATATTTTAAATTCTAACGTGCATAGATGACGCTGTAACTGATAGCGGAGTGGACTTATCACCTGTCGTGCCCGATTGTAGCTGGTAAAGTCGGAAGCTGTCTTCGGAGTTTTACATGAGAGTCTTAGAAGGTTGGGATGTCTCGGATAGTCGGGTAACACAACAGGCTACCTACATATTATATACACACACATATGAAGGTACTGTATAAGTACCTAGGTACTCTGTATTACTTATACTCGTTTTTACCCACGTGAACCCAGTCTACATCCGTCTTCGGTACCTGCTAGGTACATATGTATCTACTAGGTTACACCAACTTGATGTATGGATGTATTAACTATGTACTGTATACTATTGGCTCCCCTCTCTGCCATATGTTGGGTCCTTTATCTCTCCTCTTCTACTAGTTATCTAGATACCTAAATCCCTAGGTAGGTATATGTATTATAAAACACACACACCAACAACCTCGTGAAGTTTACAAATTCGCCAAGAAAGTCACTCATTTGCATGAACATTGTCTCCCGAATCCATTGTACCATAATGGCATTTATCTTATCAACGTCTAGCATGTTTGGGCCGGGCGTGGCTACAGCTATCTTGCTAGTTTCCTATATTCTCAGCATTGCTTTCTATCGCCTCTTCTTGAGCCCTCTAGCTAAGATACCCGGCCCCAAATTGGCCGCACTCACATACTGGTACGAATGTTACTATGATGTCTTCCGGCCAGCTCAATATGTATTCAAAATCAAAGAGCTGCATCGGGTCTACGGTACGTATACTACTAACCTATGATCTAGCCTTGTTTATGTTCCATGGTTGTGAGTGAAAATCATGAACGCTGAGATCACCACAATAGGACCTATAATTCGCATCACACCCGCCGAAGTGTCAATTGCCGATCCGGACTTTGTAGATGCTATATATTCTCCGGGCCCCGGTCAAAAGCGAGATAAAGACATCCAAAAAGTGAAGGCTTTGGGCATCAATACGTCAATCGGAGGTGCTGTGGCCCACGACCTGCATCGTCATCGACGCGAGGCTCTCAATCCCTTCTTTTCCCACCGAAGCATTACTAGGCTGGCTCCAAAGATGGACGACAAAGTTGGGCAGTTGGAAGATCTCTTTCTCCGGGCAAAAGAATCTACTGAAGTGGTGAATCTTTCAGATCTATACTACGGCTTCGCTAACGAGTGAGATTGTCCTCGAGTTACAAAATGTCCTATCGTATCGGCTAACCGATTTTTAGTATATTGAATGAGTATTGCTTCGGTCGCAACGAGAATCTCGTGAGTGACAAGGCCCTAGCTCATGCTAAACGCGAGAATGTGAACGGTGTTCTACGAGCCGTCAAATTCAATCTCCATTTCTCCTGGGTTAGGGACCTGATGCGTAGACTCCCACCCAGCATAGGTGCGAAAATGACACCACCAGGTATTCGGGATATGATACGTTTCCGAATCGGAATCCGCAAGGAAATCCAAGCCGTTGTCAATCAGAAAACTAAGGGTCGCGATGAGGGAGCGACAAAGTCCATATTCCATGAGCTACGGGATAGCTCCATACTCCCGGAATCAGAGAAATCGCCCCAAAGACTCGAGGACGAAGCCACACTACTAGTTATGGCAGGGACTCAATCGACACAGTTATCCTTGACGATGGCACATTATCATCTCTTGGCTAACCCTGCTATCATGGCCAAGCTTCGCACCGAGCTAGCATCGCATCCGTCTAGCACACTCATCCAACTTGAACAGCTTCCATATTTAAACGGCGTAATTCAAGAAGCGCATCGCCTCGCCTTTGGGCTTACGGGACGGAATGCGCGCGTCTCGCCAGACCAACCTGTTGATTATACCGACCTCTCAACCGGGCATACTTATGTTATACCATCCGGAACCTCGATTAGTACCTCAACGCTCCTTGTACACGCCAACGAGGATATCTTTCCCGACCCCTTCGTATTCAACCCCGAGCGGTGGTTAGGATCGGCCGGTCTAGTGCGGCGCAAATACCAGCTAACATTCTCCAAGGGTCCGCGCACTTGTATCGGGATGCATCTTGCAAATGCTGAGATGGCAGTAGCCATAGCTGCCATGGCGCGCTGGGATATGAAACTGTTCGAGACGGAAAACCAGGATGTGGAGTTCTTGCATGATTACCATGTTGCTACGCCGAAATTAGATTCGAAAGGGGTGAGAGTGACTGTTGCGAGTAGAGTAGCTTAGGTAGGAAGCCATTATAACCGTTGACCATCCCTTAGAGGTGTGTGGAATATCTTATGATCCGTCAGTATATGAGAAATCTCGGGTAAGTCTCCCATACGGCCCCATTTTCAAACGGAGCTTGTCGTAATGTATATGAGGTGGTTAACCTATGTGCAACCTAAACTCGAGTTTGCCCGTCCTAGAATCTCATTTTTTGTCGTTAGCTGCTGCTGGATGGTTTTCATCCTACGTATGCCCACGGCATCTGCCATCTAGCGGTCCTTTAACTTCTTCCCAGCCAACTTCTTCTTCATCTCTCTAAGGCGAGTGTTCGCCTTCTGGAGAACGAATAAAGCGTATTCTCCATGGCCTTCCATATCCTGACTTGATCTCTTTTTGATACCCATGTACTCCTCTCTATCCTCTCTAGTCTTCCCTATGGGTATTATAATGCCGGCATGACGACAAAGGATGGCATTTAGGATCATCCGACACACTCGGCCATTGCCATCTTGAAAAGGATGGATTTGGACAAATTGTAGCGAGTATTTGGCGGCGACTGAAATTGGGTCGATTGACTTCTTCTCCTCTGCTTCGGCAAGTTCTCGTTTTAGGTCATCACACATCTCCTTCATCTTCGCAGGGACAAATTTGGGTACCGTGAAGTTCGAGTTTCCAGCACCAACAATGACCGTCCTATAAATTCCTCCATATTCCTCCGGAGAGATATCGGGTCCATCTCTAGTGCATATCAGGATGCCTTTGGTGAGGATGCGGTGCGTTTCCTTGATCAACTCTTCCGAGAGATCCTGTTTCTCGGTGACGAAAGTGTGTATTATGTGTTGGAAGGCTTTCGTATGCTGCACGATTTCCATACGGCCTCGTAAAATGTCCTGGATGGATACATCTTTCAGATCTTCTTGTCGAGAATACAAATCAAGTAGTTGGCTCTGGTACAAGGTATCTCTCTCATTGATCTCGCCTAGTGGCTCTCCCGAGAATATTTTCTGGCAAAGGTAGATTGTAATATCGAAGCCTAGTCCAACGTGCTCGATCATATTGCTCCCGAATATAGCTCTGGCCATGGAGCTATGTACTTCCTCGTTGACGATATCTTTTGCTTGTCGTCGAGTGTGGTATTCTGGATCGTAGAGATCCAATTGGAGGTCTTCTCGAATAAGGCGTAGGCAGGTTGAAGATAGACATCGTTTAGATCGATGATTATTTGATATGAAATTGAGGGCCAACCTCGTGATATCGTATTGCACAAGTTTTCCTTCCTTGTAGAGGCACCGGTAGAATTATGCGGGGACGCCATGGCGATACCTGGTTTCTAACTACTTAGATGTGAAATTGTAAGTAAACCAGTTTCCGATTATTTATAAAAAACAATTGAGAATTGACTTTGACTTTACACGGGTCACCTCTATAGTTTAATTTAACGTTTGCACTAGACGACTATCAAAATTAAATGGGCAAGTACGCCCAAACCCACATAGTTTAATAGGGGGGAAAGCACGAAGCAAATCACCTGGGTAACCATCGAACTTTTCTCATTTTCCTCCATTTCGTCAATTTCTTCCCCCAACTTCCTCAATTTCCTCAACATCATCACTTTCATCAATTTCGTCCAATTACTCCACTTCCTCGACTTTTACAATTTTACCCCCCAGAGTACACCAATAATATTAATTCCCCACCATACAAAGTCGTCCGTCTCCGGCAACTTCCCATGCCTCGCTTCCTACGCTTATTGGGCCCCAGAAAACGCCATTCGGATCATACTTCTTCTTGATGGCTAGTAACTTGGGATAATTCGATCCATAGAAGACTTCTTGCCAGTTGGACTGGTGGATATTAGCTTCGTTCGTGTATGCACCACTACCCGGCGATATATTCTCCAGAGCAGGGACCAATTTATCAGTGACAGTCTGTTGCGCGACACGATTCGCCGTCAAATTTTGCCGATCATACATCCTAGTCTCAACTGTTAGTCATGCCTTCATGCCTACCAAATTTACTAGGAGAACGTACACGCCAAAGAATGCCAGGAACAGTGACTCTCGCCATGCAGGATGTACCGCGTTAGAATAACTGGGTGCCCGGCCGACATCCATGACGACACTAGCAAAGACACCACCATTATCCATAATGGATTTGATGGCGCCAGTTAGGGACGACGCTGCGCTGTCGGATGCTACAAGAGAACGTGGAACAATGCGACCTCCGAGGTTAATCTCCGTAACATTCATTTCGGTATTTAGAGCTAGATACGAGTCCTGAAAGGTCGGAAAATCGCGAGACGAGAAGGCTATGAGGTTTACGTAAGTTAAAGACTAACGTAAGGTAGGTAGGACGTTAATTAATTGAATATGCTTACTATATGGTATTCCACTATTATCAAGCGCCCTCAATGTAGGTTGGAGTAAAATTTCGAGATCTTGTGCAGTCCCATTTGGTAGGTAGGATTGCGGCATTCGAAACATGTTCCCTGGCAAAGTCTGCCAATAGACTACACCACCAACAGCCCCAACCGCTGGCAGATTCGTTAGGAAAACTTGTACAATATCCCAGTAAGCACCCGATGGCTCGATGAAGAAAAGGGTGGCACTAGCCGTCGGCATGTTCGGATGTAGCTTAATCGTCACGGAGAGTACCACGCCGTACGTACCACCGCCACCACCGGCAAGAGCCCAGTATAGATCTTGGTTCTGGTTAGGAGTTGCTGTCAAAAGTTCCCCTTTTGCCGTAACCACCTCCCACTCGAGGACCTGGTCGGTTGCGAGGCCGAATTTAGATGCAAGAGGGCTGGTCCCACCCCCTTGAAGATAACCGCCAGCTATACCGACCGTTGGGCAATCTCCTTCCACAACAATAAGACCATGGGAATTGGCGGTCTCTTGGGCTTCAAAAGCTTGTACACCTGCACCAAGCTTCATCGCTTTTCCAGCGTAAGAGGCGGATTCATAATCTAAGACGGATATATCCTTGATGTTGTGGGTCCATAAAGCAAGTGCTCCTGCACCTGTTGATCTACCCATGTAGTCATGGCCAGTGTTACGGATGACTAGGCGGATGTTGTATTTACTGACAAACTTCAGAGTCTGACGATAGTCTTCCACACCCGAAGCATTGACAGCATAGGGTACATAGGTACCTATAACGCAAGGCGCATCACGAGGTGTGAATGGGTCACAACTCATGTTAGCAAAGAAAGCGGCCATAGTCGAATGTGTGGTTTGGTCGTGGAATTCCGGGCGTGCCCAATTTTGTTGGATTTGAGCACACTTCTCGGCATCGTAGCTGACGCCAGGGAAGCCATCATGGCACGGGCTTGCGACCGGGACGGTAGCTATTAGTTTACCCCCAATAGTCGTGTTGAAAGAATCCCATTCTGCTGAAGACGGCCAGCAGTTATCATCAGGAAAGCAGCGACACTGAGGTTGATGCCGTGACGTTGCGAACCAAGCAGCCGCTAAAAGGACAGCAATGGACGTCCAAACGACAATCCGAGTATGGCTCTTGACGGGTTCTCTTTCAGTCATGGAGCGCGGCCAAATCAAGAATTCTCTTGACAATTGGGAGAAAATGAAATGAGAGAAATTTGAAGCGCGATGTAGATTAAGTACGCCGCAAAGATTTGAGAACCAACAGCATATTGAGCCCCTAGGTCGGTAGGTAAGCAGCCGATCGTATCATCTCGCGCAAGGGGTGTTGCGGTAAAGAGGTAGTAAACGCCATTAAACAAAGACAAAGCTCTATGCAATTCATGTTATTCTGAATCGAATCATCATCAGTTAGCAATGAAAGTCGAAGTTATGGCGCAAATGATCGTACCCAATTGAATTAAAGGTCACTGTCTCCAGAAGGAAAAGGTGATGACGTAAACATTGTTATGTAACTAACTTGGTACATGTACATATGTATGTACCTGGATATATTCGGACTTCATATATCTCCGGTTACTTGTATCTTGAAACCTCAAAGATCAAGCCACAACATCATGTCGGCTTTTCAATAAATGGAGCCCGAGCTCTAACAACAATTTAAGTACCACACAACAAACTGCACAATAACCGTGCTGCCGTGTTGAGCTGCAAAAGCAACGCCTTAACTTACGATGTACTAGATATCACCAAAAGCAAATCAATTCCTTATAGGACTCGTTGATGCACACCGGATAGATACCGCGGACGATAATCATGGTAATAAAGACCGAGAATCACACCCACCCCCCACCTACCCGTCACCCAGCTAGGTAGGCGTCCACCAATCCGAGCTGAAGTGTACCTAAAGGTAGGTAGGCAACTTGCATTAGATATACTGTTGTCTCAGGCAATTGTCTATCACCGAGATAATTCATCGAATAAAATAGGTGTTGGTATCATTTACTCGCCCCCACCCATCCAATGCAATGCGTAAGGGGCGCACAGGCGTCTTCCGCTTTGTTAAAAGTCTTCGGTAGACTCGGTTATGAATATTGCCTATCTTTCTTCCATTTTTATATGATCCTTAGAAGATGAATCGTATTAATTATGCCTTCGGCTTCCGACCAAGCACATTCACCCTATCGTACATAAACATGGCCCCTTTTTGTGTTTGTACGGCAGCGGCTTGCACTAAAGCAGCAATCTCTGATGCCCTTTGGGGGTTTTTCAGTCGCAACCTGCCGCCGATCATCTCGTGTACAGATAGGTTACACCAGTGCATTGCCATGGATGACTGGCGTTTTCCTATCTGCCAATCTGCCTCGACCTCTTGTAAGCCATGACTTTGAAAGATCTGCGCTAAATCTCTGCACCACCCAGGGAATACCCTACTGTCTATAGGAATGGTCGCTTTCCAAAGAGCAGCTAGCTTATCCGCAGGAATATCGGGCAAGCTAGTCAGAAGCTGCATGGATTGGGCGTCGATATCGCCCCATTGTATATACCCCCCTGGTTCTAAATACGGAATCGTGACATTAGCTCACGAGTTAAACAATAATATCGTTTGTTGCCAGCGAGTTAGAGGGTGCTAAAAAGGAAGTACTCACTTAATAATTTGATGAGGTTTCCCACTACGGGAGTTGGGTCATCCTCAATGACAAAAGCGAAGAAACGCAAGTGCACAATGTCGAACGGGGCTACAAGGTCGTCTGGTACTTCAGCGAATACACCCCATTTTCGAAGTGAGAAGTTATTAGGCAACCATTCCTTAGGCCCAGCTTGCGTAACGTCTACGTCGAGGCCAAAGAGCTCCGCAGATTCGTCCAGCTGTGGTGCTAGATCAAGAAGCCAGATGCTTCAAAATATCAATAGCCATTCTTTATAGAAATCAGATGTCAGATTTAAATACCCAGTCCCCGTGCCAACATATGCGATCTTCAATGACTTTCCATCTCGTGGAATCTTAGGATGAAGACTATATCCAAAAATGTCCTTCCAGATGTAGTGTTGAAGATTGACCCTTCATTCTCGACTTAGTCTAGATCGTCACGCAGGATATTGTAAAAAGGACGCGTGCATACCTGTTGAAATCAACGAAATCTCGGCACATCTGCAACCTCAGTCATTGTAGTAGGTGAAGGGGTCAGGGATGTTGTAAAATACACTAATGATTATATTCCAAACTAAATCCCAGTCCTTTTAAACTATTTTACCGGCTCCAAACCCAACCACCCGCGTAGGACAAGGGGTGGGCGCTGAGACCTAGTACCCTGCTGCGTGACACATTATTTCTTATTCACACCGAACTAAGGTAGAGGGAGTACTCACAAGCGGTACTGACCCCCACCAGCTCACATTCGGAGGTACTTGTCATGCCAATACATAAGTACTCTAGATATTCTTCGTCGTCAAGATTATCTATAACATTAACACGGCGCCGTCGAAAGCTTCAATATTATTCTTATACGAGCGCGTCTTCTTTGCAAAAAGACTCTTCACACATGGATATAGATTATGAGACTCCTTATATTGAGATTCCTTCTTGCAACAGTGAGTGTCTTGATCTTCTCTGCTGACTCCGCAGCAGGCTTGTAGAAATATTTACTTTCGCATTTATCGATCAACAAGAAATCATTTTTTTCTTCCGATGAGTGTAATCAGGCTCCTTTTCGATATAACTATCTTTTACGCCAGTTAAGTCAAAGTATAGACAACCGTTACGAAGGAAATTATCATAACCTCAATTTTCCCTGAGGGACTTTTAAGTCCATAACTAACTATTTTTTCATGGCCTTTCTAGTGTAAATAACGCCACAATCATGGCGCGATAGTATATGCATCTCAGGTATCGTAAGGATCATATCAACTCGTCTTGATGTGTAAGTCTGTGTCGTATAAGAGGTGCCACGAAACGGCGCGACGGATCGATTCGAAGATACTTCTCACAGTTTGGCCATCTGGACAAGTGTTGAAATGAACATATGTACCTGCCTACCTGCGATAAAGGGGACAGTCGATCTTTTCAAGCAGAAGTCTAACTGAACCAGCGCGCAATCAACAGGTAGCCTATATACATATAAGTATTAGCAAGCTGTTCCAACATCGGGCAAAGAACATAGGATACGATAACCATCTGTTCTATTCGACAATACCGGCCTGCGGCCTCTGATAAAGGAATTTATACTTAATCGAAGCAAATTTCCTATAAGTATTGGCGGAAGGGTTTCTATAGGGGTAACTACCGAAGCTTAGAGGGCAATAAGACAAGTCATGACCTGGATGACTCGTTCTTTGCCGTGGGCAGCGAGGTGTGGGTGCTTAATAGAGATGGAAGATTTTGTAGGAGTGGGCAACTTAGTAAGCCACGTATATAATCCGACGTATTCGTATGATTATGTGAACAATATTTTCCCTCGGTAGTTTGGAAATATCTTTGTATCACTTAGAACCTTTGTGGATAATATCGGCCTTGACAACACTAAATTGTTATACTCACATTCATTTGTGTAATAACCGCATTCCTGTGTCTGTGGTGAAGTGATTAGTGTTCATGTTCAAGTCCATCTTTCCGAACAAATATGTCAAAACAGGAGCCATCCAAATTTTACTACACTGAATTTTCTATTTAATCAGTCGTATGTCCAGAAAAATAGCTTCAAATTTGATCATAATCCCAAAGACACCGTTTCAGATATTCGCCCATAACGCAGCGCATCTATCATCCATTCATCATGTCTTCTCCGAATCTTCTCATCACCGGTGTAACCGGTTTTATCGGCTTTAAGGTACTTCTAGACTCCCTCACGGCAGGTTATACCGTTCGAGCCGCTGTTCGCTCCATTTCCCAATCTCAATGGATTCCCTCTCACCCAAGAATCACTGCGTTAGGTGTCCCAGATAAGCTATCGTTTGTCGAAGTGCCCGATATTATACGTGAAGGCGCTTACGATCAAGCTGTCAAAGATATCACCTACATCATTCATCTTGCTTCACCTCTCCCTTCTCCAGGCTTAGACCCCCAAACCGGCGTTTATGAACCCAATGTCAAAAGCGCTACATCTATACTTCATTCTGCAATCAAGGAACCCTCGATTAAGAAGGTCGTCATTACGTTTTCGGTATTCTCCAATATACTCTTCCCGCCCGACGGAAAGGAGATCACCGAAAAGTCTAGACTCCCTGATGTACCAGGCCCCTTCGATTCAACAATCACAGCGTACAGTGCAGGCAAGATTGGGGCTCTGAATGCAGCCGAAAAGTTTATCAAAGACAATAATCCAAAATTCGCGGTCGTCAAAGTCATGCCCGGCCTTGCTCTGGGTTATGATGAGAGAGCGACGGCCTTAGAGGGCATTAGCGCTGGAACCAATAGAATGTTATTGGGAATCATCACAGGCAAAACCAGTCCTGCGCCATTCCCCGCTGGGGTTGGTGATGTAGCTGATGTTGCCAAGGTCCATCTGCTAGCGTTGGGGGATGGCGTCGTGGGGAGCTTCGGAGTAACGAAAAGGAATACCTTCGACGAAGCTTGGGAAATCGTCAAAAGACATTTCCCTAAGGCCATCGCGGATGGCATATTTACCCAAGGTAGCCAACCAACAATTCCAGTTGATTGGAATGCTCATCAGACTGAAGTTCGTTTTGGATTCGATTTCAAAACGTACGAAGATGCTGTTGTCGAAGTTGCTAACCAGTACCTTCAACTCTCCGGCAAAAAGGGGGCATAAGTGAACCACGTAGTTACTCCAGCGTGTGTATTGTGGACTTGGGAGCAACGACTTATCATTCCCAATCGTTCAATAAAACAAATTCGAGCAACTAATCTAATTGAAGTTAATTCAAGCAATTAAAGGTGTCCATACCTTCTTGGTGGCCCATTCGGTGGAACGTTGTACTAAATGGTTGTATCCCCCTAAGTAGTCCCTGTCGCCTAGATTGACAGAGGGCCTTACTCGTTGTTCATGTATAGATGGCCCCTAATGAAGTGGTACATCAACAACGACGAAGCTCTTGGTGAATTTAGGGTAGATATTCTTGACGGTCACGCAACACGGGCATAGGTAGACCTGTAGTATGCGCATGAGGCATCCTCAATGACCACCTTTAAGCTATGCCCAATTAGGATAATAAAATAATACGATCTCAAATTGACGAATTAGTTCTTCTTAATCAGCACTATTTCTATATTACCTTGTCTGGTAAGCCAACCACCTGATACTGTCGGCTCCTTGTTGGGGTTGGTCAGCCTGACATTGACATCAAAGCGAGGCTCCTTCCAATACAGTTTTTCGCGCGGGTGCTGAACTATTCGTTACGTTAGTTAAGAAGTGTACACATGCTTGTTACGTAGTGTGTAAGGGATGGTCCGGTTCCTAAAGTAGTGATGAATATTTTATAGGCTCATGTATAGAATACAAACGCTTGAGATACTCCCTTACAATGTTTTCTCAAATATTGCGCTTTACATGGGGCAAATAATCAGCGAATCTTCATGATAGGTTGGGAAGCGAAATACGGGGACAACCCGTTGGGAGGTGACTTTGACTCAACCATTTCCACTTGTATATCTCAGCGTAGCAGTGCAAATCTCCTCCCCCACATGGCAAATTACGTGAGAAGACATTATAATGACGAAACCGCGAGATCCTTCACCAAACATTTCCACACCATTTACCTCTATTGAGAAACTATAGCGGGCTTGCGATAAAGAGATCTCCGTATGAGTTACTACTAAGCAACCCTTAATATATATATGTGCCTAGATAGAAGATAACGAGCCTTTAAAGCTATTGTTGAAGAAAGTGGAGGACTAGCTTTTTGTATCCGGATATGCTATTGATCAACTCCGGGATACGAATGTATTCATTTGGTCCATGTGCGACCAAAATTGATCCAGGTCCATACAAGACTCTCTTGTTGCAATATTCATCTTTGAGTCGGGGCACATCAGTACCAAAAGCGACTGGGGCGGCTTCGAACCCATCAATTTCCCAGTCTAGGAGGGCTTCGGGGTACTCAAACACAAACTTCAACTCTACATCTGGATGTCGCGAAACTATCTCGGCAACCTTGTCCTTAATACCTGGTAAATCAGATACCATGCGGACTTCGCAGAGTGCCTTGGCGGATGGGGCAACAATATTATGTTTCTCTCCACCTTCGATAGTTCCAATGTTGAACGTCGAAGGACCAAGAAGGTCCGACTCAGGCCAAGTGGCAGTTGAGAGGTCATTTAATACAGCAAGAAGTGCAAAAGTGGCGCTTTTCCCAAGATGGGGATATCCCGAATGACTGTAATCATAGGTTGCGTGTTAGCTGACGAACCCTCTTCAAACGAGAACCAACTGACCATGCAATGCCATAGGAGATAAGTTCGAAGGCTACTTGTCCCTTGTGACCTTTTGCTAGTTTGCTCTCTGTTGGTTCAGCGAATATACCAAATTCCCATGATATTCCCATATCATTTGCTGCAATCATTCCATGACCGCCATTCTCCTCGCCAACCACAAACAATAATGCAAGGTCACCCTCGCTTCGAACACTACCTTCCTTCCTCAGTTCTTCAGCAGCCACAATCTGAGCTGCCAGTGGACCTAAATCATCGGAAGATCCCCTACCACGGATAATATCACCTTCGATAGTTAAAGGAATATGGGGCGGGACAGTATCCATATGAGCTGTGAGAAGGAGACGGGTCTTACGAGAAGAGCCGAGATAAGCGTAGACATTATGACGTGTAGATCCCGGAGCGATCGGTATACGCTCGACAGTATACCCCAAGCTCTGAAGACGCTGTTCTAGAAAGATACCAATTTCGTGTTCAAGCTCACTGGTACTCACAATTGACATGAGTGAGGTTAATAAATCAACGACTGGATGACTGGAAGAAAAAGACATCATGATAAACGAAGAAGATAAAAAAGAAAAAAGATAAGAAGTAGGATAAAAGAGATAAAATAAAGAAATGGTTACATTATTAAAGAAAGCAAAATCGGATATAATTATGAGTCATAAAAATGAATAAAAATATTAAAGATTTCTTATATTTTATATTATGTATTAATTTAATAAAAATTGTTATTATATTAAAATGTAATAAAATCTTATTGTCACGAACCAACGGTATCAGGCAACAATTGAAGGAACCATGAGTGGAGACACCCCAACCCAATCACGGAAGAACTATGGAGAATTGGGGTTCCTCTCAATCACATGACCTGAAGTGATCTGTATGATCTGGATGATCTGGTACCAGATCAACTAGATCAATCAAATCAACTAGATCATAATTAGTGACGGACTCTAGGGAGAGGAAGGAAGAATAAACTATATAATCACAGACATCTCCTATATATCTAACCACTCTTTTCATAGCTCTTTAGTTATCAATCTAAGACTATTCTTCCAAGTATAATGAGAAGACTCCAAGCCTCTCTGACGAACAGAACGTACTTAACCATTTAACCTATTATTGATATTATTACCTTAAAATTAAGACATCTTGGATTAGCCAATCCAGTAACGACTATACCTCTTTGAGACATAGGTTTATCACATTTTAATAACTCCTTGATCAATACTAATATTGGGTCAAAAAATGACATAAATCATCTACAAAATATCCCATTATCACTATTAATTAAATCTTCTTTTATTTTACTAACCTTTAAAAATAAAATAAAAAACCTCTATATTTTTTAAAAATTATCTTTTAAAAAATATTATAATTAGATATAGAATAAGTTAATAGATCTTAATCTAGAAAATAAAGAAAAATTAAATAAAAAGAAACTTTAGAATAAAGATTTAAATAATTTATAACAGCCTAACCTATCACTACCCAGAACACCTACACCTATTCATACCACTCAAAACCTACCACCAATAAAAAAGATACTCCAACTCATTAACAGAATAATGCCACCTAAGACACACTCACAAACTCCAAAATCAGAAACGAAAGAAGAAACCAACATCAAGACAAGGAAAAAAAACCAAGACAAAGAAGAAACCCCTAACTAACAAGCCAAAGTAATAACTACCTTTAAAAAGATCAAAAAACTTAAAAAAGAATTAACCTTAAAAAAAACCAGATTTAGAAAGGCCCTTAAAGGATCCCCATCAGGAATCTCTCAATAACCAATACTTTCCTAATCTTTAACATCCCCTGGACCTCCAGATAATAATAACAATAACAATAGAAAAGATAAGAAAAAAAAGGAAAACAAAGATCCTTAATTAAGGAAAAAAAAAATAATAACCCTTTTCCTATTTATTAAAAGATATAAATTAATGGACTTATTAATTTATGATAAAACTTTGGATATTAAAAATTAACTTATATATATAAAATTTTATTTATTTTTTTATAAAGAAAATCTATTATAAAAAAAATAATAAATATTTATTATTATTTAGTTTTTAAATGAAATTATCTTTATATAATTCCAACCTATTTTGGAAAATTATTTTAATATTATTAAAAAAGAATTAAAAGAATTTTAATATATTTTTAAATTATATAAACATTTTAAAAACAAAATATAAATAATATTTAATAAATTATTTAAGAAAGAAAAAATATAAAAGGTCATTTATTATCTTAAATAAAAGAAATAAGCCTTTTTTTATATAATAAAATTTAAATAATTTATAATTATAAGATAATTATTTAAAAATATATAATTTAATTACTTTTATAAAGAAATAATTATTTAAATAAAAGATAAACTTTTTAAAAAAAAATAATTTACTACCATTAATAAATATATAATTAAGGTAATTTTTTATAATAATAAATTATATAAAAAATATAAAAAAAAAAAAAAAGGTTTTAAGATAATAAAAAATTAGGAAAAAAGGGAATTAATTAAAATTTAAAACATTAATATAATTAATAATAATAAAAAACTTAAAAAAAATCTAAATAAGATTAAATATTATAACTATTAAGAGATGGGATATTATAAAAATTAATATAAAAAACCTAAGAAATAACCATAAGTCTTAAAGGGAAGATTAATTAATATAATAATAATAATATTAGGATCCTTAATCTTAAGGGTATTTAACATAATCAAAGAAAAAAAAGAAAAAAGAAACTTATTATTAAACTATAATAAAGCCATTTAATAAACAGAGATAAAAGATTTTATAAACCAAATAAATCAATTATGAGATCTTGGTATAATAAGTATAAAAAATTCCAAAAAAAAAGAAATAAATATCTTTTTAGGAGAGTCTAATTCTTTTTTAAATAAGTAGAGACTATTATAAGACATAGATTAGAATATGGAAAGAAAAATAAAAAAAGAAATAATATTTTCAATATAGATTGATAACTAAAATATCTCTATTATACTACTATCAAACAAAAATATTATTCTAATACATTTCAATGGAATGTAATTATATTAACAGGTAATATAGGACCAATAAGATTTTAATAATAAGGGAAGATAAAATCAAATCTCTAAACCAGAATTAATATATTATACATGATTAATTAAATAAATAAATTATAACTATTATCATCTTAATAACCTATAAGATTTAAGGTATATATCTAAGATTAATTAAGAATAATCCCAAAAACATAGAAGATAGAATTATAAGAGAACCTATAAAATCATCATTTAAAGATTATTTAAGGGATAAGGAATATTAATATAATTCATAATAAAAATATTTAAAGATCTAGATTATAAAAGGGTAATCAGAAAGAGATGAAACCAGAAATTTATATGATAATATTATAAGAATATATATAAGGTTTTCCATATATTATTTTATAAGGAAAAGTAAGATATGATCATTTTAATTAAATATATTTAGGGATATCTGAAATAAGTTGTTCAATATTTAAATGCTGTCTTAAATGGATATTATAAGTAAATGCTACTATAATATAAAGAAAAGGTTGATTAATCTTAAGAAAAGATATTACATTTAAAAAGCAAGATTGTGGCTTTTTAAAAAAGAACCAAATAATTAATAAATCTGTTATAAGGAATAATAAATGTAATTAATAAGTAATAAAATATAATAAAAGGATTATTAAAAACATTATAAGTTTTATTAAATAATAAGATTAAATCAATATATTTAATAGGAATAACTAAGGGACCCCATTTAATTATAAAAATGATATAAAAAAGATATGAATTTAATATCCTGATTAATTCAGGATACATAATTAATTTAATCCATTTAAGATTGGTTAACATATATAATATATTATATTAAAAAAAGAAGATACCTTATTAAATTAATAACATTAATAAAAGTCTTATTACTTATAATAAAAAAAAAATCAAAAAAGAAATTACAGCTTTCTTTATCTTAATTTAAGGATATTAGGAATTAATATCTTTTAATCTTATTAATATAAATTATAAATTAATTTTAAGAAAGATATGGTTCAGAATTAGCAACCCAAGAATCAATTAGGTATATAATCAATTCTATTAAAATAAACCAGAAAAGGATTTAGCTCTTAAACATTAAAAAAAGATTGATTTAAATAAATCAAAATAATAATTATAAAAATTATAAATAGACAACTTTATAAAAAGATATTCTATACCTTTATATCTAATAATATAATATATAAATATTAAAGAATTAAATAACCAAAAATAAATTAAAATTAAAAAAAAATATATAAAAATATTTCTTAAACTATTTTAAAATAATCTAAATATAGATATAAATATATTAAAATATAATTAATACAACCATAAAATCATATTAAAAAAAAGAAAATATCTAAAATTATATTAAGTTTATAAATTAAATTAAAATAAATCCAAAACTTTATGCATTATATTTTAAAATAAAGAGGTAAAAGGGTTTATATAAAATTTAAAATCATTAATAAAATATCTAATCTTTTTAATATCCAAGAAGAATAAAGATAAAATATTTAAATTAAATAAAGAAAAAAAAATGATATAAAGGGATATCTATAATTACCAATAATTAAATAAAATTACAGTTAAAGATGGATATTTTTTATTATATATTAAAAATCTAGAAAAAAAGATAGATAATAATAAATAATTTATATTATTAAATCTAAAATTTATTTTTAACCTTATATAAATTATTAAAAAGAATAAATAGAAAATAACTATCAGAATATTATATAGTTATTTTAAATGTTTGATAATATCATTTAAATTTATAAATACATTAGCCACTTTTTAATAAATAATTTAAGATATTCTATAATAATTCCTTAAAAAAAATATTTTTATATATTTAAATAATATTCTAATTTATTTAAAAACCAGAAAATAATATAAAAAGGATATATATAAAATATTTAAAACCTTAAAAGAAATTAAGTTTTTTATAGATTTAAATAAAAGTAATTTTTTTGTTTAAAGATTTGATTATTTTAGATATATAATTTTTTTAAAAAGAATCAAAATTTAGAAATCTAAGATATCCATAATTAAGGAATGATTAACCTTAGAAATTATTATGGGAATATAAGCCTTTTATAGTTTTTATAATTATAATAAAGCCTTAATTAAGGATTTTAAGAAAATTATGGAATTAATAATAATTATAATATATGTTAAAAATCTAAAGGATTTTAAATAAATATAAAAAACAGAAAAGGTATTTTAAGAAATAAAAAAGATTATAATAAAAGATTTAATAATAAGGTTATTTAATTTAAATAAAAAGAAATAATTATATATTAATATTTTAAATAAAATAATAGGAGTAATATTAGAATAATTAAAAGATAATGGAAAATAACATTTAATTATTTATTTTTCTAAAATCTTTAAAAAATTAAAAATAAGATATAAAATATATAACCAAGAATTTATAATTATTTATCAAATATTAAAAGAATAAAGACTATAAGTATTAAAAATTATTAAACCTTTAGAAATTTATTTAGATTATTATAATTTTAAATCTTTTATAATTATTAAGATTTTTAATAATAAATAATTATAATAAATAAATAATCTTATATATTTTAATTTTAAAATTTATTATATTAAAAAAAAAGGAGAATATCTAGATAAATATTCTTAATAAATTAAAAAGTTTCAAT